GAGTAAAATTTGAGATTTGTTGTCAGATTCTACCCCCTCACTTAGATCTGGACGCCTGGACAGAGCATCAGAGTGATTTGTCGATCCTGCTTTATAGCTGAGTGTAAAGTCGAATCTGCTCAAATAAAGGCTCCAACGGGCGTGTCGTCGTGATAGGTCTCGCGCCGTTTGGAAGTGTTCCAGGTTTTTATGATCTGTCCAAATCTCGAAGGGGTGTCGTGCGCCTTCGAGGTAGTGATTCCAATGTTCCAACGCTTTGATTATAGCCAAGAGTTCCCGGTCGTGAACGTCGTAATTCCGCTCTGCTGGTGAAAACGATCCAGAGAGGAAAGCGACTGGGTGCCAGTCACCATCTTTTCCTTCTTGTAGAAGGGTAGCTCCATAGGCGATTAGTGATGCGTCCGTTACTAGTCGATATGGGTGCATGGGATCTGGATAGTTCAAGACGGGTTTACTGATAAAAGCTTTCTTTAATCGTTCGAAAGCTTCTTGGCATTTTGTAGTCCAGTTCCATTTCTCGTCCTTTTTGGTGAGGTCATGTAGGGGGCGCGCGATGAGTGAGAACTTGTCAATAAAGCGCCTGTAAAAATTCCCTAGACCCAGGAAGGAGCGAATGTCGCGGACTGTGCGTGGGATTGGCCAATCTTTTATCGCGTCCACCTTTGAGTCCTCCATGGCGACATGGTCTTTTGAAATTGTATATCCCAGATATTGGAGCTTTTCCTTGTAAAACTCACATTTTTCGGGTTTCAAATATAGATCGTTGTCGCGTAGGATTTGGAAAACCTGGTTTAGGATTTTGACGTGTTCTGCCATGGTTTTGGAGAAGACGAGGATGTCGTCCATATATACGGTTATCTTCCGGGCTGTGATGAGCTCTCTGAAGATCATGTTCATCATAGCTTGGAAGGTGGCTGGTGAGTTGGTCAGGCCGAAAAACATCACCGTGGGTTCGTAAGAACCTAACGGAGTGATGAAGCTCGCCTTCCACTCATCTCCTTCTTTAATGCGTATATTGTTGTATCCCCATCGCACGTCCAATTTGCTAAAAATGATGGCCCCTTTTATCACATCCAGTAGTTCCTGGATTAGTGGAAGGGGGCACACATTCGGGATGGTGTGCGAATTTAAGTGGCGATAGTCCTGTACCGGGCGTAGTTTTCCATCCTTTTTTCCTATAAAGAAAAATGGGGCTGCTGTTTGCGAGGTGGATCGACGGATGGTTCCTCTCTCCAGATGTTCCTTGATGAATTTTCCTAATTCGTCGTGTTTCTCTGGGCTCAGGGCGTAGATTTTGGGCACTTGAGGTTTGAAGGTCGGTTTCAAATCGATGGCATGGTCCCAGTAAGTGTGTTCTGGGAGTCGCTGCGACTTTCGTTCGCTAAAGATGTCCAAAAATTCGTGATGCGCCTTGGGAACTCTTTCCTTTAGATTGGTGACGATAATTTCGTCTTCCAGGTCTTGGTCGAAACTGGCAAATCCTGACGGTTCGGGGGCCAGTTTCCGAATAACTGGGTCCCGGGTGGCCTGTTTTCCTGAGGGTTTGTCTGGGAGATCAGGTTCTCCCCCGTTTGGTGAAAGAGATGGCTTGTCTTGAGCCTTTCGTTTCTCTTCTGCGTATTTCCTTATGTCCTTTAGGAGCCATTTCCTTTTGAGGTATGCTCGTAGTCGGACGCCAAACGTTCCGCTGTGATCGCGGAGTCCTACATCTTCCGATAGTCTTCGGAGATGTTCGAGGCGCTGTTTTTCGCGCTCATTGATGCGTGGTTTGTGCCGTGGCTCCACGTCTGATAACTGCCTGCTGTATGGCGGTTCTTCCCTTGCCCTAGTGAACCCATATGGTTGCTGGCATTTCTGGGGGCACCGATCAAAGTGCACTTCACGTCGCCTCCATTCGATGGAGGGATCGTGGTATTTCAACCAATCTGTTCCTAGGATAAGATCGTCTTTCCCTAGATTGGAGATAAACATCTGGACGCGCTCGGTATGCGTTCGTCCACTGATGTCCCGAATGGTGAGGTTCACATCCAAGGCGGATCGGATGAGACCTGCTTTGTTAATGGTGTCATCGACGTTCCGGACGCGAATGGGGTTGTTGAGTGTATAGGTGGGGAAACGGTGTCTCTTGACCCAAATTTCGTTTACTATAACCCCTTCGCAGGCCGAGTCGATGGTTGCCTTTGCTCCAGCGTGTTGACTCCTGTTTGATACTTTCACGTTCAGGCGTATGGGGGTGATGATACGGTCGTTCATTGCTCCGATACGAATACAAGTGCGGGCATCAAACTCGGGTCGTCCTTGACCTCTCTCCTTCGCTGGTGAGGGAGAGGTCAGGAAAAACGCTCCGCGTGTCCCAAGATTACTTCTCTGGCTTCATCTTCTCCTAACTCTCCGAGCACTGCTCCGATTCGAGCAGAATGACTGACGCTTCCGTCTCCCCGTCGTCCGTTAGGTAACATAGCGCGTTGCCCATGGTTCGTTTGGGGTCGTCCGGATGAGGTAGAGTGAGGGTGTTCCATCGAAGGACCAGGTTGTGGTACCCGCTGGTCGTTGCGAGGGACATTCTCTGTCTCCATTCCTCGATATATTCCCGCTTGGTTTCCCATAGCGGGTGCGTCGTCTTCTCCCTCCAAATCAACCGCGCGGTTTCCTCTCCCTGTCGTACCCAGGCGTCTTTTCGAGTTTCCTCGAACTGGGCGAACGCCTCTGCGTGGTGACCAACAGTTAGCGCTAGAGTGCCCTGGCTTTCCGCAGTTGGAACAGGAGGTGGTTCGCTTGCCGTCAAATTTTCTCTTTTGACTTTCGGCGTTACGCTTTCTGGTAGCGTCAATGTCCATGTCAACCACCTGGTTGTTCATTCTGCGAGGGGCGTTTGTGGAATTGTAGCGGGGAGAGATTTGGTTATGAAAACGATTCAGATAATCGCTTCGAAAGGAGGTGGAGTTGGCGAGGATGGCTTTTTGAGCTGTTCTGGCTCGAAGTCGTCCATCTATTTCGCAGGCTGTATTGATCCAGTCCTGAATCGTATCCTTTGGCTGAACTTCCTTGTCGTATATTTTGTCCATGACGCGCGGGTCTAACCCGCGTTGGAAGTAAGGGACTTGCTCTTTATCGGAGATGTCGGCATCGGCGGCGATGAGAATGAATTGGTTGGAGTATTCATCAACCGTCATTCGTCCTTGGGAGAAGGCCATAAGTGCGCTTCGCGCTTTGTCGGTCTTGCCCGTCTCCCTGAACTGTAATTTGAACTTGGCTAAAAAGTCCTTCCAGGTGCCTAGATCGGTAGGTGGATCTGCTCCTACTGATTTGAGGAGGAAGTTCTCCGCCCAAGCTCCCGCCGTGCCGTATCTCATACATGAGAGCACAAGGGATATTTTGTCTTGATCGGTCTTGTACCGATCGGATTCTGCTGCGAAAAGAAGGAGGCATTGGAGCATGAATTTCTGGGATTCAATGCGGTCGCCTGTGTAATTGTCTGGGAGTTTGACTTTTCCTCTTCCGGGTTGTACTGTCGCGGAAGGGGTGTTTGTAGAAGTCGAAGCTTGTCCCGACATTTCGGCGAGTGGTTCGTTTCGGGTGTTGATCGGTGTTTGGTCTGGTGAGTCGGAGTCTGATTCCGAGGTTGTTTCCTCTTGCTCCGAGTCTTCGGGGATTACCGGCGCCGGTTCCCTGTATTGTGGGGCTAGTTCCCACTGAGCTTCTGTTTCGTTCCAAATATCCTCTTCTTCTGTTCCGTCTTCAAGGGTGAAGTAATAACGCCCGTTTCGGTATGAGCAGTTATCGTAATTCGGAGGGGCAGTTCTGTTATTGTCTTCGTAGACCCAGAAATCCCCTTCGCGCCGGATAGGGCGATTGTTGTGACGGAGTTGGTTATTGATACGTCTAGTGCCGGGTGGATATTCCTGGCCTAGGTCTTGCTCCAGAGTGTATGCGGTAACGCTTTCTCGATGGGGGTCTATGTCCCCACTGAGCAAGGTTATGAGAGAGAGTGTGGCAGCAAGCTAGTGCGAGCAAGGTAGGGGCAGAAGAGTCTATTCTAGTGTTACGACTGCTCGTCGGTAACCCCAAGAGTAGGAGGTTCTTCCCTAGGTCACTCGTGGAGGATGTGTGGAACGGTGGCCTCGACTGTACGTGTAGCACAGGAGCCAGGAGTGTATTGCGATATAGCAATGAAGGGTACTGTAGGAAGACAGTACTGAACGAAGATTCCTGTATGTGGAGATACAGGAGAACGAAGTAGACAGTGTGAAGACTGCCTAAGAACGAAGAGAATAGACTGAAGATCGTCAGCCTATTCTATGGGCCTTTTATACTACTTTGGGAAGTAAGGCGTGAGAATACCGAATATGTATCTGTAGGTATTCTCTAAGTCGTCTCTCTCAACAACGACTACTCTTGTGCTTCTCCGTTGGTCTCCTTCCGGCCAGGAGAGACTAGGAGGTTCATGCCCTGCGTGTGAGTAATTTATAAGGCGGCGTTCCATGCCCGCTAATACAATAGGCCCGTGATACTCGACCAACGATAAGGTGATCCGTTGGGAGTGGATGACCAAGGTTAATATCTGTACCTTGGTGTACGCCTCAACCTGTGAGGCCGCGTGATATTTGTGATGATCGTATCGGTATAGACCGCCGTGTAGGCCCGATAGAACGTGATCATAACACTCGGCATAGAGCTACCCGGAAGGCCGAGGATCCTCAGGCTGAGCCATGGGTGTCAAATGACCGGGGATGATTTGTACGCCCACTGTGCAAGTCAATACAGCTAGCGTCCTCTGTACATTGTATTCAACAATAAAGCTGATATTCTAACACTCAAGGCAGAATATCAGTAAGTCTTCCGTCGTTTCTTTGAGTCTGTTGCAGCTGAATGCCGTCTCTGAGCGCATTCTCTTCTCCAAAGCCTTGATTGGATAGTATCCTTAATCCCCCGATGAAGGCCAATCCTTGTGCTGCATTAATTAAGAAACAAGAGAAAGATCGTGGCAGGCAGGGCTCACAATGGCCACGTGGGCCCAAGCAGGTAGATGCCAAAATCAATGATAATGATCAGCTATACTCGTGCTTGCTCTTGCGAGTGATCTCTCATCAAGTCATCTCGCGCGCCTCACAGATCAGTGCTAACAATGGACTCATCTTTAGAATCTACAGGATCCAGGAATGGCACTCCTTCGACGATAAGCAGACTCAGTCCACACCGCAGTGATCTGTTTGGTGCCCCTTTGAGTGGGCCATTGCTTGCAGATGTCTCGCATTTAAGCTCGACTCATCAAGGGAGCATATTAACCTCCAGTCATAATAGGCAGTCCAATTATTCATTCACGCCTTCACCGATCTCTCAATCCCCATCACTCCAAGGCGACATCCCAGGTCTTTCAACAGCTAGTAGTCGCAAAGAGGCCATGAAGATCTGGAGCGATCAAGTTGCCATGAAATCAGCTTTGTCTACTCAACAACATGAAGATCTGCGATCTATTATCGAGGTGGGTGCCTTTGCAAAAGATTGAGCACTCGTAATCTTATAGACTTCCTTATTAGCTCGGCAGTAACTTAGAATCTGGAGACGTCCAAATTCGCATATGGCAGCTTGCGTGTCAGTATGAGACACGCAATTTACTTGAGGAGCTGCAAAAAGAGATCACTAGCATTGGAAACATTGTCCGGGAGCTCAAGGAGGAGTCACACACAAAATTTGAACTCACCTCGGAACAAAAGGTGTGGATTATCCATTCCTGCTTCCGTTTTGTCAGCGTTCTGACATGGCATACAGACCACATTGAACAATGTTTGCAAAGATATGGCCTTTAGCCCGAAACGAGTAGCTTGGCGGCAGCTGCACATTGAGCTCCAGGTTTGCCATATCAAAGTCCTTCTGGCATGTTCGTAGTTACTAAAATGCATTACCCTTTTAGCAGTTTGCAGAGACTCATGAGCTCTTTGCCGGCATCAAAGGCAATGACCTGCGAGAAAAGGTCTTGCTCAATGACTGTAAAGAAAAGGCACGGAACACACGCACACAACTGCGCCTTGGGGTGAGTTTTTTGCTATAGCAAAAGAGTCAGGAACTAAGTGTATTATTACTAGATTATCGACTCGATCCTCGAACACCTTGATCTCGAGCGAACGACATACCGTATTGCAGAGAAGTTCCGGAGGGGGGGGCCAGGCAGCCAACTGCCTGTTGACTATCAGATACATGTAGCATTGCTGGTAAGTGCATCATAGATTGGGAAATGGTAGTTATGAATTAAACAGTGGCAAATTAGCGCCGGTGGTCCTACGAGAATGACAAGGAACTTGCTGAAGCGGCAGCACGCACACATGGAGAACCAATGACCAAGAAGCGAAAGGGGACAGGTAAGGTAGCAAAGGGTGAGGACTACTGGTCAAAGGTGGATATGTGGTTTGTAGCGAGGGTGCAGGAGTGGGGGAGTAACCTTAACAATCCCGGATGGCATAAGTAGGGGCCCCCATGATCCACTTGTTTGATAGAGGCTAATATTTTATTGAATTGAACAGATATATTACCGAGACAGTCAAACTTGACCTGACGATATTTAGAGAGGGCCCAGGGATACTGATGCAGCGCCTGCCGGAATCAATGCACCCATCGCGAGAGGAAGTGAGTGCTGTAGCAGGCCCTAGCAGGGGTTTTGTCCCAGACATCGTGGCTCCTATGCCTCGTGCTCCTTCATCCAATCTTTTGAATACAATTATATAGCATGTGGTAGCGCAGCTCCTTCTCCTTCTAAATGCATTGTGAGTCTGCAAAGTGAAATGCGCACTCTTACTGCCGTGACGTGACTGTGACTGTGCATGCAAGTGACCAACATTGACGAATTTTCTTCTGCTGCCTCTCATGCTGGCCGATGCTGTTGCTCGTCAGATTTCTACACCATACACATGCATCATGAGCTTAGGTCGGCTTGCTTGGCAACACATAACTTGACAACACACTAGGCTAGGCTGATCATTGGAGCTGGTTCTACGAAGCTGCTGCTGACTGCTATCAGGCTGAGCATGCCGCTGACTGAGCTTGGGCTTTCACCTGTACACTCGGATCTGTGGAACTTTGGCTACCCCTCTCATCATGCTCTGTGTGCTTCTGTGAAGCTTGCCTAGAATCTCATACAGGGTCTTCTGTTCTGGACTGCCATGCTGGATGCCGGATGGTGCTACTATAGTAGATGTAAACTAATTCTCTTTTACAGATCTCAGTTCTTACCTCGATGGATGCTATGGGAATTCACTCAAGGTTTATGTACTCGGAGGTCTGCGGTACGTGTCAATTATGATACCATCCTATGGGCTAACTCGTGGCTGTTGATTTTGCCCTAGATAGATGGTGATGCAGCGTCTAATAGAAGGACGGCATGTAAGGCTTGGTGATCTGGTAAGTAATGTTTCTTTAGACTGGTATGTGCCCTGCACCTTGTAATGTGTTACTTCTGCTTCTAAGCAGGGGGCTGCGAGGACGACATGTATATACAATGTACTGTTGAATAAAATATTTATTTGTTTATTTGGTTTGGTCGCTGGGATATCTTGTGGATTGATAAGGCCAAATAAGGTATTATTGAGTTTGATGGCCCTGATGGGTTTATCGAATGCTGAGTTTGCGAGGCTGAGAAATTGCTGGTCAAACTCAGCACAATGCTGAGGTGGCGCCGTAAGGAATAATCTCAGAATCGATATTTTGTTGTGATCTCAGAAGTAATCGCATGTCACACGGTCGCTCACAATCTCAGGATGATCCTGAGTAATCTGCTGGCGGTGTACTGATGGGTCCATGTGTACCTTTGGGCTGCAGCATGGCGTCAAGCCATGAGACAACACACGGTAACCATGGAACTTTGCCGAGCACTATAAGACTTCGGTGTCTGTTGTCTGAGTAGCGCTGGCTCTGCCGCTGCACTTCGCTCTTCGAAAATCTCTCATAAAAGGTTGTCGCTGTTCTTTGAGCTAGTTATATCAACTCGTTCACTGTCTCCTTCGACGCGGGGCTCTGGAACAGAAAGATAGTGTGGAACATGAAAACATACTTAAGCATGCGGCGTCCAGATTCTTTGTGCGGGCGACAGTGCACGAACTCACTGCCAGCATTGCTGCAAGTCGTGGACTAGCCCAGAGTTATTTACACCAATGACCTTGGCCATCACGTTAATAAAGTGTCTGATACTGATTTTGAACTACCTTCAAACTGATTGTGGGAGCTTGACTATGAATGGGTCGATGAGCAAGTCAAAGACCGCATGGATTTCCCCACCATCAAGATCTTGCACTGTATTCGTTGTGGCTGAAGCGAAGGATCGAACCTAGTTTTGAATCTCCAAAATCATCGACGGAGGATGAAGTACTAAAAAGAAGTGCATGAATTGTACCAGGTGAAAATCCTCAAAGCCAGTACAAAGGAGCTTTCTAGACGACAAGACCGGCAAGCTGCAGGAGAAAAACTGTTTGTGGTCCGAGTCGCTGAGTTAAATGATCAGCGAATATCAAGAATTTGAAAACAGAAAATTGCTCTTCTATCCACACACGTTAGGCCGTCGAGGAAATTTTGTCTTTTGAGCTGGCATTAATCCTTCAGCGACGATGATGGTCCAGGCACGGAGTCTCAATGGAAGTGATGTTCACACCGACATCTGCGTTCTCGTGCCGTGCATTGATGCGCTAGTGGGGCCATGGAGATACACTGCTGAAGGAGGACATCTCGAAACCGTGTAGCCTGATAATATTTATAAGGAAAAGATGGCGTGTAAAAATCCGTGTTGGCCTGAGTGTGCAGACGATCACACCTAGAAATTATATATCGACCCTGCGCTCTCCTGCGAATCAGCTCGTAATGCAAACTCAAAAAATCCTGAGCTTCTGAAGAAACAGTTGGCTTATAAGAGCGCCTATAACTATCAGAACTGACCATGAGCAACGGACAAAGCCGTTCTCGCTGTACCTGGTACAATTACCAGGTGGCATACATGTAGAACTATCCCTAACGCCACCTCGCAGCGTCTGCATATCATTGTCGGACAGTTGCATCAAATGGCCAGATGAGGCATACCACATAACGTTGATAGCTGGCAAGCACCACTAGAAGGCTGTTTCGTGTACTATTTCAACGCGGAGAGCCAGGCCCCCCAAATGACGATGGCCTCGTGACGAAGCCGAATTCTTCTTCAGGGAAGCGAGAGCAGCCGTCTTCTTGTATTAGGGATGGTACACTTTTAGAGCAAGTTCGACGGGAAACTCGTCGCAAGCCAGGATGCTGAGAGTGTGCTGAGGGACGCTGAGGGTGTTGAAGGATGTTGACCAACACTGAGTTAGGCAATCGGGATTCCCACGGGGGTGGATGCGTCTCGATTCTCGACTCTGGTCGACTGTGAGGTCATCAACTCTTTTGAAATCTTCTGGCACGTTGCAAGGAGATCATGATCTATGAAGACATTTGTCACTGTCTTTTCTTGGGACGGACATCATTACAGTCCAGTCGGGAGGTTCGAGTTTGCGAGCTTCCTGCCGGTCCCCATTAGAGAGCTGATCGCAACTAATCCCCGTGCCTAACATTCCGTTCTAGCTGTCGTACACGTTCAAGACGACAAATGTTGAAGTCACACTGTCCATGCTAGACTGACGGCGAATGCCATAAGTTTAGCTTTCAAAGATGCCGTGATAGGTTTCCTTGCACCTTTGATCAGCCTTCAGCTCTCCGCGTGCTCTCCCTCCACAAACTTATTTTCATCGTGGAAGATACGACTGTGGTGAGTATGTTTTTGGAGGCCGTTCTCTGCTGTTTCAATAACCGGCATCGTAGTCACAGGACTTGGGGGGCGTGGTAGATATGGAGGGTGTCTCATTCCTCATCAGTGATGTGCAGCGACCAGTCCCCGCTTCGCAATCGGCACATGCAGCAGACGAGCTCACGCCAGAGCGGAACGACCAGAGGCCATTTCCTATCCTCGATCTGCCCGACACCGCCATCTCTGAAGTTTTCGCCTACCTTCCGACATTGAGCCGTCTGGCGCTTGCGTCCACCTGTCGTGCACTCCGCCAATGGAGCCCAAGCTGTTACAAGACCATTGCCATCTACTCACAGAGCCTCCGCGGACTATCCAACGCTCTCGAGAAGCTATGCTCCACGCTTGATGATGCATCCGTCTACTCAGCCTCTGTCAGAAGCTTTTTTCTGCGCGCCAGCTGGGCCTACGCGGAATCGCACCGGCCGTATTATGGACAATTCATGAAGAGAATCGACACCCGTCTCGGACGAATTCTGGGCCTCACCTTCAACCTGAGAAGCCTCGCCCTCGATTTCTCACCAACGGCGGCGTTCAATCCCCTCCCTTCCACGCTGAGGCAGATCCTCGCCATGCAGAGTGTGTATTACCTAGCCCTGTATGGCATCCGACTTCCATCGTATTCCGTAGCGAGAAATCTGCCTCTGCCCAGTTCCCTCACTTACCGCCCCGCCTTCCAGCGTATCACTTTGGAGGCGTCGTGTGGGAACTGGCTCTGCTATCTTGTCGACGATGCCCGCGCTATAGATTGGCTGTCGCTTCACATAATTCACAATAGGGAACTAGCCTACGTCATGGCTTTCCATCGCATTGCGTCTGGCGCCGTGAACCTGCGGGTCCTCCTCCTGACTGACTATTCCCGACAACTTGACCTCGAGCGTTTTGCAGAGTACCTGCGACTGGGCTTCGTACGTCATTGATTCATCCTCCTCCATCCCACAGGCCACGAGAGCGAACCCTGCTTGACACCCCTTTCATCTTGGTTTTTTTCGCAGCAATCGCACACGCTCGACAACCTGCGCGCAGTCTCCATCGCAACGATCGCGTCACCCGGCGCGACGCAAGGGCTCATCCAGAGCCTCTTCTACTCGAACGTCACACACCTCCGGCTCGTCGTCTACATGGGCGGGACGTGGATCCCCGAGTTCGGGCCACACGTGATCGCGGCGATCGCGTCGCACGTCCCGCGCCTGCAGGAGCTCGTCCTCGACCAGCTCGGGATGACCAAAGTCTGCGCGCTGCCGGGCAACCTGGTCCGCCGTCCTCTCTCTCGCCATCCCGCGCGTGGAAAGCGTTTGCCTGATGTTGATGTTCGTTTTCCGTGCCCGTGCGCGTCTGTCTAGAACGAGTGGGCGGCGGCGTTCCGCCGCATGGCGTACCTCCGCAGGCTCATCTTCCACAGCCTCTTCGTGCTCGACGTGAACGGGCCCTTTGTCGAGCCCGAGGGCGACTACGTGGACGACGCGTACATGGAAGAGGATCCAAACGACGACCTCGGCGCTGCGAACGCGTCCGCCATCTCCGACGGCGAGTACGACTACGACGAGTACGCGCACGACGACGACGACGACGACGACGACGCAGAGTCCACTCCCTCGACCGACTCCGACTCCGACATGCCCTCCGACGGCGCGAGCGCCCGCGCCTACTCGCCCGACAGCGCGCTGAGGTTCAACCTCATCATGCTCGCCGCGTGGGCCGAGACGTTCCTGGACGAGCACCTGCGCCTCTGCGCGCCGTTCGAGGAGCTCTGGTTCATCGGCGTGCGCGCGGACGGCCCCGCGGCGCAGCCGCGGGAGATGGCGGTCGGGTACCGTCAGATCGCGTACGAGGACGTGGATAGGCGGGGCGTCAGGAGCACGCGGTTCATGATCACCCCGGCGGGGGGCGGCTGGACGTGCTGGTGGAACGATAGGGGGAGGGAGGATCTCCAGGCGGCGTTTCACCGCTGACGCGTCCATGCGGCGGTGACACAACGGTTAGTTGACCGGCATGTGCAGCCCCGCTTCCGCTAAGACAGCTATCTCCGTTCTCGTTGCATTCGTTCTCATGCTCGCGCTCTGCTCTTCCCATTTCTGCGCTTTGCTTTTCGTTCGCTTTTGGATACGCTCTTGTACGGCATTCGGAACTTAGAACTCGAGGATACGCGGTGACCAATAATACACGCTGAGTTACTCTACGGCACCGGGCTTTGATTCTGCCTCCGAGGGCGACGGGACGCATGCTCCGTCTCGGCGTCGGGTGCACGTATCATACTCAGGTGTATCACAACCCGTTGGTACCGCAGCTTTGCCAGATACGTATTACGCATGGACACGCTCTGGCACGACATTCGGAACTTGGATCTCAAAAATACGTAGAAACCAATAATACACGATGAGTTACTCTACAGATACGATAATGCGCTCTATGGGCCGCTCATAGCGTCTAACAACAACAATCAAAAAAAGAATAAGGAAAAGACAGCGACGGCCGCGGAAGCTACGCCTCGACCTCCGACCACGCATCCCGCTCGCTCGTGTTGTCCACGTCGCTCTCGACCAGGACCGCGTCCTCAGGCTCTTCCGCGCTCAGCTCTCGCCGGGGAGGGAACGTGAACTGGGCGTGCGAGAGCGAGGACAGGTATTCTTCGGGCGCGTCCGAGGGCGCGGGGGGAGGCGACGCGCGGGCGCTGGGCGCTGGCGCGGGGGGCTCTGTGGTATCTGGCTGTGATTCTATCTCGGCTTCTGACGGCGAGGGCGAGGGCGAGGGCGAGGGCGAGAGCGGCGACGGGGGGCGGGATACTGAGGAGGCGGCGGTGGCGTGCCCGACGTCGGCGTCGGGGGTGAGTGGAGCGGAATCCGTTGACGTTGCTTGGACGGTTTCGAGAGAGGGCGCGAGCGCTGGGAGCTCTTCGTCCTGGGGCGCGGCCTCGGCTCCGGACGTGGTTGCTGAAGGCGGATCGACGGCGACGGCGACGGGGGCAGGGACAAGGACAAGGACGTCGGGCGGGACTGCAGATTCGGGGGTCGCCGGTGGGGATTCGGGTGTGGGCGCGCGCGCGGGCGTGGGAGCGGCGGCGACGAAGGGCTCGCCTGAGGCGTGCGGCAGGTTAGGTGGGGGGGCGTGCTGGACCGCGAGCGCCGCATCGGCAGAGACGGCTTCGGGGACCTCCAGATCGACGCGCGCGCGCTCGCCAGCGGCCGCGGCCACAGCGCGCTCCCCGACATCCACAGGCACCTGCGCGCTCCCCGCCCTCTCCGCCCTCTCCGCCCTCCTCTCCCCAACGATCCTATCAACCTCGTCCAGCGCGCGCTCGATGTCCCGCACGACGCCCCGCCGCCGCGCGCGCACCGCGGCGTCGCCGTCGCTCTCGACCGCGTCGAGCTGCGCGAGGAGCGCGCTCAGCGCGTGCTCGTAGGCGCGCACGGGCGCGTTCGTGGGCGTGTAGGCGAGCGGGTAGTCGTGTGATGCGCTGGTGGGGGCGGGAGTGGCGGGAGAGGTGGTGGGAGGGGCAGGAGGGGCGTCGAAGTCGAGGGTGCTGGGGAAGGTGAAGGCGTGTTGGAGGGCGCGGAAGGAGGACTCGATGGCGGTGACGGCGTCGAGGCCGGAGGTCGGAGTCGGTGCACGCGAGGCGGGGCTAGAGACGAGCGCGGGCGCGCCCTTCGTAGCGCGCGCGTCAGGGGGAAGCTTCACCTGCGAGCACAACGGCGACGTGAGGAGCCCGATCGGGTATAGCGAGCTCGGCCGGGCTTCACATACCTTCGACGACGAAGGCTCGCCGGCCGCGCGCGCGGAGCGTGGATCCTCGCCAAAGAGGCTGGCGATGAGGCTCCTGACCGTCTCCTCCATCTCTTCGTCTGCGGACCCGTGCCCGAGGCGCTCCTCGAGGCGCGATCTGAGCGACGGGTCTGGGTCTGGGCCCGGGGAGGTGTCGCGCGCCTTGCCTTTGCCTTTCGCGTCTTGTTTGGGCTGGGGGGTTGGGAGGGGATCAGAGGCGGTGGGCGGTTGAGTGGTTTCGGTGGGTGGGCGACGGTCCTGGTGGACGAGGGAGTGAGCGGACAGGTCAAAGTAGAGAAGAGGCGTGGGGCGTACTGCGGTGGGGGCTCGCTGCCTCTGATCGGCGGCGCGGAGGATGCGGAGGATGTCGTCTAGCCCAACCAAAGGCGGCTCCTCCAAGTCAGGGCGCACCGCCTCGCGCGCCCGTGGAGCAGCGAACGGATACCTCGCACGGCGCGGCGGTTCGACCCACGGTAGGTCTTCGCTGCCAAGGCCCCCACTCACGGTCGCGTCCCAGAGGAGCCGACGCCCGATGAGCTCGGCCCTCCGCCTTTCCGCGTCGGCGGCCTGCTGGCGCGCTGCGCGCTCGGCCTGGATCTGGAGGGCGCGCGCGATGAGGAGCTCGTCGTGGAGGGCGCGCTGCCTCTGCCTCTGCTCGCGCAGCGTGGCTTCTTCGCGGGCGTGGGAGAGGCTGGCGGCGTACTGGGCCTCTGCGGCGCGCATCTCTGCTTGTGCGCGGACGTAGCGCTCGCGCGAGCTCAGGACGGCAGCGTGGTCCTGGCGGCAGGTGCGCGGGGCCGGCGGGCCGTACGCGTGGAACGGATTGGAGAATGGAGGTGGGGACGGGGCGGGGTAGAGGAGATGGGGAGCGGACGGGGCGTAGAAGAGCATGGTGTCTGAGGAGATGTGGTTGGTTGTGGAGCCGGTTGGGGCGGTGATGTACGATGTGTCGGTGAAGAAGAAAGGTGAGTGAGGGGACGGCAGGGACGGAGAGAGGATTTATAGGGGCTGAGTCGAGCATGGCTGGGACGCGCGTCGCTGAGTGGGATCCGAGGAGAGGAGACGCGTCGCGTCTGTGAGGAACTCGACCACACGCGAATGCTCGCGAACACCGGCGAACGTGCTGCGAACACCCTCGTCGTCACGTGCACCCCCCCACCCTCAGGCTCAGCTCACTCACTCACTCACTTGCTGCCGGTCAGAATATGACTCGTCGAGGGATTGAAATTTGTGTGTCAGTGAGATATTATGCATGAATATGACATATCTGCGGTCGCCGGTCGACCCACTGATCGTCACGTGAGACGAGCACAGCATCCGAGTCTGCACGTATCGGCGCGAAGGCTCACTGCAACCCGTCCTCCGTTCCGTTCGCCATCCCCCTCGCCACCGCAATCCACACATTGCCGTCCCCACCATGAATGTTTTTGCCAGGGCCGCCCCCAAAAAAGGTGCGCTCGCCCATCATCTCGTCCGCAATCGTCCACCATCCGCTCACCCGTCCGCCATCCCACAGGCGAGAACTTCGAGCTCAGGGCTGACCTCAACAGCGAGTACCGCGACAAGCGCAAGGACGCCATCAAGCGGGTCATCGCCAACATGACCGTCGGAAAAGGTACGCCCCGCCCTCTCCTCCATCCCAAACGCTCCACCCAATCCCGCCCGCCCCACACAGATGTTAGCGGCCTCTTCCCCGACGTCCTCAAGAACATGCAGACAGACGACATCGAGCAGAAGAAGCTCGTATACCTCTACCTCATCAACTACGCAAAGACCCAGCCCGAGCTCGTCATCCTCGCCGTCAACACCTTCGTCAAGGACTCCGACGACCCCAACCCGCTCGTCCGCGCCCTCGCCATCCGCACCATGGGCTGCATCCGCGTCGAAAAGATCATCGACTACCTCTGCGACCCGCTGCAGAAGTGCCTGCGCGACGAGAACCCGTACGTGCGCAAGACCGCTGCGCTGTGCGTCGCCAAGCTGTATGATCTCAAGCCAGAGCTAGTCCTGGAAAACGGCTTCTTGGACCAGCTGCACGACATGGTCTCCGACAGCAACCCCATGGTGCGCCTCGCTCCACACACTTTCTCCCACTCCCACGTCCTGCCGTCCCGCGTTAAGGACGTGCATCCTCACATAGGTCGTCGCCAACACCGTCACCGCCCTCTCCGACATCCACATCGCAGCCTCATCGCAGCCCTCCACGTCCTCCTCCGACCCCGCCCTGTTCACCATCACCCCGACCATCCTCAACAAGCTGCTCATCGCGCTGAACGAGTGCTCCGAATGGGGCCGCGTCGCCATCCTCTCCGCGCTCGCGCGCTACGAGGCCAAGGACGAAAAGGAGAGCGAACACATATGCGAGCGCGTCGTGCCGCAGTTCCAGCACGTGAACGGCAGCGTCGTCCTCGGGGCCGTCAGGGTGCGTCGCGCGCGCCCGCGTTCTTTCTCTCTCCTCCCCCCCCCTCCTCCTCCCCCGCTCCCCAGCAGCCATCCCTCACACCGCGACGTGCGCACCCCCGATGCTAGGTGATCATGATCCACATGCGCGGCGTACGGCGCGAGGAGCTCACGAAGCAGCTGGTGCGCAAGATGGCGCCGCCACTAGTCACGCTGCTCTCCTCGCCGCCCGAGGTGCAATGGGTCGCGCTGCGCAACATCAACCTGCTGCTCCAGAAGCGGTCCGACATCCTGTCGAACGAGATGCGCGTCTTCTTCTGCAAGTACAACGACCCGCTCTACGTCAAGGTCGAAAAGCTGGACATCATGGTCCGCCTCGCGAACGACCACAACGTCGACGCCTTGCTCAGCGAGCTGAAGGAGTACGTCGTCCCCCCGTCGTCCCGCCCTCGTGGCCGTCCGGCCCTGCTCACGCGACGACGACAGGTATGCGTCCGAAGTCGATGTCGACTTCGTGCGGCGGAGCATCAAGGCCATCGGCCAAGCCGCCATCAAAATCGACGCGGCTGCCGAGCGGTGCGTCAACGTCCTCCTGGACCTCATCGCCACACGGGTGAGCTACGTCGTGCAAGAAGCCGTGGTGGTCATGAAGGTCTGCTCGGTCCCGGCTCTCCTCTCCCGCTTTCTCATAGCGCTCTCTCGGCTAGGATATCTTCCGGAGATACCCATCCACGTACGAGGGCGTCATCCCCACGCTCTGTGCCAATCTCGAAGAGCTGGACGAGCCCGAGGCCAAAGCATCCTTGATTTGGATCATCGGCGAGTACGCCAACAAGATCGATAACGCAGACGAGCTGCTCGGCATCTTCGTCGATACCTTCACAGAAGAGTCCTATCCGGTGCGCACACCACCCTGACTCCTATCCCCGGAACCACGAACGCGATAACGGGCGCGGCTGACCGCATCATGCGACCTCGCCGCTTACGTTGTAGGTGCAACTGCAGACGCTCACGGCGGTGGTGAAGCTGTTCCTGTACAAGCCGGACACGTCGCAAGCGATCGTCCAGCGCGTGCTCAACACCGCGACGAAAGACTGCGACTCTCCCGACGTGCGGGATCGGGCTTACATCTACTGGCGCCTGCTGTCGTCAGACCCGGGCGCGGCAAAGGTGCGCTGCTCCCGTGCCGGGCCTTGCTCTATCCCTTTCCTGTTTGCTTGTTATTGACGCAGCGCGCATTTGGCAGTCTGTCGTGCTGGCGCACCGGCCGCCAATATCGCTCCCGCGCACGACCGTGGCGCCGGCGCTGCTGAACGAGCTCCTCGGGGAGATCTCGAACCTCGCGAGCGTCTACCACAAGCCCGCGGAGACGTTCATCGGGCAGGGGCGCGTCGGCGCGGACTCGATGCAACGCAAAGGCACAGAGTACGTATCCGCCTCCTCCGATCGGCGATCGGCCCGCCTTCCTGCCACGAACCCCAAACTCTGTGCTGACGACGTGCCTGTCCGTGTTTTTTCCACGTCCTTCGCAGCCCCGCCGACGAGCGCCTCGCGACGCAAAAGGCGCTGCAGACGGTCGCGCTCGGGCAGCAGGCGGAGAACCTGCTCGACTTTGACGACGAGCCGGCGGCGCACGGCCCGCCGACGGGGCTCGCGGCGACGCAGGTGTTCCAGCAGACGCCGGCGGCGGCGAGCCTGCTCGCGGGGACGTCGAGCAACCCGCTCGACGACCTCGTCTCGATATTCGGGAGCGCGGGCATCGGGGGCGCGCCGCCGCCGCCGCCGCCCCAGGCGTCCCAAGCGCAGGGGCAGGCGAACGGCGCGCATATGAACGCGTTTGGGGGCCTCGGGATGATGGGGCTGGCGGAGCTCGGGTCGCCGCCGCCGATCTCGCCGACGGCGGCGCCGTCGCAGAACAGCGTCGTGTCGCCGGTGTCGACGCAGAATCCGCAGGAGGACTTGTTGGGCCTGTTTTAGGCCCCCACGACCTACGGGGGGGAGACTCGGTGGTGGTGGCGAAGCGGCTTGTGGGGCGGGGCGTTGTTGTTGTGTATCGTGTTTGGATTCTTTTTTTTTTTCGTTCGCTCATCGATGTCTCTTTTTGCGTGGAATTGCAGCTGATTTTACCTGGCGGGGGCTGCAGCTGGTGCTGGGCTAGGCGAGTTTCGAAGCGACAGCGCTGCGGTGACGTCAGCGGCGGGTCACGTGTGAAGCCCGAGGTGAGCGCGTTCCGTGGCCCCGTGGCTGCGAGAGCGCGAATCCGCCATGCACGATGAGCACGGGCCCACCTCCATTGCATATCGCCCAGAGACGGTTTGCATTTCATCCATCTCCGTGTGCAGGGTGACCGGTGACTGGCAGGGGAACGCTCGCGCCGCCTGTGATGCAGAAGCGAGGACGAAGTGCACCGGTCGGACCTGTGACGGACTGATCTGGAAGGCGACGGTGTGCCCTGCGAAGCTCGCCCCAGAAGAGGCCAGTCACCGATCCGTCCGAGTCTCCCGTTCTGTTGCCTGCCCTGCTGTCATCCGCCTCTCCCTCGGCCCCGTCGCGCGCGCGTCCCACAATAAATAGCCCGCGCACCATCCCGTCCCCGTCCCCGTCTCGCTCCCTCCTCCATCCGCCCCATCTCGACCTATCAATGCGCGTGCTTCTCTGCCTCGCAGCCTGCGTCGCATTGGGCAGGCCTGTGGCTGCCCAGTATTCCATTTGGGACATCGTGCGTGCTCGCTTGCCCTCTGTCGTCATCGGGGGCGCTTCTCATCCAGGCCGTCATCTCTCGAGTGCAGTGGCAGACCACCTGGGACAGATCAAAGCTCTACACCTCGCTCAAGCCGTCGTCCCCCATCAACTTTGGCTCCCCAGGCGCCATCGGCCCCGCAGACATCGACGTCGACGACACACAGACATACCAGTCGGTTTGGGGCTTCGGCGGCTCACTGAGTGAGCACAGAAGCAGCAGCCCCCTCGACGTTCGCGTCCCTGAGCTGACCCGCGTCCCGCAGCCGACTCTTCCGCGCTGATCCTGAACAACCTCAAAGTATGCGCCTCCCGCTCTCGCTCCTGATCCCCTGAGCTAGACGCCCCTTGCTGACTCGCCCGCCCGGCCCCCGCGCCGCCGCACCCCGCAGAACACCAACTCGAGCAGCTACGCTGCCCTGCTCAGGACGCTCTTCGACCGTGGGTGCTCGCTTCTGCTCGTGTCCGCCCCCCTCTTGGCGTGGTACTCACGCGCGCTGCCAACCCCGCCAGCGACGGACGGCGCACAGGCCGCTGGCCTCACCTTCGTGCGAATCCCCCTCGGCGCTTCTGACTTCTCTGCAAGTGGCGAGTGTTCTTTACATGCTTGTCCCTCTGCTTCCCTTCCGCGCCCTTCTGATCCTCATGCGGATCGCTTCTCGTGTGCCTCGATACCGAATATGAATAGACTACAGCTACGACGACACCAGCGGGGACACCGCCTTGTCCAACTTCAACATCAGCAAGGCTCCGTCGTATGTCTGGTCCGTGCTCAGTGACATCAAGGCCATCAATCCGTACCTGCGAATCATCATCACGCCGTGGTCTCCCGTCAGTCGCTGTCGTTTCTCCATGTGCCCACGTCGTGCTGAAGGGCCGTGTCTTAGCCGGGATGGATGAAGAGCTCGGGAACAATGAACGGAGGCTCGTTCACGTCGAGCATGATCAACCCCTGTCAGCGATACTCACCCTTTGGGGATGGCGTGTGCTGACGAACACGTTTTGACTCTCAGACGCGAATTACCTCTTGAAGTGTGTCCAGGGGTTCAAGAACAAGGGCTTTACTGTATACGGCATCTCTATCCAGGTTCGTTTCCCATAGCATACAGTCACCGCACTGCGTTGGCTGTCTGACGGATATTCGGCTGCGACAGAACGAGCCAGAAAACAGCAACGACAGCTATCCCACATGCCTGACCTCGGCGAGCCAAGAGGCGCAGATCGGCACCGCCCTGCGCAGCCTGTTGAACAAGAGCGGGTTCTCGTCGGTCAAGATCATAGCCTACGACCACAACTGGGACGACGCGGGCGGGTATCCGATACAAGTCGTGCGTTCCTATGCGTTTTTATTTTCTTTTATTACTCGGACGGGAGCGGTGGACGTCTGACGATGATGAGGCAGATGCAACAAGCGCCGAATGCGTTCGCGGGGGCTGCGTTCCACTGCTACGCGGGGACGGTCGACCAGCAGGATACGTTCCATGCCGCGTATCCGCAGAAGGAGATATACTTTACCGAGTGCGCGAGTGAGTTTGGCTCTGACTGGTGGAGCAACATCAAGGTGCGCGTGCATACGCCCACTCGGCATCATTCCGTCGATATAGCATGACTGATCGCGGACACCGCTCGTGTGTCAGTGGTTCATGGACAACTTGTAAGTCGCACCTCACCTCCCTTGCTCGGTCTCCCGTCGTGAATGTCTTGAAACCCGACAGGTGGATCGGCGCTATCGAGCACAACTCGCACTCCGGCCTGATGTGGAACATAGCGCTGGACGGAAGCGGAAACCCAAAGCTCCCCGGGACGAACTCCTGCGGCGGTCCGGGCTGCCGTGCCATCGCCACGGTCAACAGCGACGGCACCTACAGCCTCAACGAGGAATGTGCGCCCGCAATATATCCTTATCCCCCGCCTGCCTTTCCTCATGACAGAATTTGATTTGCGTGTGCAGACTACAGCATGGCCCAGGCGTCGCGCGCGATCCTTCCGCGCGACATCAACGGGCCGTGGGGGAAGCGGATCGGCGTCGCTGTTGGCGGCGACTTGAATTGGGCGCTGCGCGTCGGCGCGTACGTGACCGGAAGGGCCTCGTCGTCGGACTGGTTGCGGTATAGCCTCGTCGTGATGAACTGGTGCGGAGCACGCCCGCTTTCAAATACGATTGATTGACGGCGTTCTGACCTCCCCGCTCTCGCGCCGCCAGGGATGACAGCGCGAGCACGACGTGGAACCCTCAGCCCGTGCAGGCGACGATCGAGTTCCGGGGCACCCAGGTGAGCTCATCTCACCGCGCAGCCTCGGACGTCCGCCCCCCCTCCCCCCCTTCCCTTCCACCCAGAGCTGACTGTCGGCCTGCCGCGGTTTTTTTTTTTTTTTTGTTGGTGCAGGCCACCTACACGTTTCCTGTCGGCGTGACCACGCTCTGGTGGTACGCGCCGGCGACGTCGTTCGCGGGGAACGCCACCGGGGCGCAGGTGTCCGATTTTGACGGGATGATCTACGCGGACGGCGCGCAGCAGCCCATGGTTGCGTTCACATGACCGCGCGGCGCGCCACGCCGGCTCAGGCTCAGGCTCAGTTCTCGTTCTCGTTCTCGTTCTCGTTCTCGTTTCCTATCGTTTTCTACCGTCCTCGCGTCCGTGCGTCCGTGCGTCCGTACACGCCCCGCTCGACTCTGTGCTCTGCCTATATTCGCCGATATTATGTTGTATATTGCTTCTGTGCCCGGCGCCCGTTCTGTGTAATCACTGTTCCCGCGATGACCCCTCTTACGACGCGCGCGTTTGTGTGTGTTTTTTTTTTAATATTGTTATGGATCTGGACGTTTTAATTTGAGCTGACGGTGGAATTTTCACGCGCGGGTGGGCGTGCGGCGTGCGGCGTGCGCTAGCCCGTGTCGGTGTATTGAGGTGAGATTAAAATCTTGTGAAGTCGGCACGACGGGTGCATGGACGTTGTAGATACAGGAGACGTGCGCGTATGGAGATAACTGGCCAACTGCTTGCCGCGACATCGCCTGCGACCCCACTCGGTTAGCCTGACGGTCGGCCATGTCGGGCACCCGAACGGTGCGTGTGTTCTGAACGCGACACGACGCTGCCTGCGCTGCGCTATCGATGTGTTTCCCGGCTGAGGTAGCCATCGATCGCTTGCTGTAGCGTCTTCCATTGTACACAGCTTGCCGGACGGTCTTGCGCTGCTCCTGGTATGAACCGACGACGGCCACTCAGTTCTGTTTTCGTTTCTCGCGATCCATCCCGCGAGAGGCTCAGAGGCCTGGTGAGTCAGTGGGAGCCTCGGCCTGGCAGGAGCACCCCTTTCTTGAGAGGGCGCGTGTGTGTCCCTGCTGTCCTGCCGTTCTGGTCGCCCTCTCTTCCGACGAGGGTCGCTCGCAAAACCTCCGGCGACTCAAAGCAGGCAGCGTCGCCCCGGGCCGCCGCATAACTGCATCTGGCCCGGCGCTCGCGTCCCTGCTGGAGAACTGAACTGGGGGAGAGCGTCAGGCTCCGACGCCTATCTCCCGAACGCCGGTGAGCCTGGGTGAGGCGACGGAACTCGAGCAGACGGATTCGTCCCTTGCTCTGCGGCTGTCTTTTTGCTTGGTTTTGGTTCGTCGCAGGCTAGGCGAGATGCGATGCGGCACGACATCGCCATCGGCCTCCTGCATGTTCGGACTCTCGCGTCGTCCTGCAGAGACGCCTCGGAGGCTCTCCCACCTTGCAGGCGCATGACCTCACCAACGACGGCGTCAACTGCCACCGTCGGTCCAGACCGTGCTTGTGCTTGTCTCTTCCTGATCTCTCCGTGCGTCTGTCTAAATGCGTGGCAAGCACGAACGACGGCGCATACACGTAGGAGCAGCCAGTCTGCGACCTCGGGCACCGAACCCGTGAGAGACGTCGCGTCCCCGCCGCTCGTTCGCGTCCACACAGAAACCTTACAGCTTCGCGTGGGTAGCGAGCCTGCAGCGCGCTATGACCCGATGACCTCGTTGATGTCAAGTTCACAGGCCCCGGCCGGCTGGTAGTCGACCGGGGACTTCCAGTACCCAGAGAGCCTACTTTTATTCAGGGCTCCGTCCGACAAAAGGGATGAATATAAAAGCTACGCCGATGTTCTTCCTTCGTTAAACGGTCTCGCCATGGTGTATGAGTACAGCGGTGGGCTGGTCGTGCCGTCTGGAGGCAGGCGTTAGCGGGTGCAGAGACGGAATGCGCGGTAGAGATACGTGCATGATGACTTCTCGTTCGGTTTTCGTCGCGATCGCGATTTCTCGTCATTTGGGATCGCAGAAAGGTTTTGACCCCGTTGGACCACCTCCACAATCCGTTGACTGCGACCACGTCGGTCAGCCGTCTCGGTTTGTGCCATCGGGAAGGGATCACACACGTCATTGCCCGCGTCCTTGTCGCCATTCGAGCCTCCCGAATGCCCGCTTCCAGTACCGCCGTAATCGCCTGCACTGCCGGCGCCGTCGCCGCTTGAGCTATCGATGGGTAGCGCGAACGTCGGAGAGAAGAGCACGGGCATTGTTAAGGAAATGACAACGGCACATAACCACAGACGCATAGTGATTGCTAGACAGGGGCCTCTGGAGTCAGGATCCTCGGTCGCAGAGACGGCGGACGTTTCCTGTATTTAAGCCTTTTCAAAAGATGCCCGCAGGGCGTTCTTCTCTCGCACAGCCCAGGGTTGGCCTTGAATCCCAGGCGGTCCCGACTGCGAGCCTGGCATGTCGGTCGCCTTGCATAGACATATAGGCCTTGTGTGAGCGAGCCGAACCCTGTGACCCGGAACCGCAAATCAAGCGTCAGACACGGATGGGAAGCTCCCCATCACAGACGACCGATCAGCGATTCGTAAGGTTTGACTCTGCGGAGGCACTTGTGCGCGGGCGTGTGCTTGAATCTTGTTTTCCCCAATACAGTCGTAGACTTATTTATGATCAGCAGCAATCAGCAGACAGTGGATGAGACAAGCCACATCTACTGCCGTTCCCTGACGAAGGACCCGTGTGCTGTTCATTTTGCATACGCCGGATCCGTCAGCAGAACCAAGGGGCGAGAGTGGAGGCTTTATGACGAGGCGTGCGCATGGGAAAAGCACGGTGAATTGTAGGCGGTTGGAGGTCTAGTAGCCATCCAACCGCGATCAAATGGTAATGCCACGTTGTCAGGTGCTGATGAACCTGGACAATGTTTCAATCGAATAAGAGCGATGCGTGCAATACTATGCAAAGCACCGGTCTCGCTCTCGGATAGGAAGGTCCTTATTGAACTAAGCACGAGGTATCTCAATAAACGATACTCTTGAGACGACGGCATGGGAGGATCAGTCACTCTGAAGAAAAGTTGTCGTCAGCATACATGGACATCTCGGCCTAGTTGAGCAAAAGCAAGTTTTCCAGGAAGACTCACAGTTCTTGAGCCATGTCGTACCGCTCACGCAGGCTTACACTGTCCTGTCAATTTTCAGGTTTCTGCATCGTGTACCTCACCAAACCTCCATTTGGCTGCCAACCATACCTGTCGCCATATAGGACAGAAAACAAGTACACCCACAGAAGGACGGGACACATTCGGTAAGACGGTTCAATCGTTGAATATATTTGGCCTAGACTCCTTGTGCGCGGATACATCTCTGAGCTGTCATGCGTTGATATCTGCGATAATGTACAACAACTGGATGCGCATGCATGTACATATTCCAACATTAGCGACCGAAGGCAAAATCCACGCACCCAGCGCTTCGCTCAATCGATCGACTTGCTCTTGTACAACAATACATATGCGCTCGCGTCCTCGCCTCCGCCGCAAAGTGTCTGGATCTTCTCTGAAGGGAACACGGTCACCTTCTCGTCATCAAACTTGTACCAGTCTTCGTCATCTTCTTCCAAGCCTGCGGGAGCGATGGACGAAGAGTCAAGAGCAGGAGCGGATTGCGGCCCCACGGGGTGGAAGACAGATCGCTTGACGAAACCGATGTAATGTCCACCGTCAGCGTCAGGGCCCTTGTGCGTAATAATCGCTACCAAAAAACACCGTTACCGTCAAGTTATGTTGCATCTGAACTTTCCCAACAACACTCACCAACAAGGTCATACAGCCCTGTTTGACTAGCTCCGATATCTTGCTTCACGTCAGCATCGACGAGTTCAGCCAGTTCAGCCTTCTCCTTTGCTCTGTACACTTCCTCGGGCTGTAGCTCCCCTGCTTCTTCAAGTGCCACTGGGGGAGCTTCAGCCATGTCAACATCACCCTCTCTATCGGTTGGAACCACCGCCTTCGCCGCTTTTGTGCGTTTGCGCACTTTGCGTCGCTCGGCTCTATTTTTCTCAATCAACTTCAGTTTACTGCTGACGGGCGACAGCTTGGCACGCAATCCATCTGTCGTCAGGTCCAGCGCATCGAACTCGATGGGAAACTTGACTTGGCGCTGAAGGGCGTTGCTTTATCTCTAGCCTAAAATCATGTAATGAAGGAATATTTCGCGCACCATGATTTTGGCCTTCTTGTTGATATCACGCCGCCATGCAAATCGGACCATATGCACTGTGAGATATGTAGGCAGCCGTTCGAGTCGCATACGTTGCGAGTAAATTGCAGGTCGTCCCAATGAAGGTGAGATTTTCTCGATCTTCTCGTCCAAAGCCTGTTGGAAAACAAAAGTTTGATATGCATTGAAATACGAAAGGGCTAGTATAGTGCACGTACAGCCAAGATGCCAGGTTGCATGAAATTTGTCTTGATGGAAATATTGCAATCAACCTTGAGGACCTTCTGGGTCGAAACATCGACGGGCTCTTCGGGAGCTTCGTCACATTTGAGTCTGAGTGTCGGAGCTTAGCTTTATGATTGCTTGACGCGCTTTTGATGAGATACGTACTCGCGACGCATGACCGCAGTCATATACTGGCCGACAAAAGTCACATGGGAGGCAGAGCCAGACGGGCCTGGCAGACCTGGAAGAACTTGGAGGTTGTTCGTGATCTGAGACCAGCACTCCTCCGCGTCTGCGTTTGCGCGAATTAAAAATATCAAGGAGGTGTTTCACGTCAAATACAATGTATGGAACATACCCTGCTGTGCGTATCCTCCACCAAAAAGGGTGGCTGACTCGGACCTGCTCATCTCTGCGAACTGGGGGACGGCCCGACGAAGATCCTGAAGGAACGCCTGTGGGTTTATGCCTTCTGTTGTCTTTGACATCGAGTCATAAAGGTCGCGTAGAGAGCGTGCGAGTGGCAAGGTCGGTTGCGAGCTTGAAGATTGATAAGTATTAGGCTGAGTGGGGTACAGGACGGGACGAACGAGGCAAGGACAGTCTGTAGCTCAGGAATGGCGCGCATTGCTTGGACTGTGGCATTCATGTAACAAGTGTTGCCAAGGCTAAATAACGATCAGTATGCATATTGAAAGAAGAAGAGGGCACCTGACTTTTTAAGACCGACAGGGTATGCCAACTGTTAGATATAGAGTTGGGTGAAGCGTTGGGCAGTAAAAGAAAGCTGGTCGTACCGCTCTCGCGAGCTCTGTGTCATCAAGATCCTCAAGGAAGATCACTGGGTTGGATGGGGCCTTCGGAAGTTCTCCTGCAGCACCGATCACCATGAAGGTCTGGCCCTACAAAGCGGGGTTAATTGTCTGAGGAAGAGAACACGTCGAAAAGGTATTTGATCATACTTCTTTAGGGGCAATCTTTGCCCAATTCGCATCATCCTGAGTTTCCAATGAGATGTCCGTCCAGATATGCATTCGAGGTTTGAGTGAATTAGATTACCTTTAGAATACCGCCCTTGACCATGACTTTCATGCGATCAATAGGAACACCCGTCTTCTGGTAAATATCCTCCTTGAACGCTATTGGGGGTCGATCGGTGTCGACGGTGATGTTATGAGTTTTCCCTGCATGCTTGATGTGGACAGTGACGGGAGCCATGTCTGAGATGATGTAGACAGAGAGAAAGGTGCAGCTGGACCTGGTCGAAATAAGAAAGACGCGTAAGCGTGACGCGTCGTGAGCGTGAGTCAGCAGACTGAGGTCGGGGTCGAACACGGTCGAACAGACCTGTGACGTCACAGCCGAGAGACTCCGGAACACGTATCTCAACCCAGCAACACGCACGTCAAACACCAACAACGTTCATCACCTTCGAGATACTGCCCGCAAGCACCCCGTCTTTCCAGCATGACGATATAGTATGTCCCACAATTCTCTCGAGAGACTGGCACGCTGAATGCTTTGATTCGGTGCAGCTACTCGCTCACCTTCATACTGCTCGCAGCAGAAATGGTCACGTTCTGCGTCTTCGTTGCGCCTCTCCCCTACCAGATCCGCAGACGGCTCTTCCGCTTTCTTTCAGAGAGCCCCATCGTCGCCAAAATTGCATACGCGCTCAAGATATCTTTCATGTGTGTGGGGAACTTCTATATACCAACCCGCGTGGCTCACTCGTGACACGCGTTTTCCTCGCAGATTTATCACCATATTGTTTGTAGATGCGGTCCAACGCATGTTCAGGGTGACGGCCGAAGTCGAGCTTGCGAAAGCAGGAGGCCAGGGCGCGCAAGATGTTCGCACCGAGACTAACTTCGCTGCGAGGAAATTCTAGTGAGTCTCTTACTCTCCTATTTGCTTTCAACAGGCTTATTCATTTCCGTTTAGCGCGCAGCGCAATACCTATCTCACCGGATTTTGTCTTTTCCTCTCCCTTGTCCTCACCCGCACGTTCTACATTCTTCAAGAACTCATCCACTCACAAGAGGAGTATGCCAAGCTGAAGAAGGCTGTGCGTCTTTACATCAGTTTACCTCGAAGTTCGGTAGCCTGAATCTCATGAATCCATCACAGACCTCGGAGCAGTCAAAGGGGGCCCTGCAAGACCAGACGAAGCAGGTTGAGGACCTCAAGAAGCAGCTGGCCGAAGCCCAGAAGAGCGAGCGCGATTTCGGTGTGTCTCCATTGAAACACAGCCTTGTCTCTTTAGCGGCCGTTGTCTGACTCGAACTCATTTGAATAGCAACGTTGAAGAAGCAGGCTTCGCAGCAGGCGGCCGAGTACGATCGCTTGGCGGAGCAGTACAACAAAGAGACCGGGAAGGTATCGAACAAGCGTGTCGATTGAATACATTGCTCTGTCCGTCTAGCTAATGTCCCGAATTATGAATGAAGATGGGAAATTTGTGTTTGTTCATCAAGTGGTGTATCTCATTGTTCTCTAGTCACTACATTAGTCTTTGCATACATTTGCCTAGCAAGTCGCACTAACCACGACGGAGTTTTATGTGGCAGCATACTTCATCCAGTGAGTGAAGTTTTGGGCCAATGAATACGTTGGGATGATGCGCATGCATGGCCATTGACCGAACACGATCCAGACTCATAATACAAACAACTGGATACAAATACATCGCCAGTCCTTGCGGCGCCTATCATAGATCACAGGTCGCGCTGAACGGCGCTCTTCCCCTCCGTGGCGCGAAGCTCCCCCCGTTCTTGCATCACAGGCTTCCTAGAAATCTTTCCCATCGTCTGCGCAACAATAAGCCATCGCGATCATCAGAGCCGGCGTGAGACGCCCGGACTTGCCTGCTCGGTCTTCCCAATCACCTTGTCTGCGAAGCCTGGCTTGCCAATCTGGACGTCCTCGCGGTCAAGATCACCTACACAACAATCATCATAAGTTAATGCCATATCAGCTCCGGACGGCCGAGCGCCAGAAACCAAATGACGAGACACGCACTCTGCGCAGAGCCGGCGCCCGTCGGACGCTCGATCCAGTGGCCCGCCGTGCCTCGAGCTTGATTGTCCGGGTGCGGCTCCCGGCTGTAGCCCGCGAGTCCGCGCCTGCCGAGCCCCAGTTCGTCGCCTGCATCGCGCCGGTGCGAGTCGTAGCCCGAGCCAGAGCGCAGCTGGGGCTGGGCGAAGTCGGCGTCCGACGACGGCGCGGAGCGGTCGAATTCGGAGGCGCCGCTTGGCCGGCCGGTGTCGCCGACACGGTCAGGGTCGCGCTCCGTGCCAGACATAGAGGTGTCGAATTCGTGTGGGGGAGTGCGTTGGTATTGGGACATAGTTCAATATAGGAGGCGGGTTGGGATGTGTTTCAGAACGAGTGTTCATGACTTGGATTGGGTATTGAAGCGATGGGCGTTTTGGAGAGCTGGGGATGCAGCTTTATGCTGTCGCAAGTGATCGAGAGCACCACTGACTCCAACATTGTATGCGAACATATGACGTTCTTAGGAGAGAAAAGGCATCATGAAAGCAGTGCGAGAGGCGCATTGGAGTTTGGTCTTGGAGCAGGACATCATCGTGATGCAAGGTGTGCGGGTGAGCATGAATCTCAAAAAAGGTAGCATTCGTTGCTAGTTTCGAAGAGTCTGAACGAGGTCATTGGAAGGAAGCGACCATTGCCCAATGGATCGCACTGTGTCCAACGACGGATCCTGTATGACGACATGACAGCAGCAAGTTTAGAGCTTGCAAGTTTCCGCAATTGATGGTGTCTAGTAAAGATCGTCAGTGCACCGAAGACAAACACGACCGGAGCATAAGGGCACGATATACTCATGAGAACCGAATCAAAAGTGGTATGCATGCCTGGTGTTACAGCAAGAAGGCCTCGGAAGAACCTTTTAGCAAATTCATTATTGTGCCAGTGGCGAACTCGTGGGGAACAACACAAACTCGAGAAGAAAATAAAGTACACAAAAGGATACACGGAACACCCCGCACTAGATTCGTGGAGCTGAAGCGGTAAAAAAACAAAGACAAAGGAAGGTTAGCACACCATGAGGACGAACGGGTGGCGGACCGCACGCACGTCATGCAGGCGGCTGCTCGAGCTTCTTCTGCTGCTGCAGCTTGTTCACGGTCAAGCTCTTGTGAATAAACGGCAGCACGCCGCCGCCTGCGATCGTCGCCCGGACGAGCATGTCGAGCTCCTCGTCTCCGCGGATAGCGAGCTGCAAATGCCGAGGAGTGATGCGCTTCACGCGCAGGTCCTTCGATGCGTTGCCTGTACCACGCGGCCGGGGTACAACGTCATCGTTAAGAAAGGAGGGAAGGGGGAAGCGCGCGACGCACCGGCGAGCTCGAGGACCTCCGCCGTGAGGTACTCCAGGATCGCAGAAGTGTACACCGCGGCTTTTGCCCCAATCCGCACGTTGTTCTGCGTTCGCTGCTTCAGATACCGGTGTATACGGCCCACTGGGAACTGTCGTCGTCGCAAAGGTATCATACGGGTCAGCGGCGGTTTACTTGAGGCGGCGATGAGCGGCGAGACGCACCTGCAGTCCGGCTTTCGCGCTTCTTGTCTGGAAAGCTTTTGGGCCTGCTTGTGAGGGGGCGGCCTCGGCCTCGCCTGCTTTCGACTTTCCTCCTTTGGGGGCCATCGCGATGCTGGAGGTGTGACCAAGGACGATGAATAGGGGCGGTGGATGGGGATACACCAGCCAATTCGCACCTCACAAGAACTGCTATATAAAATCAAAACGTAACTCGCTGAGGAGTTATAGACGCCTGGCGGAAGGGCACGCGGTCGGAAACGGCGAAGAGGAAAGCAGGTGGACGCGAGGAAGAGTCAGGAGAACGGCGACGAAACGCGAAAGTGGCTAAGAGAGAGCGTGGGAAACGATAAACGAGTCCACGTGAAGTCGCGTGCCTCACACTTCACGCGTTCTTGGAAGCTGAGGCTGTATTCTGCAGAGCCGATGCAATGCGACGAAGGTGGAATGAAGAAAGAGTTTTGATTCACCGGACCGTAGCTACATCAGAGGGCGTGTCAAATTAAGATACAACTCGTGGATACCTCCTCAGAGACACAAAAACAAGGATATGAACGAAAGCGTCCGGCAGTTCCGACGACGAGCATGAGAGAGCGTCGGGAGTGGGTCACGATGCGGCTGAGGCGATTCCGTTGGACCTTGGTGGCGATGACATCTCCTCGTCATCATCAAGATCGTTCGCGGATGGGACAGCGGCAGAGTTTGCAGCGCCGGCTGCCGTCTGTACCGGCTGTTGCGGTGAAACATCCCTTTGAAAGGCCGACCAAGGGATTTATGAGCATGTTTCATCACCGCTTGGAGAATGGAAGAAGAGACGGACCATTTGATCTGGAAGCGAGTGACTCTTGGCTTTGTGCTGATATCTCTGACGAGGCGTTCGAACGAGATCTGGGCGGGTGGGGTGGCTTTCATTTCCTCGTTGTCGTACTCCGTGTTTTGATAGTACCCCACGCGGACGAATTCTTGGTCTCTGTACGAGCCGGTCAGGATGAGGGCGGCGACGCCAAGGACGTCTTCTGATGGGATTTTGGAGGGCGAGGGCGGTGAGCCCTCGAACTCGAAGGAGTTGACGCCTATTGGGACAGGACCGACGAGGCAGTCATCGAGCTCCTGGTCGAGTTCTTCATTCCCGGGGCACGAGACGTAGATGAGGCGCCATTCGAGGTCTGGTGCACATGGCGTGAGGCGGTGTGGGGCTCGATACGGTAATGAGCGCGCGCACCATCTTTCAAGGCCGCGATGCATTCGAATGTGACGCGAAAGTGATAAGGATCCAAGAAGCGCGCGGGGTTGTTGAGGAACTCGACGTTCTGGAAGGCGGGCGAGGTGAGCGGCGCGCAGATGACGGGAGACACGGACGTACGCGGATAGTGACGATGGACATCGGATGCGAGGGAGGTGGGCGTGGACGGTGGAAGGAGCGATGGGCGAGGCGAGGCGGTGGTGCGGTGCAGTCAGTGAATGGGCGGCGCGGTGTCGCAGAGGCGCGTCGTGTCACGGGGAATCACGCGTGACGGGCCGGGGAGTGACCCGAGTCGGCCAGAGTCACATTGCTGTCACGCAGACTTTGAGGTCGCCCGGATTTCCCCAGAACGTCGTTGCAAGTTATATTCGCCCGGTCCCGAGTGGTCCTCGGAACGTCCCTCAAGCCAGCATCCTCTCTTGCCTCCACCTCTCCTCCTTCACCGACGACACCACGATAGCGACGACTCATTCGGCTCCTCTTCTGCTCTGTACTCCCTGGGCCCATCTCTGCGTCTATGTTCTATTAGATCTCTTCATCTTCATCCCTTGCTCTTCCCCGTCCTCGCTCTCTCGCTCTCCTTGATACCCAGCACTCCATTTATTCTTCTATCATGTCCTCTCCCACTCCCACCATCGTCAGTCCAGACGACGAAGACACGTCCCACATCGCCACCCCCATCGTCGCAGACCACACCCCAATGGCCATGCGCCCATCGTCTGTCACCGTCGCCCCCTCTGCTTCTTCTTCTAGTCACTCTACGGCCGATTCTTCCCCGACCCTCTTGTCCCCCGTTTCACAAGAGCCCACCGTCAACCACATCCGCCTTCCAATACCCACTCCATCCACAAACCGCTCTCAGTCCTCCTTCGCTTTCGCGGACGTGGCCGACGACGGAGGGGGCGACTTCGATGATCTGCCTCCCGAGGTAGCGTCAGCCGACATTTCGATGGCACGTGAGTACCCATCTTTGTTCTCTGTCCTTTAAGGCGCTTTCGCGTCTGTATTTATCCTTCCCTGCTCCGCCGCTCGCGCGCATCTGAACGCCTCGTGCCGTTCTTTATCATTTCCACCCCGCGTTCCCTGCCGTTTCATCTTCTGCCCCCCATCCCGTCTACCTATTTTACGCGATCGCGTGAAAGAGCAGATGGGACATACTACACCAGTAGCCCAGCAAAACATTGCCAGGTATCTCGTTCTGTAGCGGAACCGCGGGTTTGACCAGAGTAGGAACGGCAACCCGCTTTTATTGCACTCCCCTCCACCGCGCTCTATTATTGCTGACATTCATCTTTTATCCGTCTCATTTCGTTCACCGCTCAGCGGACGGCTCCTTTGTCGAAACATCGTCCGGCACGGTTGCGAGGGAGCTAAAGAAACGTTATGACCGGCATCTGGGCGTTGGAAAGTCCGTGCGGTCTCCGTACGCCATCACCGCCTTTGTCAATCAGCACGGAAAGCAGATGTTTCGTGTTGGGTGAGTTTCACTGTTCTTTGTTCTCACGACTCAACCAAGCCCATGCCCATGGCTCAGGAACCGCGATCTGTCCGCACCCGCAGCCGCAGGTGAGGAGGCAGTTGAAGAACGGACGACACTCTACTTGGAGCAGAGCGCTCAACAGCAACCGTTGGTTCATCCTCAAAAATCGCCGCCATCGTCCCGCTCTGACCGTCGCTCGACGCGACGTTCTCGCATGAGCATGCACTCGTTTTTACCGCCTTCCATGTTCCCCCTTGTTAATCGCAGTGGCGACACGGCGGCTAAGGCATTCGCCAGTGATGGGCCTCGATCTCCCCCCACGCGTAAATTGCGGAAGACCCGTTCGAATCCGCAGTTATCGGCGCCTCCTGTGGTCTCGCCGGACTGTCCCCCGGATAAACCACCTGTTCACACCGGGCGAGCGCATTCGCATAGCGTCACTGGCGCCGATATGCCTCGACTGCCTTCTGTACTAATAGAGGTTCAACAGCCGCCACGCGGGGATGTTTTCTCCGAAGTCATGCAGTGGACTACTGCCCCCTCCTCCCCGTACAGCAGCTCCGCTTCCTCCTCGCGGAGTCTCCAACAGCTCACAGACGAGAATGGAAAATCTGCTACTCCTGCCGTTATCATGCATCCATTCGGTGTCGGCGTCTCATTCGACTCGCCCTCTCGAAGACCAGATTCAACTCTCATTTTGCCGCATATGCTGAGAGAGATGCAGTCTTTCGAGTCAGGCTTGACGGCACGGGCTGATCCTATCTCTAGGGCAATCAGACCCAGTTTCCTTCCACCACTGGGCCCGCTGTCGACTACACATACCATCGACGAACTTCCACCACGGAACGAGGACTCGCCTATCACCCCGTCTTCACCGATTCCTGCGTCATTTATCTCTCAGCCACCGGCGCCAGATCCCAGTTATCTGCCTACGGTCGAGACCCTGATGCACACAAGGTACTCGACAGAGGTGTTCGATGTCCTGCAGACTTATCGTGGGCTGCCCCTTTTGGACAAGATCTCCTCCGATTCTATGGAGACTACCGTGATCAAGATGTCGTTGAACGCGAATAACACAGCCGCCCCTCGGGATGATCCTCGCTTTGTTATATGGGGTGATGTTTATCCCGATCCCGACGATTTTCTCGTTGCGCAAAGCAATCGAACGGATGCCTCTTCTCGATCGGGACGAAGGAGCGGAAAGGGGAGAGATCTCCAAGCAGAAGGCAACCCCGACATCCACGTCTCTTCTGCTGAAGGCCCGCAGAAGGTGCTGGTCGCTGCGACGATCGAACGATGGCTAGCGCAGCTGACGAGCGAGCTGAACTACGACGAACTGTTGATATTCTTCTTGACATATCGGACATACATCAGCGCTGTGGATTTGTGCCATTTGTTGATATGCCGGTTTCACTGGGCTCTGGGGCAGCCCACCTCCGATCACGACGAGGTGGTGAGGAGGATCGTGCGCGTGCGGTCGTTCGTGGCGATGCGGTATTGGCTCTTGACATTTTTCGTCATCGATTTCATGCCAAATCGGGATTTGAGGCTGTTGTTGGCTAGTTGGTTGAATACGCTCAAAAGAGACCCGGTCCTCCAGAAGCATAATGATGCGCCGGTCAGTCCGCTTTGCCCTGGCTTTCGTGGCCGTTGCTAATGTCCATGGAAATCCGTCCAGAGCATCGTTCGAAAATTGATTTCGGTGGTGCGAGAGTGTCAGGAGGTACATGCCCGGAGAGGCAGGCCGTCGGCTTCTACTGGCTATTCAAACGGGAGTTCTGCCAGTACAGCCATTGAATTGCCTAGAAAGTCGTTAGCGAACGACGACACGGATCTTGATCTCGATTTCTTCACTGATTATACAACATCATCGACTTTGGCCAATGGTGGTTTTCCGGCGGCGAATAACCCGAGTGTCATGTTGGGTGGCGACGGCCAGCAAACTGGGTCAGACAACCTCGCGATATTGCAGCCGCACCACCGGGCGATCCTGCAGCATCTGCCGTCCACGAGCGCAATGCCCAGTCTGCCCATCGCGACGCAGGCGACTCTGCCTGTCCATCAGAACGCTATCTCCCGGGCACTCGTGCGGACCATTGGACGCCTCGGTCGATGGAAGCGTGTCTTGAATTCGCGATCGCACGTGTCTGTCCCCCACGGGACGGTTGATGACGTGTCCGCTTTTGATCTCGAGCTCAATGCTACGGGCGATCTGCTCACGGTGCGGGGTGGGGTGGAGCAGTATCTCAAGATGATCGAGGTGAAGCCAACGTCGCCGCCGACCTCACAACTGCCATCAGGCCCTTCATCTGTCACCGGACAGATCATTGCATTACCCCCCGTTGAGGTCGTGACGCCTCCACCCCATCCTCCGCCCTTGCCTTCGCCCATTGAGGAGTCTGTTGAAGAACCAAATGACCTTCTCGTAGAGGAGGCCGCGTCAGTCGAGGCTGATGACGCGCAACCTCTTGGGGACATTGCTGAAGGTTCGGATGAGAGTGCAGACACGAACGGGGTCGTGCCACCTCAACCTGACAGTGAAGACTCGGAGCAAGTGCATGTATCGTTCCGGCCAAGTGCCCCAGCACGCCGTTCCACGAGCTCTTCTGGATCTTCAGACTACGGAGAGCCTATTTCTCCCGGCCGATCAGAGCAACCCATCTTTGCGGAGCGCAACGGCCAGCAACAGGGGTGGTCGATGGACATTGCATCCATCGACGACCTGGACCAGCTGTCAGACTCCTCCTCGGAGCATGAACCCACTGCGCCCCCGGGCTTGATGAAACCCACGCGACGGCTTCCATTACGCCGCGATTTCGAATTTGTCCACCGGAATCGGGACAGCGTCTCATCGATGGGTCTTACCTCGCACGAGTCCATCATGTCGGGCCCCACGAGCTCCGTGGCGTCGGATGCCTCGACGAACGGGGGCTTGGGAAATACGATTCAGCAGTGGCAGGTGAACGCGATCGTGGATTCCCTCACCGACGACGAAGAGATGGGGGATGTCGAGGATGCGCTTCGACGGCTCGAGGGCCAGATGAACCCACAAGAGCGGCGTGCGAAAGAGTCCAAGGTGGACAATTGGATTAAGACGATTCGCAACCGGATGGACACGGGGGATCACACAGACGAAGCCCCACGCTTTTCATTAGAAGGCTCGCCTGAGACCGAGACAGATGAGGTGAGTCTCACGGATGGGGACGGAAGCGCTTCGGTGGCAGGGTCGTCTAGCTCGGCCCACTCGGACCAGTCTTCCGCGTCCGAGGCCCGCTCGACCATGGAGGGGGTTACGCCCACGTCAACGCGGCTGATGAAGGCAGCTCCCGTTCACACTGTATCGAGCGTCGACGCGAAGCCGTTGGTCGAAGACGTGGTCCCCATCGAAATTCTGCGCAGTCGTGTGCCTACCTCGCCATCCCTGTCAGCCAAGTCCGCGTCGATAGCCGTGCCAACCGTCCTCCACCTGCCGTCGACGAAGTTCGCTTCCTCACAACCTCGCCTCCACCGCTCCTTCGTGCTAGGATTTGGCGCAAGCGAGCTGGCACAGCATTTTTCCATGATCGATCGGGAGCTGTTCCTCGGTGTGAAGTTCGAAGAACTCACGTCGGACAACTGGGTTGGGGGTTACAACGAGGCGGACATCCTCGATTGGGGGCAGTTCTTGAAGGACCGCGCCCGGTGGAAGGCCGAAGGGCGGGGCGGGTACAAGACGAGCGCGCTCATAGCTGCGCGGGGGAGGTTCAACTTGATAGCCAACTTTGTGTTGTCTGAAGTCGTACTAACACACCCTGCGGAGCGGCCTGCTCTCGTGGGCAAATTCATTCGGATCGCATGGGTACGTCATGAACTTTCACACACATGATCGGATCCTCAGCTCATTGACCTCTCCAGAAATGCTACAACTTCAACAACTACAGCACCTTAGTGGCGATCATCGCCGGCCTTCGGAGTGAGTGGGTGACGAAGGCGATGGGCAAGTCGTGGCACCGGGTGAACGTCTACAATCAGCGGATGTTCAAGGACCTGACGTCCTTCACGGACGGCGCGAACCATTTCGTGCACATACGGAACGCAGTCGCGGCGATGTCAGAGGTGAAGGCTTCGGCGGCTGGGACAGAAGATGCGGCCTCGTCTGCGAGAAGTTCCACGCGGAGTAAGGCTGCGTCGGAAAGCAAACCGACGAAGCCCCCCGCGTGTATTCCTTTCCTTGGTGCGTCGCTATTACTGTACACTGCCCTGATCGCCCTTATTCACCGTCCCCCCTCTATAGGAATCTATCTCTCGCAGCTGTACCGGTTTAGCAAGCTCCCTGATCTCATCGACCCCACGGCGCCGAACGAAGCGGTCGGGATCGACCCGTCTTCGGGGAACTTTAACGCGCCCGCCCATCCCGAGGTGTTCGACTCGCTGACGCCGCTGCCGAATGCGATGCAGCTCGAGCCGCTGATCAACGTGCAGAAGCAGCGACTCATCGCGGGGGCTGTCAAGGACCTCGTCGCGGGGCAGCACCTCGCGAGCAGGGTGCAGTTCAGCATCGACCGCAAGCTGTTCCAGAGGTGTCTGCGGCTGCGCGGACTCACCCAGGAGACGCTGAGCAGGGCATACGCCATGTATCCTGGCTAAGCGCGCGCCGAATGTGATTGTACAAAATGGGGGTGGGATCGAATGCGGGTGTATGATGCGCGTGGTGCTTATAGATGGCGGTAGGTTTGCAGAAAGGGACTTGGGCTTCGTCGGTCATCGTCGTATCTTAATCTGGCCGTTCCTTTCTCCCCTTATTTCAAAACCCTTTGGTCATTTCGTTCCTTTCATGGGTTGCGGGCGTAAACAATGGTGGATAGAATGTGGATGTTGTGAGATATGAGTATGAATTGAACTTATTACTCTCGTAGTTGAGTCCATCTTCATACTGGTTCCGTGCTCCTGGCATGTTCCATTATATCTTGACCGGATATATGAGGCGACTACCGGACAGGGTCCATGACATTTTCCATTCAAGCGGTGCTGTTATGGGCGCCTCCCATAATAACGCGAGACGAGTTTGGATAAAGTGGACTTACTGTAGCTCTCTGTGAACTATTGGCAAATACGAAAGAGTGCTTTTGGCAACATGAATGCTCAACTCCACCATAACATCCTACATACTCCAGCTACACAAAAGAACAACAAAGGTCTCAGAGGCAGGAGAACAAGTTAAAAGGACGTCAGAAGTATAGGTATCAACAACAGGCGTTGCTCAGAAAGAGAACAGTTGGGAGCGTCAAGACGGTCATCCGGAGCTAGCGTTTCAGAAGCGTGTCAGCATGTCCATTGAATATTTATCGGAAGTCTGACAGAACAAACCATGTCATTGAGATGCGCAATCTAGCATCGCAAAGAAAACTGACCTTTGTAGATCGTGGTCGACTTTAGAATCGCCCGTAACCTGCCGCCGCCCCGACTGTCCTCGACCTGACGCACCACGCTGCGGTGATCAAGACCAGAATGGCATCCACAGGGGCGATGACAGCCTGCGCGATGATTGTCCCCAGCCCGGTCGGCGTGCCCCAACTGATCTCCCCATTCGCAGCAAACACTGCCGTGAAGATCGTCATCGCGGTGCCCGCGAGGAGGACAAAGGCGCAGATGCCGAGGAACAGGATGTTGGCGAGGGATGCGGCGGGGGGGAAGAACTCGGGGCTGCTGGCGCGCGAACGGCGTGCGAGATGGATGACGGTGGCGTTTTGGAGGATGACGATGAGGCTGCCTGCGACATTGAGCCAGAAGGAGACGGTCCCGAGATCGAGCATGGACAGCACGAAGAGGGCGATCGAGAAGACAAGGGTGGTCAACGTGAGTACGTAGAGCGGTTTGGGCAAGACGGGGGAGGCCATGGCTAGCAAGTTGTCGTGGTCGTCGCCGTCAAGGAGATAGTGAGGGTGCACTTAAGAAGGGAACGCAAAAGATCACGACGGTCTAGCTGTTCAAAAGCATGCGCAAGGGTGATGGTCATGGGGCAAGCTAGGGACAGCTTCGATGTGGGGTACCAAGCTTTCCCATATCTAGACAAAGTGTTCAAGGCTCATAAGAATCGTACCATGCGCTTACTTTACATTCTGCATTCTCGTTCAACCTAACGCAGCTTGCAGGCGAAAGCGAGGATTTTCAGCCGAAGGTGTGCAAGCGTGTGCGACAACATCATGGGCGGAGTGGCCAGTAGTCTCCCGAAGGCAGCAACATTTCTCCTTCAACCTCCGACGTGATCTTCGGATATCCGCAAGAGTCGCCACGAAACTCCGAATGGCCTATCCGATCTTAGAGGATGACATATTTGCGTATGTGTCGTTTTTATTCTATCACAGTGTGGTCACACAAAGTGACTACGCCAAAGATATTAGATGCAGGTGAACGACTAACGAGAAATCGAAGGAATCGGAATCAACAACAATCTCCAGCCAAAATCAGGATATAATATTGCGTTAAGATGGTCAAACAAAAATTGAGAGCCGAGATCGTCGCAAAGCACGTCGGAGAGTCTATAGAATCCTTCTAGCAGAATAACAGAATAATTGACCAATTGACCTTCGTGAATCGCCAGTGGCCGGCGATCAACACAAAGCCATGTCCCAAGTGGAGCGATGGATCATAGCCCTCCAGGCAATGAGCATACCCGTATCAAGATAACAACAGTGCCCTGGCTGATCTGCCCATCCGTGGCAAACACGGCGGTGAAAATTGCGACGGCGAGGTCGATGAGAGGCTAACCGCTTGGACTGTGGAGGAGTGCCTTTGAAACCCTTATACAGCGGCTATAGAGTATACCTCATTCAAAGCAATGTGGCTTGCAAGCGAAAGTGACCGAGCTCGAAATAGCGGTATATTGGTGATGGTCTATGGATAGCCTTGTGCGCCGCAGCGGCAAACGGTCGGAGGCCGAAGACGTGCCGGAGATTCCGTGTTCAGCAGGCCTCTATTTCTCTACCTTTGCAACCTAAATATCAAGCCCCCGGTAGCCCCCGGTTGGCCTCTTGACTCGTTGCCTTTTTCGTCTTTCTGGCATGGGGAGGATCAGGTGATATTGAAGACAGGTCCACACGTTCGTCAGCTGTCCAACAGATATTTGAAGCCACAAGCCATTGTCGGATACTATGTCAGGTATGATACTTTGTCAGCGTGGGGAAAAATACATCAAATAAAATCATTCTGATCCGTGCTATGCTACAAAATATGGTCGGTTGAAACGACACAACGGAGTAGAATCAACATCATACCGTAATGGAAACAACACTCTCCTTAGATGCACCACGAGCATTAAGTACACTGCCGCAGCACCCTAAATGCCCGCATTTCTTCCCGTGCGCTCTCCTCGCTGATATGATGATTTCAAACCTGTGCAAAAGATGCCGAAATTTCTGCGGGAAGGTGGCACTGGGAAGATGGGAATTGGAACAGTTTCCATATCGTCGTCGTGTGCTACTTCTACCAAGTCGTCAGGGCATGGCATAGGACGCCATTGCCGCGGTGGCGAACAGGTACGTGCATAGGAAAAGGATTTGGTACGTTCCGATTTGCGCCCACGTCCCGTGAGTTGAGTGTTAGCCGATGTAAATGACGGAGAAGAGCTTTCATATTGCCACGGCAGTTTCGAAGGGGCTGATGGGCCACATAAAGAAAGTTAACAGCTGCTGAGAGAGTAAAGGTAGATGAACGCTTACGGGGCATTGAGGAATCTGATAACGCCGGAGGTGAGCGTTTGGTCCGTGTACGACATTCGTGATGAATGGTCTTGTGCAAGGAAGACAGCCGCAGGAATAACGGTGGTGAGGCGCTTGGCGATGATGTTTCAGACGAAGTATCGCTACTGCTAACCACTAGCCACGCAGAGAAGGGCTGCAATAAAGTGTCGATACGGCCTGAGAAGATGGATCAACGGCGTCGTGCTACGAGGGTAATGAGGACATTGGAAGTGGGTGCTATTACCTTTTCGAACTGAGTCAGAAATATCGTTCTGGCGCTCTTTCAGCGCCCGAAGGATATCAAGGTAGATTGTTTTATACGGCCGTAGTTGCGATGTACACGGAGAGAAGGTGTACAGTTTGATGTCCATCTTCAGTAACGTAGCTCGTGCGATCTTCAGTGGGAGGATATATGTAAGCACGTAGAGCAACTGCTGGAAGATGATACAAAAAGATTACCTCTATCAGTGTGACAATCTGAAAGCGACGATATGAGCCGTCTGTGGCTTTGAAGAAAGATAGGTGAAACCCTTGCCTTTGCGGATTGTTGTTGAAATTGATATCTGGATAAGGCTCGAATGCTATTCAGGAGTGTTTCTGCAGCTGTCATAAAACGATGCAAGGAGCTCAGACATCTGGCAAGCTTCTTCGTCTCCACCTGCAAATCAGCTACAAGGAAAAAAGACATGACGAGGGGCGGAAGGGGTGTAGTTCAAACAGAGAATGGGAGAGAGGAGATGGAAGGGCGATATGTGGCACTGAGAGAAACAAGGCGATGGCGAGTCCATAATAAAACGCAATTGCAGTGGCCAGCGGCGCGGCCCCTGCCTGCACGGTATGTTCCGGCTAGACATGCAGGCGGAGGTTTTCCGCGCGTCGTCCGCCTGCCTGATGATGCATACAGGTATCAACTTGCCTCGATGGCTTGCCTCATGGTTGCTTCATCCCCATCGCACGCACGCAACAAATTGTGGGGGTGTGCCCGCTGGGGAACAGCGTGCTTGAGCCCAACGCGGGCTGCTGCCTTCGAAACACGATGGAAGCTTCTCGATTTCATCACGTAAGCCGCTCGCGGAGTATCTCTCCGGCCGGACTGGAGATTGCCGTGACATCAGACTCAGCCAGACTCAGTCCACAGGCTCACAGCACAAACCCGTGTAAATAACACGTCTCGCGACCCCGCTCTCCTCGCGGTGCCACTTCAAACGCGTGTCAAAACCATCTCGCGATCGTTCAGCTCGTGTATTGGCCTATTGCGCGCAGCGGTGTGTATACAACGTGCTGATGGAGTCTGCAACTAGTCGCAGAGTGCAGGAGGAACGAAGGCAGGCGGATATCCGCAAGAAGATCGCGGCCTTGCAAGCACAACTCGACGGTCATCAGGATTCAGCGCTCGCAGGTGCGAGCAAGACTATCGCCGAATATGGATCTCCGAAGCGTAAACACACGAACGGTACTCTGTTGGCACCTGCCAGTCCTTCTCCAAGTAATGAATGTTGGCTTTCTTCACCCAGTTTCGCATCTCATTGACGCCTCGTTTCAGAAAGGCGAAAAATAGATTCCGACCCTCTCAACCGGGACAAGCGCAGTCTTACAAAATCCGCCGTGCGCTACGTCGGTACAGCAGAAAACAGTTTTTCGTTGCCGAGTGCAACAAAACCGTACAATTCTACACTCACTCCGAGGCCTGCGGCAAACCCTTCCAATGTGCTCAATAAACTATCTCAGCTTGGTGGGCGCCCTGTCAAGCCTATGCACGTTGAGGCCATTGAACGCTCTGGGTCTTTCACTGAAAAGCCCACGTACGTCGACCAAAAGACGCATTCCAAAGTAATAAGTACTGACAATTCAATAACATACCCAGCCGGCAGGTCACAAAGGAGACCCACGAGCCTGTCGATGCTCCTGCGCGAGACGACCGGCTCATTCTCATTGAAGAACTCGAGCCGGGCCCTGTGGACCATCAGCCGCCCTTCGATGATCCGTTCTTCGAGAAGCTAGAGCCCAACTCGGGCATTCATCTCGCGTATGTATGCATCATTCATCTATCACGATCATCCGTTCACCTTGGTATGACCGCGTGCATTCTGGGTTTACGTGTGCAGCTCCCGCACGATTCCCCACGATGACCTCCAGGAATACCTTACAGGGCGTTTCTACCTATCTCCTTCAAAACTCTATTCCGTCATTCGTCTGCTCCCGAATAACCAAGGGTATGATGTTCCCGTTGCGGGCGACTGGGTCACTATCGCTGTCGTAGCCGAGCGCGGACCTATCAAGGTCTCCCGCGCTCCCGTCGCCATCGATCGCGTTGAAGAGCAAGATGAAGACACGGAGCACATTGATGCCAGTACGGGACCTAGTCCACCGAACAGAGAGGGTTGGAAAGGCAAAGGTAAGGGTAAAAGCAAAGACGCTGATGGTCCACGTCGGCCCTCCGGTCGCAAATACGTGAACCTCAAACTCATTGACTTTGGCGCGCGCTCCAAGAGCTCTGCTAGTGGAGGTACATCTATCATTCGTGGTGATGCTTTTCTTTCTCTGTTGCTTTTTGAGTCCGACTCCTTTGACTTCATCACGAGAGAAGGAGGTCGGAAGGAGAAGGTATACAGAGGGGGAAGTAAGGGTGCCTTTGAGACCATGGCCAAGCTTAGAGAGGGCTCGGTTGTAGCCTTGTTAAATCCGAGGGTATTGAAGCCATTCCAGGTGTGTAAGCATGCCACTCACTTGCCCTCGAGCTGATGCAGCTTCTGACGTTAGGCGATTGAAAACAGCGTTCGAACGAGAGTCCACACCCAACGACAAACATTCTCGCACTGACGCCTGAGTCCGCCGGATCTGTGGCGGTCATCGGTCATTCCCAACATCTCGGCATGTGCACTGTCCTAAAGCGCGACGGGAAGGTATGTGGAGGGTGGTGCGACAAGAGAGTCAGCGATATCTGCGAATACCATGTGCAGTCGGCTGTTGAGCATCGACGGGCGGGGCGGGCAGAGTTCTCGATGGGGTAAGATATCACACATTTCCCTCTATGGAGGTGGTTTCCTACAGGGCAATGATCGCTAATCAATTTATGGGGCCCCGTTCACAGGACCTCAGGCATGTCAACCGCTGCGCCTAAACGCAAACCCGTTTTTGACCCTACGCGTAAATGGGGTCTCAAGCCTGACCCAGACAAAGCTACCGGTCCTCCTACAGATAGCGGCGGCTCAACGTATATTGTAGCTGGACATGTCGTCTCCGGATCGGCGTCTGAGTCGAGGGGATTGTTCGTGGGCGAGAACGTGGGCCGAGACGCTCAAGCGAAAGCACAGCGTAAGATGGCAGGGCTGGCGACGGAGAAGACGCTAAAGACGCTGTTAGAGAGGGATAAGGAGGGGATGAGGGCTGTCCAGGAAGCGAGGGAGTATGCCGAGAGGATGAAGGAGAAGGAGAAGGCTGGAAAGGGGAAGGGGAAGGGGAGAGAGAAGATGGAGAAGAGTAACAAGAAAGTAGGGATGAAAGAAAAGGCAGAAGGCAGTGAGGAGTTGAAGAACATGCCAATTCAGAAGAATGCATATTCTGCAGAGGTAATCAAGAAACTCGGATTTGACCCTACGCTCAAGCCGGGTCAGCGGCGAATAGAGGATACAGATATACAGGCCAAGGTGTGACCACTTCATTTAGATGATATCTTTTGACTGATTCGTCCTCTATGATAAAGCTCCGTGCCCTGGCCTCAGCACGATCGTCAACAGCGATCGAGCTTGGTCCACGGCCTGGCGCGAGAGTCCGCTCGGCAGTGTCGGCACCATCACAACGTGGAGGACATGAGCCTCAGGGTGTAGTCGCCGATGTTGCGTTGCCCGATTTGGATGACTTCGATTTGGAGAGAGAAGAGGAAATGGTGTTCGGAAAGTCCCTGGAAGTGAAGATGGTAGACCTGGACAGCAGCGATATCGATTCTGGGACAGAGCAAGAGGCACTCACAAAGGAACCGTCAAGAAGTCCGCTGAACCTCGACAACGATGAGGAACCTTCTTTGTCGTACGCACAGTCCAACGGTATAGCTGCGCCGGATAGTAGCGATGAGGAGTTTCAGAAGGTGTTCGGGAAGCCAACTGATACTCCGTCAACGGGCATGGTTGATTTAGGTAGCAGCGACGAGGAGTGAGGTTCAAACGTGTCTTTCTCAGTCTGGCATCTGTAAGGTATATCTGTATGTTTCAATGTCCTCACGATAGTTATCACTACAGCTCACTATAGTATATATAGCGATCATTGCGACAAGCGGAACATATGCCCTCCACCTGCAAATGCCTCCGGACTGCCATTGACGAATCTCCTACAGGAACTCATTTCCGAGGGGAGTCCAGGGAGAACTCATTGACGAACACGCTGTGTACCATAAGTAAGTGACTGAGAATTACTCGAAGCAACCTTTCTTACGTCCGCCTGCGTCAGATTTGCGTGCGAACCACAAGAGTTTCCTAATCGAGCTATGGCGGGGTCACAACTAGTTAGAACTGCCTCAAAGGCCGAGGCAACATGACGTTCCTGAAAATCTCGACTCTCGACAACTCAAAATTTGTTTTCTAAATCAAGCATTTCATTGAATCGTCATCAGGAGAACGGCCACGACTCTTGGCTGGCACGTATGATTTAATCTCAGGCAGCACGGGCGCAGCGGATCGCACAATGAGTCAGAACCCAGCTTCTGCACCATCAGTGCGGCCCGATGCCAGGCTGAGTAAACACTGCTCCTGTCTATCTCAACGGCAAACATCATCAAAACCCTCTTCCTGGCCTCTTCTATGACGGATATACTTTCACCAAATCGGTGTTGTGCCCGGAGGTCTATGTCTACTGACTTACTGACCCGGTGTCTCTGGCTACCTGCTGGACCCATTATCACTTATCGGTGTATAGCCGCCTAGTGATTTCGCGGTCAAAGGACTTTTGAAAACCCACACCTTTATGGCTTGATTTCAAAAGAGCTCAAGACTTTCTATATTTGACTCCACAGGATGCTACTAGGACACTACAATGTGGCTTTATCGGACTTACCGACCTGCAGTGCACGCATTTACTGTGCTTACGTTAGGACCTTGTTTCAGTGCGATTATAATACGGCGTTCACTTCGTTCGAAAATACTGACCAACGCGCCTTTATAGCTAGACGGTATTGTTGACATATACGGTAAGTACCTGTGTATCCTTGTAAGGAGGGCTCTACTGCCAACCTTTCCGAGAACTCTCATCCTTGCCGTACACAGAATTTTGGGAGGAATTACTCAGGGCTGTTCTAGTCTCCCACAGTCAGCCCTTATGCTAAAGATGACGATAGCCGTTTACTTCATTGCTCGTCCTTGGAGCCTGAGGCTATGAGGCCTTGAGGGCTTCGTCAGAAAGGCTAAATTAATGTATTTCAACCAGCTCTATGAACCGGTTCATCCCCTGGGTCCTTGTTCTGGATTTTTCGGGGCGCGGAAGGCGCGGATTACTTCTGCCTCATATTCCCTATCTCAATCGGCGGTCATAAGATCGGCCGATCTATACACACTAGCATGCTTCAGTCATGCTTCTCAGAACTTCTTATAACGACGAAATTCGAATTCAAAACTGTCCCACCGTACATGTTCTCGGCCCTATGATTTACCGACGAGACCACACCTAGTCCACACCTCCGTCACATGCCAACCCATGCCTTCCAAAACCTGAATTCTCCATGAGATGCGTCTGATTCTGTTGCATCACACCATCAACGCCATGGGCATGATACGAAGTACATCAGCTGAACAGTTCGACAAGGCCCTGACCTGGGGCGATGTGTTAAGATGTGCCTTGTGGCAGATTTACCTATATCATCGGGGATCTGGGATGTTGTTGAGCTAAGCTATGAGCATAATGCGCCCGTTTCAGCTATCAGACAAGTGCGCAGGCTCAAGTATGGCCCACTAGCTCCCACCAGACGTGGCGCCAGGTTCAGTTTTTCTTCCTTCTGTCACTTCATTATGTTCTTCATATTCTAGGCCTTGCTTCTATCTTACAGCACAGGATCTAAGCTGGCCCTAACGTCAAGCGATGTAACTGCGATGTATTGCGATTGGCAAAATTCTTCTGTTCTGTCATATTTGATGGTCCACGAGGCTCCACAGCTTGATCAAGGCTCGTTGCTATTTCGTTACGTATTTATATATCACTATCCCTTCCTCCCCTCGCATTGAATGGAAGTTGAACTTGACAAACGCCCTTGACTGCGACAATTTGTGTCAAGTATATCCTTCGGATATGAAAGCTTGTGGGCACTTTCAAAATGCGAATACGTAGGGCTCGTGTGTAGCTTGCACCATTGAAACTACGTACCATATACGTATGATACAAACTGATGGCCCAAGGAGTTACGAACAAATGTTCCGGGCAAGATTCAGGTCCCGTTAGGTTCTCGACAGTTAGGCGATAACGAGATGCATACATATCAGTTACATATCTGACGATGGCAACTTCTTGGCCTCGTGGACTTTTGCCCGGATGCCGGAATGATTGAGCAGAGAATTCTGGAGAAGGACATAAAACCCGAGCGACAGTATCCTGATCATCGGACAACCATGCCATCCCTCCTCCTCAAAGTCCCTCTCATCATACTCACCGCTGTTGGCTACCATGTCGGTATGACCCCACCGAATCCACCTCCGAGTAAAGAGGAGCAAGCAAAGGCTCTTGGCGGAAGAGATGTGACCTTCCGCGAACGTCTGACGAGACTGGTGCCTTTCACCGCAAAGGTGAAGTCACCTTGATACCTCCCCATTGCGAAGTGAACTTACAAAGCACGTCCGTAAAGACAATTGTCGCAACGGTGTCAGCAATTGAGATTGCTGTAGCGCTCGCGAAACTGAACCCAACGAGTCCGGCGTCGACGCACATTTTGGCATTGTTTTGTTCTGGTAGGGGTGGAGCCATGAACCTCTCGCTTTCGGCCCAGTCCTTAGTCGGGATGGGATTGGTATGTTTGGGGGGTGCTATTCGATTAGCTTGTTACCGGGAACTGGGGCGGCTCTTCACGTACGAGCTCACTCTGCGGAAAGAGCACAAACTCGTTACCAGTGGGCCTTACTCCATTGTACGCCACCCGAGTTACACGGGTGGTACTATTCTGGCTGTGGGCATGACGATATGTGAGTTGGGTTCGGGAACGTGGTGGACAGAAGCAGGGATCATTCGCACGATCCCGGGTCAGGCATTGGCAGTAGTCTGGGGTGCCATTTTGGCGTATTCGGGATTCATTTTCAGAAGGGCGGTTGGGGAGGATGATTTGATGAGGAAGGAATTCAAGGGGCAATGGGACGAGTGGGCAGCGAGGGTTCCGTACAGGTTCGTACCATGGTTAGCGTGATCGGATTGACGCATCGATGAGCTCCCTTTTGTAATATCTTTGCACTTTTGTATGTTATACGAGGATATACAATACATGATCGGTCCACAGACGAACAGCTGGCGAAATTGCAGCCAGGCGTCGATCAGTGGGAAGTTCCATATCAACGACCCAAGATCCGAGGAGCTGTCATCAGTTATAAAATCTCTTACATTGAAGCCAAAGACAGAGAATTTACAAGGCTGTCGAGAAGCCTGAGTACGTGGTGAAGGAATGATTTATTGCCAAGGGAGATGGAGGACGGCAAGCCACGGCAATAGAACGCTTGCTGATGTGACTTCATATTTGGAACTCCGACCCTCATCAAAATCTGAGTGAACTTGAGTCAGTCTTGAGTCACGTCCAGCTGCGTATCTTTTTTCCTTGGAATTGTATTCAAAATCACCTCCATCATGCCTGGAGACGAGACACTTCAGAAAAACCTTGACGAGTCCGACTCAGAAGAGGAGGAGGAGGAAGAGGCGATCCCAATAGTAGAATTCGATGCAACGAAACTGACACCCTTGTCGCCTGAGGTCATCTCAAAGCAAGTGAGTAGAATTCGGCTTCGTAGCTTGATTGTAAAGCTCAGTATGTTTGACAGGCTACAATCAACCTGGGTGCGTGTAGAGAATTCGGCAGAAAAGACGTCCAAGTTAACGCATCTCGTTTGCAGGGACGATCGGGCATGTCGCGCACGGAAAATCAACGGTGGTGAAGGCGATATCAGGGGTCATGACCGTTCGATTTAAGAACGAGTTAGTCAGGAATATCACGATCAAGCTCGGTTATGCCAATGCCAAGGTACGTCACGACCATCCTGCCTTTTAGCCTATGTTTTAACACCTTTCCGTTCAAGATCTACAAGTGCGAAAATGACGCCTGCCCCAGGCCAGGATGCTACCGCTCCTATCGATCGGACAAGGAGGATAACCCTCCTTGTGAACGTCCAGGCTGCGGTCACCGAATGAAGCTCGTCCGCCATGTCTCATTTGTCGACTGTCCCGGGCACGACATTCTCATGGCCACCATGCTGAACGGTGCCGCAGTCATGGACGCTGCGTTGCTGCTGATTGCCGCCAATGAAACATGCCCACAACCTCAGACGTCAGAGCATTTGGCCGCCGTCGAGATCATGAAGCTGGAGCATCTCATCATCTTACAAAATAAGGTGGATTTGATCAAACAGCCGCAGGCACTAGAGCATCAGAAGAGTATTACTGCGTTCGTGAAAGGTGCGTTTTTTTGTCCATTTCCCCTACATTAGGATATTCAATCGTAAAATTCAAGGCACTGTTGCCGAGACTTCACCAATCATTCCCATCTCTGCCCAACTCAAGTATAACATCGATGCTGTCAATGAATACATTGTCAAGCGGATTCCGATTCCTGTTCGCGACTTCACTTCTGATCCACGCCTCATCGTCATCCGTTCCTTCGACGTGAACAAACCAGGTGCCGAAGTCAAGGACCTAAAGGGCGGTGTCGCTGGTGGATCCATTCTTACTGGGGTTCTCTATCTGGGTCTGGAAGTCGAGATCCGCCCGGGGATCGTGACGAAAGACAGCGCCGGTCGCAATCGGTGCAAGCCCATCTTCAGTCGCATTGTCTCGTTGCACGCAGAGAGCAACCACTTAGACTTCGCGGTCCCCGGAGGATTGATCGGTGTTGGTACGAAGATTGATCCCACGCTCTGTCGTGCGGATCGGCTAGTGGGGCAGGTGTTAGGCGCTGTTGGAAAGTTGCCACAGATTTTCACTGGTGCGCTGTCCACACTGGGATATTCTCGCATAACGTGCTCACCACCCGCTTTCATGTAGAGCTGGAAATTAATTTGTTCCTGCTGCGTCGGCTGCTCGGTGTCAAGACAGAGGACAAGAAACAAACCAAGGTTACGAAGCTCGTCAAGAACGAGCTGCTCTTGATCAACATCGGCTCCACGTCTATTGGTGGTCGTGTCCTCAGTGTGAAGGCTGACCTGGCGAAGATCCAGTTGACTTCGCCTGCATGTACGGAGGTGGGAGAGAAAGTTGCTTTGTCGCGTCGTATTGAAAAACATTGGCGGCTTGTTGGTGCGTCATACTCTTTGTTCTCAGTGCGGTTAATAGCTCAGATTTTGTATACATCTTTTTTAGGTTGGGGAAGTGTGCAGCGCGGGACTGTATTAGAAGTAGACTAAACCTCATTCTGTCGTCTCATTGTATCCCTACTTTCCGGCTAGAAATGTTGTCTTAACAGCTCGACAACTCTGTGACACCGATCATGGGTTTCGATGATATGCACAGCAAAATTATCCTGGTGTAAATGAGGTGAGAGTATGTATGGGCCATAACGCACAGGGGGCATAGATGAGTGGTTCTCATCGGCGTGATGGGTTAATGAGATCCAGATTCTTGATATCGACTCCCTCGAACGACCGATTCTTCACCCTTCTACTTTCAACCTCCTGTTTAGCGTACCAGAGGTGGAGTAACTTGATCGCGTCCTTTGCCTGCTCAGGTCGTTAGTGAAGACAGTCCGCATTAATGGATACAGACGACATACCACGACGAAGATACCGAGGCCGAGCAAATTTCGCCACCTGAAAACCCAACCAATGTTAGCTGCAGAATGGAACGTAGATTGATCATGCTCGTATGCATACCACACTGGATCGCTCTCTGTCCAGACCCTACTTCCTTGCCACAATGTCTTGAACATGAGCTTTATTTCATGAAGTTTATCGCCACTATGCCATGGGTACGCTCGCGGCAACGACGGGGACCATATAGGGAGCGTCTTGCTAAGCAGGGGCCTGGCAGCCAATATCTTGGACAAAATTGGAAAATATGCAGATAGTCGGAGAAGCAGCGAGCCCATCCAACCTGAGACACGCGGGAGTATGAGTGCCCCGCCAATCGCGCGCCCTATGGATCCCCCAGTGAGCCGAATCGTGCGCTCCGCGGCCACGCCGGCGTCGTTCTCGTCCACAGCATTCTCGTCCACTTCGGCGTGGTCCGGATTCTCCCCAGCCGCTCTCAGTGGTGGAGGCGCTCCTGCTGCATTGTCTTGGTTTGCTGGCGGGCCATCATCATGTTGATGAATCCGTATGCGCAAGAAGCCTGCAGCTCCACCTTCGTCGTTGAGCGCCCATTCCACTCGCCTCAACGGCCCCTGCGGCGACTCGCGCGAGTTGACAACCAATCGTGTCAGCCTTCTGAGACCAAGATTATAGATAGATTTTACAAATGGGAACAGCGCGCAGACGAGCGTAGGTGAGGGAGGCCAATATCGCGCTGGGGAGTTGGGGAAGACTGTGCTCGACAGCCAGCTATCTGGACCGCGCCAGGGCCATGAACCAGCAAGACCAGCCTGAGGGGCAGTCGGGGGCCATGCGAAGAGGAGTGGGATGAGTGGTGAGATGGCAGAAGCAATAGGGGTGCGGGAAGCGATGAGACTTATAGGGATCAGCGGGAGGTTGATGAAAGCATGCCATGGCCAGTTGGAGGGCTCATCGGTCAACAATGCATCGAACATGTCCTTGCCTAAAAAGCATCGAACAGCATAGACACCGTAGCTAGTGAAGACGACATAAAGTGCTGGTGGGTCTGATATGAGACCAAATCGGTATCAAATGCGACGAGGACGTACCTCCGCCAAAGGATAGTGTGGTGATCCCCACACAAGTGATGGTCACTATCTTCCCTACACGCGACAAGCCCCGGTTGATGGCATCCAACAGCCTGAGAGGACGAGGGTTATAGCTGTCCAGCTCGTAGTGGGCACCGCACTGCGGGCACTTCAGCGCGTTGGCCGCCCGGTCCGGATTCTGCTGTGCGGCCTTGATCCAATGCAATAGACACGATTCATGGGCCACGAGAGTGCAATTGCATGGGTGAGTCCACACCCGCGGAGGATCTTCCGGCTCTAGGGGATGCACTTAAGACAACAGAGTCAAAACACGATGGTGCATGGGCATACTGTCATATGTTTCCTCCTCCCGACATATATAACAAAGCTTGACCTGTATGGTGTGTGCTTCTGATTAGAATTTCCGTAGGGCAATGTAGAGAAGTCTAACCCGTAGATCGTTTATTGTAGGGACCCAAGGCTCTGACATAGCGATGACCGTAGTGTTGAGATGAAGAATTCCATTTGCGTGTAACCCCAAATCAAGGACCCGTCAGCCACACGCGTGTCCCGCTCAGCAAGAAATGGCCATCCGCCAGATATCACAGACGAAGATGCAAACAATTTTCAACATTGTATTAAGGCAAGTACATTGAAAGAGAAACAGGAGGAAAAACTTACGCCTGCTTCCAGGCATAATTTTGGTCACTAAGGGGCAGCGAAAAGGGAAAGGAAGAAGAAAGCTAAACAAAGGGATAACCGGTCTGCTTCGACTCAGGACTCGTATGGTGGTGTTTGAGCAGCATCCTCTCCTTCCTTCTTGCCATCCTCCGGGGGTGGCGTTCGGGGCTTGTCCTCCTTAGCCCGCTTCTCCGGAGTTGGGCTTCGCCTCCTGCGCTCGGGGCTCCTGCTGTGCTTTCTGTCCCTCTCCCTGTCGGCGTCCCTATCCTTGTCGCGATCATCACGGTCCCGGTCCCGGTCTCGGTCCCGATCCCCCCTGTCACGGTCGCTGCGACGGCGAGGGCTCCGAGAACGGTCGCGGTCGCTGCGGCGGTGAGAGGGAGGAGAGGCACGACGGTCATACCTCCAGACCGATGACGGAGGGTTTTTTGCCCACTGCGGTATCGAAATGAATATGATATTGAGATACATGAGCGTGAATATGAACTCACCTGAATACTCAGGCGCTGTCCTTCGAAGTGCCTCCCATGCCTGATTGCGAGAGTCATGAATGAAGATTGAGAAGACAGGAAGAAACAAGGCCACGTACATATCATAGTATGCGTCTTCAGCGTCGCGGTTGCTACGAAACTCGACGAAGGCGTAACTGCGATGGGTTCGAAGGGGCACGTTGAGCGTTCGGAGGGTCGAAGCGGGGGGGATTGCGGGAAGTACGATCGATCGACGACGACGACGCGATGGAACCGTAACAGCGGACGAAAGCGAAAGACGAACGATACGACGCGCTCAGCGATAGCGGTGCATTTATTCGTGCGCGGATTCCGATTCCGTGTCGCTTGGATCGCTCGACTGCGGCAAAAAGGTGCTGAAGAGCTTTTGAGGGGAAAGAACTTACGGGTTGGAGTGCGCGTGGGGGTTGCGGGGCGCAGGTACGTCGCATCGGATGAGGGGGCCAAAGCTGAAAGAGAGCCACTCAACAACACGCGACAAGCAGTAGAACGCGGTGAGCGCACCGTTCAAATTCGTAAGCGAGGTCTCGCGCGCGCGTGGCGGGATGAAAACCGCTGACGAAAAGAATGCGAGGCATGTCGACCTGAGAGTCAGTACTTATACCGAGCAGCTCAAGCGGAAGAGGGAAAGAGGAGCGGGCACACAACGCCATCAGCGGACTCTCAATTCGCCCTCTGTTGCTCATTGTTTGCCTGTGGCGCTGGCGGCGACCGTGACACCGCAGTGACACCGTGTCCGGCGCGGTAGTCGCATTTGCGAGGGATTCTCGGCGGATATATTGCTATGGGCTTCGCAGGTCGTGTCGGCGCATCTAAACAAGGAGCCTAACGAAAGAAGAGAGAATATGAGCGTATCCATAACGCACTTTGCCCAACGTCACTGCGACTGTGACGAGGTGTCACACCATCGTCCCTCCTGCCTCTTACTTTGAGCCCACTGACAAGTCAGTTTTTCTTCCTCGAACCTCTCATTGCTGATTTCATTGCAACTCAGATGTCTGTCTCGTATGCAGACCTTTGTCCGTCTTTGGGGAACATCTAAAGCCAGAAATGCGCGTTTCCTCGCGACGGCGACCCCCTCTCCTGCTCTGCTCGAATCCGACGCTAGGCTCTACTGGTCACTTCGCCGAACCCTTCGAGTGCTCGCCCAGACAATAAGACGACGATCTCGCGACCCTGTATGGAACGTCGTAGATTTACGGGGGAGTCACCTGCAGCGTGTGAAGGCATTGCAGGCTAGCGGTATCTCCGTAGCTACCCACCGTCAATGGTCGCAAGCGTTGCATGAAGGCAGCGAAGCGTCGAACACGTCTGGCCCTGCAAACGAATTCAATGACACCATCGCCCGCTTAAACCTGAAGCTGATAGACGATGTGCAATTCAAAGACACTCTCGAGTTCGCGTCTTCCGCACAGCCCGCCATCATCAAAAACGATCAGCCACCAACCTACTTCATCCTCTATATTCTCTTCCACCTCACCCGAACTCCTGCACAGGCTCATAGGGCCCTTTCGTTGGTCATTGGTCACCTTCCGTATGCTACCCCCGAAAATCGCCCTCTGCTTCTTTTGGTCACGGCACATATTTTGGCTGCACACAGGGACTTGCCCGCGTTAGACCATTTGGTCTCCATCTTCCTCGCTCTACCTCTCTTCAGTACCTCATGGCATTTCAACTTGCTCCTGCAGGGCATCGCTCGGTATGCTGTCTCTCCGGACAGCGGCCGTACCATGGGCGGTCTTGCCGTCAAGATCTTGCAAGTCATGCGATCCCGCGAGCTGTCTGTCCTGTCCGACACATACACCATTCTCTTGCGGAATCGGTACATTACGACAGAGTTGGCCACCACTCTGAACGAACTCATGATTGCTCAGGGCTTCAGTCCAAACATAAAACACCTTGAATTATATGCACACGTATTCGCTCGTCGTTCTGCTATTCGTCTCAGCGACACGTATCTCCGTACCGTTCGTAGCATGATAGGTGAGAAGGAGGAACAAGACTCAGACGCTTATCCCAAGACACCCAACACGGCTACATATCGGTATCGCCTCAATCTGATCAGGAGCAATTCGAAGGTCATACAGCGAAATGGACGGCCTCCACTGCCTGAGGACCCGGCGGAGTGGGCAGCCCAGTTCTATGCACGCGCGCAAGACAAATCAATACCCGGAACAAACCTCGTCGAGTATTTCGCGTGGTGCAAGAAAAAAGTCCCGTTCCTCCGCCCCGCCACAAATGTCACATACAGCATCTTGATGAGTGCTTTGCTCTTACGTCGGGATTATGAACTTGCGAAAGAGGTGTGGGATGACTATCGTGCTTCTGGGCTTCAGTTAGATCGACGCGCGCTGGGAGTAGGACTCGAGGTCCTCACCCGGGCAGGAGACCTTCAAGAGGCCTTTGATCTTCTCGAGAAGAGTTATTGGCGATCGAAGACCATTCAACCCACTTTTTGGCCACACAGGAATATTTTGACCAAGGGGGCGATCGATATCGTGACGATCAATAGCTTCATGAAGAGCTTGTTAATCGTAGGCAGGCCCGATCTTGTATATATGCTATGGGAGAACATGGGGACTCTTTACAGCACCAAACCTGACTCTGAAACCCTCCGCATGCTTCTAGATGCTGCTCGGATGGCGTCCCGCTCCTTCGAATCACTCTCTGGTGCTCTTCGCGAGCTTGGCTTCCGTAACCCATTCCATCGAAACACGCCACCTCATGAAGGGCCTTCGTCTATGACTGAGGCTCGCTTGCTCATCCTAGCTCAGTTGAGAGATGCCGCTAATGACCACGTCAAGCCTACGAATTTTTGGGGCGACGTTGTAGCCTGGCGTCGTGCGTGTAGCATATTCAGGGATATAATCCTCAGTAATTGGCCCGAGCTCGTGCATGTCCAATCCCCTGCGCAAGCTCTTCGGACCTCGAGCGACGACATCGCCAGTTCTCCTATGGTGGAAATCAAGCGTACCCTTTTCCCTCCCCATCCGTCTCACTTTCAACACGCTTCCGTGCATATCATTCCCGAGCATGCCGTTCTACACAAGGGGCTGTATCCATCGGTTGCATATTCTTCCGTAGACCCCTCTGAGCGCGCTTTCGTATCATACATCGCCCTCCTCGTCTCGCAGTCACTCGCATCGGACATTCCTCTGGCCCTCGCGTGGATGCGGGCTCTTGACGTGCACCCGTCGCGTAGCACCATTGCATTGGCGCTGGTGAGTTGGAGAGAGGTGAGCGCCAGTGCACCATTGTTGGAGACGTGGAGTCGCGGTAGCAGCAGCAGTGAATATACGAAACTGGTTGATTGGGTTTTGGATTGGGTTGGGGAAGAGAACATGCCGTCGAATGAAGCGATTGGGAAGGCTGTCAGACGTGTATCGTTTCTACGCAGGGGCTCCGTGTCGTGGTGATAGAAGGTCGAAAAATTGTTATAATACGCTCAGCCACCACACTATGCTTGTTCTACGCGAGTTTTCAACTGCATTTCGATTCATGGGTCTGATTGGTGTGAACAGGCTGCGGGCCCTTGGCTTAGCTTGACATTGAGTACATATCGGGTTATCTCGTACATTGACATACATATTGGACCAGTAACGATCCTCATCGCAGGAACGCCCCATTAGTCTCCTCTAACAGAAGGTTATATTCCGGTTGGAACTGTGAAGTCGTCATCAAGCTACTCCCTCGCTCGGCAGTCAAAGAAACGAACGTACATTGGTATAACTCACTTCCCACCATTGCAGTGTATTGGCGGTAAATTGCGCATCTTCCTCCGAAATGACAGTCTTCTTACGGCCGTTCGCAGCAGCCGCCTCGGCCAATAGCTGGACTTGGCATTGCCTCTCAAGTGAAGAAAAATTGTAGACGGCCTCATCGACGGTAGTTCCAACTGTGAAAATTGGCGAAAGATGCCAACTTATTTTGAGCGGGTCGGTTTATAGAATAAATACACCTACGGGTTAGGAGGCCGTGGTTTTGAAGAATGCAAGCCTTGAATTTTGGCCCAAGGGCTGCGGCGATATTCTCGCCCTCTTCCTTTGCCAATACTATGCCGCCGAAGTTCTTGTAGACACCGAGGTTATCGTAGAACAAGCACGCATCTTGCGTGAGGGTCTCTATGGGCAGGCCAAACGCGGACCAGGCTCTGCCATGAATTGAATGGCAGTGGGCCGCAGCCTTGATGTCAGGACGTGCCTTGTGGATTGCCGAGTCTAGATGGTTCAGATTTCGAAGTGAGGAATGTTCGTGACATTATTTCAAAAATTCTGGGCCCACGGATGTAGAATCCCGCGGCGTTGATGGGCAGCTGGGCTCCGTGTTCAGTGACGTAGCCGTCAGGGCTGACGAGCACGAGTTTGGATTTCTGAAGGTCAGCAGAGCGTTCAGATCATACGGCAATGAAGTTGCAATGCGGGCCGTACGGTCATTGAAGAGAAGTGCACCGCGAATGGATTCATCCTGTGTGGACAAGTCAGATGATCGGTTTATTAGGACCGATATCGCCTTTATCGTAATACACTCACCAATAGTGCCCAGGAAGAACGGGATCCTTCACTGTGATATGACCCGAGATACCATCCGCATAGCCCAATTTTCCCCAGTAGCGAAAGGCGGCCGCCATATGTTCCTTGATGATGGATTAATGCCTAGAGTCGACGAGGTGGTTTATTGATCCTCCACACACACCTTGACCCATTCACGCTCTTCGTAAGGACTCTCGAACTTAGGTACCGAGCTCCATTGAACCCTTTCCTCCTTATCGCCCCTCCAAGCACGACGCAGAGGATTCTCGTCAAGGTTGCTCAAACTCTGATGTCCTTTAGAAAAGACTCCCTGGTCGACAACGTGATTGTCGACCTCAGAGCGTGACAGTCCTGAAGGAACTGGAGACATTGTGTGGATCTGTAGACGAGGTTCAGACCCCGAATGGGTCAGGCTGCATGGTCTTATACATAGGACGGCAATAACCTGTTTGCGATTGGATGTCTCGTTCTCAATCCAGTGACTCTGAGGGTTGTGGGACCTCTTCATATTTACTGTGCGAATGCACTGGCCGCGGCGACGTGAAGGGAGGAAATAGACCCCCTTAGCCCCGAAGTGGATGCTGGCCAAAAAGATGACAGATCCTCTCTCTCAGATGACGGGTTCACCTGTTCGCAAAATAAAGGAATTTCTGTTAATTTGTTCAGAAGCAACTGATCACAGGTTGACTTCGAAACCTATCATGGGACTCTTCTATTGAGCACAGGAGACAAAGAGAGATGAGGCATCGACAACGCACAGTAAATCGTGTGCAGACCCGCTTGAACTGATCATCACAGGCGCTGAGTGAAGCACAGTCAATGAGCTCTCAAAATCCCATCGCATTAACGGAAGCATTATGATCGTTTATGTGAAACAATCAGTTGTACGTGCACAGATCTTCCGTTCGTTATCGCGGAAGTCCAACGGAACTACCAACGCAGTCTGTGAGGAATGCAATCAACGTCGCCTTATCCAGCTGATAACTTGATAGAATTCAGTTGCAGAACGGGCCTGACTAGAAGAAGGAAACCTTCGCGAAGAGGGTCTTGCGTCACCAATACGTTTGTCATGAGCGGAACATTTTGAATGTTAAATATTGAAAGCTGGCACTGTTGGCTGTGTGCATGCTGGCATGTCAGTGCTTTGGGACAGCTGAGCGCTACTTTGCTAGTCGGGAGCGGGAGGAGGGTTTGATGGAATCAAGGGGTCTCGTGAGGTCTCGCGTCAAATTGCTGCACATGGTCAAGCTTCAAGCTAGAGCGGCGCCCGAGAGTTGCAAAATAAACCAAACCACATTGAGAGAAGAGGTTAAGAGAGGTTAAAAGTCGAGCACTTGGACTGCATTTGGTCCTCGCTACCCGTTTCTGGGGCCTGATCTGTCCACAAATGGAAATCTCGATACAGGGGTCGCGGCTGTAACGCGGCTGCGTAGATGGGAGGACCCTGACCAGAACCGTTCAGGAACACCGTGTTGCCACAGTGCATCTTCTGGCATTTTTACGCAAAGATGCGGATCGACACTTGCCGTACGGACAGTACGATGCTCGGGACGCAGTTGCCAGTTTCGTAGTGCGATCACGGATAGAAAGAGAAATAATTTCTGAGACAGGGTGTTCGTTGGATTTCAGACCAAATAAGGACCAAGCGACAAGTCAATCGGCTTTCGGTTTAGTCAACCGCCCATATCGTACTTATGTACATATATGTGCGTCCGACCTTCGTTAGCTGCTGTCCCTGTTCCACGTCCACCGCACGAGCCTGCTCACTGCTCGTTCGTCCAGAGGCATCGGGTACATGATGGCTAGCTTCAAGCTTCGCATCGACCCGCAAGAAGTCACTTTTCGGGCTCCTGGGAGCGACTCCCACCATGGTGGCGAGGAAAGTGTGGAGGACATCAAGTGCCAGCCTGACCTCCTCCCTGTTCCACCATTACCCGACGGCCCGCGCAGATGGGGAACGTTCCATCTTTTGGGATACTGGATTGCTGAAGCTTTCGGTGCGTTTCCTGCGTTAAGGGTCGGATTTTCTGTCTTCGACACTTCATGAGAATCATGACTAACGAACATGACGAACACAGGGATAAGGTCATTTCTCGATGCTTATTGTCTTTGTCAGGGGTGCTCATGAAAAGTTTAGCCAATACCAGGTCGCCTCTTCAGCAGTTGCTGGCGGATTGTCTCCAGGTGCTACCATTGGGGCTGTTTTTCTCGGCCACGTCCTTGTGTGTGAGTTCTTCATTTATGAAAACTCACGTTGTCTCGCTCAATTAATAACCATCCGTAAACCTAGCTATCGCCTGTGCTGCTAGTGGATGGGTCGGCGCTACCTACGGCATCAACTTTCCTGTGTTCGCTCGAGGCGTACGCATTCTTCTTGTTGACTTATCAGACTTCGAAGATAAAGTTATGAGTTTTCCAGTCATTCGGGATCAGAGGAACTGCAATCGCAGTTGTGTGTCGTGCAGTTGCCGCCATCATATGGTTTGGGACCCAAACGTATCAAGGTGGCCAATGCGTCCAGGTAACGATCACTATCTCAGAGTTTTTTCATATTCTGACCCATATACTGTCCAGGTCATGGTTGGCGCGATCTGGCCTTCCTTCAAGGCCTTTCCAAATCACCTTCCCCCCTCAGCTCATGTCACTTCGTCACAGCTCCTCTGTTTCTTGTTAGTTTCCAAGCATCTATTCCCGAGAAGCTAATAATGACACAATATGTTTCTCGCCCCAGTATCTTCTATATAATTCAGCTTCCGCTATTGTGGATCCACATATCCAAGCTGCGATACCTTTTCGCAGTCAAAGTGGTCATCATGGTACGAGCATCTCTATGGTCCTTGTGCTCTTCGTTTAACTTTTGAGCACAGCCATTTTTTGGGTTCGCCCTGTGTAAGTCATACACTTTACGAACCTTTTTCGTGGTCATTATTAGCTCACGATCAAATGTTCAGTCGGCTGGGCAGTCGGACGCGCCCACGGATTTGGCCCCATATTCAATCAAGGTACTCATGTTACCGGCATGCCAGTGGCCGTTGCCTTCTTTTCCGCTATGACATCGGCTATCGCTCCTAAGGCCACTCTCGCTTTGAACATTGCGGTAAAGATTTTAAAGCCCATGTCAGTGGGAATGACTTGGGCTGACATGAGGATTCCAGGACTTTACTCGCTATGCAAAATCCCCGAGAGCCGTGGTGTGGACTAATATCATCTCGTTGTCCATCCCCGTCACTCTCTGCGCGTAAGACCTTCAGTTCTCATTTGCGTAGGGAAAGTGATCTCATCGGGCCTCTCGTTCATCCAACAGGATCCTAGGCGTCGTGGTCACTTCTGCGACGAAAGTAATCTACGGCGTGTCTACCTGGAACCCTCTCCAGGTCGCTGAGCTGTGGGACAATCGCGCTGCAGCATTCTTCGCGGCTTTCTGTTGGTCTCTTTCGGTCATCGCCACGAACATATCTGCGAAGTCAGTTTGCCCATCTTGACACTATTTGCAAGATACGAGTTTTTGATGTTTTGGTCTAGCTCCACAGCAGTAGGCAATGATCTTGCTATTTTGTTCCCGAGCTTCATCAACGTGCGTCGAGGGCAGTACATATGTACGTCAGGGAACAACATAGATAAATCAAGGTTTTGGTTCTGATATCATTCAATAGGTGCTATTATCGGCGTTGCTGCGTGTCCTTGGATGATCCAGAACTCCGCAAAATCGTTCACCGCATTCCTGTATGACGCTGTATTTTTTTTGTCTTCCTAGAAAAGGAGCTCAAACTTTCTCCCTACACTCTAGCGGCGGCTACTCCATATTCTTAGCGCCAGTCGCGGGAATCATTCTATCTGACTACGTGAGTTGTTCTCGCTCAAAGTGTTTTCCCACTAGATTGGTACTGACTTGACCAACAGTATATCCTTCGTCATCGTTACTTGGACATACCCAACTTATACCGCAAGGCTTCCTCGCCTTACTGGTAGGCGCTATTGGATCCATAATCTGTCGACGCGCAAGCTTGAAGCGGATTTTCGACAGGTATACCGCTGGATTCAACTTGAGGGCTGTTGCGGCTTTCACGCTTGCCCTGGTACCCAACTTACCTGGTTTCGTGGCCAAAGTCAACAGCAATCTCGACATTCCAGCTGGGGCGTCATACGTCTTGTACGCCCGTCTCTCATCCTTGTTCGCAGCGCATGTCGACTGATCATCACAAAAGCTCTGTGGTATGGCCCCTCGGTGTCGTCGTTTCCGCTGTCCTTTATCTCCTCTTCAATGTCATCTGGCCGACGATCAATATTAAACCGATTGTGTCCGCCGAGGCCATCGACGAGACCGCATCCCAGAGCTTGTACGGAGATGAGAAAAAGCAACCGCTCTCAGTCGATGGCATTTGACCTCGGATTCTTCTATTTGCTCTCCTTTGTTCATCGTTTTGCTGTGATATGCTCTGGATTTTAGATTTTACCGACACGTTTTGGAGGTTCTTGTATATTGTGGTTGTGTATTATTGACTCCTACTATCATAGATTTGTCTGAATATCATCTATAGGATTTTGCCGCATCATGCTACGCTCAGACGCGCATCCTGAGCGACTCCGGATTTTCACCAGAACGATCCCTCGTTGTGGGAAGTTTCGGAGATGCTCCGGACACCATGGTTTCCACTCAGCTTCCAAGACTGTTTCGAGTTCGCTTGTCCATCGTCCACCAAACTTCGCAGCCTACGATAAATCCCCTCGAGCGGCTATGTGTCACTCCAGAGCGACTGTTAGTTGGTGCTGAAAAGGAGCGAGGTGATGGACCTCAAACTAGTACGATGGGTGAATGGTCTCATCATTCTCGAAATTGATTTACGATTTTAATGTCCCTCCGTCGACCATGCAATATACAGATTTAAGAACATGCCTCCATCGAAAATATCTTCAAGTCCAATCTCGTTAATTTTTTTTTGCGTCGGGCGTAGGGAAAACCCTTGCCTAAGGTTAGGGTTGTTTCCTATGTAGAAACTCCAGGTTTCTGCTTCGGTTTGCCCGTCTCAATATCCCACTCGTCTTCGAGAATACTCATGAAAATGATGTCGTCCCATTTTCCTGCTACCCAATTTGATTTTCTCATCCTCCCTTCTTCGACAAACCCTCTGTCAAATATCAAAGAACACGTCAGGGTCGACAGAATGATCTTCGGTGCTGAATCGCTTACACTTTCCGATATACTTCGACCGCCCTCTCGTTGATTCCGAAGACTTGCAGCGATATCCTATGCAGTCCTTGCTCTTTGAGCCCGTGCGTGACAATCCATTCCAACAACTCCGTCCCGTATCCGTTCCCCCACCACTCTCGCTTGAGCGTGATTCCGATGTCCCCATTTCTGTTCTTTCCTGCCTCGACGCGCAGCGCGATGAACCCTACAAACTCATGCGTCTCTTTGTGCTCGGCAATCGCGAAAAGGGAAGGATCTTTGGTGAGTATATTGATGAGCTCCTCCTTGTAGTACTCTTTGGTCCGCGGTTGGATGCCCCATGAGGCGAACGTGAGCCGCTGGATTTCGTCATCGTTCCAAAGAGCGGCGAGCGGTTCGAGGTCTGTGGCTCTGTATTCGCGCAAATCCAGACGGCTGGTTTGGAACATCGTGGGTGGGTTGCATCGTCCCAGCATAACCGCCCATGCTTATATCGCGTAGTACTCCAGTGTTGCAAGGCGGTAGCGAGCTTTCGTGACTCGACATTTGCAGCCCTGTGCCTGATCGAAACACTCTCCGAGCGCTATCTGAGCATGTGGACGCCATACGGGGGCGCTTGACAGGTGACGAGGAAGTCCCTAACAAGCCTCTTCTCCGCTACGATCAACTGTCAGGCGTGCGCAGTCTCCGTAGCTGACCAAACACAGAAGAGAACCGTTCTGTGTTTAAGGAGGCTTGCGGGTGGCTCTAAATTTATGGCACCCACAACAGACCATATCTAACATGGCTTGAAATATGATAGCAACTAGAAACGTGAGTCATAGCGTACACAAGAAATGAGAAAACCCAGTAGAAGGAAATGACACAGACACGCGCTCGCTCAACCCTGAGCCTCGAAGTGTGGGATTCCAAAGACACTCCCATTGTCCCCATCCAGACCCATTAGGAAGGATTCCCAGTCTGGCCCAAACGCGTTCAGATTGATGTTCCATGCTGTTGGAGCACCCCACCCGACACCTCCCTGTACCGGATCCTCTACTGCCCCTGGCCCGCCGCCGACGTCGCCTTGTAAATGAAAATTCACATCCAGACGAGACTCTAGCGCGGCGACAACGCTGGTGAACTCCTCGGCAGATCGTAGGACCATAGCAACAGATTCAGCACGGGTCAGCGCGGCTTCGGCGAGATCCCAAAAGTCGTTCTGTTTTGCAGTTCGGAGAGCAGTGACTAGCCGATGAAGCAACAGGATAGGATTGTTGTGCATGTTAGCTTGCAAAGTTGCAATCCCATTAGTGGATGTTGCAAGGGGCGATGAGGTCGTAGCAAGGCTTAGTCGGATAAGAGAAGAAGTCAAAGAGGAGAGAACATGCCCAACATCTATACGGACCGACAAGATCAGGAATGGCCTCATTACTTCAACAAAATGGAACGTACAAACAAGCCAGAAGCCATCAAAACACGGAGACGTCAGAGAGCAGAAATAGTCGACGCATTCTCTGAACATCTCCAATGTTTCGGGATCTGGAGTGAAGCTATATATGCAAGCTGAGATCACGAGCGTCTGGAATTATACAACAGAGGCGCTTACGGGCTCCCAAGACCGATTTTGAGCTCTATCGAGATACGCCTAAGCATACATCGGAAGCCAAGTAGACATGTCATAAGCGATGCTTTGAAAAGTATCTCAGCGCCCCGAAGTAAGGCAAATGTTCCAAGTACTTACCGACACCGCTGGGCAGCACGTCGCTAGGTATTGCTTGTGCTTCGTCACTCCTGACCTCGTGCAGCAAGGTGCCGACGTCGACCTCAATCTCCATGACCATCCGCAGCCTGTCTTCCCGTGAAACAAGCTCGGACGACAGCGTGCAAACCCTCGCCTGCAAAACCGAGACAAAGTACGACAGGCGGCAGAGGTAGACGAATGACTTTGGCGAGCGGATTGACTGTGAAGTCGGACCTGACGTCGCGACTGCACTGGAGAGGGCTGGGAATGGCACGCTGTGGTTGTCACCTTGAATATGTGCAGGGCGAGAATTAAGAAATGACATCCTAAAAGAGTTGGAAGTGTATCAACGGGCAAGACGAATTCAAGCGCTATACTTACCATGCGTCGTGAATGCGCAAATCCCACCACAGGACGCGACGTAGATCCTTCTCCCAAGGTGGTAAAGCCCAATTCGTACAATCTATGTGTAGCCCCAACAGTTGAGATTGGGCAATAGTCTAAAATGAAGCGTCAGTCGCTACCACCATATGCTGAAACTTTTATGGAAATTTATGACATACTCTTGCCAACAAGATATATCTATACTCGGCATCCAGTACTGGTCTTCCCGATAGGTCGAGAAGTGCGGCTGAGATACTCGAAAGTCGTGTACTTTCCTGTCCTTTGTCAAGACTGCCCGCGAGATCAACTCGACGAGCGGCTCGCGCCGACGGTCGATACTCTCGACAATGACTCAGGGCCGTGAGGTACATTTTGCGCAAAAGCGGTGGTTTGAGGTGGTGAAAGTCAGACGGGGGTATGATAACAGGGAACGCGGAATTATGCGTGCGAATAAAGAGATCCACGAGAAACTCTTCCGAGGGCGGAGGGGTGAGCAATGACAGCGTTGCCTTCACGAGCGCGAACTGCTCTTGTTCTGGTTTGGCATTCATTCTTTCTGCAAGACTCTCGACAGATAAGCGCCTGCCCCAATCAGAGCAAAAATGACATACTTTGTGTTTTATTGGTGAAAATGGCATACTGAAGCGCACAGATGTATCAGTGTTCTCGATTCTTTGTCACTTGATGTAAATGTGATAACTACCCGAGGTTTGGATTTATCAGATGAAATCTGTCTGATGTATCCTGTATCTGGAAGCTCTGAACCAGATCCTGTCTGTCGATTTCCAATGGGCAAGAGATCGTCCGTCAGGAGAACAGTGAGCACATGGGGCTCGAGAGTGTCCGTGGTAGACAGATCCAGAGATGTAGGACCTGATATCGAAGCCGCTTGCTGACGCTCTTGCTGAGTGGCCGCCTCGATAAGCGCGTGCATTCCGGTGAAGTCGACGCTGGGGCTTGTACTTGTGCTGGCAGTCATACTCGCCCTTCGCGGCCGTTTTTCTGCTGCATACCCTTGCGTACCAGTCTCGCTTCCGGGAGAGCTGATGCTCCCAATGTGGGCACCGTCTTGATTAGGCGGCAATGCGCGCTTGGTAGGTTTCTTGCGCTCTGGCGGCAGTTCGTCAAACGTGCATGATTTACGCGTCTGCCTTTGATTGACAGTGGCGATGATTCATTTGTCGGGCCGCATGCAGCACAAAAGACTCGCTCACTGACACTCCACACAGGGTGGACCAACTTCGGGAATGGCACAGCGCGTCTTGGCTTTACGCTGGCACAGATCATTCAATGCTCACACCTCAGTCCATTGATCGAAATAGAATGTAAAGACACACTGACGCATGCGTCGCAAGGCCGATTCTTCCTCGATCGAAACGGCCTTGACAGAGTGGATGGAAGCAAGCCCACGGTTGAACTTGGCCCTGGGATAGACGATCCTTCTGGCATGCTCTTCGCTACGCGTCTCGCCTTGGGGCTTCGCGTTCTCGAGGCTATTCGTGTGGGACTGGCCGAGGATATGAAAGAGCGAGCAGCGACGAGAAGCACAAAACATCCACGTCTATGAATAATGTGGGGAACCGACACTCAACCGACGACTACCGCGCGGACGAGGCCCACAATCGCCTGACTCATGACGAAACAACACCACGTGATTCAGTCGCGTCGCGTCCAGTATCAAGCGATGCTGACAATGTACACGCTCCCTACACAAGAACTTAACACATACGACATGGCCATACACACCAGAGGATCAAGCAACTTCTTCAGGCTCAACAACACCAGCCCTTTCCGATATGAGGCCATAATGTTCCGGGCGCCGGTGCTTCTCGAAGCAGAACATCTTCGTCTTTCCTTGCCTGAGATGCATGGATCAGGGAATTCAGCGAATCGCCTTGAGAGAGCTTTCACACTCACACGCAGGCATCTAGATCAATATCGGCAACCACCACTTCGTCTCCGTCGGTCTTGTTCTCCGCGACGATGTGGCCGTTTGGATCAACAATCATGCTGCCCGTGATGAGTTCAAACTTTCCATCGTCCCAGCCGCAGCGTGCAGAGGTGATACAGAATGCTATAAGAGACGACTGATAAGCTCGTAAATCCATTCCTTGTGAGCAATCCAAACAAACTTGAGTTGCTGTATGAGTTGGATTGAACAACGAGTTTATGGTGGAACTAGTATTCATGGTGATATGTCAAAGGAAGCTGTGATCACGGAGGGATGCTCACTATTGCTTCCACGCGGGATTGATCTTGCGTCATATCAGCAGACCCCCACAGCAGAGGGGCATAGGCAGTAGTGTTCTAAGAATGCATCATTTCGCATGCTTTGGTATGAAGGGTGCACAATGATGAAGGACTCACAAATCCGATGCACATTATTTCTGTTCCCTGCATCCCATAGCACCTCCACCCCTCAGCCCACCTTCGGTCGTTGCAAATCATCATTCCCACAATCGGACTTCTCGTCTCGTGCTTCAGGTGCGGCGCTCTGAATGCTTGGAAGCCTAAATTTCCAGGACGGAAGTAGAGCTTTTCAAGCTGATTCGTTGCATTTGGATCGCTAACAGGCTCAGATGTCCCAGGAAGGTGTACCTTGATTCAAGGTCGATGAGCTGCTCCCGGTGTTGAGCTACTACAATGCTCACCTTGCGGTACTTGGAGAGAACTTTCCCCTTTGACACGTAGCTGGCGGTGTTGTATGGTGTGCCTTCGGGAGACTTCTCCGCGTACCCAACAACGACATCCACTCCTAGCTCGTTTGCTCGCTCGAAGAAAGCCTTCACGTTAGTCGAGCCCACAATTCCGGTCTCTGGGTGCTCGACTTCATAGAACGCATTCAACTCGGTTGCCTCACTCGGAGTGAAAACATACCGAGGAAAGAACGTGGTGAATGTGACCTCCGGAAAAACAGCGAGCTGGACGCCCTTTGAAGCAGCTTCTTCGAGGAGGGCTGTCAAACGTGCGAGCACCTCGACACGCGGCGTGTCGCGATCAATGCGCCCGACTTGGACGGCAGCGACTCTGAGTGGGCGAGTCATTGCAAAGGTCAAGCGAGGGAGAAATCCAACAGGATGCGTTATTACCAGTCACAAGGGAAGTGTGTAAGTTTATGGATTCTGGAAAGCCTGGATCGGGGTCGCCTTTAGCCGCGGCAAACAAATGGTACTCAGCACCGGATGAAGATTGGGGGGCCGCACGGAGCTCTCTCTTCCAGTGGTGGTAGGCCCATTGCGAGTTTATCGTGACGGTTCCGAGAGGAAGTCGTGGAAGACTTCGACCAGTATAATAGATTGAGATAGCGGCTTGGGCAACAAAAGTACACGGACAAGGACAAGCTTGTTCAGGGAACCTACCTCAAAGGGGTAAAGATGTCAGGAAGCTCGAGCGGTGCTGCTGAAAAACTGAAAATTGGCTCGTACCGATGAACGACGACGATGAGCGAGACGGCGGTCCCGATTTAGTAAGTAAGTAGTCCTATAAGGAAGGAGGTGCGTAATCGCTTGCCCTCGTTGCTGCCGATCTCGTGTGTCGTGTCCACGATGTGCAACAGCTTGCTGTACTGGACAAATCATGACCCACCTGACAGCTCCCACCCGGAAGTGCCCTTGTGACAAGTTTATCAGAATACCGCGTTTGACACGCACTGACCAGGCGGCACTAGGGGCCGCTTTATGCTGCCCCGGGCGATTTGACAGCGCAGGCCCCAAGAAGAGAACGGAAGCAATCCAAGAGCCCAGTGCGCCCCTCCTGTGACCTGCGCAGGCCAAATCTAACAATGCTTGACCTTTTACGGCAAGCAGCGCACTCACTCGCACTCACGGTACAAAGCCAATGTGCCGCGGCCAAGGCCAGGCGTCCGTCGGCGATCTTATCTTATCCGACCCCGTGCCGAGGACGGCCCTCCAAGCTCTCCTCCTGAGAACAACGTTGGTAGTTCCGGACTTGGCCATGAATGCAAATGAACTTCTGGCTCAAGAATCGAGCGTGCATTCACATTCCCACCTCCCCCCATCCCCATCTTCTGTCAGCCGACCTCTGAGCCACTCAGGCAGACCTATTCATGGCTTTTGACCTCGACCTCATCGTCCGGAACGGCATCGTTGTCACTGCGTCAGACCAGGTCGCGTGTGATATTGGGATCAAGAACGGAAAAGTGGTTCTGCTCGCGCAGGGGATTCCTGCGCAGGAAGGGTGTCAGGACATCGATGCCGAGGGGGGTTATGTGACGCCGGGCGGCGTTGACAGGTATGATATTCGTATGCGCAACAAAGTATATCGATCGCTCAAGCACATGCTGCACAGTCATGTTCACCTCGCACAGTCAGCGGCCGCGAAATCATTTGGTGCGCGGTCGGCAGACGACTGGACGAGCGGGACGCGGAGCGCCCTTGCAGGTAAGCATATCTTGCTCCAGTGGGCTCATCTTTTCTAACCCCTGAGGTACAGGTGGGACGACGACGGTCATCGCCTTCGCGGTGCAGAACAGAGGGGCATCGGTGGCACAAGCAGTCGCCGACTACCACGAGCTTTCCAACGCCCATGCGCTGTGTGATTACGGGTTCCATTTGATTGTGACCGACCCGACCCACGAGCAGATGCACGTCGAGCTCCCAAAGCTAGTCGCCGAGGGGATCACGTCAATCAAGGTCCCCATTTCGTCTTCTCACTTCATAGGAGTTTGAGGGCGCTAAGAACAAGCCGCTCCACAGATATACATGACGTATGCCGCCCTCAAACTGAATGACAGTCAGATCCTTGATGTTCTCGCCGCCTCGCGCAAGTACGGGGTTACGACGATGGTGCACTGTGAAAACGCCGACGTGTACGTATGCTCAGCCATCGTGACTTGCTTTCGACCCTTGCGCTCACTGTTCATTGCTCTCAGCATTGAATGGATGACCCGTAGCCTCGAGTCCCGGGGTATGACCGAGCCTTGGCACCACGGCACCTCGCGCCCGCCCATTGTCGAGGCGGAAGCAACGAACCGCGCGCTCGCGCTCGCAGAGCTAATGGACACCCCGATGCTCGTCGTGCACGTGTCCGCACCGGACGCGGTGCGCACGATCCGCCGTGCACAGACGCGGCTGCTGCCTGTGTACGCGGAGACGTGCCCCCACTACGCGCTGCTCGACGGCACGCAGATGCGGCGCGACGGATTCGAAGGCGCCAAATGCGTGTGCTCTCCGCCATTGCGCGACGACCCCCTGGACAAGGAACGCGTCTGGGAGGGCCTCGCGAACGGGACGTTCACCGTGGTGTCGAGCGACCATGCCCCGACAAATTATCACGACGAGAGGGGAAAGCAGGTAAGCGCGCCTCGCCTTTGTAAGCCCGTCTAGGAGAACAACTTGAGTGTTGACGCCTTCCGGATTGGATTGTGTTTGATGCAGCTCGGTATGATTCAGAACCCCGGGAAGCACCCGCGCGGGACATTCCGCACGATTCCAAATGGCCTTCCCGGCGTCGAGACGCGCACGCCGCTGCTCTGGAGCGAGGGTGTGCTCAAGGGCCGGATCTCGCCCCAGCGCTTCGTAGAGCTTAATTCTACCAACGCCGCAAAGCTCTGTATGTGCTCCTGTTGTCGCCGCTCAATCCCCGAAACATCACTGACCTAGCCTTGTCTCTCATTCTTTCATGCCTAGACGGCCTATACCCCCAAAGTAAGCCGCCCGATGGAAGCGAACTGCGCTTGTACACGTGTCGTGTATGCAAAATGAAGCTGACGAAATGGCCCTGGACTGCGTTATTTTTGTTTTTGCAGAGGGCACGATCCAACCGGGGAGCGACGCTGACCTGATCATTTGGAGGCCGGCAGACCAACGCAAGCCCATTACCATTGTCAACGAGAAGGTGCTGCTCCACCCCCTCTTCTTCCCTCCTTACCTTCTTCCATTCCACTCCGTTCTACATCTCGGCTTCACAGAAGGGCAAGCGCTGACATATCTGTAATTCATTACCGCAGCTACACCACGCGGTGGATTATACGCCATTCGAGGGCTTCGAAGTTCAAGACTGGCCTCGCTACACGATTCTTCGCGGCCAAATTGTCTACGATGGCTTGTCGAATGCGGTCACCACTGAGCCTGGGTACGGCCAGTTCCTCAAGCGAGGAAAGAGTTCATTGCCGTAAGTGCCTCCCTTGTTGTTCATGGCCTGCGAAGTTGACGGTTGTGGATCGTTCTATGGAACCATAGGGGCCCGAGGAACCAGTGGTTGTCAGAATGGCGGCCGGAATAAATAGAAAGAGGTCATCAATTGTTTCACGGCTAAGCAAGATGGGAGATGCATCGTGATTACTTACCTTTGAAGTTGCGTGCTTCGGATCAACATGATATCGCGTATGTGTAGTGTATGTATGTGTACAACTTCGGAAATGAATTTATCGAAATCGAAATAACAACGTTTCCCATGATGGGCGCAGAGGCGCTAAGATGTGTCCCGTGAAAGAGGAAGGGGAGAAGGAGGTGAGACGAGACGAGAGAGACTCTCAAACCAGTTCTCGCACGAGCCTCACGATCTCCTCAGCGCAGCCCCACGAAGACTGCCAACCCGCACCGGCATGGCCTACGTTGTGCAGCACCGGAATGCGCGCCCCTTTGATGACGAGATCGCTCCCACGTTCAAGCCGCAGCCCGCCCCGCCGTGCAGGTCGGAATCCGACGACCTCGCGCACGACGATGGCGTCGAGGTCCTGCGGCTCGGGGTGCCGCCCAGTCACACGCGCCGACGGCGGGCAGAGCTCAGGGAAGAGCGCGAGCGCGCGAGTCTTGATGTCAAGTGCCGTCTCGGGGCGCGGGTCGGGATGCCTGTTCACCCACATGACATAAATAATGCGAACAGACGTAAGATAAATTCGAACGTGTTGAACGTGAAACGAGACGAGAGAAAGGAGAGATGCGTTTACCAGTCATCTGCCTCCCTCGTTCCACCGATGACGACTTGGCCGCTTCGCCGCGGGATGATATATGTCCGTGCGCCGCCCTCGCCGCCGTCGAGCTTGCCTTGCTGCAGCGTTCTGCCTTCCTTGATCCACGGCGCTTCAAGAACGAGGACTTGGCCCCGGACGGGATATACATTGATGTCGTTGACATCTCCGAGGTGGAGTGAGCCCAGGCCGGTGCAGTTTACGATCGCAAGGGGTTGCAGGCGCGAATTTGTTGCTGGTTCTGTAACATAGGACAGGGCCTCGGTAAGCGAATCGATGCGCGCCCGGTGGACGCGGCCGCCCAGTGATGAAAAGCGGGCGACAAGCTTGTGAAGGTAGGCCGTGGTGTCCATCGTGAGCGAGGTAAACGTAACGGCGTGTTTCGCGAACGAGGGAAGTTCATCTACAGGAATTACGCGGAACTGCGTGTAGAAAGATAGAAACACAAAGAAAAGGCATGCGATGTGTCACAGACGGCGTGCGTGCCGGGGGATCAGAACATGTGAGAGCTGCTCACATCGGGCATGGACTCGAAGAAGGCGATGTGCTTTTCGCCCTCCGTGCCATAATATTCTTTCTGCGTGAGACGGAGGAGCGCACTCGTGTCACCCTCACGACGCTCTTCGTCGTCCATGACGTTGAATGTGACCCGATCAAGGCGCTGCTGACGGTCATCGTCGTCCGCGGCGAATGAGAGGTGGTGCGCGCCCGCCGCCGTCGACGCGTACGCCGGATCGAGCGGATCGCCAGGAAGGTGCGCAGCGACGGCAACAACACCGAACCCGGCTTCAAGGAGGCGTACGGCGGTGGTGAGGCCGATGATGCCGAAGCCACACACGAGGAGGGTTCGCCCGTGGTCCATGTATTAGATTATTGTGCCAGGATATCAGATGTTTGAATGGCTTGGAGTCGCCAACGTCGGGTGTAGCGAGCGGGTCGGAGCCAAAGGACTTGCTGTGCACGCGAAGCAGCGTCCACGGCCGCGGCGAACACCATCTGTCCCCGTTTCCCGGCTCCCTGATCCCCGATCTCATGTTGCAAACTCGAGCTCGCCGGTCTTCGCCGCTGCACACTCCTCCCTCGACGCCATGCCTCACAGCATCCTCGTCATCAACCCCAACTCCTCCGAGAGTGTCACGAGTGGCCTCAGAGACACCCTGTCCCCGCCACCAGACACCACGCTCACGTTCTACACCGCACCCAGCCACGCGCCACCTTCAATCAACGATCTCACAACCGCGAATCTCACCGCGACAGCCTGCTTCGAAGACATCCTTGCCAAAGGCCTCGTCGAGCTGTACGATGGCTTTCTCGTGTGCTGCTGTACGTCTCCCTCCTCTCCGTCTCCATATAGCTTATCGCTGAGCAGAGACCACGCAATCACCACCACTCCGCCAACTCTCCGATGGTTCTATGGATCGGACCGGATCGCTCGAACAATCCATGGGGATAACTCAAACCGTACCGCCTCCTCCAGTCTCCGACCATCCACTTATCCATATGCTCCGCGAGACAACCCCAAAACCCACCATCGGCATCCTCCAATCCGCCATCGTCCACGCCCTTCTGATTGGTGACAGGTTCAGTGTCGTCTCCACAGGCTCAGGATATCGTTACAACCGACACGCCGAGATACGTGCATGCCTCGGCGGTGACTCTGCGCGGTTCGCAGGGATCGTGATGACTGGGTTGGGAGTCGTCGAGCTGCGGGAGGGCGAGCGTGCGCACGTCGAGAGTGCGATGAAGGACGCGAGCGCAAAGGCGGCAGCGTCAGGTGCCGATGTTTTGTTGCTCGGGTGTGCTGGTGGGTGTTCGCTTTGCTGTGGTTCTGTGACGCAGCTGAACACTGATGTGTGACTTCGCACCAATTTAGGTATGGCAGGAATGGAGGTCTTGGTTCAGCAAGGCGTCGCCGAAGCTGGGCTCAAGTCCGTTCGTATTGTCGATGGCGCCAAAGCGGGAGTCCAGTTCCTTGCGTCACTCATTCGACTGTCCGAATAGTTTTCAATATCGTCTCAATCATCTTGTATTGTTTCAGTACGTGCTGTATGTTTCATAGTGTATTTTTTGCATCCGTCAACTTCATACTCACCATCGAAGTGATAAATGGTGTCTTCAAAATGAGGTCAGTCCTGGAACGAGCACTATCGTCAGTAATCGTACAACCAGAGACCAATCAGAAACAAAGAGTAAGAATTTCAGTAGCGCATAATTTGGCTATATGCTAAAAACCGATCGTCAAGGCCTTCTGGCTACGACTGGGGCGGCATGGTATCATCACGGATATAAAAACAAAAAGACGAACAAAAATAAGTAAAAGCAAACTTACCAAGTCAAGATGGCTGACATTACAGACGGCGTAAGGTTGAGTTTGACCTGATATAAAGCGTGTGATTAGTTACGAGCGAAGGATTGAATATCGAGAATATTGGAATCAGCAGCGCATATATGTTTGGCTGTATGCTATACCGATCGTCAAAGCCCACTGGCTACGACTGGGGCGGCAAGAATATCATCCGGATGAGAGAAAGAGATAGATGAAAACTCACGACAGTCAACTCTTCGCGTGGCTGAACGGCGATACCGCCCTACGCAGAAAATTGAGAGCCCATCGATGCAAAGTTGGCAGACCACAGAGATGAAAAAAAAAGGTATGTATATCCAAGAGTATTACAGGCCGCTGGCAGCCGGTACGACATCGTCTTCCCGACCTACGAAAAAAAACGTCAGCTCCAACATCCATAAAGGTATACTCGACTGCGACGACAATCTGTAACCGACGTGAATTGTCGAACTCACCCTCATAGAACTTCTGCAAGAACGATCTCTGAGGCCGGTCCCGTTTCTCGAGGAGGATGCCGAGGACGTGCGGCTCCTGCTGCCAACAGTTCAAGGTCTCCTGATAATCTTGACGGCCCTTGAGGAGGAGCACGTCAATGACCTTTGAATCCGAGACATAACGGTTCTTCTCAAACTGCTGGCGCACGGCGGCACGGATTTGCGAAGCTGGAACGTTAAGGGCGAAGAGAGTGCAGATCTCGGGAGCCTAGCACGCCATGCGGATGCACACACCCGATCCCACACGAGTAAGCGTACAAAGACAAAAAAAACAGAAGAAAAGAAAAGGAAGATTGAGAAGGCAAGGAGGGAGTACGGGAAAGAAGAGAGAGCGCAAGAAGTTTTTCAGAGGCAGGATGTTTGTTTGGTTGCAATGTTTGGAAGAGACGCGTGGGTGAGTCCATGGACTTGGGGGAGGCGGCAGGAAGGCTGGACGACGCACCGCACGGTACCAGTCTCGGTAGAGCTGCAAGACCCTCTGGCGCGCGTGGGTGGGACTGGCCGACACGGCTGTGGTGCGCGCGAGGCGGGCAGGGATCGTGGTCATCGTCGAAGGAGTGCAGAGGAGCGACGACGATGGTGCTGTTGTAGTCAGTTGAGTCGCAGCGCGCCGTAGACTCCCGCCCAGCTATGTCACGCCTTTCCAACTCCGCGGATTACATACGCCATCGCGTCCCGATGAGGCAGGCGTATATCCGCCCTAGTCATTTCCAGCCAAGTGCGAGCTTTGGGTACCTTCGACTCTCCTCCGCACGCCACTACACCCTTCAACTTGCAGATTGCCATCGATGGTCAGAGGATCCGGTGCGTCGTTTTGCGCGCACGCTGCTCGTGGTTGAAGCGCCTCGCTGAGGTTTCGATCTACTAGGAAAGTTCAAGACAAAGAGGGGTGGCGGAAGAAGCTTCAGGTGCGCTTTTCCGTTTCTTCATTTATTTATTTATTATGCCTCTCTCTTCGCTTGTCCTCGTGGACTTATCTGCTTGTGTTTTTCATCTAGCCGGAATCTCGAACTTGATGAGAACGGCACCGCTGTGTCGACGGACAAACCGTGCGTGCTCACTATCATGTGTGCCGATGCGCGATAGCAGACGATCCTAAATATATATATCGGCTTCCAACCCTCCTTCCAGGCGCCGTCGCAGGAATGACCCCCAAGAAGAAGAATCCTCAGAGGAAGAGGAAGATATAGAAGAGGAGTCTTCCGAAGAGGAATCTGAGGAGGACGCTGCTGGAGGACTCGCGTTGGACAAGCCCGAGCTCTCGCGTCAGGAGCGGCGCGATCTGAAGAAAAAACAGGCGGATCAGAAGAACAAGAAGAAGGCCGATGGTGAAGGCAGCGACGAGGACGCCGATGCAGACGAGCTGCTCGTCAACCCGAATCGAGTCGTGAAGAAGATGAACATCTCAGACTTGAACGAGCCGAGACAACTGAGCCGGCGCGAGCGGTGTGTTGTTGTGACCGCATCCACAGTCAGGATCAGATGGCTGATGCGCCGGTTGCATTTAGGGAAGTCAAGGAAAAGCAGGAAGCGAAGGACCGATACTGGAAGGTACGTGCACGATGTGTGCCACATCCCGCTTAACGTAATTCTTACCTCTGTTTTTAATCCCAACAGCTCCACCTCGAAGGCAAGACCGACCAAGCGAAGACCGACCTTGCACGTCTCGCTAGGATTCGTCAAGAGCGTGAAACCGCACAGGCAAAGCGCAAGGCAGAAGCTGAAGGTCCGCACACCGTCCCATCCACTATCTACGTCACTAAATCCATTCATTATTTCCTCAGAGCGCACAAAGGAGATAGAAGCAAAGAAGAACGCAGGCAGGCGCTGAAGCGCTCAAGGCGTGTAAATGTACCTGGGGTACTCATGACCGCCCACGTTGTACACTACTGCGTGTTTTTCTTGTTGTAACCGAACCGATCTGTATCAGTGCAAAACCCTTTTTTTTTGGCATCGATCCTGCAAGTGGATTGTAGTCGGACGGATTTGAAATGTCTGAAGATACTCGAAGTTAAAGTCGTTCAGTCTCCGCAGGGTTGTTTACACTTAGAAAGTTCTCAGAGATCTCAATACTACTATCTCGCTCTACAACAAATGAAACTAAACAGACTTTACATATGCGCCAATAAAGAGTCTATCATAACACCTATAATTCTTCCTTTATAGGCAGATCTGGCCTCTTGTCGTACAGATCCGCTGCAGGCTGCACGCCCTCGCGGCGCATTTCCTCCTTAACCCTTTCAGCGCCTTCCAAGACTCTCAGCATGTTCCCGCCTGTCAGACCTGAAAGCTCGAGCTTGCTCCAGCCGCGTCGGTACAGCTCTGCAACCTGTGATCGAAGGGAGCAAATTGAGACAGGAGGATGACGAATGATGAGATCAAACGTACGAGCACAGGGTACTTTGAGACATCTTCGAGGCCTTTGGGAACTGTGTTGATCCCGTCATAATCACTTCCGAAACCCACGCTGGATAGGAAAAGTCAACGTCTTGTTTAAGAAACTACAGCATGTGAATGAGCGTACTGTTTCTTCCCCGTCACATTCGCGATATGCTCGACATGGTCAGCGATCACGCTCACGTCGGCCTCTCCAGAATCATGCACGAAGGCCGGATAAAAGTTGACCTGAAAACCGTGTCACTAGTTAGATACAGTGTTCACTCGAAAGATGAAAGGAAGATGAATAAAAGGAAAGAGAGTTACCATGATAATACCGTCCTTCTTACCCTCGCTTTCGTCCCCGATCTTCCCCAGCACACTGTCTGGGACATTCCGGGGGATATCTCGAAGTGTGCGGGCGGAGGAATGGCTCCACATCACCGGCGCGCGGGACACACTGATCGCTTCGAGCGCAGTGGCATCTGAAGTATGTGAGATGTCGACGAGCATCCCTAGGCGGTTCATCTCAGGGACAAGAGCGCGGCCAAGAGTGCTTATTATGCCAACATCGCAAGAATAAAGGTATCGTAAACACGTAGTTCTCAAGCAGGAAAGGTAAGTGGTTCGCACCTCAGCCCGCCATGCAACGGCTCGATGCCGTCAAACAGTCCACAGGAGTCAGCGAATGCGTTATGGCAGGTGTGTGTCAGTGTCATATAGCGCACGCCCAGACTGTAATACTGTCGGAGGACGCCGATCGAGTTGCCTAGCTGGTGCGCTCTGTGCAGGCACAACCGCGGCAAAATAAATTATGGCCAGAACGAAGGATTGCAACGCATGGAACGAACCCCTCGACACCAAGCAGACTTGCGATTTTGCCTCGCCCAATGGCGGACCTAACCTCGGCGGCAGTAAGCGTGAGCTCAAATACCTGGTTAAGTTCATTAGCCATGGAGAGAGATACTTTATTGAAGAACAAACATCGGGATACTTGTCGATGAGCAGACGTGCAACGTCTATTTGTTCTAACGTGTCTCTATGCTAATGTTAGCTTCATGCTGCGTGATACGAAGGAGTAGCTTGCAGACAGTGATTGGCACATACCGAACGCTCCACGTCGAGTTGACAAAATCCCCGTCAGGGTCATAACCAGCATCCCGCGGACACGATGTATAGACAGACCTAGCGTAAGAGATCAGTACGGCGGTCCGACTGCTTCCAGAAGTGCGACTTTCTCAGAGAAAATAAGAAAGCGTAAAATGAGGCTTATGCCTCCTTGCATGACGATCTTCGAGTTTCACGAGATAAGCGCGGTAGAAGTTTGTCATGGCGTAAAAGACGCCATTTGAATGATCAGCATAGCACAAATTGAACAGAATGCACCCATTCGTGCAGTCCCGCTCTATCATTCCAAGCGCACGTCAAAAGTGACCCGTTGATGCCCCGAGACACTTACCAGAAAAATCCCCCGACGTGTCCCTCCTTCAGGCGCTGAATATCCACATGGCCAGGCATCCGGCTTTCGAGGTCGATTGCGGTCGCATTGTTCGCGTATGCCGCGCGCACGAGCCATGGAAGATCTACGGTCCTCATCGCGTGAGTTCAAATATTATCTTCAAGAGCCTCATGAACTCCACCTATGTGTCCATCCTAATTATTCCGCAGGCAAATCTCATCAGTCCAAATCGCACAGCCTCAATCTTTGAGAAATGAAAAGTAAACAAACGCACGATCACGGGCGCTACCTTTAACACCTCCTGCGCCGCTAAGATTGGGTCCTTCGGCAGCTGCCCAGAAAGCCAGGATCCGCTTATCCCGTCGTCGAGGAAAAAGAGCACGAGTACGAGCGTCAACACAAAAATAACGGAGAGCGCTGCATGAATGACAGCTCTGATTCGCTTTGTGGGCTCTGGCTTAGCGCGCTCGACGTCAGGGAGAAGAGGAGCGCTCTCAGACGGCGGGGTCGCACTCATGGTGGTTGGAGAAGAAGATGTGTGCACTGCGTGATCGCGACTTGAGACCCGTGTGTGTGCTCAGGGTCCCACAAGGGCAGTTGATGGGAAGCCAGTCACGGTTCGCTACATCAGAGCAAGCAGCTACTTATAACGCTGCAGGGCGCTGCTACACTTACTCATACATACCTTCGAGTCATTTATGGTTGTGGCCTCTAGTCAGCTACTAAGGAATGTGTATATAGTGGTAGTAACAGAGTCCTACAGAGGAATCCTGGTAGTGTACAAATGTGGTGATAAATAGATGAGCATGGTATAGAGTCCGATGGGTACGTGCATAGTAGAATGTGGTGATGAGCATTGATTCTCCTGCCAACAGTTGGGAAGCACTGACCTCCGAGGAGGTACAAGTATACATAGGATTTGTCAAAGGGTGTTTGAGGCGACTGGGAGTCACAGAGACCACACACAGGTGGCTGCGGCAAATACCAGATTTTCCAACATCACAGGAAGCCAGCTTTTGCCTCTTCGCAATCCGGCACCAGGCTCCGCTGTCTGTTTAGGCGCTGAGTGTATCATCCGCCAGGTCGCGCAGATAGGCATAGGTGTCGTCATGTATATCAAAATCATCGCGATCAGTCCAACCATCTTCCTCATCACCGTCTTCAACACCAGCATCCACCACTCCGTCCCAGATGACAACGGGAACTAGGGTTTTGAGAGACTCAACCCATTCAGGGTGAAGAGCGGATCGGACGACGTGGATGCGCCTAAGACGGTCGTTTCGTTTGATTCTTGCGGCCAAGCTAGGAAACAACATAGCACGGGGATATTCACCCTCGGGAAGGACGTGGCGGAAGAAGTCGACGGAGTATAAGGTGAAGTTTCGCAGGTCTGGCATGAGCAGCATCTCTTTCTCGCTTTCGTGGAGGCTATGAGGATCATGTTTTCCAAGTGCGTCCATAGCCATCGCACGAGCGAAAGGAAAGGCAGCATTGCGCTCCAAGCAGAGAGACTGCACAGACGGAAAGACTGAAAATAGGGACAACCATTCCTGCGGATTGGCCACGTTGATACCAGAGCGGGTCGTGATGCGAAGATACAGCATGCGTATATCAGCAGTGTGAAGAGCTTCGACCACGATCCGGAGCATCCTCTCGTATGTGTCGACGTCGCACTGGTGCCAGGTGAATGAGAGGTTGGTGGATGGCTCGATATCGGTGTCGTTCATCTCTCTCGGGTCATTGAATAGTGATGGCCAACCTTTCACATCGATGGTATCGAGATTGTAGATGTCAATCCACAAGGATCGCAAGGGCTCTGGCCCACCGGTAAACGGAGCAATATAAGGCAGTGGCATGGCGAAGTCTTCATTGCTCCGGCTGTAACACTGGCAAGATACCTCGATGTGGGCTGTGGGCGGTATCGCAATATGCTGTAACAACCAAGTACATGAGGATGAGATACTGGATACGGTGAGCCGACGAAGGGAGGGTAGTTTGACGAGGGGGTCGGATGCAGAATCGTCGCGTGCTTTAGGAATGGCGGACTTCAATTCCAACGACTCGATATTGGGCATCCTCTGTAAGCTCGCAAGGATTTGAGCACGACTGGGCGGGATTTCCATGTAGCTATTTGATATTGGCATCTCCACAGCGAGATTGACTAGATTGTTATAGAGAGGTGAATCCCAATCAAGCCCGCAACGGTTCAGGTGGAGACGCCTCAATAGAGGCGCCTCGCCAGCAAAGAGACTGGGAGGAAAATAGACAATTTCCGCAGCGCGAGTGATTCTTAACATATCAGTGAGACCAGTGAAATCTGGACTGGCGACGGCTTCAAACGATTCTAGAAGCGGGGCAGGACGAGAGAGGTTTGATATCAATCTCGGAAGAAGAGAAGCCTTTCCGGCGAGATATATTTCTTTAGCACGGTGAGCATGAGACAATGCCAATATCAGGGAGTCAATTTGCCTTGATCTCCAGCGGGTGTCATCCGAGCGGTGTATGATGCGGATAGGTGTTTGTTTTGAGCGAGCGATGAATTCAGGTGTCCAGGAGGGGATGGTACTGATGATGTTGCCCCAAAAGGAGGTATGGTTCAAAGCAACCTGTCTCCAATGGCGGCAAACGTGCGTAACCTGGATCCAGTCGAAACTCTTGACGCAATTCTTAGCGAAATAGTGAACAGAGGCATCCAAGACAAGAAAATCGAATATTTTGGAAAGAAGCTCAGCTGGAAGGCGGGACATGGGAGACAAATTGTTGCGGCGGGTTGCGAGTTCGCGCATGACGTGACGGAGGTCATCCATCTCCGCGTCTAGTCTTGCTCTGGCCACGGAAACCTGGTCAGAGTCACTCGAAGCCGACACGCGATCCAGATCTGCGATCCGTGTATACAGTGTGGACATCCAAGTAATAGGATTTGGACTGTCGAGGTATGTAGTCAGCAAGGTCAGACGGGTCTGTATTGCATTGACGGGGTTACGCCATCACCTGGGATACTTTGCACCGTGATTCTCTGTCCAACTCCGTGCGAGCTGCGTGGGCTTGTCTCGACCAGCATCGTCGAAGAAAGACATCTGGAAGCGATTGCACGCTTAATTTCGAGTGATAAGACAGAGATACTGAGAATTGGTCGTATAAGACGTACCCTTGCGAGCACAGCCGTTCAGCGGCAGCTTGCGATCTTGATGAGATTCTTTGCGTGGTGCTATACGATGAAAATGACGAGTGCCTCACAGGGCTCAGCAAAGAGAGGGTGGACCATTCAGGAACGGTGCGGCAGCCACATCCATTGAAACACTTTGTCGGAGTCCGCAGCTAGGCATGACTGTGGCCGGCGGCACATAACCTGTGCGTTTGGAATTTGGTCCTTCAATGCTCCAACCCCACAAGGAGGATTTTCCTGAGCTGTCCTTTGCATCTGAAACTGTTCCCTTGTATTTTTAGGTTCAATCGCTTTTCCAAGGAGACATTCATCTCATTCGGTGATACGAGCGATTTGGGCCGCACACGTACGGCTTGTGCCAGATCTAAGCCCTTCCTTGACCGAAACTTGTAAGGTCACCTCACACTCGTGTTCAAGTCTCGCTCGACTTCTCCCTCTCAAGAAGGAGAGTCACACCTTTGTATCGCATTCGACGTCAATATGGAAGACGCTCGCGACATCGTTAAGACGGGGCCTTTGCTCAAGGAACCTATGTCCGTCAAGGACGAACCTTTGCTCTCCGAATCCATGAAGGAAGAATCAACTCCTCCCGCATCTACCAAGTCCATGCCCAAAGAACCGCAGCTTATAGACCACCTTCCAGTTGCACGAGAGGAAGCTATGAAAACCTTTGTCGAAATCACAGCCAACCACTATCAGTACGGGACGCTAGGGCTCAGCAGGGAGGCAGGGGAGAGTATGACGTGTGATTGTGTCTATGAACATGGTGTGTACATCGATTTTTCTGTCTGACCACCCATCATTGGGCTAGTTCTCGTAACATTAGAAGTACTGGTGCGAATGATCCTCGTTACATAGGCGTAGATAGCCCTTGGATTGCGTGCGGCGACGGCTCTGATTGCATCAATCGCCTCACGCAAGTTGAATGTCTGCCCGACGACTGTCGATGCGGGACACACTGTTTCAATCAACGGTAGGCGCTTTCTCCATGCCACGTAGCGCTTTCCTCTGATTAATACGCCAATTGTCCTCTGATATCTAGGTTTCAGCGTCATGATTATGCGCCAATAGACATCGTGAAGACGGAGAAGAAGGGGTTTGGGTTGAGAGCAGGTGCAGATTTGGAAAAGTGCGTTCTCTGCCTCTCCAGTGCTATCGTGAACCTAATGAGACTCTAGGGACGACTTCATCTACGAGTACGTTGGCGATGTGATTTCCCATCCTTCATTTGCAAAACGGATGCGCGAATACGCTGAGGAGGGTATTCGACATTTCTACTTCATGATGTTGCAGAAAGACGAGGTACGCTTGTCACTTTGTATTGGTTTCTTCTTCGCAGTCCTTCCCTGTCAAATTTCTCAATGCTCTTTTTGACCATGCAACCTGATCATATGCTCTCGCTTAGTACATCGATGCCACCAAACGAGGAGGTATTGGTCGATTCGCCAACCATTCGTGCAATCCAAATTGCTATGTCGCCAAATGGACCATTGGAGACCACGTGCGGATGGGTATCTTCGCAAACAGGACGATTAAGAAAAACGAGGAGCTAACGTTCAACTATAACGTTGACCGATATGGGTTCGTCTTTGCTGACCTGCGAGCGTGCGCGAAATTTCTGACATTGATAACTTGCTCTGAAGTCACGAAGCTCAGCCTTGTTATTGCGGTGAAGCGAAATGTATCGGTTTTATCGGTGGGAAAACGCAGACCGATCTGGCGGCTATGGACGATTTGTATCTCGACGGTTCGTGCTCAATAATATCTTGTTCTTCTGTGGGATTATTGACGACACATTCCAGCCCTTGGTATTACTGAAGAAGTCAACCGACTTGGCCTCAAAGGGAGCAAGAAGAGGAAGAGCAAAAAGCTGGACGAAGACTTTGTGGTAGGTTGCACCAGCCTTGCGTGGATAATTCGTACCAATGTTCGATCATCCCACAGCCGGATCTCAAGCCTTTGGTGGAGAAAGATGTTGCGAAGATGGTGCAAGCTATGCGTCAAACACAAAGCCGCAAGGTCATGTTCAAGCTACTCACCCGAATCAAGGTGAGGGTCATGCACTACACAGCCTTTCCTCATCTCACAATAGACCACCTTAGATTTCTGAAGATACAGCAGCTCTACGCCTCCTTATGCGTCTTCGCGTTTTCAGTGCCATGAAGAATATCATGGGAGATTATGAGAACGATGAGGAGATGCAATTGCTCGTGCGGTTTTTCTCACCAATCGCTCTCACATGTCACTTTTCTGAATCACTTATACAGGGTATACAATGCCTGACAGCTTTACCTCTGATATATCGGAATAAGGTCGACGATTCAAGGGTCAATATACCTGTGCAAGCTTGCACTCAGTCCGGTAATGAGGCGTTGAAGACCGCAGCTCAGAAGGTGCGTCACCTGTCATTCTTCATCATGCATAACATGACCTTTCCGATAGCTCCTCGACAAATGGGCGACTTTGGAGACTATATATCGGATACCTAAAAGGAACAAAGAGGTGGGCGCATTGCACCGTACCTTGATTGGCTGGATTTATAGATTCCTTACAGACGGGTGAAAGCTACTATCCCATCTTGCCACCGGGAGTCTTTGCACCACCTGAGGAAGATCCTCGTCCAGCCAAGCGTTCTAAGTTAGACGATCTAGTTGAAGTTGACTTCGACATCAAGCCTTTAGGCTTCTCGGCAGCCAAGCGACCCGCTCGTCAGCCTAGACGCCCACCTTCCCCTCCCCCCGATCCTTTGGTCCATGCAGCGGCAGCGAACTACGAACGTTATATGACGGTGCAGGCAACTCGCGCCGAGCTCGCTGCTATCATTTCTGCGGCCGCAGCAAAAGAGGCTGCTCGGGCCGCAGAGGCAGAGGCAAAGGCGAAAGCCGATGCTGAAAAGGACGAAGGTCTCACTGTGGATAGAGAGGAGAAGGAGCGGAGGCGGAAGGAGCGGAAGGAGAAAGAGAAAAAAAGGAGGGAGGAAAAGGAGGCAAATATGCACAAGAGGTTACTGAAGCTGATCAGCCCGGTCGTGGTGAAGACCATGTCCCGACATCGAGCCAGAATGGATGTGGATGTGTTCAAGAAGCATGCGAAGGAGGTCAGTTTGTTACGACGATCGTGCGAGCCTGGTCCACTAACTCGCATCCTCCCTAGCTCACCCATATTCTTGCTGATAAGGAGAAGAAATCTCAGGACGCCCAGAAGAACAGCAAGTATGAATCCCTTTCAGACGATACGATTCATAAGATACAAAAGTTTGCTCGCGATTACACTTTCAAGATCATTTCCAAGCTCGAAAAGCAAGGTCAACTTACCAAACGAGACCCAAAGTCGTCTTCAGGCTCCGCAGGCTCTTCTTCTCGATTGAAACCTTCGACAGAACACCGGATCAATGGTCGATCGATGTCCCCCGAGGAGGCAATGTATATGAATGGTGGTGATCGCATCGACGAGCACGGGGAAGATAGAGACGAGACGCCAGGAGATGACGAACGGACACCGGTAGAGCCTGCAGAGTCTGACACATCGACAGCCGTAGCAACGGATCCAAGGAAGCGTGGGTGGAGTGCTGCTTGGGACGCGAAGGACCTTGTGCGAGACGCTGATGGCGATCTTTCCATGCGGGAGGTCGGAACAGTGGGAATCGCCTCATAGCATATGCTGTCAAGCCGTGTTGGATCGTCGTACTACTTCGTCGCTGTCTATTTTACTTATTCCTGTTGTTATTGCATCGTTCATCCTGGCTTAGACTCGTTGTGAGTACGTGTCGAAACTGACTATACAACGTCACGTCCCTACTGTGATCGTTTCTTTCGCAACAATGTAACATATATTTAGGCTAAGTATAGGTGTGTGTGAGTAAATTTAGGTGAAAGTGTTGTGCAAAGCAAGGTCCGTGTGCAGGAACAAACCCATAAAGGAAAGATATATATGTAGACGAAAATAAATCATACTTTTCATGAAAACAAGTTTATAGGATCGTCATCGTCATTCGCAGTAGCTTGGCTCTTGAGAGCATTTGCTTCGGCGCGCTTGAGGACGTCTTTGGGCGCTCTTCGAGGGACATTGATACGCTTGACGCGTTTGATGCCCCCCGCATGCTCAAGTTTGATCTTTACAAGTTGACCTCGGCTAGGAAGAGGCTGAGAAGGACACAAGATGAATTTCAGCTGTGAGGAAGATATCTCGAAAAACAAGGCCGTACCTTCACAGGCGATCTCTGAGGCGCTTCACGAGCATTCTTGAATACAATATTCTCCTTGTCGCCGCTGCATTTTGTGGGTAATGTCGACCCATTAAGAACTGAATTGATACGAGTGAGAAAATCATACCTAGAAGAGGGTTCATTATCTTGCTCTAGTTGGGATTGACCTCGAGCCCTCTTGTTCTGACGACGCATCTCGCTTGCATTTTTGCGCTTCTTCGACTGCCGAGGGACGTCCTGTTCATGGGCTTCATCCTCTTGCGCGTCATGATTTCGTTGGGCGTTACGCTTTTTCAGAGGAGCTGCGTCTCCAACGTTCCGTGAAACCGATTTCGCGCGTTTTTTCGCAGGTGCCACCTTAAGCTCCTCCTCGACTTCAGATAGTTTCCGAGCCCGTTTTTTTGTATTTGACCCACGGGCAGGCGGGTCGGGTTCCACAGCTGGTTGAGCCTTTTCCTTCCCCTTGCGTCTGGCCAAAATCTGCAGCTTCATGACCTCAACAAGAGGCACCTCGACAGACTTGTCCGACCCTGGCAGAAGCTCCGAATATGGAGCCTCTTCCTCAACAACACCGACAGAGACCTCTCCAGCTCCACCTGTTTCGGCAATAGGTGGCAGCCCTCGTGCGACGGCCGATCGAGCCTTTGGTTTCGATTTGATAGGATTCCTCAGAGGTTTCTGATTTTTGCGATTGGGTACAAAATCAGATTCGGGAGTTGTATATGAAGTCGCTCTAGATGTGGGTGCTTGTGTCTGCCTCGAAGTTGATGCGGAGGAAGTGGTAGCAGTGGATGAATGCAGAGATTCGGGCGAGGACTGGCGAGGCGAAGTAGCAGTAGGGATAGAGTGCGATGGAGGTTGGGTGAGGCTCAGTACATTGTTCTGGCTTGGTTGGTTCTTGGAGCTTTGCTTAGACTGGCCAGTACGCGTCTTGGTTTGAACCGAGCCTCCATCCTCGAGAGGGTTTTTCTTTGGCCTTCCTTTCCCCTGAGTCGTCTGAAGCGTGTGTTCGCGTACACTTGACTTGATGACTGTCTTCTTTGGTCCTGCGGCCTTCTTCGAGGCTGGCTTTTTGGCCACAGTACCTCCGTAGTCATCGGAAGCCTTGGTAGCGTGTTGAGCCTGGAAAACCAGTTGCGTCGCTTTGGGAGAGTCTTCCTGTGAGCCCTCCTCCTCCTTAAGGAGTTTAGATTCGGGTATTTTTCTAACTTTCGTCATGACTGGCGTAGGTATAGTGAGATTGACTATCACAAGAAGAATAGTTTGAGTACAAAGCTCAGAATTTAGCAGATTAGGGAGCATACTGATTTCGGCGATCCGTGCTGTTGCAGACTTGCTAGACTTAGGCGCAATGCCACGCGCCTTTGATTGCGAAGGCTTCGTGACTGTCTTGGGGATGTCTGCCACATCACCTTCTCCCCCTACATAAATAGGTGAGATGGCTGCTAGAATGGACACGTAACCTGAGTTATAGAGAAGCAATATGACACGCACGTTCAGGTAAAGCAGACTTCGTAGATGCTGTAGAGACTCGACTCTTTCTCCTTGTACCCTTCTTCGGAACCACCTTCGCTGACGATTCTACATTCACCTCCACCACGGACCCGGACTTTTGAGTAGCAGGAGTTATGCGTGGGGTCTCAGGTTTGATATTCCGCTTCGCTGTAGACCCAATTGCTGTAGTGCTCGCGCGGCCCTTTGACTTCCGCGGGCTAGATCGCACTTTGCGGGGTGACTCGGCATTGAACTTTCGGGACAACAAGATGCCCACAAGATCATTGGTCGTAGATGGAACAAATATGCTTTTTCAAAAAGTTCGACGAATAATGACATGTCATTGAAAGTTCTAATGCATGCTAGTAGAAGACACACCCTCCACGATCTCTGAAACGCGCTTGGTGGCGCTGCTGCCGTTCCGCCTTACTCTCTTCTATAGATTTGACGCCTCCGTTGACTTTTTTATCAGAATTTGTTGGCTGAGGATGCAGAACTGGCATACTTGAGGAGCTGTATGGATGAGAATGAAGACACAACAGTTCCGATCGGAAAGCACTTGCCCCCACGTGAGCAATTAAAACAGTCACGTGAGCTCATCGTTGACGGCAACGCGTCTGCCGTTGCCATCCTTCACATAGACGATCACCGACTCTGCTACAGTCTACGGTCTTGACATATCCATTCTTCTCTTGCGCTTTTTAACATCAAGATGCCAGACTCAACGGGGAAACCTTCACAGGCTCTTGGATACATACTTCGCACCACCGTAACCCACTCACGCCTACTTCCAGTTCAATCTCGACATGCATTCACTTATCCTGTCCTGTCCTTCTTTGTATCTCTCTCGGAACTTGAATCTAACAAACTCTCTCTGTTGAATGGATACCTCTTTTCATATGGAGGGGCTGCGTGCCGCATCACTGGTCTTCGTGCGTCAGGCTACCTCTACGAAGATGGCGGTAACGAAAAATCTATCCGGAACAAGCTTGTACGAGTATTGGAAGACTTCGGAATCCACGATGCTATCAGCATGAATGACGCGTGGATCATGACTATTCCCAGTTACCTCGGATACGAGGGTACCAATCCTTTGACCGTATATCTTTGTTATATGGAGGGAAGACTATGGACAGTTGTACTCGAGGTATGTATGACTTTCGAACCACGACTTGCATACGCTCAGACTCAGTATTTGAAGATACACAACACATTTGGAGAACGCCATGTTCATATACTCCAGATTGGGAAGGACGAAGAGACGCCTGATAGGGGGTGATTGATTCTATCTGCTTCTCCAAACTCAAGGTTAACCAAGTCGGTTTGCATACTAGTTTTGAGCACCAATGGACATTCTCCAGAGAGTTTCATGTTTCTCCGTTCAACGACCGCGCAGGCACGTATACAATCTCAGTACGTGCACCATTCAATCCCCCCAACGACCCCTTAGCTTCGAAATTGTACCCCAAACCTGCCGTCCGAGTGCATCTAAATGAGCCATCTGTGGACAAGGACGGTGTCCGAGAAAAGGGCCCTCTCAAGTTGACAGCACTTCATTGGACGAACACAGCCACGCCGCTCACAACGACTTCTCTCACGACCACATTAGTCGCTCAGCCATTCATCCTGCTCATGACCCTTCCACGAATCCTGCGTCATGCATATATCCTCCATTACAAGCGGTCGTTAGGAATCTGGAAGCGACCAGAAATGCACCCTGTCACGAGAGGCTGGGCCTCCGCCAAGGCAGGTACGCAGGGATTTGACGAGGGAGAGAAGGTAGTCGGCAAGGACGACCGAAAGAGCATAAAAGGAGGTGGTGTATACTGGCAGGTACCATCCCTCCTCGAAGGTCTCTCCAAAAAGCATGTTTCCAGCTTTCTATCTCGACGCGCGAACGAACTTGGAATGGCGATTACGCTGAAACCTGGAAACCCATACCTGCCTACCCAGGCCTTCGTACCACTTCAAGAAGACACGCTCAAAGTTCAAAAGTACTTGACAATCTCATATCTCTCCCCGCGACTGTTCACACTTCTTTTGCTCGCGCCAAGCGCAGATGCCGCGCTCGTGTTGGGTGGGCCGCAATCGATCAGAGGGGGAGAGTTGGGAGAGTTCGTCACTTCTGACGACGGCCTGTTTCGAGAGCTTTTCGCTTTCTCATCAAGCTCACGTCATCCTCGATCGTCCGTTGCTCAGAGCCTGCGCGCCTCGCGCTCCCCACTGGAAACTCGTGGATGTGAGAAGATACCTATTCCGCCATCTAATGCACTTGATCCCGCGGTTCGAGATGTGACCGCTTGGGTGCCCTTTATCGTCCTTCTCGGCACCTGTTTTATTGTTGAGTGGATCGAGTACTCCATTTGGAAGATTGCAGGGGTTGAATGGGCGTCGAAGCACCTAGAAAGATCTGCAAGAACAACGACGCTACAACCACATCGTAATACCGAGGAGGGGTAGAACTGGTGAAGTCCTTCATCCTTTGAGCAAGATCATTGCTTATGATAGCGAGTATTGTCAGACTTCATACGAAGTCTCTGACCTCCTTTCCTTCTTCTGCTGCTTTTGATATATATGCGGGGACTAAATTTTGAACGGTTTTCTGTTTGCCAGAGTGCCTGTCGGGGTTAGCATTGTGCCAGAAATTGGGTTGTCGATGTCTACCTAATTAAATTATAACAATTCAACCCCGTTTTCATCTGCAAGCAAATAGGATTGTGGCTCTATAACGTGAGTCCAGTGTGAGTCCGTGTGAGTCTTCCGTAGACGGATCGGGCCCGATCACTTTTCGGTGTTTGCCGTACTCCTTCTCCGTCCACCACCTCCATGCCTTCGCCAACTCTTTCTAGAAAACGAAAACGCGGTCCGTCAGATGCGGGGGAGCGAGGAAACATATCCCTAGAACTTTCTCACATCCCAGTGATTCAACCTGGTCCTGTCCTTGGTAAGTTTCATCGTCTGTACGATCGACTGAGCCGCGGGAGGTACTTATGCCTTCATTTACGATCACAATTTACATTTTAGTGAGCTTCCCATCGCTCCAGCCTCCCAAATCAACGGCTTTCCAATGTTATGTTCGCGAAGGAGAGGACGATAGAGAGTTTGTGAAGCAGAACACGGTCGTAGCCGGTGAAACAGACTCAATAGAATTCTCTGGACCAAGCATTGGCGAAGAAGATGGTCTGGGTAGCAGGTACTTGCTCCTGAATCCTTCATTCTCCTCATCTCATTATAAAATACTTCCAGCTATTATCTTGCCGTTCACCACCCATCTACCGGCAAGGTTGTTCTGCAGCCTGCACCTCTTCATATCCTCACTCGACAGGTTAAAGCGCTTAAGCACCTCAAGCCTATTGCGCCTACCGCAGCTGAGCACTTGCAAGCGCGCAATGCATTGGGCGAGACATTCGGGACGAAGAAGGCTCAGGCTGCCATTCGTGCTTATCAGCGAAACAAAGTCGACGTGAGCGCGATGGAGAACGTTGCCGGGATGCTACAAGATCGTATCGAAGAGGGGACCGAAAATCTCCCCACAAAAGGTACGTGTACTCGGGTCATGGTAACTGTCTGGAAAAAAATTCATATCGTGATTTAGATGAGGCAAAGCTCGCTGCCGATGCTGCGCGGTTGATCCCACCTTATAATATGGATGCCGAAACACCAGAAGACGCTTATCCCTTGCATGGCATCATTCCAGAGCAGGAGTGGAGTGCTCTAGACGCTCTGTATCGCCCATTAAAAAATATGAGTTCAACGCTCGACCGGATGAAGTCGCTACCAAATGTGAGAAGCCAATGGGTCCGCGAGCACTTGAACCTCGCGTACGCAACACCCAAACCAAGCTCCAAAATTGTGTACGCACATGTCCTGATATTTTGGTTGTTCCAAAATTCTCAACGAGACTTATAGCAAAATGTTGATATATATCACAACATTAATGGCTTTCCGTTCTGCTACGGGAAAAGCAGTACCAGAAAGACGTGCGCTTCTAGAGCGCTTGTCTCCAGCACCTGAGGTTATCGTCGATGGTCTCCTCACACGCTTCACGGAGAAAGCAAGGGGTTCCACAAAGTTAGTAAATTACACGTTGTAGCTGATAACATAATTGACCTCGCCTCGAGAGCCCACATGACTTCTCAGACGGACACGATTCTGTTGACAAGTATGTTTGCTCTCTGTTTGAGAGTCGACGATTATGCGACGGACACTCAGCTCATGGCAACGGATCTCAAATTGGGCGTCACGAGGTCAGTCTTTTCTCGTGCCTATACTGCAGTCTACTTATTCTCCATGATAGAATAAACACGTTATTCCGCTCCTTAGGTGATGCATTTTGTGTTTTCAATTGTCATACTTCCTGTTAATTTGCCTGTTCAAATATAGGCTGCAAAATCGAGACTCTAACTCTTCACGACATGAAGAGATTAGGTCTACCTGACAGCGCCGCCGAGAATAAGCGGGCCCTACTTAAAATGCCGCTCACCTTCCCGAAGCCGAGATCAGGCAAGAGAGGTTGAAATGCTTCTACGGGCCTTCTCGCGATAGTCTTCAATTACATGGAAAAATGTAGTGCCGTTATATATTTATGATTGTCGTGTGTTCGATTTCATTCTCCCTCGAAGCGACACTCTTTGTGTGTAACTGGAACACGGAACACATGTATCCGTGATGATGTGGTCAATGAATCGTCAGTGTAAGTTTTTCCAAGCGATAGGCTTATTGATTTCCACCTCACATGCGGTCATTCCCCCTTTTTCACCACAACCGCACATCGTAAAGCGCAAGACCTATGATTTTTCTCGTCCTTGATAAAAAGCTCGAGATTTGGATCTTGCCAGGATCGGGGTCCCCAAAAGACCCCGGGATACAATGTTTAGAGATCACATGCCTCGTATTTCCAATTTATTTTTACGAGGTACCTTTCCTTGAGTCTGTACTGAGCCGTATGCTCCTTGACTGCGATATTGGCCATGGTATCGAGTCTTGCAGCTCAACTGGCCCAGGCGGCATCTCTCAACTCAGCTCTTCTTGTCGATCGATCTCGCCGCAAACCCACAGAGTCCTACCTCTTCGTCGGACGTGAAGCAGACCACCATGACCTCGATGCTATACATGCCATTGCATCGAGTGCCCTCTCTCAGCTAATACAGCTGAAACCCTCGTTTAGAGACTACGAAGACATCCTATTTTCCGACTCTGCTAAAGGCGTCGATCGAACTTTACTTCCAGGCCTTGCTGGGAAGGAGTTGAGCAAGAATCTGGGCAACTTCTTGCCTCTCCTTGGCGTGTACTTAACAGAGACTCCTACGAGTAAAGTCTTAGAGTGGCTAGTGAGGCGCTTCAGGTATGTCTATTACAACCTCGTGGCTTGAGTCTCTTCTAACCGTGAATAGGATCAACGAGTTTAACGTGGAAGACACTCTTACACTGTTCCTTCCCTACCATGAATCACCCCATTTTGCCAAAATGGTCACCCTTCTCCATATTAAGTCCGTGCTGTCTTCCTTCAAACATTCGGTCCAATGCTTACTGTTGACTAGGCCCAATTCTACGTGGAGTTTCTTGAACGCATACCGATCTGCTGCTCAGAGCGTTCCCCGGCAATCACTCGTAACGGAAATGCTGCGAAATGTTGATCTAACACGGTTCATCGCTTCGCTGCTTCCAAGTGCAATCCAGGGGGGCTATGTTCATCGAGCCCTCATCGCTTTCCACACTGGGGTCTTTATCGACTACGTTGCTCGCGACAAAACTATAGACGATGGTATTCTGGCATTCTTACTGCCTTCATTACTGGCGCCACTGAAAACCACTGCCGAAAATAAATCTGACTTCAAGACAGAGTTGATTGTGAGTGAAGCGGTTCTCAAGCCACGAGTGCCAAGTAACACGAATTGTCAGCTCGCAAGTTACATCTTGCTTTCAGCCCTCTCTCAACGATGCCATTTGTCACCGGCCGCTCTCAAAACGATACTCAGTTCAATGGCTTCATGCAGCGAGCAAGTGACCAGCCAGCAGTTCATTCATGCTACGTTGTCTGTGATGGCCCCACAGGACGAGCTGAACGTTCTTCCTAATGTCCTCACAGCAAGATTACTTGGATCGCAGTAGGTGTCTCGATTTTAGCTTAACGTCCTATCTGCTGACAGCTATTACACAGGGATCTCACCGATATCCTGTCAAAAGCATTGACCTGGACGGGGTCAGAAAAGCTGGTCACTCCGCTGTTACCTGCACTTATAAAACGGTATATTGTCGTTTCCGTTCATCGAACAAAATGCTGATACTCTATCTCAGAATAGACCAGGCGAATACACTAGCCACTGTAGAGTCTCTCCTCACATCATCTCCTGCCATCCCTCCTCTCCTTATCCGGAAGATCACTATATTCTCTATGGCTGATCTGGTCGCAAGCGACGCATCTGCTCGTCATGGGAATCTCCGCCGTGTTTTGTCCTTAGTCCAGCAGCGGCACCCGTCTATCTTCCAAGATGCCTCAAAGTTTTATATGAATGACGAAAGCACCAGGGCCGCTGCCGAGCAGATCGTTATTTCTTTATCTATTGTACGATTTTTTTCAGTCAATAAAGACCCGCTACTCACTTCCCTGGTCAGTCTTATTCTAGCACGAAAACGGCTGATCAAGTTCGCGATGTTGATTTGGTTATTGCCTCTGCCAATGCAGACCCTCAAGTCCGCGCAGTCAGTGTACGGGACATGCTCGATGCGCTGGCAAATTCTAAGATTGAATCGGTAGAATTGGTTTGTTATATTTTACATATTTCTTGAGCCTCTGTAATCTCACTCCTCTTTTCTTTTCTTTAGGAGTCCATCCATTCCGCTCTCGTTGCTCGGGTCCATGACACCGCAATACCTGTCATCGCAGCCCTTTATGCCAATCCCTCTGCAATTCTTCCCGTCTTGCGTGCCCATTCTTCGACATATATCCAGACCCTGGTTGATTCCATTAATGAAAAAGGAGCCCACTCTCGCCAGCTCATTCGCCTCCATCTCACCTTTCTTGCACATCACTTTACCAAAGGTGCTTCAAAAGACGTCTTGAAGGAGGTGTTCGAGAGGATAATCTTCTCTTTCCTCCTGTTCTCGAAGCCCAGACAAAAAACAGCTCAGATGGTTTGGGAGATTCTTGAAACTGCGGAAACGCATAACGAGATAGGCATCGAGAGCTATGAGATTATCAGTGGTTGCGTGGATGTATTACGATGGGAGGAGGGGCAGGTAGGAAAGAAGAAACGCAAGAGAAAGGATGACGGTGGGTTCGAAAGTCTACAGGTGATGTCTAAGGTCAATCTATCAATAGCATCCAGGATGGCGGGTAAGTGTATGGTCTAGCTCTTCATGAGGGCTAAACTTAACCAAATGCTGTTTATAGAGACGATTCTGGCCTCAAACGATCACTCCGCTCATTTTGCGTTTCTCTTATCCAAACTACGAGACTCAAGCCCTCATGCTAGCAATCTCGCGTATCTCGTAACACGAGCGTTACTTGGACATATGTCTGGCGAACATCAAGTCGATGTTGCGAACCTCGTCCTGGATGCGATGGGATTAGAAACGCTTGCGGGTATGGACGGGTTCATGAAGAATGCGGACAATCTGCAGGAGGTATGTCACGTTATCAGCGTCTCACAAACGTTGATCTAAACGCTATCCATATTAGTTCCTGAGCGATGTGAGCCTAGGCATGAACGTTGTTTTGAAACCAAGCAGCAAGAATACGACTCATTGGCTGCAAGCTTCTTTACTGGCCGTGATGCCCATCATCTTGCGGCCGACTAATGGATCTATAGATTGGCTATCTGACGCGCATGTCGTACGTATCTTGCACGATTTCAACAAGAAATGTAGACGTACTGACAACACCCTCTAGGAGGATAACGATACTCGTAGCACGCGCTATATTCGCCTCATGAGAGCAGTATACCGCTTAGTCAACTCATCCACCGCGCTTCCTCTCTTGTCTACAGCGTTGCTCCGCGCTCAGTTCATAAACTTGGCCGAAGACACCCTGGCCTTCTTGGCCGGAATCTGGCTCATTCAAAGTCCTAAATCAGCTGATAACGAACCTCGTTACCGTCGCGCTGCCCTGTGCCATGCGGCCGCTTTTCTTGCTGCCCACGAATCCATTGAACAAACTGTAGACTTCCAAACGATATTACCCGCGCTTTTGCTTGCCTTGCAGGATCCTGACCAGTCGGTTCGCGAGGCTGCGAACGAATGCCTGCAGTTGCTTGCGAAATTGTTCTCAAAGAAGAAGGCCACGGGTGTATACGGGTTTGATACGATCTATGGCTCACATTCCAGTGAGGAACCTCTCATCATTACATCGTATTCGTGCTCATCAAATTTCCAGATCATCTACAGTACCTCGACTGGTCTGACCTTCAAAAATATGTCAAGGCGACGGTTGAGTTGCTTGGGCATTATGCTAGCGATTCAAGCTATATCCGCATCTTTCACCATCAGCATTTAAGGCGCAATCAGGCTGACTCTAAGAAGGACGCAGCGTAAGTTTTCGTTATCATGACGAGCATGAATACTGAATATAATAACTGTCTGTAGTTACAAACAACGCGTCTTGTGCTTCATACTCTCTCACGTCAACGCTTGTCGTCTGTCAAATGTCAAGACATCCCTCCTTCGTATGCTAGAAGACATATCCGATGATGTCAAAGCTCAAAATCTATTGCCAACATTGCAACTTTTGGTTGACAACTCTCAGCGCGAAAAACTCGCCGCTCTATGCGGGGATCAATTCGCAGAGTTTTCAACACTCCTAGTTTCGTCGCTGGACTCTTCTTTGATTCAGGAACTCAATCATAGCGAAAGCAACTTGTGGCCAGTGTACCTTGGTATTGTGTACCATTATTCCAACACGGGCAAGTCATAACCGTAGGAACAACAGCCTGAGACCGCGTTGACTTTTTTTTTACCAGATTCAACGTCATCACCGTGGAAAGTCCTTGCCTTCCACTTGGAACATGGTCTTTTCACCGGCTTGTCTCTTCCACGCAAGTCAGAAATCTCTCGGCTGCTTCTTGATGTGGGCAGCCGGGATACGAACATTGTGAGTGTTTGTATCACAATAGCTGCATCTCCCTTAATCAATTCATCTGGGATAGAATACTATCAAGGCGACTCTCATCAATATTTTGCAAGGCGTGCCACTACTCATTCAACTGTTGACGACCCTTCAACCTTCGACCAAGGACAGGACTCAACGTGCAAATAAGCGACCGAAAGTGACCCAGTAAGCGCACGTCTATCTCTTGGATACTGGGATCAAGCTAAACCCCTTTCTTATCAAGAACTACTACGACAGCTAGCAACGCAGATTCTTTGGCGACTCTGAGCTATCTAGTTGAAGTGTTGAGCAACCAGTCCCTCCCTGGTTCCTTGGATTTGATATCTTGTCTTTTGGATACGTTGAGTAAGGTGTCGCTTTCTGACGGGACTTCCCAGGCGGATATCATCTATCTGCAACAGCTGCTTATGGCTGCGATCGAAAGTTCAGCTAGCCATATCATGGTTAGTCATATACGCGTTACTCTAATTCTGACGATTGACTCGTCTCACAGGACACTGATGAAATCGCCCCTCACGCTATTCGACTCGATACCCTTGTCGAGATCATTCGTGGTACGCTTCACGACGATATTAGTCAGATGCGATGCTGATGTCTCCGTACAGTCGCAGACAATCCCCAGACTTTCCATCAAGCGTTATTGTTAATGGCTAGTCTAGCTCGTTTGGCCCCAGAGTCCGTTCTACACAACATCATGCCGGTTTTCACTTTCATGGGTTCGAACGTGTTCCATCGGGACGACACATACAGTTTCCGAGTTGTGCAGAAGGTGACCATGGTCCTCGAAATTTGATTCACCATTTCCTGACCGTGATTCCTAGACAATCGACAGCATCGTTCCTGTCATGGTAGCCTCCCTCAAGCAGAAGCACAGTGAACGCCTTGACCTCCTCATTGCATCGAGAGATTTCTTGCGTATCTTCACGGATGCCGCCAATCATATTCCCCGTCATCGGCGTACTCAGTACGGGCTCCGACTTATGCAGTGGATATAAACTAACGACCCCTCAGCTTCTTTACTCACCTCGTAGATGTCCTTGGACCGGAAGAATTCCTGGCCCCTGTCTGTATGTTGATTATCGGCAAGGCCGCCAACAGAGTTGCAAGGCAGCAGGGTGACGATCTCCATGCTACCTTGACTTTGTCTCTCTCGATCATTCACCACTATTCAAGCGGCGTGCAGATGACGGCAAGTCCTCTCTTTTTCGCCTTCGCTTTTACAACTGATCAAACCTTTTATAGTCATTGACTGAGATTCTGTGGGAGGCACAACGCCTGTTATCACATATTGTCGATCCAGGAAGCAAACAGCCCATCATCCTAGATACCATCCAGTAAGCTGACGCCAGACAATCGCGCATCTCTGACTCACGAATACCGACAGTGATAACGAGCAATCCTCTCAAGCACCCTCCGTTTTCAAGCGTCGAACTCATGCGTTGTCTGTATTTGTCGGGGTTGCTTTAGAAACATCGCCGTCAGCTTCCGCGGGTGCCCAGATAAACAATGAAACTCTCAATGAGTTGCTCTCGGCCCTACTGGATATCGCGAGAAGCCGCAGCGGTCTCGCGTCTGATGAAGACACCACTGACATCAGGAAGGCCGCTCAAACTTCAATTGCTCAATGCCTCAAGGTCATTCCCGCAGTCAATTTTGTGGAGTCGGTCGTGGCGATGCTTCAAACCGAAGAATCATGGGCGAGTTCAGCTGGCTGTATGCGTCGCGGAGGTGTGCTCACTATATATTCTAGCTTCAAACCTCCGTACTGGATCTATTCGGCGACAGACTGTTGTCGATAGCAGAAAGCGCCAGGCGACAGGTGACACCTACAATAGTTCTACTTGTCGAGAGGATCATCACGCTGCTCGGAAGACCCATGAACGACGCTGTCGTTCCGGCCTTCGCTTCCCTCCAAGCCATCAGCACCACGTTGTGCCCGGGAGAAGAAGGGTCCATGGTGGCGTGTGTCCCGATTTTGATATCTGCTTTGCGAGGTCGAAAACTTGCTGTATCTGCTATCACTGTGCTGCCAGTGCTATGGTGTGTTACTTCACTGCCCGTACTGAGATGTGTTTTTTTCTTTCCTTTTTTTCTGACGAGCATCAATAGCACCAAGCTGGGACCGAGGATCATCCCCTACTTCCGAGATATCGTGGACGAATGTGTCAACATTCTCCGCGAAGGAATCAAGGGCAAATCAGGCAGGTTCTCATTGTCCGCCGTCTGATAATCACTCATCTATTATCCAGAGGGCACCGGAGAGCTTCTCAAAAATGCTCTGGAGGTATTGAAGTCGTTGTTCAATGCCATTCCGACGTTCTGGGGCAACGCTGAGCTTGGCAAAATCGTGCATCTGTATCTTGACTACTGCTCCTTCTCCACCGACACCGACGATATCAGTGCTCTCATCAAGTCTATCGCGAAGAAAGCGTCTCCCGCTGTCCTTCTGCCCGCGCTCTCTGAGTTATGGTCGTCACTACAGGGTGCAAAAGTCAAGGTCAGCGTACATCAAGACGAGTTGGAAGCTGTCTCACTCATCGCGTTTTTTAGGACATGGCATCTCGCTGCGAAAGCTTTTTGTATACGTTGAAAAGAGCCCTACAAGCGGCACCTAGAGCAGCGGTCATGGAACATCTACGTCCTTTGTTCAAATTGATTTTGGAGACCTTCCAACTTCGAGGTCAACTATCTGTTTCGGAGGTTCCCAAGGTGCGGTTCGTAGTTCTCTAAGATGGGACTTCTATTTACTGGGTCAACAGGTCGAGAAGCAGGCGATTCTTGCATTCACAGAGCTTGTCACGAAACTCAACGAGACATCCTTCAGGCCACTGTTCCGCAGGCTGTTTGACTGGGCATTCACCGGTTTGTGTATGCGCGTATATCATGTCGTTCTGTCTTGACTGCCTCTTCTTAGATTCGGGCATTGACGGGAAGATTACGTTCTGCCATGCCTATATGGCACTGTTGGATCACTTCAAGGTTCGTCATTGTGGTATCTTTCTTTCTCAGTCCTGTACTCATTTTCGCCACTCTAGTCCCTGATGATACCTTATCTCACATTCCTGCTACAACCCTCGATCGACCTGTTACAAGGCTTCTCGACGGTGTCTGACGACAATGTCGAGTTGTGGACATGCCTGATTGAGACAGTGACGAAGAGCTTCGTCGTGGACGAGGGCGGTGAGTGCCTTCCTCGCAATCACGATCACGATCGGCAATTGATCGCGGCGTTACAGGATTTTGGCGCGAAGACAAGCTGCAACAGATCGTGCCCCCGTTGGTCGCCCAGGTCTCTCGGTGCGTCTCCGCGGGCGGCCAGGGGCCCAAGGACGTCATGTCCGCCGGTCTCGTGGCGCTCGGAGGCGCCGTGAACGACGACGACTTGCTCAAGAAAATCAACCTGGACGTCCTCATGCACACGCGCTCCGAAGACGCCCGCGTCCGGCTCTTTGCCCTGCAGTGCGCTCGCGCGCTGTGGGCCGCGCACGGACACAAGCTCATAGGTGCGCACACAGTCTGTTCGTCGATCGACGGCGGTTTCTTACTGATCGGTCGGTCCCAGGTTTCATGTCGGAGACGGCGACGTTCATCGCGGAGTGCGCGGAGGACGAGAACGACAGCGTCGTGAAGGCTACGCACAAGCTGAAGGATGCAGTGGAGAGCGTGACAGGGGAGCGCATAGAGGCGTAGATGCACGTAGATAAGGATAGACACCCGGTAAAAGAAATCGTGGTAGATAAATAGCGTTTACATGCGAATCACATCGTTCCTATGCAGCGATGGAAATGAGGTATGTAGGAGTAAAGAAGGCATGGCGGGAATAGCAGTGGGGGGCGGACGGACGGACGGGGGGTAGTGAGAGCAGATTAGTACGGGGTATATGCAGCGAGATAAGCTATGAGATAGTCCCTTGAGAATCAAAGCTGAGCCGTCTGTGCAGCAGCCTCTCCTCGACCGCCCGACACTGTGCGAGCAATCGCACGATCGCCGAGCGCGGGCACGCAGTCCGAACAAAAGGAGCCTGCGATGGGGGAGGCCCGAGTCAGCGCGTGCGAACCCGAACCCGAAACCGAAACCGAACGACAAAAGAATCAAACACGCACGCTCAGCAGCTCGTCGGGATCCGGTCGTGACGAGACGGGTTGACAGCATGAATGCAGGAAATCGTGAAAAGATCGTGAGTGGCTCTCCGGGTCGGAGAGCGGGGGCAGCTGCAGGCCGATCTGGCGCGTGTCGACGACGTCCGCGAAGGGCGGCTCGCGCTCGACGAGCTCCCACGCGGTCGCGCCGAGCGACCACACGTCGACGCGCAGCGGGTCGTACAGGCCGCTGGGAGGGGGCCGTCAGCAAATCGGCAGGCGGTGGGCGGTGGGCGGCAGAGGGAGGGGGCGGGACTCACGTTCGCATTTCTGGTGCCTGCCAGTAGATGACGCCAACGTTGTCTGATGTTTTTGGGGTGCCCGGGGGCGCGTGCACGGCGCTCGAGAAGTCGGCTGCCGACGGCGCGAGAAACCACAGCACGTTGAGTACCGACAACATGCCGCAGCGGAAAGGAAGGGGCAGACGCACCTATTTTAAGCACGCCGTCGCGGTTCACGAGCAGGTTGTCCGAGCGCAGGTCGCGGTGGCCGATGTGTTGCTTTTGGAGGTACGACAGCGCGAGCAGGACCTAGAGGAAACAATCACGCGGTCACCACACCGCGCAAAAAGAAAAAAAAAAACGCGCGAGCACTCACGTCCCAAGCAAACCGCGCGATCATGTTCTCCGTGATCGTCACCACCGCCACCCCCGCCGCCGCCACGGCCCCAGGCCCATCCTCGTCCTCCTCGCCCTCCTCGTCCGCGCCCACGCCCAACATATCCGCCAAGCTCCGCTCCATGAGCTCCATCCCGATCCACAGGCTGTCCTCGACGAGGTCCACGTACAGCCCCTCCATCTGCAGCACGTGCGGGTGCCGCGCGCCGCGCAGCAGCTCCAGCTCGCGCCGCAGGTCGCTAAGCTTCTGCGAGCCGCCCGGCAGCAGCGCAACATGCTTGATCGCCACGCGCTCGTTTGCGCGCGCGCGGAGGAACGCCGACGCCGACGCCAGGCGCGACTTGCCGCTGTCTGTTGTGCTGCCTGTTGTGCTGCGAGTCGAGTCGGTGTCGGGGACGACGAGCGCGGAGTACACCGAGCCCGACTCGCCCTCCGCGATCTCCTGCAGGTCCGCGAACAGCGCGCGGGGGTCCGCCTCAGCATCGATGAACTCGGCCAGCAGCTTCAGCGTCTCCGCGAGCCACGGCGGGTACCGCTGCGCGCGCGTCGACGTCGGCGCCAGCGAGAGCGAGGGCGAGGGCGAGGGTGAGGGCGGTCGTGACGGCGCGCGCGCGCTCTGCAGGCCCTGAGGGGCGGTCGTGCCCGAGTGCAGGCCCTTGCTTGTCTGCACGTCCGTCGTGATCACGATCGACGGGCGCGCGGGCGACTCGGCGTCGCTATCGGCGTCGCCATTGCCGCCACGCGCACGGGCGCGCCCGTCGCGGGGGTCGCGGAAAGCGTCGGCGTCGAAACTGGTGCGCATGGCCGAGGGCGACGATAGCGGCGACGACGTGCGCACGAACGCGCCGAGGCCAGGGCTCTTGAGCCCGCCGCCGTCCTCGAGGGAGTTCGAGCCGGACGTCATGGACAGCGTCTGCCGCGGCGAGCCCGAGAAGTCGTAGTTGCTCCCGCTGCCCCCGCTGCTGCTGCCTGACGAGCGCGAACGCGAGCTCGCGCGAGAGGTTGGCCGTGGCTGTTGCTGCTGCTGCTGGTGTCTGAGGGCCGCGGGGAGCGCGGGCGAGGGCGGCAGGGTCGGCACGTCTTCTTCCTCTTCCTCTTCCTCATCGGTATGTACATCCTCCCTCGTGTGTGCGTGCGCCAGGCCCCTCACCCGCGTCGGGACCACGTTCGCCGGCACAGACCGGACGACGCTCGCGCCATGCACGATTGTCGCGTGGGTGACCGTGCTCCCGGACGCGATCGACATGCTCGAGTCGCGGTCCTTCTGCCGGGGCGGCGTGATGGTCAGCTGGGAGTGCGCCGAGTCGCGTGCCGCGGCAGCAGCGTCGAGGTGCGCGTGGAACGCGGCGGCGGAGACGGGGCTGCTCGGCATGAACGGGGACTCGGAGAGCGCAGGGGAGCCGGGCGCGGGGGACGGCGAAGTGCGCCCGAAGGAGGGGTAGGAGGGATATGAGAGGGAGGAGGACGAGCGGTGGGAGGAAGCGGACGAGCCCGACGCGGGCACGGGGACGGGAGCGCGGTCCTGCATCATGCCCATGAGCTCGTTGTAGAGCGGGGACGCGCTGAGGTGGAAGGAGCGCTCGTCCGCGTCGTCGTCGCCGTCGATGGCGCCGCGCGAGCGTTCGGGCGTCGGGCTGAGCGTGATGTCTGGGATCGGGATTTTGCGGTTGGGCGAGTCTTTGAGCGTGCGCCGGCGCGCGGGCGAGGGCGAGCGCGGGGGCGAGGGCGCGGACACCGAGGACTGGGACGTGGACGTGGAGGTCGGCGTGCCCGAGAGGTCGGCGAGCAAGAAGGCGTCCGATGTGGTCGTGGCGGTGGTGGAGAGCCCGGACGGGATGGAGGAGAAGAGGGACTCGGTCCAGCTCGAGAGGTCGTCGATCGTGTCCTGGCGAAGGGAGAGCCGCGGCGGGAGGACGGACAGGCGGGGCGGCGGACGACTGAACCTTTTGCTCGTCTCCCCCGCCTCGTCGTCGTCCTCCCCTTCCCCGCCGTCGCCGTCGCCGTCGTCTCTCACGTCCACGTCCCCGCGGCTGCCCTCCCCGCCGGCCTGCTTCTCCGGAGGCCCGGCCCTGCTCAGATCAGACGCTGTCAACGGTGGCGGAGCCGCACTGGACCGCAGATCCTCGCTCGACGCGCTTCTGCTGCCGCCGTGATCGTCCCCCCGGAGATCGTCCCTGCTGGGCGATTTATAAGCGGGGGGCGGCGACCGCCGTCCTGGCGGCGTCTCGTTGACGACCCGGAAGACCTTCCGCGGGGGCGTGCGCACGCGGGAGCGCTGCTGGTGCCCCGATACCTGCGTCTGCGTCTGCGTCTGCGTGGGTATGGGCACGGGTTGCATGGCGTGCACTGGCCGCGGGTTCCGCGGGAGCCCAGAGGCGACGGAGAAGGTGGACGTTGCGGAGGGCGAGGGCGCAGGCGCGGGCACGGCTGCGGGACCGCCAGGGCGAATGGTGGCGACGGACATCATCGTGGCGGAGCTCTGGCGGGGGTTCGCGCGGTCGACGTAGATGTACTGGGTGTCGGAGTAGGCGACGATGCTCTCTGCGGCGTCGATCTCGGAGTAGGAGCGGTCGAAGGACGGATCGCCGCGGGTGGAGCTCGAGGCGTTGGAGAACTTGCGCGGGGCGCCGCGGGGGACGGAGGAAGCGGCGGTGGGGAGAGGTGGCGGAGGCTCGGGGGTCGCATATCGATGAGAGCGCTCCGAGCGGGGGAGGGATGCATCGGAGCGCTGGCGGTGGAGGGTGGAGAACGCAGAGGGCGCGGGGGACTGCGCGCGAGAGAGCGGGAGCGGGATGAGGGCGGACGGGGAGCGCACGCGGCGGGCCTGCATGAAGCCCGCGATTTCCTCTTGTGTGAAGCCAGCTTCTGCGAGGGAGGAGGACCAGGAGGACGGGAAGCCGGCGTACCTGCGGGGAGAGCAGGATCAGCGGGAGGAATGCACGCGAGAGACGGACGGGGCGAGGAGGAGGAATGCAGCGGACGTACTCCTCGTCGACGTGCACGTGGTGCTGCAATAGACGCCCATAAAGTGAGCACGCAGGGAAGGACGCGTCGAGGAGCGAAGCACGCACCTGGAAGCCCCACGGGAGCGAGATCGACTCGTCGTCACGCGGCTCGGGCGGCGCGAGGTCGTCCGCGGGGGGGAAGCGCGGGCTCTTGGGGGTGAACGTGCGCTTGCCGAGGCTGGCGACCTTCATGAAGCCCTTGCGGAAGCCCGCCGCCGCAGCCGCAGAGGAGGGGTCGGGGGAGAGGGTGCTGGAGCTGGAGCTGGAGGGGTCGTTGGACTGGGTCGCGCGGCTGGGGGCGGGGGACGGGCTGCGGACGGAGGGCTGGGGCGCGGGGGGCATCGATGGGGACAGCGGGGTCTGGGGCTGGGAGGCGTAGGCGGCATCGAGAGAGAGAGACTGGTTAGAGAACGAGAGCACCGAGGGATTCGTCGCAGAGTAAAGATAGTTGGCGTCCTTCGGCGGCGGCGGCGGCGGCGCCTTGGACGACGAGCCGGCGAACTTGAACACCTTGAAGGACGAGAAGCGCGATGTGGGCTTCGCCGAGGTCGATGTGGATGCCATTCATGCGAGCTGGGCGAGGGGACCGTCGACGGGGGCGAGGACGAGGACGAGGGCGAGGGCGAGGGCGAGGGCGTTGGCCCGCTTCAACCGCGCTACGCAACTTCCCGCGTGAGTTCGGGCGCCGCTACAATCTACGCCACCGCGTCGCCTTCTCGCACTTGCCGTGGGTCTGCGGCGATAATATGCATTGCCCAGATCCGCATACTACGACGCCCTGCTGCGATTCTCAATTCCATCTCTCGCAACCTCCGACAAGGACAAGAGCATGCAGCCCGCATCAGCCCGCATCTGATGGATCGCAGCGCGCAGAATGTACACCCGGCTCCCAATTGTCTCGCAAGAGGAGCGCCATCATGTGCTCGAGGCACCGTCGAATTTCGAAGCAAGGCGGTCCATCATGCATCATTGCCAAGCGTCGCTCCTCCACTACCCTGCGCCGTCGGATACCTAGTATCCACACTTGCCGATTCTCTGGCCAATCTATACGTAGGCTCATTGAATATCGGATCCTCGAGCCCCAGGCTGCAAACTAAAGTTGCAAGCGTATAAATAAAAAGAAATACAAGACAAGCTATACACACGCCCAAATGCACGCACGATTCGCTCAAGCATGGACCAGATGATCCATCATATATACACGGAACGACTGTCTTTGTGTGCTGGAGCCGCCCATTTCGCGCTGCAGCCGCGTCCTGGCCCAGCCCACGATGCGCGCGAGTCGAGCCCCCAGACGCCTGCCCCCACTTTCTCTTCGCGGGTTTCGGCAGCTGAACCGTTGACGTCAAACCAACGCACGGACTAGATGATCCCACTTCTGTTGGGCACACCTTGGGTCGGACCCTGTGTTAGTGTCTAGCTGGATGGCATCAGCCAAACTCAAAATCATCGTAAGTCGATTCTGAGCAGTGTACACAAGGACATTGCAGGGATCTTCGGGACAAGTCATGCTTTCCTCCTCCACACAACGCGAGATGGTGGTCGATCGGCCCGTGTAAAGACGTGTCGACAAAAGCCTAGAAGTTTCAACGTGAGTCACCGCGATGCTTCGAAATTCGACGACACCTTTGCGGACCGTTCACACCAAGAGCCACCTGAACAGCGTTCTAGGCTTCCCGTTCTCTTTTGCTCATCTATTTCACAGACGTGCGTTCTCGGGCGATGATGACGTGGGTCGCTCTCTTCGTGACTGTGGAAATAAAGGTAAACCACGATAGGGTCGACGCGCCGCTTCGCTCCGTCGCAAACCTGCAGCCCAAATGCCTGCGGATCGCTCTGCAGATCTCATGCCCCAGATCTGGTCGCGAAGCCTGGATGCTGCGCTGGATCTCAGAGCGCGCTATTCGGCAACGGCTGTAGACCTCCAGCCACCTCGAGAGCTGTTTTCCTCCAATGGGCGCACAGACTAGGTCCGGCGGGATAACTGTAGCCTGGTCCTGCAAGGACAGCGTTTTCTTATCTAGTATGACCATGTCTTTCCCTTGTCGGGCCGATCCTCATGGCGAGTCGCAGTTCTGGCGAATTTCACACATACCGCTTGGCAGTGCCCTCTCTCTGGCCCGACATCTTGCAGAAGATCAAGGCCGCTGGTTCGAACGCGATCAGCGTGTACCTGCACTGGGGAGCGATCAACCCGGCCCCGGGCGTGATAGACTTTGACGAATACCGCGCCGTGGAGCTCTTGTATGAGGCTGCCAAGCCGCTGGGATATGGGCTGTACATCAACGTGGAGAGAAGTGCGGGCGGTATTGCCTATTGGGTCACGAGCGAGATCGCAGGGCCGTTGAGGATAAATGCGGTAGACTTTAGAGCGTCGTGGCAAGATTACATACAGGGTATCATCGAGCAGACTGCACGGTATCAAATCACGGAGGGCAAGCCTGTTATCAGTGCGCTTTTCTATTCACCGTGCTTCGATTCAAAACCACAACGACTGATGGTTCTTTCAGCGATCCAAATCGGTCGGTGCTTGTGTTTCGTAGTAGCAGTAGCACGTTTTGATTCAGTCGATTCTTAGGCAACGAGTATACCCAGAACGCGGTAACCGGTGCATACTTCTCGGAGCTTGAGGCAGCCTACCATAATTCCTCGATCGTTGTTCCGCTCACATATAATGATCCCGGCGAATAGTAAAAGCTTCATGAATGCTCTCATCCTGACACCTGGAGCATCGTGACGACCGATTATCGTGATTATCATGAAGTATTCAAGATTGACTTCTCTCACTCGGAGCAATAGCACTTACACATTCATCTAGATATCAACCCCAGCCAGCGAGGGCACTTCCCAGAGACACTTTCACTTTGACTATTTATTTAGAAAGAGACCGAACATGCATGCAGCTCTACCGATGCGTGTGGCCCTACTGCTCCGGGTTACGAGAATTGCAGGCAGTTGACTGGTGCCGCTTTCGAATCGGTCTTCTATCGCACCCCGTGGGCCTCCAATGCGAAGTTGATGGGTTTCTACACGCTCTACGAGTGCGTCCCGTCTCCTTTTATTCTTCCTCCAGCGCAATACCAATGTACATGCTCCTTTTGTATCAGCGGCACTTCGTAGGGCGCAATTCCTTTTCCTGGCGTCTATAGTATGCATTCTCCTATCCCCAGTTGACACTTGCACGAAGCCGAGCTGATATTTTCTAGCGTCACACGACTATGGTGGCGCTATAGCTGAGAACCATGCACTCACTGACAAGTACACCGAGCTGAAGCTGCAGGGATTGTTTCTGCGAAGCTCTCCTGAATTTTACAAGACGGATCGAATTGGAAACAGTACCGGCGTGGTATCTGTCTTTGACAGCGCAGCATTCGCCGTGCTTTTGCGCAATCTCGACACTCCTTCGGGCTATTGGTTCGGGAGACAGACGAAGTCAACATCGACGTGAGCTTTTCCATTTAGCCATCGCATTTAAATTGGTAATTAATATTAGATCCCTTCAGTGTCATCACAAACTTCAACATGACCATCGACACTTCTGCTGGGACCCTCCAGATTCCCCAAGTGGCCTCTGGCGTCACACTTAGCAGCCATCAATCCAAGGTCATCATTGGTGACTATGTGTTTGGCACGCATTCATCCCTGCTTTACTCGACTGCGTCCATCCTCTTCGCAGGTACAATAAGGTCTTGGGATGTTTTATTCCTGTACGGCGATGCCGACCAAGAGTATTAGGCTTCTCTCGTCACACACGAACCGGCATCTCTTCGAAGAGACTCGCCTTATGTTTCGTTCACTACTGCAGCATCTGACAACCAAAGCATCGTCTGCTTTTCACCCGGAATTTCTGGTCTCGTGACCGTTTTTGACTCGCTTAGCCTGGTTCTCTACGCGGATACGGTTACCGCAGGGACGTTCTGGGCGCATGCCCTTGCCGGTACGGACCCACACGCGAACTACTGGCAGATCGGGACCAACTCGACGTTGCTAGTCGGCGGCCCGCACCTTGTGCGGAACGCGTCGCTTTCCGCGTCTGACACTCTTGCTCTCCGCGGCGATCTCAATTCTAGCGTGCGTCTGACGGTCATCGGGCCGCCCGAGGTGGAGACGGTGATGTGGAACGGAGAGCCCGTCGACCCTGACATGGACGCCGCCTTGCGCTTGACTTCTGTCGGCGCGTTCTCGGGGCAGCATGTGTTGAAGAGTGTCGGGCGAGAGATTGAGACGCCCATGTTAGAGGACTGGAAATTTGCCACTAGTCTCCCGGAAGTGGACGTTGGTTTTGACGACTCTGCGGGGACGGTCATGATTCATACCGCGACAAATAACCCTTTCAAGCCGTTCTACGGCGATGGAAAAGTCTTGTATGGATGCGACTATGGATTGTACGCCCAGGTCATCAAAATACTCCGTGTTTAATTTCATATGGGCAGCTGCGAGGACATCGTCCTTTGGCGCGGGCATTTCGATGGGACTGTCAACGTGAAGTCTGCAAATCTATCCACCAACAGTGGAGAAGGTAGATCGCAGAATCAACCATTCTGTCTGATTGCTGATCTATAAGTGATATAGCGTTTGCTGCGAGCGTTTGGCTTAATGACCACATCATTGGGATATGGAAAGTAAGTAGCAATCTCTCCAGGGAGTGCTTTCGCTGATGAAACATACACAACGTTCAGCTCGACGAATAGCCGAAATATCTTGGAGGAACAGATGATCTGTTTGTATTCCCGAACGGAACGGTTCTGATCGGTCAAGACAATGTGATCACGATCGTTCAAGATAACATGGGTCTAAATCAAACTCGGAGTATGTGTACTCATCTTTTGACAGAGCTTTTGCACCAGCCACGGCAACACATATAGACAGCCCCGAGAATTTCAAATCCCCTCGTGGAATCCGCGGGTTTAAACTCAATAACAGCACTTTTTCGGATTGGAAAGTCCAGGGCAAAGTCAGAGGATATGCCAGGTACGACCAAGCTCGTTGATGAGTTATCAGGCTTGACACTCGCCTTCATCTTGCCATTCAGCTTCCAGGACACGACTCGCGGCATCATGAACGAATGCGGCCTCTTTGGAGAACGCAAGGGGTGGCATCTCCCGGGCTTCGACACGTCGTCTTGGGCCTCCCGCGGCTTCTCTTCTGGTCTACCAAACGACAGCGCAGGAGTCAGGTTTTTTGTGACGACATTTGATCTGCGCGTGCTCGACGGGTTCGATGTGCCCATGTCGTTCAACTTTGACTTGACCCCCGCGCCCTACCGTACATTTTTGTTCATCAACCGATGGATGATGGGAAAGTTTGTCGCCAACCTCGGGTACACGGCCAGAGACGATACGTGGTCGCGGCGTCTGATTGATCTTGTTTAATGTAGACCCCAATGGAAGTTCTCGGTGCACGAGGCCATCCTGGAGTACCTGGAGTACCAAGGGACAGAGTAAGATCCAGTCCTCGTCTGATCCTATTGTTTCAATGTCCGCGCCCTTTCTCAGTACTGTCGCCGTTGCGCTTTGGGCAATGGAGTCTGTTCCGATCTCTCCTCGGTTGAACATCACCATCGACTCAGTGCTCAATGGAGGTGTAGGAAACGTGGTGGCGAACAATCCGCCGTGGGGCTCTCGCGGACGGTTGTGATTGTATCATCGATTCATTCATGACTGAATATCAGTGTTGCCTTTCTAACCTTACAATGAACCGCACACGACGTATTGTGCGTCGTCTTTCCCCCTATTTGTACGGCCTGCTTTGTTGTCATGTTCCTGTGACTCTACTTAGGCCATATTCACGATCATCCAAATCTAGTCCTCATGAACGAGGTCTGACAGCTGCTGGAATGAGCCATGCCGCCAAGGGAGAACTTGCACGCGAGGCTCACGATTATGAGGGGATGATATTTTTACATATTCTCGAAGGACGCGGGGAGAGGTTTCGTAGAGAGATTGGGTTTAGGCTGATATTCAGGACAACAGCACATTGAGGAAGATAGAAGGGAAGGGAAGACATCGAACGTACCGGGCCAGTCAGCGGTGCAAGAGGTGGCGGCAGCGTACGACGCCAGCTTGCACTTAAAGTCTCCGAGCCAGCAAATCCCGATATCGGATGCACACCGGCTTTTATTGGACCCACAGGCCGCCCAAGATATCGCGAGAAAAATTCGTCCAGCCAGCTGAAGAGCGCCTGCTTATCCTCTGTGGACAGATTCGACCAGTCGATTCGATCGGCCGACTCTCGTTGTTGTTCGTCCCCGTATGCTCGGACGGAACTGCTGCCGTGATCGACGGTGGAGGGCCTCCTCCGTGATAATACGGGTGGAGGTGCTGCGTCAGGGCGCGAGGTGCGATGAACGGGCGGTGGAGGTGGGCGCGCAGAGACAGAGGCGGATGAAGACGATTCGGCGCTGCGGGAGCTGGTCGAACGGAGGGGCGGTGGCGGTGGCGGTGTTCTCTTCGCGTATGGGTCGAAGCCTGTCTGAGCACTGGGCGTGCTCTTCATGCGATCACGCGTGGTGGAGAGCTTGCTCACGCTCGCATCTTTGGCTTTGACGGCTTTAGACTTGAGGTCTGCGACTGGCAAGGACTGGGATCAGACGTGTTACGATGCGATGGAGCGCGAGTGAGGTGAATTACTTGCCCGTGAATGGGGCCATGACTGTTATGTGGAGAGAGGGAGAGAGTTTTCGATGAGCACCGTAGAAGAGCACTCGGTGAGATCAGACAAACAGTGCAGTCGATAGAGGTCGTGGGAATCAGTCCCACTGGGACAGGTCGACACACCTCACTCCCTCCTCTCTCACCGCGTCGCGGCTATCCTTTTCGCTCTGTTAAGTTTGCTCCCCCCTGCAAAAAAGGTCTCAAATCGCGCGAGGGAGTGCTAAGCAGAAAATGAGAAATAATTAACAAATCAGGCACGCCAGATGTAAGTAATATAGTGGTATCGTCAACAAAGTCCCCTCCATTGAATCGGCAGATCATACAATACTTTCTGAAGTCCTCGTCGAGGATACCAAGCCGCTGCTTCCTCCGCGAACAACCGTATCGATCCGAGGGAGAAACTGGAAGAGACAAGCTGATTCAAAGTCAGAATGCGAGCTATCGATGAAGATCACAATGAGCCACCAAAGGACCATTGACCAGTTCCTCTTCGCCTTCACCTTGCCTCAGTCTCACCTCCTGCGTCGCCTTGCCACCCCTCACTCACCATTGCGCCTCCTTGCCCGCCAATTCCGTGTGCTATCTTCCTGTGTGTGACCAAGCTCGAGCGATTCGAATATTCCTTGTCACACTCAGGATAATCGCAGGGGAAGTCTTTCGGCGGCAACGTTCTGTACCCATTCAGTACCAGCACGCGCCTTGCATGTGTCTGCCTTCGATTATGCGTGGTGAGTTCTCTTTTCGTGCGGAAGCCGAGAATGCAGATATGGCAGTTGAACGGGCCGGAATTGTACGATGTCTGGCCGTTACGCATTGGAACGGGAGGGAAGAGGGATGCCCGTTCCTGAGCCACGAGCAGCATCTCTGGAGTGATGTTGACTGTCGAGACTGATGGGAAAGAGTGCGAGGCAGGGTAGAACGTTGACGGCGCAGGAAGTGATACCGGGGGTGCACTGAACGTCACCCCATGGTCATTGTATCTTGACCCGTTCATGGATTGATTCGTCGTGGCAGAGGATGACTGGCTGGGGTCTGGTGTTGAAAATGCACTGCGCGAAGATGGCATTGGAACGGAGGGGAGGGTCATCTGGCTAATGTGAGGTGCAGAAGATCCTGTCGAGAGAGAAGAAAACGACGTTGGAAGCAGAGACAACGTCGAAGCAGAGAACAAAGTCGGTTGACCGACAAGCGAGGTCTGCGTCGGGATAGGCCCTTGGCCCCACAACTGTACATTGACGGGGGCGGGACCAGAGGCTTGGAAATCCTCCATAAAACTGGAAGCTCCTGTTGTGGAATTGTGCGGTTCGAGGGCATTGCCCTTGCTACCTTCATAGGCTTCGATGAGCCTACTAGGTCCAGCTTGTGGTTGGGCAGGCGGATGGATTCTTTCCGCCACGCGCATAGTTTCCAACCTACTCCTTTTCGAATGACTCCAGTCATCACTGGCCTTGTCCGCTTTCCGTCTTGTTCCCGCAATGCTTGGAACCACGTCTGATTCCGTAGTGGGCAGTGGGAAAGCGATGGCAGGGGTGGACAGAGGGTTGGGTGCCACCTCTGTGCGTCCTGATCAAGAATTAGGTGTCAGCGTCAGCGTGGCACTCATCATTGTGGTGGCAAATGGAAACTGGGACTAGGATCGGGTACCTACCTAGTGCGCTCGGGATTGGCAGTGGAATAGCTGCTCGAGACGAGGAAACCTCATTTGGCCTCAGCAAGGCCTTTGTGGCGGCGAAGGGAGATGTGGTGGCAGGGAGCTCTGCACTTGGGTGTGGCATGCCCTCTGCAGGCTTGTCCTGTTTTTTCCAGAGGTCGGTGCTGCACTCGCTATCCTCAACAGTATGATATACTTACCTTTGAGTCTGTGGCAGGCGGAATCGGACTCGTAACATTGTCTGCAACCGGTGTTGGAGTTGGAGGCATGGTGGCGGCAGAAGTACTAGAGACCTCGGGTGGTATCTGACTGCTCAACCAGTCACATCCCCAGACGATGATCTCGTGCCAGTCGGCGAAGGGTCCGTCAGAGGATGCCATGATATAGATGGAGTGTATGTAAGATGGGGAACCGGGAGTGGGTGAGTGGCCCAGTGAGTGAGTGGCCCAGTGGGTGGTCGAAGTGCTTTCCTTCCCTGTTTGCCGTCAATTTATAGACTTCCCACAAACAAGCTGTACAAAGAAACGGAAATCTCCGAACTTCTAGATGTGGCTTCTCCACGGTGTTGGGGCTGTAGCGCTGAAAGGTGGCGTTCACGAGTGCTTTGAACATTCATGAGCCGACCGGACGGCGCTTCTTCGTCGATTTCGACGCCAGCAGGCCGAGCGCCGCAGACCAATCATGATCGGGCTTTGTTTCAACTTCCAGGCTGTTCGAGGCGCGCGCTTTGTCTCAGATTCGGACCAGCCAGGGCCTTTGAATTTGTCTAGTATTTACACGTAGTGCGCCAGCAGAGTGCGTGGCGTTACTCTCGGTGCTTTCTGCTGGCAAATTGCTTGTGCGTTTTCTCAACTAGTGTGCCCACACTCACCTGCAGGATTAGGATATCGAGAGATGCTTGATGCATTGAGGATGATTGCTTTTGACAAAATTTTGTGCTTTTGACTCCTGCAGTCACAGTTCGAGAGGGTAGAAGCTTTTATCCATGTGAGACTCTAGATGTACACCAACTCCTTATGCACGAATCTGTTTATTCAATTGCAAAAATGATCAAGTGCAACCAGTATGGTCTTCTTTTGCTTTCGCACCTATCACATTAAAAGATTATTTGCACTTGACTTCACCAACGACCCCCCTCCCGAAAACTTAGGAAAAGACACTCTAGCGAACGCGACGAAAGCAACTCCCTCCGAGAATGCACACCCGAGATGGGCAAAAAGAATGGACGTTGGGAGGATTGAACTCTCGACCTCACGCATACCAATTGCAGAGATACAAATGCAAAGCGTGCGCGCTACCACTGTGCCAAACGCCCATGAGAGGGTTTCTCCACTTTCTTATGATAACCAGCGCCAGCAAAGTCGTCAGCGGCGCACGGCATGAGTCTTGCTTTTGCACGACTAATCAGCCACGGCCCTGTCGAGACCAACGCCACTCGCCAAGAATTTATTTCTGCTGCGTTTATCCAGTGTACGTATGGCGTTCGACCGACCGACTGTCGGTGGGCGCCAACGACCCCGGCGGAACTGCGAGACGTACGTACGGTATGTAACGCGACTCGACGTGCTCGCCACGTTGAGACCCGGCCCTGTCTCCAGATCCGCGCGCAGGGCCCGCGCAGATGCGAATCGCGATGGACGCGATGACCGAAGCGATGACAGACACTGACAGACACTGACATCGACATCGACATCGACACACTGTCAGCATGCGGGACTGCGACCTGCTCGAAAATCTCCACGTTCGACGTCCACTGGCACGCCGAGCGCGTTCAATGGATAGATTGCTGTAGATTGGAGCTGCTGGCCACATCGCGAGTGTCGCACTACGTTGTCGAATGCTTCCTGAGACGACCGACAGCCGGCGTGTAGCTGTCTCGCGCTGTTTGCAGCTCTGAGAGACGTTGTGAGATCGGGTGCACAAGGCACGGCGACAACAGGACCGATCCCCGTATGTCAGTCGTATACCGGTGTCTTGTGAGAAGTGGTCAACAGAGGACGATAAGCGATGAGAATCCGGGCTGCTCGTGTGTTGATTGTGGGCTCATCGACGGCCCACGTCGATATGCCTCGTACGTGTGATCAGCGGCCATGAGATCTTCAGGTCGGCGTACCTCCGGGACGTGCGTCCCACAGCCCTCCCACCGAATAACACGCGACCCACACTCCTAGATTCTCGTTCCCTACTAGAGACGCACGGCGCGGACCACGGCGCGGCGATGGCGAGTGATAGCCTGTGATAGCGAGTAGAGAGGGCCTGGGATGCGTGCGAGCGCTGAACGACTGTTAGCAGTTGGATCGGCGATTCGGCTCGATATGGGGTGGCACCGCCACGAGTGCGGGGTAAGGACGGGACGAGATCCCCCGAGGCGTGCGATGCCTGGCCAGTTTCCCCGCGTCCCCCGCATCTGAGTACAACATAGCCCAGTCTGCCCCCACGCCCCTCCCCTCCACGACCCCCATCTCCTCTCCAGCCTCCAACAGCCTCCCGCATCCTCCCTCCCCTCTCGAGTCCCTCGCCCCTCGCCTCTGCAGGAGCCCCTCGACACCCCTATTACCGCGGTGCCTGAGATTCGAACAAAGAACATGGTCTGTGCTCTCTCCCTCGCATATCGCCCGAATTTCTGACCCGACTGCCCGACAACAGTCCGCACACCCGCCCGACCACAGCCCCCACGGGCACACGCCCACGTACACACACAGCAAGCTCGTCGAGCACGCCGCCAGCGACCAGCACCGCGAGGCGCACGTCATGGGCCTCCGTCTCGTGCTCGGCAGCATCCTGTCCCCCGTACGCCCCCTCCCCTCTCTCATCCTCCCCTCCCACAAGCCCCCGCACAAGCTCCGGCTCTCCGGCTCCGCCGCCCTCGCTCCCTCCTCGACCCCCCGCACGCACATCTCCTGATTCCTCACACAGAAACGCCCCCCATTGCCGCACTCCAGCTCGGGCACCTCCTCGCCCTCCTCGTTCTCCCACGCCTCCACCCACGTCCACGCCCACGTCCACCCCGCACTGGCACCTGCCTCCGCCCACGGCGGCGTCGACACGCCCCTGCCCCCTCCACCCCCTCCCCACCCCTCGCCCCTCCACACGCACCTCCCCACCCACCCGCACACGCCCTCCCGGCTCAGCCTCTCGGTAAGCCCCTATCCCCTGACGCCCCACGCACGCGCGCGCAGACGACGCGCGCCTGCGCGGGTCGCCCCCGCGGCTCTCGCTCACGAGCATGTCTCGCACTCGCATACGCACACGCTTTGACACACACGCGCCCGTGCCGCAGCGCACGCCCTCCGAGTCGACGCACCCCACGCCCCCGGGCTCGCCTTCGCCTTCGCCCTCCCCGGGGCCCCCGACCCCACCCGCGCTGCACCCACACGCGCCGGGCCCCGCAGGCGCCACGTACACGCTGCCCTCGACGCCGCACGGGCACGGGCACGGGCACCACCCGCACGCGCATGTGCATCCCCACGCGCACGTCCACGCACACGCGCCCACTCTGCACGCCCCCGCGCCTGTCCCCGCGCTCCCTGCCCCGCCGCCCGACGCGCCGTTGCCCCTGTGCCAAAGCATGACCGCGACCCCGCCGCCGCTGCCGCCGTCCTCCGGCTCTGCCTCGGGCTCGGGGACGAGCACGCCCAACGGCGGGAGCGCAGCCGCGCGCGCGCACTTCGTCGCGACGCTGCAGAGCAAGAGCGCGTGGGACGCGATGGTGCACGGGACGTGGATGTGAGCGCGGGCCCCCCGGGGACCTCAGGTTCCCTTCGTGTGTGAGGATGGTGGGCGCAGTTGCCAGGGGTATCGGTGATAGATGGCGGCTGCGGTGGTGGTGGTGGTGATGATGGCGATACGCCGTCGGGTAAGAGTGGGGGTTGTATGTATGGCTTCTGCGTTCCTCTTCGTAGGACGAGTCCTCCATTATTCTCTTCTCGTTTGTTTTCTCTCTGTACTCTGTCTGTACCCGTCGTCTCCGTCCCGTCTATTCTATCGCCCAGTCTCGTCCATCAGCCCGTGAGCTCGCGCGCCGTGTGTGATATGTATTATACACACTCTCTGTATGCTGCGTGTACGCCAGACTCGGCCGTTATGGCATCGTATCTCTTGTAGATCTTCCTCGTTCCTCGCGCATCTGCATCTGCATGTATGGAGAGTCTATGAAGAGTCTAGGCGTCCGACCGCCGACCGCCGACCGATCGAACGCGCCCGAACAAGAACCGAGTGCAAACGTCAACACGTCAGTTAGCCTCGGGCCCGATCAAGCGGGGGCGTGCTCGCTCGCCTGCAAGTCCAGTACAGCGAGTTACCCAAGTTATTCTAGGTAAGTTAGGTAACTTACTTGCCGTATGAATAGAGCTGCAATGCTGCGTGGCCATTGCGCTCCTCGCGTCAGCGGCGTCGCGCGCGGCGGTCTAGACCAGACAGGCTCCTCCAGGCGCGGGTCCAGTCCAGGCTGTACTGAACATGCGCGCAGACGTGCGCAGACGTGCGCCCCCCTCCCGAGGAAGGGGCGCACAGGCTACATGGCATGCTATATGCACATATGGAAGTCGTGTACGCGATGGGCGTGGTAGATTGGGGGCGCAGTGCGCGGCTCGAAGAGTGCTGTCGGTCCGGGTGCGAGCGTGCTCGAGATGCGAAATCTAGGACGAAGGGACGAGGCGGACGAGGGCGGCTTGGTGTCAGGCGCGTCGCGCGTACTGCTATGTGTGTGCGCCGTGGCACGTGTGAACGGAGGACTCCGACAGCCATCCGTTGCAAACCAGTCTCTGCAACAAAGATATATCCCATCTCTCGTCGAATCCATCCAACGAATACCTCGCATCCTGTTCAATCTAATAGCTGTAAGACCCATGTTTCGGCTGTGTACATTGCTAACAAAAATGAGACCAATGCTACTGGTACGCAAGCCCACCGCGAGGGTCGAACTCGCAGCCTTCAGATTGATGGAACTTGTGAAGTCCGTAAAAGTCTGACGCTCTGGCCGATTGAGCTAGGCGGGCATAACGTGGGCTGACCAACAGTTAATATGATACACTTGCGATCGCAAGAGACAAGATCAACATACTAAACAAACTCCTATCATACATATGCACAGACCTCACGAGCGTCGAGTAGGACAGGAATACTCTATACATACGCTATAACGATACAGCTATCGGAGTCAGGGTGTCGGTCACGGGTCTATGAGTAGCGATCTTCTCGTCCTCTGGAGACGACTGATCGTAGATTTCCTCGTCAATCCCCGAGTCCGGCACGCACAGCTGCGCGAGACCCAAGTCGTGCAGGCGCGTCATCTTGAGGAGCATGCTGAGCCCGAGGTCCGGCTGGCCGCCGCCGGGGCCGTCCAGGAGCGCCCACGTCGCGTCGTCCAGCTCCTGGGCTACGCGACCCCAGGTGGAGCGGATCGCTCCGGGGTAGTTGAAGGACGCGAGGATAAAGCAGAGGGGAGAGCCTGCAGGGAGTGAGGGGCGATACGCAAAGAGCACAGTTGGATGGGAGGGTTGGGGTCAGGACATGGGCGGGCGGAGAGACGTACAGAGGCCGCTGAGTTGTTGCTCGGCGAGCAGGCGCGGAGAGGGCTCTTTTTTGGCTGCTTGCTCGTATGGGTCGTGCATAGGGTCAGGCAGCGCATCCCCCAGACAATATAGACGCCTGCACGCTGGACAGATGCGCCCTGTCTTGCGGCTCTTGTTGTACCACAAGAACTGTCCGACCCACATCGGTTAATCGAGCGCTACACGTCGAGCGACGCGAGGGGGAGGACGTACGAGGGCGGTTTCCTCTGGGAGCACGGTGCAGAGCATCTGGAAGACCTCGGGCTGCGCGAATTCGGCGCACAGAGGGTCCGCGGTGTATGGGGGGTGCGCGAAGGACGATGCGAGGAACGCGCGCACGTCGCGTACGCGGGGGCCGTTGCCGGGGTCGTGGATCATTGGGTGCTGCAGCAGAACGAGCGTAGGGTCGTGCGCCTCGGCATGCTTGTGGAGGATGGTGGATGGGGGCGAAGTGATGGCTTCGAGGCGTGGAGTGTGGAGAGTCGTTATAGGCGGGGAAACCGAGCCGCGTCGGGGTGGGTGTCGTGAGTAGCTGTCATCGGCGAGCGTCATGGTTGCATCATGTTGGGATTCCGTGCTTTGGGCGCCGGGGGTGGACGCGGTGGTCGTCGTTGACAGTGGTGTAGAAGCGAATTGGCCGGCCTCTGACCCATCAATCGACGCGGTCTCCTCGATGCTGTCATCGAGCCGGCTATTCGATCCCTCGGACCCATTGTCTACCGCCGTCGTATCGTCGTTTATATCTCCATTGGCGGCGGCGGCGGCAATGAGGGCAGTATCCAGCGATGCTCGCGGCTTCCCCCGTCTCTCCTTCTCCCTCTTGCCCCCGGATTTTCTCTTCTTATGCGAATTGCTGGGCCCGGGCATATTGTTTGAGGACGGCAAATGCGCCGATTCACCTCTAGTTGGTCGACGGAGGGTTCTTGAGGAAAGCGGTTGAAAGCTGGAACGTCGAATCCGCGTTGCCGACGCGTTGAATGGAGTCGGCGATAGTACGTCACGGGAGCGCGTTCATTCACTCATGCAACGAGCTATATATCCTGACATTATCCGACCTTCACTGAAAGGCCATGCTGCAGATACGACTACGGGTAGCGTTGTACGTCCTCTTTTATATGCGAATTTTTCTTGTGGCGTGTATAACGCACAATGGCTGATGTTACAACTGTTCATAAATGCTGCCATTTTATCGTTGCCCTAGAAGAATCCCAACCCGGTGACACTGATACAACAAGAGAAGGTCGAAAGTCGAATACAAAAAGCACGATGAGATTCATGCCCGCCGCGAAAAAGAATCGGCGAGCATCTCTAGCTCCAAAAAGCCCTAAAAACGGGAACTCCTCTCCTCGAAACAACGCGGCAGCGGTCGTAAAGCAAAGAATATTGATTCTAAGGATTCACAAAAGCGAAGCGAATTAGGACGACGTTGGTGGCATGTCGGAGAGAGGACTTACGAGTTTAATAAGATTAGCTAGCCATTGTAGGGTGTGGGTGGGTGTCGATGTCGGGTGGTGCGCGATCGTTCAAGCAACGACGCAGTAGGAACCGCCGCTATTCCCGTTATCAGAATCGATGGGGGTCGTGCTGGCAGGCTCGACCTCGACTGGGGTGTTGGTGAAGAATGCGGTGATGAAAGAATCCATTGCAGTATGATTTTCGGTTGCGGAAGAGAGGTGAGGATGAGGGTGCGGGCGAGGATGAGGATGAGGACGGGGTAGCGCTGGATCGGACGTCAAGATGATGGTCGATGGAGAAAAAATGCAGTCGCGCAGGGGGTCCTTTATATCTCGCACTTACATGAGATCTAAAACGTCCTTCGGATGCGTTCTCGCCACATGATAAGCACTCACATCGAAAGACAATTGAGCAGGTGAGGACAGATGTCGAGCGTGCCTATATTACACATGCGCAATGGGTGCGGACGGAATGACCAAGACGGGTCAGCTCAAGTTCTTATTGTTTTGCACGCAGACGGCCCGTGGTTTAACGGAGCTAAATATGTTCGGAGGCGCCGACCTGATTCAGTTTGCCCCCGCCACGATGTCGAGCCTGAGCTGTTAACAATAAGGCAGATGCAGGCCCACCGGATATGGTAAGAAGGTTCCAGCGTGACTTTGTTCAACTCGAATCCTGCTTCGAGTTGTTCCAGGACGCTGCGGGTGCCTGGCATTACCACGGTGGTGCGGAAGCGAAAAGATAGCTATGTTACTATGTTGTTAAGATGTCCCAAAGTAGTGAAGTACCTTCAAACAGACAACTCACTCATGTCGGATTCCAGATGCCGTTGTAGGCATATTCACGAGCAACAGCTTCTGGTGTATATCCCATCCGATTGTAGTGATTCGAAGGCTTGGCCCGGCCCTGACAAGGTGGTCCATCCAGTTCTACATCTACGCCGACGTCCAACAGCGGGTGACCGCTTCAAGACACAGTGTCATATCTGTGTCGAAATCACTATAAGCGCGTTGGACTCGTGTACGACTCTTACCTGCTTTGAGAACCGGTCCGACGATGACCAGAGACACTATTGTTTAGCTGCCATATAGTTCAGCAGCCGCATACATAGCGGGCGCGGACTAGAACACGGATGGAGATCAAGATGAACTCAAAAGTAAACTGACGGTAATTCCGGACTTTGGCAGCCGAGTGTGGCTCTTGGAGCCTTTTGTAGAGATATTCCGACGTCATGCGGCGCGCCACTCGCACCAGACACTCATCTGTCTCAAGACGCACGTATCGAGGGCGCCATTTTGAAGAATCCGACGCGTAGCTGATGACGTTCGGGGAGGACTCCCGGGCTGAAATGCCGCAGAAACATCGCCAAGCTGTGCGTCGTCGTCAGTGGCGGTGATGGTGGACGAGGTGAGTGCAAGATCTTGAGGCCGAGAAAGGAAGGGATTGTTTGCACATGTTTGCGATCGATGGCTGAAAAATTGGACGTGACTCCGGCGCGTCTGCAGTCAATCGGATTGGACTCGGACAGAGCAAGGCAGAGCGCCTGCCCACACCTGATCATATCCCTCTCCTCCCACAATTGTCACCATTTGGCGCAGCGTACTCCGTCTTCCTCGACCGTCGAGACCCTGTAAATTAGCTGTACATCTGCGTTTCGTACATACACATCTCAACATGGCCTCCGCGTCTGTCCCGGCGGCTACCCTCGAGCTTGGCCAGGTGCTCTTCGTTTTTTTTTCTCAATGTTCGTCACGTTTGCTCATTGCAGCCGTCGACAGACCGCCAAGCGAGACTACTTGAAGAATCTAGAGGAGAAATATCAGGCACGATGGGAGGAGGAAAAGATCTTCGAGGTGGAAGCGCCATCAGTTGAAGAGACTGCAGGACTCTCCCCTGCAGAAGTCCAACAGAAATTCCCTAAATGGTTCGGCAACTTTCCCTTTCCTTACATGAACGGCTCTCTGCATCTCGGACACGCATTTACGATATCCAAGATTGAGTTTGCTGCGGGCTACCATCGAATGCTGGGCAAGCGGGTCCTCTTCCCTCATGGTTTCCACGTCACCGGGATGCCCATCAAGGTGCGTCAGACAGTGCATTCAATCTCAGACGTCGTTGGGTTGACTGACGACAAGTCGGCGTAGGCATCCTCAGACAAAATTATCCGGGAAATAGAAATGTTTGGAGAGAACTTCGAGAATTATGAGGCGGTGGAAGCAGCGGCTGAGGCAGCAGCAGAGGCGGCTGCCGCATCTGAGAGCGGTGCAGGGCAACCCAAGGCTGCAGACAAGGCGAAGAAGGGCAAAATCTTGGCCAAGGCGACGGGGCTCAAATACCAGTTCCAAATCCTCGAGTCTATCGGTGTCCCCTTGACTGAAGTCAAGAAATTTGCAGATCCCTACCATTGGTTGGAGTACTTCCCTCCGATTGCGATTGTGAGCACATCCTGTGATTTTTCTGTTGCTGCGAAAATGAAATTGGGAATGCAATATCGCAGGCAGACAATCGTTCTCTGGGCAGCCGTATCGATTGGCGCCGTAGCTTCATGACCACGGACGCGAACCCGTACTACGACTCTTTCGTCCGCTGGCAGATCAACAAGCTGTACAAGCTCAACAAGATCAAGTTCGGCGAGCGCTACACGATCTACAGTCCTAAGGATGGCCAGCCTTGCATGGATCACGATCGGCAAGATGGCGAGGGAGTTGGGCCGCAAGAGTATACTGGCATCAAGATGGAAGTCTTAGAGTGGAGCAAGGAAGCTCAAGAGATCGCAGGCAAGGTCAGCGGACGTAAGGTCTACCTCGTTGCCGCAACTTTGAGACCGGAGACCATGTATGTTGCATCCTTGTCTTTCTTGTGCTGTCCATGATTCCGTTTTCCTTGCAGGTACGGCCAGACCAACTGTTTTGTCGGTACTGCCATCAAGTACGGCGTCTACGCGGCGAACGACAAGGAGGCCTACGTCTGCACAGCCCGCTCGGCACGCAACATGGCCTTCCAGGGCATCTTCGAAATCCGTGGCCAGGCGAACAAGCTTGCAGAGATCGACGGATCCAAAATCGTCGGCACGAAAATATCTGCACCGCTTTCTGTCTATCCCGAGATCTACGTTCTCCCGATGGATAACGTCCTTGAAACCAAGGTTCGTGAGCAGAAACCTAGCCTGTATATCTTGCAACCTTACGCATGGAAATGTAAATCAGGGTACTGGTGTCGTGACATCTGTCCCCTCCGACTCTCCAGATGACTTTGCGACACTCACCGACCTCCGCAAAAAGGCCGAGTATTACAAAATTGACCCCAAATGGGCTGCTTTTGACCCTGTCCCAGTGCTCTCAACGCCGACCTACGGAGACATGACTGCCCCTGCGCTCATCAAGAAATTCAAGATTGCATCGCAGAAAGACACCAAGTCACTCGCGGAGGCGAAGGAGATCGCGTACAAGGAAGGCTTCTACAGCGGCACAATGCTCATCGGTGACTTCAAGGGCGAGAGCGTGCAAGATGCGAAGCCTAAGGTCCGCGCGGCGCTGATCGAGAAGGGCGTGGCGATTGCGTATGCGGAGCCTGAGGGGCTCGTCATCTCACGTAGCGCAGACGAGTGCGTGGTCGCGCTCATGGACCAGTGGTACCTGGACTACGGAGAATCAGAGTGGCGCGCGGAGACTGAGCGGTGCGTTCAAAGATTCAACAAGGAACGCCGCTGGCTGATTTCTTCTTCCATTATTCAGTGCGCTCGCCAAAATGAATACCTATTTCTCGGAGACGCGCAATGCGTTCGAGGGTACTTTGGCGTGGCTCAACCAGTGGGCGTGCGCCCGGACATATGGCTTGGGTTCCAAATTACCTTGGGATCAGCAGTTCTTGGTAGAGAGTTTGAGTGACTCGACATTATACATGTCGTATTACACCGTCGCTCACCTGCTCCACAGTATGTCAGTCTCGCTTTCAACAGTACTCCTGCGACCTGAACCTCTGTTTTCGTAACTAGAGTCTCTTGATGGCAAGATCCGCGGTCCGCTCGATGTCGCCCCTGAACAGTTGACCGATGAGGTATGGGAGTACATCTTGGTTGACGGGCCTTGGCCCTCCTCTTCTTCCCTACCGAAAGAAAAAGCAGACGCGATGAAACACGAATTCAACTACTTCTATCCGTTCGACGTACGCTCGTCTGGCAAGGACTTGATCAACAACCACTTGACGTTTGCTCTCTACAACCACGTCGCGATATTCCCCGAGGATAAATGGCCGCTCAGCATGCGCACGAACGGGCATTTGATGCTGAATGGGAAGAAGATGTCAAAGAGCACGGGCAACTCGCTCACGCTGCGTCAGGGCGTGGAGAAATTCGGTGCGGACGCGACGCGGTTAGCTCTTGCGGATGCTGGTGATGGCATCGAGGACGCGAACTTCGACGAGAAGACCGCGAACGCGAATATCTTGCGAGTGCATACCTTGTTGGGGTGGTGTGAGGTGCGTTGGCTGTTTTACAGCTTCACAAAATCGCTGTTGATTGGTCTCCCATAATTTCAGGAGATGACGCAGGCATCTGCGAACTTGCGTACAGGACCTCGTGGTTCGTATCACGACGCCGTGTTCGAGCAGGAAATCAACAACCTGATCAACATCACCCAGTCACATTATGAATCGTAGGCTCCTATGCATCCGTTCTCTTGCCCACATAGCTTACGATGAATCGTCGCAGCACCAACTACAAAGATGCTTTGAAGTACGGGTTTTACGAGCTCCAAACCGCCCGTGACTGGTACCGCGAAGTTACTTCCGACATCGGCATGCACGCCGACCTCGTTCGGTATTGGATCCGTATCTCTGCTCTGCTCATCACCCCCATTGCTCCTCATTTTGCCGAGCACATCTGGACATCCATCCTTGGAGAGCCAAAGTCGATCCAGCATGCACTTTGGCCGACACCGACCTCACCGGTGGACAAGCCGATTCTTGACGCCGGCGCCTACATGCGCGAGACCGTCAAGACGATCCGTGATGCCGAGGTCGCGCTGCTGAAGAAGATCAGCAAGGCCAAGGGCGGACCCGCGCTGTTCGACCCGAAGCAGCCTCGCGCCGTGCGCGTATACGTCTCGACCAAGTTCCCCGAGTGGCAGAACGTGTGTCTGCAGGCGGTCAAGGAGGCATGGGACGCCGAGAGGGAAAAGGTGGACGATGTGCGCGTGCGAGAGATCCTGACCGCGCAGGGCCTGATCAAGGAGAAGCGCGCAATGCCCTTCGTGCAGTTGCTCAAAGTGAATTTTCTTTTCTGGTCCCCGTGCGCTGAATTCTGAACATTTTGTGACTGAACAGAAACGTATCGCTGAGTTCGGAGCGACAACGGCGTTCAACCGGACGCTGCCGTTCTCGGAAAACCAAGTCCTGGGCGAGATCTTGCCCTACCTGAAACGCACGCTCAACCTCACCGTGGCTGAGGTTCTGTCTGCCGAGGAAGCATTAGAGAAGGGCTACTCGAAGTCGATCATCGAGAGCTCGGAGCCAGGAGGCCCCGCTTTTGAGTTTAGGAACGTTACGTCGGCTGGGGAAGAGCTTCCGCCTAATCACGCCGCACCGGAGAAGAAGGGTTCGACGAAGAAATAGAGACTCTTGCTCTTACATGTGGGGGAACTGCGTAATAATCGAGGACGATGTACTTTCTGACACGGCGATGCGAGGAAGGAAAGTTGTGACCTCCGATTGTGCGATAAGTGTGTTCCGCAAGAGCAGCCCAACTAAAACATAAATGATCGGACTACGCGTTGGAATTAAAGAAACAGGCATCGTCGACGTTGTTGCCTGTGGGAGATCATCGATTCATCCATTGTATAAATTGGGAGGAAATGGTGAAGTCGCGTACCAAGTTCCGGAGATGGACGAACGTGCTATCTTTGCTCGTTAGCACTGGCTGGCAAATAACTCACCTCCTCTTTGACAACGACGGCGATGTCTGAGACTTACCCCCTTACCCCCTCCGACTTGCGCGATATTCTCGCCTTCACAGTCAACCTTGCGCGCACCGCAGGAAAGCTCATACTTGAGGGCTCACACGCTATCCAGAACGCATCCGCTTCCGACATCGGCGAGAAGAAAAATTCGGTCGATCTCGTCACGGAATACGACGTCAAGGTCGAAGAACTTGTCAAGAACGAGATCGCGAAGGCATACCCGAACTTCAAGTTGTGCGTCTGTCCTTCGAGTTTCTGGTCAAAGCTGAGTGATTGACCCGATGCCGGATGCAGTATCGGGGAGGAAAGCTACTCGTCCGGAGCGCGGCCTCCCCTTACAGACGAACCCACCTTCTGTGTCGACCCCATCGGTAAATAACCCTGTGATGCTATTCGCATGTTGCGCTTTCATCTGATCCTGCAGATGGGACCACGAACTTCGTCCATGGCTTTCCCTTCGCCTGCATATCTATCGGTCTCATCGACCAAAAGCGACCTGTCCTTGGCGTGATCTACAACCCGTTCCTCGACCATCTATACACTGGAACCAAGGGTCAAGGATCGTTCTTGACGCGCAATGGCGGGCAACAGCAGAAGCTGCCCTTGGCCCCCGCACGCCCGTTACCATCTCTATCCCAAGCTCTTGTGGGTGCGTGTCTAGTATCGTATTTACTCACGGCTCCCCTCTCGCGCATACGAGGGGGACGCTCTGCCTCTCGACGCGCACCGTCCAGGAATCGCGAGATGCTGACGGACGAGGTTTACAGCGATCGAATGGGGCTCCGACCGCAAGGCCCCTGCGATCCAGAAGAAAGCCGACTCGTTCACGCGCCTCGCGGGCGATCCTGCCGGCGGTGTCCAAGGCGGGCGCATGGCACACTCTCTCCGCTCTATTGGTAGCGCGGCGCTCAACTATGCGATGGTCGCACAGGGTGGGCTCGACATGTATTGGTGCGCTTTCTTTGGTCAGTATAGGAAGAATCGGACGTCCACTCATGAAATATTATGCCATGCAGGGAGATCGGATGCTGGTAGGCGACGTATGATTCCCTGGGTAGCCTAGTATTAAAGCCGGTGCTTGTTTCTCCGCATTCGATTAAATAGGCCATGGGATGTCTGCGTATGCCACATCTCGAATCACTTCAATGTCCTCTGCTTACCTTGTACTTTTCCTCAAACAGGCTGGGATTGTGATCGCTCAAGAAGCCGGCGGCTTCGTCACAGGCTCGAAAGACTCACCACATGACGGCGATGTCACCGAGGCCATCCTTACTGGAAGAAAGTACCTCGTTGTCCGAGGAATTGCAGATTCTGAAGTATGTTTATCCGTGAACAATCTATTTGTCGGACTGACACCTTGTAGGGCGAGAAGGCGGTCGACGCGCAGAAAAGAATCGTCAAGGAATTCTACGAAACGGTAGAGGATATGCAGGCTGAGTGAACCTCAAGAGAGAGACATTAGAGGTCAAGGTGTATTTTTTTTTGTAAAGTAGACGGAAGACAGTCTGCTGGCTGGAGAGCCTTGGAAGAACGCCTCAATGTTTAGACACAACTAGAACAGCTTAGCTATGTAGCAATTCTGGGAGAGCAATCAACCTGCATAGTAAAGATATGTGAACTAATCAGTAAGCACCATTAAATGTCGTCCAGCGATACCAAGGCTACTACGCTACGTCTACGATGTATATGCGCTTCAATAAGTACCAAAACCCCAACTCAACAAGGGTCGCTCGAGCCGCGAGGGTTTCACGACTCGTTCCAAGGAATATGTATATAATCTACCCGGCAAAAAATAAACACGTTCGACTTCCCAGGTCTCATGAGGCCGTCGAGCAGATGAAATCAAGAATGTCAGACGATGTGCATCCTGAAGCAATTCACACACATTCCCTTCGTCTTGAATGGGTTCTGTTTGAATTCGTTGCAGTTGCCCGTCTGGCTGTCAGGTAACGAAACTGAGCTGAAGAATGGCGAAGCCTTGCCGGCTGCGACAGCCCCGATGGGTGGCGTCGACGATGTGACGGTTGCGCGGCGGGGGGGCGGAGGTGGGGGTGCCTTGCGCGGAGTAGTATCCGTCGGGCGTCTAGGCAGCTCAGGCGCCGTGCGGGTGCCATGTGTGGTCCACGGGTCATCCTCGTCCTCGTGGCTATGTTCTGGCATCAGCTTTGCCTGCTCGTGCTCCTCGTCGTCTTCCACACTGCTTGCGAGGCTCTCGGTGTCGTACCCATGTCCGTATACCGATGATGGCGTGCGCGCGCTCAGCGGGGCGTTGTGATCGCCGAACGGGTGCTCCACCGCGTCGGCCATGCGTCGGCTGACGCTGTCGTCTGAAGTAGAGGCTGAGGAGCTGGTCGCAGTGCTGAGGTGCGCCCCGTTGAAAGTGTTCGCGCGGCGCGGGATTGGCGGCGAGGCCCTGGCACGCAGGTTGAGGACAGGCTCAGTGTAGCTCGTCGGGAACAGGCCCTTCTTGCCCCCGAGCTCGCCCATCCACCACTCGTCGAGCACTTCGTTGACGACGACGATCTCGTCGCCCACATGGAATGTCAGCTCATCCGAGGACCCCGAGAAATCATACAGCGCGCGCACACGCTTGCGCGTCTCGTCTGAAAGCCCACGCAGGGTTCGTGGGGGCGCAACGGGCGAGGTGCTTGGTGTACTCTTCGCAGACTTCGGCTTTGACTTGGCGGACATGAAAGAAAGAGAGCTTGTCGATCCGTGACGCGATGTCTCCTGTGGCTCGCTGTCGTCGTCGTCGTCGTCTTTCAGTCGTTCCCCGTTCTTCTTTCTCCAGCCACCCGTCCATCCTGCCACGTTCAATCGCTTCTTGTCCTCCTTCTCCTTCTCCACAGTACTCCCTGTCGTCGTCACGCTATCCGACCGCTTGCGACTCGCGCGCGACGTCGGTCGTGAGACGACCGAGCCGGCCCGCGAACGTGCAGCAGTAGAAGACTTGCGCGAACGGGGCTTGGTGCCCACCTCTTCCTCGGAAGAATCGTCGTCGGGTGGGGGTGGGGTATGCCTCGCCGTCGAGACGGAGCTGCGGCCGGACTTGTGCGAGCGGACAGAGCCGAGATTGCTCGTCTTCTTGTCTTTTTCTTTATCCTTCTCTCTCTCCTCAAGCTCGGCTGAGCGGGCGAAGTTGTGCATAGGCCCTGTGGGGCGCGGATGGTCGCGTCTCGAGGCGCTGGAGCTGGGCAGACCCACCGGGTCAGTCTATGTGATGAAGGAGAGATGCGAAGTAAAGACTTACTCGTCCACCCAGTTCATCTTCACGTCGCGCAACACCTCTACATACTGCTCAGCAAAGTTCAGTTCGAGGTCTAAGAAATTTGTCAGTTCGCGTTGTTGGTCGATCTCGTTCTCCTGGATGGCGTAGATGCGCGCTCGGACATCTTCCGCTGTCTCTTCGCTACGAGACCCAACGACGAGGTGAGTGAGGGTCTGTAGCATAAGGCATAGTAACGCACTAGCGTGATCTCGCCTTGGCCAGCTCGTCCTCGGCATCCAACCTATCTTTCTCCTTCTTACTCCCTTTCAGCTTCTCCATCTTGTTCAGGACAGCATCGTAGTTCAATCTGATGCACCGGGCTCGTCATGCTGTTCTCGACGGGAGAGGGTCGGAGAGCACACACACCTACGAGTCTCGAGCTTCTTTCTCTCCTGCTCGTAGTCTTTGATCTCATCCAAGAAATGATCAAGAGCGTTAACGAAGGAGTCTTGTAGTGTAAGTGCATATGCTTCTTGAAGTGTAGCTATTTTACAGTGCGCGCGCCCGAATTTTACAAGGGAGGATCCTGTCGCGTAAGAGGATACGTGTCAGCGCGGGATCTGAGATAGGAATCCCCGGAAGACACACCGAACGCAGAATCCTCGCCAAATTCTTCTCCGTGTGCTATCATTACAATGCCCATCGAATCGCGGGGCAGATATTTATCGGGATCGTCGAGGGCCTCTGACTCCTTCTTCTTGGATAATACATGATGATACTGGGCGGAGACGAGGAGGAGACTGAACGAGGCTCAGCAAGTGGGTGGGGTTAGAAGGGGTATTGCACACACCGCTGAATCCCACTTCGTCGCAGCTCGATATCATCCTCGAGCTCGCGCGTCTCATCGGTGACGTTGCTCTTGTCTTTGGACGAGATGACTTCACCTGCCCACTAAAGGTGGGCGCATCAGCTGCTTACTCCGAGACACATGGCAGATGACCGAGCTGTATACCTGACGGAGTCGTCCAAGCTAGATGGGATGCCGTAAGTCCGCCGCTGGACACAGAGAGAGAAGGCAAGACGCACTCGTTTGCTTGCATTCATATCTAAAGAGGGAGAGAGGGAGAGAGGAGAGAGAGAGACGAACGTAGTGAGGGGTGCCGGTATTTGAGCCGCGTTTATAAGTGAACGGTGGATCGAACCACCTCTCAACGGTGTGGTCGGCTGGACCCTCCCGATTGGCTCACAAATGGCCTAGTGCGGTGATTTTTTGTTCTTCAGCGGACAAGCTGCCTTGTTTACGGCACACAACCGTCGTCAGACCCCCTCTCGATACCTTCACATCGCTCCTCGAGGCCTCGCAACTCAAACTTTTGTCAGGGTTTCTTTGTCTATCGACATCTGAACACTCGGCACATTACGGGCCATATACATCATGACCACATGCAGCACATGATGGGGCCTTGACGCCACTCGTTACCGGCCGCAATCCCAATACAATACGGATACTTACGGATAGCAGCGGATAGCGGAACACATAACTACACAATAATAACAGATGAAGGCATGCATAGCCTTCCACTATGGTATCACCCTGCTCGCCAGCCTCATACCTTCCCAAATCGCCACCGCCTCTTCAACCCACGGCATCCGGAAGTATTCACTGCGTTGCAGATCCTCTCTGCGCACCGTCGCGCCTTCGCTTGGCCCGCTGCCCAGCATCGACTCCAAGTCACGGGATTGAGATTGAAGGTAAGTGTTGATGAAGACTGCGGGATCGTCCGCGAAAGATTGCATGAACTGTCGCTTCAGCACAGAGGAATGCATCGACTGCGTCAACGCCGAGATCTAGGTCCAGATATTCAGAGACCAAGGTGACAAGATAATCTCAAACGAGAGCATACCTCGTCATCAAGTTTCAGTATCTCTCTTGATGCTTCGCGGGTCATTCCCAGCATGACACCCGTCATCTTTGCTTTCATTGCGACATCTTCCATCCTCACCTCTACGTCCCAGGCCGTCGCTCTCTCTGGCGGCGGCATACTGGGATTGACAGTGTAATGGATAACGACGGGATCCGCTGGCATGAGGTATCTATTGACGAGTTCAGGTAGTGCCGCGAATGGAACACTTTCGACGTTGGATATCTGTGCGGCTCCGAGAGTCAGCCGAAAGCGACTGATGACGGACACAAAATCGATGTGAATTATGAAGGGTGCAACGCACACGTCTGAGAGCCGCGTCTAGATGTATCTGCTGCCTGTGGGTCTTATCCTGAAGATTGTTGATCTTGATGTAATTCCACAGCGCTTGAACAATGCCAGTTCGACTGTCTTCTCTTACACCGAGAATGGCCCCTATTGCACAGAAGAATTATGAGCGTCTTAGCGGTAAAATCAGAGGAAAGTGAGCATAGCGCGAAGCATACCTAAATCTGGGTGCACCTTGTACTGTTGAGGTTGTTGTTGAAGGTACATAACGAGCCGAATTTTAGTCGGCTTATCACCCGTCCGCCGTATTGTGAAACCATCCAACACTGGCTGCGCGGGTCCATGATGCCACTGTACCCGAGCAGGTGAGGACAAGATAACATAGCTTGTGGTCACGACGATCAACACACCTCCACGATATTCCCATCGGGATACAAAGCGGGATCTCGGTCGAGCTCCACAATCATGCTCTTGAGGAATGTGGAGAACTGACGAATGGGAGCTTTGTCTTTCGAGCGCTGATTTTGAGGCTACGAGTCCGGTATGTTTCGAGCTAAAGCACAGCTCATATGATGGAAACGTACCTCCAATAGACGCCCCTCGATCTTCAATTGCCATGCTGGTATACCCTGACCTGTCTCCAGATTGGGAGTCGCCGAACTCCCTGCATCAGCGCTTTGCCAGGTCTGACCGGAGACGGTATGTGAGAGGAATATCCGAAGCGTGCGTTTTGTCTTGATGTAACAAGCCCGCCTGTATGTGAGACAACGAACGGTGTGATGGATTTATGGGGACGCACAGTTGGCGTTCGCATGAGTGCATCCTGAACTTCAGCTCTTTTCCTCATCATTGTCCAGTCCAACTTTTTCTCCATCTCGAGCAAGTCTTGATACATCTTTGAGTCTACAGAAAATGTGGGGTCGGAGTGGATAGAGGATGGCAAGGTGCGATCAACGATCTTGCGCTTTCTAGAGCGCGTACCATAGAGAAGGCATATTAAGAGACGAGAACAATGTCAAGGATGCGTTCAAAGACATGCGCGAGCATTGCACGCACTTTGGCACCTTCTGTTGGTCTGCCGGATTCATTTCCGTTTCGACAGTTGATCAACGGCCTAGTTGCAAAGTTATTTCACGCGCTCAAATTCCTCGAAATTAAGGAGCCAAAAAGTTCTGGACAACAATGTAAGCATTTGGCTCTGGGTGAGGGAGAAACAAGAAAGACAGACCTCGAGGTCTTCGGAGGGTCGGCTTGAAAGAGGGAGGATGTCACAGATGTCACAAATGGCCACCACACGTGATTCGACGCGTACATTTAGTCACGAACCATGACTGCGCGTCTTGTCTAGCAACCCCTTCCTCCTCTCCTTGTCTCATCTGCGCCACTGGCGGCTGGCCCCTACGAACTATCTGCATCGCCATGTCAAATAAAACGAGTGCTATGAGCAAATATGTGTATGATAAGAGTGGAGTTATTTTATACTGATTCTAAACATTCCTGATTCTAAAAGACACTCATAGGGAAACTGCAATCAATACTGGCCCCTCTAGGTATGACCCACCTTTTCAGGAACACTTCAATAATGCCAAACTATTATTTTTAGAGGAGGGCTCTGATCCTGACTTTAATTCAGGTTTGTATGTGTACAAGTTGCCCAAGAGAGGCCAAGGTCATAAGGGACATCTAGAAAAACCCCCTCTTTTAATTAGATCTAATTATTCAAAATACTAATCTGAGCTAATTAGAATATATTATCCATAATCAACTTTATAATCAAATCTGCAAGTAAAGGTAACATTGTCTATACTACTATAGTCCTATTAGAATCTACAATCTAATTACAATTTTACATATTTCATATCCAAATTGTGTAAGTGCTACAATCTTATTTTTACTGTATTCTTTATTTTTTATTAGTTTACTATATCATTGTCTAGTGCCCAAATTCAAATATCAGCCCTGATTTTTAGGGCATTTATTGACCTCTTTATATATAAAATAGATAAAGGATAAATGTGTAAGAAAATTAGAAATGTTGAGATTGCCTTGCTCATATTAACATATTTAGGTTACCAGGTAAATAATTTAGATCTTGTGGCTTAGTGGTTTAGAGCACTAGTCTAGGATATGTAGGCATGAGGTTGTTGGTTCAGTTCTAGTAATGGGCAAGTTTATAATAAGGTGTGAGTTTAGTTTGATTAGTAAGCTCTATACATACTCTATGATTGGAGGTGTAGTAACAGTAGAGAAACCATAGAAGTGGGTTGGTTGATATTTTTCTAAAAATCCATATAATAAATTAGCTTTAATTAGCTCTAATCAGACCTTATAATTTCAGGATTAGAGGGGGGGTAAGCTAAAAATCCTTAATGGTAATTGGTAAAAATATAGCTATATTTATGCTTAACTATGGTTAATTTAATACGGAGCTTTTCCCTAATGTACTATGTATTTTGTCTCATTTTATTATAATATTGTTATTTTCATTCAATTAATATCATCCTTTATTCTCTCTTTGACAGACTGTCTGACTAAGTAAACAATAGTATGAGGTTGTAGATGACATGGCAGTATTGTCAATAGACTCAACTCATGATAAAGTGACATGTGTGCTAGCATATGCATGTCTTGATACATAAGTATATCTTGAGGAGATATAAAGCATGTCCACTTGAGCATGATTGACACACATAAACCAAATCCCTTCTGCCCTTCTGCCCTTGCTGTTGTAGCAATGATTCCTGCTAGTAGCTTCTTCGACCTGTTCTTGTCTCTCGGTCTGGGCCAAACAAACACGCGACAAGGAGGCTCAGGTGACTTGCCCCAGACGCACGTGATGGATCCTTCTTTCGTGATGGATCCTTCGCCTGTGTTCCCTCTCCTCGGGTCCGGTTCGGGCGCCTTTCTCCATCACTCTGCTTTCCTACACGCACTATCGCAATTCATCATGCAAAACGCCCCCAATGCGCGTAAGCGTACTGTTCTCATGCAACCCGGATCGTGGAACTGACGCGGAGATATGTCTTGGTTCTCGATCGTTCGCGTGCTTGCCCTAATGGTGGAATTATGAAGCGAGACAGAAGACGTCCGATCTGCCAGAGTTGGAAGTACCGATGGCTGTAGGCAGCTCCTCAGATGGACGAGGGGATGGCATATTGATAACTGAACATACAAGTGAGTTTAGGGCCTGTTTCATTCCGATCTCGGTGGAGGGTGGCGTACCAGAATGCCTCGAATACTTCAGGAAGCGCACATTGCCTGTATAGAGGGTCGCATATCAAGTCTGAACGCATGAAAGGGATACTGACTTCTTTGTAATTAGATCTCAATGACCTGACTCCTTCCCAATTATATCAGCTGAATCAAGTGCGTAGTCTCTTCAACTTGCTCCTCCTAAGATCGACTAATATACCTAGTGACGTCGTACAAATAGGAAATGCTCGACAGTTCGACATCATCAAGTCGGCCGTTAATCGCGTCGGTAGTGAGCCTGGACGTTCTCCGTGAAGAATATGAGAATGGCTCGCAGTCGTTTGTGAAACAGATCGAATATTTACAGTCTCAAGACTTTCACGGTATTCGCCGCACGCGCGGTGATGGCGACTGTTTCTACCGATGTGCGCTCATTTTCCCTTACTGTTTAAGCTATTTTCCGATTGCGGACACGAGCTGACTGGATTTAGCGCCGTAGCCCTCGCTTTCGCGTACATAGAGCGGATAGTGAACTCACCCGATCCGTCGTTTGCTGCGACGCAAGCCCTTTCCACGCTCGAGGGAGCGCTCCCGATGCTCGAGGACGCTGGGTTCCAGAAGATCGTAGTTGAGGACTTCTATGAGGTGATGGAAGGTCTTATCAAGCGCGTTGTCACGCCCGACTCCCGAGGCCATTACCTTACACCGAACTTGCTGCTTGAGGCGTTTCAAGATCCAGAAAGTGCGTCGCAGCTTCTTTCATACATGTGACGGATGTAGTTGACTGTATGCAACCACGTAGCATCGAATTACGTTGTCGTATTCCTTCGCCTCTTGACCTCTGCACAGATCAGGACAGACCCAGAATCGTTCGAGCCCTTCCTCTTCCACCCGGACCTTGGCGAGCCATTGTCAATTCGCGATTTCTGCGAGGGCTTCGTCGAAGCTGTAGGCAAAGAAGCCGGTGCGCAATTATTCCCACCATTCGACAATGCGCCGGTACATGACTTGTTACGGTTTAGCTCACTGTCTTGGTTCTGCAGATCATGTCCAAGTAACCGCGCTCTCACGGGCTCTCAAGATCAACGTGAGCGTTGCGTATTTGGACGGTCGCGATCAGGGTGGGAAAGTAGACTTCGTGGAGTTCTTCAATGCTCCGGAGGCTGGTACCGAACCCCTCGCGTTGTTGTACCGGTAAATACTTCGGCTCTCGCCTTCGTCAGCTGCTGATCGAGTTGCGAGGATTCAGGCCTGGCCACTATGACATCCTGGACAAGCGCAGCATCGAAGCTTTGCCATTGAACCTGTCATAGATGTTGTTTGCTTGACTGAGGAGGCTTATTGCTCGAGATATTGAATGAATGTAGTAGTCTGCTGAATTGTATACCTGGATCGTGTTTTTGTGTTTTTGTGGTGGCCGGATTATGCATAGCTGATCATCGTGAACGAGCGGCGCGGCTGTATAATATAGAGAGGTATGAAGGGCTTGTCGGCGTGGCCGACACCCGTCCTCTGAACAAAATGCAAACTTTTAAGTGACTGACCAATGCTCCCACTATACATTTCAGCGGCTGAGGACGATACAATAAGACTACGCCCTCGCCTTTTACTAGGGCGTACCGTGTATTGTCCTCACTCAAAGCCGCTCAGCAATCTTTGGAACAAGAACTACTTGAGAGTTCATCGTCTTCTCGTTTTGACCAATAATTTTTGACACTGCTACTTGACATCGGACTCTCAGGACCCGATAAGTGCAAGTTTTACTACTATCCGCTATGACTCTACTTGACTGGCGACCTTTTCTTTTTTAGGGCAGTGGGCATCGTTTTATGCCCTTTCGGTTTCGGTTGCGCATCTTACCTTCAGGCCGTCTTCACCGAGTCATGACTCCTTCACCACCACTGTCATTGAATGCAGCGCCTGCGCTCTCGCCTCCAAACTACGAATCATGGACAAAAGAACAGCTCATCGCGCGTCTGACGCAGCTCGAGTCTTCTCAGCAGAGCAAGGCGATCCTTCATCGCGCCGCTGCGTCTGCGTCTGCTAAGCCACCGAAAATATTCCGCTTTGCGGCGCATCCGCAACGAAAAATTGCGCTGCGCTTCACATACGCGGGGTGGGAGTACAACGGGCTTTCATGGCAGGACGGGCCGACGCCCCTTCCGACCGTCGAGCGCGTCTTGTTCGACGTGCTGGCGTCGACGAGACTTATTGACGCCGATGGTGGGCTTGAGGGCTGTGGATGGGAGCGATGCGGGAGGACGGATAAGGGTGTCAGCGCTGCAGGGCAGGTCATCAGCTTGTGGGTGCGTAGTGCGGTCGTGGACGAGAGACAAATTGAAGGGGAGCCACATTCACTAGCAGAGGAGGAAAGGGAAAGTGCAAACAGAGAGATGGATGTGCACGAGCCTAGCGTAAGTGCTACAGAGGACGAGGATGCTACTGAAATATCAGGTCTCGAGGGCTTCGACCTTTCTGACTCTGACTCTGACTCCGCTATCATCTCGTCCATCCGCCCGCCCCCACCAAAAAAAGAGCTACGCTATGTCTCGATGCTGAACCGCCTCCTCCCACCAAGTATCCGTGTGCTCGCCTGGTCCCCTGTCGCCGCTTCCTTCTCCGCGCGCTTCAATTGTCGCTTCCGACACTACAAGTACTTTTTCTCTGGCAAGGGGCTCGACATCGACGCGATGCGTGAAGGGGCCGTACGTCTCGTTGGCGAGCACGATTTCCGCAATCTGTGCAAGCTCGACCCGACGAAGCAAATCACGAACTTCAAACGACGCGTCCGGCGCGCAGAAATTAGCGCACTGGCTGGTTCGACGGAGGATCTGTACGTATTCGACCTCGTCGGAACCGCGTTCCTTTATCACCAGGTGCGGCACATCATGGCGGTTCTGCTGCTCGTCGGTACAGGACTGGAGCGCCCCTCGCTCGTCACTGCGCTGCTGAACGTGGACCCGGAACACCCATATCCGCCTTTCAGAGAGGGCGAAGAGGCGCCGCCAGTCGTGCAGTGCAAGCCAGAATATCAAATGACGGACGGGCTGCCATTAATGCTGTGGGAATGCGGTTTCGCGGACGAAGACCTTGATTGGCGAACGGACACCGAGGTAGATTCGGACGAGACGAGCGGGGAAGGTTCAAAAGATGCGACACAGATGCGGCTGGGCTTAGCCAACCAGCTGGAATCTATCCTTGAGCGCTCCCATATCCACGTCGCGCTTGACACGCACTTCCTCGCCGCGGCCGCCTCCATTCACTCATCTGCGCCGAGTCCATTTCCGCTCCGGCCAGGCACGCGCCCGAGCGGGATGCTCAACGTACCATTAGGTGGCGGAACGTTCTATAGGTCTGGCCGGTATGTACCCGTGGTGGAACGGAAACGGCTGGACAGCGTCGAGATCGCGAACGAGCGATGGATGAAAGGCAAAGGAGGACGAAAGGAGGAACGGAAGAGGCGGCTTGCAGCGGGTGGCGTCGCACGGGCGGATGGAGATGCGGATGGCGATGAGTAGACCACAGGTGACAGATGATGCCCATGAATGCCATGGTCTAGACGGGGGTTTGTCGGAAGAGATCAAAGCTTGGAGAGTTTACGTACGGGCTGTGTTCGTCCGGAGGTTTGCTCTCATATTTTTCAATCGAAGGACGGATGCTGACTGGACTTCGCGATGGGGCACGAAATATATGCAGACGTTCGACACTGGTTCTTCGTTCTACGTACGCCACCTGGCGTGCGGGACGCTACGCAAGCGCGGCTGGTGCCAGCCGGGCGGGATCATGATCGTTCATTCATGCTCGCAGCTCAAATGTCTGAGCGCGGGCAAATTATCGGGCTGAGAGTTCTGAGGCTGTTGGCTGCATGTGACAGTGGAATTATGGCGTGGCAGATGGGCATGTGCGTGCGTGTCTGTGCGCGCAGATAGGACGCGAACGTCGCCGCATCAAGCCGGGGTCAGGCTGGCGTTGCAAGCTGATAAACCCGCGCGCGGGAGAGCGGGGAGGTTTGGCCCCCCGGAATTCAGAGGCGCTCGCGGGACTGGCCTGGAGCTGGAACGTGTTGCGTCGTTGCGGGTCCTCGGCAACGGTGCTGAGCGCTGGGCACGCAGTGCTAATAGTGCCAGAGCCAGTGCCAGAGCCAGAGCCAGAGCCAGTGCCGGCAGGGCCAACAAGGCAGTGTGCCAGGAAACTTCCAAAAAAGAGCAAGTGGCAGAACGCGGCCGGGGCGACCGGGGATGACTGGCAACTGGGCGGGAGGGGCCGGCCGATGGCGGTGAAGGAAGACGTAAAAGGGACGTGTGACCGGGATTGGAACGGCGCCATCCGGATTGATTCCCAGCACCACCAAAAGGCAGCCACGAGTGGCAGCGCAGCTCCCACCAGCCAGAGCCAGCACTCCCCAGCCAGTCTCCTTTACTAGCAGCCCCGCCTGCCTCCCCCCTACTTCCCATCCCCCACCTTCCCCCGTCCACATCCCCTCCCCTCTTGACAAAAGGTATGTCCACCCCACTCTCACGCCCCCTCTGGACTCCCTTATCGATCGTCGTCGCCGTCGCCGTCGTTGTTGATGGTGTTCGTGGTGGGCGATGCGCCGCGCTCGGTTGGCGCGCGGGCGGGACGCGTCTATCCCAAGCGTGTCCAGCCGCCACTCCGCTTCATCTCGCCCTCCAACCGCCTCGCCGACGTGTTGACATGCTTGCTGACTCTGATGCGACGCGTAGATGCCCAAAGAAGCGACAAAAACCAAGGTTTGTTCGCTCTCGCCCGTCCCCACGCCTGCAATGCGCTTAACAAATCATTTCCCTGTCCCCACCCTGCGCCTTGTGCCTCTCGCTGCTCCTTAATGATCGGATCGGTGTCTGGTATGCCTTGTTGTTGCGATCATTCCCTGCTGCCGTTGGGGGATGTGTGCTTGCCTTGACCTATAGTCACGCAAGGCTGCGAGCAAGAGCGAGAAGGCGCCCCGCGGCGGCAAGAAAACGAAGGATCCCAACGCCCCCAAGCGGGCCATGTCCGCATATATGTTCTTCAGCCAAGACTGGCGGGAGAGGATTAGGACTGAGAACCCCGATGCCAGCTTCGGTACGTCTTTCCCCATCCATCTCTCTGCTGCTATCGACTTGCCTTGCTGACCCCGGATCATTCAGGTGAGGTCGGGAAGCTCTTGGGCGCAAAGTGGAAAGAGCTCGACGAGTCAGAGAAGAAGGTACGTCGTGTTGGGGGTGGGTGTATGCGTGGCCCAGGCTTGCTTCTGCCCAACTGTTCCCTGGCACGGTGCTATGCATGCCATTGTTGTGCCATCGCAGGCTGGGCATCGCGTATATACCTTGGCTGCATATCTGAACCGTTGGCTGACTTACACGTCCGTATATGCAGCCTTATATTGAGCAGGCCGCACGAGACAAGCTCCGTGCTGAGCAAGAGAAAGCAGATTACGATGTACGTTGCCCTCATATAATCACCTCGTTCATTGCATGGCACTAATTTGCGGCTGCAGGAGAAAAAGCCAGTCGCCGGTAGCGGCGACGAAGGGAATGACGAGGACTAGGCGGCGCACGCGCTTCGCCCGCGCACGTCGACCGTCCATGTACACCCGCACTCTCCTTGTATGTTGACCGAGGCCCGGGGCCCCGCTTGTACCCGACCCATCATCGTAATCGACATTCTCTCCCACCTGCCTGACATTTGTTACGCTATAATAAGACGAATAAATCCCACGTCCATTCATATTCTTACCCCGTCTTGTTCAGCCCCGCCTCCTCCTGCCGTCTGTGTCTACGTCTCGTTTTTCGTGTTCCTGTGTGTTATGGTTGTTTGTGGGCCCACCCCCTTCGTTCTGCGTTCTGTGTGCATAGTATGTTCTATTGTGTAGTGTCAAACATTCCGTATCGCACATTTTTATTTTGCTGCATCGACTATTTATGGTTCCCGTCAATGGGACCATCAGACCTGTACGACCTTGAGCGTCTGTGGGTATGTTTCGCATCTTGTGGGCGAGACTCCGACAAGGGCGATGACGAAGGTCCAAGGAGGCTCCGACGATGAAACGGCCATCCCGATTGGGACACGGGCATGTCTGTGGCGGCGCTAGCACGTTTGTACTCCACGCTCTCTCCCCTCCACCAGACTATCCACCTTGCTCTCATACCAACAACAGGCGCGAAATATTGGTACGGCAGTTTTCACAATCACATAGCCTTTGAGCGCATGTCGATCTGATCTGTACTGCCCCGGGCGATTCAAATACACCACAGAAACAGATCGTCATCGTCGAGAGTCTTCCCATAATTGATCTCGGATTGGATTTTTGAAGCCAACGCGGTTGGATCTTTCCTCGGAGAAGCGAACATCAAGCGTGTTATACAAACCTCGCAGCATACCCCTCCACGGACCCTCTCTACCTCTTGATTTCACTTGATTGAACCGTGATGGCCGATGCGAACAATGAGCAGGCTGGAGAGGCGAGTGCGAGTGGTCTCGAGCGGTCTTGTCCTGGCTGACCTTTCTGTTTTTCTCTTCTGGGCTGATCTTCTGTATCGTGATTTAATTGTTGTGGGTGTGGGTTTCGGTCGGCTGCGCTACGCATGTGTGGATGATGGTCGGGTTTGTGTGATCATCACCATACCGCCAGGCCGTCCCCTCTGCGCAGCGCAGCAGCTGGACGTCCTTCCTTAAATCGTGCGTTTGTGATCTTTACAGCTCTTATTGATTTTGCGTTGAGTTGATATTCACGGTGCGCGTTGTACAGCATTGCGTCCTTCTCGGGCGACCTCTCGTCTATGACTGCGCCGCCCTTCATCCTTTCCCCCGTCTCGCTCACCGAATTTCCTGGTGCGTGCCATACATTCCGACATCCACATCGCGCGTGACTCATCATCTATCTACGTCACCATCGTCTCCTGCACCGCTCTCGTCCTGAACGAAACGGGACAACCCCGTGCGCTCCATATACACTGCTATCCAACACTCCTTGTGTCGCGACTCGTCGTGTAGCGTACTGGTGCGAACGCCCAGAACTTTTCGCCGCGATTGCGGACGCCAACACACCCGAGGAGCGTTCACTTGCGGTGCTGAAGTGGTTTATCGTGCGGTTTTCTCTCCCCCGGTGCTGTGTTTGTTATCATGTTAATAACGACGCATGCAGAGCACCTTGAAAGGTCAATACACCTCCCGAAACGAATCTATGGGATCCGAGAAGAAGTGCGTCGCACTCACCTTGTCCCTCCAAAAATAGAAGACGAGCGAACTGCTGATCCATCCTCTATCTTCTTTCGCAGGCCGCTTAACCCCGTCCTCGGAGAGTGCGTTGTTTTACATTGCGCTCCTGAATTGCTCAGTTTCATTCATTTGTGATGCGGTGCAGGTTGTTCTACGGATACTGGCCGGACAAGAATGGACGCGGAGAGACGAATTTGACTGTCGAGCAGGTGTCGCACCACCCGCCAATTACGGCATACTTCATCTCGAATCCGAGCAAGGGCCTCGAGCTGCAAGGCCACAATGCGCAGAAGACGAGCTTCTCGGGTATGTGACGACCCTCCATTTACACACCCCGTCGGGCGCTGCGTGTCTTCAGCGCATATATGCACCAAGGTTTGCTTGCATTTGCTGACTGAGAGGGACATAGGTGGCAGCATCATCGTTAAGCAAATCGGGCATGCGACGCTGACCATCGAGTTGGGCGGCGGACAGAAGGAGGAGTATATTATCACGCTACCGCGATTGCGGATAGATGGCTTGTGGTACGGATCGCCGTATATTGAGCTGTCGGAGAACTCGTACATTCAGAGCTCGACTGGATGGCTGTCGACCGTGAGTTATTTTTGCTTGGACCTTCGTCTTGTTGAGACAGGCTGATTCTCGATCTAGATTGAGTACAAAGGCAAGGGTTACTTCTCTGGCAAGTCGCACACGTTCAAGGCGGTCGTCTCGCCGCCGGGGTCGAACAACGCGGTGCACACGCTCGAGGGGCAGTGGAACGCGACGAGCAAGAACATCAAGACAAACGCTACGTTTACGGACGTGACTGGTGACAAAGAGGAGGTCAGCGTACGTGCGCTCGATGTGCAGGACGAGTGGGAGAGCAGGAAGTTGTGGGCCAAAGTTGCCAAGGGAATTCGGGAAGGCGACTTTGAGACCGCAAGTCGGGAGAAGACGAAAATCGAGGTGAATTCGCACCTCTCAGTTTGGTGTTGAGGCGATGTCTAATGAGTGGTTTTCTTTCAACAGAACGAGCAGAGGCAGCGGAGGCGCGACGAGCAGGCTGCGGGCACGACGTGGCAGCTGAAGCATTTCGTGCACGAGGACAACGATCCGCTTTGTACGTGCTTCCTCTTCTTTTCAAACATCCGTATGCTGACTTCACCCTTGACACTTGTGATAGACGAGCGCTTGGGAAGTTTCTTCCGGGCAAACCCGCCGACGGAGGACATGTACGTCTTCCAGCACAATGTGCCCTCGTTCGACTAGCCGAATCGAGCGGGCTCAGGAAGAGCAGGACGAGTGAGATGATGATTTTGGCTTTGTACAATTTCTTTTTGTCCTTTGACACTCGATCTCGATAATGTAGAGCCGGAGAACAATCGAGTTTAATAAATTGTTTTGTACTGACGGTATGGAGCGCGACTCGACGAGACGCGTTGCCACCATTATCGCGTCGCGTCTCGGGCACGTGCAATGCACGTATCCCGTCCCGGCGGTGAACTTTGTCTGTTGTCCTCGGTGACCAAGATATCTCAAACTCAAGAGGAAGGCTACGTTGCTCGTAATCCTGCCTCTGTGCGCTGTCGTAGACACGGGTTCTATTTTTTGGGAGTATTATGATGGTAATGTTCTAGGCCTACGGCGATCTGGAAGCCATGCGCCTTGTTACAACTGCTCTCAAAACTGTAGACACGGTTTTGATGTTCTTCTGCTCAGGAACTTTGCTTGTCTTTGGAGGGGACAAACAGGTGCAAATGACTGCATGGGCACTTGAGCGCAATGCGAGCGCTCAGTTGCCTTATTTGAGGACTGGATTCTGTGCATTGGTGCATATATTTCAGACGTGACCGCCAGTGACGACGACTGATGACGACCATCTACTTCTTGAGTAGGCCCACAGGCTGCAAAGGTATTTTCCCAACTTTGCTCGACACGATACTTACTTCCCAACCATTGATTGATTATGTCTAACAATGGAAACTTCAACTTCAATGCACTCTCCCCTGAGCAGCAAGCAGAGTATAAATGCTGATTTCCCCGGGCTAGTTCTTGGATTGGTGTTCTGCCCACACATCCAGAGTTTCATTTTCACGAGGGACAAGAGACAACAGGCGAGCAGCCGCTCAGGTGTTCAGCGCCCGCATTGCACTCAAGTGCCCATGCAGTCATTTGCACCTGTTTATCCCGCTCCAAGAGTAAGCAAAGTTCCTGAGCAGAAAAAACCGGAAAAGTGTCTACAGTTTTGAGAGCAGCTGTAGTATGGTTCCAGCCATTAATGGATCAACACGTAGCCTTCCAGAGCTCAGATTGACAGGCATCAATCATGGTGAGGCGCTCATTGGTACCCTTACGCAGGCTTCCTCATCTAGTGCCCTCTCTGCTCTTCGACTCACTCCTCTACCTTCACATATCTTGCTGTTTATTCTCATTTGTTGTCCAGGATTCCAGGTGCACCACCCGCAGGACCTTCTGTGAGGCCGCGGCCCAATGGACGGGGAAATACAACCCAAGAAGTGCTATCAATGCGGCGATAGTAAGTTTTTGTTGCTGACCCGTTTGCCGTCTTCAACCAACTCTGATACTTGATTAGACGATCACGACAGGCGTGATTGCACCTATGGCGAACGCGTCTGCTTCAACTGCAAGAAGCCTGGGCATCAGCTGAGAGGCTGCCCGATGCCGCGCGCTACGTCCAGAAAGTGCTTCAATTGCGGGCAGACGGGGCACATGCGTGCCCAGTGTCCTCTAAGATCGTGCTATGTGAGTCGATACTGATACGCCCCTTGACTCAGTCTGATTCGTCTGAGCTTAGAAATGTCATGGGCTCGGACACGGCCCACAAGACTGTCCACATGCCTTCGGATCGCATCGTAAGATTTTGGATGAGTATCATGTAAATTTAATAGCATGCTCATATACGAGTGTGCATCAGGGACGTCGTGGAAGTCAAAGTGCAGAAAATGTGGCGCGGATCATTCGACATAGTGAGCTGTGCGATTTAACACTCTACTCGGAGCTAAGCCTTGCTTCAGCGGATGCCCGTATACACATCAAGAACCATGGGAAACCGGGGCAAACGCGTCGAAGCCGGATATTCCACCACCACCGTATGCCTTCACAAACAATGCCTAATTGTCTCGCTTCTGAAAATAGCTCAGTCCTCGTGCCACTCACATAGTGTGTTGTTCAATATGCGGCAATGATACACATGCATCGAAGTACGCCGTTACTTGTCTTGTTCGCATCCCGCTAAAACCCGTGCCTTGTAGCGCTTGCATATCGAAGGCTGATGATGGTCCGGAGTTTGCCCACCCAAAACCATCCAAGGCCCAAGAGCAACCGTCAAAGCCGCCCAAGCCACCCTTACCGTATGTCCAACTGCTGTACAGCGTCTCTTTGATATATCTATGTAGGGTTACATCATAGCCCTCGACAGCCTAGAGCATATGATATCAACAAGAAACGTTTATCTGAGCAGTTGAAGGAGAGGGGAAATACTGCCTTTAAGACTGAAGACTTCGAGCTCGCGATTGATTATTACTCACAGGCCATCGGTGAGTAATCCTTGTATATCATATAATGGAATACGATCAACTTTGAATGTACACAGAAGGGTTCGACCAAGAGAGTGTTTACTACTCCAATCGTGCAGCCGCATACATCTCGACTAAACGTTTTCGCATGGGGCTGGCAGATTGCCAGCGAGCCGTGTCGCTTCGACAAGACAATCCGAGCGCGAAAGTGCTCCTCCGGCTTGGGCGCTGCCACTTCGCTCTGGGAAACACGATGCCTGCGCTTACTGCGTTGCGCCAGGTGCTTGCTGTTGAGCCCGAGAACAGCGTTGCGCAGGCTTTTCACAAGAAAGTGATCGACCTGCAGGGCCATGTGCGCGATTTTGAGGGCGCGCGTTCGAGGGGCCACTGGCGGATGGCGCGGAGCGCGCACGAAATGTGCGTCAAAGCCTTGGAAGACGAGCAAGGTGAGATCCCGGTGGAATGGAAGTGTTGGGGCATAGAGTTAGACATCGCTCGAGCGAAGTGGGAGGAAGCCCGCGAGGCTGTTGAGTGCGCACCCTCTTCGCCATAAAGGACTACCTCGAGACTGATGTGTATTCCTTCCACAGGAACTCGATCAAGGACTATCCAACCTCTGCCGACGTAACCATGTTACAAAGTCTGGTTCTCTTTCTCACTGGGAAGCTGGCGGATTCTTCTCAGCAAATTCTTGCGACACTTCGCATGGATCCAGACAACGGAAAGGCCAAGCGGCTCCGTCTTCGTGTGAAGACTGTGGAACGACTGAAAGAAGAAGGAAGGGTGTTCTTCAAAGACGCTCAATGGGCAGAGGCTATCACTAAATACAGCGAAGCGATGGAGGTATGGATCGTCATGATCGTACTAGAAGCGTCTTGAAATAGAGGCTTGTGCACCTGATGTAGGTTGTTGGGGAGAAACCCGAGGAAGGGATGGGAGGCCATATGCGAGCAGTGCTCTTGTCCAACAGAGCCACGGCATACATCAAGGTTCGTTACCATCACCCCCGGAGTGATATTGGAATTTTTTGATAGTTTGTGTTCTAGCTTGATCGGTACAAAGAAGCCATGGCCGATGTCAAGGCATCCTTGACTCTCCATCCCACATTCTTCAGGGTCCTCCGCACTCGTGTAACAATCAACCTGCACGAAGAAAGCTTTGATGCGGCCATTGAGAACCTCAAGCAGGCGATGGAATATGCGCCGTCCGAAGCAGAACGCCAATCGCTCCAGGATGAGCTCGATACAGCGGAGCAACTCGCAGAAGAAGATCGCCAAAAACAAAAAGATCACTATAAGATTCTGGGTATGTGTGCTATTCTCTTTGCCAAGCCTGTCTCTCATTCCCAATACGGCCAAAGGCGTCGAGCGCCACTGCTCCCTGCTCGATATAAAAAAGGCATATAGGAGGGAGAGCCTCAAGCATCACCCTGACAAGGTGAGCTTGGGGTATCGACTGTATTGAGAGCCTCTGGGCAAGTTCTAATTTTTATCAGGGAGGAAACGAAGAGAAATTCAAGCTTGTCGCACAAGCGTACATGACACTCTCTGACCCAGCAGAGCGCTTAAAGCATGACACAGAGCTCAGCGAGAATGATTCGTGGCCATAGAGATTCAGTGCCCATACACCGGTAAAGATGTCAGTCTATGCATCGTCGTACACTTTGGATTTAACCCGCTATCATGGCACACTTACCCGATGTACAGAAGCATAGCCTACATACCCCTATCCCACAAATCTCTGTTCTCTAACAAATACAAGCTACAGCAGACCTTCAACATATTGAACGTCGTCTGAGCGCACCGCGGCCTTGCTTCTAGATTTTGGGCACTCATGCTGGAATCGGAACCTCGGCCTGTGGGGTGAGACGCACAGCGTGCCGCCTCTCATCGTCTGCGTAGTCAGGCGTCGCAGAATGCACGGTCACACGATTGTCCTGTTCGTTCATTTCATCAGCTCGGTCGGAGAGGCTTAGCGGTAAGGCATAGCTCACCCAGACAACAACGGTACCGGGCTCATAGGTTGCACGAATGTGGAAATCTGCCCCCTTCGATATATGATCGAGCAGGAACTTCAACAGATATTCGCTTTCCTCGGCCTTGAATCCGACGATGTGCTTGGTGAAGCCCTGGTTCACGTAAAGGGCTTTCTCCCCAGTGACAGGGTGCTGACGAACGAGAGGATGCTGACCAGAGTAGTTCATCAGCAAGGTAACGCTATTGCTGGCAGAGTAAGGGAATACAGACCTCGGTTTCAATGGGCTCCCGACGGACGGGACCATTGCGCTTTATTGAATACTCGGCCTGAGGGACGGCGGTGTGAACAGCTTTCAGCCCTTCCAGACGTTTCTTGAATTCCGGGGACAAACGATTGTAAGCCTCGACTTGACTGAGGAACGATGTTATAATCAGCGAACAGATTCGAAGGTACGAGCTACGAACCTTGAAAACAATGTGTCTCCCCCAAGTTCAGGCTGGTCGAGGACGAAGAAGAAAGTGGTACCAGGTGTTTGCTTCTCGTAGGACTACACAAATGCAGGCCGGGACTGAGCGTTCCACTGAGAGATATGCGAGGGGCAGAAGTGCACTCACGACATCGGAATGCCAGCCAGTGTAATTGGCGCGATTGCCACTAGCATCCTTGAAGTAGTTGTGGGTGGCATCGCGGTAGACTGAGTTGTTCAACTGGTCAGAGCATCTTCAGTAGAGCGACACAAGAGCTCCTCACCAACATGGAATTCAGGGTATCCTTTCACGTTCCCAGATGTCGGATGCCTCTGGATTGGTCCGAAATGACGAGCAATCTCGATTTGACGCTCTGGAGTAAGGTCCTTGAAATCTTGGTCCCTGAACAATACAACCTTGCGCTCCGCCACGAACAATGCGAGCTCGTCGAGGCCTTCCTTGCTGAGTTTTGAGATCTGAGTGCCTTTCACCTCCGTGCCGAGGTACGGGCTGAGGTGTTTCGTCGTGACGCCTGCCGTCAACAAGTTCGGCTTTGCGGGGTCAGCACGAAGTCCAGGGTCGCTGAACTCGAAGATTTCCGTCGGAGGGAATTTCTCATCGACGTCAAAGTAAGGGTAATAAAATGGATAAGAGGGACCCTTCTGCAGATCATTCAGAAATGATACACATGAGCGATGACTAATGTACTCACGTCTTCACGGTTCTTTGGTGTCTCCTCAGTATTCAAGTTAAGCTTCGCGATGCCCTTCGTGGGCTCCTCGAGCGTCTGAGTGACAGTTTCTGCGACTGAGGGTGCCATGGGAAATGTTGTAGTACCGAAGATGTACGGAGTTTGTCTTGTCCCTTTTATGCACAAGAAACAACATCGGGCACTCGCCCGAAGTTATGTGTGCACTGAACGTGGACGAGGGCCGCAGGTGCCGCAAGCATGCCATCCGGAGAGATAATGGTCAATACTGAGCTCATCCACTGGAAAGGCTTATCTGCGTCTCGGTGTCGACCACGGGATACGTTATGCCTGTTGCGTGAGATTGCGAAGACACTGTTCTGAAGAAATTTGTTTAGGAATATGGACCAAGTAAGCACCCAATACAGTAGAACATGGCGAGCTCACGAGGACGGATGGCGCAAGGTGACATACATGTAAGCGCTCAAGGGTTTCGCTTCTAAACATAGTAATCTTACCAATTCAGCAAAGATATTGTGGGGCTCTGTCAATAAAGTATGGTGACGACTGGAAAGGAACGATCTGTCAAAACGTCGTGTATATCACTGTACCTAACTGCGTCAAACGTGAGCGCACAATGTTTAGTCCCCTATGTAGGCTGTCCTGTCAACCATTCATCATGATGGATAGTTCCAAGAAGAGCGAACCACGGCAGCGAAATCAGAGGGCGATATGGATTCACGTGGAAGAGTACTTGTGGTCCCCATGCGTCCAATTCACAATAGCTACGGCCGACGTTTGACCAGGCATCATGCCAATGATGTACTTCTGTGAGGAGATGCATACTCGACAGCAGGCTCATAAAGAGAGTTCAACGAGATGCATCGAGACAGAACTGCCGAGGCCGGTGTTCATGTGAGGCCCGCTATTGACTTCGTTCGTTTGAAACACAGTTTGTCGTCATGATGAAGCTAAAGCGAAACACATGCCAATTAGGACGGGAAAGTAAAAAATCTATTCAGCATAATTTGAGGTTGTCAATGCCATGAAACAGAGAAAGTAAACATATCAACTCGTAGCTGATCGACTTCTCGCCTCTGCCAAGCTCAACTGCAATGCAAACCTCAACTCTTCGTCTTCAATCGCCTCAATCGCCTCTAATTCTGGGTCTCCTTCAAGTGGAGATTGCGATGCGAGAGTGCTAGAAGTTTGAGAATTCGTAACCGATGATTGCGACATGGTCGAGGATGATGATGCTGTGCGACGTAGAGATGCGCTCCACGTATTATCACGCCCCGAAGGCGGAGACCGCCCAGGCGTCGCTGGGATTTGAACGGGCAGGGTGGATGAGATCGAGCTCATAGAAGGGAAATGTTGCACGTCGCGCTCTGCATCGCTCGGCGCGCTTGATGATGATGACGCCTCATATGAAGTGTTGGATGATGTCTCCCTAGACCTAGATGATCCCGTGCCAATGTGATGAGAGGTCTGGTCAGTGCTCTCCGAGGCGGAAGGCGAAGCCAAATGTCGAGAGGAAGAACGAGGCGGAGCATTCAATCGTGGAGACGGAGATGCACCCGAAGGAGAGAACGTCGAATCACGTTGATCGCTTGACGATGATCCTGTTGTTTCATTTTGCCACAAGATTTGATTCCTGCGCTTGTTTTCGTCCTCACGGCTGAGCATGAGGACATAGTCAACAGCCTCACGCTCGTCGAGCCCTAGTTTCTCGAGCGTGGATAGCTGTTCCCGCTCGCGACCAAAAACTTTTCGGAAATACCGTGATTCTTCATTGAGAGCTTCACGAGACTCGGCGATGTCGTGACGCAGCTCGATTTGTTCTGTATCGCAGACCCAACTCCATGAGTAATCTGCTTTAAACTGGACGCTACGGAAAAGGACGCACGCTGCCACTTCGCGGTTGATGCTCGCTTGCCCTTCTTATTGGATGGCTTCGAAGGACCGTATCTGGCACTAGCCTTCCAAGCAATGATCCGGCTGCCAACACTCGCTACCAGCATCTCCCTGTTGAGTAATATCTTGCGCACATATTCTTGTACTGGCGGAGCAAAGGACCGTAACAACTCGAAGGTCAGGATATCAAATATGCTGATGCTTCCTGCAGACGATCCAGCAGCAAGAATAGAATTGTTGAAGGCGATAGCGGAAACGGATCCATCCAAAAATGCCTCTATGCGTTGAACATTCAGGACCGATCCAGTTGTCGCCAAAGGTGCTGCGTTCCAATCATAGACACTGAGGCATCCAAAGAAATCGCCCACAATGACGAAACTTGATTCATCTGGGGTGATTGCAAAATATGGTTGGATGCAGCGGACAGGGGCGAAATCCTTGTCACCAAACGACGTGCACTCAACGTGGCCGGAAAGCAAGTTGATATGATAACGGTAGAAAAGGGCACTGCTGTGATAACCCGCAAGAAGCCAGACATAACCAGGCGACCGCGTGCTCGGGTCGATGAACAAGGATAGTATTTCCGAATTCGATTCCTCAGATTCGTTTGGCTGCGAGACGGTAGAAGTAGAAAAACTTGGAGCAGGAATGCGGAGATAATTGGCAAGGGGCTGAGGTTGTGAGGAGACGTCGCCGTCAAGAAAAGCGGAGTCGAATCCAGAGTAGATGACTATATCGCCACTTTCCAAAGCGCCCACCACGACTCCGTTTGCCAAGTCTTCCAGAACTTTGATGCACGGCTTTCTATCTCCCGCTGACACTGGGGAGGTCCAGAGACAATATAAACGCTCTATGCTCCAGATCTTGATAGCGCCATCCGCGCTCCCAGTGACGCAGCCTCGGCCATCGCTAGTCCAAAGGGCATCGTTCACGGCACCTAGATGTTCTTCCTCTACACTGCTATGATGTATTTTCGTCGGAGTCCGGGGAGCGACCATTGTTCGTGCATGGGTTATGACTGAGATTGACCCATTCCTAAAACCCCATATGATCTTCGCTGATCCACCTTCTGATCTCAGTGCACAGGTAGTCACATTGGGCGTAAACTCCGCGTTGGGATTGCCGACGCCGACGCCGTGAAGGCTCCCAGTCGTGTCAAGAAACCCCTTGACAACTTTGCCATTGAATGGAAAGGAGCGCGCGACGATGCCATATTGCAGAGAAGAACTAAGCAGTGCGTCTTCGGACAAAAGATGGATGTCAGAGATGGTCGAATGATGCGGGACATGAGTGATGGTCGCGTTGCGGGAATACGACCATCGGCTGCAACGTAAAAATGCATTCGTGAGTATCTCGCACAGGCTTGTCATTCTACACATCATGTACGACACCGACCTCCTAAGATAATACTTGGTAATAAACTCCCTCTTCCAAGAAGGTTCAGATCTTCTTAGAGTGAGACAATTCGTGTCATTCAGGTCGCTCTCAGGCTCGATGCCCAAAAATTGACAAGTGAATGCGCGATGCCAGACATTGTCGTCCTTTAGGTGTTCGTACAGCTGTTTGTTGACCCTGCAAAGGGCAAGTAAAGAAACTGGGTCAAGATAGCAAGTGATATGGGTGAGAGATTCTGAGGGTAGCGACAGCAGAAATGGGGCTGAGTTGGTGTCGGTGCCATGTTGATTGGAGTGAATATGATATGATTGGGATGCCTTGCGTCGGTACTTGTCTTGTGGAGAGATACCAGTGAGGCGACCGTGCATAAAAGACGAAGATATAACAAATAAGAATTGTGTAGCCACAGACAAGGGATCGTCTGCGTTGTGGTCGAGAGCAACGGCTGAGCAACGATGACTCGTTGTATACGCTCCGCGCAGTGCCTGGGTTTTTCCATCATTACTATCGTTGCACCAGATTTGCAAACGGGATGGGAGGTTCAAAATCGAGCTCCTCGCAGCGTTTTTTGACAGCACCTTTCGAAAAAATTCAGTTGTTCATTTAAGTACTCTTCAAGTATGCTAGTTTTTTTTAAGAACAGAAACTGGGTGCAGCAGTGAGGAAGCAATAGATAATGGTTTTTAGAACAGAGTTCTCTCAAAGATGCTCAAGATCCCTCAGATCCTTGAGTTCAATTTCAAGAAAATAAGATAAGGAAGATAATCAGGTACCACTGAGGACATATAGAGCATTCTTTTTGACTTTGAAGACTTCAATGCTCTTCACCAAATTGTTTTTGACGGGCAGTGTCCGATGGCAGGCAGGGTGACAAGGAGCCTCGCGCCGCGTGACGCTTGGTCATCTTTTTGAAACACCGCTTCGCAAGTCGCCCCGCAATCAGAGTTCAAATTTGCATGTGTGACCCGATCGTCAGAAAGATTTGCAACTCTCAAGTTTTGCTCGTTTTCGGACTCTCCTTCTCAAACATTTTACAACAATTCTGTCCATGGCCTCAAAAATACGAAAAAATGACAGGACATACTTCAAGATGTTTTCACATGTGTAATAAACATTTTGAGCGAAAAAACGTATAATCCACGATACCATGAAGTTTTTTTTTCTGTAACTCCGGTGCAACGATAGTATGTCCTGTGTGATGTTCCCTGGTATTGCCAAACATGGCGCTTTTGTCACATAAACTGTGACAAAATGATGTCATCGAAGAGAACATTGTCCTTTTCCAGAGATTTTCCACAGAATCTTCATGATAAGCACTCCGCTGAAGCGCTGAAGTTCAATGAAATTCAAAAATTAAGAAGATTTGAAAAGCAGGTATGGCATGCTGAAGCATCGAGTTGATCAGCACTCATAGTGAGAATCGACACCATTAACTCCCGGGTTGGCTGTTCTGCGACGAGACGATCTAATATCATGATCGTTTTACAGACACTATACGGAAAGATGCCCTTCAGTTTAGCATGACTTTATCAGCGTTACCCCATAGATAAATGTAAGCAAACCTGGCACGCATCACAGCACTCACCAGGACTGTGGTAGGCAGGCGCATAGGCTTCAAGCGAGGGAGCCGAAAGCGAGGCTCAGGCGAAGACCAGGGTCTGCAGTGGATTCATTTGTGCAGTGGCTTGTGGTGTTTGGATGTTCGTGACACCGACACTACTGGCTGAACCAATTGCTTCGAGGACTAATGAAGCTCAAGCTCAAGCCTACAGAATCGGGTTTTTCGTGTGTGAATCAGACCGATACCATTGTCACGCATTTAGGGCGCACGAATGATAAAACAAGATCATGTGCTAGGCACTTGAGTGATCTCTGGTGGGAGAGACTAGAGAAATAGGGAAGATTGGATCGTCATTAAACAAACACCAGCAAATATTCATGCAAACCCTGGAGCACCGCTTGATCTAGCGCCATTGATCATACCAGTCGGCGGTCTGTCATAGTCCTGACAATACATCCTGTTCCTGCTACCTCTGTCAACTAAACAGTTTCAATTAACTTCTGCCCATCGCAGAGTATTATACCAATCATACCTTCTCGTGCCATCCAAGGAGTACACTCCCACTGACGTCTCCCCAGCCTGGGATGGCCATGCCCTTGTAAAGGTACTTCATCAGATTATCTTGATGATCCGAAGTAAGAGACTTGACGACAGTGGGAATGTCTGCACTCTTTGTGCTGTTGAGAACAGTGACAAGGGTTTGTAACGTCAAGTTCTGCACAACACCGGGTGAGCGGGTTGATGCGGGGTGTAGGACTCCAACGCGCACCTTCGCCTCCTCGGCATTAGACCCGTATGGTGGGTTGTCTAGAATTGTCGCCAAAGCGCCAGGTATGTCTCCCCTTGGTCCAGATGCGACTGCGTTAGCGATATACCTCCGTGGGGCGAGCAGCAGACTCACTTTGACAGTGAGCTTCTAACCTCGGCTGCCTTCGCTTTCACCTCCGCGACGGCTTGCTCTGGGGTGCGTGGATCCGGATCATAAAGCTCGCTCTCCAGTAGCACATCCTCATCGAAAGCATCAACGTCGATTTTGCGAAAGTTCACATCCATTGTGGCAAGCGCAGGGCATGGGCTACAGGTCGTGACGACAGCGCGTCACGGCTCACTCGATTGCCTTATCGAGGTGCATCATCGGGGCCGAGGCCGACATTGCAAGCACCATGCACGTCCTCGCCAACATGGCACTGGCGTGCAGCCTGCCATCGTCGGACAATTCGGTCAGAGTACAGACTGGGCCCGCCTCGACAGCAGCCGAACAGATGTTCATCACGGTCCAACCATCCTCCTTTGCACTATAAATCAAATAATGGCTGAAAACCTCGACATCACGTTCGGTAGCAACTATATATAAGTCCAGCAGCTTTCTTCGCGGAACCTCTTCGCTACGGAAATGCATCCAGACCCCTCCACCCTTCGTTGACTTTGCTTCACATTAAACGTGAAGGGCTCTCGATCTTCCCGCATGACCTTCGGTCCTTTGTGCAGCTCGCTGCAGATGACTTGACACAAGCCAGACCGACTCCTCGTGTTGACACACCTCTGCAATGAGGCAGTCTATCAGACATATAATGTCGCCAGTAAGAGGATCATTCTCTTTCGACGACACCAAACCATACACAGCTCGTCTTCGCAACTGACACCACCCCACCATTGCTCTTCAACTCCACTATTCCCACAATGCTTGACGCATTTAGAATCAAGGAGTTCGACCTTGAGCCCGTATACGAATCGTGGAAGAACCCTCCGATGTTTCTTGGCAATCCGAAGAAGGATCCGCCGGTCGACGAATGGTTGGCCCAGATTAAAGCCGGCTGCATCGAGCGCAAAGTCCCGCAGGAGTACTGGTACAAGGTTGGCCAGCGTTACCTCGGTGACAAGGCGCGCGCACGATTGAACGAGCTGAAGGCCGTTCTCCGGAACATGCACGGCGGAAAGTACAGATGGAATTGGAAGAAGTTCAAGGTGGCTATGCGGAACATGGGTTGTACGTACATCATCATCCATCCATTTGACCTCATATAGGATTTTACATCGTCTGACGCGTGTGGCTGCCCAGGGGATATTGATTCACAGAAGACAGAGACCATCAAAGTCCAGAGCAAGCCATCTGGAATATGGTGGGTCATCAGCGGAAGGGAAAAGGAGGCCCCTGGAGACGATGACGGCAAAGGGGAGAAGGTGGAGGGCAAGGTCGTGGAGAGTCACCAGAAAGAGAAAGCCAAGGGGAAGGCTGAGAAGCCGATCGAGGCCCCGAGCACCACTACGACTAGAACGATGGCGGGGTGGCTCTCGCGATCGCCCTCGGGGTCGTCCGTCAAGACCATATCGTCAACTCACAGCGCTGGGAAGGATTCCGACAAAGGTGACACCGCAAGCGTGAGTCATTGGAGCGTATTTTCGCCTGCAAGCTCCGCTGCCGTGACTCCTGCTCAGTCCCCTGGCGAAGGTGGGCTCCTTCTCGGCTTTTACGTATAATGACATACTAATTCGCCGTGCATAGTCACCACGACCGTCGCTCATGCCCCGGTCTGGCTCTTAAACGCCTGCAATGCTCTTGATTTCCTGACCACCGAGCATCCGAAGGCTATGAGCGCCGTCTCTGCGGTCCTTATCACCGTCGGTACTCTCCCTGCCATACCCGCACTCGCCGGTGGAGCAGGAGGCGCAATTCTCGCTTCACATGCTGTTCAAGCTGCTGGAGCTATCGCTGTCGGCTTGGGAAACTGGCTCAAAGCATCGCAGGAAGCCAGTGCTGCAAGACTTGCAGGGGGTGCCAGCGGCCCTTCTAGCCGATAGGCGACCTGTCCCGGACGATAGGCGAGGGAGATGGAGTGGGGCAATTTCATTATTCGAGGACCATATGGACTATGTTTATTTACGGATGTTTAAATGATGTATTTCAGGCAGGTCCCGAGTTGTATAATACTTACCGGTGGAGAAATAACGTGCATTACGACTAGTTGGAGCGTGAGCGTCGCAGATGAATGCGGAGGTACTGGCAATGAACGGGGTGATTTCTGTCTACTTGGGCGCAACATCAGCCTTCGTATCAACGGCGCAACCGATCTGAACACTTACTCTACATTTACATTTATAGGCCTAGTGTCAACGGCTGACTGGTGACAACTTTTGACAACGTCTGCTTCCAGTGATCCCAGTATGAAAGAGATTCATCAGCCGAACATTCTTGGTTCTACGGAAGATACCTTTTGAAATTGAGCTTGAACGATCGAAATGCAACGTACCTTTGCATCAGGGAGGGCAACAAAAGTGCCATAGCTCAAGATATGTACATCGTGTTGGCATGATCCCCGATTCGTGCGCGAAAAATGATCCGCTAGAAAGCAAGTCGAGCATTTGCTTTGTTCTTCTTCAGGATCTTAGACGCTTGACTATGCGCAACGATTGAGCGGATCGGTGCTCGGTGTGACCCTGATTTCCGTGATTCCTGTCTTTTTGAGAAGGGCGAGGCATGCTTGAGGTCTATGAAATAGAACGTAAGCCGAGAATCAAGAATATTTCGAGAAACTTCTCATAACATTTCACTCCGAGTCCGCTCACCCTTTTTGAAAGGGCGCCGTTCACCGGTGGAAATGGCCGCGACCTTTTGGGACCATAACCACGAAGAATCCGAGGCATTTCACGGAGTGGGGACGTGAGACTGCTGACCATCCCTTGGGATGACCGGTGATAGACGTCCTCGACGGCTATTGTAAAATCTCCTGTTGTCACGCGCGGTTGGACCTGGGAGCCATTGCGGCTGTCCGCGGGATCATCCCATGCATTCCCTGCGACGTAAAGCCCAGGGGCACAGAATTGTGCTCTAGAAATGTAGTTCTATCTCTGTGACTTCTTCTAAAACCGCCATTCGATGAGAAGACAAAGAACGACACCTTTGTTGCACATCGTTGACGGACGGTTCAAGGTCCTCCACACTCCGATGCTAGTCCCGCCAGACGCTGGAAAGCGGTTATCTCCGTCGTCATCAGTGCGCTAGCAGGCCGAGACTGAGGCTTGCCCCATATCAGACCAAGTGCGCGTCCCGCTAAAGCTTCCAGTGTTTGCCTGAGAGTCAGGGAGCTGCCGGAGAAGGTTGTGCGCGACTGCAGCCGTACGCAGGGGCCTGTCATTGATTGGTAGAAGATGTCTCCGTCGACCTCATTGTAGACCGCTGTGGATAAATGGGGAAAGCACATGCACAAGTGAATGAACAGCTTATGAGAATTTCAAGGTTTGAAGGTGCCCGCTCCGTGATGGAGTGTGGATGTCTCGATCGATGCCTGCCGGCCTCAGAGCCCAGAGCGAGGAACCCGCTGATTGTCGCACAAGAGAGGAATAGAATGAACACCTGTCGGGACAACATTCTGCCCTTGGTAGTCATAGAGGTTTTCCCGAACGCCCGTATGCCATTATTGACACGACCCTCGAAGTAATATGAACGTCACACCACAGGTCGTATCGGACGAGCCATGAGATACACTTGAAATCGCGACGGGTCAAAGTCATATCCCGAATTCGTTGCATGAAGCCGTCAGAAGAGGGGATTTAGGTCGGGAGGGTGAACTGTAGGAAGCTGAGGTCATGTTCGAAATATCAAATCGCTTGGGATAACGTCAAGTGGTCTCCTCGCAAGCGGCTGTTGGTGTTAATATCTATGCTTCCATGGAAGCCTAGTCATCGGCGACTTCAGGACAGTACCCATATCGTCTAATGCGGTTTGGGGAACGGAGCCGCGTTTTTACACTGCTATCAGCTTACGCGTCGGATAAATCAGGTATTTCTTACCAGCCAGAAACATTCTTTGATGGAATCAGAATGATTGAAATGATGAACGGAAATGAGCAACAGCGATTTACTTGTCAACCCCGTCTGGTAGCGAAGAGATCCGTGCCACGAAACGAGAAACCGAATGCCGCCACGGAGCAATGTTTTGAGAGTTCCAGTCAAGTGATGTTTGTTTGTCGCAAGCACCTATGTTACAGTAATAAAGCAAGCAGTGAAGACATAAATGAGAGCAGAAAAGCGAAGCGAAATACATGCATATGGAGAAGCGAGAGAGAGTAGTAGTCGTCACAATGATACAGTTACAATTCATCACGTGATGGGTATAAGACGTTCTTCGAACCTGAAGAAGCTAGCGGAGTATGTTGCATCGGTATGCTCAGTACGTAGAGGGAAGGGCACAATCTCGATCAGCCAGCCAAACTGCTGATGATCTCGTGAATCAGTTCGACTGCTTTCTGCGACCTCGGCTTAATACCGCATTTGAAGGGTTTAGGGTGTCTGAGGCCCATATTGGTACCAATCAGCAACCGAGTGACGGCTATAGGGCAGAACATACCGCACGAAGTTGGTGCTAAAAAGCCCCGCGGGGATGATGTCTTCGCCTCGCTCATCGCGTGCCCTCGAAATCCGGAAAGTTGCGAGCACACAGGCGGTGATGAGCCATATGTTCGCATCCCCGAACCATTGGCCCGGGCAGACCCTGGCACGAAAGCTATCCGTATCAAGCTACTTGCACATCATGTAGAAGGCAAGTGCGTACCGCCTTCCAAACCCGAAAACAGTATTTTTGGGATCCGTCACCTCGGCGGTTGCGTTATCTTGATGCGCAAAGCGATCCGGCCAGAAGACGTTCGGCTCTGGGTACATGTCCTCATCGCGTGTCATTGCCCTGACCATCTATTGGTAAGATTTTGTAAGTTTAGGATGGTAAGAAAGGCACTGACCATATGTTGGGGACGATGATGGTGTCCCCTGGAATATCATACCCGCGATATCGATCATCCTTCATAGACCGATGTGGAAGGCCTGTCGGTATATTTAGCGAAAGAATCAAGATGTGCACTGCCTAAACTAGCAAATTTACCAAGAGGAACAGGGGCACCCCAACTGAGAAGATGTAAGTGAAAAATTTAGACAGAGTTTGTGGGTGTAGAATTACCGATATACCTCTTTGATGACACATTCGAGATATGGAAGAGAATGAGCTTCTCTGTCATTAAAATCGGGGAGACGGTCGGGCCCGATGACACGATCAAGCTCCTCTTGTGCCTTCGCTTGGACTTCAGGATACAGAGTCATCGCGAGGAAGAAGGTATCGAGACAAGCGCTTGTCTATTCCCATGGATCATGAGCGTGGGTGTGAGAAAATCCAATCGACGAAGGAAGACGAACCGTATCTGTCGCAGCTGAGAAGGAGCCTTTTGTGAGTGCAATTCTTATATCAATGTGATTATCGAATTTCCAAACAAATCACCTCCGTAAAGGACCCCAGCTGCAGCTTTTATGTCTTCTTCCTCCTTCAAATCGGTGGGATTCCCAGATTCCTTATCAACGAGGAGACTGGACGTGAACGACGGGATGGCGGTACCCGCGGCCTGGGTCAGAATGTGACCGATGAGCGATGTTTTCTCGGAAACACTCTATGTTACTGACCATGGTCCTTTTTACCATCTGGAATGGCGCATCAATCATTCGGTGCACCTTCACACGCGTCTTGGATGCATGCCTCTTGAATCCTGCGCCAGGCATCCAACTTGGCAAATATTTCACTGAGTCACACAAGACATATGACGTTCTTCAGCGCCTAAGACGGTTCGAATTGGAGCTAGGCCACCTACATGCAGGGCTGTGGCACATGGCATTTTCAGTGTCCAGACTGAGCGAGAATCAGAGTAACCAGGCGTACAAGAAATCAACAAGCATCGACCCGGGGCTTCCCGAGTTGACCGTGTCAGTCGCGGCCTCCTCGGCGAGGCGTACATACAACTCGTCAACCGAGTTGACTGTGTGTCCGTATGCTATTTTCATGATCGTCGCCGCCGAAAATCTGCGGAGAACGAAAGCACGGGAAGTCAGCTTTCTTCCAAGTCGAGCACCCTGCTGTTTCTTCGAAATAGGCGAACCTCCGCACGTGGCCCATGAAGGAATCCGGTGACTCCAGCAGTCCGAGCAGAAGCGTGCAGGCCTCCATGCGCTGCAGAGGGCGAAAAGCAAGGATCGCCTGTGGGGAAAATGCTTCCTGGATTAATCTACGGTGCTTGCGGAATCGCTCGCCGTAAGGCAAATTGGTGAGCACGGAATCCCAGCCCATCCTGTAAAGGGGAGAATTAGCGAGGGGCGCTAGGGCGCGGGCGAGGGCAATCACATTTCGGCAATGAGAACGAGACGCGGGCGGCAAGAGTAGTTGAGGCTTCGTTTGTCCATCAGATCACGCGCGGCTCGGAAGGAGTTCAGAATAATCATGGAGCGCCCGAAGATTCTGGCGTGCATGACGTCCCCTGTTACAGAGAGAGAGATAAGGACGATCTGTGAGCGCGATGCCAGGTCATGCGCGTGTATGATGGCCTTACCAAATACTTTTCCCCACTCAGCGAAAGTTTCTTGCTGGCTGTCAAAGGAGGCCATCTGGCGGAGATTGCCTATGAACGGGTCCGCAGGAGGACCCGGGGGGAGCTTCAGGCGAGATGCAGTGATCCATCGGTAAAGAAGGAAGGTGGAGGTGGCGAGGGCGAGGAGGAGGATATCCGCGTACATGATGACTGGGAGGTCGTGGAAATAGCTGTGACGAGACCGACCTTCACACAGCGCGAGGGGAGTGGATTTGATGAGTGCATCGAGGGTCGCTTTTAAAGACGATGGGAGAAGCTGCGAAGATCGGACATTGGATTCGGCGCTCGGAAACATAAAATTCTTCTATCTCGACCCCCAGACTCCCAGGACGCGAACCATACGAGATCATACGTTGGCGAGGGCACGCAACCGAACCGCAGAAGCCGACCCCGTTCGCGAACGGATCCACGTGCAGTTGAAGGCTGGAACAGAGTTCGAGTAGGTACGACACAACGAGGCGTGTCAACTGGCAAGACACGAGAGATTGCGGCCACGGGAAGTGTTGTTTAGCCAAGGCATCGAAGCGAGAGCTGTGGATGTGTGGCCGGTTGAGGGGGCCCTGTGAGCAGATCGAGAGGGGGCCAAGGAGCGGAGAGGCGTGCGACGAGGGTGATTGGCTGCATCCAAGGCCCTGGTCACGGTCTAACCCGATGAATCAGAGATTTGTGTCCAGCGACTTACTCACCTCTCCGATCGCTCACGTACACATTCACTCCTCATTGCCCTCGCCGTCCACCCTTTGCTCCATTACTCCCGACTCTGCTGCCGTCAACGAGCGGGCCAAGCTCATACACGCAGCCGCAAATTTATAACACGTCGCGGTCTAGTGTACTACGCCGTGCTTGTCGCCTAGACTCTAGCCCAACCCGGCGCTTCCTACCCTTGGAGGGTCATCACCTACAGCCGAAAGGCTACGGTCCCGCTTGTCAACGGTCGACAGACAGAAATGAGGACAAATTCTCCACCATACAGACCCATTCTCGGTGACCTTGCGTTCATTGATGATCGTTCCAGTGTCGGATCTCTCGAAACTCCGAGGTCGTCCAGGTATATCATACAATATTTGTTGCAAGTAGTTCCCCTCCCCCCCGCCACTTCTGCTCGTGCCCTTTGACTTCTCCATGTTTGCCGTCACATAGAGTGATTGACCTCGAACAGCGAGCATTTGATTGATGCCGTTGCCTGTGGAAGCAACTCAAGCCTGATTACAATGGCAGGCGCTGGGCTCTCCTGCGAAGGTCCCCTTCTTCTAGAAGAGCCCGATACGCATGCATGAATTGCATGGGGTACATAACGATACATCGGGCTCGGGCTCGGGAGATGATCACAAGCCTCTCGGCTCCCGCGCGTAGAACACCCGCCCTGACGCACCCTTGTGAAGGTCGGCCTTCCGCTGGGTTTATCGAGCTATCCCCTTCTGACGATGCAGATGGAGTTTCACGGGCTCGCATGAGGAAGGCATGCTCCCCCGAGAGGGATCATGGGAGCCGGAACCGTGACGAGCCTCCGCGCTCCACTATCTAGCCACTTTGCTCGATGCGACACCGTCTGAATTTATGTTCATCGGTTCCTGGAAGATTGTCTAGGTATGCTCATAAACTTTTAAGAATTCTCTCAGCGCGCGCGAAACGTTGACCAGTCAAGAAGCCGATGCTATTCTCATCCGTCCATTGATGTTTCATGTCGCGGAGTGGTACGCTATCGGCACTTCTCTTTTGGACCGTGATCATCCTCACAGGCTCTCACGCGCAGGCGGCAGGAAGGATATTTGCACATAGATACGCGCAAGTCTGGTAATTGTTCTTCGGAGAAAGCGACGAGCATCACGAGCGCGCTAACGCCGCCTTTTGGAAAACAGAGCGGACTCCGCAGAAGCCCAGGCTGGCGACTGTTTCGTACATGCTGAATGCTCATCTGTTCTTCAAATGTCTCTCGCTGACCGGCGATGTCGAGCCCAGCCCAACCTGACCCACTTGCTGTGTTTCGTCAAGCCCCGATCTCCCTTGCTATTCCACCTGCCCCCTTGATCTCCCGATGCGTACGAAACTTAGTTATCGAGTTTGGGAGGCTCGCTCCAAGCGCGTGTCAAGTCCGTCGAGTTCGGGTGCTTTCTCCGTCCCCTTTCTTCCGTCTTCGATCGCCAGTTCCGAAAGACAATTGGACATCAATGCATCGTTGTTGGAAAAACTGCGCTAGCGAAACGCTCAGCTTAGCCAGTCAGATGTGGCAAGAGAAGATCGCCTGCTGCTATTTCGAGCATTCAGTGTGTGCGTCCAGAATTGTCGGTCTTAACTACTGCTCGACAAATTTACGTGGAAGCCGCCGCCAAAGCATTACTTATACTCTTTTGAATACTCTGCAAGATAACATCTTGACCTACTTATAGCCTCATTGCACTGCCACGCCTGCTGTCTCTCACATGATGCGGTCGGCCGTGGTCCTTTTCCTGCGTTCTCGACATAGATGCTCCATAGTGCAGAAAACATTGCCTGGGCTCTGAAGTTCCCGCTTTAATTGCGAGCGCCTGTCGCTTGCTCGGACCGAGGAGTGAGTACACGATACAATCTGCACATCAGACAGACATGCGGATTCGAACCCTCCACTACGGATGTAAATCTCATAACTACAAACGTTGTCAGGTGGGCTTGGTACAGTTGGGATACTCGGCGGACGAGGATACGTATTTTTAAAGATGGGCGTCTGCGGATGGCGTCTCGCACACGCGGCTCGGGCATGCGGCGGAGCTTCCGAGCCTTCGTTGATGAGCTGTTTTTTTCCTGTGAAAATTTTGCTTGCTCAAGATACATGACGCACCTGCGAAAGAACTTTCCCGGAGCCTTGGAAGATGTCTGCACTGAAGCACGAAGGCTGTGCTCCTTCCAACGACCCTACTATGAGAGAGCCGGAATTCAACGGAAACCGTTACGCGATGGAGTTTTTCATTCAGGATAATTGGTCAAGGATCCTGCTGTCGAGCCTGCCTACAACTGACTGCTCTCAGCCTTGCCGTGTACTGGTCTCTGCGCGCCTACAACCCCATGCCCCTGCAGCTAAAGCGCCCGATGGCTCGAACGATCTCGAACAACGCGGAGGTCGTGAAGAACGGCCGCTATGCTGACGCCATGCTTCGCGAGCCATCTGGCTGAAGGATACGTGTCCAGGTTCTACTCGTGTCCCACCCGTGATGTATACGTGGACGTGATAGAAGGATTGATTCAGGGATTCAAGAGGAAGGACGCATGGGATCAGATAACAGGAATGGTCAGACGTGTGGCGTAGTCCAACAACGTTTGCTCTGAATATATACCATCCGTTCTCCACGACCTACATCCCCTCCAGCTCTCGATTTCTGAGCATATTAAGGCGCACTGATTAAGCACTTGCTTTGAGATCGTGACATATACGAACCTGACCGAAAACCTCGCCCCGACCACTGCTGTCGTCGAATTGGCCGCTCTCCGCCTCAGTTCCGAGATTCCGCACGCGCCATGAATTCGCCGATTCTCGTGTGGATGCTGTACATGAACCGTGAGGTGACGCCCGAAGTGAGCAGCCACGTTCCTCGTCTTGCGCCACACCCTTCCGTCCCTCCATTCCTCCAACTCCCCCTTATCCTCACATCCGAATCCCTCCTCAGGAATACGACAAATGCTTCGACCTCGTCCAGAAGACCGTCCCGCACGCCCGCAACGTCGTACGTAACCCCACCTCGGGTGAATCGCTGCGTGAGTCCTCCTCTTTTTTTTTTCCGAGGCGCTCTCGCACAGTAACTAAGGACCCACTGAGGACTCTCAGGCCAGCTCATAGGACATATGATGCCTTTGCTGATGATGCGGCACCGCCGGATCCCCCGCGCGCGCTGGCGGGACCACGTCACGCCCTCGGGAAAACATTGGATAGAACAGGTCAGTGTCATAACGCCCTCCAGATGCCTTCTATCAACCTTATTTTCTTCCATTCGTCTGCGACTCCCAGATGCTTGATCACGTTAATCCGGAGTTCCATCTTCGCTCGATGATAGGCTACCACCTTGCTTGGGAAAACTCGCTCGTGGGAATGGTCATGGTGCAAGGGAGGCAGCGCGAGGTGACCAATATCGGGATAGGTGTCAAGCAGCTCGCTGTAGAGCCTCGAGGCGCGACGGTGACTGCCTACGTCGAGTCGCTATCGCACAAGGTGCGTGGCGCTTATCTTGAGCCCGCGCGCGCGTCCGATTCTGACATAGAGCTTCCTTTCCATATTTTCTTTTAGCTCACCCCACTAGAGCAGTCCTTCGTCACACCCGATCTCGCCGACGACGTTGCCCTTCGGCGGCTCTGCATTCTTCTCGCACTTAAATCCGCGTACATCAAAGCCATTGGGCAGCCCATGGGCTTCGATTGGTCTCGCCTCGAGTTCAACATCCCTGAAGAAACATGTAGTGGCGATGGACAGCCGCTGCAGGGCTGGGAATTCCGCCTGTACAAAGCGCAGCTTGGCGTCCAGCGCAAGGGCGTTCTTGTCGAAGAGTCCTACCAATGTGTCACCGCGCACTTCCGAGGCACACCTGACTCCAAGTTCATCTGGCAAGACAACAACAAGGAGCTCGAGTCTTGGGTCCAGTTCATCAACATCGACCAACTCACCAACGTCATCCCGAAGCTATCAGATTAGCCGCCTCTCGTTACAGCGGCTTCCGTTATGTGTCTGTCGTGAAATCTTCTGTGTCCCTTGCGTGCTCACCTATACCATCGTCCCACTCCATCATTGTTTGCCTCACGAAAATTTGTTCGTACACTTAACACTGCGTGTAATTCCTCCTATTCTCTCCTATCTTGGATAGTTCTTGTTGCTATCGTCCGGCTCTGGCAAGTGTTTTGCACTGCTGCTTTCACACCACTACCTATTCATTGCTTGGATCCGTTGTATGTTGCCAAAACATGGGGGGGAACATAATAAACAAGAAACGATTGTTTCGGCTAGAGACAAGCTATGAGACGCTGTTTAGGCACTATCGGATATAAGACAGGGTAGGCCCAGTGCTACTATACTATGAGTTCGCTTGCAATGCGGCTGTCAGGCTGTCCTTTCTCCCCGTAATATACACCACAAAAAGAGACCCAGTGCCCGCAAAAGAAAGCCCACACAAGGAAGCTTACGCCCTCCCTGTCACAATCCAAGTTCCAGCAGCTGCAGCGGCCAGAAGCGTGAACAGTCCTGGCACCGCTAGGTCCGCAATTGCACCATTAACATGGCCCGCGCTTGTTGTCCCCTTTCGGCTGCCCATTCCACTATGCCCGTTGGACGTTGCGAGGGCAGAAGGGTCGATCTGGATCGTGTTTACTGTCTTGGTCATGTACGTCGTTGGGAATGTGAGCGTCGCGTCAGCAGTCACCCGGCTGAGCGACTCCTCTGTAAGGAAGACGAGCGCAAAGCCCGGCGCTGGAACTTTGATGGAACATGTGTGCGCGTTCTGATCACACTGGACAGTCTGGACGTCAAGATCTCCTTGCAGACGTCCATCGGACTCGAAATGATTCCCAAATGTCTAGGGCGCTAGCGCGTTAGCTCCCACCCCGAGTGAACTGGTGGAGACAGGTCGGGCGGCGCCCGAGAAGAGATGCTCACCTGCCCTGCCCATAGAAAGTCGCCCTTCTGAGATACGGAAGACGCAGACAAATATCTGTTCATAGAAAGGTTCCAGCGCGTTATCGTAACACAGCGAGGTGCTGTTAACGTATGCACTCACTTGACCTTCACCTGGGCGGGGGTAGAACTGGGTTGCCCTGTCTCGCCGCCACCGATAGAGATCGACGCGGTGATATTCGTTCCACCAGAGGGGTCAGTGACGAAATTGAACAACGCCACCTTCGTAGGCACTCCATTCTCATAGATTGCATAGGCAGGAGTAAATTTCTCGCCGTTGTTGGCAGATAGGTCCACTACTTGTGACGCGTTACTTGGGCCAAGAACCTCCGCCATGATCAGTGCTGAATAATAAACTGGCCCAATTGTCCACTGACGGAACGAAGACTGGTTCGTTGGAGGAGGTGTGAATGGATTATAGAATGCGTTCTGTCCGCCAACGTGCAGAAGTGCTGCGCTGAAATTGGTGTAAGCCATTTGAAGACCATAGTCAAGAGCCCAGAGCGCGGCGCCGAAACTGTCGCTGATTCCTGCGAAACCACTGCACGATGCCGTATTTGTTTCATACATGATAAACGGCTTTCCCATTTGCTGAGCGAAAAGCGTCGAGTTGATATATGGTCCAACTATGGACTGCGATGCGGTGTGGTCAAGGTACTGGGGAAAGGCTTCTTGAGGGTCGACAGGTGGGCCAGCACCGACGAGATCAAACTGTGCTACGCAGTTATCGTTCGGGTACCTATCACGGATCGGGCGCGTCAATTCAGACATTCTGCGCCAATGCGATCAGTAATTTATACCTTTCAACACTCAGCCCCGCAAGACTTGAGGAATAGGTCGAGACAAGGCCAGTATCCCATACATCTTCTGGGGCCCACGATCCTCTTGATATGCTAGGCGACAGGAACAGATTGTTCCGTTTGAGGATTGTCTGGTCTTTTTGGACCTGGTCTATCAGCAAGCCCATCTCTGCGGCATAGTCAGAGGGCCCATAACCCTGATGGCCAGGACGTCAACCATCGACGATGAGGACTATAGGATATAATTGACTACATACCTCTGGGCGATGTTCATGCTGTACATATTGATCAGGCTCATTGCCGGCCTGAAAGGCCAGTAACCGATCACCCAAGATCTCCTGGCTCGCTCCAAGAATCTCGAGAGAGAAAGGTGTCGTGTTGAAGAATGGGATTCCTGAGACGAAGTCAGGGACCATATATGTTAGATTGCGCAGGACGCACCGAGGTACCACCGCGTGTTGACAAGCGACGAGATGTTGTTCATCATGTACATCAACTCCCTAGTATATTCAAGAGGAGGTGTCCGGGTTGTCCCAGTGACTTTCGTGTAATCTTTCGCGAGGATGGTCCCATTGGGCAGACTATCGACGAGAGTGGCAGACTCTTGTGTGTTTCCCCCTACGCGAACTTGAACCCACCCGACACGCTCGACAATATTGGCTAGCAGATTCAGAAAGGGAACTTTAATAAGTGAACTGCCAAACAGACGCTGTCAGCCCACGTGCGCATTTCCTAGAGCGACCATACCTGTTCCGCCCCACTACGCGAAAAAGGGTTAATACATATGCGATTATTAGGACGACACATACAACTCACAAACTTGATTGGCTACGGACATCTCTATCGAGAAACCATAGAATCCGCCGTTCTGCTTCATAGAGAGATTAGGCATCCCACCGTTCGATAGCTGAATGCCAAACGATTTCTGAATAGGAGGATTTGGAACTGGAGGGGCTATAAGGACAGTGGGATCATAGGCCGCAGCGCCAGTGTAAGTCGCTGCCGCGGCACTAGTTGACACGGTTGCAGTAGGCGTCTCCGTCGATTTCCCACCGAAAACGACCTGGCTATTCTGTGGATGGTATATAGTCATCTGGGCATGAGCAAGCCCAGACAACAAACAAGCAAACGAAAGGACGAGGTGCCGCATGACGAAGGAAGTCGCCCACTCGAACGGGGTAGAGAGTGGGAGGAGTGGTGAAAGAGAGTCTGTGACCGACGGTTAGACGACATGAGCCTTGAAGCGAGTGACGTGCATAGGACTTCGATGCCCGATGTTGAGGTGAAACCGCTCTATTAACGCGATCAAGAATCCACGTTAGTTCGGCAATGATCAACCTTGAAGAGATTGTCATCACCGGAGACATCTCGCAACGCAAGTGCACCCCACAGTGGATACACTCCGGCGCAAAGACCTAGGAAATGCAGAGCACGTAAGGCAATAAGCTGATCCCCAAATATCCGTATCCACAAGAGAGTAGATAGTGGAAAGGGAGTTGTAGAACGCGATGCAGAAGTAGTGTAGAAGTGCTAGCCAAGAGAATTGTGACAAATAGCCGAAAGAGTCAAAAATTACCGGTCACCGGGTGAGAGCCTCTGAGAGCACTGTCCGCATCGTCTATGAATCCTTTGCATTTGCGGGCTCGTCTGGCTCGTCGAGATGCCGTGGGTCTACACTGTTATGTTCAAATTGCAGCGTTAAAGCTAGGCTCCTCACCGCAGCAACATCTGAGCGACGGGTGTCAGAGTCTTCATAGCGGCAGTGGCCAAGGGGAGTTTTGACGCTGGAACCCTAATCTAAAAATAGAATCGCAACGTCGATGCCAAGCCAAGCTTTGAATAGTGCACCCCGAGCGCGAACTGTCACAAACAGCCTTAAAGGCAGCCCAAAGCGCATGATCAGCCAACTCACCCAGGCTCTGTTCAGACGCGTAGTAGTACTCACTTGACGTCCTCATACCCTCAAATGTCTTTATTGTGGCCAGGAATTTAACGAAAGTACATACGGTAAGCCTATATCTTATGTTCAGAGCTCACTTAGACATCAGTTGACCTGCATATGACAGCGATTGATTCAAAAAAGAAAGGCTTCAGTTGGCATATCGACAGAAATAAGGACAAAAACGAAATCCATGCCCCGTCAAATTACCAGGGGCAGGCGAGTAGAGTATGATCTCGGTCGAGCTTACATGGGCACATCTCATCCTGTGAGTCCATCAACACAATTACGCCAGTCCACCATATCACAGAACACGACCCGAGATCCTCATTCCTTCCCCACAATCCAAGCACCTGCTGCGATAGCGAGAAGGGTAAGTGCTCCAGGCACGGCCTGGATCATACCCAAAGCCCCGCTGCTCCCCGAACTCGTTGTCCCCATATGATCCGCCATCCCACTGTGACCGTTGGATGTGGCGAGCACAGAGGCATTCACTTGAATCGTGTTCACAGTCTTCGTGAGGGCCGTTGTGGGAAACGTGAGCGTGGATGCTGGCGTCACCTGCGAAAGCGAGTTGTCCGTAAGGAAGACGAGTGCGAAGCCGGGTGCCGGGACTTTGATTGAGCACGTATTGGCGGTGGTGTCACATTGCACGGTCTGTACATCGAGAGTACCTTGCAGACGACCGTCAGACTGGAAATTGTTGCCGAAAGTCTGCCAACAACCAACAAGAAGGTTCGTGATCATAACCACATCAACAACCCTGATAATTGCGTACCTGTCCAGCCCAAGTGAAGTTGCCTGTCTGGGACACAGACGAGGCACTCAGATATCTGTGCATACTCTACATCAGGTACGTTCGTACCACAGATTCAAACACTTACTTGACCTTCACTGACGAGGGTGTCGCAGCAGTTTGACCGGTATCACCACCACCGATCGCGATGACAGCTGTGTAATCTGTGGCACCCGATGAATCGGTGACGTAGTTGAATAACGCCACCTTCGTCGGGTTCCCGTTTTCATAGATAGCATACGCGGGGGTGTATATGTTTGCGGAATTTGCAAACAGGTCGACGACTTGGGAAGCGTTGCTGGGCCCAAGAATTTCCGACATGACAAGGGCCGAATAATACACTGGGCCGATCGTCCATTGGCGGAAGGACGACTGGTTAGTAGGCGGAGGGGTGAAAGGGTTGTAGAACGCGTTCTGTCCACCAACATGGAGGAGGGCGCCGGTGAAGTTGACATACGCCATCTGAAGGCCATAGTCAAGCGCCCAGAGCGCTGCGCCGTAACTGTTACTAATTCCAGCAAAGCCTCCGCAAGAAGCCGTGTTCGTTTCGAACATCATGAAAGGTTTTCCAACCGACTGAGCAAAGGCCGTCGAGTTTGTGTACGGACTGACCATGTTCTGGCCCGATGTGTGATTCAAGAAGTCCGAGAAGATATCCTGAGGTTGAATGATAGGTTGGCCAGTGTTGAATTGTGCGGCACAATTGTCCGTGGGATAACTGACGAGAGTTAAGTGTTCAAATATAGAATCTAATAAAAAAATATGCTCACCGTTCGACAGAGAGGGAATACAAACTGCTGGAGTAGGCAGTTGCGAGGCCCGTGTCCCATACCTGCTCAGGCGTCCAAGTACCTTCAGCAATGCTTGGAGAGATCAAGATATTGTCGCGCTTGAGGATGTTAGTGTCGTTGGCCATTTGGTCAATGAGGTTAGCCATTTCGCCAAAGTAGTCGAAAGGTCCGTAAGTCTAATTCGGTATTTGAGTATTAAATTCACCGCCAAGAATGGTCTAGACTTACGGATGCCCGATGGTCATGGGCAACGTACAGATCCGGTTCGTTACCTGACTGTAGCCCCAGCAATCTGTCACCTAAGATCGCCTGACCAGCCTCGACGATCTCCAAAGCAAACGGCGTTGTATTGAAGAAGGGTATACCTGCCATGAGATGAGTGACTTTATTGATTATGGATCATTGTTGATTTGAAGCTCACCCAAGAACCAGCGCGCATTGACCAAAGAAGAGATATTGTTCATCATGTACAATAGATCTTTAGTAAAGTCTAAGGGTGGAGTCTGTGTTGTACCCGAGACATTTTCTTTATCCTTTTGCAGGATTATACCGTTCGGTAGGGACTCGACCAAAACGGCCGACTCTTGGGTGTTACCTCCGACACGGATTTGGACCCATCCGGCACGTTCCACTATGTTTGCGAGTAGATTCAAGAATGGGACTTGAATGAATGTACTGATGCGAGGGCGTCATGAATCTGCCTGAGGGAGCGGGATGTGATAAAGTACCTGTTCTTTCCCACTACGAGACATGGTTAGGCTCGCAAAGGTGAGGGATATTTATAGAAGACCTACAAACTTGATTTGACACGGACATCTCAATCGAGAACCCATAGAATGCCCCGCTCTGCTTGATGGACAACCCATTCATTCCGCCGCTGTACAACTGAATCGGGAACGACGTATTTGGTGCTGGATTGGGTACTGCGGGAGCAGTGAGGACAGTAGGATTGTATGCAGCAGCTCCAGTGTAGGTTGCTGCTGCTGCGGAGGCGGCTGCTGTGGCAGTCGTCGACTGAGCTCCACCGAAGATAACCTGGATGCCTTGAGGCTCGTAGACTGTCATTTGGGCATTGGCCAGTGCCGCGCATACTGCGGCAAAAGAGAGAAATGTCGAACGCATGGTGTGGAGCGTGCGCACTTAAGGCGCGAAGGGTATATGGGAAAGAGTTTGCTGAAAGCACTGGAAAGGCGCGCCGTTGTTCAGAGAGAGATGCAGTGCCGCCGCAGCCGGCGGTAACTCAGCCAGCTCGGCCATCTTCGACCACGTGGTTGCACAATAATATATTTTACTTTCACGAAATAAATTGGTGCGTTCTTCCGACTCTCAATAGTCCATCGGACAGAATCCACAGGAAATCTCTTTGGTATCCGAGCTCCAATCGAGGCCGCTTGAAGGAGGCTGGCCGAAAGACTGAATGTCCATCAGTTTTGGAGAAAAGGGTCTTTTGTAAATACATAATTGTTTTGGTCCGATAACTAGAATCTCGATTAAGTTGGAGGTCTTGCTACGCAATTCACCGGCGCTGTGCGCATCGTGCTCCATGGCTCCCTCCACTACAGAACAGTCCTTCCGCGAAAATCTTACTCAATTCCGTTGGGCCAGAGGTAACAACGACGACTCTTCCCAACAACAAGCTCAAGGGCCACCTAATCCATTCTCGAGGTTCTACAATGCCATCGGAGGCGCCTACGTGCCCTTGCGCTCCAGCGAACGCTCAAACGAGGAAGAGGCATATTTCGCGTTGTCCAGATGGGAGAGGTGTGTATTTGACTCAGACCTGTCCATCTGCCGGCGCTGCCGCGATTGACAACAATTTCCATACGGCAGGTTGCTTGGGTTCTTAGGTTGTCTTGCAGGAGCAGCCGTCTGTTTCGCTGTCGCGTTCTTCACTCTTCCGCTCCTTGCCTTGCGTCCAGCAAAGTTCGCCTTGTCATTTAGGTACACTTTCATTGCTTTGAAGTGCCTTCGGTTTGGTTCTGACTTTCCTCTGCAGTCTGGGTAGCTTATTGGTCATGTTTGGGTGAGTTCGCAACAGAGGCATGACCACACCACGGTTCTGACAACGCGCCAGGTTCTCTGTTTTGATTGGTCCCATAAACCATTTGAAACATCTCGTATCCAAAGAACGACTGCCGTTCTCGCTAGCCTATCTTTCAAGCCTTGGGCTGACACTGTATTTCTCACTGGGTGTAAGCACAATGCATTGCGGACATCACTGTAATCCAGTCATAACTTCGAGTTTCTTGCAGCCACATTCATACATTGGTTCCCTGATAGGTGCAGTAATACAGGTGCGCGTCTGACTGCATTCCAGTATCGAGTCATTTCCTTACGTGGTGATCTATCCTCAGGTCGTTGCCCTCGTTTCCTATGTGCTTGCATACTTCCCAGGAGGTGTTCAGACCCTTCGCTTCGGTGGTCAAATGGCCCTTCGTGGTGCTGGCAGTCTATTGCCCGTATAACTGTGATATTCATTTCTATAGGGCTTCGGGTACAGGGTCACATGGGAAAGTGTATGCGATTCACGAAATATTTATCATTGTTACATTTTATGGCCAACTTGGCTCTGTACAAATACTTGACGCAGCGATAACCCGCTGTGTAATCAATATCAGAATGCTGCAAAGCCTTGCAGAGGTGAAATCTCGTCTTCGACTGGAAGCCCGACCGCGTCCCTCAAACGCCGTAGCAATACCTCGAGGTATGCTTCACTTGACCGCCAACTGCTCCCTATCGACTCATTCTAATTGGAAAAGGTGAGACACAACCTCCTGGTCAGCAAAGTCCCAAGCAGAAACGGAAAAAGACCGACAAGATCCAGGTTTTCTAGACGTTGAAGAGCAGGGGCCAACTTTTTCGCCGCTTCTGATCTGAATACATCCCCGTCGGATGCGGTTGACATGTACCGCATCATGCCCGACGTCGAAGCTCTCAAAGACGGGTTATTGACGTGCCGGTTTTCAGAATAAAAAAGCAGGTGACGCCAGAGAAGGAGCAATAGCATCTCTACAGCGGCTGCACGGACCGTTCATTGCGATGAAACAGAACAAGGAAAAGAGGGGAAACACGTACAAAGCAGCATTCTCGCATCATTGCGAGCGTCAACTCGTATTCGCTCCAGCTCGCGGCATATCAAGTATTGCCGCTGACCTATATCGAGATCCGCTAGGATGTCATTATCGGTGGTGTTGATGATCTAAAACTATCTAAGTGTATTGTTCATTCGGAACAGATAGTCAAATTACTTCTTGGATGTTCTCCACTCGTATGTGATCTCGAGACGACAGCTCTGCCGTGATATCAGTTATTCGCTTGAGAGTGAGTAGTAGGTCCCCGCAGAGGTCGTTGAGCGCCTCAATGGCATCGCCAACAGTGGGGATAGTAGCTTTATGTTACAGAGATTCATTGCATGCCACCAATGATAACAAATCCGAACATACCAATTAGGCGATTGGGTTGTCGTTCTTCATGTCGTGGAGTGATCATTACTGGAGAGAGTACCAAGGTGATCTCAGGCTCTGTGCATAAATGAGTGACAGTGTAGAGTCAATGTCGAAGAGCACTTACCAGCGAAGTCACTGGCAGCACCAAGGTAGACAAGTAGAGCTTTGCGGAGCAGCTGGTCTTTACGGTCGACGGTTAGGCCAAATTTGGTTTCTTCTCCGTACCCTATATAGTTCGATTGAGTCACACAAATGGAGTCCGAACGCCGCATGACATACCAGAAGCAGGCACCGACGTATCTAGTCTTTCAGCATCCGTCTGTGGTTTAATTTTTTGCGCCCAACCTCCGGATCCCAGATATTTGGTGGCAAGGCTCAATATCGCCACATGGACGTTCCCAAAACCATTGTTACCAGTCACCTGATTTAAGTGAACATAAGCTCTAGGACCAACGAGGAGAGCGCCTTACTAGCTCGGATTTGGGAACTTGCGGGAAGATCGATGCTGCGAGCGAGACGAGCAGATGAATCTCATCCATTACCGATAGTGAAATCTCTTCCGCTTCGTTTTTCAGGAGGATGGCGATAGTGTCGCGATGACTGGAAAGAAATTCTAGAGCCTGAAGCGGGTAACTGTGAGCGAAAACTACCGACAAAATTGAAGACGAGCCCACCTGGTTACACGCCGTTACATGACTGGGCCCAAGAGTTGCCAGTATGCAATTGACTAGTTGCAAGGCAGGGATGAATAGCTGATGGTATCGTTGAACTGCGGATGGAAGGAAGCTGTCGTAATCTGTCTGTATGTTAGATCGGGCGTTCATGGGACAAGGTAACATTCAAAACCCACCCATGAAAGTCTGGTCCGCTTCAGGTCTCGCATCCAAGTAATCACAACCTCCGAGATTAGGGAGTAAACGTGCTTCCAACAGACGCTCAGCTCCTTGCCGTGTCTGCGCGATACGGATTAACAGAGACATCTTGACTTCGTGAACATATAACGAATTGAGATCATCTGCAATTCGACATCAGGATAGAAGTTCACAGGACATTCGGAATGAGGCCTACCGGGGTCGGGCTTAAGGACAGCTTGAAGACGCAGGTCGGACTCTTTGAGACTACGAACAAAGTTCAGCAAGAACCCGTGTCGAGATAGAGCCGATAGGACGACATGCTGTCTGTCATCTTGGGAAAGATGCACAAGACAGTCCAGCAGCGTGAAGGCAACAGTCTTCCATACTTCTGTGCCATCTATAGCATCACGGGAAATCATTGCCACCAATCGTTCCATGATGGGTTTGAGCACTGTCAGAGTACCTGCCTCCAAAATCGAGATCGTAGATGCGGCACGTGCAGGGTGCAAGGGAAGACTGACAACCGATTGGCTCTCTCCGAATATAAAATCATCCCCTGTGGTCGACGCTGATAATGACAGCGAAAGATCGTTAGACTTTCCACCCATAGGATCAGACCCGGCATCCCACGAGATGAGATGGAAATAGTTGATGAGTGCTGCGTAGAGGTTACCGCGTACCAGTTCGATACGACTCTCCGAGATACATTCCACGATATTGCCGAGAAGGGCGTACAGGCGTTCTGCGGGAAGCGACCCTGCGTCTGAATCGATGCCGGCAGACTGCAAGACAAGCTGACTGCGCCTATCCTCCCTCAGTTTGGTGATCAGAGAGAGAGAGACTTCGGAGAGAAGAACTGCGGTCGGGGGTTGGATGGTCTCAGAGCGGATGATCGGAGGGAGTTCATGGAGTAAATCAAACAGCATGGTCTCCCGACGGTCTCGAGGCAGGCGGGCGAAACATTTGACAAGGGTCATATCGACCAGCCTCCTCCATGCCTCGAATCCAGATGCGACGGCAAAAGAAACTTCTCTACGATGATTCTCTACGGTGCAGCTCTCCAGAATATAAGCAGTCTCTGCACTAAGCCGTTCGACGCTGGCCGGTGTGACAATATGACCCTGAGCATGAAGAGATCGCCTGGCAGCAACAAGAAGGGATAACAACGCCGTCCGATCAACAATCTCGCAGCCCTTCTCATCAACGCGCACGCAAGAGGCCAAGTTGAGTGTGCCGAGAAGCTGCAGATCGAAAGTTTCCGAGCCTAGGCTATCGACCCAGTTGAAGGACAGAGACTGCAAAAACTCGACTATGCGCATGTGCGATTGCCCAATTTCGCGGAACGGCTTGAACATTTCGCCTTCCCAGTCCTCCTCATCGTACTGTTCCTCCTCATTACCGTAAAGCAGATCTAATAAGTCCGCTACCCCCTTGAAGTGGCCACGATTTGTGAGAACGTGTAAGTCCAACGCGACGAGGTCGAAAATGTAAGATCGAAGTCGCAGAAAAGACGTGAGTGATGGAACAGATGATGACACTCGAGCGCCATCGCCATATTGAACTTCGATCATTGGGATGGAGCTGACGGGCGGGGCCTTGAACGAGAGGACGGCTAACTGGCGAGCAAAGAAATCCTCCCTGGTACGCAGGTATCGCAAAGTAAAATCAGTTGTCCTTGAGTGGGTACACAAGTTGTATACGACGCGATAGAATCGTTCAGCGAGTTCAGGTAGGCTGGAAAATAAAGGCGTATTCAACGCAGCTCGATGCTGACCCTCTTTACTCTTGGTTCTCAGTCTCGGCACACTCATATTGACCCAGTCCAAAATGACATGGACAGAGGATCTCTGTGCATCCAGGGCATGCGGGTCCTGGATCTGATGGACGTTCGTTGCGCCCAGAAGAAGGAGGTGGGCAACATTAGGGTAAGCGCAGCCAGGTTGCGTGTTCTGGATGAGCAAATCTAGAACTGCGATTCTGACAGACTGAGAGAGCCCTGCAGGAATGTTATCTAGATCGGGAGCGCCAGCGCCAGTATACTCTTCAGCATTGACCTCCGCGGCATGGAATCCGTCGAGGTCTTTGTCCTCGAGGATCCTTCGGTATCCATCGATGATGCGCTCCGAGTCGCTACTTCGTTCTAACAAGGTAGTAATGTTAGGGAATGAGGTGGATTTGATGAGGAGGGTGAGTATCTTGACAGAGAGCAAGGCAAGCTCGGGGTGGGACTGATGTACGACGTATGCTGCTACAGCCGGGGCGTATGTGGATGTAAACGACAGCGCCTGATCCAGTTTAGTGAAGTAGGCACGCTGATGAACTGGGCCTACGGCCGGGGGGACGTTGACCTCTGAGAGTAACGGGATCAAGACATCCAAGAAGATGTCTTGGACTTCAAGGACGCGATGTATAATTCTGAGGACCCTGATGATAGTAGTCTTGAATAGAGGTTCTTCATCGTCCATCGCATTGTCAAAGCCATCGATGCCGTCCACCAAATAGGTCAAGAGACCATTTTGAAGAGGTGAATTAGACAGTATCCGTCGCATAATGTCGTATCCAGGATGAGTCACCAGTGACAAGAGCACATCTTCCCTCACCTGCTTCTCCTCGGTGGACGTCAGCAATGCTTCCAGCTCATAGCTTGCCAAACAACGCTCGATGAAAGACAAGCAGAGGTCGTTCATTTGCCATCTTTCCTTGGGTATCTGATACTCTCGACTGGAGATCTTCAGAAATATCTGTTCCACCACAAATGATATGAAGGGCCCGATTCCGGGTTGGCGATATGGCTGGCCCAAGTTTTCTGGAATAGTGTTAATGGGCTCCGCGTCGGCGAGCCGATTCCTCAGCGGTACTGATTTGGGCGTATGGATGAGCGTGCTGAGGAGCCTGAGAAACGGGATCGTCTCAGGGTACAGTCGGCCTGGCTCCTCCACCAGTTCCAACTCTGATTCCACCCCACGCTTCGACAAAGTACTACTGCCCCGCACGTTGATAACCTCCACCCGCTCTATCAATAACCATACTGTCTGGCAAATTTCCACCCCAGCTATGCCGGCACCTGGCTCGCAGAATGCCGCCAGCGCAGTGAAAATTGAGCCCTTCAGTTCAATTGGCCCACCAACGGGAATGAGCCCCACAAGAGTTTGGATCACCCGCAGATGTGCATGCGCGTTTAGCGCAACCCGCGCGGCCACCGAATATGACACCACTGTCGACAGCAGCCGTAGAAAGCACTGCGCCAGCCATACGTCCTTCTCCGTCAGGGTGAGCTGTTGGTGCTGTTGGTGCTGATTTTGAGGACCTTGGGAGACTGTCATCCCGAACTGCGATCCAGAAGCGAATGTGGCTTGGGGAGGTCGTGAATTTGCCGTTACGGCCGTCCAAGATTCTAGGAGTCCAAGCATAGTGGCCCATGATACGCTTACGGTACTGAAAGCCAATCCACCAGAGGGAGGTAACATGCTTCCGGGAATAATTTCTCCATTGCCTCGCGCAAGGAAATTGTACGCCAGCTCGCTGCATTGCTGGCCTTTGGCCAACCCTGCGAGCATATCGTATAATGCAATAGACACGTCAATATCTCGCGGCTGTGTCGACCATACTGCCCATTGCAAGAAAGCGGGAAGCTTTCCTGCAGACACCTCGACCGATTCCAAGTATGATCCTCGTCGTGACTCTGGGAGGCTGGAGCCCCAGAATTGCAGAGCACGCTCAGGGGGCAATGTGGAATACAAGATGCCTATGAAGGAGAATAGCATGGCGATGTCATTGCGTGCTGGAGGCGTCCTGTCTGTGGTTGCTCGCGTTGCAGATGAACGGAATGTCCGCGACCGGTCGGACCGCACATTGGCGAGGATGAAGTCCTCCTGACGCTGCTTGATCTTCCTCAGCTCTGACGATGCGTGCATTATTGTTGACCGCACGATTGTCTCAAAGGAATCCAGCACCGCCACTCGGAAATCCTCGCTGGGTACATCTTGATACTGCATTTCCGCTTCAGCAGCGCGCATGATAGAGCCTGCAAATGATCCACTCGGAAATGGCGTCTCTCGTTTCCGCAGTCGAGCAACAGATGATGCAAGGTACACAAATGCATCGCCCTGCACGGCATTCCACACATTGGTCTCCAGCTCCTCAGTCTTGAATCCTTCTCTGTGTTCCAATGCCGCATCTCGGTGCCGCGCCTCAGTTAAGAATAGTGTCCACTTGAGTAAAATCACAGCCTTTAGCCCCGGCTCCTTCCACTCGGCAGAAGGATTCATAGAGATTTTCAAAGCAGAGAGCGTGGACGAGTGAGTCGCAAGGCTTTGGCGTGCCTTGCTACCGGGGGTCTTAGGGTCAACAGGATCGAATGCGACAAGCAAGGTCGTGAGGAGATAATATAACATAGGATGATGAGGGTTTTGCTGTAGCCAAGGAACGATGCGTTCGATTTCGTATGGAGATAGGTATCCTATTCTCGCAATGAGGAAGAGAACAATTGCCAGGCTGCGACGTTCGAATTTGAGAGACTCCAGCCGTGCAGTAAGAACTTCTTGACCCAACGAGATATTGGCGCCTATAGAACATATGAATGATGAAGGCGTATGAAAATGAGGTTGGATGACTACCTTGGATAGTGGTTTGGCTACCCGTGTTCTCCTTTGCCACTTGCGCCTTGGCTATTGTCGAGTCTAGCCTCTCAATTTCTAACACAATCTTGCGTCCCAGACTCTTGTCACCTGTTGGTAGACCACCTGCCTGTTCTGTAGGTGGAAGGAGCTGTCGCTGAACGAACAGGGCTAGTCGAGCGTAAATTGGGGGTGCATCAGATGTGGTTGCCATTTCGGTGGCCTCTAGAAGGAAACGTAGGCATTCGACAAGTTCGCGGCGCCTTCGATGGTGTTCGAGAACCACCCCCTCGAGTATATTTGTTGGTCGTAGGTTTGGACTACTCGAGATAACGTGTTGGGAGAGTGTTGCGACATATCGTTCAGAGCAATCAAGGACTTCGGCGAGGGAGATGACCTGAGTGGCAAAATCGGTATTTACGGCGACTTGACGGCCATTCAAGGTTGTCCTTCCTGCAGTCCAAGTGATGAGCTTGTCTACTCTGGATGGTTCAGGCATGCTCACCGCCTTGTAGCTCCTTTCGTTCAGCTTCGCTTCGTGGTGGAAGGTCGTATAAGTTGACAAGAGTAGGTCTACATTCGACAAGGTCGTCGAACAGTTCCTTCTCATTGCTAACACCTCCTTCTCCTATAGCAGAAAGCAAACCGGTTCGGAGGTGAGAAACAGACTCCATGATGAGAGGGAGCGAGAGGCGGTAGAGCCTGAAAGTTACGGACGCGCCAGACAGACGCGCCTACTGGAAAAGGAAATCATAGCACGTGCCGAGCAAGGACCCTGACGTATGCGTAGATATGTCCGATCCAAAATGGACAAATTTTGGCCTTTCCGTAACCACAATTTTGGGGGGTTTCCATCAGCACCGGGATCAAAGTTGGCGATTTTGGGTCATTCCGTCAGCATAACAGTATATAACATCCAAATGTCAACAATCCGTCAGCATATCTTGATATAACATGAAATCCGGGCCAATCCGTCAGCATAAAAGTGAAAATTTCAAATTTAATACCAAAGGTGGATGTAAAGCTATAGAAATAGTAGTGTATTCAATGCCCTCACTCTCCAGACACCGCACATTGCCCCCAAATATCCCCAGGGGATATTAGGGGTATATTAGCAATATACCTAGAATATACCTAGAATATACTCGTCAGGGAATATCCCTCAAATATCCCCTAGTCAATCCCAACGGGAGATGACTCATCCATTTCGACGGTCACCTGATGAGTGCGCGTCGTCGGACAGCGTCGAGATTTCTCTTAAGTGCTCCCTTCGTCTTACTTTCTAGGAGCCTCCAGTGTGCACATATTTTGGTGAGTCTTTCTCCCACTGAAACATGTTTCCATATGCTCTATAGTTCCGGTTTTCTCATATAATCAGATCTAATGCCTGAAAATGCGGGATCAGAGCGCATATATGCGTCCATTTAGGGCGGGCCGGGGTGGGACTTAAGGAGATTGCAAGCACAGCCTACGACGTGTGTGCGGCAAGAATTGTCAGAACGGTGGGTATTGCGGGTGTGAGCGTGAACGTTGGATAGATGAGATCAAGGGTAAGCACAGGCTGAGCTTGGTGGCGTTGGCGTGGGTGCTAGCATCTGTGGTTCTCATGCGCATGGTGGCTCGGATTAGCCTCAGAGTCTGCGGTGCGCGCGCAAGTGCCAATGTCGTCGGGGCAGCAGCAGCAGCAGCAACATCAGTGAGGCCAGTGTTCATCTGGGCTCTCCGTGTCACAGTGCTAACCCCCCGCACAGCAGTACTGACCCCCGCACTACACCGCATTCTTTCCATTCCCCTCGCTCCTTGCACTCGCCAACCTTATCAAGCTGCAACCCTTCCTGGTGACCTTGTCTCTTCCCGCACTGATCTTCTCAACCTTGACACGCATGCTCACCCCGCTTCTCCGCAGGATGCGCCTCTACGCTGCCGGCACCGATGCACTCGCCAGCGGCTGCGTTTGTGCGCGTGACGTGCTACCAGATGTGCTCGTGTTCGACAGCGCGGTGCCGCAGCCCGACGCACCCCCCAAAATGTACTCCTCGAATTTGAGGCCACGCGCGGACGCACCGCTCCCGCCACTGCAATAGATTCTTGCGTCAAGGTGCTGGTCGTCCCATCCCTGATGCGCGCCGTGGCTGCTTGCGTATGCGGGGGAACATCTAGCCGGGATTCGCACCTCTCGCCTCTTCAAGTATATTTTGTAGATCTTTCAAGCCTTAGAATTGTCGTGTAGCCTTCAATAGCATGTATTAGTTTTATGATTTGTTAATATATTTATTTCTCTATCTATGGAGCGCATATAAAGTGATTGGAATGATATCGAGCTCGAATAAACCCACAATATACTGTGAATATACTCAGTACCCAGGTATATTCACGGTATATTCAAGACATTACCTTGAATCGACCGTGAATATCCCCGGAGGGGAGGTGGGTATATTCGCAGTTGATTCCAGGTATATTGCTAATATACCACAGATATCCCCTGGGGATTATTAGGGACGATGTGCGGTGAGACCATCCACCTTGACAAGTTCTTCGTCGATGAGAGTATTCTCTGCCAGGCTGTCTGATAAATCTGCTAACTTCGACCCTGTCTTCTGAGCTTCAACGAGTAATTGGACTGCATCATGTACAACCTTCACTGAACGAGAGAGCGAGACCCAGACATCAGTAGCAGAGGGACACAAAGTCAACAAGTGAAACGGATGAACTACATCCATCTTCATTGGAAGCCGAGACAATCCAGCTGTTGAAGTTGCTCTAAGTGAGAAAATGATGTGAGTACGGGGGATGCACATGAATGTAGCACATCCTCCTAGAGCGAATAAGGTAGTGTACGACCAACGCGCTATCAGGACATGGACGAGCGCGGCGAGGACGACACTGAAACAACAGAGAGCAATGCTGAAAAAAAAGTTCAACCGTGACAAATCCGTCAGCATGCGGATCGGACATCGGTCCCGACGCACCTTTTTCGCATGCCCGCAGGATCGGACTAGTTCCAAGATTTAGGCCCTTTCTGTCAGCATATGGATACAACATGGGCAAAATTTCAGACCCCTTTCCGTCAGCACATGAACACGACCTATGACAATACTTGACTTCAGCTCCTCTTCATTCATAGCGTTATTGTGCCTAAAACTGGGTGTTGAATCCCACACAAATGCCATCTCTCAACGCCATCGTTTCACAGATGTAAGTCAATGATGAAATAAACAGGTTCACAGAACTACCGACTCGATGAAGCAGAGGACAGATCAAGATACACACTAGCTGTTAATGATACCCGTCGTATCCCCCGTTATTCCATTGTTGCTGATGGTTCATGGGTCCCATCCCATGCATTGTTCTTGGATTCATACCTAGACTGCCCATGGCTATGCCACCCATGTTGCCCATAGCCATCCCAGCCATGTTGGGACCCATATTAGTGCCCATATTGTTGCCCGTATTGACCATCCCGTTCATGCCCATCATGCCATCCCCCATCCCCCCCTCCCACATCCCGTCCATAAATTGTGCTCCTTGTCCCTGATCCCTCCCCATGCCTCCCCACGCCCCACTACCCATACCTTGCATCGACATCCCATCAAACCCACCAAACACTGGACCGCCCATGCCCATTCCCGGGATCATCATGTTTCCCATCCCCATATTTCCCATCCCACTGGCGCCCCACCCTACCATGCCCATGCCATCCATCATGTTCATCCCCATGATCTGCTGCTGCGTGATCATTTGATTTGGAGCTGGTAATGAATTCTTCGGTCCACCAAGTTTGTTGCCTCGTGGACCTACAGGAGCGCCCATACCGGAGTTGGCCGGCATGTTCGAGTGGGAGCCACCACCACGCATGGGCGATTTCGGCCGAAGTGCATCGATTTCTAGGTCGTGCAGGAAAAGAGGTCGGTGAAGCGATAAAGGTGATGAGAAGCAGCCATCTGACCTGGAGTCATCGGTACAACAGCCTTTCCTCCCTGGCTTTGCATCTTAATCCTTTCCTCCCAACTCTCCTTATTCCACGGCACGGCGTTCTCCACTCCATACCTCCCCTGACCGCCTTCCCCACTATCAATACCGGCACTGATGCCCATTCGCGCCTGGGACTTCACCTGCTCAATTCTACTTTCCTCTCCTTCCGCAAGCACAGTGACCCAACCTCTGCGAACGCTTCGCGCGCGGCCGAAGATTTCAAGACGCCGAGTCCCAAGACAGAAATTTTCAACAAGAGTGTACATTTCCGGAGGCTTCAACGTTGGGTCAGTGGGATCGCCTTCCCATATAATGACATCGGTATCTGGTTATGGCGAATATCAGTCGCACGATAGGAGTAAAGACATAAGCGTCATACCGACATTGCAATGCACAAACCAACTGTCTGTAGACCGGCGAACGGTGCCTCTGATACCAATGAGGCAGTGCTGCTTGGTTCGAGTGAGTAATGACGTGGTTGGCGGGTCTGTCTGACAAAAAGTCGTCAGTATCGAAGGTCGAACAAAATTGACTACGAGGATTGATACATACTCCTGGACCTTTGTTGGTCGCCTTATTGGTCTTCACCCAAACAACATCCTCACATCTTCGGTATCCCCACCTTGCCAAGACTTCCCTCCCCCGCTCGAGACCTTCACCCGCGCCACTACCAACCCATAGAAATACAAAGGATGGATCCGCTGCTAGACTCGGGATCGGCATACTCTGAAGGGTTTCCCAGGAGAATGAGGATGAGAAGGGTGGGTCGATTAGTATGACGTCAAATTTTGTCGGCGAAAGATTGTTGAGCTCTATTAGGGGCATGTAAGATGGAGGGAGCGCGTGTTCCTCTACAGATGCCTTCTTCAATGCTAGAAGACGTTGCTGCTTCGGGTATCTAGACAAATAGGAGGACGGATGTCAGAGATTATGTGTATGTCAATGCCGCCATCTAATCATGCGTACTGAGACCAAAACAGCTCTTATGATACGAGAACGGACACAGGACTGTATCGACCAGAAGTGCGCAGTAAGACTACTCACTCTTCAAAACGCCGCTCCGGCTCAGCCCCAAGAACCCAATTCTGCGGCCAATCTCCGCTGTCCACATATCGTTGAGAGTAGTCATTACGAATGGTCTCCTCCTCTGGAACATAGTTCTGGTAGTGCGCAAGTCGAGCTCGCTTAGCAGGAGGTAGATCTGGACGAGGTCGCGGCTTCGAAGCTAGAGAAGGTGAAGACGGCGGCGATGGGGAAGGTGATGGGTGTGGTGAGGGAACGAGAGGGACCTTTAACAACTGGAGTGGTGGAGAGGCTAGAGAGCGCAGTTGGCGTCGATGCAGCCTTTGCGCGTTTCGCACTTGTGTGATCAAGACGTGGTGCTGTGTGAGTAGATCGTTAGCAGAACTGAGGCATTCTGCGATGGATGTCATTTCTGTCCTCGTGAATGAGATCGGCAAATCACGAAAGTACTTTCAATTTACAAAGGGTGTCAGAAAAGAGTAAACTCGCGGATATCCGTTATCGAGGGGGACACGAAAGGACACAAGCTGCGAGTCGCAAGGTGAACACGACTGGATAGGCCTGGTCAAGCACGGCCGCTGAATACGATTCGGCAACTACCGGCACGTGATTCTAAATTAATTTGGATCGTCCTCTCGAGTTTCGCGGTAGCTCCCAATCCGCACTCAAACCTGAACACATCTCATTATGGCCAAAGGGTCGGCGAAAGCCACGCGTAAATTCGCTGCAAGTGGGCAGCTGCAGAAACAAATTCAAGCGAGGCGGAAACACCAGCAAATCAAGAAGAAGTCCGAGAAGCGGAAAGGTGGTAAAGGAAAAGAGAGAGCGCATCCAGGTGATGCCGAGGACGATGGAGAAGAGCAGGGTAGCGCTGAAGAGAAGCAGACTTCCAAGTGAGATATTAAGCAGCTCGTGCAGGTCTATAATGACACTCTTACAGACTCAAAGGCATGTCTGTTGACGACTTCCTGGGCGGCGGTTTCATGGACGAGGATGAGGTATGTTTCGTGTATTTTTACATCGGAATTGAGCGTTATAACGTATAATAGAATGAGTCCATCAAGTCCCTTGGCTCGGACGCCGAAGATGATTATGATGGAGAGGATGACGAGGATGAGGATGGAGACGACGATCAGTCCTTCGCATCTGTAGATGACCTTGACGGTGAGTGGTCATTCTTATTAGCTGTTCCATGAAACTGATGGTGTGGGAGCAGGCGAGGGTACTGCACACATGGACGAATTGTCAAAACTGGCAGAAAAGGATCCAGAGTTCTACAAGTATCTGCAAGACAATGACCGTGAACTACTGGACTTCGACCCCGGTGCCCTACAAGAAGAGGGCGTAGATGAAGGCGTAGAAATGGCAGAAGAAAAAACTCCTGTGCTTACAAGAGACATCCTACAAAAGTGGCAGAAAGCGCTGTTAAAGGTACGCTCGCGGGCTCGCATTCTGTGATCGTATACATTCCTCTCCTCCCACTTTTGTTCCACCGTGCGGAAGTTGACGGGTATAATTTACCCGTAGGAACGGTCATTACGGGCTCTTCGGAAGCTCCTCATTGCATTCCGCGCTGCTGCACATATGAATGAAGAGGACCAAGTCGTTGCTTGGACAATTGACAGTTCATCAGGTATGTTTGACATGAAATTCCACCTGCGCGCACAGAATCGTATAATCTCGGCATACCCAGTGTACAACAAACTCGTCACCACGGCGTTGAGATACACACCTATAGTGCTTGCGCATCATGTGCCTTACAAAATGCTTCCGAGCGGTAAAATGTACACCATATCTCCGTTGAGAGTCTCCTTTACTTATTTGCATTTGACATACTCTACTATCAGCAAGCCGCCAACGCAAACCCTAAAACTCAAGACGCTCCAGAAATTGATTCTATCCTATTTTCATAATATCATTCACATCACATCACAGCTCTCTGAACCAGATCTGGTGAAATTGGCCGTCGCAGAGAGTGCAAAATTATTACCATATATTGTCGGCAGCCGTAAAGCTGTCAAACAATATTTGAAGGTGACCTTCAGTCTCAATCTTCGAAAGTTTCAAGGCCCCTTGTTAACGGTCAAAATTTGAATCAGATGACGTTGGAGTTATGGTCGACCGCCGATGACAGCGTTCGGATTGCTGCTTTTTTAGCTATTCGCAAATTGGCAACTGCAACAGACGAATCTATATTAGATATGGTTTTAAAGGTAAGTTTTGGCGTATTTCTTGTTATATGACATCTGATGTTACTCTATCAGTCTACCTACCTCACTCTTATTCGTTCAGCGAAGTCGACGAACATACATAGTTTGCCGTTGATCAACTTGATGAAAAATTCAGCTTCTGAGATTTTCTGTCTTAATCCTGAAGCAGCATATCAGCACGCGTTCGGGTTCATTCGTCAGCTGGCTATTCATCTTAGGAATGGCATGAAAATGAAAACTAAGGTTCGTCGATATTCTCGATGTCGGGAATATCTTCCTAATATTAGATACTGTGTGTAGGAATCGTACAAGCAGGTCTATAATTGGCAGTATGTGCATAGTGTTGACTTCTGGGCAATTGTGCTTGCACGGGCGTGCGATGTGCAAGCGACGCTCCAAAAGAACGGTAAGAACGACACTCTGAAACCCCTGATATACCCTCTGGTACAAGTCGCCACAGGAGCAATCAGGTAAGCCATCTCACCTTTATGTTCGTCTACCAACACTTACCATCTTCATACCGTTAGACTTGTCCCTAACTCACGTTCTTACCCCTTCCACTTCCATATCATCCGTTCGCTCACTCATCTGTCTCAACACACTCACACCTACATCCCCCTCGCTCCACATCTTCTTCCGATTTTGACCTCAACTCTTATATTCTCAAAGCCCAAATCATCCACCCTCCGTCCACTCGATTTTGAGACTAACATCCGTGCACCCCAACAATACATCCACACGCGAGTCTACAACGAGGGTGTGGCCGATGAAGGCGCATTTCTTCTTACAGAATGGCTGGCTACGCCACCAGTGCAAGGGAGTATTGCCTTTCCTGAGCTCGTTGTCCCAGTCACGGTCGTTCTGCGCAAGGCTCTCAAGACCTCCCGCATAAATCAAAAATCTTCCAACGGGAAGGAAGCGAGCTTGTTGAAAAGCATGCTCGAACGGATCGAGGACAGCGCGAAATGGGTTGAGCAGAGACGAGAGACTGTGTCCTTTGCCCCCGCGAAGATGGGTGAGGTGGACAGGTGGGAGGCGGGTATCAAGGTTGAGGAGACTCCCTTGGGGAAGTACATCAAGGTGCAGAGGAAGGTGCGGGAGAAACGGAGGAAGCTGGTCGAGAAGGTGCGTGGGATCGATTTCGAGCCTCTACTCTCTCACTCTCGCATTCCATCGGAACCTGTCGTGGTCTTCGATCCTCGATCTGAGCTGACATATATCGTCTCGTTCTTCATTAGGCAAGGGAAGGCGAAGATGAGATACTGGAGGATTAGCACGAAGGACGATATCACCCGGGACCGGATGGCTATTGATATCACAGAGTTGGTATTGAAACATCAGCTGCATTGCATGTACAACTTTGGATTGTCCGATGGCCCTCGTATGAGCGACCAACGTCCTTCCTCGATTTTTAGTACGACGTTTTGTTTCGTGAGAAACTATATTCTGAGCGAGACAATTTCGATCCAGTATAACGGTATAAATCATGCGAATGGTGACAGTTCTTTTTCACATTCTACCAAATGATACATGTATCGATTGCGGTCTCATGTGGACCACGCGGAGCGCATCTTGAGGCGCTCAGCGCTTAGTTGACGTGCGTATGCGAAAAAACAGGCAGAATACCGCAATAGGGGCTGTACGAGCTGGGCTCTCCACTTAAGAGACGTAACCAGCGGTGATGCTACCGACGTCGGCTGGATTGAATGGACTGATAGATAAAGACCACAGCTCACTATATCATGATGCAATACGTTTAATCTATTAGTTCAACGCTACCTTGAGCTCCGCGTGGATGATTACAAGTGAACATTGCGTCCGCATTCCAGATGAAGATCTTTCGATAATTTCATAGATGATAGATGCAGTGCGTTGTTCGGAATCTCTACCACACTCCAAAAAAGATTTTCCACCATGGTCTCCCGATGCCTTTGAGACTCTTCTCGTATCCCTCCACGAGACGATCGTAATGATACGGCATGGAAGCCGGCTTAAGTATCTTTTCTGGGATAGGAAACTGGAAGACAATATCAACGGTGAGCCGTGTGATATGCCACGGAAGTATGTCGTGAGCGGGTGAGAAAAGAAAAGGAGCGGACTTTCTTCGATATGCGGTTCTCCTGAAGCACCTGGGCTGCGGTGACAGCCGCTGGGCTGAGTTTCGGGTGATCAGCCAGGGAGTTTAGGAATGTTTTTAGTTGCATATTGGGTCTGAGTGGGTCGTTAGGCCATTCTGCAGATATGCGACGGAGTTGTTGAGCGAGTTTTGTCGAAGTCGACATGATAGTTAGGCTGGACGAACGGGAGTCGGAGTCTGAAATCCTATGAGAAGTCATCCAGGCTGCCGCGGTCCCAACTTAAGACGAGGTTCTATCTATTCGATGCTTTGATCTATCTCGTCTTTATATCCGACATTGTTCACAACATCACGGATGTCTTTATACAACAATCTCGGGGTAAGTCCCGGATGAGAGGACCACAGTGTGCGCAGAGTACGCATGTGTCGTACCGTCATGGGAAACTGCAGGGTTGTGCTCGTCCAGGCGAGGTACCTTGGCCTTTCTAGGTCTTGGATTAACAAAATTATAGGCTCTGGCGTGGGTATTTCCTGACCCTTTCTTCTCGATCCCCTGATATCTTACACGGTTCTATTTAACTTAGCTATCAGATTCTCCCAAACACCAAACACCATTCATCTCGTGATTCCCATTTTACAAACGGCTCCATGTTTCCTGTCAGGGTTATGATTCTTTTTTGGCACTGAACATGAAATTCGATGGGTTTCTCGAGTAAGCCTAGTCACATCACTGGCCAATTTTGTTATGACTCGCTCTATTTCTCCAAGGATGCTTTGAGGGCATCGTGCCTATCGATGTCATCTTTTTGGATTTCCGTGCTTCCGGATCCACGTTACTGCCCGTCTTGTCCTGCGCTTCTGTGCCGTCTGTCCTCTGGACAAATTTTGTGGCCTGTCACATCCTAATCTTACTTTTTACGCTCCAGATCTTGAGCCCCCTTGACTTCAGCAGACATGTGAGCTTGTGCACATTATTTCCTAAATTTAGACCTTCAAGGATCATGAAGTCGCCGTGCATAGTGCCATGAGTGTTTTGCTTTGCGGCAAGCTGCGCCTTCCCATCGTCCAGGCCTTCTATCTCACTGATATTTCTTTCTTTCCTTACACACCGTCACGCTTCATCCATAACACGAACAATATCCAATCTCACAAGCTTTCAACCGCGCTGACGGTCCATTTTCTCCGACTTTTGTTCAAGCCCACCCTCTGCGGAGGCAATACGCCTTGGACACATCACGGACCCGGACATTTCTGTGCCCTCTCTGGAGAAATGCATCCGTTCGTATTCTGCGAATCTCACGGAAGGCCTTAATACCTACAGCCTCGTGTGTGAGGCTTCTATGTGGAGGCCTTCAGACTCCCATGCGTACATGTTTCCACGTCGAATAGGACTTCGAGGCAATGCGGCACGATCCGGTTTGATAAAAGTTTCATCAGTGCATCCTTTCTCTGAGGAATAGTACTCCATTTCATCCCTCCTCGCACGGTACGTACCGGGGGGCGGCATACTCGTTGGCTTACGCCTCATCAATTCGTTCTTGACCCTGCGGAATCCCAGAAGCTCGCACACTTCGTGTCAGCCTTGAGCCCTTGAGCGCCGGAACAAACGGTCTGCAGACTAGCATGGAATCAATAGTCCGCAGATGGAGGATGGTGATACATCTGCCATGCATCAATCATGACTAGCATCTTTTCTATCTTTTTTCATGATCTTGTCAATAAATACTGCTTCGCTGCACGATCAAGATCGGACTTTGGCACGTCTACGCCTATGTCCACGTCTGCGTCCCAAAAACTTCCCATCACCGTTGAGATCGCATCACCGAAACACGCAGGTCCACGACGGTTTGTTTGACTTGGTATGAGCTCTCGCCAAAAGGGATACCAGAGCGGCAAAATTGACGAAAATCATCATCTGCCGCTTTGAACGGCGCAGCCGCAGTGTTCACCGCCGCAGCCCAAACAGTTTCGTCAAAATATATGGTTTGTTCGACCTTCAACGTTGAAGGTCGAACATCAACACGAGCTCAACAATGTCTCAAAGCCATATATCAATGTCTTGAGTCGGACGCGTGGCATGGCAGACGCCAGGAACAAACTACCCCATGAGCGCCGTATTTGGGCTCGTACATTCGCTGTACCGCCCCGCCCTAGGCGCCTAATTGCGCTACTTTGGGCGGGTCGTTCTCTTGCTGTTCTCACTCCCCTGTTTTCGTCGCCGTCGCTGTTGTCGATGTCTTGCTGTGGTACCTCGCGTTCCCCTGTCGACCGCAATAGCGCGCAGGCACCATTGAGCCCACACCCGATCAGCCATCAGCCAAGTCCACATCCAGGTGCGGTGTTTCCCGAGAAAACGCAATGGTCGCAACAATCCTCGATACCCTCACCGCCACTTGCTCACCCCTACAATTCTCTCAATGGCCACCATTCCCCAAAACCCCATTCATTTGTATCTGGAGGCTCCAATTCACCGCCACTCATGCAACAGCAATTCACTTCGTTCACCCATGATCCGTATGATCAAAGTTCCTTGACGAAACCAAATCCTTCGTACGTCGGAGGGTCGCTGGGCATGCTCTCGCCTACGTTTGGAATCACGTCTGTAACACCATCTGTATCTGGTGAATTCAGCCCTCTCTCGGACGAAGGAAAGATGTCAATATCTATTGATTTTGGTGAGCACCTGACATGTCTGATATATATTCATGTACTGATCTCTCGCAGGGACAACGTTCTCGGGTGTGGTCAGTTGCGACAGATTACTTACGTTCAAAGATGATTGCTCATCATTGTACTAGGCCTATGGGTCATCTCGTATAGCTGCTGGCAAAGTCCAACAGATTTTGCATTGGCCGGGATCGCTCGAAACTTTCAGAAAGGTTCCCACATGTCTCCTTTATGACGACCGAGGACAGGTTCTTGCGTGGGGCTTGGAGGCCAAGAATGCGAGTCCAGTACCTGGCTCGACCAAATGTGAATGGTAAGGGCGACTACATATCTACATTCTCATTATCTGATCGGCGTGTAGGTTCAAACTTTTCCTTGAGCCCCACGCCTTGCGGGATGAATCTGCAATTGACCCACGGCTTCCGCAACTTCCCGTACGTTCTCTTGGATGTAAAATGCTATCACAATACCAACTTGACTGTTCATAGCCTGGGAAGCGAGCTGTTGACCTTATAATCGACTTCCTCTTTTTTCTATGGGAGTATGCGAAAGAACAAATCACTCGCGAAATCGGCATTGTAGCGGATCTTGGTTCGTAAGCTTCTGTTTAAGGTGCAGACCCTTTGAACATCCGCGGGACGGTTTAGATTCGGCCGACGTTTGGCTCACCGTTCCCGCTGCTTGGGATGCCAAAGGCTGTGAACTGATGCGTGAAGCTGCCATTGCCGCTGGATTAGTGCACTCATCTCGAGCCGGTGACAGCAATTGGCGAGACCGCTTAAGGATCATCACGTACGTAGCCCCTGCACCTTTCTCCCTGGGCTGATCTTGAAATGTATAAGTGAGCCCGAGGCTGCCGCGGTGCATTGCGCTCATCTTACAGACTTACACAAGCTCAAACCTAGTCAAACATTCATGATATGTGATGCCGGCGGTGGTACCGTTGTGAGTATTTCCTAAGACAGGTTTGACAGACGTTGACAGACTTGACATCTGCCCAGGACCTCGCGGTTTATAAGATTATTGGACAGATGCAAAGCTTGGAGATTGCAGAAATGTGTGCCCGGTCAGGCGCCAATTGTGGCTCGTTGTTTCTGGACTTGAGATTCCGCGAACTGGTCAAGACGTTACTGGCCGATCACCCTGCTCATCTCGATGCGGCATCGTTAGCATACTTCATGCATTCATTTAGTGAAACCGATAAGCTTGCGTATATGGGCGAAAGTGATGACGGTATGCCTGAACAGATCTGACATCCATTCATATCCTGACCTGGCTGTGTGACAGATAAAATGTTCAACTTCACATGCTTCAACGTTGACGACCCTGATGACCCTAGCGTAGGTCTGATTAACGGCGAACTGTCTATCCCAGGCAACCTGCTCCGCCGCGAGGTCTTTGACCCTGTCGTGAATCAGGTCCGTTCAAATTCCGCCGAGTACCCCTTTATTTGGATCAACAGCATGTCCTAAGTGAACCTCTCGGGTATGACAGGTGTTAGATTTAATTGAAGAGCAGATGAGGAAGATCGATCAGCGAGTAGATGCCCTTTTACTCGTGGGAGGCTTCTCAGGGAGTGAATATCTATTCAAACAAGTAGATGTACGTGGCTATTGCTAGCGCCGGATGTGGCGTCATACTTACGGCCGCCCTCTCCGTTTGGCTTCGCATGTCATACCCGACTTGTCCGTGGAACAGGATCACTTTGGTTCAAGGGTCAAGATCATGGCTCGGCCCTCTGACGCTGATACCGCTACGGCACGAGGCGCCGCACAGTATGGTCTGGCTCGCAGGCCTCTGGTCTCTTCCGTTGTAGCCCCGCGGTCATACATCATGAAGGTGAGCAAGGACGCTCCCTTGTGGATATCGCGGTACTATACGGATATATGTTGTGATTATCGCGCAGGTCAAACTTCCCGCGGATCCAGAAGATTTGATGAAGCGCCCGGCCTACATCAGTCAGAACAACGCGGGCGTCCCTATTTGCGAGAATAGGTACAGTTTGACAACCATTGTGGGGCTTTGGCCATCCTAATCCCGATATAGACTGCAGTATCTCGTTGCAAAAGGGGCAATACTTAGAAAGGGGTAAGCGACCTTCCTATTTCACCCTGATGCCCAAACTGAGATATGTGGCACAGGCAGAAAGTCAGGACAAAGTTTTGGTATGTCAAGCTACTCGAACCGCTGGTACGTTCCATAGCTGAGAGCGCCTCCTAGCAAGTTTTCCCAAACAAGTCAAGGTCTGTGGATTCCTCAGCACACTATACGCAGTGTGTTAATGTCTGATCAGATCGCATCTTCGTGGCCACGCTCTATATTTCCGACAGCGATAAGATTATGCGGTACACGGACGAGGTAGGTGATAGACAGACCTGAGAGACAGCTGGGGATGCTCACACGATCATTGTAGGGTGAGACGGAGGAACTTTGCAAATGGACCGTCGATATTGGCTCCCTGCCAAGTTTTCAGGTGGCTATTTTCGGCGTACTCTGGATGCAAACTATTCACACGCCTTTCCCAGGAAAACTCGAGCATGCCGACGCCGAATGGGTTTTACACGGGTAAGCGTATTTAGATCTACGTCGTAGGCGTGTGCAAACTTTGGCTATTACTTACCTTCGTTTATGTATGGCGCGTTCTTGACAGATTTTGAGCTGGGGTTGGAACTCGACAGCGCCGAAGTCCGAGGAATTCTCCTATACAACGGAGAAGAGTGGGGCCGGGTCACGTTTGATTTTATCGGTGGACGTTAGTGTGTTGTAATATCCCTCGCCATAGACTGGCTAGGGTTGAGTTTATACCATTTCGTATGGATGCCTGCTTCATCGTGCTCGATGGAAATTCAGCAAACGGATGATGCCATTACCGCGCGGTCCGCGGCAATCTCCGGACCAGAGCGGCTAAATCCGGCCAGAGTCCAGCCCTTTCAGCGTCTGCTCTTTCCCTGCATCTCCATCATCTCCATCGTCTGTGTTGACGCCAGCTTGTGTGCAACTGTTAGCACTCGAATACTCATGTTGACAAGCGGTTAAGATTTACTTCTTACGTCCTTCGTGCCAATAATCCGCATCGTTGTGTTGCCACTTGTGAAGTGTAACGAGTCTTGGGGGAGACCGTCTTATCTGATGGGTCCAATTGCGCAAAATCAAAGTCCTTGAACTCAGAGTCCGGAGTCCACGCCGCTAGCCTCCTGTTGGACAGCCTGCACACCGTCATGGCGACAGGTACTCGCTCAAATGTGGGCATCCGCTCCGCCGCTGTGGCGTCACAAGTCTCAGACTGACGGATAGAACTCCCTTATCCGGGGTGATCATTTTTGCCCAGGTCTAGTGGTAAGCTGTGGTAAGCCCGGGTGCATATCCTTCGCGGCAGCACGTCAATGCCAGTGAACTTCTCAGGAGAGGTCTACATCCAAGATCCATGCAGCTAGACAGGCTTCTTGCACGGATGATCGCACATGCGGGGTCAAGAGAGTATCGTGGCCAAAACGGAACGGGAATCAGCGGGCCCTGTGCTGGCGTTGGTTCCGGCACGCATGGGTGGCCGGATCGCGTCAGACGCTGAAAGAAAAACTCAATTTTTCTTATGCAGATGGACTTCATCAGGTAGAGCAAACAGCTCCCTCGGCCCACGGCTGTTTCCCGCGCCAGTGCCTCGGTTAGAGACGGGCGGCGATGCGTGTTGAGCATCTGCAGGTATATTTCTCTGAGTCGTACAAATCGATCGGCTTCAGGTTCATGTCATCAACATCACAGTTCAGAAAAACTTATAAAGCCCGCTCCCCTAAAACCAATCCGCAACACCTCCGGTGCCCCCCATGGATCCCACTCTAAGCTCATTGTCTCACATCCCCCTCGAGGACATCTATACCCTCCTTCGGCCTATCACCGTCACGCCGTCTTCGTCCGAAGCAGTCTTCCAAAACTGGGGTCGAACCTTTCGATGCACACCACTTGCTGTATTCGAACCGGAGACTGAGTATCAATGCGAGCTCATACTCGAGCTAGCACGCAGGGAAGGTCAGACAGTGCGAGCGGTGGGTGTTGGACACTCGCCAAGCGATCTCGCATGCACGAGTGGTTACATGGTACGGATGGGCAAGCTGAATAACATCATCGAGGTGAGCATCGCGGAAGAGGCTTATCTTGTTTGTACATGTTTGTCGCTCCGATATCTCTCTTCATCGGAGACATGTCCGGGATGCGGAGTTGCCTCATCGTCAGGCACGAAGACTGATTTTATTTATTCACAAGGTCAATGCCGAGAAGCGTTCTGTTCGCGCCCAGGGTGGAATCACTCTCCAACGCCTCCACGCGGGGCTCGAAGCCCATGGGCTCGCCATGATCAATCTCGGCTCCATCTCTGAGCAAACTCTTGCCGGAATGGTCACCACGGCCACCCACGGCACGGGCATTACCCACCAAATACTTTCAACCCATGTACAACAACTGACCCTTCTGCTCGCTAACGGTTCCAGAGTGCGATGCTCCCGTTCCGACCGGCCGGATCTTTTTCTTGCTTCCCTATGCGGTCTTGGAAGCACGGGCCTCATCCTCGATGTACAACTTCTAGTAACTCCAGCATTTCGTTTGCGCGAGGTTCAGGAAACTTTCAAATTCGACTCGATCGTGGACAACCTTGACGAGATGGTTAATAGTGCTGAATACGTTCGCCTCTGGTGGTGGCCACAGGCTGGAGATGTGCGATTGAGCACCATGGACAAAACGCTCGAAGTGAGTCAGGTCAATATTAGTCGATGTGTCGGGGGAGTTGACATGACCACAGCCAAAACGGCCTGTGGGAAGCTGGCTTTGGCATTCATTGATTGGCTACCATGTCGTTCAATTCCTTCTTCTCCTCGGTCGCTTCATTCCTCCTCTCAATATCTGGATCGGGAGATTCACTTCCTGGCTTGTCAACAACCGCACCGTCTCCGTCGACAATAGTCTCAACATATTTAATCTAGACTGCAAGGTGCGCTCAATGTCCATAGCCCCTTTCCTTATCTCTTGCTCTGTGCGACAGCTCTCTGACATGTACACTTTCAGTATCGACAGCATACGACAGAGTGGGCGTTCCCTTACGAAAATACGCAGGCCTGTTTGCGCGAACTGCGCGGCTGGTTTGAGGACGAGTTTGCAGACCCCAATGGTTTGCGTCCACATTGCCCCTTGGAAGTGCGCTTCTCAGAAGCAGATGATGTTTGGTTGAGCCCAAGCTACGGTCAGCGCATGTGCTGGATTGGGATCATACAATATAAGTAAGCGTCTTTCTCGGTCTGTATTGTGTGTCAACCTTAATAGTCGATACAGGCCTTACGGGTTCAACGTTCCTTACCGTCAACTATTCCGCCGATTTGAGGCGATCGTGATACGGCATGGTGGGCGACCTCACTGGGCCAAGGCTCACCATTTGCGGCCCGACAGGCTACGCGCACTTTATCCACGCTTTGACGACTTCCGTCATCTACTTGAGGATGTGGACCCAGAGGGCCTATTCCGGAACGAGTACGTTTCACGCCACATATTCGGGCAAAAGGGCGCAGGATTCGACGAGCGTGTCTTCAAAGAACGCCCTTGAAACCACCTCTATCTTCAAACGCGGCATCCACTGTTGCCTAAGTACGATATGAGATGAAAGACATGGGGCCGCCTCGAGGATGTGTAGGTGGTTGGGCAGTTTAATTTATTTAATCACTTCCCAGGAGCATACACTTGAGATTGGTTAGTGTTTTGTATAGCTGTGTTCTTCTAATGACGCTCCATACCTAATTTGGGATAATGAACGATTGATTAGCCAGTAATGAGAATCTCTTCAGGATGGCTATACCAGACGATCTTGCGAGTTGGCGCCCGCGTGGGTATCAGCTGCACACCCGCACTCGTATGACGACAGCGGTATCGGATTGAGCTCAATCAGTTGGATAACGTGCGAGGTCACGTTCGTTATCAGGGCTCTCGTTGAAAACCGTATTTAATGGAGGCACACAGTCCGGTGGCGTCGCTGCAAATGCATAGCTTGGTTTGCAAGGACCTGTGGCGTGATGCCGAAAGAAATTGTCGTTGCGTTTTGTATGGAAGGTATGTTCATGACGATACCATCGAACGACAATTTGAAGGCAGGGAGCGATGACCATTCGATGGACGTAGATGACGTGAGCGTCGGCCTTGGATTGTCAGACCAGTCAAGTTGCCAGGTGGATATTGACTACAATGAAGATGATACAGCTATTTGTGGCGTAAAGGCCGTTCTTCACACTTATTACAAACCGAGTTGCTCCTTGATAGATTCCCGGATTATCCTTTCGTATTCCTATCGCGGTCATTGACCCATTTGGCAAAGGAGATGAAAGTTATCAGTGAGACGCTGTGGAGTAAGACACAAGATGTAGGGTGACCGCTTACCGCCTTGTTATCACGATAAAGCTTGCAACAATCAATGTTGGCACCACTCTCTAAATTCGGTTCTGTTTTCACAAAAGATGTCATCAAGCGTTGGGGGGAAAGAGGATGCGAAGATGGAAGAAACGTCACGGGAAACACGCAGCATATGATCGCGATCGTAATCGTAATCATGCGATTTCACAGGATGGATATGGCAATATTGCTAGGCATGTACGAACCGGCAAGTATAGAAATGACGCTGAGGATGACTTTTTCGACACTTTGCACGGGACTCCAGCGCTCAGAAGCTTGCTCGTACATCAGCGGATCTTCACCTGGTGTGTGAAGGATCGATATGCAGACATTGCCATCGGGATAGACTGGTTATTCGAGCATTATATGCACGAGAGGAGAACGGGAGCCATGGTTCAGGAAGACCCATGAGTTATTGGCAGGTGCATCATGAGAGATTGCGTGATTTTCGGAGGTGTCAGAGGAGCGGTAGACCGGAGGTGAGGCTGGAGTGCATGTTTGAACAGCTGATGAACTCACTGTTCGGGTGGAAGAGTGGGGGCTCAAACTTCATCTTGAATGGAGATAGAGGATAATCGGATGGCTTTGTATTCACGAATGGATCGTGCAGACACGTCAGCTTGCCAAAGCATTTGAGCTGCTTGATGCAGACTCACGAAGGTCAACTTCGCCGCAAACACACCGCCCTCCTGCGTGAAGATTAAACACCGTGGAGTGTAATATAAGGGGGGAAGTGATAGTGCGGACAAACGGCGTGTCCTTGGGCCCACAGATCAAAGCCTCCCAGGTGAAGAAGTCGGACTCGGAGATCGGGCCTACACCCATCAAGCAGGGTAGAGGAAAATTTTCGTCATGATAGAGATCCGACACCGTCGAATGAGAGCCCGAGCTCACCAGCAGTGAACATGCCATCTGGAGAGCCTGTATTTCGCGATCAAATGAGCAAATCCATGATACATTGGAAGTCGTCGCCAGTGACTGTGGCACCCAATTCTCATTACGTACCTCCTGATGTCAGTTGCTGATACTCAGTCATAAGTCGCCTCAAGGCAGTTGAGCTCCCCGATCCTCGTGAGTTCATGGTTGACGGAGAGCAAGAGAACGAAGGGCCACGCAACGACACGGCCCGCCATATCCGTAAAACTCCGCGAATTATAAGTAAATAGTTTCAGCCACTAAGAACTTTGGCTGAGTCGTCCCAAAATTCTTTTGCACATCGAGAGTACCGTTGGAGTTTGCTGAGCGGAGCATTATATATGATGGAGTAGCCACCGTCATTTTAGAATAATATTACGAGACGCCTTCAGTGCCTCTAGCGTTTCGACATGCATTAGCGAATCGGAGAATCAATCACACGGATTCCCCTGCGTCGATGTTTTTTTGGCTGTTAGACCGTCTGTCATTCTTACTTCCGTTGACACTGGCAATGAGATGGTACATCATTCAGTATAAAAATTAGTGAGATTTTTCTACTGTTTAGCGCGCATTCTCGTCTTGGGCATATCGTTTCTCAGCTGCAGCAATGCAGTGGCGCTACCGAAAAAGAACATGTTCTTCCGCATAGTCCGCATGCGTCATAAACAAGTCATAGAGCTACGTTTCCGTCGGGCCAGATACCGAACCGGCTTAGTGTCTACATTCAACGGTTCTCACAACCTCCGGAATACAAAACTTTGAGTACGTCTAGAGGACACGGGTCTTATTAGGTGTACCGGGACAGGAACTCCATATGTAGGCTGTACGGCGCTATGGTGTTGAAGCGGTCCTTGTGACTTTGTTCTATATGTGTTCGGATACAGACACGGAGCCTACATTGCAGCTTCAATAGGCGCATGATCTATATTGCCCGAAATGTCGGGTATCTGTATAGGTTTTGAAGCGATGTAATTATAGAAGACCTTGCGCACTATAAACGTTGGTCCGTGGTCGTTCCTGTACTTTACCCATGTGTTCGCACGGAACATGCGAGTCTCCATGAAGGTGGCATCGCTAGGAGTTCACCGGGCCCTTCTGTGATGACGCATCAACAGAAGTCTCAATTGCACCTACCCACAATGTCGTTTCGAGGTGTCCGTAGCTTCGACTTCGAAAGGCCACGTACTTCTAGCCATCTGATAGGATACATCTTGCTGTGAAATACACTGCGGCAACGTAACATGGATGTAAATAAATAAACAGTACAAACGCAGAACAAAACACTCCCTGCGCCCATCATGCATCGTCGAGAACTAAACGTGGGACGACGTTCATGGCCATTAGCTAGAAAAGGGAGCAGAGCGGTTAGACCACTCTACAGCCATCCAATTGATTGCGGAGCAAACATAGCGTACTTACCTCCTGGAAAAGTAGTTTTGCAGCGTAAGGGATAGTGAGCTGCGCCATCTTCTTGGAGCTCTTGCAGAATGGGCACCAGCCATTGTATCCCAACAGACCACAATCCTGGCAAGCATTGACTTCAAACTTGTCGGATGAAATCATCAGGCGCTCGAGGAGCAATTGCGTCGCGCCATAGCCGATAAGGCAGTCTCGCTCCATCTCGCCAAGGCGCAGACCACCCTCTCGGGAACGACCTTCGGTAGGCTGTCGTGTTAGCGTTGCACGTGGTCCTCTAGATTGGGAAATTATTAGTTATCGGATGCAGACCATGTCCCTGAGAACGTCCAGAGTGTACCTTGCTCGGGCATGCATCTTGTCCATCACCATGTGTTCTGAAATTATTCAGCTGAGTTTACGCACAGGACAAGTAACGTCCTCTTACTGAGTTTCTAGACAGGCAATCAGGACATGACCTTGCAATGATGCATAAAGGCTTACCTGATAGTATATCGGTCCAAAGTATACATATGCTTCCATAGGCTCGCCGGTGATACCGCTGGTAAGCATGTCCTTCCCAGCGTAGCTAAACCCGTGATCGATAAGAATTCTTGACATGTCTTCCACCTACCGGAAAGACGAGGTCTCTTTGATGACCCATACCTGACTAGGGCGGAGTGGAGCGCACCTTCGATCCTCCAAACGCTGTACCATACTGAAGTTTTCCGGCTAGAACGCCCGCCTGCCCCACAGCGCGTAGGTCCGTACATGATCGAACCGGATCGCGGAAGGAGACATACCTTCCCTGAAAGCAGTTCTATCATCTTACCAACTGTCATCCGTGAGGGGAAACCGTGAGGGTTCATGATGGTATCTAGTCCCATGGCGTAATCATTTAATTGCCACGGTGCCCGCCAAACGAAAGCGCTCACCAGGAACAATCCCCTGATCGTTGAATGGCATGTCCTCTTGATTCACGATCAGCCCACAAACGCCCTTCTGACCATGCCTTGATGAAAACTTGTCGCCGAGCTCAGGTCTCCTCGTTTGTCGGATCAAGACCTTGATCAAGGTCTGGTCATTCTCCGTATCTGATATCATGACCTTGTCAATATGCCCAGCGACAGGCGACTTGTAGGTCATTGGAGCATTTTTGTACGGTACGGAGGCCGCTTGGCCGGTGAAGGAGTTATCGTTGGCGTTGGTTGGTGATTGCTTGTTGATATAGACATCCCCAGGATCAACGCGTTCGCCGACACCAGCAAGACCATCAAGCTGAATGATGTCAAATTTCTTTTGAATTTGTCCATTTTCATCCGCTGGCGCATCTGCCAATCGATCGAACCTGGAAAGTATTGAGTCTCAATATACTGAAGAATGAGTTGGATCATGCTTACGTTCCATTGGGATATTTACGGATAAGCGTTGCGTTCTTGCGAAGAACTTGGCATCGCCCATATCCTCTGTCCAGGCTGGCCTGTTATTCGCACAAATGAGTGGTTGATCTATATGTCACCACGTGGAATTACCTTATTGAGAATCAATGCATCTTCGATATCGTAACCTGAATAGCTCATGACAGCCACTGTAGCATTCTGTCCCGCAGGAAGTTTGTCATACCCTACCAATTCGATGGTTTTCGTCTTGACCATTGGTTGTTGTGGATATACGGACAGGTAAAGAAGGGTGTCGATACGATTGAATTGGTTGTAGCCTATAGCACCGATTGCTTGTTTACCCATAGCACATTGGTAAGTGTTGCGAGGAGATTGATTGTGATGGGGGTAGGGAATGAGTCCGGCGACCGCTCCAAGGATAGTAAAAGGTTCGATCTCGAGGTGAGTCGTTGTTGGAGTGACATCGGGTTCGTATAGAGCAATGTAAGAGTCGTTCTCTTCGTTCACGTCTAGATATTCGACGAGACCGCGTCGCAAGAAATCATCGAACTCCAATTTGCCCTGTTTTAGTAGCTAGATTACCCGATTAGCAAAAACGTCATCTTTCCATCCATAGACGATCTACACTTACCGAAATGTGCTCAGACGTGACCATAGGCTGTCCGTTATCCACGATGATCATAGGCCTACATATCCGTCCTCCATCGCTGGCAATATTGACTGTATGGTGATGATGATTGATGTAGACGCTGACAAACTCACTGACCCGCCCTGCGCGTCTAAGGCGACGGAAATTATGGACGAAGCGGGTCGGGAAACGAGTGAGACCCATGATGGTTCCATTCACATTGACAACGAAGGCATTAGGGCCATAGATCTCTGTCCCAGTAGCCTGGCTGATATCTAAAACGGAAAGCGTTGTTATAAGTCAGATAACCATACCCGAAATGCAGGTGCGACATACCCTCCACGCCAAGCATGTATGCAACCTTGATGATGGGCTCCTCCTCTACATCGGTTGTTATATGTGTCATCAGCGCTAGATTTTTGACCAAGCCGCATGCCTCTCCTTCAGGAGTATCACTAGGGCATAACATACCCCACTGACTTGGCTGCAGTGCACGAGGTCCGCTGACCTTCCGCGTCTTCTCAAACTGAGAAGAGATACGTGTCATCATTCCTAGTGCTGAGATAAAACTCAGGCGCGAAAGGACATGTGTGACGCCGGCTCGGTCCATACGGAAACGCTTGAGTGACCAGTTCCCCGTCGAGATGGCGCGTACAAAACCCGCAGTGATGTGATCGCCCTGGAATTGCATGGTGTTCCATGCATCGAATTCGTTGGTTCGCGAAGGTTTTTTAAGAACTTTGTCGATCGCGGACTTAAGATTAGTGTTGAAGGTCTTAAAGAGATCTTCGAACAGTAGAGCCAGTAATTGACCAGCACTATTAATTGTAATCAAGATCAGATATAACAACAACAACAAGATTGAAGGCGACGGTGCTTACAGTTCCAATCGCTTGTTTCCCACGTAGTCGCGGTCATCGACCATCTTCTCGTCGTCCACAGCCATCAAGACGCGTCGTGTCATTGTTGCGACAAAGATAGCCTTAGACCTGAAGTCCAAGCCCACGACAGGCACATGTGCCAATACAATCGTAGCCAGCGCTTCGAGAGCCTCCTCCCACGCAGGCCTTCGCGGACCAGCAACTCGTCGATTTACCTTCACGCGACTCCCTATCCACTCCAAGGCCTGATGACGCGTGAAGATTCCCAGACGGGCCGCATCCTCCAGATTGGGAGCGAAGGAGTTCTTATACGCTTCTGAATTCCCGGCAGTTAGGAGGAGGATCTCCTTGTCAGATTGGATGCCGAGTGCTTTCAAAGCGACGACAATGGGAACATCTTCGTGTATAGAATTGTGCCGAAGGTATATTTTCCCCTTTTTGGTGGCGACATAGGTCTTCGATTTCAGCCCGCCATGTGTGGATCTAAAGTCGAAATGAGCAGCCGATCGAACTTCAAATCGACACAGTGCACATACGATGTACATGAAGATTGAACAACACCTTTGACGGGATCTGTCTCCACAATGATACGATTTTTGCTTAGCTGCTCCTGCACCAAAATGACCTTCTCTGTTCCCTTTACAACGAAGTAGCCGCCAGGATCTAGCGGGCATTCAGTCATACGAGCTAACTGAGCTTCCGTGCGCCCCGTAAGTACGCATTTATTGCTTCGAAGCATGATAGGCAGGCGACCGATGTTCACATTGGCTCGGCGCACCACACTGCGACCTCTCGTGTACTGTATGGTGACAAGGATGGGCGCGCTATATGTGGTGTCGCGCAAGCGACATTCGTGGGGGGTGACACTCTTGTCGATAGCGTCGGCATCCGTCCGGTCAGGGAAACCAACATGGATATCTGTATACTTCAGCCAAAACCGGGGATCCACATCGGACGTGACCTTGTTATTGGCTTTCAATATGTTCTTGATGTCGACGTCCACGAAGTAATTGAAAGAGTCAATGTGTTGTTTCACCAGACCTTTGACCTTCAAAAAGGCTGGCAGCAAGAGCCATTTGTCCTACAAGTAATCCTTTCTAGCGCATGACAAGTATAAGCAGACGAAACATACCTCAACATTTTTGATTGGGTCAGTCAGGCCTAGGCCGCGCCAGTCCGTTTGATTTAACTGACTCCACTCTTCGTGATCATCAGTCTCTGCCATCCCCTCCTTTGAGATCCAAAAAATAGTGAGGAGGAAACTGCAGAAGAGAGCTCAAGAAACGCGAGACCGACGCCGAGAGATGACTGTCGTGACGATCACCTGATAGATCACATGCACTGACGCGTTCGATTTTTCCGGGCAGCACGACTTTGCGTCGCCGTCGACCGACAGCTTGCATCGACGTATAACGGTAACGTATCTTCAGCGAAATGTGGAATAAAAGTAATGATACATAGCAATCTCGCTATTGCTTGGACATGATCGTCGAACCCGCCTCCAATCAGGTATGTATTTTATCATCATCCAAGGCATCGATCTTAACCCCGAACAGAGAGTTAGCAGGGCATTGTGAAACATTGGTAGTGCCCATCTTCTGTTCATATTCGGAACTATACCTAGAGTATTAACACGGTATCTGGAACAGAGAGGCGAATAGTATCATCTCCCCTCACGATCGATGACTGCCAGCTAATCGACTACGAGCTGACATGGCATAACATGACAAAACATATCCTTGCCATATGGTGACTTGTATGATGAGGTCAAAGGTTCCAACCAATCTCTCATTGCTTCTTGAGCTTTGGATGGCGCGCAGGCTACCTGGGGAACGTGGCATGACGCGGACCTCTTGATACCACAGAACTCGCCAGAACGAATTCACCGCCCTTTGGCAATTAAACGGTAACGTGATCTGTGAGTTCTTCTTTGTTCGTTTGCCACATGCTAACAGTATTTAATCCCGCTGGGCACTGGTAGGATGGGCTTTCAGGCTTTTTGTCTACCAACCATCTCTGTCCTCAGCCGGTTTCACGCCTGCCTTGTATCGTATCTCGCCACTATCCTTCTCATTCAAGACTCGAATACAAGGTCCGACTGCCTGCCACATTATCTGTCTGGCCCAATACATGTTAACGGGCCTCCCCCACAGATGGCCGCTGCGCTCACAGACATCTCAGTCACCGCTCAAAGTCGCCCGCTTGATTCTACGCAAACCAACAAATGCGGGTGCAACACCACCATCTCTGAACCCGTGCCCGTTCAGATCCCTCGGCTTCCTAATGAGGTGTTGCTTCAGGTGTTTCAGCATTTCCACAAAATCGCCAATCCCTTCAGAGCTTCCCACCGCTCTTCAGCATGGAGAGTGCTCAGTAAAGTCTGCCACCAGTGGCGTGACGTTTCGTTGTGCATCCCCCGTCTCTGGGCAGAGTTCAGGCTTCAAAACGAGGAGGAAACGAGGACGCTCCTTGAACGCGCTCGCTGCGGAGTCCCCCTGGACGTAAACTATTCTTGCGCCGATCATCCGACGCTCGAGGAGACAAAATCTATCTTGCATATCCTTGATCATACGTCACGCATCCGTACCCTACGCCTCGACTGCCCCGGCGACGTCCTCTTCTTGTGGACGAACGCGCTGGACTCCTGTATCGCACCTCACCTTCATGAGTTTGCGATGGTCTGTCGCAAGGATCCTTCTCCCTTCTATCTTCGCGACTATTTTCTCAAGGGCCCCTTTCAATACCTCCGAAAGGTGACCTTGATCAACTGTGATCCAGACTGGAGGTCCCCCCTGTTCGCCGCGTCCGTCACGCAACTCACCCTACATGACACCACCTGCCCCATGTCGATCAGTAACGTCAATGGCCTAGTAAAGGCACTCCGAGGCATGCCACAACTCACCCATCTCACCGTCACCTTGCGACGAGCCCCCATGCCACTCATGGGATGCTTTTGGCCGCAGCCCCGGGGCCCGTGCACCCCGACGGGCACCGTGGACGAGTTCGTGGAGCTTCCCAACCTCGAATATCTCGACGTCGACGGTCTGATTTCGCACTGCGGCCACTTCCTTGCCCAGATCAGGCTTGGGACCAAGACGACCGTCAAATTATCGTTGATCCACATTAGTGCGATGGAGGCGTGGGACGCAGCGTGGAAAGCGCTAGAGAGAGGCCTGCGCAACTTCTTTCCGTCTAGTGTCGCATTCCAGGTATTGAACATCGGCGAACTCACTGAACGGCGTTGGACGTTGTGCGCTGGATACAGTGAGCCTGAGCCACAAGCCGCTACTAGCGGCAGGTCCGACCTCGGCTCCCAAACTTCGGACAGCAACGTCCCGATCTGTCAGACCCCGATCGACAAGACGGTGGCCAACGTGCACATCTCGTTCGCCATCAGAAAGCCACCGCGTCATACCTTGGCGCAAGAACTCATACTAGTCGCACTTTCGTGTCTCCCTGTCCGCAAATGCGTGGAGAGCTTCCACCTCTCGTCAAAGATGTGGCTTTCGCAAAATTGGTTCATCCACTGCTTCGGAAGGTTGCCGCTCACCAAGAACCTGTCGCTTGAAGGCTTCAACCCCTGGAGCGCGTTCTCCGGGCTCTACGAGCAGGACGACAAGGGCCTCAGCAAGTACGACGGGGATATCCATGGAAGCCTGTTCGCACCTCAGCTTCGGAGGCTGGAGATCCGTGAGCTTGATGATTATTGGAGAAGCTGGGAGTGGTTCACTCTGGGCATGACCTTGGAAGACAGGAGAGACGACCAGATTTTAATGCTTGAGTCAATGAAGGTTCGTGCGCCTATGATCGACGACTATTTGATGGACCGGTTGAAGGAGGTTGTCCCGAATTTGGTGTGGGAGTCGGAATGAGCCCGGTATTGTTGATTGCTATCGTTTCGTTGTCCTTGCTATAGTTGTGACTTCTCGTGCCGCTGTCATTGTACCGCCATTGTCGTGTTATCGCAGTTGTCGTCCTTAGGGCTCGAAGTCTCAGCCTCTTTTAGACCAGTCATATTTATTGTGTAGAGCTCTCAGCGTCAATGTATCCCGCATCGTTATCGAGAGTGCCGACTGATATTTAAATACAAAAGAATCATCAAGGGACCATGGTCATACGCAGCAAGCGAGTGATGACAGGGGCTTCCACAAGCAGCAGTGAATTGTGCGCTACTATTGACGTCGAAAGACCTAGCGATACATGGGTTGGTATTGTAACAACATTTGAAGCGTTACATTAAATGGGTATGGTCATAAGCCGCATAGTCGCTCGCGTATCGTCGCTGCAGATTCAAGTTAGCTAAGGTCAACGCCATCACTGGAGAGCGAGTTGGTATACTCACCTCGTGTATATCGTCTGTTCTAGCTGATCACGTGTCATGTATTTTCTTCTGCTATAGGAGCACCCGGGCGCGGACGCGCCGGCGGTGCCAAACTGACGGCCCCCATGTTCGCGTGCACATCATGCAGCCCGACATCGACGTAACCCGGCGGGCGGCCGATTCTGGTGTCCTCGTACGCAGGAAGCTCTTCCTTTTCTTCGCTCAGGCTGCCTGGATCCCCCACCCCGCCCCGTCCGCCCGTTGCACGGGCACGCGAGCATACATACGCTTGCGCAGGAAGTGCAGGCAGAGAGCTTAATCTGGAAGAGGAAGGTCGGGTTATGGTGGGAAGTTGAGGATGTTTTGCGCGGTGGGCGGATCCGCGGAAGAAGAATCGGAGGGGGAGGGAGCGGCGGCGGAGGTATGCGTATCTGAGACATGTGCCAATATAATGGATGGGATAAGAGGGCTCAGTCAATACTTGAGCGATGTGAGCTGAAAGGAGACCTACCGCCAGCCAGAGAGGAACGCGATGAGAGTTACCGCTGCAACTGCGAATATGTAGTCGAGGACGGTCTGCGCAATGAAAAACCATCACAATATACATCGCACCGCAAGGCTGCGTCAAATATCGTTCAGTAATTCATCAATGATGACCGTAGTATACCTTCGAGAGCTTGGATGGGTCAACATTAGCAGACAGCGTTGAGCTTGGAATAGATGCTCCATCCAAGGTCACAGACGGGAGAATGTTTGTCTCATCCATTGCCGGAACGATGGCCCGGCGGCTCCGAAGTGAGGTCAAGCGCAGAAGAGGTTGTAGATGGTGAAATTTCCTCTGCTGCGTTACTGGCAGACGTGGTGGTGGTAAAGGTTCGAAAGCACAAAATTTCCCTCGTCACCCCGGAGCAGTGGGGCTGGAGGGGCTGGAGGCTCAGTGGAGAAGGCAGAAATAGACCAGGGAGATAAGATTAGATCGATCGAAAAAGCGGAATCGGAGGTTCCCACGTGTCACGCGAGGTCACGCGACGCTTAGCCTTGGCCTTGGACTTTCTGCTCGTCGGTGTGGCGCTCCAATGCATCCTTCACTCATCGTACGTTCAGGCAGGTCTGCGTGGAAGGGTACGTCATGTATGTCCGATGTGCACGATGGTCAGGGCTAATTGCGCGTCATGCAGGGCCTTTCTTTGTCTCGTTCCCAAACATCCGCGAGGCGTTGACGAACAATGTCGCTATAAAGACGCAGGCGCGGTCGTGCACGATCCTGCCCCACTTTGTAGGGTACGCCTCCTGATTAGGTCTGTGCGCATGGAAGCCCTAGGTGTGCTCATGTTATGGTGCTCAGGCTTCGATTCATGGTTCACAACGGCAAGGACTACGTACCGGTCACCGTCACGCAAGACATGGTGGGTCATAAGCTAGGCGAATTTTCGCATACGCGGAAACGTTTCGTGTACAAGTGAGTTCCCGTTCCACGGAGTGGGAACGGGCGAATAAGACGCTGATACGTTTGCTTCCAGAGCGACGAAGAACAAGTAGCACCCTCCACATTTCCCCTCATTTCACCTGTGCACATTGTCCTACGCCTGTGCACATTGTCCTACGCTTTCCCTCTGCGCTTTGCTCCAGTGTACGTCTATGTTCCTGCTAATCACATCGACGCCTCTTCCACCCGTTCGCTTTGCCTCATATGAACGACCCTGTTGCGCAGGGGCATCGTGCCGCCTCGCCTCAGAATTGGCGATCGGGGTTGAGATTACTGCATTCAGGTTGTGTGAGATAAGTTTGCGGTGCAATCTCAGTGCCACGATCGCGCGAGCATGAACCGGCTGCCATACCGAGCGGCGTTCTTGATGATCAACCGAACGGTGTTCGACCAATTGTGGGCCGCCTGTGTGTTTCAGATGGGACATGAATTTCCGAGCGCAATCAGCAGTAAATGAGAGAGAATGAGAGAAAGAAATGGGACAGGATGGGGGACAAGACGAGGCGGATAGATCCGATTGCGAGGATTGCAAACAAAGCCAGGGCCGTCTGAGCACGCTCACGCTCGTTCGCGCCACGAGCTTGCTCTCTCACTCCTCGTCTTAATCCCTTCATCCCCTTCACTACGACCCCGGCGACGGCGACGCAGACGACGACGGCTCCTCTCGTCCCTCTCTCCCACCCCCCGCATCACACAGCGCTCGCCTGTACGCCATCGCCCTCATCAGTTTCGATCGCGCTTCGGCTCTTTCCTGGCGACCGTAGCGAGCACGACGGCTCGAGTTCTCGTACGCAATCAGCCCGTCTTCTTCGACAGTAGCTCGAATACCCCTCGAGCAATGGCCTACAATCAGGTCTCCGCCGCCTCACTCACCCCCTCAAGGCCGGCGCCCCAAGCCCCCATGCGTCAGGGCTCGACGAGCAGCGGTGTCTCCAATTACTCCACAACCAGCAGCTACACTCTTACCCCCTCCGGCATGAACGGCTCGTCCTATACCACTGCCTACTCCGGCATCGGCGGCTCCTCAGGCATCGGCGGTTTCCCCAACCGCAACTCAGACAGCGCCTCAAACTCCTCCATCATCCGTAGTGGCACTGTCGGTTTCAAGGAAGATGCGTTCGCCAGCTGGCTCTGGAGAGAGAAGTTCTTGGTCTTGAAGGAGCAGAGCTTGGCCATCCATAAGAACGAGGTGCGTTCCCCCCTCCCAATCGTTTCCTTCCGTCATGGCCCATCCTTGGGCCTCCCTTGCAAACGGGCTTCGTGATCGCCGTCCATGTCAGCCGCAGTCACTTGGTCGTTCCCTTCGAATATGGCTTTCGCTCTGTTGTCGTGAAGTTACAAAGTCGCCATGTTGCTGATATATCTCGCAACAGTCATCCCCACCCCAAAACACCATACAACTACGTGACCTCTCCAACATCGAACGGACAGATTTGAAGCCATACTGCTTGCTGCTCGAGACAAAGGACAAGCGGTACTACCTGGCACTGAAGGGAGATGAGGAACTCTATGGGTGGCAGGACGACATTTACTCGCGCAGCCCGCTGAGTGGGGTCAGCAACCCGACTAACTTTGTTCATAAAGTCCACGTAGGCTTTGACCCCGTCTCTGGCGCGTTCACGGTACGTTTCCCGAACTCAGCTACTACAACAAAAGTGTTCACACCTCAGTTTACACACCCTTGCGCAGGGCATGCCGGACCAGTGGAGCAAGCTGCTGACAAAATCTGCCATCACGCGCGAAGACTACCAGCGCGACCCGCAGGCCGTGCTCGACGTGCTTGAGTTCTACACTGACCACCAGAAGCGGGAGATGGAGGAGATGGGCCTCTCCCCCGCGACGCGGATAGCCGGAGCGGGTAGCAGCACGCGTACGTTCGCCCTACATTCTACAGCTGCCAATCAAGCTTATCACAAATACCATCAACCCCACAGCTCGCTTCAATGGCGGCACTGGCCTCGGTGGCGCAGGACTAGGCAAGGCTTCTCCTTTCGTTCCCGTCGATAATCCCCCACTCATGCGGTAAGGTTCTCTCCCACAGGCGTCAACGGATCCGACTCGGGCGGGACCACCCTCTCTTCCACTGCACTCGCCGCTCAGCGCGCTGCAGAGCTCGTGAACGGTTCGTACAATCCCTACTCCGCCTCCGCCGACCCCACAACGAACACCAACGCCCCATCCCGCCCACTCGCAGGAAACACGCTCGGCGCCCTCACGCCCTCTCGCCCTGCCCCGCCGCGCCCCTTGCTCACCGCGAACCGCCCCGCGCCCCCTGCACCGGGCACCGCAGGCGGCAAGCCACCCCTCCCTGACCACACGCCCTCCTCCGCGGACCTGCGCGCGCGCGCAAAGGCACCCGGCCCCGATGGCGCGCTAGGCAAGCCGCCAGGCCTCAGCAGCGAGCAGGTGCCCGTGCGCAAGGAGTCGCTGCAGACCGGCCGCGAGCGCGAGCAGCGCGAACGGGAGCGGGAGCGAGACCGCGATCGTGAACGAGAGCGAGAGCCTCGTGAGCAGCGCCCCGCCCTGGGCCCCGCAAAGTCCGCACCTGCCAACTCCGACCCTGCCGCTCGACCCGCGCCCGGCGCTACGGCCGGCCCGCCGCCCGTGAAGCCATTGCAACCGAAGAAAGCACCCGCGCACGCGGCGCCGCCCGTCACCGTCACCGCCGCTGAGGACGACAGGGGCGGCGTTGCCGCTGCCGCTGCTGCCCTGGAGAAGCCCAAGGCGAAGGAGGCGGAGAAGCGGATCAGTACGATGACGGAGGTGCAGATCATGGAGAAGCTGCGGAGCGTGGTGGACGACAGCGACCCTAAGCTGATTTACAGCAAGATCAAGAAGATTGGCCAGGGGTGAGTGGTCTCTTTTCCGTGTGATGTGATCGAAGAGGATGTCTGTTCTGGGGCCGTTGGGTGCCGTGGGCTGACGGGTCTGGATCTGATGTGCAGCGCCTCGGGACATGTGTACGTCGCCAAGACGCTCGCGACAGGGAAGAAGGTCGCGATCAAAGAGATGGACCTGGCGAACCAGCCGCGCAAGGAGCTCATCGTGAACGAGATTCTTGTCATGAAAGAGTCACAGCATCCTAACATCGTCAACTTCTTGAACTCGTACCTTGTGAAGAATAACGAGCTCTGGGTCGTTATGGAGTTCATGGAGGGTGGTGCGCTCACGGACATCATCGAGAACAACAACCTGGAGGAAGATCAGATTGCGTGCATATCCTTGGAGGTGTGTTTATATGCGCGCCCGCATAATCTGTTGCGTTGGAAACTGAGCAGCTCTCGTCTGAATTGGCTTCCTCCACAGACATGCAAGGGGCTCGGTCATCTGCATAGCCAACACATCATCCACCGTGACATCAAATCCGATAATGTTCTCCTCGATGCGCAAGGCCGCGTGAAAATTAGTGTGTCCCTTTGCTAGCCACATCCCCCCTGTTCTTGTCATCCCGAAAGAGGCTGACCGATCCGTGCCTCTCTTGCTTCACAGCTGACTTCGGGTTCTGTGCCAAGCTGACGGACCAGAAATCGAAGCGCGCAACCATGGTAGGCACGCCGTACTGGATGGCTCCAGAAGTGGTCAAGCAGAAGGAATACGGCGCTAAGGTCGACATCTGGTCCTTGGGTATCATGGCTATCGAGATGATTGAGCAGGAGCCGCCGTACCTCGACGAGGAGCCGCTCAAGGCGCTCTACCTCATCGCAACGAATGGGACGCCGACGCTGAAGAAGCCGGACGCGCTGTCGCGGGAGCTCAAGTCGTTCCTCAGCGTTTGTCTCTGCGTGGACGTCAAGAGTCGGGCGACGGCCAACGAATTGCTTGAGGTGCGTCTGCTCTTCCGAGATCCTTGTACCTTATTCTGATAGGGATGATACAGCATGACTTCCTCAAGAAAACGTGTCAACTATCGGGATTGGCACCTCTCTTGCGATTCAGGACGACAAAGCAGTCGTCATGAATGTCTCTTATACCTTCCCACCCGGACTTAGCCTTGACCTTATCGTGCTCCTTTCGTTGTCCTTCGCCGTCTTGCGCTTTCATTTGGATTGTCCTTCCCGATGGCTTGCCGTCCGTTTCGCTTATATATCGCGTCCTTCACATCATATCTCTCTAACTCTCTTCCTGTGTTTGTTCTCTTCTCTTTCTCCCTCTGTTTTCATGCATCACTTTGTTTACGACCTATATATCACGATCCGCACCTGCCACGTTGACGTCGACTGACCCATCGCAGCCTGGCCTCGCGCCCAGAGATTTCTCAACCACAGTGAGCTCTGGTCCCGCCCGCCGCTCCTTTTCCTTTGCCGGCGCGGGCTTGTGCTGTGTTCGCGCGCGTGCTTTGCGAGTTGCGACGGACGCTGCGGAAGGGCACGGCTCTTCATTCAGTATTTCTTTTCTTACCATCCTGGGGCGCCGTATTTTTGACGTCTGGTCGGCAGCTTAGATGCTCAGTGCGAGCGATTGTACATGTACATCTAGTGCTACTGTACCCTACGTACGTACTTTCGACGTCTGCGTGTGCATGGGCGCGTAAGGCCTGTGAATGTAAAACCATGTAAGAAACCTGGGGCTTTATGTGCGCTCGGATGCACCCTAGACGAGAATGGCTAACACAAATGGATGATAAAAGTCCTAAATACCAAGATGTTGTGTCAATTTTTGGCAACATTTAATGCGCCCCGCACGATATTAAGCCTCTCTGGGTGTGAGTGGTATACTACGACGACTGTCGTCAATGTTAATAGGAGGGTAATGAAAATGATGTGATTATCGCTCTCCCTCTGTGCACGGGAGAACAAAAAAACAAAAAGACAAAAGGTGAGATACAAGGTGAGAGTCCGCAAGGGTAGGGTTCAAGCATACAAATTCCCAGTCATATCTGATCACTTGTGTGCACTGCATGGGCATGCAATTGCAGTGCTTCTGCCTTCCAGCTCGATCCTACGATCTAGTTCATTTGACATTGTACCGCATTTATGTGTTCAAAAGCTGGCCTAAAGGTGAGATCGTCCCTGATCCTGCTGCCAGGTCGTCAAAATTGTAAAAATGACATCAATGATATAACCGGTGTGATACGATGAAACAAGTAATGAGCCAAGCCTATGGAGCACAGCGAGTATGGCGACAGGAGGATGAACGTGGGTGGATGATACAAAGCCTGCTATATACGATGTTATGATGCATGAAGATACGAGTGGTAGCAAACGACACGGCACCGTAAACAGATAGATCATTCAAAAGCCTCTTCAGCACTTCTCCTGACCAAACGACGAACTTTCTTCTTAAATGCTATATATGAGGGGAAACAAAAACATCAAAAAGGGGTAAAGAGAAGCAAAACGATGACACATACCAGCAAAGTCTGTCCGGACTTCCTTCGCGGCGTCTACATTTGCGGGACTATCGAGGTTCGGCGAGTCAGAGGATAACAAGGAAATTACGCTGAGCAGCTAATAGACAAAGTAGATGTTCGGCAGGATACGATGTCTAGATTTGACGATCAACTTACGATTGATTCGATGGAATGTACTGGCATCCAACGCTCGCCTGCATCTTCGTAACCGTACTGGTCATCTCCAGGAGCGTGCTGGAGTATAGACAATATGCGATTAAAGTTCTGCACCGCTCAGAGACCGCATACAATAACTTACGAGAATGGAGATGCAGACAGTGCCATCCGGGTAGACTACACGGGGATAAAAGTCAGTCGAGTGGGAAGTAGAATGAGGAGTGGTAACGCAACTATTTGGGTGCCACATCGGGGTTATAAACCGCATCTTAGGCGGGAGGAGGGGGAACTCTGGCGGAAACGTTAATCGCGCCTTGAAAAATCCTCCCTCACTGTTACAAACCATGGATGAGCACTTTGCCGCAACTTCCTCCAAAACTATACGTACAACATCGTGTCAGGAGGTCTGGTTTTGTTACAACGCACATCCGCGCCACCACCCGATCAGCTTCAAAGGTTTATGGCCTGAAGGGGTGTGCATACACACCCGATGACCAAGATCTCCCATTCCATAAGATTGCTATCATCTACAAGGCCTATGATCAACGCACTGTCAGTAGGGCGAATGCATGGACGTTGAACAAACGATATGAGGGGCAGAGTCACACACCGGCAGAAAAGCCTTCGACAGGATGTTTCGTCAATTCAGTTAGCTGCCGGCGAAGCAGCAGGGTATTGGAGGGAGTCGATGGCGCGGATGGTGTGCCGGACATAATAAGCGACTCGAAGAGTACAGTGTGTGTGGAATACCAGCGATGGCGTGCAAATACAGTGGATAAGGCAGAACGAAGGGGAGGGGACCAGTAGGGGACCCGGCTATATATCGCTTACGTCAGCTCGTAGTTCTACGTCACCTTCTCTGACCTTCTGTTAGAGTTCTCACCCAAAACCACAAGGTGCGCATTCATCATTTATTGTATTCTTCTAATGGCCCATATTTGACTCTCAGCCGAAGGCATAGTCTCCAGCAGGCATTGTCTTGGAACTCGTGTGCGTTCTTGTAGTGTTGGCACGGCGAAGCGCGTCACAATAGGCTCGAGAAGCTTGTTCATTCTTAAGCTTTTGTGGGGGTTGCTCAAGATGCGCGTCATTACTTCCTTTACCATCTCTCTTTTGTTCTCCGCCGTCTCCTACGCTCTACATGAATCCGAAGCCGGCATAGTAGACTGGTACAATGCCAACATCGGCGTACCGCTATCCGATTCTTCCTCGACCTCCCCATCATTTCATACGAAACAAAACCAACCGCCACACAAAGCGCTCCTTCTCACTGCAACAAGCAGTAATGTTTTAGCTGCTCTACATGCTGGCAATGGTTCTGTAGGTATGCACAGTAGCTAACATTTCTCATCATATGACATGCTCATTCATGACAGCGTGGAGATATATATACGAAGACAACGATAGTATAGTGTATTATCAGAGGGACAAAGATGGTGCGTGAAATAAATCAGCTACCCAGTATGTAGGCATGTTGATTTGTGTTCTAGTTGTCGCGTCTCTATCGGGACCGGGTGGTGCAACGTTACGGATATTCGATTTTGAGACTGGTGATCTTATTGCAGAGAAGTTTCTACACAACCCCAATACTGCTCGCCTGTTCGAACCAAACGACGTCGGAACGTCGATGACCTTTCTATCACAAGAGGGACAGTTCTCAGACATGCTTGTACTAACGAGTGGTCATGTCCTTCGACGCGTAGACTCTTCAGGAAAAGTTCAGTGGACCTGGACGTCGCCCGATGAAACGTGGGTTCTCCTTCTGCCTGGATCCATTTGAGATCTCAAAGCTGACAGGGCCATGCAGTTCCCTAGTAATCTACTCAAAAGTACTCGTGTCGCCGTCAGCGGTTTATCTTGTTGGATTAGCCAAATCGTTTGCATCTTACACGCTCCATATCTCTGCTATTTCACCCTCAACAGGTGACCTCATCACGAGCGCCTCTATACCGTCTACCGTCACGGATGGTCCATCTAGTATCGTTTGCCTGAATACTAACGACTACAGCATGCCTCCCAGAGTGGTCTGGCTGGAGGCTGGAACCATTCGTGCTGTCGCACTGACCTCGGAGCTGAAGGGGACCCCAGTATCCGTCAAAGGCGCTACGTACGAACGCATTGTTGACGTAGGCCTTGCTGAGAAAGGTCATTTTGTTGCTTTGAAAAGCGACGGTTCGGGACGCGTCTTGAAGCTGGACTCAGAAAAGGCGGGGCTCAAAGTCATCTGGGAGTTTTCCGACTCGGTACGATCTGCAAGTCTAATGCTATGATTAAATCTAATGAGGTTTTAGGCTAGATCGGATCGTTATACGGAGTCTCTGTATACAGGCGGTTTAGATAAAGATGGAAGGCCTTTCGTTGGCCGCGTATTTTGGTCACATGCGCTCGGGGTACGTCTTGCATGTCGATTTATCTATCAACTGAGTGCTGATAAGTTCTATAGAGGGCTTCCGCGCATGTATACGCGCCGCATCTGGCAGAGGGGAAGGGTCTTGTATCCGGCTTCACTTTCAATTTTGATACTAATACACATGGAATCATTAGCCATGTATGTCTTTTTCAAAATTCATCGAAAGAGCGATTTTAATGTTGCTTTCAGGCGGCTCTGCATGCGGCCTATCAAAAAGATTATGATCTGTTGCCGTATGTAGCCTTGACGACGACTACTGGTGCCATACAACTTTGGCAGGGCGACAAGATTCAGTGGACGCGCGAAGAATCACTCTCTCGGATACAATTGGCAGAGATGGTTGAGTTGCCCGAACCCAACACAATTGCGACCCACGTACGCGATGAACATGAAACCTTTGTTGGGCGTTTGATCCGTCAATTTTCTGATGCCCGAGTTTGTCCTCTTCATATATTCGGATCTCAGATTTTACAATATTCTTGCGCCTAGGACTTTCCCGCATACCTCACCCATTTCGTCAGGCGCTTTGCAACTGGCTCCTACGCTTCTGCAACCTCGCGCGTTGAGCCCGCTAATACAAACGCGTCGAAGCCGCTATCTCGCGACGACTTCGGTTTCCGCAAGATCATTGTCGCAGCTACAGATGCGGGCAAGATATTCGGGCTGGACTCAACCAATGGTAAGATCTTGTGGAGTCGTGTGTTGGGACTAGGATGGGCTGCGCAGGTTGGGGGACGGATCAACCCGGTGAAGCTATTCGTTACGAGAACCGTGAATGAAGAAAGCGAGCCGCAGGTCGTTCTTGTCACGCAACGAAGAGCAGATAATGTTAGTGATCTAGCCCTAAATTGCACCTGTTTAACTGACATATGGTCCATGTATGTAGAGCCTCGTTGACACTGTACTTTTTCATATCAATGCTCTCACTGGTGAAGATGCGACCGGCGTGTCACCGTCCGGGGAGGTCCTACAGGGCGTTGATATCATCTCTGGCCCGTTGATTGAGGCGTATATGTTGGAAGGCGAGTCCAGAATTGTCATCCTTTTGGATGAATTCCGTCAGGTAAATCATCTATGGTTTCCTGATATAGTCCTACTACCTTAACGTGTTTATGAAGGTCTACCTCTACCCCAATACACCCGCCAACCGGGAGTCATTTGATGCTACGGCGCCTAGCCTCCGCTTTCCCCTCCGCACAGGCGAGCCTGGCTATCGCCAATTAACAGGTCACCAAGTTGCCCTTGATGCTGGTATCAACAATATGGCCCAGATCTACGCCACATGGGCCACGTCTCTGCCTCCATCCCACGAAATCATTTCCGTCGTCACCCGACCCAAGGGTCTCGTTGCTTCTCTGGGCAAAGTGCTGGGCGATCGCACAACGCTCTACAAGTACCTCAATCCCCACATGTTTGCCGTGCTTACCTCTTCCCCGAATTCGTGCGGGGTGCGGGTTTTGGACGGCGCGAAGGGGAGCACGTTGTATAGTGCCATAGTCGGAAAAGCGCCGGGTGGGTGTGATGTCAAGGCCATGTTCGTTGAGAATTGGTTGGTCTATGTCTATTGGGATGGAGAATTTGAGGGCGTGGGCATGACCAAGGGGTACCGGGCCGTGTCGGTGGAATTGTACGAAGGGCGGGGCGTGGATGACAAGACGAGCAGGTCAGTTATTGCTTTTGGTTGTCCGTTTAGAGGATCGGTGCTGATGTTGTACTCTAGCTCCGACATGTCGTCATTCTCCAACGAAAGCTTGATTGTCAATGCTATTGAGCAAGCCTTCGTGTTCCCTCATAGGATCACCGCAATCGCATCGACGTCCACAAAATTCGGGGTAACAACCAAGGACTTGATCGGTATGTTGTGTTTACTCGTTGTATCTTTCGCATTGACAAACCCACGACCTTTCCAGTGGCGAATGAGAAACAGCAGATTCAGTCGTTCCCTCGGCGAATTTTGGATCCTCGCAGGCCGAAGCACAAGCCAACGGCAGAAGAACAGGAAGAGCAGCTCTTCCAGTACGACCCCGTCATCCCTGACGATCCGCGACGCGTTCTCTCGCACAACTACGAGGTCCGTATTGAAGTCATGTTTGCTCATCATGCATCCATCTTATCCTTTGCGACTCTTAGGTAGCAAATATACGTCATATTCTGACGTCACCCTCACAACTCGAGAGCACATCGCTCGTGTTTGCGTACGGACTCGACCTGTTTTTCACGCGCGTTGCGCCGTCGGGCACGTTCGATGTGCTGAGCGACAGCTTCAACAAGGTGCAGCTCGTGTTGACGGTGTGTGGCCTGGCGATCGCGATCATGATCACGAAACCCATGGTACAGAAGAAGCGATTGAGGGAGAGATGGTATCAATAGAGCATGCAGAACATGAGCGTGTACGTGCAAATGGAGTAATGCATAGACGCGATTATGAGGGATGCGGAGTATGTGATTCTATGAGGAGCCTAGGCACGGTACATGAAGCGCTCATCACAGCTGGAACGGATTTTTGACATGTTTTTATCGATTGTATCGTCGATCCCTCAAGGCCTCATCGACGACAGCGAACGCTCACTGGACTGCAACGTCCTGGAGAACAACGCTTTCCAAATATAGAAGACACCCGATTGCAGTTCTCATCTTCCCATCCTATTCGGTCGTGCTCCATTTGCACCTTACCCTTCAGATCCCAATGCGGCCCCCATCAACCGACATCATCATCATTGACTCCCTCCAACTCATCGCCAACATCGGGCCTAACAACTGGGGCCGTCCGGAGCCGCAAGCGCTCAAGCTCTCGGCGCACCTGCATCTCTACCCGACGTCGCTCGCGCTCGCGGCGGCGACGGACGACATACGGCTGACCGTGCACTCGTGGGACGTCGCGGCGTCGCTGCAAGGGCTCGGCGCGCCCGGCGCGACGTACGCGGGGGGACGCGCGCTCGCGCGGTGCGCGCTGCACGCGATGAGCAATTGGACGAGCGACGCGGTGCGCGAGGTGCGCGTCGTGCTGGAGGCGCCCAAGGCGCACGTGCGCGCGGAGGGAGGGATGGGCTGGGAGGTCGTGACGGCGGGCGAGGCGGCCGTGTGTGCGGCTGCGGGCGCGGCGGAGGGCGTGGTGGTGGTCGCGTTCGCGAAGGGCCTCGCGCTCAGCGTGCTCGTCGGCGCGCACCCCGCAGAGCGGGAGGCGCGGCAGCGCGTCGTTGTGGATATGTGGATCGTGGAGGAGCCCGGGGTGGAGGAGGAGGTCGACTATCGGCGGCTCGTCGACGTCGTCGTCAAGGTGCGTGCTTTCCCGGGTGTCTCTGCGCGGTGAGTTACGTATGTTGTCTTTTTGTCCATTTCTCCGTCCTGTCCTCCGCTCGCTCGACGCTGCAGGACATGGAGGCGTCGGACCATCGCACCCTCGAGCGCCTCGTCCAGGAGGCCATCCGCGCCGTGTGCGTCGCGGGCGAGCATGTCCGCGAAGTGACGATTCGCGCGAGGAAGCCGCACGCGCTCGTAGGCGTGGACGCGCTCATCGTGCAGCTCACGCGGCCTAGAAGCGCGTTCGTTCGGACAACTCCCGGCGGTTCGGCCGTATGATCAGTTTCATTGAAGGTTGCATGTGGTGGTCAGTGCGACTGCAGTGCGCAGGTGGAGCGGAAGCGTGACGATGCCAACCTATTCGTCTGGATGTCGCAGATCTGATGACTGTGATGGTCGCTTCTCAGGCGGGCCGTGGATGCTGGAGACGTGGAAACATGACATGCAGTGTGTACATTTTGTATTTAGCTCTCGGTCGATGTATTGGACAGAATGGAATAAATATAAAAGAGTGCGTTTGGCACTTGTCCTCCTCCGAGGATTTGTAGCCTCACCTCACCGCCCCAGCAGTGACTAGCATGAAATCCTTCTTGGTTGCTTTCCCGGTCCTCGCGTCCCTGTTCCTCGTCGCGAAAGCCGATGTAGTGGAAATCCCGACAACATCATTCAATAGCTATACAGACCTTGAGAAATACTGGAACTATCTCTACCCATGGGGCTCTGACCACAATGGCGGTATGTCGTACATCGAGGAAGTATGCGACTTACTCACCTCAACTTCGCTAATCCAGCTGCGCGCATGGTCGGTAGTAGCACCGACCACAGTCACATTAGCGTGTCCAACGGTGTTCTGACGCTGAAGGCTACACCGACGACGGGCCAACCTCCGAGCACGGCGAACCCCAAACCCGCGATTAACTACCTGTCCGGGACGATCTACGCCAAGGACCAGATCACCGTGGACGGGACGAATGCTAAGGGTTACACGGTCTCTGGGGAGTTTATCGCGCCCACAGCCAAAGGGACGTGGCCCGCGTTCTGGCTGACCGCCGTGCACGGGTGGCCTCCGGAGGCTGACATCGGGGAATGGAAAGGTGCGTGATAATATTCCGAGCCTGTGGGCTTGAACGTTTTTCGCCATGATTAGATTGGCGATGGTAGGCTGACGAGGGCACGGGACTCGCGATCACAGGGACGGCGCAGACCTGGTTCAACACGTTCAACACGTCCTCGGCCGTCCATAGCACGATCGTGGACTGGCCGACAGACGGGAAGTTCCACTCGGTCAGCGCGACGCTGAGGACGGTCGCCGGATCGACGACCGACCTGTCGATCGCGTACTCTCTTGACGGGGTGCACAAGGCGACGGACATCGCGCTCAACTTCCGAGGGGCCGCCATGTACTTGTGAGTGCCCAGTGCTTGCTATATCACGATAATGCCAGGACCGCGCGCTGCCTTGCCATGTGTTTTGCTGACGCTCGATCGCGGTAGAATCATCGATTTGCAGGTGAGCAAATTCATTGCAAGGGCCCGGGAGCCGATGGCTAGATACTCCTGGGCGGGTCGACGAAGAGGCTGATTGAGCCTTGTGATGCCTGCAGATGGAAGGAAGCTCGGGGTCACCAGGCCCGACCGGGACGACGACGTTCCAAGCTCGCAACGTCCAAGTTACGAAGTTGACGTCCTAGTCATGGCCCGTGTTCCGTGGTTCGAGAGGGACGAGGGCGGGTGATGAAGGTGGATGACCGAATTTGGCGTATCGTGATTGGGATGGACACGAGGTTCCCAGTGGCGAGCTTGGCTGTCAGTTATGGTGTAAGGCTGGGGTTCGCAATGGGGGAGTCTGTTATGTACATTTCGTGGACCCCGCCTCTGGGTGTGGGTAAAGCACCGCGAGGCGCTGTAAGGACAGATACGCCATTGGAGGAGGTGCACGAACGTTCGAAGAAGAGGTGAAAGCGAGCGCAGATTCGCCGGGGACGGTTTCCTGTTGCTTTCTGCGCGCAGCGAAAAGAGCGATCGATGGCCTGATCAGGGTGCTTCGAGCGACCCGGCGCGTCCCCAGCCTCTGTTCCGAAAAATCCCGCGGGTGTCTGTGTTTTTTTCTGGCGCGGACGAATGAGCCGTGCGGCGAGGAGCACCGACGAAGCTGAGAAGCAGACGGCGAACTTTGCTCAGTTCAGTTGATTCAGAGGCCGTTCGAGGATATTCTGGAGCAGCGGCTGGGAAAGGAGCGGCTGCCGAGTTTCTGGGAGCAAGATTGTTGGCGGCAATGACCGGCTCAGACATGCGTCATAAGCCAGCGACCGTCCTCCTCTTTAATGATGTCCACCACTTTCCATCGCCCCAGCATTCAGACCCCTCCCTCCCCCTCCCACACCCCCTCCCCTCGTCGACAGACCCGTCGTTGCCGCCCACGATGAACTCCTTCCGAAGTCACCGCGTCATCATCGCGTCTCTCTTCCTCCCCAACACTGCCATTCTGGGCGAGTCTCACCCGTCCACCCCGGAGCTCGCCCCCATCTCCACACCGACTCCATTTCCGTCGTTCAAGATGTCGGACAGCAGCCTCAAGATGCCCCGTCCTGCTCTGCCCCATCGTCCGACCGGCCCATTGAAAAGCATAGTCGAAGACCTGAAGGACAAGGTTCGCTCACATCACGTTCTATTTATCTCCGATTTATGCCAACTTTTGATGCAATTTACTTTTCATGGTATAGTCGCGCGCGGCTACCCCTGCCGTGACGCCGGGCGTCGAGTCGGCCCTCTTTGCCAACTTCTCACAAATATCTACCCCGACGGGCGCGAGCGCCGCAGGTCATGAGCCGCCCGCAAAGCCATCTCGCACGCCGAGCCCGTTCTACGCTGACCCAACCGCGTCCCCTGCGACGCGCTTCTCCCGGCGCGAGGACCTGCACACGCACGTTCCGCACCGCGTGAACCGCAAGCACTCGCGCTCCGCCGCCCGGCGCCCACACTCAGACTCGCCCCTCGGCCGCCAATGGCACATCGAGTCGAACCCGCACTGCAACGGCGGGCTCAACAACGCCGTGCGCAGCGTCGAGGGCAAGCTGCGGCGCAAGCTCTGGGTCGGCACGCTCGGCGCGAACACGGACTCGTTCAAGGACCCGCTCAAGCGCAGCATTGACCGGCGCATGCTCGAGGAGTACGAGAGCTTGCCCATCTGGATACCAGACGACGAGTTCTCGGCGTACTACGATATGTTTTGCCATCAGGTGCTCTGGCCATGCTTGCACTATGTGATTCCCGACGCGCCGAAGACGAAGTATTTTTACGAGTCTTCGAGTTTCAAGCAGTACGTTGCGGTGAACCAACGGTTCGCCGACGCCATCACTGCTGTCTACCAAGAAGGCGATATTAGTACGCTCCCTCCATTTTTAAAGTCATATTCACATTAATCTTCTATTTCTGTCGCGCAGTATGGGTGAACGACTACCATCTGATGCTCCTCCCCTCGATGATCCGCGCACAGCTCCCGAACGCGGTCATCGGCTTTTTCATGCACGTCGCGTTCCCCTCCTCGGAGATCTTTCGCTGCCTCTCCGTGCGCGAGGCCCTCCTCCACGGCATGCTCTCCGCGGACCTCATCGGGTTCCAGACCGCCAACTACGCGCGCCACTTCCGACAGACGGTGTCGCGCATCCTCGCCCTGGAGACTGTCCCCAAGGGCATCCAGGTCGAGGACCGGTTTGTGGACGTCGCGGTGTTCCCAATGGGCATCGACGTCAAGTGGTTAACAGAGAAGAAGTGAGCGATTGATCGTCGTCTCTCTGACGTCGGCGCTGACATCATGATGTCACATAGGAAGGAGCCTGACGTCGCGTATTGGGTGCAGACGCTCAAGGAACGTTACAGCGGCTTGAAGCTCGTCGTTGGCCGAGACAAGCTGGACGAGATTCAGGTCGGTTCACTCTCAAAGATATCACATGTCCTTCATTGATTATTTTCGGACAGGGCGTGCGCCACAAGCTGCTGGCGTTCGAGGCCTTCCTGGACAAGCATCCCGAAATGCAACAGAAGGTGATATTGATCCAGGTCGCGCTGCAAACGACAGAGGAGAACGAGCTGCACGGTGGTGTCGGGGACGTTGTCGCGCGCATCAACTCGCGCTTCTCGACGCTCACGTACCAGCCGGTCGTGTTTTTGCACACGGAAGACCTGAGCTTCAGCCAGTATCTCGCGCTGTTGACCATTGCGGACGCGTTTTTAGTCACGAGTATGCGGGAGGGGATGGCATTGAGGTCTGTTTCCCCTTTCGAAAAACTTGGCAAATTCGTTGAGCTTCCTTCGTTCTAGGACGCATGAGTTTGTTGAGTGTCAAGAGGAGCGGCATAGGCCTCTTATCCTGAGCGAGGTAGGGTGCCTTCGATGGATGTCCTGTTTCAAGGTACTCATCGGCGTCGTCTATTCCAGTTCACGGGATCGTACAGCTACAGCGGCTTCCGCTCTTGCATCGCTGTGAACCCATGGGATACCCGCAACACTGCCAAGGCCATTCATCAGGCTCTTACCATGGACGACGAGCAGGCTAAGCTCCGCTGGGAGGTTCGTAATCTATATCATGTCTCCATACGTGTAAAGGCTCATTCGCTACTGTCCTACAGGACCTTCACAACCACGTTGCTACACAAACAGCGCAAGCCTTCGTGACCTCCTTTCTCACGCGCTGCCTGCGCACGAACATCGAGCACCTCCAGGGTGACGCGGAGTCCGTCACGCATCTAGACCTCTCGCGGGTGCTCCCGCGTTACAAACATAGTCATCGCCGGCTGCTGCTTATCGACTTTGAGGGCACACTGTGGAGGCGCGATCCCCGCGAGCGTGCGTTCAAACCCCCTGCGGAGGCATTGGCGGTGATGGGAAAGCTTGCGGACGACCCTAGGAACGAGGTATGGCTCCTGAGCGGGCTACCGGTCAAGGGTGCATTGGACGAGGTCGCGAAGACGATTCCCAAGGTCGGCTTGGTGTGCGTTTTGCTTCCTCCTTATCTCCCTTGCCTTGTTCCGCAAGACTGAGTGCGTTTTTTTAGTGCCGAGAACGGATGCTTCATCCGGACACAGCCTGGGAAAAGCGGAGAATCTTCATGGATTAATATGGTTACGAACTTTAACCTGACATGGAAGAGCGCCTGCATTGAGATCCTGAACTATGTGCGTTGTTCTCCTTGGCCACGTTCCTGCATGCATTGAATCATAGCTTTCATTCAATCAGTTCACGGAGCGCACACCCGGCTCGTTCGTGGAGGAGCGGGAAGCGTCTGTGGTATGGCGCTTCTGGTGCGGCGAGCCCGACAATTGCCCAGATCGCCAATGGGCAAGGCGTCAAGCTGCCGAAGCGCAGAACCACATCTTTGACAGGTGAGGAACCCTTTTCATCCTCCGCAGGCAGGAGCTCAATTGACCTTCCTTCCCTTGCAGCATCGGCGACCGGTACGGCCTGCGCATCATCCCCGGCGAAAACAGCTTCCTGGTGCTGCCCAACTACATCTCGCGCTCGACGGCGGTCGGCGCGATCCTGCACCCGGGCGGGCCCGCGCATTCGCCGCTCGCGGGGCGCGCGGCGTGGATGGCGCCCGACTCGCTCGAGACGGAGAATGTGAGCGACTCGGACTTCGTGCTCGCGATCGGGAGCGACGAGAAGCTGCTCCGCCGGCTGAACGAGCTCGACAACGCGGAGACGTGCTCGACGGGCGCAAAGGGCACCGACGCCAAGTGGCGCCTCGAGAAGGGCGAGGTCGTCCGCGTCCTGCAGCAGTTCGCGAACGGAGCTGCGCACGCGTCTCTCGCGTCGCGATGATCCATCCGGCTTTGGATGTGAGTTTGGGTTTGGACACGGGTTGGTTCGCGGAAGTGCGACTTGAAAATTATCACGCGTGGTGTCGTGGATTCGTGGTCTATGCTCTGTTATAGATGGGGAGGGGGACTGTTTGCTCGCAGATGTGAGACGGGGATATTCTTATCGTGTAACGCTCGGTACATATTATGTTGTACTATTGCTTGTATGTAGAGTCATCCGTCAGCTGTCATATACACGATGTTGTTCAACAGAATGGAGGCGCTTGTCCTTCCAGCTCTTGAGACGGCGCTGGAATCCTTATGGAGCGGGTTTGACGGAGAGCCGGATTGCCTGCAGCATCAACGCTTCAGCGTTACCGCATAATGTTGAATACGATCCTAGCGGTGTAATGCCCTGCAATTGTTCAAGGCGGGACAACACATCATCCAAACGCATTGCATCGAGACGTAACTCCTTTGATTTCTACAACCGTCCAGTGTTCAATCATTGTACAGAGCATACACCTGCGACGACAATAGGGATAGACCGAAAGGCATGTGAGTGTGTGGTTGCGGAAAAGTGCCGATGTCGACGAGGCGGTCGGTGGCATACGACATGATGGGTAGTAGTAGATCAACGCCGACAAGGAAGATGCATAGGCAGGTAAGGATGTATCATGGTGATCATATATATGAAAAATGCGCGCGCGCATAGTGAGCTGAACTTGGTGAAGAAGGCCGGACGACGTGTGAGCAGGGTCAATCGAGACTGAGTCCGTCATGAGAGAATAGAGTGAGAACGGGACCTTTAGAACCGACAAAAATAGAATAGAAAGAGAGGAAGAAAACGGATGGGAACTCCACATTGAACAATAAGTAACATGAGGTCTAGGAAGGGTACGATAGGTGATGATAATAAGACAAGACGCCCGTGGAAGGGCGGATGCGATGATACAATCCAAGACCGGGCGACGTGGCGTTTGACATTAGAATCGGACGAGCGCGAGCGCGCGGTACAGCGCGTTGGCTTCCTCGAAACGGGAGTTGCGAAGCGTGAAGTGGGCCATTTCGGTTGAGTCGGCGTCAGAGGATGGGTCAACGACGCCAAGTTTGATTAGAGAGTTGTAGAAACGGCAGAGCTGATTGTTGCAGTTCAAGACAGGAACGGAGATAGGCGCAATCGGTGATCCCGGCGGTGAGTACAATAACAGGGCGGAGGAAAAAAAAGATAAACTGACGTTTTGTAGCCCCTTTTCAAACCGGTCATCGCTAATGAGTCCTTCACGTCCTTCTGATTCAGCTTTGTCTAACCACTGGATACTCTCGTGAATAAATCTCCCCAGCACATCAGCGCGCACGATGTCAGCAACCGTGGTCCTCCCGCCGGTTATGACGTCCATGATAGTCGTGGTGTCGCGGAGCAGACGGCCAAGAAGATCAAACGATGGGAGACTGGGTGGCAAACGGGCTAGGACATCAAGATATGTGATTGGTCCGTGGGGATTCGCCTTAGTCGGCGGTTGCGATAGAAGAGCTACCGATAGGGGATGAGCCAGTGTAGGATTGTGAGCAATCAGAGGAGGCAGATCTATTGAAGTGACTATGGGCGGAAAAGTGAGCTGGTGGACGAGGGGAACGACCAACTGTTTGTGAAAGTATAGTCAGCGTTTCTGTGAAGGAGGCTGGATATGAAAGGCGTACTCGTTGCTCTGACAAGGTCAGTACGCGCGTCCGCGCAGCGAGAAGCAACGTCATGCCTTGAGAGAGCATCTGCGTTCGCAAATCCTCTTCTGGGGTAACTGGCGATTGAAAGCTCCCGTTGGAGACTGGCGTGCGGACTCTTGGACCTATGGGCGTTCGAACTCCGTTCGAAGGTATATGTGGCGAATTATGGGTTACTCCCTCGACTATGATTGACGGCAGTGCATCCCTGAACCTGCAGAATAGAGCTGAATTTTGTACAAATACTTGTGTTGGTGAGATATGCACTTACGCATCGAACGAGTTGCTTTCTGGTAATATGCCCTCATCCAGGGTCAAATTTGTGGCTCGTAACTTAGGGGGAAGGGGTGAGCGGGCCAAAGTGCTCGGCGAATACGGCCCAATCTGATCGAGGTTAGATAAAACAAGAAACGATGATACTAGGCTACTTACGTCGTTGCCGTCACCTTTGAGTACCTTCCAGAGGACCCAAACCAGTTGCTCGTTCTCGCCCACCGCACCATTACTTGTCGCCTGAGCAGCCGCATTCTTCTCTTTCATGAAAGTATCATACAATGCGGATTTAAAGGGATTAATAGCGATCGGGTGCGGAGCATATAAAGAATACAGTATGTAAGACACGAGGATCCGTTGCGAGAGCTGTGGGGTGATCGGGGGATGCAGCGAGGATTCACGACCCGAGATGAATGATCAAGGACATCAGTGGCATGTGCGGGACAAAAATGACGCAAATGAAAGATGCTGACTTCTGTGCGAGGGGAGTCCAGGAGCGGCAATAACGCATCTAGCGCCAGCTGAAACCTAGCACTAGGCTGAACGAGCTGAGCGAACGCCTGCGCCGCAGTCGAACATGGCAAGGCGTACGCCTTCTTGAGAAGCTGACCGACCGAAGAGCGCAAGGGGTCGCCGTGAGCCTCCGTAGGCAGCGGGGGAGGTGCGAGAAAGGCAGTTGCGGTCTGCATGGGTAACGTTCTTGCTTCCGATGAAATTGAAGACGTGATTATGAATTCTCTCGAGCACTGAAGCTTGCTGTGTATAGTCGTGAAGGGGGCACGGAACGAGTGAGGAGGTGGACGGTGGAATTGAATACCTCTAGCTGGCTGTTCTGTCCGGGCACGGGCAAGGCACAGCGAAGTGGTCCCGAAGTCACCACTCAGTTTTGTCTTGTTTGTCTTCGGTGGCAGACCGTCTCTCCTTCGAGCAGCCATCTCGGTACATAACAATAGTGAAGACAGGTACAGACCCTTATCATCCCCGTTTCGTGTATTCTCATACAGCGAGCGCTGACACAGCCAAAATTTCACGAAGCCGCAGTGGTCATACGCTCAACTCGTGGCGGTATTTTCTACAGTCACTTTTGTGATCTGCGTCCAATCCCGAAACTGTCGCTGTTTAATATGGCGTATTGGACACTTTCTTCGATTGTGAGGCTCGATAATTTTCTCCTCGCACTGAAAATGGGCTGATCAGTTAACAAAGCGGATCGAGGTTCGAGCTGTTCCTTGCGACAGCGCGTTCTGTAATCCCATTCTGTGATCCCACCTTTTTGTTTACACAGACAGAAGTGTTCGCGCCGGCTGTGTAATCCAGGCCTGTTGGGAGAATCCCTACATGCCGTCCAGCTCCGAGCCGCGCAACATTGTGGAGTCTTGATCCTGAGTCAGGCCATAACAATTAGAGCGGTCGGTACGTCGCTGTCAACTGGAACGCCGTGGCATGCCGACCACATCGACATGTTCAGACCTTATTGTTATGCTCATATACCACATTTAGACCAGGGACATATAAGAAGGGGCAAAGCGACCTTGCTTCCTCCAAGCAGCTTCTGTTCTACGCTCGCACCTCCCCCCCAAAGTCCACATCGCGGTTCACGCTAGTGATCCTACATACTTTGCAATGGACTCTTTCTCAAGCATCCTCTTTACCGCAACCTCTACCTCAGCCGATGCCACTGAGGAACCACAGACACAGCTCCCCGTCGATAACGAGCGAGGCGGCACCGTCTATTCATATTGTGTCGTCGCATAATCGATGATTGAGCCTGGTATGTCTTCTCTGGCGTAGCATTTTTCTCTTCTCTGTCTAACTTCGACATAGATCTGGCGTGTCTACGAGGAGTTCGTAGATACCGTCACGACATCTCATCTTCGACTCTAGTTATTCATCTCCCACCGCCTCACTTTCACCCCCCCCCTTATCCTCACGACCCGCTGACACCCACATTCATAAACCGCCTTCGTTCCAGGTGATTCTCGCGACACACAACCTTCGAACAATGTATCCATATCTTTTCGTTTTCTTCTTCAATACTGTCGTCATACGGCACGCAGTACAACCACTCTTTGACGTTGACTTCTTTTTATTTCACTCTTCTTGGATTTTTTTCCTCCTCGCTGTCTGTACTTTCTATTCATTTCGCTCTGCTCTGCTTTCACGACTAGGCACGCCCTATTGGTACACAACACTGTATTCATACGTATTTTTTTTTAGCCAGGATACGCTATTCTCTTACACCAATTTGGGTACTGGGGCACTAGCTAGATTGTTCTTTTGGAGATTCCTGATTTTGGGAGTCGCTCTACTAACGGAGTAGGGAGTTCATGATGTTTTGACAGCTGATATGTCCGATTGGATTTTTACGCCAATGAAACCGTCGCAATTGTTGGAAAGTGATTTTCATGGAACGAATTGCCTCGACTCTCCCAAACATGATTTTCGATAATATTTGTTCATGGATGGACCAACAGCCACAGCGAGCAAGCCGAGACGCGCCGGAAGGTGAGCGCCAAAAATAGACGCGAACATTATATACGTCACGTGTCGGCCGCTTAGCGCTAAGATCCGACTTGCTCTCCTTCAGTATCCTCCACTACGCGCACTACCACCTATGGATAGCTCTGCGGCAACATCAACCGACCACTCTGTTTCAAAACCTCGTGGGAGAGGCCGCGGCCGCTCCCGAGGGGGTCTGGGCAAATACCTGCGAGCTCGAGGACGCGGGCGGGGTGGTGGGCGACCGGCTGAGTTTCGCGAACGGCTGGTGCTCGCAGGAGAACGGCCCGAAGAGCTCGATGAGGAGGAGGCGGAAGAGCTCCAGAAACGGTATTCACGGAGGCAGCTCGGATCGAATGCCGATAGGTATGCCGAGCCTGAACCTGAGCTCGGGTCGGACGGTGCGTCATGTCCACCTCTGGTTAACCGATGGAAACATTCGGACATTAATATTACTCTCGTGTTTTTAGGTGAGGAAATACTCGAGCCGGAAGTGGACTTGTCGCGTTTTCTGGAACGGCAACGATTAGACGACGCACCGCCTCCGCTCGGCACATCAGTTACGACTGAGGAGCATGAGGATGACGTCGACCATACCCTGTCTCATGTCACGGCTAAACCAGTGGTAGGAGCACCGTCAAGGAAAGGCAAGGTCCAACACATCGAGTGGGACTCCGATCTGGAACAGATGAGCCGCGAGAAGGTTGTGGCAGAGGCGAACTGGGGTGCGAATTTCTCTTAACTCCTAATTCAAACTCTTCTTTCTTCCTCCCTCGTCGGAATTGTTGACTCCCATTTGTATATCAGAATTGAAAACACGTTTTCGTGCCAAGACAGCACAGAAGCTGGAAAGGGCTGGACTTCGGGGTAGCATGGCAGGGCGACCTGAGCGCCAGAAAGGTCAGTCCCGAAACTATCCCTTGGATCCCCTCATGTTGCTGATCATCACGGTTAGATACATCATATGTCGAGGCACCGCCTCTGCCTATTGAATCAAAAAAGCCTCCTCAAGATGCTAAATCGCAAATGGAAGACTTTTTAGACGATTTACTCAGTTAGCCGTACCCTCCCGTAAGGCTGTGGCAAATGGTGTTGGGGCTTGTTGTACCATCTTTTTTTTTTTTGGCTCGTAGGTGTCACCCTAAGTCAAACGCCTGGCTGGACGTCCCACTCGATGCTTACGATGCTAGACCTGTGCTCACCCCTTCTTTGGACTTTTCTGCGGAGCTCCGCACCCTACCTGCTGTTTCGTCTAAGGTGCGCCATGGCCATGATTGGCGAGCCTTGTCTATCTGGGAGGAATATTGCACCACATATGGATCCACACAACGTCAAGATAACTGTACAGTGGGAACCTAGAACAGCCTTGTCCTCAACTATACGATACTGTGTCGCTACCCTGCTGTCATGTTATCTAGGTAGGGACACAGCTTTGATGTTCTCATGCATAATACCTCGTTAATACCCCAGTCTTCAAGGTTCACTTGTTAGTGTGACTTTACGGTATTGTCCCTATGCGATGGTTAGGCTGGTCTGAATAAGCACACACTCCTTTTTGATCCCCTTCAAAGTACAAGTTTCTTTAAAGCTGCGTGAAGGTGCGTGCAAGTCGCCAACTATCAATTGGTGAATTCCTTCGCAGGTTAGACTATATCGTTGATATTATAACCAGCATTGAATAGGCATGCATGAGCGCGGCTCGGGTTTCATGAATGTAGAATACACAAACAACACATCATTCAAGAGCGTAGGTATCGATACATCGAGGTATATGAAACGAACGGATAAGCGGATGTGACAGCAGAATAAATAAATGAATCCCTTTACCACCAGGTGAAGATGAATGAATTTATAAAAAGGAGTAGCGAATATAGGGAAGGTTGCTACGTCCACAAACATAATTAGATTGGTAAGGACAAGAGAGGAGCTATTCACCAACCTTCATGCAATGGTACAGTACCAGCTGATCCCAAACCCAACATGCTCAGAATCGGAGGGCAATGACAACGCACTGTCAGACGACAGGAATGTGTCGGAAGTTGAGGCAGAGCGAACGGTCTCGGGTGCGCTCAGTGATGCAAATTCGTCCATATTGACCGAGTATGATAGAACGTCAGATGATAGTTTGGTGTAGATAGGATGAAGTTGAAGTAATGCAGAAGTGATGGAGTATGGGTAGCGCGCGGTGTTAAAAAAGTTGGTAATTGCGAGGACAGTTCGAGGTTGCTAACTATCAGGTGTGTAGCTTGACGCTTTTATATGCGATTTTATCTAAAGGATATCCACAGCCGTATTACTGAAACAAAACAGAGCCGCACCATTGTTTCACCTCGGAATTACTGTATTTCAATTGTATGATGATTTAACGCGATCTGCCTCCGGAGCACAATTGGTGACCTTAACCCAGGGGTAGGCTCAAGGTTTATTACGTTTCTTCTCTGACAAGATTCCCACGAGAACGCGGAGCGAATGCTCCCATTGTCTACATTACGTAAGGCATCCTACCTTTGTCCTCTGCACCTTTGTCTCTGCATAAGTAATAGGTGCAAGATGTGTTTATATACATCTCATAATCAATCCATCTACAAGCTTCATTGCTTCCCTCTCTGCTCTATCTCATGGCCGACGTTAGTTACCCAACATTCCCCATCTTCGCCTTCATAGGTTTTGTCATCGTCCTCGTACCGCTTCCATGGCATTTGCAAGCATGGAACTCGGGAACTTGTCTGTACATAGTATGGACTGCTATGGCATGCCTCAATCAATTCGTAAACTCTGTTGTATGGCATGGTAATGTCATCAATCACGCTCCAGTTTGGTGCGATATATGTATGTCTCGCCTTTGTTCACTCGTTCGTTTGACTCGTCTGACAGTCTTCAGCTACTCGCCTTATGATCGGGATTGCGGTGGCCATTCCTTCCGCATCGCTATGCATCAATCGCCGCCTGTATAAGATTGCCTCTGTACAGACTGTTTCTATCACTCGAAAAGACGTAGGTTTCAGAAATTCATCTTGTCTTGCGGTCAACTGATACAATCGCTCTTAGAAACAAAAAGCTGTGCTCATTGATATGATCATTGGGGTAGGCATACCAGTGACTCAAATGGTGCTGCGTATGTGTGCTCATCACCTGCTTATCGTAAAATTTGGACTAACCCATCTCGATCTAGAATACATCGTTCAAGGTGATCTTTGACCGCCAGGTGTAGTATTACCAATGAACATGAACATTTTCACCAGGTCATCGTTTTGATATAATCGAAGATATTGGATGCTACCCGGTCACCTACATCACGCCACCGGCATTTGTCCTTGTCTTAGTTTGGCCTCTTGTCATCGGTCTCATATCTGCTATTTTTTGCGGTAGGCACAGTAGCTCGCTATTCAGCTATCATCTCGACTGATCATGCGTCTAGTGCTTACTTTGAAGGCATTTCTCGAACGCCGCGCTCAGTTTAGCGAACTTCTTTTGACCCACTCGTCTTTGACCATGACCCGGTATTTTCGCCTCATGGCATTAGCATCAGCGGACTTGTTGTGCACTGTTCCCTACAGCGCATATGGTATATACCTCAATTTAAGGGACGTTCCCATCAGCCCTTGGAAAGGATGGGCCGATACACATTTCAATTTCTCCAAGGTCGGGCAGATTACTGCAGCTGCGTGGCACACAAATCGCAACGTGGCGGTTGCTCTGGAGCTCAGTCGATGGGTCATTCCCGTCTGTGCCATACTTTTCTTCGGGTTCTTTGGCTTTGCCGATGAAGCGCAGAGAAACTATAGCAGGGTCTTCGCGTTTTGTGTTTCGCGCATCCCTTTCACCACTTCTGTCAAAATCACAACCGCGAAATCAAAAGCAAGACATTAGTAAGTCTTACCGTCCTTGTCTTCCGTATGCGACTAACGATAAAAACAGCTATAGAACATCTGCATCCCGAATGACCGCTTCAGGGACCCTTCCTATCTATGTATCTCGAACATACCAGTCTCGGAAGAATTCTGTCGACTCCTCCATGGAAAACGCAATAGTGCTTTCTCCTTGAGCTGGACGCCGTTTTCATGTTCGGATTCAACTTTTCCTGTTCCTTTTTGATTCTGCTCCACTCTTCATTTTTCCATATCGGTGATCAGATACTGTAGTCATTTTAGCACTCCGATATTGATTTATTTTCAGACAACGCATAGCGTCTTCTACGCTCTTATTTCGCACTACTTCGTGTCCATAATGAATGTTCGCAGTAATTTCCTGTCCCGGAGCGGGGTCATTGGCTAGCCCATTTGCTCAATAAGAGTGCGTCTAAATCTCTCGTGTTATCTATCTCAATTCATCTTTCTTTTCTCTAGATGGTCGCAGAGGTAGATATTTTCATACAAAGTCTTCACCTTATGCCCGTGTGGACATTCCTGAGCTATAAACTTCTTTAACGGCTGACTAGTTGACTGCTCAACATAAATGCATGAATGAAGGATCACCTCTTGTTCGATAAATTCAGACATCATGTCATTGTCTTCGGAGGCCTGCAGCTCCTTGCAGAGCAGACGACCTACTATCACGCGCACAGGCATTGTGTTCACGGTAATGTGCCTAAACTTCATGCTTCAAGGTCTGCATTACACCGTTCAAGACAATACACGACAGATTTATGAGCAGAATCGGCATGTGCGATGTAAATTACCATATACCAAAATGAATAGATGCATAGAAGATGGTATCTCGGACTACTAAAGTATTAGATTGCCGTTGCCTGTATCAAACTTTCTGCGACCTTGGATCTTGGCCTGATATTGCATTTGAAAGGTGCCGGATATCTTTGATGAAGCCTTGTCAGCTTGTATACTCCCAGAACCACCACCCGGATATAGAACGGAAGAAGAGCACTCACGAGACAATACCAGACGTGTACTCATCTTTCGGCTCGATTAGATTGCCATTCTCATCGACTGCCTTTGAGACATCGAAGGTGGCGAGCATACAAGCAATGGCAATCCAGACTGATGCACGAGCCATGAACCGACCCGGGCATATACGGCGACCGAAACCGAACGCTTGCTCGGGGAACTTGACATTGGGGTCCAGGAAGTGCTCAGGTTTGAAGTTCTTGGCATCGGGGAAGACGGATTCATCATGGAGTATCGCCCTTTTGTGATGAGTCAGTCAGGATAGATAGAATGCAGCCATGAGAACAGGATGCGGACCAGCCGTTGCCGATGACTATCGAGCCTCCAGGAATGAAATAGCCATCGTAGATATCGTCAGATACCACTCTGTGGGGAATAGCTGCACGAAGAATTAGGAACCGAGAAAGAAGCAAAAGCCGGTTAATCTCTTACCAAGTGGTACAACAGGCCTCCATCTCAAAACTTCCTTCACCAGAGCACTAACATACGGGAGGGAATCCTCGTCAGAGAAGTCTGGCAAGCGAGCATTGCCAACGACGGCGTCAATCTCGGCTTGGGCTTTCTTCATAGTTTCGGGATAACGAGCCATAGCCAAGAAGAAAGACGAGAGGGCAGAAACAGTCTACATATATACAACTCAGCAGGTTGAAATGTCGTTAAAATATATTTATATTTGCTTACTGTGTCAGCTCCAGCTGTCATAGAATCTGAAGGTGAGTGTTCAGATATCAAATCAGAATGTCGAGTACGAACCAAGGTACATATTCGCCGGCAATTGCTTCGCCAGAAGCTCAGGAGAAATCTTGTTCTCAACTTTGCTGATCATGGAGGAGGTAACGGAAGGTACAGCAGTGCCTTGCATCTATTCCAAAGAAATTCTTTGAGTAGAATATACACGAAAAACATTTTTCATACATACAACAGCTTCTTTTGCGGTTTGATAAGGCGCTTCGACCATTGAGACTCCGTAGTGGATCCATTTTTTTAATTCCGCTTTGAGACGACCACCAGGTAGCCACTCTGGGATACGGATCACTACATGTGTTCAGTCATGGCTGGGTTGCGACAAAATCAATACTAGCTCACATGATGGTGCCATGTCATATAGGCCAGCTCGTGGAGAGCTGCCGATCGCGATAGCTTGAAGCGTCTTTTCCGCAGTATCGATGTACGGGTCATCATGGGACTTGACTTCGATTCCATAAGAGATCCCGATGATGATCTCCCCTGCCATGCTGGGAACCGGTGAGATATCAATCTTGTTTCACGCGCACATGCAGTACCTGAACTCACTGTCTGAGATGTTCTACGAAATCTGCTGGATTGTCTACCAGGCGCCGCAGAAGTTCGTGAGTGGCTTTTATTTCCATTGGCTGATATTGTAGAGTGGCGGCGGGATGGAAATGCCCGTGGAATGCCTTGCGGATGTCTCTCCACTTCTGGCCATAGGGAATAAAACCCAAGACCCAGTCGAGCTTCAGACTGTACTTCCCGTCAGCAAGGTAACCGAACGATTTGAGAGCGCGATAACTTACATGACGTTCAACGCCAACATCCTAGGCCTAGCACACACCTGTCAGGCGGAGTCAAAGACAGTAGGCAGCGCGCGTACCGGTCAGAGTAAAGCGACGATCGCTTCACGAACAGCTCATTGGCCGCCTTCGCAGAATTCAAAATGATGAGATGGGTCCCAAGGACGTCGGTATGGATGACGTCAGACCCTGAGGCCGCGAATCAACATTCAGCCCTCCGGCACGAGCAGATCAGGGCTCACCAAAGTCCTTCGCCCACTTCTCGTAAACGAGCCACTCATTTGACGTCGGCATATCAAAAAAGTTCCCGAGGATGGGAAGCCTCTTTGGGCCCGGCGGGAGGGGAGGATTGGAACTCGTTTTGTTTCTCCAAAGAATCAAAAGGCTAGCAGTGCAGAGGCCAACGGTCGCTGCGACGAGATCAAACGATAGGTCCGTCATGGCTGCTCCTAGGATTAGGAGCGATGGAAGAAAGGTGAAGATAAACCTGTTGCATGTTAGCCGTTGAGGACATATATACCGGTCAGATTCCAGGCACCTGTATGTAAACCGTTTACTCACCGCTAAGCAGATCGATGACAGAATTGCTTCGGCAGTCTTAGAAGACTTCTTTGCATGGCGAAGCCTCAAATTTGGGACCCAGAATACGGTGGCGAACGGCTGTTCATGAAATGAAGTTACCGATAACCTAACACGATGACGATATGCGCTAGAGTGCCTTAGAAGTCACGAGTGGAAGAAGTGTGGAAGAATATGCAGCACTTATGATAGGCTCATTGACGAGACGCCGAAATGTCGTCCGATAAGCAGCGAGACACGAGAAAGCAGCGACCGGTCCACCTACAAAAACTAGCAAAATTCTTCATATGAGTGTGCTAGCAGCTGTCCGCTTGCTTGGCAAGAAAGATAACGACTTGATCAGTACTTGACCCAAGAAAATTTGAGCATAGACCTAAAGTGAGTTCGGCAGGCTCAAAGCTCAATCGGAAGTTTCGAACCCAAGAGGTTATGGCATGATGAAATGCTCCGACGATCAGCTGTTTCGTTGGTAACAGGTTGGTTGATCGATCGTTGCATCCTGACAAATTGCACCTCCCACAAGGCCCTACAACCTCCAATAACACCGTATCAGCTCTGTACTCTGGCGAATTCAGCCTTTTGGACGTACCTGATCACATTGACGAGACTCATAGTCGCCGCCGCTTATGTACAAGTTTATTTGATACCGAAAAGCGTACAAGAGTCACAATAGTGGAATACACGGGGCCTAGAGTACAAGAAGGTGTAATAAGGTGATAAAGTACTGTCGAACCATGGACGGAGGAAAAATCAACGGTGAGATGATGACCGAAAAAGAACATGTCCGCTCGAAGATAAAGAAAGGAGCTTTTAATTGAAGAGGCGTTGCACAGGGGGAGAAATGGCCATGAGAATCCGAACAGAGATGCGATACGGCAGGGCGACTGCATCCGAGACGAGGTCGACTAGGTTGCGAGAAGCGTTGCGAGGGTATCTTTTCCGCACAAACCTCTCATCACGCTTCCGAGCAGGCACGTCATCCTCATCCGACTCGCTCCCGGATTGCGCAGCTCCTTCTCCTTCAGACACATCCTCGAGGATCGTCTCTAGCCGAGGAGGTGATTGCATGTGATGGAGGGATGGCTTTCCGTTTATAGGAGCAGTAAGGTGACGCGTACGGGTGGACGGGCTGACTGAGTCGTACGCATAATTCAAAGTGAGGACGGACCATAAGACATATATCCATTGAATGAGCACAGAAGAAAGATAAGAGGGCGGATGGCCATGGGAAAGTGAAGGTGGTGTGTGTCCAAGAAGGACCAAACGCAGGTGTGTCGTATCCGTCCGTTTGTCACCGGCAGTCTTCATGGCCTTTTCCAAGGCTACTAGTCGTGCCTCGTACGCAGTACGCGTAGACTCTGCCTTCCTTTCGCGTTTCTTGACTGCGTGTTCAACATCTTCCAGTGCCGCGCTCAACTCCTCGTACGCTTCTTCGACACGTACGCGAGCCGCCATCCCACCTTTGACAATGGCAAGTTCTTCTTCAAGCCTCTCGACCTGAGCCAAAACAGCCTGCAACTTACTATCTGCGATCAGCTGTGCGTCCGGCGATGGGTAATGAATAGTATCGTGCAACGCGCCGGTACGGTCGCGGAGGCGAGCGATAAGGTGCGACCATGGGCGTATTCCGGTGGCGAGGACAAAGAGAGTGGTACTAAACCATGAAATGGCGTCGGTGCCGCTGAGGGTGCTCAAAACATAGCGGAGTAGATGAGCGCCAAGGAAAGGTGCAACAATGGACAGGAGAAGATAGGTAAGTTCGTGTTTACGCAGTTCGGATGAAGCTAATCTTGCGAGATCCTCCATGGAGGACTGGGGGCTATAGGGTGAAATGGATGGATGGGGGCGCCGTGCGCGGGCAGAGTGATAGAGTTCCCATGGAACTGAACATTCATGTCACGGAGGGAATGGACAATGTAGAAGAGTAACATACCTTGGATGACTTGATGAAGGTAGACAATCAAGAGGAGAATTAGGAACAAGTTTTTCAAGTGATCGTTTCCTGTCAGCCAGTTCCCGACCGGCGCGACGAGCGCTACGACGACAGACAGGTCCAGATCTGTCCATGAAGAAGTCGAAGGGGGGCGAGTCGGCACAGTTTCAGCGAGCATCGGGGCCGGTCCAGATTGACTGCTGCGTCTAACTTTTGGAGATGGCGAAGGCCGTTTCTCCAGGTCAGGGCTATCGCTATCATCGCCGCTCATCGAGCTGAATAGTTCTCCTTCGTCGGAGGACGAGGAATACGGATGAGGGCTGTCCGCACACTTGAGATTCAGTTTCGAAGGTAAATGCTCTGCCGTTCCAACCGACGTATGGAAGATTACAGAACTAGATTCGTTCGCTGTTTGTTGTTCCCGTATGGCCGACCTATTTTTTGTTATAGACATATGGAATCGCCACAAGCATTCCAGAGAGGCTTAAGACGAGGTCGTGATGTGTGCAGAGAGTGTGAGGTTGTGTTGGGAGGCTTTTTCTGGTGGCGAGCATGCGCATGCACTGTGTTCTGTTTGCCACGTGCGTAGTGTGGGAAATATCTACTGGGCTTAGCAGGCGAGGCAGGCCGTCACTGAGTTGCGACATCTTTTTTCTCTCAAACCACCAGGACTTCATCGACCTCAGTGGTCATATCGCATACGTACAAAATAGCGCCGAGCACGGTAATATCTGACTTGACTAGAGCGAGCTGGATTGACCGGCACCTGACGCTCGTGCTTCTTTACATTCAAGATGCCAACTTTGGTCATTCGTTTGTTCACCCTCAAACACTAGCCATAAATCCAGCCACGACAGCTCTGCTGATTCACACATCATAACCCGCGTGGCTTTCTATTTCGTTAACGGCCATGTCTTCTGGTATGGCCCTTGTGTTTAAAATGGGAAGCTCTCTTGTTGCTGAGATGTTGCTGTGCGATGGAGGCGTGGCGGCGAGGGCTCCACTCCCTCTAAAATGCAGGCATTCGCTAGATCCTGAGAGTTTCAAGTATCTGTGACACCTTTCTCACCTTTCTCACCTCTCTCCCTCTCTCCCTCCCTCCCTCCAGTTCTGCAGACTTAAGTTAGACCTCTGCATTCCGTGCTCGAGGCCTGAATTCTGTTCAGCTGCCCGCCATGCGCACTGAGCTATCAGCGTTCTCCTTCTTGTCTATATTTTTCCTCCTTCTAATTTCACCCAGTCAATGGAAATCTGCCAGCGTTCCGAATATCTTGACTATTGCTTGGTTGCTTGTCTGTAACATCATCCATGCAGTCAACTCTTCGATTTGGGCGGGCAATGTATTCGTCCACGTCCCAATTTGGTGCGATATAGGTCAGTGCTGATGCTTTGAAGCGGATTGTCATGAATCCTGAATTTTGCTTCTTCTAGCAACAAAGGTTCTATTAGGCGTGATGATTGCCGTACCAGGCGCCTTTCTCTGTCTTTGCCGTCGCCTGGAGAGAATCTCCTCCAGAGACGAGACCCGACTTAAAGGGAATAAGCAACACACAAGGGTTTTTGAAGCATTCTTGTGTCTCTTTTTGCCCGTCGTCTACATGGCTCTGCGTACGTTTCGCTATCATGATCGTTCTCTTCGTATCTCTAACAGTGCTCGCAGATGTAATTGTACAGGATCACAGATTTGACATTGTTGAGGACTTCGGCTGCCAACCCGCAACCTTTATGTCACTCCCTGCGTTGATCATCGTTTGGCTCCCTCCCTTAGTAATCTCCGTCGTCGCATTACTTTACTGCGGTATGTTTCCTCGCCAATCGTGAAAGCAATTTGCATAGTGACAGCTGTTTTCTTCAGTGTCTGCGTCAATAAACGTTGCCAAAAGTCGTTACAACTCTTGGCCTCTTTTCCCTTCAGCACCTGAGATGTCATTGTCCTTGTTCGTTCGTCGAGTCGTCTTTGGGGTCACAGGGATGACATATACGGTGGTCGTGTATGTCTTCATCTCGTCCACAGTAACTCTCAGTGCTTGGTCGTCAATCTCCGACGTTCATGCACAGTTCTCGAAGATCGAGATCTTGCCTCTTGGGTCGGCCGCAGGCACACAGAATGAGCTAATCTGGTGGGCTATACCGCTTTGGACTATACTCATATGCATTACCTTCGCGTTTGAAGAAGAGATGGCACAGAATTATCGCTCTCTGATTAACTGGAGTTTCCGGCGCATTGTCGGAAGAGATATCCTTTCTGTAAGGTGAGCGTCTAACGTACTGGTTGCCATCCATATGCGTGTACGATGTTCATCGAATCCTGGTTTCAGATCGAAATATGACGACATGATTACTACCACGTCCACAACACCCATTCACTTGCTGAAGTCAGGTTGGGACGACACGCTCAATACAAAATCTTCCATATTTACCCTCAAGCAGAAGCGTAGCGTCTTCGCGCAAAATACGTCTGCTTTGACTCTCTCAACGCTGAGTCCTCCAGCGTCTCCGGAAGCGGATGCTTCATTCACACAGTCCACTCTTACATACCTCGAATCAGATACTGCGCGTCAACTTTGTCTCCCGTCCCCGCCTCCGACCTCCCAGTCACAGATCCACTCATCGTCCACTTCATCACCAATTGACACGCAGGATCGTGTCATCATACCGCCTTCTCATTCAACTGAAGCCCCGATACCTACCTCACCCTCCGAGTCTATGCTTTCCTCTGCTGCGTGGCCCGAACCGCCCAGAACTATTCCTTCGCCCCAACGCATAGCCCCATCATCCGCTGACACCCGTGCCAACGCCTCCTCTGTTGCAGGCCCCGCCTCAGCATTCTCACATCCTTACGCATATGCGACACCCTCGAGCCCCACGCGCTCTGCCTCATCTGCGCTCAGCGCAATGTCGTCTGGACGCCTTGACTTGTTTGGCTACCCACTTCTTCCCATAGCCCGCCCTGCTCACCAGATGCGTGACATCCCCTTGAATGTTGCCGGTCCGAGCATGATGCCTATTCCGAATCCAAACCCTCTGCCGCGACGATATGCAAGCGTACCGCGCTCGACCAGAGAGCATCAGCATCGTTCTTCGAAGAAGGCTAGGAAATTAGCGGGAATCCATATGACTGTGGTGAAGGAAACGGTCTGAGTATCTCAAAGGTTTGAATATTAAGAGAAATTGGCGATCGATTCGCTCCTGAAACGGGATTATAATGCTCTATGATGCCTCGCTATTTATGCAGATTTATGCCTTTCACTAATCGTCTTCTGCGTATGAGTATACTTCACGTTATCAATGTCCTTTCTCATCCCAGTGTATCGTTCTACATCTCTACTTCATTGGTTTTCATCCTGACAACTTCTGTATTTATTCCATCTCCGAATGTATCATATGCTTGCCTCGAGATATATTTTCTGTCACTTAGGTTGGGGTCTCTGCGTCAGTCTGCACGGAGGTGTTTGTAACTCCGCAGCAACCTCACTAGACCACGTGTAATTTCGCAGCTCTTGCGAACATCGAAAGACTCTTCTCCTTGAACGTTCAACGTTGAACACTCCATAGCAGGCTCCTTCCCTCGAAGCCGGTATCTTCAATATTCACAGCCTCATTCTATGCACGGAGTAGCTATCAAGGGACTCGAGCTCGCTCAGCATGTCTCGAAACTGCATCTGGGCCGCACCGGAGGCGAGCTTGGAGGATCGTACGGAACGCAGCTCCGGACGTTCAGAACCTAGGTTTTGAACATATCCCAGTTTGGGTATAACGACGGAACGCAGCTCCGGACGTTCAGAACCTAGGTTTTGAACATATCCCAGTTTAGGTATAACGGATATGCTTATTTGGTCAATCGTCTTATATCGACACTCTCTATGTCGGAGCCTCCTCTGCAGGTTACTAAATAGTCGCTCGAGGAATAAGGCTGTCGGACGACGGGCCAATGCACCGAGTCCTTCCGGTGAGAAAACGATCGTGTCCGTCCCTTTGCGCCGATATATCTGATAGGCTCGAGGCGCTCTGTATCCTGTTCTAGCATATAGAAAGGTCCGTCACCACACCTTGTTCTATTCATTTCGTGACGCATTGATATAGACTGTGCGTGGGTACATAGCCACATTTGCTGGAGGACACCCGATACGTCGTAATCAGGATACATCATCAACCACACGAATCTCGGCGAGACCACTTCGCCACCTTGTCCTTCTATTTCTGTCCCAAAAGGATGACCCACATTTGGTAGCGGCCGAATGATCACGGCGACTCTTTTGGAAGCCTCCTGATGAATTTTTTGAGTTCCCATGCCTGACCGCGTTACCCATCATAAGGATACCCATTTGTGTTTCCTCGAGTACAAGGCGGTTCGCCAACATCATCATACATAAGATGAGGGCGTAAGTATCAAGGCTATCGACCGCATACTTTTCTGCAGCTCAGGGCCATCGCGGCAGATCTTCGTTCTGCATGCCCCTTTAACCTTTAGCTTTCAACACATCCTTGTGATCTCCTAGACCATATGGCGGCGCCTCCAAACCAACTGTTTTCAGCTTTTGCCTTCATCGGCTTTGTTATGTGCAGTGTGCCATTTTACTGGCATCTTGAAGGCGAGTCGGACTCAGGCTTGACATTGTGTAGAGGCGAAGCAAACTGACCCGACCATAGCTTGGAATACTGGTACCTGCTTGTACATGGCGTGGACCGGGCTAGCATGTTTAAACCAATTCATCAATTCTATCGTCTGGAACCACAATGCGATCAATTGGGCACCAGTTTGGTGTGATATCTGTGAGAATCTGTACACGCCCCATGTGTCACGATCCTACTGACAACGACTCACATCAAGCCACTCGTTTCATGATCGGTACCACCGTCGCCATTCCTGCTGCGTCTCTTTGCATCAATCGTCGCCTATACAACATTGCATCTATTAAAGCTGTGACTATCAGCAGAAAGGAGAAACAGCACGGTATCATGATAGATCTAGCCATTGGGCTCGGGATTCCGATCCTTGAAATGATTTTACGTGAGTATGTAGCAATTATGAAGCTACTGTCTTTAACATCACCGCCATTCCAGAATGCATCGTGCAGGGTCATCGTTTCGATATTCTCGAGGACGTTGGCTGCTTCCCTGCAACCTACAACACCCCACCGGCTTATGCATTGACGCTTGCATGGCCCGTTGCTATTGGAGCTGTGTCATTGGTATATTGTGGTGAGTTATGATGCAATGCTGTCTGTGTGGTGTGGACTGATGTGAGTATAGTTCTAAGTATCCGACAGTTCTGGATACGGAAGCAGCAATTCAATGACATCGTCTCATCCAATCGCAACCTCAATCAGAGTCGCTACCTCCGTCTCATCGCCTTGGCCGGCATCGAATTGCTTGGAACTATACCCCTCGGCTCATACTCGCTTTATCTCAACACCACAAATAATTCGATACACCCTTGGATCAGTTGGGCTGATACCCATTTTGATTTCTCACATGTCGGCCAAATACCTTCTGTGATCTGGCGTGCGGATAGCCAGGTAGAGGCATCAGTCGAACTCAGTCGCTGGTTGATTGTACTTTGCGCTTTCATCTTCTTCGCTTTTTTCGGGTTTGCGCAAGAGGCGCGCAGACATTACAGCCTCGTCTACACACACGTTTCCTCTCGCCTTGGCTACTCGACTGTTACCACGGGTTCCACCAACTTCACCGGGTAAGTTATTCTCCCTTTTCGACTCACCCATTTCTCCTAATACATCTTTCCCTTGCGTAGCTCCAACTCATGGAAGCTCCCTACCATGTCGTCTAGCGGGGGTGGATACAATCTCCCTATCTTCATCAACTCTAGAAAAGCCTCCTCCGATACACTCTCTACTTCCATCTTTATCGATGCTCTCCCGCATGATACAGATTTCAAGCGCGGTCCTCGAAATGATCTACCTCCGCCATCGTTCGATTTACGCAAGTCCTTACCATCGACGCCTGATTCTCCTGTGTCAGAACACGAGTTCACGCAGCCACGGCCTGACTCGCCAGCGTTGGACCCAATGGCATTGCCACCGCGTGCGCTGGAAATATGGACAGCACCTCGTCATGCTCCCGATGCGCCTATACCTGCTCGCCCAGGATCAACATTCACCATTTGAAGCTATATAGTTTTGAGTTTCGTAATTCGACTACTCTCCATGACGAAGTCCGTCTGGGTGTTGTTCCTTCGCTCTATGCTTCGTGGTCTTTATTCAAACAGACTTGGTGTAGCCTTAGTACAGTGTTGTTTTCTATATCTATATCTATATATCAGACGATGTTTCGTTCGTCCTAGCTACGACGCTACGTGCATCATTCATTCTCGTTGATCCCATCGTCATGGACGTGTTCAGACTAAATTTCATGCATCATATTATAGCGTGAGTTTGTTCGAAGGCTACGTATTCTCCGTGGCAGGTAATTCCAAGTACAGCAATTTATCCGAAGGAATCTGAGGCAGCTGTGAGCAAACAGGTACGCGACAGTTACGCGACCCTTTCGGTTTGGAACGTGGGAACTTGGGCCTCGATCAGTCAACCTGTTGGTGCGCCTCCGAAGACAGGACCCCCGAAAATATGTTGGGAGGCCGGGTGGCCGATCCGGCAAAATTTTGAGATTTTTGAGCCCTAGGCCTGATCCAGTCCGAGAAAAAATGGCCCTCCATGGTGCCGAGGCCTGACCCATGTATCCTGCAAAAAGTCATATCCAGATGGTATGCCTGATCAACATCCGGCAATTTATGGTGGGTGTAGTGGTCGATGGTTGGCGGTTAGGTGTGGAAACTGAGTTGGCACGAGCCCTCGGGTTCGAATCTTATAGAGTCCTTTTTTTAATCTAAATTCAACTTGTTCAAGCTACATAAGCTGCCAGCGCAGACTAACGGTTTTCAAATAACGTTCAGCAATCACAATGTCAGACATCCTTTCCAATTTATTCTCGTCTAATAAAATATACCACGGCCATTGTTGCAGCTGTGAAGCGACTACAAGGGTTACGATGGCGCGGCGCAGGGGGCAAGGAGAATAATGGTACACTGGTGGCGCGGGGGATGATGGTGACGGCTCTGTGATTGTTTGGGGTGGGTTTTCTCATCTGTGGTGTTCTGTATGTTGTATTGTGCTGTCTAGTAGTGTCTACTACGCATTCTGACCATTGTAAGGCTCGAAAAAGGCCTGAATTTAGCAATCCGGCAATTTTTGGGCACCTGGAAGGCCTGATCTGGCGAGTCCGGCGAAAATTTGACTTTTTGAGGCCTGATCTGGCAATCCGAGCATTTTTTTGCGAATCTTACACATGCCTGAACTTATCTAGCAAGATTTGGCTTGATTTTTGGGGTTTTGCGTCCGAGCAATTTTGCCGACTTTTGACAAATTTCCACCCGGCCTCCCAACATATTTTCGGGGGTCCTCCGAAGACTTCCAGTTCATCTTTTAGCAACTGGCAGGTTCCTGGTGACAGGAGGTCAGAGATGTGATAGAGGTCTACACGCGCCGCAGAATGCTAAAGATTGCTGACTACCTTGCTTCAAACAGGCAGAGATATCGTTCACTAATAGTGTTGAGCGAAGGCCACAAATCTGCCTCTATGGTTGCCCAATCAAAGACTGGGTTACCCGTCAGTCTGTACAGCTATTTTTGTGAAACTGAAGGACCATTTTGACATATAATAACTCCTTTACCTCAGTTTGTGATCGCCGACGACAGCGGCGCCGAAGAATGCCACAAGCCGCATCCTCATATCCAGTAACGTTATGATTGTGGAATATAAAGAGTCTACAGACGTCGACTATTTCGCTCCATCGCTTCACCCTCTTTGAATTCGTCTCATCATCTGCAGTAGGTATGGATCCAGGATTTCCTGCGTTTCCCATCATCCTCATACTTGGACTCCTCCTCGTCCTGATCCCTCTACCTTGGCATCTTCGTTCTTGGAACTCAGGCACTTCCTTGTACATGATCTGGATCGCAATTGCGAGCATAAACCAACTCGTTAATTCAATCGTCTGGCACGATAATACTATAGATCATGCACCAATATGGTGCGACATCTGTAAGCTTTCACTGATTGTTCGACGATGCGTTCGTGAATTTTCTCGTTAGCCTCTCACTTGATCATTGGAATATCAGTCGCTATCCCCGCCGCATCGATGTGCATCATGCGACTGATGTACAGCATTACTACTGGAAAGTCTGGTTCGATGAGATCGCAAGACGTGAGTCGGCGATGCCAGGTATCATACCTTTTACTAAAACGGACTTCGATTCCAGAGAAAGCACCATCTGATCATTGATTTAGCCATTGGCATCGGCTTGCCAGTATTGGAAATGATCTTCAGCAAGTCATTGAATTGCACTGTACACCTTTTTGTGCCGCTAATGCCCCACTTTTCGAACAGGCTACATCGCTCAAGGTATGCAACAATCATCTCCTCCTATCAGAAATTTCATTCAGCTGATTCTCTATCTATGCAGGTCACCGCTACAACATCTTTGAGGACATCGGCTGCTTTCCAGCATTGTATTTTTCCCCTGTAGCCTTTGCACTTGTAGCGATTTGGCCTCTTGCAATTAATCTTGTCTCCGCAGTGTACGGTGGTGCGTTGAGAACGCCCTTATCCTTTCGTCTGCCTTCATCTTCTCATTTCCCTTTCAATTTCAAGCTTTGGCCATCAGAGCACTCATGACGCGCCGAAATGCGATCAATAAATTTCTTGCCGAGTCAAACTCGTCACTGTCCATGGGTGTATACTACCGCTCGATGGCCTTAGCATCTACGGAAGTTGTCTTTGCTATTCCTTTCAACATCTACCTTATTTATAACAACACTCGTCACGGTATCCTTCCCTGGAAGGGTTGGGAAGACGCTCACTCGAATTTTTCCCGTGTCCTTCAAATCCCGTCCGTCGAATGGACGTTAGACTACGAGTTCTTTGTGGCGATGGAAGCAACTCGATGGTCGATTCCGATTTGCGCTTTCCTTTTCTTCTTCTTTTTTGGCTTCTCTGGAGAGGCACGACGAATATATCGTCAAGTCTATGAGTTCTGTCTCCGGCGCGTCCCGTTCATTCCCAAAGAGTGAGTAGCATCTACCTCAGTCTGTATCGCCTCTGAAGATACTTACATTCAGAGACAACAACAAGACTACCATGTCTACACTCATCTTCACCCTCCCTACCACCTCATATCCACCGAATCCTGGAGCTGATACTTTTATCCTCAACATCACGAAGGAGAATACTCCAGCTCTCCCTGAGGCGGATCTACCATAAGATGCCAGTTTTCTTCTGTGTAGCTTCCGTGGATTCTATCCCTCACTTTTCATCATGTACCTCGCTATTTTCGTCGCAGTGCACTCCCACAATGTATCATACTGCATATTTGAATGTTCTGTACTTAGCATCGGTTCTCATATTTTCCGGACATTTTACTCGCCGTCTCAATACTATCTATTCAACATGACCAGTGTCCCATACTGAAGACTAACACCGCACATTGCCCCCAAATATCCCCAGGGGATATTCGGGGTATATTAGCAATATACCTGGAATATACCTGGAATATACTCGTCAGGGAATATCCCTCAAATATCCCCCAGTCAATCCCAACTGGGAGATGACTCATCCATTTCGACGGTCACCTGATGAGTGCGCGTCGTCGGACAGCGTCGAGATTTCTCTTAAGTGCTCCCTTCGTCTTACTCTCTAGGAGCCTCCAGTGTGCACATATTTTGGTGAGTCTTTCTCCCACTGAAACATGTTTCCATATGCTCTATAGTTCCGGTTTTCTCATATAATGAGATCTAATGCCTGAAAATGCGGGATCAGAGCGCATATATGCGTCCATTTAGGGCGGGCCGGGGTGGGACTGAAGGAGATTGCAAGCACAGCCTACGACGTGTGTGTGGCAAGAATTGTCAGAACGGTGGGTATTGCGAGTGTGAGCGTGAACGTTGGATGGATGAGATCAAGGGTAAGCACAGGCTGAGCTTGGTGGCGTTGGCGTGGGTGCTAGCATCTGTGTTTCTCATGCGCATGGTGGCTCGGATTAGCCTCAGAGTCTGCGGTGCGCACGCAAGTGCCAATGTTGTCGGGGCAGCAGCAGCAACATCAGTGAGGCCAGTGTTCATCTGGGCTCTCCGTGTCACAATGCTAACCCCCCGCACGGCAGTACTGACCCCCGCACTACACCGTATTCTTTCCATTCCCCTCGCTCCCTGCACTCGCCAACCTTATCAAGCTGCAACCCTTCCTGGTGACCTTGTCTCTTCCCGCACTGATCTTCTCAGCCTTGACACGCATGCTCACCCCGCTCCTCCGCAGGATGCGCCTCTACGTTGCCGGCACCGATGCACTCGCCAGCGGCTGCGTTTGTGCGCGTGGCGTGCTACCAGATGTGCTCGTGTTCGACAGCGCGGTGCCGCAGCCCGACGCACCCCCCAAAATGTACTCCTCGAATTCGAGGCCACGCGCGGACGCACCGCTCCCGCCACCGCAATAGATTCTTGCGTCAAGGTGCTGGTCGTCCCATCCCTGATGCGCGCCGTGGCTGCTTGCGTATGCGGGGGAACATCTAGCCGGGATTCGCACCTCTCGCCTCTTCAAGTATATTTTGTAGATCTTTCAAGCCTTAGAATTGTCGTGTAGCCTTCAATAGCATGTATTAGTTTTATGATTTGTTAATATATTTATTTCTCTATCTATGGAGCGCATATAAAGTGATTGGAATGATATCGAGCTCGAATAAACCCACAATATACTGTGAATATACTCAGTACCCAGGTATATTCACGGTATATTCAAGACATTACCTTGAATCGACCGTGAATATCCCCGGAGGGGAGGTGGGTATATTCGCGGTTGATTCCGGGTATATTGCTAATATACCACAGATATCCCCTGGGGATTATTAGGGACGATGTGCGGTGTAAGCCATACCAGTCTTGTGTACTGTTGCAAAGCAATTATTAGACTCTAGACTTGGAGTTTTCCCACGTGGTTGCTAGGTAGTGCGGCAAGAGCCGGATACTTATACGAGCACACTACGAGCGCCTCCTGGCCAGCCTCCGACTCCTCACTGTTCGCGCAGCCATTTTCACGCTCTGGAGACATCTGGCTATTGTGTGCTCCATTACAAGTAGCATATCAGGTTTCCGAAATCGCGAAATTATCAATTCGTAGCGAGGTGCTTCAGGGAATGGTGCTACCAGCAAACCTGGCAGTGTATGCTCATCCAGTTCACTCATATTGACAAATTTCTATGCGGGCGCTATGCTATGGGGTCGGCATTACGATTAAGTGTCAGCTTTTTCCGTTATGTCACCGCGGCTTTCTTGCAACTGGCCCCCTCCTCCACCGTGGTACCTCTACGCGGCGCTTCTGCCTTAAGGTCAATTTTGCCTCGCAAATCTCACAGACTCAGCCTTATTCTGAGTAGGTAGTTTGGTATGTTCCCAGTTTGTTCACCTTCTATGCATGCGATCATCGAAGTGTCTTTTCGTTCAATCTGAGCTGTTGCTCCTTCTCCAAATTGTACCTGTCCTTTATCTTCGGTGGTCGATGCGACGCTCCTTCTCCTGTGATTTCGACGATCATGCGCCCTCTCTGAGCCTATATTATGTATTTGCCAGGACCGCAGGTGCCCAAGATCAGGAAGATATCAGGGACCCATGCCTTTTGGAACCTTAGTTATTGCTTCGATGACTATCCTCCCATGCTCATTACTTCTCGTGGTCATCCTGATTCCTCAGAGACGTACTTGGTCAAGGAGGAAATTGGAGCCACCACGTGGAAACTACAAAGGGATGCCACGAACGGGGACAGATTCCAAAAAAGATAGGTTCAAAGACCCGTCCAAATTAGGAAACCACCCACGGACCGACTCGATCATCTTTCTAGCTGGATTGCCGAGTACAAGGGGATTGCCTTTTCTCGAACTCAGCTTGTTGGGCCCATGGATTCCACTCTTAAGCTTTGGTAGATGTCACCGCATCCTCAGCTTGCCGTTTTTCGTCGAGCCTCAGCGGGTGCCTCGAGATTCGTTGAAGCAACCACCCCACCCTGAGCTCTCTCATCGTTTGTTCCGCTGTCTGACTTGATCGCTACCATGGGAGCTCCACCGAACGAGGTCTTTACAGCGTTTGCCTTCGTGGGTTTCGCCATGTGCACTATACCGTTTTATTGGCACCTGGAAGGTGAGTTTCGTGAACCTACAATGTAGTACTTCGTTTTTACCTTGCTTGGGATAGCCTGGAATACAGGAACTTGCTTGTACATGGCTTGGACCGGAGTGGCGTGTCTCAACCAGTTCATTAACTCGATCGTCTGGCATCACAATGCGATTAACTGGGCTCCGGTATGGTGTGATATCTGTAGGTGCTCCAGTTACTTGCATTATCGTTTCAAGCACTCAATGTGATTCGTCGAAAGCGGCCCGAATCATCATCGGCTCCAGTGTCGCTATTCCTGCTGCCTCACTCTGTATCAACCGCCGCCTCTACAAAATCGCGACCATTAAGTCGGTCATGATAACCAAAGCCGAGAAACGTCGCGGTGTCATGATTGATCTCGCCATCGGTGTTGGCATCCCCGTCCTTGATATGATTTTGCGTAAGCATCGACACAATTGATCGTCGTCTATCTCACCTCCTTCGCAGAATATGTCGTTCAGGGTCATCGCTTCAACATCCTCGAGGATGTCGGCTGCTACCCAGCCACGTATAACACACCTCCAGCCTATGCATTAGTTTTTTGTTGGCCGCTGGCAATTGGAGTAGTCTCATTTGTCTATTGCAGTAAGTCCCCTGCTCCTGGTATCGTCATTACGCGATATTTACATGAAAATAGGTCTCACAATCCGGCAATTCTGGAAGCGGAGACGACAATTCAACGACGTCCTTTCCTCTAGTCGCAACCTGAATCAGAGTCGCTATTTCCGTCTGATGGCTTTAGCCGGCATCGAGCTACTAGGAACCATACCTTTGGCGTCGTATTCTATCTATCTCAACGTTACAACCAATCAAATTCAAGAGTGGAAGGGTTGGGCAGACACACACTCAAATTTCTCTCGTGTACAGCAAATTCCTGCCGTTCTATGGCGCCTCAATCGCCAAGAAATGATTTCAGTGGAACTTAGTCGATGGCTCCTGGTCCTCTGTGCTTTTATATTTTTCTTTTTCTTTGGCTTCGCAGACGAGGCGCGCAAGCACTACCGTCTGGCTTATACTTCTCTCGCCAGCCGACTCGGCGTGTCCACCATCTCTAGCTCGACAGTGTCATCAGAGTACGTTTGGCTTTCTGTCCTTCTCTTCTGTCAACGGCTTCTGATAACAATTTCCAATCAGCTTCAGCTCATCGAAATACCCTCGGATGTCCAACCTGCCAGCTTTCACATCCTCCGATCTTTCTCGTATCAAGCGTGAATCTCTTCTTTCGTCCTCGGATAAATTATCAACTTCAATCTCTATTGGCGAGTTTGGTATCATTCAGGAGAAAGCATCTCCATATTCCCCCACAGACTCGACAGCGTCGTCGTCACTTGATTCCCTTGATCGATTTGCGCGGAGGTCGTCTTCTTTCAATCCTCACCATGTCATCGCTCCTTTAGAGCCGTCGCTCGACATCACAGCCGTGTCTCGTTATTCCCCCGAAGCGCCCCCACCACCGCCGCGACGTGCATCAATCGAGACCGTCTGATTTCCTCTACCTCACGGACACCTTCACCTATCCCTTCGATCCAAAATATTGCGATATCTTCCCCGTGGACATCCACCGACGGTCTTCGATATTCTTCCTTGTAATTCTAGAATCATACCCTTTCGTTCCCCCCAGCCTTCCTCCCGACTGCAAGGTCGGATCTGATTGTATTGCTATTTTGTTCAATTATGGATTTCTTCGGGTCCTGTATTTTAGTGTAGCCAATACGTACTAGATCAATGTCTCCCAAGGTAGCTAGCTACTCGTGGAAATCTTTACGGTCGCAAGCCAAACGTTTGCTAGCAAGCTGGGGGCGCTTGGCATGCCTTAGTAGTCGATTGCGTTTGCTACGGTTGAATGTTGAACAACCACCTGACTAGGCTCGGGCTGTTCTTCGTGGCGCAGCGACTCCCATCCCAAGAGCCTTCAGAGCCATCATGCTGCGGTATGGTGCCAAGTTGCTTGGGGGCGTCACCTTTCTTGCTGCTGCGGACTATGCACTTCCTCATATATCACCGCAGACTCGTTTTCTCAAGGACAACAGTCAGCAATGCAATTACTCATTCTCTAGGATTTGTTTCAGCTGTCAAACGTAGACATATATAAGCCTACATGTAGGTTGTTTGAGTCGTCATCTCATTGTCTCTAAAGTCAAGCTAGTTGTGACCTTCTCACAATCACCATCAGCATGTCTCTCGTCGTCGTGCTTGATTTTTCTTGCAATTCATTTGTAACGCTTATATATGCACGAGGTTTGTACTACAGGTCACTGGAGCCTCTGGATTTTTAGCATCCGTCATTATAGACCAACTCCTTGAAGCTGATTACAAGGTCCGGGGGTATGTCACATTGCATCGCTCTGTTTCCGGCCTATGTCTCAATCTACACATCGATACTCAGCACTGTTCGATCGTCTGAAGCCGCCCGTGTGCGAGTCGCGTACGGGTCTTTCGGTGATCAGTTCAATATTGCAGTGGTGGACGATTTGGCCACCTCTGACTTGTCGGATGCGTTTCGGGGTGCTGATGCATTGATTCATGTCGGGTCTCCTATGTCCACGGGGGGTGGGGCCGCTGACATGCTGAAGGCATGTCTACAGGTTGAGCACCGCAACGAGAAATAATTGATGACCTCTTAGGGCGCCATCTCTGGCACTGAGAGGGTCCTCGAATACGCTGCCACGGCTGGCGTGAAGAAGATCGTTGTCACCGCGAGTATAATCTCTTTGGTGAATCCCAAGCTCATCTTCACAGACATCAAAGTCACTGCAAGCGGTACTTGAGTTCATGCCAATTGATTCCGTTGCACAGTTTTGACATACTGTCTGCCATCAGATTGGAATGACCAGACGTTTGAGGATGCTATCAAGCCAGATGCGTCGCCTTTCGAGGTGTATGGTGCATCAAAAAAGCTCGCTGAAGAGGCTGTTTGGAAGTTCGCCGAATCTCATCCCGACATCGATATCGCGACAGGTAGATCCCCATCTCGATACGATTCCGCCATTGTCTGACCGATCGTGGCGTTGGCAGTACACCCGCCTTTCTTGTATGGCCTCCCAGGTCGTGGCCAGGTCATCGATACGCCCGCCGGCAGCACGAACAACGACATCTACAATCTCATCTCCGGACCCAAGGGTCGCCCGCTGCCCGCCCCCGGCCACCCAGCGTTCACCAACGTCGCGGACGCGGCGCGCGCGCACGTCGCTGCTCTGAAGACTCCTCTTTCGGGACAGCCGAAGCGCATTCTTCCCGTTGGAGGGAAGTTTACGTGGAAGCAGGCGGTTGAATACCTCGCTCAAGGCCTGGACTCAAAGAAAAGCTGCCTGTGTTGGATGGCTCGGAGCAGACGGTAGCTGCGGCCGAGTTGGACCCAAGCAGCGCGGCCCTCTTGGTAGGGTTAGACAAGTATATCAGCTGGCAAGAAACGCTGGAGACCACGATCGATGAATTTTTGAGGAGGGAGAAGGAGCTCGGTATAGTGGTGTAACGGAAACGGGGAGTTTTGTGATCGGCTGTAAGCGTCTGTACGGATACATCTGTGAAATCTCATTGAAGTCAGTGAAACTTTGTTACATGAATATCCCTTTTTTATATCTCGGGTTTGGTGCTGTCCGTGCTTGTACGGAGCTAGGCGGAGCTCCATGACGGGCCCTGTACGACAAGTTGAATCTTGACAACCCTACCGCGCCCAGCAATTGAAGGAGAGGAGAGGGCACAGGTGCCGGTCCGTGTCAGGAGTTTAAGACTCTTGCCATAAAAAGGTGTCGCCTACCGCTCCCTGTCCGGGCCTTGGCTTGTCTACCGTCCTCTGCGTACAACGTCATGTTCGCAACTTGTCAAAAGGACATGGTGAGGCTGCTTAGTCTTCGGCGCTTCGCACGAGCCAAGGCATTGTTCCCACGGGTCGACTGCATTCTGTTCGGGCCGGCTTCTCGGGGACTCTGCGTCAACATCCCCGACTCCCTTCCATTCCTTGCTGGTACAGTACAGGGGTAAGCCTCCTCGCTATGTAACAAATTGCTCAGCCCACTACCGCAAAATGCCCCATTGCCGGCGCCCGCAGTCTCAGAAAGACAAGATTGATGACCAATCTCTGCGCTCACTATCGAGAAACGTTTTCGGCGCGTCTGAACATCAGTGTATATAAGGTATGTGGTCTAGGGAGGACTGAATCTTCGGCTTCAGCACACATCATCACCTGTCTCTCAACTTGAAGTCAGTTTCAAGCCAGTCCCAAAGATTCTAGCATGTCCCTCGTTGTTGTGTGTATCCCTCCACCTCGTCTCTCATGGCAGTAGCCTGAGAGACTCGCCTACAGGTCACTGGAGCCTCTGGGTTCTTAGGATCTGTAATCATAGACCAGCTGCTTGAAGCTGGTTATAAGGTCCGAGGGTATGTTATGCTTCACGTCTCGCGCAGATGATATATTGATTACTTCACACCTCCGTTCTCAGAACTGCTCGATCCTCTAGAGCCTCTCGCGTGCAGGCTGCATACGCGTCTTTTGGAAGTCAATTTGAGGTGACCGTGGTGGAAGATCTGGCCACTTCTGACCTGACGGACGCCTTTCGAAATGCTGATGCCCTAATACATGTCGGTTCGCCTTTGTCCAGCGGAGGAGAGGCGGCCTTCATTTTAAAGGTACGCATGAATTTTTATCGTCGGGCATAGAGTGACCAAGAACTTGCCTTTATCAGACTGCTATTTCCGGCACGGAAAGGGTCTTAGAACATGCCGCCGCGGCCGGCGTCAAGAAGATCGTCGTCACCGCGAGTATCGTTTCCCTAATACATCCCAAACTCGTGTTCACGAATGTCACGGTCGACGCAAACGGTACTTTGACTCAATTCACCTGATGTCCTAACAAACTCCTAATTCACTTTCTTACCCACAGATTGGAATACCCAAACGTACGAGGATGCTCTCAAGCCAGATGCGACGCCTTTCGAGGTGTATAGTGTGGCCAAAAAGACCGCAGAAGAGGCTGTGTGGAAGTTTGCCAAATCCCATCCTGAGATTGATGTCGCGACTGGTGGGTTTCAGGCTCTTCTTAATCATACCTCCATTTGACCCGTTAAATTGAAGTACACCCACCTTACTTATACGGTATCCCGGGTCGTGGCCAAGCCATCGACGCCCCCGCTAGCGGTACAAACCACCACATCTACAAGCTCATCTCCGGTCCAAAAGGTCGCCCTCTGCCTCCTCCCCTCAATCCCAGTTTCGCGAACGTCGCGGATGCAGCACGTGCTCATGTCACTGCTTTGAAGGTACCCCCCTCTGACAAGCTAAAGCGTATCGTCCCAGTCGGAGGTAGATTTACGTGGAAACAGGCGGCTGAATACCTCGCCAAGGCAAGGCCCGAACTCAGAGAGAGGTTGCCTATATTCGATGGTCCGGAGCAGGTGACTGCAGCTGCTTCATTTGACTCTAGCAGCGCGGCTCGTCTGGTCGGATTGGACGAGTACATTGGCTGGCAAGAAACACTGGAGACTACGATCGATCACTTATTGAAGAGGGAGAAAGACTTGGGAATAGCCGTGTAACATAATCTACGCGCATGATACAATAATCAATCGTCTTCGAATCTATTTTCTAATGCTGCGTCTTTATCTGCATCTTTGTTAGTGATTGGTGCAATTCAGACGAGAAAAGATATGTTTGGGATCCGGCTAGATTGCAACCAAGAAAGGCAGGTTGACTGCCGGATTGGGTCATTTCGTAACTTTCGCGCTCACATCGAAACATTCGGCTCACTTTCTCTCCATGGCATCCTCTGGTCCAGCCAGCATTATCAGGGATGAGAAAAACCCACGGGGTATACCCAAGGCTCTCTTCATCGTAAGCATGTCTCGAGTATCCATATACTGTCAATTTCCTTGATGTGAGAGAACCTTCTGTAGAGCGATGTGGAGCAGTATCTCGGTGGTCCAGATGCCGAAGTTGAAAAGGTCTTGAACGCATTTCAGGATGCGCTTGCGTATGTACGAGGGTCCTTCCACTGTGCGCTTCTGCTTACCTGGACGGACGAACCTCAGGAAGTATCGATACATGGACAGTAATTTGAATCAGCGACGACGGAGTCTCGAGGACAAGATCCCTGACATCAAGAAAACGTTGACTATGGTCGAGTACCTCCGGGACAGACGGGTGCGTACCCCCATCTGGCGTCACTCTTTCGCTACGAACGCCTGACCATCCGCACGATCAGGAAGGAAAAAGCGCTGCACCAGCAGACGAAGATGAGCTGGACGACGACGTAGAGGATGAAGAGGAGACCAAAAAGCCGCTGCGGACAACCTTCGAGCTGGCTGATACGCTATACGCAGAAGCAGAGCTAGAAGAGACGGATACTGTCTACCTATGGCTCGGGGTGCGTTCTCTGCTCTTGTTCCCTTTCCTCTTGCTGAAACGTCACTTGCGTGTCTTTCAATGGCTGTCCTGAAGGCAAATGTGATGCTATCGTACAAAATCCCCACAGCTATTGAGCTGCTCAAATCAAAACTGGAAGCGGCACAGACGAGCTTAACGAACACAGTCGAAGATCTGGAGTTCCTCAGAGAGCAGCTAACGATTATGGAGGTTAACACGGCAAGAGTATACAATTGGGATGTCAAACGGAGGCGGGATCGGAGAGAGAAGGAGCAAGCAGAGAGTTGAGATAGTACAGTGTTCACTTGTATCAAGATAGTCTCCTCCGTACTCATGCATATCACATCCTCTATATTGACGACGCGAACATCTGTCGTAGCCGAAGCCGGGATCGTAACCCGAGCACTATACTTCCTCTTCTCCGTCATCCCCGTCCTCATCCATGGCCAACTTCCTCTTTTTTCCTGGTAATTCTTTACCGTCGCCATACCCAACCCCAGCTTTCTTCCGCAACTCCTCGATATCCTGCTCGCCCTCCTCCGCCCACTCTAGGACCAGATGCCTACCTAGCAGATGCGTATGCTTGAGCGCGTTGTAAGCATTCTCCGCCTCATGACGTGTGACAAACTCCAAGAAAGCAAAGCCCCGCGTCCGCTGGTCGAATCGCTTGGGCAGGCGCACAGATTTAAGCTGTCCATGAGATCTGACCGACAAGTCAATACTAGAGATACAAGGCAGCTAGGAAAGTGAAGACAAACCCAAACAGCTCCCGAATCTCCTTCTTTGTGGCCTCGAATGGCACATTCTTCACGAGCATCTTCGTCGTCGTACCCTTCTTCTTGCCTTTTCCCTCGCTGTCCTCCTCTGTGCCTCTGCCGGCAAACTTGACGCTTAATGCGTGCCCATCCAGCACATAGCCATCCATACCCTTGATCGCCCTCTTCGCAGCATCAGCAGTCTTGAACCCAACAAAGCCGTAACCCATGCTGAGCTTCGCTGACGGGCGTTTTGAATCCGACTTCGTTTGCACACGAGCAAATGCAAAAGATGGAAGGTGTCGAAAGACTTGTGTGAATCGTTCCGACGTCGTAGCAAAGGACAAGTTCTTGACAAAGAGCGTCGTGCCCTCGGAAACAGGTGGTACATCGTCTTGAGCTCCACTTTCGCTATCGATCGTGACGGGCTTGACGCCATCGGCTGTGAGAGGACCATTTTGCTGATCACGGGCGCCTTCAGCTGGAGCCTCGAATATACCCAAGGGCCCCTTCTCGAGATAGATGACAGAGTTGCCCAGTCGCCGGTAGGCGACGGCACGGAATGCTTTGCTGGCTTCATCGGGGTGGATAAACTCAACAACGGCCATCGTCCCCGCAGGTGGAACAAGGACACGGCTCAACTCCCCATGGGCTTCGAACAATTCTCGGATCTGTTCTGCAGTTGTGCCATAAGGAATGTTCTTCACGAGTATAGTTGTATCAGACCGACGACGTGAGGAGAACGCAGACATGATGACACCCTGAGACTCAAGATACGTCTTTGTGTCTTGTATGACGTGCGTTTCTGCGAGTGCGAGTTTGACAGCAGCATTGGATGATTCGGGGTCAAGGACATCGGCTTTGGATATGTTCAATCGGTCGGCCACGGACGATAACACAGCATCGCTCTGTGATCAGAAAATCTTGGCATCATTGACAGCGATAGATAATGATTCAAGAAGGCGTACATTCATATACAACATGCTCCAATTAAATTCTTTCCCGGCCATCGTCTTACGCTTATCGTTCTGAGCATCCTTCACTGATTTTTTCTTTCTCTCGCCTTCTTCAACTGTCACGTTACCCCTTCGGTCGACCGCTCCCATGATATGAAGCAAACGTCCCTGAAAGGATTTCTTGTCAAGCGCTTTGTATGCTGCTAGGGCTGCGGTAGCACTTGAAAAAGTGACATAGGCAAGACCTTTAGGGTTCTTCGTCGTGATATCTATAGGAATATGAACCTATGGATTCCAGCGTGAGCATAAGCCATTCCACGAGCATCACAGAAGATTTGAGTATCAGTATAAACTATCTTTTCCCAAGCATAAATCAACACTCCCGAAGGATCTGATGTCCCTATGCAAGCTTTTCATCCGCAGGCGATGTGCCATTCAGCAAGAGATGTTCGACTTACCTAGAGGAGTCAAGACGAGGTTGGATATAGAGCATGGTCATTATGCGCAGCAGAGGAGGGACAATCCAACGAACACACCTAAAACAAAAAAAAAAAAAAAAATTGTGGTCAGCTTCGGATAAAGAGAATAATGCAGAGGCAACGAAAAGAGAATCAGTTAAAATACTATCTAGTTCCCGCATAAATCAACATACTCGTGAAGAGTCTGATGTCCCTATGCATTTTGTCATCTTGGAAACACCATGCGCGAAGACGAGACGGAGACGATAGCATACGGCTCACCTGCGATACCTCCCCGAACGGCTGAAACAGATCACGAAGCTCTGCTTCAGTACAAGAAAAAGCTAGATTTCGAACGAAGAGGCGTGCGGTCTGAAGGATTGTCTCCTTCGCCAAATCTTTCACCTCCGTCTGCACGTCCGTTGCATCCACATCCTGCTCTTCGTCATCTGACTGCTCGAAAACTTTGCCGCTGGCAGCGCCCGCATCCTCGACGTCTTGCTTCATCCTTCGTTTCAACCATTCCATATCTGACAGACCGTCTGGCGACTCTGCATTTACGAGCTCTTCATGATCCCGGGGCTTTTCAGCCTCTTCGCCCTTCTTGCATGATATCTCTGTGGACAACTGCGGCGTGGGATTGTCTGCCCATGAGGGTCCCTTCTTCGTCCGAGGCTGCATTATTCGCATATACTCGTCGAACTGTGCGTCGGCTTTCCCAGGAATTTTTCTACCACTAGCATTAGGCGCTGCGTTCTGCGACTGAGCGTTGGTTGACGACTCTGCGTCAGAAGGCGGAGGGCCTAGTCGTAGGCGTTTGTTTGGGCGAGGAGCGGGCGCATCCTTAGCTCCCTACAAGGGGTAGACCGTATGCTCTGGTCATCTAGAAGGTGATGGATGTGAACTCTGTAGCTACTCACATCGATGATATCAACCCTCACCCTTGTCGAATCGATGAATGTGTTGTCAAACCATTCCTTGGCCTTTGCAGCCTCGGCGTCGGTCTTGAAGCCGATGAATCCAAACCGTCTCGACGTACCGTCCTGCTTTAACGCGACTTTGACATCGGTGATGGTCCCACCTGGACCCTTCTGCTGAGTAAAATGTTCTTTCAAACGAGTGGGGTCAACATAAGATGGCAAGTTTTTGATAATAAGGCGAGACATGGAGCTTTCTCTGGTGGATGGATGAAGAGAGGAAGGAAACTGACGAAGGAAAAGGAAGAAAAAAAAAGAGGAAGGTCATTCCCGTGGGCGTGGGACTTTCGTACTTGTAAGCACCTGATGCGGAGCCGAAGCGTCACTTACTTCAGGCGCGTCGCGTCGATTCCACTCTTTGTTCCACTCCATCTTGGCTCTTCAGCACTTCATCCCAAGGATGCGCTCTCAAGCATCCACACATATAAAAAATTATCGAGATGTTGAGCGATGGAACTACGGACATGAGTTTGCATCTTCCCTCAATTTCAATGGTCTACTGAATGCCCTTCAAGAGCTTGACAACGACTCTGATTCACAAGAAGCTGAATCTTCCTCTGGCCCCAAAGTCGGAGAGAAGCGCCAACGGGAGACATCGACGTCTAATGTCCCAACCAAGCGCCTCAAGTTATCTGATAATCAGTCGGAAAGTCATGCACCACGTTGGAAACACGACGACAACTTCATCCCCGTGCTGAGCCACCAGTACGAACTGCAATACACGAAAGGAATCAACAGATCTACCCGCATCCAAGGCCCTAATGAAAAGAGCAAAGAGGAGGAGGCTCTCCTTTTCATCAAGGAGCATTTTACCAACACGGCAACGTCAACTGCCATTGACTTTGGAGAGATGATGTGCGAGGTTGGGCACCGAGGGGCAAAACTACGACGCCGAGAAGATGCCCTCTTAGGACAGTCGAATTCCTACATTGCTCTTATACCGCCTATCCCTCACGACTTAGATAGTGTCGACGGAAGTGGCAACAATGTCTTCGTATGGCTCTTGGAACTCTGGGGTCATCATTACTGTCGGCAAAGCATTCATGCGTCTCTGCGCATGATCGTCTCTCCACTTTCCTCGTGGGATGAAAAGCTAGAAAGGCTGCCGTTCCACCTGGTTGTGAACGTCACACTAGGATTCCGTCTCCCTGATATGTTCTCCTCTCCTCGGCTTCATCGCGGACTCGACAGTCTCAATAGTGGAAATAGACGGGGCATCGAAGCAGAGGCCAGACGAAAGCTGCTACATTTCTTGTTCCCTCCTGCTCCCCTCCCACCATCTCTAGCGCCAGCCTACGGTGGCAAAATTGACATTCCATTTATCTATTCGTGTCTTCAACCTGCTCCTCGGTTAGATTCGAAGACCTCTGAAGATGCTGCACAGCCAAAGGCTCTCATCCCCAGTCTTCTCCCTTTCCAGAAGCGGAGCGTTATCTGGATGCTCTCAAGGGAGGGTAAAACCCTTGATGCCTCAGGCGCTGTTGTAGATATACCAATACAAGCGACATATCTCCCACTGACTTGGGAGCGTGTCGTTTTGAGCCGCGAGAGCGGCAAGCAGCTTGTGTCCTACTATCAGCGCGTCACCGGTGCTCTTTCTATGGAGATGCCAGAAGAGGACGAGGTTGCTCGTGGTGGGATACTTGCCGAAGAGCCCGGGCTTGGCAAGACTTTGGAGTGTATAGCCCTCGTAATGCTGAATCCAGGTATTGGCAGGAACCCTTCGAACTCGCGTTGGGACCCTGTAGCCAAGATCGACGTGAAGGAGATTAGAGTAAGTCACACATTTGTTACGAGACACATCTTATTTACGATCTTTCTTGCTTAGGCTACCCTTATTGTTACGCCGGGATCGCTCTCGCAACAATGGAAAGATGAATTTGCGCTTCATTCACCGTCGCTCAAGGTTCTCGTGTACGATGGCTGGACCAAAGTCCCTGTACCTATCACTAAACCGCGTGTCACAGTCGAGACTCTAGTTCCAAAGGTTGAAAGCAAGACGAAGCGCAGGGTGACAGCAAGAACAAGCAAGTCTAAAGTTTCGAGCAAGAAATCCAATGTCACAGGTGAAGAGTCCGATGTCAAGGTGGACACTGCGGAAACACTCGATTGGTGCTCTTATGTGAACACTTTCGACGTAGTTATCACGACGTACAACGTGCTTCAGCAGGACCTCAATGTCGCCAGAGCGCCACCAGTGAGGCCAAGGCGCGGAGTGGCTGAGTATATGAAGACAGAAAGGCCGAGAAGTCCTCTCGTCATGGTTGAGTGGCACCGAGTCATCATGGATGAAGTCCAGATGGTCGGTGGAGGGAGGATACAGTACGCACATTCTTGAAATCCGTCGAGAGATTCTGACGTTGTCGTAGGGAGATGGTATCGCTCATACCGCGCTCTTCGTCCTTTGCCGTTTCAGGCACGCCTGCACGAGCGCATGTCTCCGATCTATCTCACGTTCTCAAGTACGGACAACATGCTTTCCATCGAAACATTGACTGAGTAATTTCTGCGTCAGGTTTCTTCGCGTAAACCCTGAAATCTACTCTCTGCGTGTTTGGGCACGTTTGACTGAACCTGAACACGTCACGGATTTTGCAGCCCTGTTCCAGCGGTATGCAGTTCGGTATGTATACCTAGCTCATTTCCCCAGAGTGCGTCATACCTAATGACTTCTACAGGACGATGAAAGCTAGTGTTCAAGATGAGCTCACAATACCTCAACAAACTCGCTTCCTTGTCCCCATAGAGCTAGGCAAAGTTGAGCGGCATGTGCGTTTACAAAATGTGTTCATGTCTTGACAGCCTCCTGATCATAGCCTCGTTGACAGGTCTACGACCAACATATGGAGAGGGCCTTACTTGAACTAGGTCTTGACGCTCGTGGTGTGGCAGCTACGGAAAACTGGCAGATAGACACGACCCTCCTGCGCACCTGGCTGCGCAAGCTTCGTCAGATCTGTACGCACCCACAGGTCGGACAGCTGTTGAAGCAGGGCGATAGATTGAACAAGCCTGGTGCGCTTAAGTCTATGGAAGATGTCTTGGAGGTGAACGTCAATTCTTGGAGTCTGACGCCATCGAGGCTGACGTACCTCTATAGAATATGAGGGACCAGAACTGGCGCAACCTCATGGATGATCGTCGTGCGAAAGTGAGCATGCTTTATTACATTGAGGCCACGGCACAACCTCACACATCACTCGTCACGCAGGTCAATGAGCTTGCTAGGCATGCTCAACTAGTTCAACATGACAATGCTATTGATGCTCGCTACCTACGGGCTTCTCAAATGCTGTTACAAGCTGAGAAAGAAGCCGATCAGCTCATGAACGATCTCAAAGCTGCCATCGCCGAACATGATGCCAAGGGCAACGAGCTGAAAAAAGAGGCTGCCTTACTCAAAGCGTCTCGGGCCCAGAGTAGCGAAGATGAGTTGGAGAAGGGCAAGGGCAAAGCACCCGCACGAGATGAAACACCTGCATTTGATGAAGGTTCAATGGATAGCGACCTCCCTAACACCGCCATTGGGGAGGAACACGGTATCAAACGACGGGCATTGCAGCAGCGCGTGAGGGAGTGCTACATCGCCATGCATCGGATCAAGTTCCTGCAAGGCGATGCCTATCATGTCATGGGAGATGCGAGAGCAGCTGAAGAGGATGCAGCATATAGTACAGCAGAAGAGTTGCGCCACAAACTTTTAAAGAGTAAGATCTACGATATTATCTTGTCTACGTCTTGTCCTGACACCTAATGCAGTTACAGAGGAGGCTGCGACACGTGCCATGGCTCAGCTCGCCAAGGATGTCAGTGCGAAGGGATTAACAAAGCAAGACCTCTTAGTATCCCTGCCGTATTGTCCCAAAGGAGGGAAGCGCTCTGCTGATTTAGTATGTGTGCCCCGTTCCTTTATCCCTAACTTAGTTGATCAGGGTTTGGTATTATCGGCAGCTCGAAGAGGCTGATAAGATCATCGAAGAACGGCTCAATGCACAAACCGAGCTTCTATGGCAATGGAGGGAGCACATATATGGACTCCTGACCCAGAACTTGACGGCGAGCGAGTCCGAGGCCGATGGACAGGAGTATTCTCGGACTATTGCAACGCAAGGCGAGGCAGAAACCTACTTACAGGCATATGCTGCGCTTATGGCTGACCGTCGCGAGGTGCTCCTCGCAGAGCGCACTGCACTAGCTGCTCACGATGTCAAAGAGAAGAAGCTTCGAAAAACACGGGCTGCTGTGAAGGCAGCGGCGGCTCTAGACGATGATTTCGAGATTCCAGACGATATCGAACTACAGCCGGAGCACGAAGTCCTTCAAAGAGACCTTACAGATGCCCGGAAGGACCTTTTGGAGGATATGGAGAACCGTGCTGTCAGATCGATTGTGGTGGAACTGGCTGGTATAGCTGCGAAGATCTCTCGAGACGACGACCCTGAAAAAATCATGGCCAAAGAAGGGGCCAATTCTCTCAGGCGTCTCATTTCTTCCCAAAGTCTGTACCCTGCTTCATTTCTCCGTGCCGTTTGTTGATGATTCCCATCCAGCTGCTATGAACGACAAATTAGAGGCTGACATCGCCCAGTTCCGCAAAGCTTTCAACGAGCGTATTCAGTGAAATTATTTTGCGAACCTATGCGATGAGAGCAGATCTAATAATGTGTTAAACCAGGTATTTCCGCCAACTTCAAGAAATTTCGGACTCTGTCGTGGAAGTTGAATGGGAACATACTATCGATCTTGCCATCGAAGAGAGTCGAGTAACGCAGCAAGAGTTAGATAGGAAGATCAACACAGGTCGTGCAAGGCAGCGCTATCTCGACCATCTTGCACAAAGTCAAGATGATGGTAACGACGAAGATGATGGGGCGTGCATACTGTGTCGATGCACCTTTACTCGAGGCTACATTACGCAATGGTGAATCCTACACGCCCTACCCCGAACGTGTTTGTAGCATGACGCTAACCGCAACCTCACCTAGTGCCCATATCTTCTGTGAAGTATGTCAAATAAGATAACAACCTACGAAAAGTGTATTAATTTATCGTTTCAGGATTGCATCAAGTCGTGGATCACTCGTCAGGGAGGCAAGGCTTGTCCTGTCTGTCGGTACGTCACAGCTTCGTTCGGTTTCCATCATAGTCCTGACCTGCGCACGATCAACAGCGTTGGCCTTGATGTGGACAACCTCCAGCGTTTCTCCGTTCAGGAGAAGACTCAAGATAATCCTGCACCATCTATGCCTGACAAATCCGTCAACAAGGAGGCTGCTCCGAGGTCACGCCGCAAGATAGAGTACAACACGATACGTGCAGGCCTTTTCGAAGAGGTACAGTCGATGGAAGTTACCGGAAGCTATGGAAGCAAAATCGAGACGCTCGTTCGGCATTTGTTGTATCTGCAATTAGCAGAACCGGGAGCGAAGAGTATCGTGTTTTCAGCCTGGGCTGATTCGTTGCAGAGTACGTGCAGGGATTCCTTTTGAACTTGCTCATGTTTGACATATAATTTATCTAGTCATTGAGCATGCGCTGACCATGAATGGTAAGGAAGCCAACAGAGTTTCTTGACAATATCCTCTATGATCTGACGGGAATAACAAGGAATAACATGCATGCGAATTGACCAAGTCAAAGGCAAACAGAACGCTGCGAAGCACTTTCGGACCGACCCCGAGCTTCTCGTCTTGCTTCTTCATGGGTAGGATTTGCGCCATATGTCATAGCATGCTCATCGATTTTGACGTTCGCATTGACAGGGAACGCGAGAATGCGGGATTAAATGTGACCAGCGCATCTAGAGTCTTCCTGCTCGAGAGCGTGGTTCATCATTCGTTGAGTCTTTCCTGGATAACACGCGCAATACAGAGTTCTGACATTATACCAATCCCTTCCATTTAGGTTCGAGATTCAAGGTACGTTCGCGAATTTGTCTGGTGTTTAGGTTCGAGTGATTGAGGGTCCTGCAGCTATCGCACGTATCGATCGTATGGGTCAAACGAGGCCGACTGAAGGTATGTTCTAACCGGATGCGAACTTTATCGCATTCACACCTGCTCACTGCGATTGGTCCTGCAAAGTCTATTGCTATTATGCTGAGGGTGCGAGCTTTCTCCGAGTTTCGGCATGGCATCCGCACTGACCTCGCTCCCGCGCCGCTCTCACGCCTCCTTTCTTCACGGCGAGCACAGATACCATAGAGAAGAACATCCTGGACCTCGCAGCACGTCAGGGCCTGTCTCTCTACACCAAGGATAACTCCGCCGGCACGCTCAACGTCACCGCGCTCGCCCCGGACGCAGAGAAGAACGTGGTGGAGGCGCCTGCGAAGAAGAAGACGCAGAAGGGCGATTTCATTTTCAAGTGCGCTGCTTTTGCTCCTGCCGCTGCTGCTCCTACCTGCCCCCCGCGCTTGCGTCGACCCTTTTCGCTGACACGCACGTCTGTTTCCCAGGACGGACGACATGCTGGCCATCCTCTTCCCGCACATGTACGAAGAGATCGAGTACCTCCTTCCCGCCTCGGAAACAGAGCCGGCCGCAGACGCAGATTCACAGGCTCAGCCCGCGCCATCCCCCGAGACGTCGCGAGCCACGCAGCTCAGGCCGCGCGCGAGGCATGTGAATGCCACCGCGGGGCCCTCTCGCGCAGCCTGACCTGCTCAGCCACCTTCCACGGCCTTCCGCTTCGCGCTTATCATCGATGATACCTGGGACTGCATTTGGACATTTGGATACACCAAGATTCATGACGGAATACTACGTGCCCACACTCTAAGCAGCGCTGCTGCTCGATCACGCTACGCACGACCGCTATAGAGATGCCCATATAGACCAATATAGACCGTGTTTTGTTGAAACGTCCAGATGTAAGCGTGCGATGCAATGTGGCGATGCGACGCCACGCGAACACGCAGGGCACACGAGTATAAGAAAGACAAGACTGTGATTTCGGCCACGGGACGCGAAACATGCACGATGCAGATAGCTGTGAGAGGGAAGAAGTGTGTGATATAGAAACGCGTGATCCAATTGCAAAGAACGAAAGAGAGTAAGAAAAAGAAAAAGAAAACATGGAATGTACGGAAAAAATGCTAGCGAGTCAAGGTCGTCGGTCGGGACTTGTCGGCGCGGCGGCCGATGCACGTATGGATGGATGGATGGATGAATAATTGGATGGAGAGCGGAAGGACGAAGAGATATGCACGGGAACGGCGAAGGGGATTAGACAGGGACACGGAAACCAAACACGATCGAAAGCTGGCGCTGTGTGATGCATTCCACGAACAGGAACAGAAACATGGGGTAGAGGTAGAGAAAGGGAGCAGGATATGGGGAAGCAGAACGGGAAACGAAACGAAGGGAAGAGACGATGATGCGAAAGTGGCCACACAGCGCGGCGAAAGTGGTTGGGGCTAAGTAAGGTAGTGTATGCTGTATGCAACAACGCAGCCAAAACATGACACAAAATCGCGAAACACAGAGCACGAACCACGCACACGAACATGAAACACGCCAACAACAACCACAACCACAGGAAAACGAGCCGAAACCGACACAACGGTAAACCGCGCGTGCAGACAGACACAGGCCGCCAGCGCCCGCCTGTCCGCACGCCCGCTCACCGCGGCCCCCCGTCCCAGCTTGCCCGCTTCCGCTTATGATCCCCGCTCCCCTTCCTCAACAGCAGATCCTGAGGCGACACCGCGCTCAGCCCTCGATGGTGCACGTGCGCCTTGCCCGCGCCCGCAGACGCGAGCCCCGACATCGCCTTGCCGCCTCCACCTCCCAACCACCCCAGCGCCCCAGATCCACCCCCACCCCCGCCCGCCCCACTCGCCCCACACACCTGCATCTGCGGCGCCGCCAAATCCAGCGCCAAGCCCTGCCTCGCCCTCTGGCCATCCTCCCCGAGCTCCAACCCCCCACCGCCTCCACAAGCGCCGTTCGCGCACCCGCCGCCGCCGCCCTCCGCCGCGCCGTAGTACGAGAACGGCAGGTCCAGGTACGCGACGTCGTGCATCCCGCCGAGCCCGAGCCCGAGCGCGCCGCCGTACACGCGCCACGGGTCCGTGCCCTGCAGCAGCTCGCGCAGCGCCGACTCGGCGGACGTGCTCGCGGCCTCGCCGTCGCCGGCCCCGCCGCTGGCCGCGGCTGCTGCGGCGCTGCACGCGTTCAGGTCGAGCGAGAGCGAGCGCGTCGGCGTGAGCGGCGCGTGTGTGTGCTGGTGATGGTGCTGGTGATGGTGCTGGTGCTGGTGCTGGTGCGAGGCCAACGAGGAGCTGTGCGAATGCCCGTGCCCGTGCGAGTGTGAGTGCGAGTGGGGGTAGGGCGCGGGGGTATGCGACTGCGTAGCAAGCGCGTGCTGAAAGCGATGCTCAGGCGGCGGCACGGACAGCGACCGATTATGCTGCTGCTGCGCCGCGGCGCCGCCGCCCCTCGCGCGCGGGCGCACGGGCGTGCTCGGCGGCGTGTCGACGATCTCGTGGTCCGCGTCCTCCCGCTCGTCGAACTCGCGCTCCCTTCCGCAGCGGTGCAGCGACGAGCCCGCGGACGACGCGGACGACGAGAGGCCGATGATCTCCTCGAGCGTCTGCCGCGGGAGCCCGATGCCCGCCGCCGGGTCCGCGTAGTCGTCCATCGGGTGCGGCAGCGGCAGCGGCGGCACGTCGCCCGCATCGAGCCCGAGCCCGAGCTCGAGCGCGCCGCGCATGTCCTCGTCCATCGCGTCGCTCTCCTCCACACGGGACCCGCGCACCGCCGCGGCCGCAGGCTCGCCGTCGTGCAGCGTGATCGCGGTCAGCTCGAGCTCGTCGATGCCCGGCAGCGCCGGCGTGTGCAGCTGCATCGGGTGCAGCCCCGCGGGCGGCGGCTGTGGCGGCTGGTGGTGCTGCGGCTGCATGCCCGACAGCCCGAGCCCCGCGCCGCCGAACCCGAACCCGAGGCCGTAGTCCGCCCCCTGCGGCTGGTGCGAGCGCGCGCCGAAGATGAGGTCGCCCGCGTAGCTCGAGTGATGCGTGAACCCGCGGAACGCGCCCGCCGTGCGCGTCTCGGGGTCGGAGAAGGCCGAGTGCGTGTCCCCGATGCCGACCTCGGACGCAAAGTCGTGGCCGAGCGCGGGCGGGAAGAGGTCGTAGCGGTCGAGCACGCCGTGGCTGAGCTGCGCAAGCGAGAACGGGGACGACGGCGCGGGGGACACGCCGCCAAAGTAGGAGGGCGAGCTGCTCGACGCGGACGGGTCGAGGCGCGGGTTGCCCGCGAGCCAGTCGGACGGGCCCCAGGCGGACTTGCCGATCATGACCATGCCGCCCGCGCCGCGGCGGGAAAAGGGCGAGTCGAAGAGGAGGTCGTGCGCGGAGGCGGGCGAGCCGGCGGTGTTGGCGCTCGACCAGGTGGAATGCATGGGCGTGTCGAGCGAGGACCAGCCCTGGGACTGGGACTGGGACGAGTCGGTCATCTCGGAGAGCGACTGGGACGAGCCGGGAAGGAAGTCGCGCAACGCGAGCGGGTCGAGGGTCTGCAGGTCCACGTCGTCGTGCATGTCGACCTCGTGCTGCATGTCGACCTCGGCGAGCATGTCTACGGGCGGGGGCATCTCCTCGACGAGCTCGGGCGTCGCGGGCGAGAGCGCGAGAAGGCCGTCCTTGACGTCTAGTGGCGACTGTTTCTGGGGTGACCCTGCGGGCTGCGCCTCCGGCGACTCGTCCTCGGCCGAGCTGGCCTCATCTTCGGAACACGTTGCGCTCTGCGGGACGCTCTTCGTCCCGCCCCTCAGAAACCCCTGGGTCGTGTGGCGCCGCTTGCGGCGCGCCGGGCCCGTCTCGCGCGCGGCGGGGAGCTGCTCGTCGGTCGCGGCGCGCGCAGGCGTCGGGGGGCTCGCGTCCTTTTTCTTGGCGGTGTTGCGGGGCTTGTATCCCGCGGCCTGGTAGAGCGCGGGGAACGCGTTGCGGAAGCGGTCGCGGAGGTCGGTCGAGCGGCGGTTCTGCTCCTGGAAGATGGGGTCCTTGACGATGGTGGCCCAGACGGTGCCGTGCTTGTCGTAGCCAGCCTTGAGCGCGCGGTCCTCCTCCTCGGTGAACGGGCGGCGCTTCTTGGAGCGTGTTTTTTCGAAGATGGAGGAGCCGTCAGGGAGGGCGGAGCGAACCTTGGAGGAGAGGTGTGTTTTGGCGTTGGGGTAGTGCTGTTTGTATGCGTCGGGGAAGTAGGTGCGGAACCTGTGCGCACGCGTGAGCCCGTGTTCCCGGTTGTACTGCTACTAGCATACGACGCACCTGTCTTTGAGATCGACGGGCGAGCGGTGATCAAAGTGGAGAGAGGGGTCGTGCAGGATCGCCTTCCAGTTGCCGACGCCATGCTAAGCCCAAAAGCAGACAATAAGCAACACCACTCGCCAAGCGTGCGGCACGGCGCACGAGCCAAGAAGAAGAGGGAAAGCGGGGAGCGAGAAAAAAGGAGGGGGGGGGGACTTACGCGATTGCAGCCCTCGACGAGCATGTGTGTCTCCTCCATGGTCCACTTCTTGCGCGCCTTCTTCTCAGGCGGAGGGGGCGGGGGCGAGGGCGAGAGGGCGGCGGCGCGGGAGCTCTCGCCGCTGGCGAGCTTGCGCATCTTTCCACGGGGCTCGTGGGGTGCGCGGGGGTCGAGGCCGGTGTCGTCGCGGAAGGTCCATGCGGGGACCTGGCGCGGGGAGGACGGGAGGGCGAGGGAGACGCGCCGCTGCTTGTGTGGGGCGGCGGCGGTGGCAGACGCGGCGGTGGACGAGGTCGGGAAGGGCGCTGTGAAGGAGAATGTGGACGATGGCGGGGCCTTTGGGTGCTTGGACATCGCGGCAGATGCGGTGGGCGAGGGCGAGTGTGGGGATGGGACGGGTGATGGCGGGGAACGGAGAACAAGCAGAGCGGTCGCAGTACTTATAACGACTTGTGCCCCCGGGTTAGAAAAAGGAAATGATACGCGCGAGCGCGAGCAACACGGGTTGCGTGTGCGTGTGCGTGTGCGTGTGCGTGTGTGTGTGGCGAGCAGAGGAGAGGAGAGGAGGGGAGAGGAGGAGGAGCGGAGGAGCTGAGCAGCAACGGGCGAGTGTAACGCGGCGCCCTAATCTGGGACGCGGCTTGCGGTTGCAGCCCTCAACGTGCTCTCGTTATCGACATCAATCGCCCCGGCCTCGCGCCCGCTCTCATCAAATCTCATCGTGAATCACAAATCGCATTCATACACTCGTCCAAAACAGCACTACCACCACTTCTCAGCCATCCCTCTCAAGACGTCACCAGCAGCTCCGGCGCAATCCGCGTCTCCACCCCGTGCAGCTTTCCGTTCCACCCCTCCAGCCGCCCCGCCAGCTCCCCAATCTGCCCGCGCGACAGCACCCGGGGCTGCACCCAGCTGATCGACGCCTTTGCGTCCACCTGGTCTATTGACCCCCGCACCAGCTTCAAACTGCCGATCGCAAGTCAGCCACCCACCAAGAGCTACGCATATTGCAAATTCATCCTCACCTCAGCGCCTTCATCACCAAGTGCTCCACCTCGTCCAGCGGCAGCCGCGTCTCCTCCGCAATCGTCTGGAACGACATCGTCCGGTCGTACGCGTTCCGCTTGAACACCGACTCGATCAGCGCCATCAGGCAGATCTTCTGCCGCAGGAACGGGTAGTTCTCCTGCAGGATCGGCTGCTCCCGGCGCACATGTCAGCCCAATCCAACTCGCCCAACTTGCCTCGTCTCGTCTCGTCTCATCTCGTCTTGTCTCTTCTCGTCGCATGCTCGGATCCTCGCCCCGGTTCGGACGCGAACGCGAACGCGCACGCGACGAGACGCACACGCAAACACGCGCGTCGACAGAGATAGAGATAGAGAGACGAGGCCAACAAGGTTTGCGCACACACACGCACACACTCACGCACCTCTTTCGGGAACAGCGGCGCCAGCGCCTCGAATTTACCGATATTACCCTCGTTGAACGTGAACAGCAACTTCTTGATCCACTCGTGCGGCGTGCCGTCCAGCGCGTCCAGGATTGGATGCATCAGCTGCGTTCACACCACCAGGAACAGGGTCGTCAGCGAACGCACAACCTTAGATACGGATGGACGGGGAAAACGCGAATGCGAGCGATTCTCATACTGCCAGGGTCGCGCGCCGGGGGTCCGGAGAAGAAAGAAAGAAGGAAGGAAGGAAGAGGGGAGGATGTGATGGAGGACAAATGACGAATGCGGAACAGCGAGAGGATCGCGAGGCCAGCCAGCCATCCACTCATCTGACCCATCGTTGGGGGAGGCGGCATGCAGGCACTTGAAAACGAAATCTCCGGAGATGAATCCCGGCGCGGGGTGCTGAAGTGGGGGACCGACACGATGTGACACAATTGCGACCGAACGCGTCCCGGCGCAAACGAACAGAACAGAACACGGAAAAAAAAGGGGGGGGACAGAGATAAGCAAGCATCAGGAAAAAAAACACGCACCAGCTCCCCAAAGTTGTAGATCGTGTCTCCCAAAAACGCCGCGATGCCGAGGTCGTGCGCGCGCTGCAACCGCTCCTCTGCGGACATGTCCGTCGCAGTGTCTACGCACGCGAGGAAGAGCAGCGAGTTCCGGTAGTACGGCGCGTATTCCGCTTTTGCCTGAGCACACCCGCACCGCGCCCCATCGCAAGTTCGCGCCGAGACCACCAACAATGCGTTATTGAAAAAGACCAAACACCCCAAACCGATCGAGTCCAGCCAAGAAGCCAGTCGAGAAGCGCACCGAACAACACAAAACAGGTCAGCGTCTGCCCGTCCCGTCCTCCGACGAGACAAAACACGAGCACGGCGCACCTTGTAGTAGTCCGCCGCGACGCCGTAGTAGGCCGCGTTGACCGTGCTCTCGACGCCCGTCAGCTCGTCGAGCACCGCCCACGCGGCGTCGATGTCCCCGCGCGTGCCCTCGACGTCGCCGAAGAGGAGCTTCGCGTGCGCGAGCGTCGCGAGCAGCAGCACGTGCGCGTCGGGCGCGGCTTCCTTGTTGATGCGCGTCAGGAGGTCCGTCAGGAACGCGATGTGGTGCGCGGGGTCTGCGTGACGATAGAGAAAGACCAAGCGGCGGCGCGGCGGCGAGAGAACGTGCGGGTGACGTAGATCGTGCCAAATCGAGCGCGAGACGCCATATCGTCGAGACACGCGGCGGCGTATGTATATCGAGACGCATCAGCATAATCACGCCCATCGGTTCCCATCATGGTATAGCAGCGGGAGAGGGGGAGACAAATGACGGAGTCAACGCACTGTCGATGTCCTTGGAGACCTTGACGCCCATCTCGACGAAGCGCAGCGCGTTCACGCGCTCCTCAAAGTCGCGCACGAAGCGGTCGAACACGTCCACGCGGAACGGGCGCGCGAGCGGGTGGTCGAAGAACGCGAGCAGCTGCTGCGTCAGCTGGTGCCAGAGCCTGCAACGCAACGGCGGGGCGTCAGCGTCCCGCACCACGGGCAGCGTGACGACTCGCGCGCGGCCGTGTGCCGGAATGCGAGGAGAAAGAGAGGGGTGGGCACGCACTTGCGCTCGTGTAGGGTCCGGAACGACTCAAAAAACGGGTGCAGCTCCGCAGGCGTCGCCACGAGCGCGGTGGTCAAGTACTCGTCGACATTCAGCTTCGGCGGCTTCGGCCTGTCGACCGACATTTGCGCTGTCGATGCCATTTCTCTCCGTTCGTCAAATGTAGTCAAAATGAAATGCTTCGGATCTTCAAAGGCTTGATTGTGATACGTGGAATGAGAGAGGGACGAGGTGTGCGGGTGGCGTGCGGAGGAGGAGGACTTTCGAGACCGGGCACGGGGACTTGAGAGGATTGGGGCGACGCGTCGCCTGGTGTTTGGCATTGTTGTCCAAGAGCCTTGGATCCTAATACACATAAACAGCCTCCTCGAGTCCTCGCCTCGTCGCTGCAGCGACTGACAAGTTGTGGACCAGTTTGATCGCGGAAATATAGTTAGCAGCCCCCATTTACCCCCATTCACCTATGAACTCGCATATCGAGGTCCGAGTCGCTACATCTGTGAACAGAAAGTGCCCGGGAGAGGAGCTCCCAAATCTGTCAGTCGAAAGCCATTTCTTCAATATTAGCGAACTCTAGTGTTAAAAAAGAAAATTTCAAGATCGACCATGATGTAATCGGCCCTCACTCAAAATATCTTTCCTGCCTCCATACTCTCTGGCGGGGAGTCGAACCCCGCTTTCGCGCGTGACAGGCGCGTGTACTAACCGATATACTACCAGAGACTTGTTATGAGCTCCTTCCTGTTGGCCTTGTCTAGTTCGCGCATCACAAGACCTGGAATCCGCTTCGCATATTCCCCGGTCTCCTAAACGCAGCGAGGATTAAAAGACATAGCCATGTACGGTACGCAGTAGGTAGTAGGGCCAATAACGACCGCATATAATCACAAACCAGTAGATCAGCATCTAGACATATAGATCTCCCAGCCCGACGAGGGTCCAAAACGTCAAGCGGACGGGTGCGTAAACAGATGCTCCAGCGCCGTGAGCCTCTCGTAGACTAGATCATAGTGCAACGCGCAGCAGCCGGGGCACACGCCTTCGGGGACCTCGCCCAGCATCCTGTTCAGCCGCCGCGCAAGCGTAGCGCGCGCGCCATCCGGGAAGCGCAGCATGCGCGCCCAGTACGCCTGCAGCGCCGGCGTGCACGCGCCGCACGCGTCGCCGCACAGGTCGGCGGCGGCGAGGCGGGCGGTCTGGTCGTGGAATGCGAGCAGTTTCTGCGCAAGGCTGGCGATGTGCGTGCGGTCGCTCTCGGAGAGGGGCGCGAGGGCGGGCGCGGAGGCGGCGCCGTCTGGGAGCGCGCGCAGCGCGTCGACGCAGAAGGTGTATTCGATCGCTGGGACGATCTCGGGGAGGGAGCATTCACGCGCCAGTGTGAGGCCGGCTGAGGGGGGCATGCCACAGACAGTGAGTGAGGTGGCAGAGACGATGATGCGAAGGGGAGGGAGGGGACGCGCGCACCTAGTCTGTCCTGGATGAACGCCTGCCCGCCCATCTTGCGCAGCGTGGGCGGCCATACGCGGTAGATGTGCTTCACCGCCGTGTCGGATAGGTCCTTGATGTCGTACTTCGCCGCGATGCGCAGCGCGCCGGCCACGGTCGCGAACGCGATATCGCGTTGGTTCCAAAATCCCCTGCGCGGGCGCACAGATAGAAGACACGAACGAGACGCGTGAGCGCGCCGCGCGAGCGAGCGAGAGAAGAGCGGGGCGGACGACGTACTTTGGGTCATCTATCCACTTCAGCACGGCCGTCCAGTCTTCCGGGGAATCCTGCAGGTGCACGACGGGGCACCCGTCGAGCTGGTCCTCGCCCTGCGGCTCCGCGAACTCGAACATGTCGGTGAATATCGGAGAGCACGCGAGGGTCTTGCGTTTGAGCTTAAATAGGTGGTTGCCGACGAGGAGCACGATGTCGCCATCGTCGAACCAGTACGGCTTGTACGATGGCCGTACGTACGCTGCGAATCGCGGGTCTTCGGCGGGCTGCATGGCGCCGGGTTCTCTGAGCTGGCGGCGCTTGGCGCGGTGGGGGCGGTCGTGCGAGGGAGGGGTGAAGGTGGAGGCGGAGGGAACTGGGCAAGACATCGTGAGGGAGGTGGTAGTTATAGCCGCGGTCGGGTCCCTAAATTCGAGACTGAGGGTGCGGAGACGCTTGAGCGGGTGAGACATGTGGCGCTGGGGGGTATAGGAGCAGAGATCCATGGCAAAGCTCGTCAAAGGGTGGCCCAGGGTGGCACGGAGGATGCGGAGGGGGAGCCACCGCGAACCAGACAAGGACGCGTTTTATAAGGGCGCGTCGAGCACGTGAGCCCCAATTGTCTCCGCTGCCTTGTTCCCACCCTCGCAACGCCGCACGACCTCTTGGACCTCCTCACAGCCGCGCAGCACCGTCCCCCATGGCTCTCAAAACATACTCCTGGATCACCTTTTGGTTCCTCGCGTCCGCCCCCGTCATCTTCTGGGACGCGGGCTACTGCTTCTTCCGGTGCGTGTCCCCTCGCCCGCGCACACAGTCGCCCTCTCACCGCCCGCTCCCAGCCCGCGCTCGATGAAAGGCGGCGACCTCCACTGGATCTGGAAGCCGTACGAGATCTACCAGGAAATCGACTACGTGCGCGTTCCTCCTCGCCCAGCCCAGCCCAGCCCTCCTCTCCTCTAATCCCATATCTCCAGGTCTACGGCGTCAAAGCGCTCGCCGAGAACAACGGCTTCACGAACGCCCAATGCAAGCCCCTCCCCGCCCCCTTCCCTCCTATCTCCCCCGCGCGCGCTGACCCCCGCGCCCGCCCCCAGCCGCCCTCAACATCGTCGAAACCCTCCTCAACCTCCTCTACGCCTACCTCGCCCACATCTCCCACTCCCCAATCGCCCCCGCCGTCGGCTTCGCAAGCGTCACCATGACCCTCTCCAAGACCGTCCTCTACTGGCTCAACGAGTACTTCTGCGGCTGGTGCTCGATCGGGCACAACGCCCCGCGCGACCTCCTCGTGTACTGGATCATCCCAAACGGGTGCGTGCCCCGCTTTAGCGCTTTAGCACCGCCGTCGTCGCCGATTCGGGCGGCCTTCCCCCCGCGCGCGCAGAGGCGGAGTGCGCGACCGGCTGATCCGCTTATCTGGCTCGCAGGATATGGCTCGTCGTCCCCAGCTGCGTCCTCTACACCCTCGGACGCGACATCGCCCGCGCGCTGCGCGCACACGCGCGCCCCGCCGCCCGGGAGTCCAAGAAGGCCCGCTGAGCGGTGCGCCGCACGGGGACGGTCGGTCTACGTACGCGCGTCCGAGATCTGTCGAAATTTGACCGCCCGGTGTCCCGTCGTCCGTCCGTACGTCCGTACGTTTTTTTTTTGCTTGTTTGCTTGTTTGCTTGCTTGTTTGTCGGCTTCTTGCTGTCGCGCCGCTTTGTACTACCCCCTGCTTGCACATAAACATTTTCTTGCTTCGCGCGTCGCGCATCGTCCACCCGTCCGTGGCGCGCCGTGTGCTGCACGCGCGTCATTAAGCCTTAAGCTCCACGTCTGCGTGCGCAGGTCTCTCTCTTTTGTTCTGTCCTCCCTCCGTTCTTTCCTCCTTTCTCCCTCCTCGTTCTCGCCAGCCAGCCAGACGGACAGATGGATTCGAAGTGTCTCGCACCCGAAAGACGCGCCTATAACAGGCCACCCATCGCACCCATCGCCTTACGAACAATACAAAAAGCAAACAAAAACAACAGCAACAACACCAGCACGTCCTCACACCTCACACCTCCCGCCTCTCCTCCACCACCTCGACCGCCCCTCCCACCCCTCCTTTCTCCCCTCCTTTCTCCCCAGCCTCCCCAGCCCCAGCCCCAGCCCCCCCAGCCTTCTCCCCCTCCACATCAAACGCCGTCCCCTCCCCACTCGCCCCGCCCTCCCCAATCAACCCCTCCCGCCTCCTCCGCCCCCTCAAAAACACCCCCGCCACAACCGCCTCCGCCGCCGTCAACCCAACCAAAAACCAATACGCAGCGCGGTACCCCGCAAAGTCCGCGCTCCCCAGCGGCGCGCCCCCGTTAGCGTTGGCGGCGGCGGCAGAGGAGGAGGTGGTGGTGGTGGCGGCGGCGGAGGGCGCGCCGTTCACGCGCGCGGTGATGGCGGTGGCGATCGCGAGCCCGAGCGCGGAGCCGATCTGGAGGTCTGCGTTGAAGATCGCGCCGATGAGCGCGGTGCTGTCGCGCAGCCGCGCGGCGGAGGCGGGGCGGTTGAGCGGCGTGCGGAGCATCTCGATGCTGCGTTTGCGCGGGCAATCAGCAATCGTCATTCAGCAATCGGCGTCAATGCAGCGCGTTGGAGGGGGGGGGAGGAAGAGACAGATCGGAAGGGAGGGAGGGGAAGAGTGTGTGCGTGGAGGGGAGAGCGACGGGCGAAGAGGGCGGCGCGGGGCGGGGCGGGGCGACTCACTTGGCGGCTACGAACCCGCTCGACACGCCGAGCGCGGTGAGTATGATGCCCGGAAGCACGCGCGACCAGTACAGGTCCGGCGTCGGCGCGTACGCGAGGAGCAGCGCGCCGGCCATCATGAGGAGCTCGCCCGCGCAGAGGATCCAGCGCGGCGCGACGTGCGGCGTCACGTAGCCCATGCTCACCGTCGTGATGAAGCCCTGCGCGCGCGGCCCGTGAGCGTGAGCGTCGGTTTTTATTTTGCGAGAGAAGGGAGGGAGGCTTACGGTGATCCCGAAGGGGATGCTGGAGGCGGGGGGGAGCGTGAGCGTGAGCGTGCGTTTGTAGGGACGGGTGGGGAGGAGGGGGCGAGGGCGGCTCACATGCGGAGGGCCGCGCTGAGCGCGGACGTGTGCCACACCTGCTGGAAGACGAGCGACTCCTGGAAGATGACGACGTTCATCGCGAGGTACTCGCTGCACCCGCCAACCGACCGCCAACCGACCAATCAAACCGTCAGCCGCGATCCACGCCCCCGCGCCAAACAACAACCAAGAAGAAGCAGAAACCCGCGCGCGCACCTGAGCGTGATAAAGAACAGCGGTACGAAGGCCGGGGAGGGCCCACAGGAGCGGCGGCACGAGCGGCTCCTTGACGCGCGTCTCGATGAGGGCAAAGGCGGGGAGGAGCGCGACGGCGACGAGCAGCGGGGCGAGGATGCCGCCCGTCGCCCAGCCGCGGTTGTTGCCCTCCGTGATCGCGTACACGAGCAGGATCAGCGCGACTGAGTGCGTGCGTGCGTGCAAACGTCAGATCGTCGACAGGGCGGGCGGAAAGACGGTAGGGGGAGAGGGGGAACGCACGGGTGATGGTGCCGAGGCCGAGCCAGTCCATGCTGCGCAGCGACGCATGGCCGCGGGCCGCGGCGGACGAGGGCGGGGCGAGGAGGAAGGCGGCGAAGGCGAGCGGGAGGATGAGCATGGCCATGATCCAGAAGATCCAGCGCCAGGTGAGCAGCTCCGCGATCACGCCCCCGCTGGGAGACGACGACGATCGCGCGTCAGCGAGCGCATATCACAAGGAAGGCGGGCGGGGCGGGCGGGGGACGTACATGACGAGGCCGCTGACGTTGCCCATGGCGCCGAAGCCTGCGAAGCTGCGGGCGGGGGAAGGTCAGTCGGAGGTCGGTCGGAGGTCGGTCTGTGTGGAGGAGGGGCGCACGCACATGCCGAGCGCGCGGTCCTGCTCCCCGCGCTCCGGAAAGAGCGTGGTGATCATGGTGAGCGCAGAGGGAATGGTGAGCGCGGCGCCTGTGCGGGTCAGCGCGGTTGAAGCGGTGGGGAGAGGGGGCGAGGGGGCTCACCGATGCCCTGGATGGCGCGGAAGACGAAGAGCATGGGCCCGTCGACGGAGAAGCCGTCGACGATGGAGAAGACGCCGACGACGGTGAAGCCGGTGACGAACAGCGTCTTTGGTCCGTATATGGCGCTGAACCTGCCGCCCTGGAGCGCGCGGACGTCAGTCTCTCGCGCCTCGAGGGAAGCTCGCGGGGCGGGGCGGTCGGTGCTTACGGTGAGGAGAAAGGCGCCGAAGGTGAGGGAGTAGGCGTTGATGGCCCACTGGCGCTCTGTGAAGAGGACGTCGAGGTCGGAGGCGATGCGGGGGAGTGCGACGGTGGGCGCGGTGACGTTGAAGATGTCGAGCATCTGTGCCATGGAGAACACGAGGAGGAGGGTCCAGGCGCGCCAGCGGGGGACGGGCGGGGGCAGCGGGGCGTCGTCGAGCATGGCGGGGAATGGAGGGGGAGGGGCGGGGTGTGTACATTGGGAGCGAGGAGGTATATAGAGGGCGCTGTGGGCTGCATTGGCGGGGCACGTCCGGTTGTGCCGGGGCTGGGAGGTAATGGAGGAGCGGTGGGAGGTGGGTCCTGTCGCTGGCCATCAATCAAGTCGCCGGCGCCGGTCCATCCATCGCCATCTCGATCGCCGCTCTACTGGCCCCTTGCCGATCCTGGCCCATCGTGCCTCCGTCCCTCGGTGACACACAGCCCGGCGCCCTCGCGCTCTAAATACCCTCGCCTGACCCCGACCCCGCATCCCTCGATCCAACCATGGCTGCCCTTCCCCCGTCTCTCCCAAGCACCTTCAAAGCCAGTAAGCCCGCCCCTTTCCTTTCCTCCCCCGCGCCCGCCCACTCACCCGTCCCAAAGTCAGCTGCGCCGCCCCCCACGCCCCCTGGGACGTCGTCACCCTCCCCCTCCGCGCCCCCGCCCCGACAGAGGTCCTCGTCCGCGTGCACGCCTCGGGCATCTGCAACTCCGACCACTTCGTCAAGGAGGGCACCTGGCCCGGCCTCGCCTACCCCCGCGTCCCCGGCCACGAGGTCGTCGGCCGCATCGCCGCCGTCGGCGACGCCCTCGTGAACGCCCGCGGCGCAGGCGACCGCTTCGCCATCGGCGCACTCGTCGGCGTCGGCTGGAACGGCGGCTACTGCGGCCGCTGCGGCCCCTGCAGACGCGGCGAGTTCTGGACGTGCGACGTCGCCGACGTCACCGGCTTCACCTTCGACGGCGGCCACGCCGAGTACGTCTACGTCCCCGAAACAGGTGCGCGCGCGTCTCCCCCTCCCCCGCCCTTGCGTTCGATTGCCCGACTGATCTGCGCCTGCCCGCGCGTGCGGCAGCCCTCGTGTCCATCCCGGAGGAGGCCCTCGAGCACGCCTCGTACGCCGAGCTCGCCCCGCTCTTCTGCGCCGGCGCCACCGTCTTCGACGCCATCCGCACCTCAAACTGGGTCCCGGGCGACCTCTGCGTCGTCCAGGGCATCGGCGGCCTCGGCCACCTCGCCGTCCAGGTGCGCTGCCCCTCCTCCCCGATCCTTGCTCATCTTTACCTCGCTGACGGTCGCGTTGCGTCGCGTCGCGTCACGTCGAGCAGTACGCGGCCAAGATGGGCTTGAAGGTGCGCGCGTGCGCAACTTGTCGTCGTCGTCGTCGTCGCTAACGCCCCGCGCGCGCGCACACAGGTCATCGCCGTCTCCTCCGGCGCCTCCAAACGCGACTTTGCCCTTTCCATCGGCGCCCACGAATACATCGACGCCTCCTCCCCCCCCATCCCCCTCCTCTTCCTCTTCCACGTCCCCCGCAGACGCCCTCGTCGCGCACCTCCAATCCCGCGGCGGCGCCCGCCTCATCGTCTGCACCGCCCCCTACGCAGACCAGATCAGCGCCCTCCTCCCCGCCGTCGCGAAGAACGGCACCATCACGCTCGTCTCCGCCGCCACCGACGCGCCCGTGCGCGTGCAGAACTTGCTGCTTAATATGCATCGCGCGACGCTTCGCGGGTGGTGCTGCGGCGCCGCGGCGGATATGGAGCAGTGCGTGCGCTTTTCGACGGTTGCAGGTGCGTCCGCGCGCGCGCCCCGCCCCGCGTTGCGTTTCTTTCTTTCGCGCTTGGTTTCCCGGTTTCCTTTCTGTTATTTTGTGCACGTGTGTGGAGTGCTGACGCCCCGCCCCCGCGCGCGCAGGCGTCAAGTCCGTCGTGCAGGAGTACTCGCTCGAGCAGTACGCGGCGGCGTACGACGGCGTCATCGCGAACCGCGCGCGCTTCCGCAACGTCATCGTCTTCCCGTAGACGCCCCCGCGGCGGGTTTGGATGTACGTGTGCCGGAAGGGGAAGGGGGCTGTTGGACGTCGAAGGAAAGGCACATGGGGATTGGAAATGCAAGTGCAAGTGGAAATAGAAATAGAAATAGAATTGGAATTGGAATTGGAAGTGGAAGTGGAAGTGGAAGTGGAAATGGAAGTGGAAATTTAGATGTGCTCGTACTCTGCTGTACTCGAGTCTGCTGTACTCTGCTGTCTCGGGCGACAACGACCCCTCCCAGCGCAGCACCACGCCCGATGCCCCGCTCTCCGCGCCGCGCCGCGCCGCGCCCAGCGCGCGCGCCTTCACCCACCCAATCGGGACGGCCATCTCACAAGCCGCTCGGTTCTCGATTCTCGATTCGCTTTCCGGAGATCCGCCGGCGGTGGCGGGCTGGTGGCGGCGGCGACGATCGAGTCTGTATCGAACCGTTCACGACCGGCCTGCGGATCTTCGCTGATCTGCGGCGCGCGCTTGGCTCGGCGAGTGATGTGCTGTCAGCCTGCGGTGCGCTACAGCTGCGCTATCGACGCCGCCCGAGGCCCGCCTGGAGTCCTCTGGGGCCTGAACCACGTCACGGCACGACTCGCGCATGTTGCCCTGTGTTCTACGTTCGAGTGTCGCTTGCGGGAGCCGCGCTTCGGATTTCGCTCGAGATTGGGAAGAGCAAAAGGCTCGTTGCGCTGCAGGCTGGTTCTCGAATCTGAGGCGACGGCTGCGACTGCGACTGCGCCTGCGACCGCGCCTGGGGAGAGCGAAGCGGGATGACACCGCTCAGATATTGTGCTGCGCACGTCCTTGTTGTCCGAGCTCTAGATGTGAGCCCGATCTGCTCTTTTTGCGAGGCCCGACGGGCGTTCGCATATCCATCTGGCCGGAAACGCGAGTGTGGGCGAATGTCCACCAGCGCGAGCGGCCCTTGTTGTTCCTCGTCCGCTCTGCGAGTTGGATCGCGATACCCGACGCATCGCGCACGCAGACCGCCGGGCATCGTCGGACCCGTTCTCGAGGGGCAGGCCGCACCGCCCGCCGCGGAGCCTCGGCGGCGACGCGAGGGCCCTATCCGGGCGCCGCGGATAGCTCGCCGCGCAGGCCGAACTCGCCTGGAGTCCTCCGGGATGTGAATGACGACACGCGTGCATCGCTCCGCTCGGCCACTGCGTTCATACAGATAACTAGACCCAGGGTTCGGAACAGATTCAACAGATGGCGTACTTATTGCGCTGGCTAGGCCAGGCCTCATGGGCTTCATATCTGGCGCGACGGCGGGGGCGACGACGACTGGGAGGATCAAGCGGTGTTACACTCCGGCGCCAACGTATTGCGCTGAGCACGTTTTTTTGTTTTGTTTTGTGAGGCCCGTCGTTGCTCCGTGATTCTGGCGGTAAGTTGGCATGTTCTTGTGAGGTTCTTCGTTCATATATCGATGTTGGTCTAGCTATAACCGCTAGTGGGTGGGCGGGCGGGCGGGCGAATGAATACCGGAGCGAGTGGCGACCCCTTATTGTTACTTGTCCGCTCTGCGAGTTGGATCGCGATACCCGACGTATCATGAATGTAGACCGCCGGGCATCGTCGGACCCGTTCTTGAGGGGCAGGCCGCACCGCCCGCCGCGGAGCCCCGGCGGCGAGGGCCTGAACGCAGCGCTCCGTCTGCGCTGCTTGTCTGTACGATGACAGAGTGACAGCGTGGGATGCGAGGATGAGCGCCGCGCCTGCCGGGACGGGGCCCCGGGGGGTCGCTTCAGGCGTGGCGTGCGCGCGATCGCCCTGTGGCGAGGAGCAGCGTCGGACGTCGGACCGACGGCACTTTGACGAGTTTACGGGACGGTTTTACGGTTCCACGGGTTGACGGTTTTACGGCTTGATGCTGCTCGATGCTGCCTGATGATTGCTGCTTGGAGGTTTGACAGATCCTCGTACCGCGGGTTGACGGCTCGGCGGCTCGACAGCGCGACAGCTCGACAGCTTGATGGGGGGACAACATGGGCGCCCGCTGGGCGCTGGGCCCGAGGCTGTCCACCGTCGTGGTGTCCGCAGCTTTCTGGCACCGCGCCCTGTCTTCCCGCGCGCCACCATCGTCATCCGTCATCCGAGGCTCAGTGCCTTGAAAGGCGGCGGCGGCAGTGTGGGCTCGTCCGCCACGTGTTTGGCCCGCAGGACGGGTCATGCGGGGATCATCCTCGCGCCGCCGCGGTCCCACGACCGGCGCGTGGATAGACAAAGGCTCAGACTGTCACCTGCGCCTCCGTGCTCGGCGGAAGGTAGAGCGTGCGCGCGCTGGGAACGCCGCGGCGCTGAGGCGAGTGGCCTGACTCGCACGCCGCCCGCGATGCGGTGCTCGTCATCGTCGGACTGGACTCGATTTTGAGTTATAAAGCTGGCTGACAGGTGTTCCTAACCTTTCATTACTCAAGTGCCAGTCGCTCGTGCTCGGGCTTTTTGACTCAATAAACAAGGTTTGATTGAGTAGATCTGCACGCTGTTACAACACATAACCAGGACCAACACCTATAGACAGAAATCCCAATAACCGCAGGAACAGGAACCCAGGACAGCACCTCAGATGGAGAGGAAGGACGAAAAGTAGGCTTCCAGGCTCGACACCCCGTCCACAGTGACAGCCGTCCCCACCCACGTGTCAGGGCGCACGACGACCACGGCGCCCCGCGCGTGATCCACCCCGTAGATCGAGTGCGCGTCCCCGCCGAAGATACCGGGCGGCAGCTGGTCGTCGTACACGAGCTGCGCGTGCGCGGCGAGGAACGGGAACCCTGCGATCCGCGCGTCCGCCTCGGTCGGCGTCGCGCGCGCGACGACGACGAGCTTGAACAGGTCCCCGGACGCCGCGGCGCGGTAGAACGACTTGGGCGACGCGAGGTACGCGTCTAGCGCGCGCAGCCGCGGCGCGAGCGCGCCCCCGAGGTTGCTCGCGAACACGACGAGCGTGAACTGGTCGAGCCGCCCGAACGCGTCGTACAGCCGCCCGGAGCGCGCGCGCGACAGCGCGACGCGCGGGTCGGGCGCGCGGTAGCCTGCACGCACGCCAGACACGGCGGGGTCCGCGGCGCGGTTGACCGCGTTCGCGGCGTAGTCGACGTCGAGCCCGATGAGGAAGCGCGCGTTTTCGTCGGCGAAGCGCTTGAAGAACGCGACGTGCGGGTCCTCGCCTGGCGCGGCGGGGGCCTCGATCTCGGGCTCGGCGTCGGTCTTGGAGCCGTCGAGGTTTTGGAAGGTGCAGTTGCCGACGAAGCGGAGGTAGCGCGCGGACGTGCGCACCGCGCGCAGCGCGTTTTCGCGGCGCTCGAGGTCGTACGTGTCGAGGAGGCCGGGCTTGGCTATTCCTTTGCAGAGCAGGGCGAGCTTCCAGGCGAGGTTGTGGGCGTCCATGATTCCGGTGTTCATGCCGAACGCGCCTTTGGCGCTGTGGACGTGGCTTTGGGAAATCGTGAGCGCCCTGTGGCGGTATGCACAAAATTATCACTGACCAGGAATCACCGGCGAGGAAGATGCGGTCTTTGTAGGTGAAGGAATTCGCGACACGCTCGTTGACTGGCGATGCACATGAGGCAAGTGATTTTGATTAGGATAGGCGACAGCTTACTGGTTAGAATGGTGAACCAGTCTATCGGACTGGCATATTTGAGGTAGTACGGAGCGTAGATCTTGTTGAGCTGCTCGAGGACCTCCTCGGGGCCCCACTGCAATCGATAGGTGAGATAGTTTCATCATTATTGTGCGGCGGGAATTACCTTTGATTGATCAAATTCCTGTCCAGGCTCAGGGCGCAGCTGTGCATAGAGCCTGACCATGTCGCGCTCACGAGGAATAATAAGGCACCCGCCGTGTTCCGAGTTGAGCACAGTCCTTGATGGTCGTGGTTAATCACGTCGAACTCGACAGGACATCGAGAGAGCATACCCGAACGTCCAGCGGTGAGGGAAATCTGTCTCGAAGACAGCATCAACGATACCCCAGTGCAGATCCGTTTTGATGCCGTCGAACGTGACAGGAAGCGACTTGCGGATCATGCTGTGCGCGCCGTCACTCCCGACGAGGAAGCGGGCCGCCACGACCTCTTCCTCCCCTGTGGCATGGTTCATGATATTCACGGTGATCGGGTGCGTAACCGACGCATCGGCATTCTCGTCAAAGTGGTAGGACGTTGCCGTGCAGGGCCTCTCGACGAGGATGTCGTGACGAACGAGGTCTCTGTCGTGGATCGATGAGTACCGCGGGCGAGCTGCCGTTTGGGGGACGCATACCGAATGAGCACATGTTCCACTTCGGTCTGCGTCGCGTCGTGCAGACCCTGGAAGTGGCTCTCGCTCCCGGGAGATTGATGGCTTTCGGCGAATATCTCCTTCTTCCCGTCCTTGTAGACGACGGTGTGCTCGATGCGGGGGCCGAGCGCGAACACCTCTTCGCTGATTCCGAGCTGACGGAAGACCTCCATGGTGCGCGGCTGCAGAGCATCGGCGCGCCCGACAGTCAGGGGGTGGGGAGACCTATCAAGGATACGCAAAGACACGCCCTGGCGGACGAGACAAGCGGCAGTGGCAAGGCCAACAGGACCAGCTATGAAAGGCGACTGTCAGTGACCGACGGTATAAGGACTATCGCCGGCATGACTCACCTCCAACTATGAAGACATCTACTTGGGACTTGGGTTGAAAGTGAGGCACTGCGGGGTTCTGGCAGTTGGTCCCGTCCAGGAGGTCGGGATAAGTCGGGATGGGGTTGGCTCCTAAAGCGTTAGGCAAAGAGCCGTTCGGTCTAGCGAAGGCGTCAAGCTAACCGACTACTAATGTGGAGCTTTGTACTGACTGTTCGATGGTACGAGGCTCAACGTAGCTGTGGACAACTGTCGAGGTGATTGCCATCGCGGATATTAACAGTCACCGGATGGAAAGCTAGAGCGCGATGGGAATACGGGTAATGGCGCCTCTCTCGCCTTCCCTGCTTATATGTGACATTGGAGCTCGAACTTGGTCTCGTGTTTGCGTCGAGTTTGCGCGTTTAGGTAGAGACAAAACCTGTTCGATTTCAGCCGGGATCAGAGTTGCTGCTCAAAGTGCACGGAGATCAAAACGTACCAGATCCATGCCAGAAAAGGGCAATTTCCAAATTACGGCTTTCCACCCAGAGACTGGCTCGATTCGGCAAGCTGTTTACCCAGCCGCGCCTAATTTGAGCCAATTTGTACGTCCGTCCGGAAGGACGCGCTTGATAGACGCCATGGCCACGTCGCGTTCCTAACCAAGCTCTGTCTTTTCCTTGATCCCGAACTCAATGAGCGCTGGGTGCGTACGACGCTGGAGTAGCTGGGCGGACTTCCTATCATTTCGGGTCATAGGTAAGTGCAAAATCCGTACGAGGGCCATCATCGCGTCTCATCACCGACGTCAGCGCCTGGCCCGACGATGTCAGGCATTGACGCACTACCTACACTGTCAATTGATTCCTTGACCCAAGCCCGTCAAACAGCAAAGACTAGGCCAACAACACCCGAAAATGTAGCGCAATATACGCGATCAGGCGAAGGATTGGGAGGAGCTATAAAGTTCGCAAAAGTCTCCTTCAGGCCCTGTACCCCATCATCAGCACGATGAAATCTCACTGGCGTTCGCTCCTCACTGCAGTGCTGCTTGTCACTCTCGTTCCTAACGTCGTTAGAGCGCGGATACTCAAAGATCCCACTGAGGTCGTCCGTAACAAGTATGATTTCATCGTTATTGGAGGTACGTATGTCAAAGCAGATCAAGGATCCGAGGACTGACAAATAGATTGTGTTTAGGTGGTACCGCGGGTCTTGTTATCGCGAACAGACTTAGTGAGATACCACAGAATACTGTTCTTGTCATCGAGGCCGGTATTTCGTATGTTTCAATCTTTCGGGTCTCGCATGACTCCTAATTACTCATCTGCGCCTCAGAAATGAAGGGATTGAAGACGCCATCGTTCCCTTATTTGGTCCGGACTTGACGCCGGACAAGGCATGGGATTGGAACTACACGGTCACTCCTCAAAGTGCCTTGAACAATCGCACCTTCCCTTACCCGCGAGGCCGGCTCCTGGGCGGCAGCAGCTCAGTCAGTGAGTGTCTTTTACTTTGATAGTCGAATTGACGCTCACCTGTCGCTCAGACTATGTCGTCTACAACAAGGGATCCTCCGACGACTTTGATCGGTGGGCGAATGTCACGGGTGATCAGGGTTGGTCATGGAATGCTCTACAGCCTTACATGAAAAAGGTGTGGAGTAATCTTATCCCGTTCATTGCATTTGTGGGGTTACTCATTGAAGGCGCCAGAACGAACGGTTGACACCGCCAAGCGATGGCCACAGTAAGTGTACGGGTCATGGTGCGGGCTGTGCCGTGGAGTTCATATCAGTGCTGCAGACACCACCGGACAGTTTATTCCCGAGGCGCACGGCTTCGATGGAACTCTTTTGACTAGCTTACCTGGATTTCCGACACCCATCGACTCCAGAATTTTGAATGCCACGACGCAGGTCCCGGGTTATCCTTTCAATGCCGATATGAATCAAGGAAATGAGCTTGGCATCGGTGATGGTCCTTTCATCAAAGAAATTGATTTGATTTCTGAATGGGCGCGTAGGTTGGGTATTCAGCTCCATCGGGAATTCCAAACGCAGCAGTTCCGCCACGGCATATCTAGGGCCGAGCGTGGCTGCGCGGCCAAACCTGGACGTTCTGATCCAGACTCAAGTGATCAAGCTGTCGAGTACTGGTAGAAAGGGAGGCAAACCCGTCTTCACCCGCGTAGAATTCTCTCAGGGGCCACAAGGTAGGCATCTCCCTTTGTTCCTACAGGGTCGGACTGATTGTTGTACCATGTACAGATCCGACATTCGCGCTGACAGCACAAAAGGAAGTAATTCTGTCCGCAGGATCAATTGGGACACCTCAGCTTTTACTGCTGTCTGGCATCGGAGACCCCGCAGAACTTAAACAGTCAGGAATTAAGGCCCTCGTCGACTTGCCAGACGTGGGAAAGAATATGGGAGATCACGCACTGCTCCCAAATCAGTTTTATGTCAATTCGAACGAGACTTGGGAAGCAAGACGTGATCCTGTCGTGTTCCAATCTCAGCTTTCTGAATACAACCAAACGGGACAAGGCCCGCTCGTCGACACCATATGCAACCATATCGGATGGCTTCGCGTTCCCGACGACTCGGGCATTTGGCATAACGCGACCGATACGTCGGCAGGACCAACTGCACCACACTATGAACTTGTCTTCGCCGTAAGGATCTTTTTCGTCTCTTTTTTCTTCCCCCGAGCCTTACACGTCTTTAGAATGGTTTCGTCGGAGTCATTCAGCCCACTCCGGACACCGGAAGTTTCTTTACTATAATCAGTAATCTAGTATCGCCTGCATCGCGTACGTGAAAACCTGAACAATTCCGTATTCGGACTGACATCCTTCTCATCCACAGGTGGCCAGTTGACACTTCGTTCTAGCAGCCCATGGGATTACCCCTTGATTGATCCTGGCTTCCTTACTGCCCCTATCGACTTGATGATCCTTCGCGAGGCGTACAAAAGTGCTCGCACTTTCATTGCTGCACCCGCATTCGACGGCTATATCATAGGGCCGTATGGAACAGCCGGAGCGAGCTCAGACGACGAGATTGACGCCTACATCCGCAACTTTACAACGAGCGTCTGGCATCCTGTTGGGACTGCTGCAATGAGTGCTACGTCTTCCAAAAACGGTGTCACGAAGCCCGACTTGTTAGTCAAAGGCGTCTACGGTCTCCGCGTTGTCGATGCGTCTGTTATGGTAAGCTTGATTAATCGTCTCAGACGGACTGCCATCTCATACGGTATTCAGCCCTTCGTTCCCGCGGCACATACCCAGGCAGCGGTGTACATCATTGCTGAGCGCGCTGCGGACCTTATCAAATCCGCCTGGAGGCAAGGAGGTTCCAATGTCGAATCCTCAGGCTAGACGGAATGAATGGTACACAGGCACGGGCCTTGAGAAATACTTGAGTTACACATTGAACCTACCATAGATATCCCCGTTTCTCTCTATCTTTGTCATAATGACATATCATCGCACTTGATTCCAAATGATGAGGCCTGAGGTCGAGGGAACAGTCGCACGCGTGCGAACTTCTATCAAACTGTATTCATCTTTGTGGGGATTTCAAATAAACTTCGCTGGAGTATGACTAATCGAATGCCAAGAACTCCGCTCTTTGTTGAACAGCCTCTAACAGCAGCGTCATGCCCAAATGCTCAACATTGCGTACTTCTTCCCTTGCAAACCATTTTCATCATGTCAGGCCCAATACTAGTTCCGTCTTACTACCGAGCAGGTTGCAAAGTTCCCGGGAATGGAAATCTCCTGACGCTTGCTATGGACGGACGGTAAGTCGCCACCAACGTGAAAGATACTCCACGGCCGGCGGGTCTGTAATGTCATTGGCCATCGTATCTGCATTTTGTCAAGGTCTAGGTTATCTTTCACGCGCTCACCCCGTTGGCTCACCTTTTAACCACCAGCGTCAACGTCGATGATCAAGAGCCATTAGTGAGTGGATCACGGCATAGCGTCGCTTCGCCCATGATTCCTCTCAACTAGAGCTGGGATATTTTTTGGAGGAACAGATATGGTGAACATGGATCTCGATATGTCATGGCCCCCGACGCCCAAATGCTGGCTAGGTTCGCTGCATGCTTGACATGTGTGAAACGACAGATGTGTTGTACTTATCCACAACAAGACCGGCGAGTACAATTGGTACGGCTACCCGCTATGTGGGTGCACATGGCTATCTCCTCCCTGAATCTGGAGGCAAGTGGCTAAGTAAGTACTTGATTTATCGGCGTGTTTTGAATTGCGATGATCAGGCCTTACATGCTTGCCATTGGTCCGGAGTATGCAGATGTCGACTGGATGCAGCTGTGCTGGAATTAGAAGCCTGTCGAATGTTGTGACCCATCTCTCAATGAATCCGAGTGATACGTCGGTTACAGTTATCGGATCTGTCAAGGGGTACCTCTGACCAGTTATTCCACCGGATCGCAAATCACATACTTATATATACCCTAGTCGGAAATGCTCAGTGTAACACAACCTGACCCGGTACAACCTGCCGAGGCGATCTACTAGGATCTACTCCATCGTGGTCTTATCATGCTCGCTGTCGACTCCTTCGATGCTTCCACGACTAGCGTTCATGTAAGTGGAGTTCATGGTTTCATGCATCATCAGAGCGTCTCACAAGACAGATCCCAGTTCACTTGCCCAGAGGATGTCACCGGTCTCGAGAGGATAATCTTGGCAGCCCAGGGTGATCTAGCTCTTCTTCGACTTCTCAGGTAAGTCTATAACGTATCGTGCCTGGTCGTGTCTACTGACCAATTCATAAAAGCGCTTTTTTCGCGACTGCCATCTCCGTTGAACACGAATACCTCAGAACAGAGCCTGCTCATGTTGAACCCACTCTGGATGAGGGTGTCATCACACAGACACGTAAAGCGCACCTTGTATGCGCTTCACGAACCGTTTGTGTGACCACGTCCACTGTTACTGTCCCTTCTGTTGAGCGCAAGGATCTCGTACTAGATGACAAGACGTTTGTCAGCCAGCTCTTCGACCAATCTCAACATACGCCCAAGTATTCTCTCTTGAGCATTGGTACGCAGGTCGTCGATGGCAGGAAGGTTCTTCGGAAAACGTACACGCTGGAGGCTGGAGACTTCCTCTGCACCACGGTAGAGGAGTTTCCAGATCGCGACATGTTTGTTCGTGGCAATGCTTGGCTGCAAGATATGCGTCCCCGAATCGATGGGGGACTAGCTCCATCGCTGATGCCTAACGCCACTCGTTTCGCAGAGGCGGCTACATCCGAGCACTTCTTTTCCTTCACGCCCCATTCTCCCTTTTTGACGCCCACCTTGTCAACGATTCTGATGAAACAAGCTGCAGATCCAGTCATTGGACAAAAGACCTTTGCAACTTATCCGAATCCGAGCAGAACATCTTTCCAGGAGCCTTCATACGTCGATATCAGCTATGCTGAATTCGCCAGAGCCGTAGATCATGAAGCATACGAGTTGTACCACCAACTCTCCCCGATCGTCACGTCTCAGCAGGCCGACGCTGCACATGCGTCGCCATCAGAGGCACCTGTGATCGCACTCCTGGGTGACAGCGGGATCTACTTTGCCACAATAGTCATGGCGTTGCTCCAACTCAATGTAACAGTCTTCCTCTTGGCACCTTCTGTAGGTTCCCTCTTTCTATCGTTCTGAACAGCTCTGACCATCTATTCGAATGGGCGCAGAACTCGGAGGCTGCAATCGCGCATCTATTGACGACTTGCCATGTCTCCGTTCTAATCTACGAGCATGGTCACTCCACAGTCGCTCGAAACGCGACTGCCAAGTGTTCGGTGCCCACTTTCGTCATTGATGCCATTTCCAAGGCTTCTGAGCTTTATACCCTTGCGCGATCCCTTCCACCCGTCAAACTCAATGAAATCCGACGGCATGTCCTTCACCACTCTCCGCCCGCCATCCCAATCATTGTCCATAGCTCGGGATCGACGTCATATCCTAAACCTGGTTCGTTTCGGAGATGTTCCTGGATTGAAGAGGCATTGATTTAATGACAGTTCGCTGGTCAAACAAAAGCTTTTTGAGCAACGGGCAAGTATTGCTCACTGCTGGTGGCTGGTCCACCTTCACAAATAGAGACAACAGATTTCTTTGCTTAGGCCCGTTGTAAGTTCTCATAGCACACTCAGACCCCTATTTAGCTTATGCGTTACGCCTCATGAAACAGGTTTCATACAATGGGACTCACGATTGGCCTTGCCGGAACGATCTGCGCTGGAACAACACTGGTTCTTCCATTGACGCAGCTTTGGCCGCCATCGCCTGCCGATATTGTCCGATCTCTTCGTTCAACAAAGGTCACCACTTGCATCATCGTCCCACTCTTACTTGAACAACTTGTTGATGCCCTTGAGTCCGATGTCTCTCGTGTTGTTTCAGAACGATTTTTGCCGCTCGTCGAATTGAAGCTCTTGATCAGTGAGTTTCGTATTAATGCTTTCAACCCCCTACACGCTAAATTTGGAATTCAGCTGGAGGAGCCCACTGTCCGGAAAAGCTCGCGAAGCACCTTATCTCACTTGGCGTCAACCTGAAGTGTATTTACGGCTCAAGCGAGACTGGAAACCTGATGATAGGATCGCACACGAGGCCTTCGTCCCTGGATGATTCGTCCTGGAATCTCTTGAGGCCCTTTCCCCATACGTCGATCATTTTCAAACCCATTGAAAGTTCGGAAGGGAATAATGATTCACGTCAGGGGGCACTTTTTCAAGTACATATGGCTGCAGATGATGTGCGGTTGGCAGTTGGCGTCTTGAAGCCTGGCGCGGAAACTTGGAATACTGGTGATGTCGTGCAAGAGTCCTCACCGGGTTCAGGATGGTACAGACTCTTATATCGGGACGATGATATCCTCGTTCATGTCAGCGGTAAGTGATATCTTCCGCGAGACTCAAGCCTCGTTAACGTCAATAATAGGCGAGAAAACAAACCCTGTGCCTATGGAGTTGAGCTGCCGCTCTCACAAACTCATACATCGCATCGCCATCATTGGCCATCGCCGTCCTGTCACAGCTGCTATTGTACAGCTGAATGAAATCGAGGCGCAGCAACACACTGAGGAAGAGCGTCTGTTAATCGTTCGCGAAGCGATCCAAACCGCCAATCAGGGTGCCCCTAGGCATTCTAGAGTCGTCGAAGACATGGTGCTCATTTTGCCTTTGTATTACCATAAGCAAATATCCAGCACCACAAAAGGTCATTACTGATCGGATACTGGATCGCAGCTCGACTGACATTCACTCTCAGGAAACTGCATCCGGCCCAAGGTATTGCAAACATTCGCGGAAGAGATCGATGCTCTGTATCGGAGCTTCGAGGGCGATGATGTTGCCCTAGACGACGCTCCCCAAGGTTCTGTTATCAGCCTTGCCGAAGTACAGGCTGAGGTCACCAATATTTTGGGTCAAATCATCGAAAATCCTGTCACACCTATGGACCCCGCGAGGAGTCTCTTCGACATGGGTCTGGATTCGATCACCACACAGCAACTGCGTAACCGCCTGTCCAAGGCTTTTGGATTGAATCTACCGCAACAATTTGTCTACCAAAATTTCTCTCTGGAGAAATTGTGTTTCGCCCTGCATGACCGCCTATCCTCGTGCTCCCAGACGGCCGAAGCAGGACCTACCAGAGGAGAGATTCTGTACGAAATTCTCGAGCGACAGCTTGGTGCTCTCCGACGTTCAGCAGATATTGTCCTGTCCAGCCGTTCAATCTCGCAAGGCATGGAGATACCCACTGGACAGGTCGTTGCTGTTGTGGGCGCAGCTGGGTCTCTCGGCATCTGGCAAGTGAAGGCTCTCTTAGACCGTGCGGACGTTCGACAAGTCCTATGCCTTGTACGAGGTGCGAGTGTGTCTGCAGTATACGACAAGGTCCAGGCCGCATTTAGGAAGGCAGCGCTCCACGACTTTGCCCATCAGACCGAGGAGTGGCGGGATCGCCAGCTCAGTCAGGCGGGTGTCCCTGCTGTGGATCTGGACCAGAGATTGGTGGTGCTTCCATTCGACATGGCAAATCCTCATTTCGAGGAGCGCGAGTACCTCGCATTGGCCAGCACCTTGACAGCAATCATCCATACTGGATGGAAGATGGACTTTAATCAGGTGGTGGAAGACTTCGAGAAGGATTGTCTTGCCGGTCAGTCTTTTGAGCTTCATCCAAAATCTTCATAGTCCTTCACGTGCTAATATATTACTCTCATAGGAACTGTCCAACTGCTCCTCTTGGCTGGATCTGTGCGACCGAAGCGTTTCTACTTCATATCCAGCATCGGTGTGGTCATGGAATCGAAGCAAACCCCGGTATTAGAGCAGCTTCTGCCATGGTCCAAGGACGATCATATCTCAGCGTCGCCACATGGATACAGCGAATCGAAGTTCATTGGCGAATATCTCGTACAGGCGGCGTCCACGATTCTCCACATCCCTTGCTCTATCGCGCGCGTCGGGCAAATCACAGGCGACACAATCAGCGGCGTTTGGAAGGTATGTTCGATTTCTCCCGCTCTAGCGCGGCGAGCGGGTTTTCATCGACAGTCATTAGGCGCAGGAAATGAACCCCGTCATCATCGCCGGCAGCGCACGCATCGGGAAATTCCCTGTCGTACCCGACGCTCTGCTAGACTGGACCCCAGTGGACACCGTCGCGAGCTCTACTGTTGAACTAGCCCTGGGGCCGCAGGCACCGGACACCGTGTCCGTGCACCACATCGCCAACAGGTCGCTGTCCACGTACGCAGACATGGCCCAGCACCTCCGCGCGGCAGGTGTGGACGTCGTCCCGACCTCTCCCGAGGAGTGGTGGGCGGCGATCAAGGCGGACGAGGGAAACCCGTGTCTCACTATCGAGGCGTACATCGAGACGGCGTTCGTGCAGGCGCACGCGGACATGGCGAAGACGGGGGGGAAGACGCTCACGCTGGACATCAGCCAGACGCTGCGGCTCGCCCCCAATTCGCTCGTGCACTGCCCTCCTCTGGACGGAACGCTTTGGCAGAAATACGTGCGGTATTGGCGCCAGATTGGATTCCTGCAGAAATGAAAGATTAGAGCAGACGCGACGTTTACTGTGATTTTGTTGTATGATACATAGATTTTCTTTTCGTATACAGGTGGATGTCCTTGATCACTATTCAATATAACCTCCGACGTGTCATTATACGTAGCTACACATTCATGACCCCGTTCAGATGAGCAAGAGAATTCCCCACCCAAGAAAGACCCAAAAATAGAGAAGCAGAGGCTAAGCAAAACAGTAAAATGGCAGTCACAGCAAGTCGGAGCAAATACAGAATATCGCCAAGATATGAGCCAACTACATGTGCGTCTTGGGTCTCTCCGACATCCCCAGCTCAAGAGATCAGAACTCCAGACCGACTCCACCCCTCCACCCGCCCGTCGCGCCCTCGACGACCAATCCTAGCCACCTCGCCAACCCTTCCGCCCTCATCTTCCAACCGACACCCTTCAACCCCCACCGATACCCCAGCCGTGTCATACGCCGCCACCTCGACAGCCCGCCACCGCGGCGCGTGAGCGTGTGGAATTGCGCGAGGCAGGCGGCGGCGGTGGGGCGCTGTGCGGGAGGCGCGAGCATGGACGCGAAGAGGGGATCGAGGAGGGTTAGGTTCGTGTGGCCCTGTAGTGGGTAAGAGATGGCGAGTAGGTATAGGGGAGAGGGCAAGAGAGAGGGGAGAGACAGACATCACGGAAGAAGTGGGCGAGGAGCTTGCCGAGCGCGTATACGTCCGCTGCGAACGCGTCCTCCGCTGCACCAGATGGTCGCGCGACCGTATCTAGGTCTGGTGCTTGGTCCACGCGCGCGCTGGCCCCGAACCCCGTGTAATAGTATTTCACAGGGTGCGGCACCGCGAGGCGCGTACGGCGCGGGAGCTGCGCCTCGGATACACGGTGGTTAGGGTTCATGTTGTATGCGCCATGGAACCCCGAAGGAAAGAGGTCGCGTGCATCCATGAGTATCGTCGACGCGCATATGTTACTGTGCAGACGAGTCGGGAGGTCAGTTTGGAGTTAGGGGACGGGGAGAACGAAAGTGAGATAGAGGGTGGGGAGGGATGGAGGGATACAGTACCGGTGCGCGACGCCATGCGCGTGCAGGAATGCGAGACCCTGTAGTGATAATGTGTGTGCATACGGGGGTGCTGAGCGCGTGTGTATGACGGAAATTGGAGTACGAATCGATTGCGGGATGGTGTGGTGTTTGCAGGAGGACGGAGAGGTTGGCGATAATGAAGAAAAGGACATACCTCGAGCATCTGCTTTATAAACACGAGCGCCTCCACGGCCATGCAAAATGGCGGCGAATACCAGTCCCGCAAGAGCGGCATCACCGCAATGCGGATCCCACTCGCGCCCGCGCTAGCACCCTCCGGCACGTCTGTCCAATCGAAGCTGCCCGTCCCCGGCACCTCTAGAACGTCGAGCAATGGAAGAACGTGGTTATGTGGGTCGTCCGCGAGGGACGTAGAGGAGAAGTAGCGCAATGTCGAGATTTCTTGCTGTTTTGGTAGTGGGTCGACTGGAGAGTGAATTTTGAGGACGACCTGCGCGCCATCGGATACTCGCACGGCGTCGAGAACGTTTGCTTCCTGAGTCCAACATGCGACCGCATACCGGAAGCATAATTTGCGCGTGCAGGATGCAGATAGGTGATCGCGACGCGTGCAGACCCCAGAATTAATTATTACGTAAATATAGTGTATGCGGGGTAGTGGGGGCAGCGGGGGAGGCTCGACGTACGACGACGATGCTATCCTCGCATTCCAGTGGATCTAGGGGTGTGCCGACCCACGACCCAACCCATCCAGGCCAATATCGTCTACGAAGGGAATACCCGCGACGCAAGAGAAACGGCTGCAGCGCACGCCAGCCCTGCTCGAGCTCGCGCAGGCCGTACGGTGCGTTGATGTCCTCGACGTGCTCATGCTCGTGCGCACGACTCGAGGCGTTGGTGCTGGTGGCGTCGGAGATGGAGACGGAGATGGAGGAGGATGTGAACGGCTCGGACCTGGACGGGGATGCAGAGCGTGGGTACGAGGAGGAGCCGCCGGACGGTTTGGTGATGAGCTCGATCATGGGGTCGGGGCGTTTCATGGGGAAGGATGGGATGTTGGACGATGGGAGGAGCGAAAACGATGCATTGATATGGCGCAGAGCGGCCTTAGCGAACAGAATCTGATACGAGCGTCTAATGGAATCCGTTGAGACTGCACTGCGCCTGCCAATTTCCAATCGTAGAAATTTCACCCATAAATATCCTGTTCTCGATAGTGGAAATCAATCCATGACCATACCATAGATTGGCGACGAACAGACATTGAACTTTTCCTAGTTCATAGTTTCGGTCAGGAATCGATTTCCTTAGAAGTCTCCCGGGAGTTGAGTTTCGGAAGACTAGGGGCAACGACAAAGAGAAAGACGAACAGGAGGAAACCCGTCATTTGCCAGCTGAGCAGACTCGTGAGCATGTAGCCCTTCCACACGACCGCCTTCATATCATGCTGCCCACAGAAAATGAAACGGAGAAATAAACACAGAACGGGATCGAGAAAGCAAGCGTGCGCGGCACGCACTATTACACCCGAGGACAAACGCTTAAGCTACGCCGTTCGCATACTCACCACGGACGTCGCTAAGACTGCGATCAGGTGGGGCCGCTCCACACTACTCCGGCTGCCTTAGTCCGTTACGTCCCCCTCTAATACATTCCTACAAACGCCAGGCTACACGTCGATATATGATAAGTGCTCCCTGTACCTGCTGACCTAGTTAGTCGAAGAATATCCGGCGTCCAACCGACTACCGCTCGTCGAGAACGGACTCGCATAGCATCGCACGAGTCGATGCTTCGCCGTGATGATCATGAAGCGGCTGAAAATACGAGTCAGCGTGGGAACGATGGAGGGTGAACGCTGAAGGTGGCCAGAGTGAGACGAGCAGAACAGATGTTGATATGAAATATGAAGATAAAGGCGCATGTAAAAAGATGTGTTGGGTCGTGCGGGGCAGGAGCATACGTTCAAAGGTCACAGAGCTCAAGTGCGAGCCCGCTTGGAATGCAGACACAATTATCGCCCTATAGCATCGGTGGGAACAGCGCGTGCATGCGGCGTAGCCCGAAGGATGGGGCCCTGCCATAGCCTGCCATCCGTGCGCGCGCACGGCGGAGAAAATACGCACGTCCAGACCCACAGCCTCGGGAGTCTGCGAGGCACCGCGGGAAGACCCAGTCCCGCGCACGCGCATATGCATCATGGTGAGAGAGTACGCGTGGGAGATGGGATACGCTGAGGAAATAGGATAGACGAAACGGACTAAGAGAACGCGGTGTGGTGCGCGCGGCGCACGACCGTCGGTACGGTATGAATGCACGCGAGGGATGGGAGCAGAGCAAAGTGTTCGTAGCGGTCATCGTGCGCTCCCCCCGCCTCAGGGCCCAAGCACCGTGAACATTTTCGACCGACCGAGCGGCGCGATTCATAAATAGACACAGATATGCAAGAAATGGCGACAAGCTTGGCAACATCAAAGGAGCGTCAAACAGAAGCTGTCCACACACCTATCTACGCAATGCACCAGCATGATCAAGCTCGCCCGCCTGACTCGGGGTATCCTCAAGAATCAAAGGCGGGTGAAGCGACGACCCCAAGCTCTGGAAGCTCGGCGGCCGCGAGGAAGCCGAAGGCGTGTGCGCCTCTGTCCGCGACGAATCCGTCCTCTGCGCATCCTCCGAGCTCCGCTCTATCGACCTCGATCCCAAAGTCTCGATTTCACTCTCCTCTCGCACGTTCTCGAGTGACAATCGCAGCACCGGTACGCGCCGCACGATGTTCGCCATGAGCGGCGGCTCGGGCGACGCGATGGCGACGACAAACGATGGCGGCGAGTCCCGATCTCCTCCAAGCTCGCCGTCGCTCACTCCATCCTCGTCCATAGGCGGCAAAAAATTGCGCTCTCCTAGCCGTGGTGTTGGCGGCGGGCGGTCCGCATACGATACGGGCACGCTGACCTCCGCGGACGACATCAATGGCGAGCCACTCGGGAGCGGGCCTATATACGGCGGCGGCGCTACCGGCATCGTACCAGGGAAGAACCTCGGGACGAATGGGGCGGGGCCTTGCATCGGTGGGCCATCCTCGGATGCGTACGTCTGGAAGGACTCCGCGTCCGAGTGTAAGTTGCGCGATGAGCGCTCCTGACGCTGGCGCTGCGCGGAAAGTTGCCGCCTACGATAGATACTGAAGGCGAGGCAGCTCGCGACGATACTTAAGATCCCGACGGAGCCGCCTACGGCACCTCCGAAGGTCGCGATGTTGTGCTGCTTTGTTTTGGCGCTGATCGGTGGATCGGAAGCGGAGCGTAGAATTGAATCGTACGAAGGATGGCGAGGATAACGGAGATATCGAACAACACGAAATCATTGGGATGTCAGAGGGTCCAGATCATCAGTATAGTTTCAGCCGAGGTAAGAGCGGGCGACACACTTACTCGACAACTGCAGTCTGCGTCACACTTGGCGAGGGCTGAGCTTCCGTGTTAGATGGGCTCGGAGAATTGTTATTCGAGTCCATTGCGGCTGCCTGAGTAAATACGTAGGAGTCGAACAGCATGACGGAATCAGGTCCAAGGTTGACTTGAAGCGTGTGCGGCATCTGTGGGAGGCCGCTCTGTGCAAGGACAGCAAATTTGGGCGCAAATCCAGAAGCAGACGCCGAGCCATCATGGAAGAAGCTGCCCATAGGCTTGTTGTCGAGAGTGAAAGTCAGGTTGGTCAGGGTTGGCGTGCTCGTGTTGGTAGCGGGTACGCCTAACGGGAGAAGACAGTAGAGATAAATAGCCGAGCCTGTCCAGAATGTCAATTGCGTATTCGGCGAGGAAATAGTAGAAAATAACCAGTGAAGTTAAGCTGGAGGAAGACGGGCTCGTCGACGAATCCGGCATCGTCGCTATCCAGCTTCACTACAGCGAAGGGGCTACTACTGTCGGCGTCATCGTCATCGTCATCGCCATCGTCATCGCCATTCGAGCTGGCTCCATTGACCTGTCCTTCGTCACTGTCGTCGTCTTCACGGTATCGTCTGTGCCATCGCCGGACCCTTCCATGTTTACCACCACTATCCTCATCCCTATTTTTGCTGTCGTCTGCATCTGTCGTTGGAATTACATGGAGTCCATGATGCCAGGTGCTCTCGAAGGCGATACTTGGGTCTGATGGGGCCAGACAGAATTTGCAGTTCGATGAATTAGCACTGGAGACCCACTGAGCTGCTGGCTGGTACAGGATCGATGGGTCTGAGTCGTCTACAGTGATGTTAACCTGGCCTGCCCGTGCAAACCACGAAGCTTCACTCCATAGTGAGGAACACAGAAGAAGAGCGAGGACAAGCGGGATGGATCGTGGGGACGAGGGCCTGCACCAGATTTCAGAATGTCAGCCATACACATCACGATCTCTCAAAGATCGCTGTTGATATTTCCGAGACGAACCTCATGAATATGCGCGATGATCGCCGACAAACGATAGGACGTTAACAGGCAAGGGCCAGCTTATTGATAAAGCGTGCAAGAGGCGGCAGTGGGAGAAGGGAGTGGTCTGATGAACGGTGAGAGCACCTTAAGAGAGCGGCCACCGCTGAAGGGTCAGAAAGGGGTGGAACGAGCCCACGGACTGCTTCGTGTGTTTGGCCGGGAGAAATACATCCTCGCAGAAGTCTCGGTGAGAGATTCGAGTTGAACCGGCTTTCACATTGCCACACTCCATCCCGGCTCTCCATTGGCCAGAAATATGCCTCCCCCCAGATTGGGCCATCGCACGCTCCAGCAGCAGCAACACTCGCTCTCCAGGCAGTGATTTTACGCCAAGAACCGCAAGACAAGCACGGGCTCTGGGCAGCAAAGGATATTCGAGATCAATCCACGTTCTGCACCCAAAAAATGGTGAAGAATCATTGATGATGGCAGTGGTTGAGGAAAGAGATCGATACAATGCGCCGTGCTGATTGGCGGTCGCCGTGTGGCTGACACAGACAACATATCGTCCTCACCTCTCCTCCCAATCGCATACCTCTGTTCGTCGTCAAATATCTCTTGAAACCCGAAACTTTGGTTTTCAGTGTCCGGAAGTCGTTTGACCGCAGTCGGAACCACCGAAAACCTGGAAGTCTCCAGGTCAAATCTCCCCCACCGGCTCCCAGCCGTTCTCTGGTCCCCGTCTCCCACCGTCTTCCTCACGCCATCTTATTCCCGGCTGTCTTTTTATGCTAGAGGATACATACTTTTAGATCACAGGCACTGCATCAACGACGTTCTCAGGCTGTTCTGTATATTGCAAAGGGCCTTCTGCGCTTGTTCGAGTGAATTGACGATCACCACTTCCTGCGACCACCCTCATGAGCTTGTACAGGTACACAAGACCCGTGGACGGTACCATACCCGTTCCTGCTCTCCTCTATGACGATGAGGACAATTTATCAAGTCAGGAAGGCGTTGGGATCTACGAGGGGTATGTTCCTTTTCGCTTCTCTTCTGTCTTTCCCGCTGCTTCCCGTATCTCCGTGTCGTGACATGATTCCCACTGGATCTATTCCAATAAAGTGGGAAGCTACTCTCTTTCGATATATTGGGCGTACCTCACGGATCTCAGCCGTGGCCGATGTGTGCAGACCGTGGCGTGTCGATGTCTGTTCAGATCCTTGCAGAGTATAAACTGGCACACGTCTATCATATAATTGCCCTGCCAAGCGTTCTCGCTCCGTAGTCCTTTGCGATCCTCAATGAGGACTGCTTTCCGCCTTTGTATGATGGTTCCTCGTCTCTATTTCAGCCCCATGTCTATTTTGCATGACAGATGTCGGCTCCCTGATCGTCCTTCACATTGGTCGCTCCAATCTGCTTCTCTCCATTCTCAATAATGACTTTTAGTACACAGAAGTCGGCCGATCGTCAGAACGGCACTGTGTTCGTGACGACTCATCGTCTATTCTACATCGATGCGGCGAAACCCCTCGTCTGCTCGTTCGCCCTGGACTTGTCGTATATATCACAGACCGAATATTACGCAGGTCTGTTCACATCTTCCTCAAAGGTCACCCTGCACCTCGCACAGGCATTATCGTCGCCATCGAGCGCCGTAAGCGACGATCCCGCGGGCGAAAGTTGGACATGCGAAGTCTGCAACTTCCGCAACCCGCCAGGCTTGAGCCCCACTGCGGCAGTCTGCTCTCTATGCGGCGTTCCCCGCGCCAAGTCGGGCCCAAATAGCGCCGCGCCGCGCCCGTCCTCCACTTTGGCTGTCGCGCAGCCCGCGTCTGTTTCGATGCCGGCCTCGCTCGCTCCCACACCCGTGCCAAGCGAGATTCCCTGTCCCGCTTGCACATTTTTGAACCACCCGTCGCTCCACGAATGCGAGATATGTGGCACGCAACTCCCGCGGGCGCCTCCGGTGCTCAAGTCTGCGCCGGCATCGCGCCCGATGTCGCCGCTCCCAGACGAGGCGGAAAGCAGGGTCATGAAGCTGAGTTTTCGCAGAGGTGGTGACAAGGCGCTGTACGCGGTGTTGAAACGAAGTCTGCTTGGTAAAGCATGGGAGGTCCGTTTCCTTAACGAATCGCGTGCAGTCGGTCACTCGGCAGATGCTGATTTTGCTCCGATGACAGGCGAAAGATGGCGTCGCGCGCCCGGAGGTATCAGGCGCTGCAGGCTCAGGGATTCGTGCGTCTGCAGGAGTATCTTTTGACGAGCCGATCTTGATTCATTGCGTTGCCTGTCATTCCCAGATGGCCTCCTTCGTACCGTCGAGACTTCGGCGCAGACGCGCCAGACGGGCATGGACGACGCGCTGAAGGACCTGGAGGCTCTGATGATCAAGGCGCGGGACATGGTGCGTCTCGCGGGTGAGCTCAACGAACGGCTCACGGCGTCCTCGTCTCTCGCCTCGAACCCATATGGGTCTCCGTCCGACGGTGCCTCGGCCGCGTCCTCGTTTTTATCGAGCTCTGCCCTCGTGCCCTCCACGGAGCCTGAGGAGGCCACGTTTGTGCGATCCTCCCTCGTCCAGCTCGGCCTCCAGATGCAGAACACGCCCGTGACGCTGGACATGATCCGCGACGAAAAGCGCTGGCACGAAGAACTCGCACGCGAGCTGGCCGGCGTGCTCCAGGGCACGGGAGGAAAGAGCGGCATCGGGCTCATGCGCGACCGAGGTATCATCGGCCTTGACGAAGTCTGGGGCGGCTGGAACCGCGCGCGGGGAATCGGTGCGTCCCCCACTCCGCCTTCCCTTCCCTTCCCTTCCTTTCATCTCACTGATCGAATCTCTCCATTCCCGGCACGACTTCGGGCCCGCTCGATTCGACGTCCAGCGCTCGTCCCCCCGTCGACGTTCCTGCAGGTCCTTCCGCTCCTGCCGTCGCACACAGCCCCGCCCGTCCGCCTCCGCACATTCCCCACGACCGGGCTGCGGGTGCTCCACACGCCCGCGTACGCGCCCGGCGCGTTCGCCGCGCGCCTGTGCGAGCTGATAGCCGCGCGGGGCCCGCGCACGGCGCTCGAGGTCGCCTGGGCGGAAGCCGTTCCGGTCGGGCTCGTGGCGGAGATGATCGGCGAGGCGGAGATGGGGGGCGCGGTGTGTCGCGACGAGGTGCACGCCGCGGGCGGCGTCGGGGACGGCGTCGAGGTGCGGTGGTGGGCGAATGCGTTCAGGGACTACGTCTGGGACGGCCAGGCGTGAGCTGAGCGCGCGCGGCAGGACGCGGCTGCGGCTGCGGCGACAAACTTGTAGACCCTAGCCCGGATTCGGACGTTGATGAATATGATGGATCACCGTGGCCCATCACGCATGCATGCATGCATCAATGGAAGCGATGTGCGGTGCAGAAAAAAACTTGTGATGGTCTTCTGGACGCTTTGGCAGGACGAATCGAAGTATCGCGGGGAGGCCGTGCGGCCTCCCACAGCCTTCCTGAATATTTCTGAAGCTACTGCCTTCTGTGAGGACGCGCTAGTAGTGCTCGCCGTCAATAAACTCGCAGCCCACCGACCGACCGACCGACTAACCGACTAGGTTCATCCTTCTCCGAAGCCCCAGCCACCAGCCGCCACATCAGCATCAGCATCAACTCAACATCCACATCCACATCAGAATCGCATCAATCAACGACATCAACGTCACCATCAGCATCAGCATCACCCACCCGAACCTCATCACGCCGCGAAAACCCCAAACCCGCGGCGCGCGCGCTGCGTGAACGAAGCATGAGTGCATTAATCAGGGTGAAAGAAAACGTAGCGCGAGATTACATCGTCGAATCGGCTACATGGTACGTGCGGGCGATAATAATGCGTACAGGAGCTCCGGCCGACGGGGAGGGCATGTCGGTGAGCCAGATCGTGGACGTCAAAAGGGAGAGCGGCGAGCACAAGGCCCCCCGCGCGCTGCACACTGCCGCTGCACGCCGCGCGGGACGGGGGCTGGCACGATAGGCGACAGAGGCGGCGTGAAAAAAAACAATATGTGTGTGGTAAGATACAAGCAAAAAACAAGCGCGACAACGAGGGGGGTAGGGGGGGGTCAAAGCGGGAGGAGGAAGTAGGAGAGACGATTAGTCGAGGCCAAGCCATGGATGCAGTAGCAGTAGCAGTAGCAGTAGCAGTAGCAGTAGTAGCGTAAGATGTGGTGCGTGCGGCGTAAAACGAGCCAACGATAACGGGCGGGCATGTGCAGTATGTACGTGAGGATGCGGTGTGTGTGGGGCATGCAAGTAAAGTAGTGTATATATATGTATATATCATGAGTTATACGGTCATGTATGGATGGATGGGATGGATGGGATATGAATGTACGTGGCACGGCGTGGTCGGGTTCGACGAGATTCAGGTCATCACGATGATGGGAAGAAGACGGACGAGGGTCGCGACCGAGCGCGCGGGAATAGCAGAGCGAATACGGGTTGGGAGGGCGAGGGCTTGATAGAACACGACGAGCGGAGCCAAGAGGCGGGCGATAATAGCGGCGGGCGGGGATAGTGAAAGAGAGAAAGAGAGAAGAGAAACGAGAAAGAAGGCGGAAGCCGGAGCAAAGAAGTAAACAGCAATGGATTGCAACGAAATGGAACGGAGTGGACAGGTTATTAAAAGTGCGTGGGAGGGTATGGTATACACGATCGATGGGAGGGAAAAAACCGGATCGGACACAGTCAGGGAACGAAAAAGGATCGACTCCGGCGCCGGATACAACACGCAGCGCCGGCCGCGCGTGATGCTCGCGAGATACACACATTACAGTAGGCTGATCATTCCTCCTCGTCCTGACGCCAGAGCACGAGCGGAGGGTCACGATTATCGATTCTAGAGTAAAAAAGCGGGCCATTAGAGGGACGTCCATCCCAGGAATTAGGGTACTCTTTCGTGGGTCGTGGCGGATCAGATGATGATGACGACGACGACGATGCCGATGCCGATGCGATGGGGCAGGCGACGAGGATGCTGATGGGCTCTAAAGATGTGCGTGTGTGTATGTGTGTGTGTGCGCGCGCCCACGAGTCATCGGCCGGAGATGCGGAGGAGGAGGAGAGGGGGACCAAGGCAAGACGGGCCCGTCGCCGACGGGCGTGCCTCGGGTTTTGGCGCTCACATGGAGACCTGCTGCGTCTCGCCCTGCCCGACCATCCCGTAGTAGGCGTCTCCGTACGCGTACGCGGCCTCCTGATCACTCGGCGGCGGCGCGTGCGCGTAGCCCGCCATCCCCGATGGCACGACGTCGCCCGCGCCCGCACCCGCACCGGCCTCGGCGCCATACGACGACGGCGAGTCCGCGATGTACATGCCCTCGTACGCCTGCGCCGCAAAGCCCGACGGCATCGCGTTCCCCGCGAGCGCGTCGAACCCGAGCAGCGCGCCCTGCTGCTGGTCCTGCTGCTGCTGCTGCTGCTGATGCATCGGCGCATAGTCCATAAGCGGCACCGTGTACCCCGCCGGACTCGACCGCGTCGAGCTCGCCTGGCTCCGGCTATGCGCGTGGGCGTGCGCGTGCAGCGCATACGGGTGGTACGTGCGGCGCACGGGGCTCGCGCCGCCGTGCTCGGACGACATGGACGTCAGCGGCCGGCGGATCTGCTCGGGGTTGCGCGGCGCGTTGGGCGTCGCGCTGCGGAAGCGCCGGACCGCGCCCGCGCCGCCGTCCATCCCGGGCGGGTACAGCGCGGCGTGGTCGAACGCGGACTTGTGCGACGGCGCGGAGAGCGAGGTGAGCGCGGCGCCGGCGAACGCGCCCTGGGCGTCGTGGTACGGCGAGGAGGAGGCCGCGGAGGCGGAGGCCTGCGTGCGCGCGTGCGCGAAGGCGCCGCTGCTGGTGATGCGCGGCGGGACGCTGCGCGACTCGGGCGAGGGCATGCTGACGTTGGAGAACGCGGGGCTCGCGGTCGCGTGCGGGTGTGGGTGCGGCGCGGGGTGCAGCACCCAGTGCGCGGTGCTGTCTTGCTGCTGCTGCTGCTGCTGCTGGGCGCCGTAGCCGACGTTGAGGTTCTCGGACGCAGACGTCGCGAATCCGAGCGCGCCGGGGTAATACGCGTCCTGGCCGTCGCCAACGTCCATCTGGGAGTGCTGCTGCTGGTGTTGGTGTTGGTGCTGGTGCTGCTGATGCTGGTGCTGGTGCTCCGCGACCTCGACCTCGACCATCTGCGCCATGCCAGCGCTCATCTCTCCAAACTGCATGCTACCAGGCACAAAGTCCGTAATCTCGCCCTCCTCCACATCAAGCTCGTCCACCTCCTCGCTCTCCACGTCCGCGTCCTCCTCAAACCCGCCGCCGCCGCCGCCGCCGTGATGTAGGTTGCCCCCGCCGCCCCCGTGGCCGCCGTCCATCCGCACGTTGGCAGCCTGGCCGCCCGCCGCGCCGCCCGCCTCCGCGTCCGCGCGCGCGTGGATGCGCATGTGCTGGCTGAGGTTATCCGAGCGCGAGAAGCGCTTCCTGCAGCGCGGGCACACGAACGGGCGCTCCATCGTGTGCGTGCGCACGTGCCGCTTGAGGTGCTCCATGCGCTTGAACAGCCGCCCGCACGAGAAAAGCGGGCACGCGAACGCCTTGATCGTCTGCGCGCCGCCGCCGCTGCCGATGGACGTGGGCATGGACGTGGACGTGGATGCCGTGGCGGAGGCCGAGGCCATGGTGGAGGTGGAAGTGGAGGTCAAAGCGGGCGAGGCGGAAGCGGAGGCGGAGACGGAGACGGAGACGGACGGGTCGGCGAGCGTGTACTGCAGCGCGCCGGACGGGAGCGTCGCAGAGTGTCTCGGGGCCGGCGCGAGCTCCGCCATCCCACTCGGGCCGTACATCGGGAACGAGTTCTGTCTCTGCGTCTGCTGAGCCTGCGCTTGCGAGTGGTGCATCGCCGACATGGGGCTCGGCGCGGGCGACGCGTACATCGGGGGTGCGGCATTCGCGAACGCGCCGAGGCCCTGCACCTGCTGCTGTTGCTGCCGTTGCTGTTGCTGTTGCTGCTGCTGCTGTTGCACGTGCTGCTGTGTCCGGTGCTGCTGATGCTGTTGGAGTTGCTGAGCCTGATGCGAGGGTCGCTGATACTGATTGTGCTGCTGCTGATGTTGCTGTTGCTGCTGCTGCACGCGCGTCCCAAACGCGGCCCCCATCCTCCCACGCGCTGGCCCGGCCTGCGCCTGCGCGAGGAACATATCCGGCGCGCTCAGCCCCAAGCCCATGCTGATCCCCACGCTCGGCGCCACCTGCCGCTCGTCAATCCCCATCCCCATCCCCATCGCAGACCCCATCCCCATCGCAGATCCCATCCCCATCCCCATCGTGGAGCCCATCCCCATCGCGGAGCCCATCCCCTGCCGCGCCTGAGCACCCAAGCCAGCGCCGGCCTCGTCCCCCGCGCGCCGAGCCGTGGCGCCCGTGGCAGACGTGGCGGCAGCGGCAGCGGCCTTTGGCTGCCGCCGCCTGCGCTGCTTGTAGCTCGGCGAGCCCTCGAAGAGCGAGAACATGGTGAGGAACGCCGCGCTGGGCCCGCCGGGGACCCCAGCGCGCTCCGCGCGCCCGCCGTCCGAGTCCGTCGAGACCGACGCGGCGCCGTCCTCGGCCGCGTTGAACGCGTCCGCGACGATGGCGTCCGCGGTGCTGACCATCTTGTTCCCGATGCCCATGTCGTCGCCCTCGTCGTCCGCGTCCAAGTCTCCGGCGCCGCCGTGGTGGCCGCGCGCGGCGTACTCGTACTCGTCCGCGTCGGACATGGAGGCGGACGCCGAGGCAGAGGCGGAGGTCGAGGACGGGTGCCGCTGGTGGTGCTGGTGCGGGAGGCGCTGGGCGCGGTGCTGGCGGCCGTGCGCGCGCGAGAACTGCTCGTAGAGCGAGCGCTTGGCGTCGTAGCGGAAGGAGAGCGCGGGCTCGCCGGTGACGAGGGTGGTGGGCTCGAGGCCCATCTTCTCGCGCTTGAGGTCGCGCTCGAGGGCGTCGAGGAAGAGGCGGTCGTGCGGGACGGAGAACCTGCGGGCGCAGCGGCAGGGAGGGTGCGTCAGCGTCAGCTCGGAAGCGGCGCGGCGCGGCGATGCGATGCGATGCGGTGATCTCGGCGGCGGGGGAGGGAGGGAGAGAGACGCACCAGAAAAAGACCTTTTGTTTCTTCTGCGTGCGGATGCACTGGTACTTGAAGAGAAGGTCGAGGAACGGCGACTGTGGGATGACACGAGATGCGATCAGTCAAGGGCTCAGGACCGCACACACGGTAAGACACGGCACGAGGAATGCAGGACACGGGGCCGATCACAGCGGGCACGGAAAAAAAGAACGTGGGCGACTGGCCGCCACGCGAAGGATGATGCAAAGAATGCCCGGGCTCACCTTGGGCTCCTCCAAGCAGGCATCGACGCCGGGCTTGAGGTTGCGCAGGTCGCTAAAAACGCCCTCCTCGAACTTTTTCATGTTCTTGACGGGGCGGCCAAAGGCCTCGAAGCGGAAGACGAGGGCGCGGACGATGTCGGTGCCGGTGATGTGGTAGAGGCCGTTCCAGAGGACGCACGAGACGTGCTCCTGGTTCGGGAGGAGGAAGCGCTTGAGGTTGGGGTGGGACGCGGCATGGTGGGGTGCGCTGGGGTCGGCGTCCGCGGCGGGGTCGGGGAGGAGGGCGGCAGAGGCGGAGCTGGAGCTGGAGCTGGAGGGGACGATGGGGCCGGGGGTGGAGCTGGACCAGTGTGAGGGCGCGGTGGTGAGGAAAAATTTGAGCCTGTCGAGGTGTTCGAGGCGTTCCTGCTCCTGGAGGGTGAACGGGCGCGAGAGCCCGCCTGCGCGCCCGGCGTCCTGCGCAAAGGCCTGGATGGCGGACTGGTGGCCGAGAGAGGCAGCGATGTCGATGTCGTGGTGCTCGTGGGAGGATGTTTGGAGGGCACGGTAGGCAGCGACGGGGACGGTGTTGGCATTAGAGGAGGACGATGACGATGGTGGGTGGGGTGGGGGAGAGGCAGAGGAGGCAGAGTGGTAAGCGGAGAGAGAGAGGTCGTGAGGTTGCTGTTGCTGCTGGTGGAGGGAAAGGGAGTGGGCTGTGTGGGAGAGCGAAGGGTCGGGATGGGACGGGTAATGAGGGAAGGAGGGGGTGTTGTTTGTGTAGCGGGGAAGGGACGCGTAAGGGTCCATTATAGAGTAAAGTAGTAGTAGTAGTATTAGGATACGTGTCGTGTGGGGGAGGAGGAGGAGGAGACGGGGCTAGGAGAGCTCGGGACTCGGTGTTGTTCGAGGCTATAACGGAAGGGAGGGATCAGCGGGTGAGAACATGGGATTGTGAGGAGTGGGTGTTGGGGGACGGGAACAGAACAGACCTGGGAAGCAGCCGGTAGCTAGAGAGTTGCCAGAGACTGTTGCACCGCCCGTCTCTGGATGACGATGGGTGGCGGGGGAAGGCGAGGAGATGGATGAGGCGGGTTGCCGCGTCTCGAGTGGGGGAGGGAGGCGGATGGGGCTGATTAGGGCAGCGAGGGCTCGGGGTGTGTATTAGGGGAGTGGGGAGGGATTAGGCGTCGCGGACGGAGACGACGACGGAATTATAAGATGTACACGGGCAGAGGCAGACGGGACCAGGGGCAGACCCCGCCCGGCTATAAACCACTGCTCAGCCACTGCCCACAAGGCGCTCGTCCGTCCAGAGCCAGCCAGAGCCTCTCCTGTCTCCCCCCCGTCCCCCGTCCTCCTCGCTCCCGTCCCCCCCCTCCCATCGCACCTCCCTCGCGCTGCCCTCTCGCTGCCCTCGCGCTGCCCTCCCACTCGCTGCCCTCCCACTCGCCGTCGTCCCCCCCCCCGTGTCGAATGGGGCAAGGCAGGCGGCGCACAGCTTCGCATCCTTCCATCATCCATTTTTGACGCCAGCCCTCCGGCCCTGGCCAATCCCTGCGCTCGCTGGCCCTCGCCCTCGCCCTCGCCCCCTTCCTTCCCCTTCCAGCCCCAGCTTCCCTCCGACCCTCCTTTCTCTCCACCCGCCATCACCGGCACATCCCCGATCCCCTCCCCAATCTCAATGAATCTGCCCCCCTCCCCTTTCCCCCTCCCGAGCGCATCTTAGTCCCCCGCCATGACGCGACGTGCGCCCCGCTAGCCTCCGCCCTAGCCAGCCTCCGCCCTAGCCAGCCACCCCCGCCGCCACCACCACCACCACCACCACCACCCCTCCAACATACTTACTTACTTGCACACACGTCGCCCGCTGACAGCTGTACGATACCCTCCCCGTGTCTCAGATCCCGACCCCGCCACCCCGACTCAATTGCGCCCTCGCTCGCCCCCTCGCCCCTAGCCCGCGATACATACCGCCCCAGCCCCAGCTCCGCCATCGATCGCGGACCCCACCTCAGCGCGCCAACCATCATCCAACGTCCACCATCCACCCAGCATGCACGATTCATGTTCATCTCCCCGCAGGCCCCACCACGACCCGTCGCGCTCCATAATACGCTGCTCGTGCAACGCCTCGATCGCCCCCTGACTCGGTCTTACGCACACCCCGATCCCCTCGATCCCACCGATTGCCAGCGATCCACCCGCACCCAGCGCCCATCTCCTACGTACGCGCGCGCGCGCCAGCCGACCAGCCAGCCAGCCAGCCAGCCAGCCCCCCTCCTCTCTAGATCCTCATCGCGGCCTTGACGCCCACCGGCCCGCGCGCTCCCTCCACCAGCCCAGCGCTCCCTCCACAGCCGCCCCCTACTCCATCACCCTGCCCTCCAGCGCCTGTCCCTGTTCCTGCCCGTCTCCGTCTCCGCCTCCATCTCCGACTCTGTCTCTGACAAGCCAACACCGGGACTGGGCCGCGTCGCACACTCGACGCCCAGCACAGCGGCCCGCATCCCGCATCCCGCATCCCGCACGCTTCGCTTCGCAGATCTGCGCTCGGCGTCTCTGCCTGCTTTCCAGCCCGTCCGTCCGTCCGTCTCACTGACGGTCTGACGGAGCAAACCGACCGCCCGGTCCTCCGCGACTCGCCGACCGACTCACCGACTGACTCGCCCGCCGATCACCTGCATACGCATCTACCTGCCTACATACGTACCTACCTCCATACTACCCACATTCGTACCTTCACGAATCCACAGCCCCAGCCGCCGATCCCTTACCGCAGACACCACACGGCAAGTGTAATATAATATAATATAATACAATGATAACCCGCACGCCCACACACGGACGAGCTGGGCCGGCACGACGATGCATTCCCGCAGCCCCTCGTTCGAGTCCCCGAGACTCCCGCCTCCCTACATAGTCCTGCATGCGCTCTTGTTCTGCCGCATGCGTCCGCACAGCTTGCTCGGACGCGGGCGCGGCATGCTCGGAGGCACGGCGGGCTCGGAGGCATGCTCGGGCTCGCGGGCTCGCGGGCTCTCCGGCCCTGCGACGCGCTTTGGGCCGTCGCGCCCCGACGCGTCCCCGCGCTCGTGTGCGAGCGGGGCCGTCTGCGCATGGCACAGCCACGTGATGTATCGAGTACATATATACATACAACCCACCGTGATAAAATCACATCGCATCGTCGTATCGCATCGCATCGTATCGCCGCGAGCGTCGTCTGCACGATGAACGCGCGAAACCGACGCACACGATCCCCCGTTCGTCCACACATATCGTGCACGGCGCACGCGCTCGAGCCCGATCGTCCGCGCGCGCCGCTCCTACGATACGGTCCTAGCAGGCAGCCCAAGCCAACGCAGAACCGATCGCCCAGACCCAGACTCGAGTAAAGCCCGATTCTCGAGGAGTCACGCACGCAGCGCGAGCGCGAGCTCGAGCAGACTTCGAGCTCGCAAAGTCGGGGCTCGCATAAGACGGAGCTCGCAATGGAGATCGTCGATCGATCGGCAGACAGACAGACTGACGGACCGGTGAGGGACCCCGCCCAGGCCCTCCAAAAAAGGAGCACCAGAGTAGCAGCAGCTCGTACGCCCGGACCCGTCTCGACTCTCGACTCGGCTCGGGCTCGGGTCTCGCGAGGTCTCGCGCCGGCCATCGATGGCTCATGCGCCACGACGACGGCCAGGAAAGCGGGGGCGGCAAAGATGCAGACGCAGACAGACGCAGGCGCAGACGCAGACGCGAACCGCGCGGCGACCCACCTCTCATCCATACCCCACAGTGCCCTGCCCACGAAATATGCAGACCCGCGCCGACCGCCTCCCCATTCCGCGCCCATTGGCCCAGCCCAGCCCAGCCCAGCCCAACAACCCACGGCCGCGGGCGCGAACCCGTCAGTCGAAACGCAGAGAAAACAACAATAACAACCACCAGAAAGCACGGGAAAACCAACCCCTGTTGGCAAGAGCGCGCGCGTCTTTGTCTCCCGCCCGAGGGCTTCGATTCGGCGAGATGCCATCGGGGGTGCGCAGATCCTCGATTGCGCCCGGGCCCCTGACTGCCCCTCGACTGCCTGACCGACTGCATGCACGCATGCACGCAGCCCCTAATAAATCCATTCCACTCAATATTTGAGCACCGCCACCAACCCCGCCAGTCCTCATCGGTGCTCTCTGTCTCAGCGCACGCGGCGGCGCACGGCGGTGCAGGCCAGACGGGTCGCACGCGCCGCGACGCGTCAAGCGGCACGGGGCCGAGGCGGTCGCCACCACGTGGCCGCGTGCCCGATCTCGTCCTCCTCCCTCGCAGCTTCCTTGCAGCTTCCGCTTCCTCAATTACGCGTCCGCAGGCAGGTGCCCCGCGACGGCGCGCGCGACGGATCGAGATCGGGATGACGTTCGGTGTCAGTAACTTGTCGGCACTGTGCAGAGCGGCAGACGGCGCGCGCCCGGAGCCGACGCGCGGACCTCGCGACTCTAATTACTGAATTTCGAAGCTGGGACGCTGCGACATATGAGGGCCATGGGATTCGCGCGCGCGTGGCGATCGGCAATGACAATGGAAAATGGCAATATGGCAACCTGGCAACCTGGCAACCTGGCGAGTCGAGCCGAGCCGAGCCAGTCGGAGCGCAGAGCGAGAGCAAAGCCTTGGGCGAGTCGTGGTGAGTCGTGTCTCGCCAACGCGGCCGTCGCGCGCGCGCGCGCGCTCGTTCCTCCTCGTGGTCGCAGCCGGACACTTATGGCCGCGACGCGGACGCGGATCCGCGCCGAGCGCAGGCCTGGCAGGAGCATCCGACGCGCCAGGCTGTCGCGTTCCGGGGCGCGTGGCGCGCGTCGCGGGATCGTGGCTCGCGTTCGTTTCCCTCACTCCGACTTCACTCCGTCACTCCGTGCGTGCTTGCTTGCCTGCTGCGGGCCTAGGTGACGTTCGAGCCGGCATCGGCGGGAGCGTGCGCTGGCGTGGGCGTGGGCGTGGGCGTGGGCGTGGGCGTGGGCGTGGGCGTGGGCGTGGGCGTGGGCGTGGGCGTGGGCGTGGGCGTGGGCGTGGGCGTGGGCGTGGGCGTGGGCGTGGGCGTGGGCGTGGGCGTGGGCGTGGGCGTGGGCGTGGGCGTGGGCGTGGGCGTGGGCGTGGGCGTGGGCGTGGGCGTGGGCGTGGGCGTGGGCGCGGAAATGTCGGGAACATGGTTCATACGCGTGCCTCGCCGAGACGCCGCGAGCAGCACCGTAAGATTTCGGACGTCAGAGTCGGCCCTGCACGGGCCTCCGAGGACGAGAGGAGGCGTGCATCACGCGCTGAACGAATCGGTGGCTTCATTAAAGTCTGTCTGTCATACGCTGTGCATCGACACGATCTATCGATCGTGCACCACCATCCACGCACCGTGGGTCTATGTTCGAGCGCCCGAGCGGCCCCGGCGACACTGCGCCGAATGCGCCTGTGGCGAAATCCCACCCGCACCGACGTGCTGTCGCGCGCGCACGCACGTACGTGCCCGCTGCCTTCCGTTCGCACCCGCCAGCGGCAATCCAGCGTCCTGTTGGAATTTTGTCTCGGGAGCAGGTCCACGCACCAGCAATCGCCGCCCGCCGAACGGATCTTCCCCTGCGCACCACCTCGAGCCCACAGACGCCCGCCGCGCTGCACCGCCCGCGCACACAATCATTCCACGCCTAAACGTCCCTGGCGCCTGATCTCTCTAATTTGGGCCTGCCCGCCCTGTGAAAAATGACAAACATCGCTCAATGGCGACGTTCAACGACCTGTCTCATGAATGATCAATAGAGCGATCAACCAGAGGCGTCGAGCTATCACGCCATCACGAGGCACGGAGCGCGGGCGGATCTGATGCGCGGACTTCCCTGGACTTTTTGGCTCTATGTAAGTATGAGGTGGAGCGGATGGTGATGCGGAGCGAATAGCGGCGCGCGGCTGTGCAGGCCTCTAAATTGCAATAATTGAGCACACAATGACTTGACATGCACACACACACCGCGCTGATGGCTGCTGGTGGGCGTCTGGCGCAAGTGGGGATCGGCGGGGTTCACAGGTTCGCACTCAGCGGCGCGGAATTGATGAGTTCTGCATCGCACAACGCATTACGGTGGGTTGGGGATAGTGCATGGCTCGTTGCGCATTGCAGGGGTGATGTGCGCGCGGGAGGTCCAAATTGTAGTTGTAGGGTGGGGATGTTTGCGCGCTATTATTGACAGAGCCATGAGTTACGACGAGCCAGTCCGTCGTCGGGGCGGCCACAGGGATTCCTGGCCGAGTGTGAGGCCTTGAAGCACAGGAAATAAAATAAAACTCTAAAGAAAGATAATAAAAAAACGGCGTACAAAAATAGGTTCCGTCGTGCATTCAGTCTGACTCGCTCCCACCGCTAATCTAACAATGCCCAGGAAGCCTGTGCCCCTCTCCGTTGGAGTATCGCCTCCATTCATCCTTGTCGACGATCATGATTGTGATCACAACCAGGATATGATCGACCGTGTGTTGTCTCGTTGAAGAAGGTCCAGGATTGCCCTCGCCCTGATTCACTACGGGCTGGCTGGAGACCTGACAACAGACGATGCGGGCACGGTGGTGACCAGGCCGATGTCGCATGACCTCAAAGCCGAAGAACCACATCATGGAAGGTCTCGAGCTCAGGGCGCAAGCGCAGACGGGAATCGCGGACTCCGGAGTGGTGAGAATATATCGAGACATTGTATTGACAGCAGGAGGGAAGGCAGAGGGCACCGAGCACACAAAGAATATCAGAGAACAGACAGCACTAGGGCGTCCGATGCTTCTATCTCGATGTGGGGACGCTTCCAAGACACCGAGATTGCAACCATGGGGAATCTAGACGTGTTTGATGTCCTGCTCATCGAACGCATCGAACACACGTTCAACAACCAGCAACATCAGTGACACCACCGGGCATGCATGGGTGCGGCCCACACCAGCCACTCTCACCCCAACTTGGTGAAGACATTCCGGCATGCATTCGCCCAAGGCGTCCATTCTGCGCACATTCACAGTCAAATCTGTCGTGCTTCCCTTACATTTTTCCGCGAGAGCCGGGTACCCCGCACGAGCGGAAAATACCTGCATGCCACATCGGGCCATAATTACCCGTAAGGCGTCAGCCATTTCCCTATTGCGCAACCTCCGCGAAGTCGAGGTCGGTGAAAGAAGGTGTTAGCATCGGCGGGAACCGCACCTGCGCGGCCCCGAAGATGTACAGTGTCTTCTGCCCACGCCTGCCTTCGCGCTTGATTCCCCTGTCGGTACCCGTCCTGACTCCAGCGTCTTTGCGGCGGAAGTGCGATTTCTTGTTTACTGAAAGGCAAAAATTTGCGCACGAGGCAGGGGGCCTGAACAACTTTCTCCGTTACAAAAGGCGCATCGTGGGACTTACACGCGCACACGTACGTGCGTGTAGACGCAAGAAGCACCAGATGTACGTGCAGCTGGTGACGCTTGGAAGTAACTCGGAAACGTATCCACAGAAGATGGGCGTGTGCGAAGCGATCGATTTTCCGGACGATTGGCTAGGCATGCAGATGAGGCATTGAAACGAACAAAACGGGTAGCTAGCACAAGAGGAGAAAATGCAAGACGCAGTTCTGCGGATATATATGTCAGTAACGATCGAAGGCACCGGAGCAGGCATGTCCGGGCGTACTACGTGAACGAGGTGGAACGTACTGAAGCGGCAAATTTCGGCAGCGAGGCATATCACGATGTTAATGGCACCCCGGTATATGCCCGCTCTATCCTCGAAGAGCTAAAGTCCTATGGCCGTTGAGCAATGTCTGACGAGTGGCTAGTCCATGCTTCAGGCCACAAGGCCCAAGCCTTGCGTAAGGGAATGGTCAAGGGGAGTCTACGGCGCCCCGCCGCATGCGCGTCCCCTTCTATCATCAGATAAAGGCAGAAAGAGAGCCCATCTCCGGGCCCGCAAAGGAGCATAGCTACGTCGGTGCCCTTGCTGACACAAACCACCTTAGGACGTGCACGAACGCTCAGGCCCGAAATCCGAAGACCTGCTCGCGTCAAGAACATCCGACGGCTACAGAAAAGACAGGCAATCATAGAAGCGATCAGAACGCTGTCCTTGAGATTGATTTCCCAAGACGCTCGTCGTCGTCACGGTCGCCATGCGGAACGGCGAAAACTCGAGTATGACAGTGTCCTGTGCAATATCCGGCGGCACATTGATTCCGCCTGTTTACCATCTCGACACGCACAGTCCTGTCAGCAGTATTTTCCCATCACTGACAACCAAATATCAGTGATTTTTCGGGAAGACAATGAGAGCAGAGAAATCATAGACCAACTCATGAGGCACACCCTTGAGGAGATCTCAGATTATACGCCGGTAGTGCACAAGTAGATGCGCAAAGGTCTGTACGCCGAGAGAATCGCGCTAGCAATGATTCCAGGTTTAGAACGGAAGCGCCCGTCAGGCGCCAGACTTTTTTTTTTTGACTTGCCTCGGCCAATTGCAGCCCGGCGGCTTGTAGCACCAGCGTCCCACGACCAGATGAGAACAAGACTGCACAGCGCGCATGGTTCCTGCTGTACATTCTGAGGAGACCGAGAAGCGCTCTCCGCGCTTCGACGTGGGCGCTAATTTAAATGTTGGGACGCAGATGGCGATGTGAGTGAAGCGCCCAAAGCGCTCAACGCCAGCGCCTGTGCTACAAAAAGAGTCGACACCACAGAAGAGACGCACGCGGCGCTTGTGGTACGACTCCCGAGATCGCCGATGGGGGATTGTTCATCGAAATGATATAACGTGTAAACCCGTTTTTCGACTGGCAACTTTGAGCAGGACACTAAGTCACTATGATCATAGAGCTGTGAGATATTTGTAAGCCATGATGGGCAGATATCGGCTCTGTTGTCGTGAGTACCACGCGGATCATCAGGTCTGCTCGAGAGGGGTCCTTGTTATCAAGGTTGTTAGTAGTAAAGGATTGGGATGCGGTCGTATTTACAATTGGGCGTTGTGACCAAGATAGATGATACGGTGCGATGGCATCTGTCGAACATAGCATTCACTATGAGTTGATGAGGCCTGGATATCAATCTGGACTGGGAGATGATGTAAAGGCCTCGTATGGGAGTGGAAAGAGTCTGCAAGTTCTGAACATCATCATGGTTGGAAAGGGAGGGTGTACGGCATCCTTCCATTCGTGATGATCATCTGCGATGGAGAGCCTCATGAGGTCCATTTCTGACCATGACAATTAGCTCCTGAGCGTGCACAAACGATTATAGCGGCAAGAACCGAGGGATCAGCATTTTCTTCTTTCTGCATGGTCATGCTAGATGAATCGTGGATCTGTAGAATCATCATTCAGAATAGAACATCAAGTATGCATCAACGAACCAAGCAACTTCCATTACAGGCTCGCTAAGATTAGTCGATTTTTACGCGTGTAAGGGCGCGTCACCGTGTCTCCACGTACGCGATAAACAACGGCTTCGACAGCACGTTGTGGAGCGCGTCAAATGCCATATGAGCGGACGTTAAGCAGTCTATATGACGTGGAGGGCGGCTATGGACAGGCGTGCCGCATTTCAGGGCAGTTGAAGTGAACATTGTCGGCTGGGCGACTGTCGTCGTGGTGGCGTTCTGCGAGAGGCTTCAAGCGAGCCCGCCACACCGCTAAAGTTACACGTTCTCGAGCCTCGAGCTGTCTCGAGGTGTACGATGTGCCGAGCTGCACCACACAGTACTTTGTACGGGAATCTGACTGGATCAGACTACTGATGAAAGGGTGGGTGACATATGAAGTACAGCAAGCTTACTGATCTCGGATTGGAGCTTCAGCTGCACAGCCGCTTGTGAGCCATTTTTCGTTGAGGTAGCTAATAAGCAATTGCATTGAAAGGCTTAGAGATGGCGCTGAACGCTGAATGACGAGCAGAGTAATGATTGGGGATGAATGCATGCTTCGGCGAGATATCGTAGTCCTGGACCCCGCGCATAACATGTCGTGGTTGGGGTCCTCTATGTAATGACTCCCTCAAACGATTTTCCACCTCTTTCCACGAAGTTGAGGGAATCAATCAGAATCAAGAGCTTCATAGAGAATCTCTTATATTCTATGAAAAATTTACAAGCTATAATTTTCATTCTATTTGGCAGCATGTTTCACGATGGTTCAGCAACAGGGCCGCTTCAATTTTACAGACCGATGCGTCCTTCATTTTCCCTCATTCTGTACCCGGTGAGGATGAGAACACAGGAAGCCCAATGCTCATTGCCGCTATAAGAGTAGCACGTTGTCCTTGAACTTCTGAGAGAAAACAGGCGTGCTTCCTCGCGCAATATGATAAAAACACCACCCTACGGCTCAGATCGTCCCCAGAATTATCAGGAAAGAAAAACTATCACCCATTCATTTGCCGCTTCTCGATCACATCTATAAGCTGCGTTCGCGGTACTGCGGCCGGAAACGCGCGGCGTTCGAGGCGTGCGTGCGTCGCTTGTTCAAATGCGAACGCATATCCCAAGAGCGCAAATTCGCTGAACGCGGTGCCCACAAATGCGAGCCCGAACGGAAGGCCCGGTGCGAGCTCGATGACTGGCGTCGCGGGCGTTGGCTTCACGGTGTCTGGTTGGAAGCCAAGTGGGACTGTGCGCAAGACAGGATTACTTGTCAGTGTTGGGTGCACGATAAGTGAGACAATGAAAAGCGAAGGCGAAGTATTTAGGTGATGAGTGTGTGAGGGACATTCAACCCGCCTGTGACAATAGGATACCCTGCGATCGCTGCAGGCGTGTATGAGAAGCCTAATGAAAAAACAAAAGGCATCTTCTGTCAACCGTGCCCGAAGAACCCAGAGAATATAAGGGAATTAGCGATGTTCGCGCACCATCTGTCGGCAAAATAATAGCGTCTAGGTTGAACTTCCTCAGCGCCCCGTCGATTCCCCGCGTCCGACCGAGATCGTGGTCTGCAGCCAGCGCCGCGAGGTACGCAGCGTCTACAGTAGTATTCACAGATGCGAGGAACCTGCATGCAGGATCAGATTTAATGTGGATTTGCGATGAGGAGAGTGAAGAGGCCTACTCGTGTTGAGAAGTGTAGAAGGGCGGGATGAGTTCCAAGTCTGGGTGAGCGCTGTTAAATGCGATCAGATCCGCGAGGTCTTTCACTCCGGTTGGGACTTTCAACAGTCCAGAGATGTAGTTTTTAACATCGACCTGTGAAAATGCGCAGGTATTCCGCGATTGTCAAGACGATTTCACCTCGCAGTACCAAACGCATACTAGTATTACCTTGAAATCCGTATGCGTTACGATGGTCTCGTTATTAGACGTTAGTAGCTCTTCAGCATCGGGGAACTCCGAGGGGTCGACGACAGTCGCACCAAGTCTCCTGATCACCTCGAGAGACGCATTAAACACGGCAACGATGTTCTCGTCATCTGGCATAAATAGCCTTGGGACGCCCAGGCGCACACCCTGCAATGCGTCATGCCTTAGCGCCCGCATATAATCTGGCACCTTTTCGGGCTGTGCGAACGTGAAATTGTCCAGCGGATCGCGACCTGCGATGATGGTCATGACCGCAGCCGCATCCGCGACCGAGCGTGTCATGGGGCCGACCGTGTCCTGGTTCAATGATATCGGCACCACTTCGTGATACAGACCGAACAAGGACTTCGATCAGTTCGAAAGAACAAACGCGTGTCGAATGTTCTCCACGCAATACAGTCAAACCAGGGAGCTTGAAGCGTGAAACTCACCTCCCGCACGCGATGTTAGGCCCACAGTGGGCTTGATCCCAACGAGGTTGTTCCTGCTGCACGGCAGAACGATGCTCCCTCCTGTCTCGGTCCCAAGTGCCACGGCTGCAAGACCGATCGCTGCACCGATCGCGCTTCCTGAGCTCGAGCCAGACGGGTCCGCTTTCGGGAAGTACGGGCACGTCGACTGTCCACCGCGCGCAGACCATCCGGGTGCAATGATCCCGCGGAAGTGCGCCCACTCTGAGAGGTTTGTTTTCCCCAGCAGAATTGCACCAGCAGCGCGCAGTTTGGCAGCGACAGTGGCGTCCCGAGGCGGAATCGAGCCGAGTAAGGCAAAGGAGCCTGATGTCGTGTTCATGCCTAGAGAGCGATACAGACCAGAAGTATGTTTGTGCTTTAGGTGACAGAGACGAGAAATAGCATACCGTCACTGGCCCGAGTGGCGATGTTATCCTTGAGAAGGATCGGAATGCCGTGCAACGGCCCGCGGGTCCCATTTACTTGACGTTCGCTATCTAGGGAAGCTGCTTGTTCCAATGCGCTAGGATTCACCTCTATAATGGCGCGCAAGGCGGGACCTTGAAGGTTGACTTCTTCCATACGAGCGAAGTACGCCTAGCCATATCCATACCCAATGCGTTCACACAAGAGGCCTAAGATCAGATGCATGGGGATCGCTCACCACAACAAGGTCGACGCTCGTGAACAGGCCCTTGTCCAGTCCATCTTGTAGCTCATCGATGGACGCCTCGTACAAATCTGGGAGAAGCTTGCCGCCTACGACTTCCGCGCTCCTGAAACTGGTAGGCGAAAACCCAAACGCTACCAGCAGTTGATAGACGACGGCCAAAAGCGAGGCCAAGAGCATAATTATACGGAGAATCTTCGATATTGACGTGCCAGAGCCATGGGAGGATGTGATTAGACCTCTGAGGTGCGCCCTTGCCTTCTTGATATCTCGGCTCCTGGTGAACAGAAGATGTTGGCAGCCTTCAGATGCTGCATACGATGCTCGCACCTTGCCCCATTATCCTTCATTTCGCTATTAGTCATATGCTCAGTAACGTCCAGCAGGTCGGAGGGCTGAGGGATTCCGGAATCCCATGGATTTTGGCCACCGTTTGACAGTCAGAGAGAAAGCTATGTCTTCATGAAAATGCTCACTTGGCCTGACATATACTGTGTCAGCTGGACTATATATCAAAGTTGCCGGTTGGAGGCTCGCAATGAGAGCTTAGACATGCACAAAACACTTGACACGGTGAGCGCTCCGACCCAGATGTACGACGTCTTTACGCAGTCTTTGCGCCTCCCAGAATGGAAACCGATATGCTTGACCGCCGTGAGAAAAAGAGCCGAAGAGGCGGCCTGCGATTGGTCTCCACAAACACTTTGCCTCCGCTCCTCCAGGTCTCCGTGACTAACCTCTACTGACCTCCCCCAGATGATTTACATATGAAGCATCTCATTCACATAGCGTGGAGTTGGGCGATGGTGTTATTGAAGACAAGGTGAAAACGTGTAGAACCTCCATAGATCCTTTGTATGTGAGCATAGGGAGGCATATGCGGCAGGAGCGGACAGTGCTCATGCGTGGAAAGCATTTGATATACTTTTCATTTTCATATCCCGACAATCTTCGGGCATTCCTCTCTTCTCATCCACTTGGGATCTGTTCGGACGCTCTTCTCCTCGCAAGTCCCAGTTCGTTTATGGGCAGCACTATAGAGCAAATGATGTAAGCTGTAAAGCTCATCATGGCCCGGTGAGTAAACCCTCTTTGTCTATGGTACCAGGCAATCTCACACTGAATTTCTTATCGAAGCCAAACAGACCTCATTCTTACCCTCGTGACCGCCCCGATACTGCATCGAAAGCGGAGATTCGCTTTCCTGCCATCGTGCAGAGCAAAAAGTTAAACTACAGCGGCCGGGTCCCGTGGAGATGCTGGACACTCGGCATATACATAGCTAAACATAAGTGTGCGGGTGTGTCTTTGCGCTAATCGACTCGTATAAAGATCTCAAGTGCAAGTCAAGACGGTACATTAGCACACGTCGCAAGCGGCCTTGAATACCACTATCACACCACTTCTCTCTTTCATCTGGCTGTGGGGACTCCAAACAACTCATTCCTTGACCCAATTTCATTAGTTTCTCTTCATGATCCTCTCTTCTTTCCTTTTCCTTGCCATCTGCACTGCGATCTATGTCGTCTGGGAGAGTGTCACGCACTAGGTCAGGCAGGCCTCGCTGTGCAACATTCGTGGGCCTTTTGTCCAGTCGGTCTGGTCAGGTGCACATTCAGTTTTGAGGGTCGGTCCTGAATGACAGAGTGTTGCACGCGTGTTCTGTAGGAAACTTTAATCAACTTTACAATCAATCGACATGGGATTTCCATGAGAAAATCCTTGCTCAGTTCGGAAATATTGTGAGGCTTCAGTGTATCTCTGGTGTGAGTACTAGTGACACTGTGATCGAGGCTTGAACACTGGCATAGGCAATGCTGACTATGTGTCCGCTGTATTGGGGTGTTATGGTAGTGTATACAGGACTCACTATTGTACGTGGCCGACTCTCGCGCCCTCCACAATATTCTTGTCAAGGATCAGTACACATTCGAAGAGGCGTCAACATTCATAGAGTGAGCTCTCCCGACAGCGCTGCTTTCCTCATCACTGTCTGCATGTACATGGCTGACCCCTTAATATGTTCCCGAACGAACCGAGCCTTATTGGGAATGGGGCTTGTCTCCACTCTCGGTAAGTTTCATTCTCGGTATTTGCCTGTTTGCCGATGATGGGCCAGCGCTATTGCCATTGCACAATCAGGTCTCATTTTGAGATATTATCTTTAGGCGAGCACCACCGGAAGCAGCGCAAGCTCCTCAACCCTGTGTTCTCTGCGAAGCATATGCGGTCTCTCACGCCTGTGTTTTACAAAGTCACAGATAAGGTGTGCCCACTATTGTTCACCTGGCCTTCACCCAGTTCTAAGTTCCAATTGTTGAAATATGGTTCATGCTGGGTACATGCCTAGTTCCGACGGGCGCTGACGAGCAAGATCGGGGCGGCGGGAGGAAAGCAGGAGGTGGATGTCATGGTATGGATGTCGCGTATTGCGCTCAAGCTCATCGGCCAAGGCGCGCTTGGGTACTCGTTCGATAATATAGGCGAAGAAGGCGCGAACGAATATGGGAAAGCTGCCAAAGCTATGATGTATGTTCGCGCTCCTGTACCCAGCCTGCTGATACGACCGTATATGTACCTACTGACTACGACACGGCAGGCCTGCGCTCTTTGTGACAATCGTCCCACGTCAACTTCTCCCCTGGGTTTCGGATCTTGGGTCCGCAAGCTTCTGGGAGAAAGCCGTGCGCGCTCTACCTTCGAAGCCTGTGCGTGCCCTCGTCGACATTGTAGACATCATGGATCACACTTCGCGCGAGATCCTCGAGAGGAAGGAGGCGTTGCAGAAGGGCGATGCGGAGGTCAGTCAGGAAGTCGGTGAGGGCAAGGACATCATAAGCGTGATGTATGAGTGGATGAGCTCGTGGACGAACGGGGAATGTTCATCACTGACATCCCACACATTTTCTGTGGAATTGCTCTCGGGTACCGTCCACAGTGCAAGCCAACATGTCTGCCTCGGAGGACGACCGCCTGCCTGAATCTGGGATCCTGGCACAAATGAGGCAAAGACTTTGTCTTTCTACCTTGATCGCATCATGCTGACTTTATTACCGCCCTCGACGTAGCACGCTCATAATTGCCGCAATGGACACGACCTCGGCTGCGCTTTCATGCATTCTCTACCTACTCTCTCAGAACATCGATGTGCAGGACAAGCTCCGCGCCGAACTGACGCGTGCGCGTGAGGAGAGCAGAAGCCCTATTGGCGAGATGGACTACAGCCAGCTGTAGGCGTTGCCGTACTTAGACGCGGTGTGCCGCGAGTCGCTCCGGGTGTGCGTACCTCTCCGTCGCTAGGCCGAGTCCTTGATTGTCCGTGTCTCTAAATGAGAACCACTGGAACAGGTATCCTCCCGTGGGCTTCGTCACGCGCACGTGAGTCTTTGAACGAACAACACCCTCCCTTCACTTTATACTTCCCATTATCGTTCACTAACCAGCAGTATTCCTCTCCAGCGCGCGTAAAGACGTGATGCTCCCGCTCGGCACACTCATTACAGGTGATAATGGGCAGCCTATCTCGGAGGTCTTCATCCCATGCAACACAGACGTGATATGCAGCATCATCGGTGTCAACCACAACCCGGCCATCTGGGGGCCCGACGCCACGACTTGGCGCCTCGAGCGCTGGCTCGAGCCGCTCCCGCCTAGCGTGTCGGACGTGCGCGTGCCCGGGGTGTATTCGAACATGTGCGTGATGCTCTTTCGTAGCATTTCTGTTGTGGTTTAGTTTTAGGGCTATGCCTTGGTTTGGTGGCGTTGATGAACGTAAATTTGGTGCGGTGTGCTGATCCTGGTTCGGATTTGGTCTAGGATGACGTTCGCGGGAGGTGCGCGCGCCTGCATGTGAGCCTTTTCGTTGACCCTGTCAATCCAAGGCCCCGTCACTGACTCGTATTTCTACCCTTCTAGCGGGTTCAAATTCTCTGAGCTCGAAATGAGTGCGTCCACCTTCCTCCCCCGCGTCAATATTGATCATCTCACGTTTTCCATGTTTTCCATCACGCTTCGTCAGAGGTCGTGCTGGCCATGCTCCTGCCGCTGGTTAAGTTCGCGCCGTCGGGCAAGCGCGTCGTCTGGAACATCGGGACCGTCTCGACGCCCAGACTGCCAGGGACGAACACGCCGACGATGCCGCTCGTACTGTCGCTCATCGACGCTGAGAACTAATTGAGGGGTAGGGTGAAGGATGATGCTCGAATACCCGATGGTAATTGGGTGGGAGAGTCTTCTGGAGGGCAGGAAGACTGCTCTTTCTCCTCTCTTTTCCTTGTGCATAGTTCGGCTTCATGTTTCTCTCCCGTCGATATCGCCACTTACACGTTCTTCGCGATGGACTCCAAACTAACATTCCGTTCTCTCAATCATGTATAGTATGTGAGCGCGCCTGGCAGATGTTCGGATACGTTGCAGACACTTCAGCATGTCGGCTCTAAGACCGGGGCAGCTGGTCTGAAATCAAATCATGCCCAAGTATCAAAGGGATATAGAGCACAGAACCGTGCAGCAGACGTCTGATTCAAGACCGACTGGTGGTCTCAAACATGTGAGCAGTGCAGCTCGAATCCAAAGCAAACATACAACGATAAAGATACCACAGCGGGGACCAGCGACTCGAAAACAAAAACAAACACCGCAGAACGACAGCGGGGGAAACGACAGATAAATACGAAGGGCCGCAGGTATGCAGGGGGCATCAGGCCGGAGCCCAGTCACCCACCCGCGCGTGCGCTGTCCGCCTCGAAGCCGACGCTCGCGCGCGCGCTCAGATCCGAGGCGTCCGACCCCGACCACCACGCACGCGTGACGCCCGACCCTCGCCGCCTGAGCGTACCGGTGCTCGTGTTTGCGCCCGCGTCCGAGCCCGAGCCGACTGTGGATACCGACGCGCGCGCGCCGGGGGACTCGGTCGAGGCGCCGCTGCGCGCGCGGGGAGGCGTGCTGGGGCGCGGGCTTGCGGGGCGGGTCTAGAGCGGAGGGGGACGGGGGAAAGGAGCGGTGAGCTTCGCTATCAGTGAATGCTTTCGTGCACGAGACGTAGAAGGGATTAGAGGAAACGGAGGAGAGAGGGAAGGACTTACGGAGGATTCGGAAGCGCGCGCGGGGCTCTTCACAGATGCCCTTGCGGACTCAGGGAACACGATCGCGGAGCATTGCGTCCGCTGCGTGTACATCTGCATATACATCTCCGCGGCCGCGTTGGTATTGGCGTTGGCGTTGGCTTGTGCGTTCATAGCGGGGTTCAAATAGGGTGGGCCTCCGAAGCAGCGTGCGGCGCGGTGGAGCGCGACGAGCTCTTTGCGCGCGGGGTCGTGGGCGGCGGTACACGTGCGAATGTGGTTCTGGGCTTGGAGTTGAGCTTGGGCTTGGGCGTGAGCTTGGGCTTGGGCGTGGCTGCGGGCGTTGGAGGCGTCGAGGACAAGAACGGAGACGCGGTTTGAGGCTGGATGGGTGGGATCGAGGGCGAAGGGCATCGTCTTATTGTGGAGGTAGCGCTAGGAGAAAGAGGGGAAAGAGGAGAGAAGGGGAGGAGTGCGCAGCGGGAGAAGCGAGCAGCCTTTGGCGGAAGGGGAAGGTCTAAGACGGGCACTGTTATGATCAGGATTTGGTCGGGGACCGGTGGTCAAGGCTGGAGGCTGGCTGGCCAGGCAGACTGAGAATGGGGAGGGGGACAGACGCGGTCGGATGGGCGTCTAAGGAGTCAGGCTGCGCGCGGATGCGAGGCCCGTACGCGTCAAAAGTAGATAGACGGGTGTATAGGCATTTGAGCTGCCGAACCCACCCAAATTCCGCTGATGGGTGTTCAGTTGCTTTCCGGAGAAAGGGGGACAATAGTGGGACAGCGGGAGATGATATTCGTTGTTGGGTCGGGACGTAAAGTAAAAGACAGGGAACAAAGAGGATGTAAATGGCGTAATCGAAGGCTCGAGGGAGTGCTCGAGATGCGAGTTCGGAGCACGTCCGAGGAGAGGGGGGAACTTACCTGAGGGCGCCGTCACGCTAGAAGGTGGGGTCGAAAAATGCAGGGTCGGGAGGATTGTTCTTATGACGAAGGGGTTTCTGGATGGAAGTACGCGTGACATATGAGGGGAGCGAATTCTGACAGCTGAGGACGGGGATGCTGGTCGAGGGAAATTCAGTGACGTTGGGTCCAGCGCTCGAGGATGTCTTGTGATGATTTAGGGTTCGCAAAGGGGTATTTGTTCGAGATCCTCGTATACAAGAAAGGGGGGGCTTTGTAGAAGCGAGCAAATATGAAGGAGGATCAACAGACTTTGAAGGCAACAACGTATATACTGACTGGCAGCGGCTGGGTGAGGAGAGCTGAAGGGTCTGGATGGCAGCGGCTGGATGATAGATGAAAGCATGCATGCGTGACGTGTACAAGCGATTATGTGATTGACACGTTACCACGCGTCTGTTCGCTCTTCTTCGTCTTCGTCTTGATCCTTCGACAGACCTGATTCGATTCCCGCGTCCAGTCTGGGAGACGCTGGAAAACGTAGGGTTTTATCCACACCACGTTCTCTCTGCGAGGCTGCTATCATGTTCTAGCCCAATGTCTCTGAAATGCTCCACGTGATATTCGAATGCCTAGACGCGGGTTGAACGTGCGCAGGCACGACCGGAAAGGCACGTATCTTTGTCGGCGGCGCGGCCGCAGATGGACATAGGGTGAAGGATGGTGCTGCGTATCGTCCAACGGCAGCTGTACATGGAGGGGGCATGACGCGTCCAAACCCGTCGCGCACCCGTGTTCTATGATGGAGAGTCATAGAATCGCGCGAGGAGGAGGACGACGAGTTTCCCATCTGGACGCCATCGGCGCTTTCTCTGGGCGAGCGCGTCTGTTTTAGGCCGTCAACTTTCCCTCACGCGCGTCGGCGTTCGGCGGGCCCCAGCGGCGGCGACCGTCACCAGACCTCGCACCCTGCCGATGCACCCTCCGAGTCGAGGTCGAGCTTGCGGTCATGACGTCAGGCCTCGCAATCTCCCATATAACTACTCTCCCCGGTCCCCCTCCCCGTTCGTCTCTTGGACTGCAGATCCCCTCGGCGACGGCGACCACAAACAAACAACAGTCACAAAATGACTTCGACTATCGATACAACCACCATTGGCAAGCCGCCCCCGCCCGCAGCTAGGCGCGCACGCCGTCACGTCCGTTCACTCACAGGTGTGCTCCCCCCGAACAATCCCCCCCTTGCATACACGCAGCTAATCACTCTATCATACAGGCGACTTCCCCGAAGTCGACGAGAAAGGCGAGGAGAAATGGCCCCGCGGCGAGGAAGCAGCCTGGAAGGAGGCCATGCGCGACTTGCACACCGGTCGGGTTCCATTCCGTTCATGCATGACCGGGGTCGTCACTGACCAGGACGCGGTGCTCTTAGACGTCCCGGAGGTCACCAAGTCCATCGTCGGACACGTGCAAACCTCCCTCGCACGCGCGCCGTACAACCTTGACGACTTTGGCGCGTACCAGGCCTCCGCACTCTCTGTGCGCGACAACCTCATCGTCAGCGGCTTCCATTGCGTCCTTATTTTACCACTAACATCCCTTCCCTCAGGTCAACTGGAACTCTACCCAGCTCCACTACACCCGCAAAGCTCCCAAACGCGCCTACTATCTCTCCCTTGAGTTCCTCATGGGCCGCACCCTCTCCAACGCACTTCTCAACCTCTCAGTGCTACCTGCATACGAGTCCTCCCTCGCGCGCCTCGGCTTTGCTCTTGAGGACGTGCTAGTACAGGAACGTGACGCCGCGCTCGGGAACGGCGGCCTCGGGCGCCTTGCCGCGTGCTATCTCGACTCGTCCGCGACGCAGGAGCTCCCCGTATGGGGGTACGGCCTGCGGTACAAGTACGGGATCTTCCAGCAGCTCATCAAGGCGGATGACGGGACACAGCTCGAGGCGCCCGATCCGTGGCTGGAGCATCAGAACCCGTGGGAACTGCCTAGGTTGGACGTCGTGTACGAGGTGCGATTCTATGGGACGGCGGAGCGGTGGGGGGATGGGAGCGGGAAGGGGACATGGAGTGGGGGACAGGAGGTTTTGGCGGTGAGTTCATTGCCGACTGTTTGCTCTGTCCCGGGCTCATGCTTTTTGGAACCTGTTGTGAAGGTCGCGTATGATGTTATGATCCGTCAGTGCTCAACTGTCTACCCTCTTACGACTTTGGCTGATCGTCATGCATCGTGTTTGTGTATGCAGCTGGCTATGGCACCAAGAACACGAAGTCCATATTCTATTCTTCATTTCCATATTTCTACTGACAATGTCTTTTAGCAACCTCCGCCTCTGGGAAAGCAAGCCTAAGCGCGGTTTCGATCTCCAGAGCTTCAACGGTACGCTGCTATTCAATCTTCTACACATTTCTCACTGCTCTATACGCGCCGCTCCCACGTCTTCACACACCTTTTGATAATTTTCGTTTGCACCGTTTCGAATCACTGACTCATTGGTGCAGCGGGCGACTATGAGCGCGCGGTCGAGACGTCCAACACGGCTGCGGCGATCACATCCGTCCTGTACCCGAACGACCATACCAGCTGTATGTTTCTTTGACTCGGTATGCTTCTGCGCTGTCTGATTTCTCAATCAACGCTGTCCGCAGCGGGGAAGGAGCTACGGCTGAAGCAGCAATACTTCTGGACGGCGGCGAGCCTTGCGGATATGATGCGCCGGTTCAAACATTTGGAAAAGCCGCTCTCGTGCGTGTGCTTCTCCTTTTTGTTGACATTCATTCGTCCTCACCATGCCTCGTTATTCTGCTGCCGGGTGCAGGGAGTTTGCAGAGTGTGAGTTTTTTTTTTTTTTTGCTTTGCAATGAATCGTATCCAGCTTTGCATCGATCGGGTTTACGAATATTGATCTTTGATTCGGTGTTGGTGCAGATAACGCGATCCAGCTGAATGATGTGCGTTTCTTCCCGCTCTGCCTCCTCTCACCGGAATCTCCATAGCTAATGCTGATCGCGATATCGCATGCACAGACCCACCCGACGCTCGCTATCGTCGAGCTCATGCGCATCCTCATCGACGAGGAAGACCTGCACTGGGACCAGGCGTGGACGATTGTCACCAACACATTCTTCTTCACGAACCACACCGTGCTGCCGGTACGTCCTTTTCCCTCCTCTGCCCGTTCTTCTTGTTCTCCGTCTCATGCTCTTTTTGATCGTAGGAAGCGCTCGAGGTAAGCGGTCGATGTTCGAGACGGTGTCTTGTGCTGACGCATTTTCACATCTTCTCTCTTGTTTATTCTTCTCGCGTGGTGTGTAGAAATGGTCGGTGCCGCTGATGCAGCACCTGCTGCCGAGGCATATGCAGATCATCTTCGATATTGTGCGTCTTTCTACGATTCCCGTGCTCATCGCTCGCGCGTCACTGACTATATGCGTACTGAACTCCGTGAACTGTGCACGCTGTGTAGAATTTGTGAGTGCTTTGCTGCCTCTGTCTATGCGTATCAGTCGGCTCATAGTTCTCTGCAGATTGTTCTTGTCATGTGCGATCTCTTCGCTCTGATGTCGTAGTGCGGAACCTAACCACCTTTTTCTCGTTGTATTTTGTTAGCTGTCGAGAAGAAGTTCCCGGGGGACAGGGAGAAGCTTGCTAGGATGTCGTTGATTGAAGGTGAGCTTCCGCTTTCTCGTCTAGATGAGAGACTTATATTGACTTTTTCTTTGTCCGCAGAGGGATACCCGCAACAAGTCCGGATGGCGAACCTGGCTGTCATCGGTGCGTCGCCGTCTATCTCTAGTCTAATTGATTTCTTATCGAATAATTCTGGCTCATTTCTTCGGTTTCAGGTAGCCGCAAAGTGAACGGTGTCGCGGAGCTGCACAGCCAGCTTGTGCAGTCGATCCTGTTCCCTGACTTTGTGGAGTTTTACGGGAAGAGCAAGTGCGCACGATCTCCTTCTCTCATCTACTGCCAAGATACGGCCACTAACGTGCGAGCTTTGCAGGTTTAGCAACGTGACGAACGGGAGTGAGTCTTTTCATTCATTTATGATTTCCCTTGGTCTACGTTCTTCGAACCGCTCTGAATCTTACGCCTTCGTTGCTTCTTTGTCATCCAGTCACCCCCCGGCGCTGGCTCGACCAGTGCAACCCGGGACTCTCGCAGCTCATCACCGAGACACTCGACTTGCCGAAGGCGGTGTGGCTGAAGGACCTCTCGAAGCTCGAAGGGCTGCTCGCACACGTCGACGACGAGAAGCTGCAGCGCCGTTGGGCGCTCGTGAAGCGGCAGAACAAGGAGCGCCTCGCGCTCTTTGTCGAGAAGTTGATGGGCGTCCGGGTAGACGCGGATGCGATGTTCGATGTGCAGATTAAGGTGGGAGCTCTTTGAATAATGGAATTGGTTCATGACGTGCTGATGCAAATTTTTTCCGTGGCGCAGAGATTGCACGAGTACAAGGTCCGTCTTCTGTTTATAATGATGGACAAACCAATCTCAGTCGCTTCTCGCTTAGCGTCAAACTCTTAATATCTTGGGTGTCATTCATGTGAGTCTTCTTCCTTGCATGAATGAGAGGAAAGATTTAATGTACAACGTATGTCATAGCGATACCTCCTCATCAAGAGCATGACTCCCGAGGAACGGAAGAAGGTCGTAAAGAAGGTTGTCTTTTTCGGTGGCAAGGCGGCTCCTGGATGTACGTCCCTCCATTCCTCTACTCACAGCGGATTTCTGAAACCATGCAACCGCAGATTACATCGCCAAGCTGGTAATTGCGAACCGCATACTCCATTATGATTCGAGTTACATTTGACTTACCGATCTCTTGTTAGACCATCCGCCTGATCGTCAACGTCGCCCGCGTGATCAATAAGGACCCGGACACGAAAGCCTACCTCTCGCTCTTCTTCCTGCCTGACTACTCCGTCTCGCTCGCCGAGGTGCTCATCCCCGCGTCGGACATCAGCCAGCATATCTCCACCGCCGGTACTGAGGCGTCCGGCACGTCTAACATGAAGTTTTGCCTCAACGGCGGGCTGCTGGTCGGCACCGTGGGTGCGTTATTCTCCTCGCCACCTGTCGGGCTGGTGTAAGCATAGTTGATCGCTGATCGGAGAACAGACGGCGCGAACATTGAGATCGCGGAGGAGGTTGGGGAAGATAACGTCTGTGAGTAGACACCATCGCTTGACATTGTTGGGCTCGAACATGCTGAATAATGCTGTGGCGACGGCTGATACAGTCTTCTTCGGGCACTTGACCCCCGACGTTGAGGATCTGCGGTACCAGCACACGTACCATCCCGTGCCGGTAGAGGAGAAGTCCCCCGCGCTGGCGCACGTCCTCAACGCCGTCTCGTCTGGCATCTTCGGTGACGGCGGGGTGTACGAGCCGTGAGTCTTTCCTCGTCGCGTACATTCGCCGCGATCTGCATAGCTGCTTGCTGATAACATGTTGACGCGCTTGCAGGCTCCTCAACACGGTCAGGCAGGGCGACTTCTACATCCTCACAGAGGACTTTGACTCTTGTGCGTCGTCTGACTCGCCTAGCGAACCGCGACGTTCTCGTGGCTCGTGTGTCCCGCTGCTGACGACTGTTCTGTTCCAGATATCCGCGCGCTGGAGATGGTCGACGAGGCGTACGCCGACCGTACGGAGTGGATCAAGAAGAGCATCAGGACCACCGCGAAGGTTCGTGAACACTCATCTGTACTTTGATCGGTTCTAGCGTCTGATTCAAACGAATGCAGATGGGCAAGTTCAGCTCCGACCGAGCCATTCAGGACTACGCCCAGGAATACTGGAACATCGAGAGCATCAAGCTACAGGAATGAGTTGACGAGTCTTAGATGCTATGCGCCAATGCGCCGTCAGCCGCAGGATACAATACCCGTTGGACTGTTTGTAAGTTGTTGTGCACCATGTGTTTTCCACCCCGATGTGTAGCAATTCGAGCGTTCAAATTTGTATTCGATGATATCAAGAACAAAACGACGACAGTGACGTTTGAAACCATAATAATCAGAGAAAAACACACACAAGGAGATAAGTAGGCGAGCGACGCTAGGATAAACAGACAGCCATAGAAAGTGCCAGGTATGTGTGCCAGGTTTACATGGAAAATGAACATGAGAGAAGACATGGGCAAGTAGAATGTTAGCAAGTGGGAATCGAATGAGTACGAGGGGTCAGTCAAATGCAAGATCCGTCCTAAAACTGTGTCATGTGTCGGTGGGCGACGCAGATTACGAGTGTGTTAGTCGAATAGGAGTCGCGAAGTGATAAAAAAAACGGAACAAGGATGAGTGGGTATTCGAAGTAATGTTTCACAAACCGTGGTTGTCGACACGAGATACCGAGACGAAGAGAAAAAAAAGGTAAAAGACGTGAACAGGGAAACGCATTACGGAACAAACGCATAATCGAGACAGGACATTATTGAAAGCGCGGGTGGGTATGCGGGTATACGCTGCGGCGAGAATCGGAATCGAGAAATGTCGAAAGAAAGTGATGAAACCCGGATACAGATGTGGGATAACGTTGAAAAAAAAAGACGGTAAAGGGCTGCGTTTACTCCGCAGGTTTTTCATCTTGGGCAGCCGGATTTGCAATGCTAGACTCATCTTCGGCGGCATGTGCAGGCTCGACAGGTATGTCTGGGTGGCAGCGTCAGTGGTTAAAAGAGATGACGTATACAATGTGAGAACACACCTTCTGCGGCCTCCACATTCTCGAACTCTTCCACTGCCTCGCTTGCTTCTGGAACGTCGACCGCCGCAGACACAGCTGTCGGCACTGCAACGCAAACAAATCATTAGAACCGATGATGCTGTTTTCTTGTGACGAGAACCCACCTTCGACAGGCTCTCGTGCCTCGGGTTCTGCCACTACAGCCTCGGGGGCTCCAACTGTTTCGGTTGCGTCTTCAGACACAGTAATCCCCTCTGGAACTTGGTAAAGGCAAAGATTAAGAATCGCGTCCAAGTCTTTTGGATTGCACCACGCACCTTCTACAACGGACGCCTCGACAGTCGACGACTCCACGTGGACTTCGTCCGCAGCAGAATCGGGAGCAACTTCATCAACAGCTGACTGATCATCGATGTAGCCGTTCTCCGTTGGGGCAGGAGCCTGCGTGATCTCCTCAAACGCAGTGTCGACAATAGCATCAGGTGTGGCTGATTCGACGGTGGGAGCTGCTGGCTCGGGGCCTACGATTTCACTTGCAACTGGAGGCTCAATAGCATAGGGCTCGTCCTCGGTGGGTATTGGGGCATCCTCTATCACGGGAGTAGGCTCCTCAGGCGCGATGTCCTCGACGATGAGACCAAGTGCAGGTGTGACATCTTCGTCAGCAGCAGCAGCTGGCACAGTTTCTTGAAGGGACACGACCTCCTCGGCAACAGAATCTTCAATCACAGAGACCTCTGCAAGAGCCGAAGCCGGCACCTCGGGTTCTTCGACGAGGACGGGGGAGCTAAGTGCAAGCGATTCCTCAACAACCTCAGCAGTTGGATCTTCGGCGATTGAGGGCACTTCTGGTGCAAGGGATTCGTCGACACTGGATACGGCCGGTGTTTCCTCATCAGTGAGCACAGGTTCAGCGATTTCATGATGTTCCGCGGGGACTTCATCTGGCACCGGAGCTTCCGCAGCAGGTATGGGGTCTACAACTCCAATCTCCTCGACAGGAATCACTTCCAAAACCGGTGCTTCCTCCCCAACTGGCGATGGTTCCTCAGCAATCGGAATCTCCAGAGCCTCGGCATTCGCAGGAGAGATGTCCTTGGACTCAGACTCGGCGACGGGCTGCGACTGGGGAATAGACTGAGCTTCAGAGGACGAATCGACTGTGGGAGATGGGTCCACGACAATAGGGACATCCGAGACAGCAGATACAGTGGCCTGTTCAACCTCGGATTGGTCAGGAGCGACCTCGGGCTCTGCGACCTCGGCTGGATGAACAGCCTCGGTCTCAGGCTCAGAGGCAATTGCATGGACTTCTCCTGGATCATGAGACGACTCAACGATCGTTTCAGCGACTGCAGCAGGGATCTCCTCTTCAGCATGAGCCTCATCGATCACAGTCGGTACCACGGTTGACGTCGACTCCACGTCGAGAGCACTGGACACTTCCGTTTCGTTAGACGGATCCTGAACAGGAAGGGAAACATCCTCCGTCGTCGCAGGCTCAGCGGACACTTCCTCGACCACCTGCGCCTCCTCGACGGCAACGGACGATTCAACAGTAGCAGCAGGTACTTCCTCAGCAGTTGCAGAAGTCTCAATTGGAGCATCCGCCTCTACAACAGTAGGAGTCTCCTCTGTGGGAGCAGATGCGTCTTCGATCGCAGCATCCGCCTCTTCTACGACAATGGGGTTTTCTTCGACCACGATCGGAGCACTTTGGGCGGCAGCAGAGACTTCAGAAGCAACGGCTGGTACCTCCTCCGCAGCAGGAGGCTCCTCCATGGCAGAAGCATCCTCCGGGACCACAGCAGCCTCTAGGACAAGAGCGGGAGCTGCTTCGACGACAGCGGGTAGATCTTCCAAGGTGGGAGCTTCCTCTACAGGTGTCGTCGTGTGGTCAATGGGGAGAGAAACCTGTTCGACAGTAGCAGGGACATCCTCTACAACAGCAGGGGCATCCTCGACAAGTGCGGGTGTTTCATCCAGAACAACAGGACCATCCTCTACAGCAGCTTGCGATTCCTCTGCAGGTACGACTGGCTCTTCGACGACAGCAGGAGTTTCCTCGACAACAGCAGAGATTTCCTCGACGAGGACAGGTGCATCGGCTACGGCGGTGGAGAATTCTTCGACTGGCACAGACGTCTCCTCGACAGCTACTGAGACCTCTTCCACGGGAGCAGCGGTTTTCTCGACGCTGACCGAAGCCTCTTCTGCAGGAACAGGAAGTGCCTTGACAATTACCGGGACCTCTTCCACAGCAGCAGATGATCCTTCCGGCGTTAGGGGTGTATCTTCGACAGGGGCAAGTGTTTCCTCTAGGACAACAGATGTACCTACAGCAGCCTGCGTTTCCTCTGCAGGTACAGCCAGCTCTTCGACAGCAGGAGGTACCTCTACAGCAGCAGGGATTTCCTCGTCGAGGACTGGTGCGTCAGCCACGGCAGTGGGTGCCTCTTCAACAGGCACAGAGGTCTCCTCGACAGCAGCCGAAACTTCTTCGACAGCAGCAGGGCTCTCCTCGACAACAGCAGGGGCCTCAACAGCAGGGACTACTGCTTCTACAGGAGCTGACACTTCCTCCAATGCGACAGGTGCGTCCTCGACAAGAGCAGGGCTCTCCTCGACAGCAGCAGGGGCCTCAACAGCAGGGACTACTGCTTCTACAGGAGCTGACACTTCCTCCAATGCGACAGGTGCGTCCTCCACGACGGCAGGGCTCTCCTCCACCAACACGGACGTCTCTTCAACGACAGCGATCAGAGCAACCGATTCTTGAACAGGGTCAGCGGAGTTTTCTACGACTTCGGCGACGGGCTCCGGTTTGGCCGTCTCCTCAGCCGCGCTCTCGACAGGAACGGGCGTCTGATCGACGACCGGAGGCTCGTCGGTGGTGGCGGCAGAGTCGTCGATCTGCGCGAGGGCTGCAGGTTCGCTGGTCTCGAGAGCAAGCTGCGGGCCGACCGTCTCTCCTGTCCGAACAACGTTCTCCGGCGCCGGGGGAAGAACGTCACCGTTGGCGTCCGAAGGCACCTCGGTGGCTCTGGGTTGGCTCTGGTGCTCCTCAGGTAGAGGAATGGAGTCAACGGGAGGCGTTGCGGTAGAGTCTTCAGTGACGAGTTCGATATCCTTGGGGGGAGGGGTTGGTGCCGTGCTAGAGGGTGCTGTGGGCATGATAGGTTCCTCGACTGCAGGGATAGGTGCGCTTGACTCCGCTGTCTTGGAATCTTCGACGGCCTCGATTACAACAGCGGCTCCGGCGGCGACTGTAGCAGCAGCAGCCCCGATGGCCAACTCTGCGCCGGAAATACCTGTAGCCTTCTGCGCCTGCTTTTCCTTCTCCGGAACAGGTGGCCTCGCCTCGCTCTCCACCGCACTCGGCCTCGCCTCCTTTTCCTTCTCTTCCTCCTCCTTGACGATCTCGCCCAGCTCACCGACCTTCGGCGACTTGCTCGCCTTCTTCTTGCCCGCTGCCTTGTTCTCGCTCCCTGCGAGGAAGCTCAGGCGCTTAAGCGTTGAACTCACGAGGGACGAGCCAGAATCAAGCTTGCTGAGCGACGGGCGCGGCGAGGTCGCACGGCGGCCCTGGGCAGCTTCCTGCTCCGATTGTTGTGGAGGGGGTGAGGCAGGGGGACTCGGGCGGGTGAAGACCTGCTCGACGACGAGCCAAGCGACGGGCGTGTCATCGGCGGGGCCTTGCAGGTCTTCAAGAGGCTTGAGTTGACAGATCACGAACTTGGGCCAGTCCGATGCAATCGCGTCCAGCAGCGCGTCGCTCCAAAAGTCGATGAACGCCTCGTCGAGCTTGATGCGTGCAACGTGCGCGGACTTGGAAACAGGCGGAGCAGGCTGAGGGGGAGCGGGCGGTGGAGAGGGCGGGAGAGAAGCCGGGCTATCCATAGACGAGCGGCGGCTCTGGTCGAGCGACCCACGGCGCTTTTTGCTCGATTTGCGCGAGAGTGCGACGGGCGGGGTCGTCTTCTCGACGTCCTTGTCCCACAGAGTCGATGCGAAGTCGCGTAAGCCGGGCTCGACAAAGCCCTTGCTCGTGAACTGGAGCCAGTCCGTCGGGGTGTCGGGCGAGGCGGTCGTGGGCGCTGTCCCAGTCGCGGTGACAGTCGGCGTGGCAGTGGATGGTCCACCGTGGCCGGAAGAAGACGGAGGAAAATGACCGTTCCCAGAGGGAGAACGCTGAGTGGGAGATTCGGGCAGAGGGAGCGAAAAGGCACGACCGCGACTGGGAGAAGACCGGATCGTGGGCGTGAGCAGCGCGAAGGTGGGGCTCTTTTCAGGGCTGTCTGCCGGGATCAATGACAACAAGCGAATGGTCTCATCTGCGAAAATGCGGGCAAACACGGGGAAAGAGTCTACCCCTGGCTCTGTGCTTTCGCCCTCAGCAATCCCGCTGGATGCCTTTCGGATGGCATCCCAGACTAAAGTCTGGTCGCCTTCTTCTGGACCTTTGGACTTCAATGCCTCCGCAATGAGGCGCAGGGGGTGCGACTTGGGCTTTGTAACCCCCGTGTACTCTGTCTCTAAACGAACATAAAGTGCGTCATAGCGACGTGTCGAGAAACGGGGACGCGGTAGGAGATCATCGTCTGAAGAGCTCGAGCCTTGTCCGTAAGGATAACTGTCAGTTAATTCTGTGAGGCGCTTGGGCATCTTGTTCGAGACTGCTTCATCTCTGAGGACATGAACTCCTGTAAGAACTTGAATATATGCGAAGGATACAACACACACCTGATTCGAGAAAGGAAAAGATGTTCCAAAATACGCCCAGCACGCTCCCAACGATCATAGAATGTCTTCCAATCGTCAGCTTCCGCAGAACGGCGACCTGTAAGCAGCCAGAGCCCCATGAACTTGGTCAACTTGCTGCCCGAGATCCCGTTGGCCTCACTATGAGCTGCCAAGGAAGAGATGACATCAAGAGTAGTAAACAACAGCTCGCTATGCGCGGGGGGCAGCTGAGGCACAAGGGTTTGAGAGAATGCCAGCGGAGGGTACGAAGCAGATCGCTCTGCCTGAGCAAACGCGTCATACCACGCCCAGTCCGACGCGTCCTTGCCGAACGCGTCAGCTTCGAGTTTCAGATGGCGAAGGCCCCAGCGCAAGACGGCGGCGACGTCGTAGGGCGAGCGCGCGTAGTTGAGCTCGGATTCAAATGCGGAGACAGAAGCCGCGGAAGTAGGAGTGAGCGTGGTTATAGAGCTTTTGGGAGCCAAAGAAAGTATGTAGAGAGAGATAAGTTTGCGCTGCACCTCCGGAGAAGAGGAGTACCAGTGCGGGTGCATGATTCCCAGGGTTTCCAGACCTAGTGGGGTATGTCAGAGATGAGACGGTGATTGGAAGGATACAGAACGCACCACGCTCGACGATGACCTGCGAACATGCACGAACAAGGACTAGTGTCTCGAGCGGAGTCAGTCGCCTGTCTCCGATGACAGCATCGTCCAAGATCGTCAACGCATCGGGGTCCGCTTCGAAGACGACGCCAAGGGCGCGACTGCGCTCCTCCTTGGGCTTGGGGAGGTTGAGGGAGAGGTGCGGTACGTCAGATGGTTTCTTCTGAGCCGTAAGTGGAGGCGAGGTAGGACGCGATCTGCTGCGGAAGAGCGTGAATCCGGCGTCCTTCTCTTTCTCTTTATCTTTCTGGCTGGCGTGCTCGCGCTCGCGCGCTTGAGCCGCCTCGATGAAGTTTGTCGCAGAAGGCGACGGGGTAGCAGAGACGGCCTCAAACTTGCCTTCGAGGAGTGAGCCATTTGAGATGCGCTTGGACGCCTTGTCGTCGGCCTTCTTACGTCCAAAAATTCTAGACAGGAACGAGGGCATTGCGTGATGACACGATGCTGGCCAACACGATCACACATGAGCCTTCGGCTGCGACACACCGTCCCAGCATGGCAAGTACGTACCGAAGAGAAGGTCTTTAAGAGATCGTGGACGGTGTTGAGAGGATTAGAGGATCGTTATGGTTGACGGTCGTCCACTTTGTAGAACGTTGGAGGCCAGGTTCAAAGAGGGCGACAAACAAGCGCAAACTACGCACACCTGCCGCATGTTCCCTTTCGGCGTCCTCCTTGAGCTGTTCCTCACCTTCGCTTCCTTGTGCTGCCCACCGCCCCATTTCAATACCTGTTTGCGTTTCATTTGTCGTGCTATTTTTTCTTTATCATCTCAGCGTGCCCCACAGCAGCGACGATAAGCACATCATGCAAGTCTAGAGTGGCCGCTGCTGTATCTAGCTTCTTTCGTCCGTGCGCTTTGGGAAGTTGAGAGGCCAAGGGCGGCATTAGACGGGACCGTCGTCTAGCGGTCAATCATGTTCACATAATGCACGACGGCCTCTGCTCGTATCACGTCACGTGATGAAAAAGCAAAAGATGTGAGTTTCTGGTGATCCTGCTGTGCCTTATAGGTCCACTCGTTTGGACCGGCAACTTTGACGACCCACAATCGAGGAAGCACTTATGCCTCATGTGCGGTTCGTTTCTCAAAGACCACTTGCCCTATTAGTGCGCGATACTCCTCTGGAGACCACATCTTTCGCATTGACACCCCTTCACATCCCCAGTCACCATCTTGTGTACGAAGCTTTTGATGCACCAATTTGAAGTCTTCTGGTGAAATTCTCATGCTGTCATTTGTTGAAGTTCGTGGACGTCTTCGACCTTCTTCAACAGACGTCTCTCTGCTCGACCAGGCCCGACCCATTTGTTCAATTCCGAATGCTTGACCTCTTGGCTAACTAAATTTTTTAACAATTGTTTTGCCAGCAGTCTCGCGGGAGCTTGGGTTCCATGATTGCATAAACCATCGCAGCTTCCCCGCCTATCTGTCTGTCAGCCTCAGCTGTCGCAGAAGCTTGAGGAAGATGGGAGCGAATGCTGATAAATTCTTCGTCATCACCGCGGCATCATGACAAGTGCTAGCCAATAGGAAGCATCTGACGTGGAGCTTTTTGGCCCTAAAAGGCAACCGGCCTCCAAATCATGAGTCCTGGCGACTCGGTCCCACTCGGCCCTGCTGAGAGCTGTCAACTATTTATTGTTGATCTCTGAACGCGTTTTCGACAAGTTGGCGAGTGTCCTATCTTCCACAAACGTTCAGCATCATTTCACTCGACGCATCCCTCGCGATCATGACCTCGACACTTAAGAAATCGCGTTCAGATGAGACCATGGCGAGCCAGTTCGCGGCGATGACCACCTTGAAAGAGGATCTGTATGATGAGGGTTCCGTAGATCCTGTATACCAAGCCAAAACGCGCGTCCTAAATCAGGCGTTGCAAGAGATTGGAATGGGTAAATACCAGGTGAGTTCAATATCAGTCGTGTGATATGTCCTTGCTTGCTCAACTCGGCCGCGTTTGCAGTGGGCATTATTTGCGGTCGCTGGTTTTGGGTGGTTCTCGTACGTGACATTCTCTTCAAACTGGTATGATGATGTGGATGTTGATTTGGTCCTTGGCATCCGAACAGAGATAGTATCTGGCCGGTAATTTGGGTCACTTGCATGGAACCACACGACTCGAGCTGAATGCTTGATTCAAGTTGCTCACAGGCCTGATCCTGTCTCCCGTTCTCAGCGAATTCCACTTCGACGGGCCCTTTCTTTCCCTTGCTGCCAATATCGGGCTATTGGTAGGCGCACTACTTTGGAGTTTCGGTTGTGACATATGGGGTCGGAAGTAAGGCTTTGATCTTCATACGATATCGATTGGGCTACCTGTTGACCAATGAGCGTTTGTAGATGGTCGTTCAACTTGACGCTATTTATTTCCAGCGTATTCGGTATAGCGGCAGGGGGATCGCCGAATTTTGTTGCCCTCGCGTGTCTTGTAGCGATCCTCGGTGTAGGTGTTGGGGGAAATATGCCCGTAGATTCCGCTGTATTCCTAGGTTCGAATCACTGACTTTTTTTGCAGCCGATGGGAAAAAATATTGACTCTTTTCTCATTCTTTCTAGACTTTGTGCCGGGTTCACATCAGTACTTGTTGACAGTTTTATCAATATGGTGGGCCCTCGGCCAACTACTCGGCTCTCTGGTATGCGCGATCACCTTTCTCCAATTCACTCGCTCGTTTATCTCACCATGTCCCGATTGAACTCTCCAAGGTCGCATGGCCACTCATCGCGAATTTCTCGTGCTTACCGACAGCCAGTTCCTGCACACGCGCCGAAAACATGGGCTGGCGCTACCTGCTCTTCACCCTCGGCGGTCTCATGTTCCTGCTCTCCCTCCTCCGCATGTTTGCCTTCCGCCTGCACGAATCTCCGCGCTTCCTCATTGGACGCGGCCGGGATGCCGAAGCCGTCGCCGTCGTGCACGCGATTGCCGCATACAACAACGTAGAGAGTAGGCTGTGCGTCGAGGATCTAGAGGAGGCAGCGAAGACTGTGAAGGATCGGGAGGGGGCGAATTTGCACAAGTGGAAAGTCCTCAGTGAGAGTTCCAGTTGGGGGCCAAAACACGTAAAGGCATTGTTCGCCACGCCGAAATTGGCGCTGTCGACGAGTTTGTTGATCGCCCTCTGGGGTATGTCTTCTTTCGTCTGCTACTTATACAAATCTGATCAATTTTTGTTAGGGATCATTGGGCTCGCATCGACCTTGTATAACAACTTTTTGCCTTATCTGTGCGTTAAATCTCTTCTTTGTCAGTATCACATTTTACTAATAAGAGGCCACAGCTTTGCCAGCCGTGGAGCAAGGTTCGACGACGCAACCTATTACACGACCTACCGCAACGTACGTAACACTATCCTATGGTTTCTTCCTCCCCTCTATATTTCTAACCTTCACGTTTCTCGTTGTTGCACACAACAGCAAGTCATCCTCTCCATCACGGGCATCCCAGGCGCTTTCCTCGCGGGTTGGGCGATCGAGCGGCCCCTGATAGGGCGGCGCGGAACGCTAGCGCTCTCCGCGGGCGAGTACTCCCCTTCGTTCCAAGATTGACATTACTCAACGACCCCCGCGCGAATCCAGGGCTCACGGGGGCGTTTTTGCTCGCGAGCACCACCGCCCGCAGCTCTCCAGCGCTGCTCGGGTGGAACTGCGGGTATGCATTCTTTAGTAATGTAAGTCGCCGTCATCCGAGTGACGAAGCGATGGCTGATTCGATGCTCGGCACTGTCGTGTATGCTCACAGATAATGTACGGCGTCTTGTACGCGATTTCGCCTGAGCTCTTTCCCGCCAAAGACCGTGGTACGGGCAACGGCCTCGTCTCGACTGCTACGCGTGTCTTCGGCGTCGTTGTATGTCTTTGTTCTTGTTTCACGCGCCCCGTTTTCGATCGTTGACTCTTTGCCCGACCGGCCAGGCTCCCATAATCGCTCTTTATGCTGATATCAACACATCTGTACCAGTGTACATCGCTGGAGCTCTTACTGTCGGTGCAGGTGCGCTCGCGCTTCTGTTGCCGTTCGAACCTCGGGGCAAGGCGTCGATCTGAACGACTGCTTGCTGGATGAGTCGATGTGGAGGATAACAGTGATATGGGCGACGTAAAGGTAAAATTCTGGAAGGATCCTTTTCTTGGGTTTTCGTGCGTCCCTTTCCTTTAATTTTATCTTTCTGAATCCCTTTAGGAGCGGCCTGCTTGCGTGGTGCTCATCGTCCGTGCATGGCATTGTTGCTCGTTTGTATGAGCTTCTTTGGAATCTTGAAGAGAGGAAACGAACGAACTGCTTAGGTACACTTTCACTTGACATTGCGAAAGCGCCGTACGAAATTCGATGTAATAGAAATCCACCAGTTCAAGTCATCTTTCGCTTTTGTTCCCGCCGCACATTGCCTCAGTGACAGTCACGCAAAGATTGCGTTCCTGTATGCGCGTCATGGCGGTCTGAACATGACGTCACGCGCGTCCACCGCCTTGGACTCTTGCCTTCAAATCGAGCAGTTCAGACTGCTCCTTACAAGAAAAAAAAACTATCAGCTATAATAGCTGTTGACCTTACTAGATTGTAGCCGCCCTTTCATCCGACCATGGTCAGCACATCGCTCGGAGAATGTGAGTCGTTCCCCCGCCGTACTTTGCAATCTCGAACACTCGATAATGCTGGACGTATATCAGCGGACGCCAAGTTTCCGAACCAGCACGGTGATGGGCTTCCGCCGTCGCCAACACGCGAGAATCCCGGCCAGGTCGCGTTCCCTTGTCCTTCATGAAATTCTAAGCTGATGCTTTCGTGTCCGTTCCGCAGGTGTACCCGAAATCCGATCCTTCGCGTGCGTTTTTTTGTTACCTCTACGGTGGTCACCACTGACCTGCTCTCGATATTCTTGATGCCGGTCTCGCATGCACAGCGGCGCCCCGCACTCCAGCTACGCCCGTTACACCCCTCGCGAATCCTTTCCTTTTCCGAGCCGTGCTTGACGACCTCGACACCGCGCTCGGGCGCGCAGCTGACGTGGTAAGGAGCGAGGCCCCAGGGGGTGGCTTGTTTGACATGATCGACGGCTGGCGCAGGGATCTTGCCGGCGTGCGCGCTCGGTCGAGTCCAGGAGCAAGCAGGAGTCAGAGCGCTGGAAGGGAAGGACTGACGGAGAGAGCCGGGTTTAGTATAGGCAGGATTGTCGAGGACATGCAGACAGGACATGGAGCGGAGAGGGGAAGAGGGAGGGAAATGGATATCAGGATTAGAGGGGGGGACACAGACGCGGAGTCGGCGGAGAGCGGGGGGATCTTCGTGGATTGAATTATGGTTAGTGGTGAGCGCAGTCGGCCTGCTCTCAAGCAGGAGGTTTTGAAGCCCCAGCTGATTTACCGTGTTGGGAGTCCTGATTTATCGAATATCTCCAGAATACAACAAAACGCGACGTCAGATTGCAGATGCATACAGATCGATTCGACGTCGACTTCTTATCGGTCTAGTGAGGAGACTAGGTAGTAGGAGCGTCGGACTGTCGACGCTCGCGTATATAAGCTTCAATCATCTATCACCTACATTCATCCGGTTTGATATGCACCTGCAAGAGACACGGTACTAGTAGATGAGCGCTACGAGCCAGCACACCAAATTCGAATTCGTGAGAACGGCAGCCGGCTCGGTCCGAGACATTGCAAGGGCATCCGGCAGACCATAGGGCGCTGTGTAGAACTCCTAATTTTTAACCGGGTTAATAACAGGTGTTAATAACGCGTTATTAACGCGTTATTAACAGGCACGTATCGGACCCCTTGGTTTCTAAGGTTAATAACTAATTTCCCAAAATAGTAATATATCTCAAATTTGTTGTTATTCAGCGCAATCTCTGTTTCTGAATGATTGTCAAACTCACCTCCTTGTCCGGAGGAGGCCTCCAAGGTGGTGGGGGCAGAAAAGAGGGCATACAGTGCCGTTGTCGTCGTCCCAGCACTGTTCTTGTTGGTGGTAGCTGACACGTGACACATGAGTAAAGTATTGTTAGTTGACTGAATTCTGGAGGCATATGAATGATTTTTTGGATTTTATGGATAGTGCCTGAACCTGATCAGGCTGTGGTGTATTATATACAGAATGTAGGAGCTTGAATGATGTCCAACTTGCATCATGGTGGCTTCTCTGGTTCTGCCAACTCCACAACCGCTTGCTCAAATCATCCTGTCTATGCTCCAGCCATCTAAGCCTCTCCAATTCATTTAGGCTTAGTTTACAGAATGTATAACACTGAGTGAGCTATGAGCCATCATTTTGTTTGCCCATTTTCTCGATATTACTTTCATTTTCCCACGCTCACAATATGTAGTTATTAACACTGGTTATTAACGCGTTATTAACACCTCCTGGTTAATAACCGGTTAAAAAGCCCTGCGGAGTTCTACACAGCGCCCTAGCAGACCAGCAGCCTTTCACGCTCATCCGCGATGATCTTGCCTCTCACTTGATCTTAGTCTGAAGAAGACGAAAGGGTGCTCTTACGATGCAATACGCCTGAAACCACTTTGTGATAATCAGTATCGGGTTCCTTTCACATCGGACCCCTTCAATCCGCATTCTCAACATGCATAGCTTCCTCATGACGATGGTCTGTGGATTGGAGTTAAACAGGTTTTTACATCGCCTGGTTTGACTACGTTGCATGCCCTTCAAGTGGATGAAACGCCGAAAAACTGGGACTTCTGGGTATGACAAAGTCTTGATATGATGGCTCGATTGTGCCCGTAATTTACTGTGCACGACGAACCGTGCCATACGGGGACGGGTTGGTCATCGTCCAATCGCAGTCGCCATAGCACTATTTTGGGTAATCCGAAATCCGATGAGTGCTGCATTATTTCCTCCTCCGTTCATGACAGATCGGTTAAACGACTCGCGTAATAAAATCAGAATCATCTGTGTGGAAGACGTGTTGGGCGGTAGCATTCATAGGTCGACATTCGACTGCAAGGGAGCAGCTGACAGCCCCTATCTGTGACAGAGCCGTTGTCCATCTATGTTCTGAACATCAATTACCAACAAAGCATTAGCTTCTCTGCACGCGGACGCTGTGCCTACACTCTAACTCCCTCAAAAGGTATTATGTTGGTTAATATTGTGCGTGTTTCGTTGTGATCTTTCCTTGTGTGCGCACTCGGACAAGTTCAGCTTCGAAACGGGATGTGCTGCGTTGTGAGTCGGACCGTGGCCCCACGACTGCCCAGTCCAGCATAAATAGGCCGATGGCGAGAAGAAAACTCACTCGTCCCCTCAGCGCCTACGATATACACTTTACTATGTCTCCTTCTATTGGAGAACTTGTCACCGCGCCCGCTCAGCCCTTCGCCGATAGCGACAAGAAGCCGCATTTGAAGGCCAAGGATGAATTGTCTGGGCAGCAAAACGCATGTAACCTCACGTCCTCTCCCTTGTATCAGTGCTGATGTGATTCTCCATACACTAGATCAATCCTTATTCCTTCTATGAGCCCCACCTCGACGTGAATGAGAAGTTTCCTCCCATCGAGATCTTCGAATTCAGCGACCCAGGACTCCGGGCGGACCCCACCAAGCCCCACCTACTCACGTCTAGCGTCACAAAGAGGCACCTCAGCCCGTGTATAGGGACAGAACTCAAAGGGGTGCAAATCTCGCAACTTGGAAAGGAAGGGCTGGATGAGCTTGCGCTGTTCGTTGCAGAAAGGAAGCTGGTTATCTTCAGGGATCAGGACTTCAAGGACATTGGTCCTGAACGCCAGATCGAAATTGCGCGTCACTTCGGGCCCATTCAGTGCCATCCCACTTCTGCAAACGTGAAGGGCTATCCTGAGTTTCACCTCGGTGAGAATCTCAGTTTTTGTGGATAAGTTAGCATACGGTAGCTCACTGTGTCCCTCAGTCTTTCGTAAGACGGATCTCTCTGACCAGGCAAATCGCACTAGCTGGCATACAGATGTAGTGAGCTTCGCATGTTCGCGTCGCATTGACACAGTCTGACTGTCCCTTCACTGTACGATGAATCAGACATACGAGAGGCAGCCACCTGGTACCACCTTCCTCTTCATCCTTCGCCAGCCATCGCTTGGTGGAGACACGCTTTTTGCGAGGTTTGCTATACTCTGCCGTATTTGAATGTGTACTTTGACCCTTGAGTTGCACACCCAGTCAGGTCGAAGCCTACAACCGACTCTCTCCAGAGTTCCAGAAACGTCTCCAAGGATTGACAGCCGTGCACAGCGGCGCCGTTCAGGCAGACAACGCCAAGAGGTGCGGCAGGCCTATCCGTCGCGAGGCCATCGAAACTGAAGTATTCGCACTGTCTTTTGTCCACTTCATTCCGCTGTCGCTGAAATATCCCACTGTCTAGCATCCACTCGTCCGCCAGCACCCTGTCACGGGCGAGAAGGCGCTTTTCGTCAATCACGGGTATACTAAGCGTATCGTCGGTTTCAAACCTGAAGAGAGCGAGTGCCTGCTAAAGTTCTTATTCGATCATATCTCTAAGGGAGCCGACTTCCACGTGCGCGCGACTTACGAGCCTGGCACTGTCGTCGTCTGGGTAAATTTCTTCCCCTTATAATGTTGCAGAGAATATAGCGCTGACCTCTCTTCGAATGTGCAGGACAATCGTGTGACGGTGCACTCTGCAACGCGTGATTTTCCACTTGACGAGGACAGGCTTGCTGTGCGTCTCACTCCACAGGCAGAAATTCCCATTCCGGCTTGAACTGGCAATGCATGTACAGCATAATGCGACTGTGTTGTACTATGACAATATCATGTCTTGAAGAGAATCTAGAATGATCTAGGGCGATGTGTTTCTTGGTTATTGAAGCAGAGTTCAAGGGATCAAATGTCAGATCCACTTACTGGCGAGCACGGCACAAACAGATCAAAAGCTTTATCACGAGAGAAATTAACTCATTAAACATGTTATAACGACATATACTGTAGCACTGCGAATGGATGAACTTCCATCTGAATTTTGAACAGGTGAGTGAGTGGTGGACATGTGAATGCCGCTTCCAACGGCAGTTGCCGAAATGTCAAACCCCGTTGTCCTTTGGGCGCCAGACCGTAATGACGCCTCTTCTTGACAGACCGCTCAGCCATCTCTCTCCTCACCTGCGTGGTGTCATCGGCAAAATTAAACCTACATGAACTTTGAGGACGTTTTCTCCCATCCCAATTCCGTTGCCTGCTATCCTTGGTATCTTCGAGAAACTTCTGTCTCTGGCTCGACTGTTCTACGGATGAATTAGGCGTGGTTTCTTCAACGTTCTCGAATCTAGGCCGCTTGGGACTTGCGTCAAGCATGACGCAAATCATGTCCAAAACGTTCTATACACTGCCTACAATGTACTAGCAACCTGCGCCCCAGAGCAGTATATAAGGACACCATCTCATAGCCCCTTCTTCAATTCAGAATACACTTAACAAATCATATCAACCCCCAACACCAGCTCGCTCCTAACCAATATGTCTTTTACTCACTTCTTCTACGAGCCGTTCTACTCGCTTTCTGACTTTGATCGTCTCTTCGACGAGGCGTTCAGCGCGCGTGCTGACAATCAAGTCCAGCGCCGGGGTGTACAGGGTAGCCAAAATACTCTCACCTCGACCGCCTTCAGACCCAGGTACGTGTCATTCCTTTCGCATGATGATTCCGTGTATGCTGATCACGGATTTTCGAACAGGGTCGATGTGCACGAGAACAAAGAGGCCAACACCATAACTGCGATGTTCGAGCTGCCCGGCCTCAAGAAGGAGGACGTGCAGATCGATGTACACAACAACCGCCTCACCGTCGCCGGCGAGAACAAGGTCGACTCGCAGCGCAACGAGGATGGCTACGCCATTCGCGAGCGCCGCTACGGAAAGTTCTCCAGGACGCTCCCACTTCCTCAGGGAATCAAGGTAAGTTCTCTACTTGACATAATGGGACTTGAGTGAGATCTTGACGATGATTTTTGATAGGACGAAGAGATCAAGGCGTCAATGACCGACGGCGTATTGACAGTCACTTTCCCCAAGGCAGCGCCCGAGGCGTCGCCTAAGAAGATCACTATCGCCTGAACAACAAGCTGTCGACATGACAGGCGCGAAATGTAGGATATGAAGCTATGTGATATGCTGTGAAATGTTGTATTTTAGTCGTTCAACAGGATCAAATCTCAGAGTATAGTTTTCAGCTTTACAAGCGCTTGACATCGCGCAAATTTTTGAAATGGCGTACAGTTTTCTGTCTTTCCTTCATGGCATGCATCCGTTCCTGAATATAAACCGGAAGTGAGCACCTTGACATTGTGGTGGGCCGCCCAGCAGATAGGCGCCGAAATGACTGATGCCGTGAAACTGCGCCCAGAAGGGAAACAGGCTGTTCTGCTGTACGCCACCGCAGGGCGCTAGGCCGCTCAGGCCCATCTGTCGTGTCTAACTTTACTTCTCCTCTCTCCCACATCATTCTACTCCCAGGCCCTCGTAGCCGGACATGTCTTTTCTCGAAACGAAGCCCACCAACGGCAGTTATGACCAGAACTTGTTGGCCTCCGCGCCCGTGGCTACGAGAGAGGAGAAGCAGGTACGAGCGCTTGTTCCATGTTTCTCGTATCACCATACTGATCAGACATCGATTTTCCGCTCTATTTTTCCTTGCGCTGCTGTCGCTCTCATCATCGGCGTTGTGGGTTGCGTTGTGTCTGAATCGGTGCGTGCGATGTACAGGAGGGTTATAATCTCGATCTCCTGGAGGAAGGTCGCCCCCGTGCGTCGGCCTCACCGCCATCGGAGCCGAGTCCCGCATCAGAGCACGGCGCGACTCTAGCCAATGCTGCGCCCATCGCTGCACATTCCCCCGCCCGCGCGGCTTACAAAACGCCATGGTACCGCACAAAAGCAGGCGTCGCAGGCCTCATCATATTGACCCTCGTCATCATCGGCGCGATTATCGGGGGTGCGGTCGGTGGCACGCGGCATAAACATCATTCAACGTCAGATAGCTCACCAACCACATCTTCCGTATCTTCTTCGACCTCTGCAAATGGAGGTTTGGGGCAGGGTGCTGGTGGAACTGGCATCGGTCAAGGGGTGGCGACAACAACCGCTCCGAGTACTTCCCAAGGGGTCGCGGGTATCGGTCTTGTGGTAGCACCGACAACTGTTGCAGCTGCGGCGTTGGGTGTATCGTGAGCAGGTCCATCGAGTAAACCAGAGTCAGTCAGGGATGTGATATCTAGGGGAAGGAGGCAGACGCCGACTGGGACTGCCATTTAAATTTATTCATTTCGGGGATAATCTGTGTTTTTGGAGCCGGTGTTCATGCAACTCTCTTATGTTCTATCTGTCTTACTACATGCTTTTGACGAGGTAGAAATACCCAAGGCATTTTTATGTACATCTGGTTCATCGCCCCTCCCAAGCGGGCCTTCGGGAATCATACGTGTTGCCACTTCGATGGAAGTTCGAGACGATTTGCATTGTTGGCTGAAACTATCTAGTTAGCCCGTATTCAGATCATGAATACGAGTCAGCTGCTTTTGCAGCTGGATTCCGATGCTGCCCGTGGATTCGATCGGCCAATGTCCTCGACCGACCAGCTCGTCGTGCCAACAACAGCGACACAGAACAGTGCTGCCCGTCAAAGCTGAAGGATGGACATCGAGCAGTTGGGTCTTTCCTAGAGTCAAAGACTGGATATTCATGTGCATCGAACTCGACTCCCCTTCACAGATTTCGCAAAGCAGGGTATCAAGCCATCGATCGCATATGCGACTACTACTATTCTTTGCGGGAAAAACCCGTCGCTGCACAGGTCGAACCTGGCTACTTAAGAAAGGCGCTTCCAGGTACGTACGTCGGGGCCTGCAGATCCTCGTGTCGTGCGTGTATGGAACTCTGACGCCAGTCGCCCAAATTGGAAGAAACCGCACCAAACGAGGGAGAGGTCTGGCAGGACATCGCGGACGACTATCAAAGGTTGATCATCCCTGGTGCGCGCTCCGTCCCTCTCGTTCGATCCCAGACTCAACATTGAATGCAATGTTTTCGTTGTGGGTGTAGGTCTGACACACTGGCAGCACCCATCCTTCTTCGCGTACTTTCCCACCGCATGTACCTTCGAGGGCATGCTCGGCGACCTGTACGCCAGCAGCGCGACCAATCCGGGCTTCAATGTACGTCCCTTGTGCTGTACCACGGACAGACTTGACCTGTCCTTACACAGTGGTTCGCGAGCCCGGCTTGTACTGAGTTGGAATCCGTCGTCATGGATTGGGCTGCAAAGATGTTCGGCCTTGATTCTTCCTTTCACAACATATCAGAGGTGGGAGGAGGTGTCATCCAGGTGCGTCCAAATCTACTTGCGACACTCTCCTGTTACACTAAACATCTTGTCATTGTTGCGATATATGCTAGACAACGGCTTCCGACTCGGCCCTTACGGCCATAGTTGCCGCGCGCGAGCAGTACCATGGGCTGTATCCCGACGTACCACTGGAATCGCTCCTCATCTACGTCACGACTCATACGCACTCCTTCGGAAAGAAGGCGGGACGCGTGCTCGGCCTGCGCGTGCGGGCACTAGACGTTGACGCTGCAGTTCGTACCGGGTGGGGCCTCGACAGCGATGTCCTGCGGACATGTGTTGAAGAAGACAGGAAAGCGGGGCTACACCCATTCATCGTGAGTGAGTGATGCCTTTGGTGAACGAGAAGTCTCGTTGTCGGAGACGGTGGTCTGATTGAACAACATCATGTACTATGCGCCGGGCCAATAGTTGCGACCGTGGGGACGACGAATTCCGGAGCCATTGATCGTATTGCTGATATAGGTGCTACCAGTGAGTCACAGTGATCCTCGTTCATCCGGTGGTATGAACATTGCTCAGCCCGTACGACCACTTTGTATCAGTCGAAAAGGACTATCCGTCGATCTGGCTGCACGTCGACGCAGCATGGGCCGGTGTCACGCTATCTTGCCCAGAATTACGGGACCGCGCCCAGATCAAAGGAATCAACAAATATGCGACAAGTCTGTGCGTCAACTTTCACAAGGTAAGTCCCGGTACGAGCTGTAGCAGATTTTGGATCACTGACAGCTTTGATGTCTCGAACAGTGGGGGTTGACCAACTTCGATACCTCTGCGCTGTGGGTGCGCGATCGCAAGCGGCTCACAGATGCGTTGGATGTGACCCCCGAGTATCTGCGGACCAAACATGGAGACGCTGGTGCGTGGGCCCTACATTCCTGTAGAATAATGCCCTTCATTTCGATGTTTCGGGACAACCAGGTACGGTGATCGACTACAGAAACTGGCACCTGTCTCTCGGCCGGCGGTTCCGTTCACTCAAGCTTTGGTTCGTACTAAGGAGCTACGGTATCGAAGGATTTCAAGCATATATTCGCAAGGTCCGTACCTTGCAATTTCGCCTGGCGCGTGTTCGAAGTGTTCGAAGATGAACTTGACCTCCGATCCACAGTGCATCAAGATGAACGACCTCTTCGCGGAGTACGTTCGCACGTCCAACACCTTCGAGCTCGTCACACCGCCCTCCTTTGCGCTCACTGTGTTCCGCCTCGTTCCTCCGGCTACCGCGTCGGCTGCTTGGACGCCCAACGAGCTGAACAGTCTCAATCGCCGTTTCCATAACGCACTGCAGGAGCATCACGATCAGCTGCTTCTCACGCAAACAGAGCTCGTGGGGGTTTTCTGCATGCGCTTCGCCGTAGGCGCGGCACGGACTAATGAAGAGGATATTCACAGGGCTTGGGAGGTTATTAAAAAGACGGGGGAGGATGTGTTGAAGCAGTCAACCGAAGATCGAAACCGTGTGGCCGAGTAGACATCGTGGAATTCGTGACTAATGATAGAAGAAGTATCTGGGTATCCGAGACGTTTGTTTGCATCAAACAACATCAACGTATATAGACGAACCGTTGTGCTATAGAGCTGATGAGGCAAATGAAAGTTTCAAGATTTCTGGTCTAGCTCGTCATTCAAATCGATCTCGGAATCAGATGCAACTGTAAAAGAGGGCAAGCTGTCGATGTCCACAATTCGCGGGCAAGCATTTGACATAAAGTAGATTGCGAGCAGGATCACAACATGGATCGGCACGTCGATCTATCACTGGCCTGATGCAACGAATGAGTACAATCGCGGATGAATGTCAAAGCAAAGAAGCGCACTCATATCGAACGGGTTTGCTCCTCTTCATAAATCTTGAGTCGCCACGTGCCGTCATCGCCCTAGGATGTAGGGCATCCCATGAGTCGGGTAAATGAGTTCATCGTGATATGCTTGATAGATGGAGTGAGGGTTGGATGGCAAAGCGGCGCTATCAAGGTTGGTGATGTTTCCGAGCTGACGAATCGGATTATGCACTGGTTGTTTCGAGGGACGCGATTTCTTCGACGCTCGTCCATGCTGAAGATTTCCGACTCTACCCAGCCCTTGGGTATTTCCCTGCCATGAGAATTGACTAGCACATATGTGTGGCGCCGATTTGTTCTCGATTGCTCTGTCGACTCCATCCGCCTTGAACCCTCTGACCTGTGAATGCTTCGTCTTGATCGTCCTCGCATTGATGCTCTCACCTCCCTCCAGTTCCCTTCGCGCGTCGTCGAATATATCAAAAACTCGCGACCAGGCCTCGCGCTGCTCCACCGGCAGTTGTTTGTTCAGCCATGGCTTCTGGTGCTCGATTTCTATGGTCTTCGTTAGCAGCTGGTAGGTCTGTTCCTGTGAGAAAACCGGGAGCTCCTCCGATTCAGGTACTGCTACCTCAACCTCGGTTTTTGCCCCTTCCGCCTCCACCTCGTGCCATGCATCATCGAACATCTTGAAAACCCGCAACCACGCATCGCGCTGCTCCGCCGGCAGCTGCTCGTTTAACCAATGCTCTCCTCCATCTATTTCTGCACATACTTCCCTGGTCTTCTGCTCCTGTTCATTGATCACCTCAGCATCATCATCTACATCATCCTGGAAGATGAATGGTTGCTCACCGCTTGCACCTCGTCCACAGCCTGAGTCCACCCGGTCCAGAACATATCCTCCTCCATGTCCTCCCATCTCTTCATCGCAGCGCGAGTCTCGGGAGACAACACTCGGCCCCCGAACGCCTGCACAGACATGGTATTGCACCAACGCCTCTCCTTGAGGTCCACGTACCATTCGGGCACATTTTGAGACCGTGCGTCATCTGACAATGTCGAGAGCCCGGGTGTGGCTAGCGAAGTATTCTTCTTGAAGGCTGGCGAGATGGTGGGGCGGGGGGCGAGCATTGATGAATTCAGGCGTATGTATAGATGCGCAGAAGAGGAGCTGTTCGAACACGGAAGGCCTCGGGCGGTGAATCTCACCTTTTTATGTTGGATGTTCTGTCTCAGGTCATACAGTTTTGAAACTGACTAGCTGTTGCTGGGTGCGCCGTATGTCAAACCTGCACAGTGACCTGAATCCGGCTGACCTTCCGATTTCGACTGGTGTGGTTTTTCAATCCGCTCAAATAAGACAGGAGCTGTGAAGATCCTAAATAGTAGCTCTTGATGTGGGAGTGGTTGGTCGGCGCGATCAAGAACGACATTAATGATATTGAGTTAGGTTTGTGCTGGATGAGAACTAAGGAGTGACGATACTAAAACGGCAAGGAAAGGATCCAATCTTGTTTTGGAAGTGTTGTGCGTAATTGTTTCCACATACTAGGTGTTTTGCTAAAAAATTCAAGATTATGTACAAAACTTCTTCAAACCCGTGGTGACGTTCAAAGAATCGGAACCGTCTGTTATCCTTTCTGCTCAAACTGAGCGTTTTCAATCAGAGTGCTGGACCGCGATATCTATGAAGGTTATAACGCACCGTTGAAGCTCTCGAAGACTCCTCTGGACACCTTCAATCCTCAGTTCGTTTATACAGTAACTGGAATATGGCTTCTAATGTCCTGGAAATCGATTCACTGAGTCTTTGTTCCTTGGAGGGCCTTGACTCATCTCGCCGATCAGCTAACAAGCTATCAACGATCTCCCGAATTCGCAAAGCAGCGTCTTTCGGTAGGACCCCACGAAAGCCGCCGTGCAATGCATACCCATCTCCACCAAACACTGCGCGCAGAGCTTTAGATTTCGGTGCCAGAACTTCGCTGGGCATGATTGGTTCAAGCTGGGACGATTCGAGAATCTCTGGCGACGAGAGCTATAGTTTGCTTCCCGCACTCGATCTGGATGCGATTGGTGACTGCCCCTTCTTGGACTTGTCATCTCTTGTCGGTCTTGGGCTGCTGCGAGACCCTAGTCTTCGAGGCACTCCTTTAATGATTCGTGATGCCCCCTTCACTCATTCCTTGCGGGGATCATCCTCCTTACCAACGATTGCAACTGTCCCAGACATCGTCTTCACAAGTCCCACGACCACTACTCTGCAGCCGTCGACGTCCGTGCATCCACCGATTGCGCATAGGGTGAAGTTTTCGAGCGCTCTGAATGCTCCGCTGCCGAGTGCGAGGGCTAGTCGGCGCTCATTTCATGACTTGGACGACTTTGTAGAAGGACATACCCCCCATAGTCAGCTCAACCTTGATCGCTCGTCTGATGATTTCACGCATCACACTGAAGGGTCGAAGGAAGCCTTAGACCCTCTGGCAGAGCTTATGGCTATCTCGAAAGAGTTGAACGCCATGGAGCCGTTGGATAGCGATGATGTTTTTGTACACAATGGACGGACAACCAGGTCGCATGCCGATATATGCACGTCGCACATAACACCGGGTGCTTTCACTATCGTACCAAGACCTCCCTCGATTATTTCGATTCTTGGTATCTCCTCGTATCTAGACAACAACTCCAAATCTGGATCGGAGACTAGCCATCGTATATTGGAGATAGAAGTATACGACCAGTCCTTTAACGGGGTAGAGGTTCCCAGTATCGTCGTCACGACACACGATGATATCTCGTATGGTTCACCGGGCGCCGAAATTTTTGCCCTGCCTTCAGCTGGATTGCTCGCACCGCCAATGACCAACAGTCGGGGACGCGTGGACCCTCTGGATGTTGATGAAGATGGGTTTATATCTTCTGTCACGGACACATCATTCGTATCTGTCAAATTTGAAGACACAATCTCCCCCAGTGAAGGATCACCTCCGTTTCTCGACGGCTTCTCGATCTGCACCTGCCCAGACTGTATGATTCCTTCTCCAATTGTTGAACCCGATTTGACATGGGCCGATTCTTCTGTGGATATGACCAACGTATTCTTCTCTCCGCCACGAACATCCTCGCCATCACAACGGAGCCCGAAACCCGATCTACCAACCTCTCCCAAACCTGCTTTCCTCCTCCATCGTGCATCAGCCCCCGCCATGTTCATCGACCAGCCACCTCAACCCCCTGCATCTCGCAAGCGATCGTTATTTTTTCGCGTCTTCAAACCTAAAGGCTCATCTATCTCTTCCCCGGTGCCGACTCCCGAAGCTGCGCTACCCAAAGCAGGCAAGCTATCTTTCTTTCGAAAGATATTTCATCCTAGGGCGAAAGCACAGAACATTCAGAAGGCGACAATAGGGTCTCCAAGACCATTATCTATTACACTTTCTTCATCGCCTACACTTTCCGTTCCTGAAACCATCCAGATGAGGCCGCAATCGAGGGCAAGGCCGATTCCAACGTCCCCCGAGATGAATTTCAGCAGACTAGTCTGAGTGGTAGACGAACAACACTCAATTCAAACTGTTTGACAGATATCATACGCTCCTTTGATCTTCATTCATTTCCATGACCACCTTTCGGTAGACTCCATTCTTTACACGATACCTATGGAAAATTGAACGTGATTGACTCAATGACGTAATCGTTGCTGTGACAAATGTGACATTCACGCTGCGTCACGCGCCCGAGGCTTCTGCGAACGTCCACAACACTATCGTACAGCTGTAACAGCACGCTGCACGCTATTCTACCTTCACAAAGTCCTCCAGAACGGTCCAAAATAGTATCGGCAGTCTACGCATATATCTCAGTCTACAGCTTGAGTTTACCGGCCTGTTAGGAGCTGTCCCACCGGTGCTCACTTACTACTCGCTCCCTCTAGTCCGATTTCTCTCTATCTTCTAGCAGTGCAACATTTCACTCAGCTATGTCTCGGGTACACGCTCAGGAAGCAAGCTCTTTCAATGTGCCGTGCACCTCACCTGACAGCACCTTGGCAGTCGTTTCGGTCCGTTTACCTCTCGTGCGCAATCCAACCCCTTCTGAGGCTGCAGTGTCTTCGGTGCACAAGAAAACGAGTGAATCCTCGACAAATCCTACTTCACATCTATTCTCACATGAGCTCCTATGTATTTCGACGTCAACGCATTCATTCCCAAGTGCTTGGGCATGCGACCAGTCTGGGGATTTCTCTCTGCCTTCAATAACATATGCGTCCCCGGTCTCGTCCAACGAGCTTGACCTTTCTGATAATCTCTGTCAAGACTATGCACAAGTAATCTGCAATGGGGTATTTCCAGCACCCCCTCCCTGTGCTGTTACTGGGTACTTCCAGCCTTCACTTGGAACTCGGCTATTCTCCGTGCCAGAAGAAAGCGCGGAACTTGAGACTCTTTCCGACTCCGATGCACTCTCAAATAGCCCTTCATTGTCTGGTGGACCCTCTAGAGCTCAAATGAAATCTTGGTTTCGTGATTTGAATGGGACTCTGTCAGTCTATAATGACTCGTGCATGGAATTTGAGGTGGTCCAAGATAGTGAAGACGAACACGAGGATCCGTTTCTTTTTGATCAACTCGTGTGTACTCCGCACCCATCGACAACCGAAATAGTTTCCCAGGATCTCTTCGTTGGGACGCCAACTTTCCGCCTATCTCATCAAATAAGCTTTGCACCCCTCGCATCTTCGAACCACACGGACCAGAGGCGTTTCAGCATCACTCGTAAGCAGACCACTCATGGGATCGTGTTTACCCAGCGGATCGGCGTAGAGGAGGGCAACAAATGGACCCTTCGCGTTCCTGCGACGGGTTTGCCTCATGATATGGTCGCATTATTGCAAGAACTGGAGGCACTCGCTATTGATCTTCAGCCTCAGCCTGTCGAACCTGACCAAGATCTTCCTACGATTGTTATCACTCAATCTGCCCAATCTATATCTCCAATCTCGAAACCAACACGGGTGATCGACGAGACGAAGGCGATTACCCAGTCCGCTAAAGCCCAACATCCCCCCTCCGATTCTGGACAAGGGGAGGAAGTGCCGATTTCTGCTCTTTTGAAGGGAAAATCGCGTGCCATTGACCCTGTGGATCACGCTGAGGCGACTTTGGACTCAACCGGGTCAACGGTATTTATCGTCTACTTCACGTTTTCCCACCAACTAATCCTGCCCATGGCAGATGGCATCACCTTCGAACTTGCCTTGTCCACCTTCTGATTCGAACTTCACCTGCATCTACCTACCTGATGTCCGTGTAACGTCATGCTTCTTCGGTACCTCTTATTGAACTGATCACACGATACACGTTCTTTAGCTTGCTCCTGAGTTTCTCTCCGGCAGCTCGACATCCCCTATTCTTGAGCCCGCTTACGGATTCCACAGCAGACCAGCTTCAATTCATACATCCCCTACCCCACGCCGACCTCACGTCTTTTCTAAGATCAAGACACCAAACCTTTCGTTCAATTCGAGCAACAGAAAATCTCCTGTTGCACATGTGCGAAGCCCCATAGCAAATAGGTCCAGCATAGCAAAGTCTGCATTGCCTACTCAACCACAACGACACAATCTATCTCAAACAGAATTTGCCACAGCCAGGCATACAGCGAGTCATCTCGCATCTAATTCCTGCGCCACAAACGCCCGCGGCGCCTCTAAAGCGAGAGAGCAAACGTCTAATGATATCAATCGTCCGCTCATCACAAACCAATCAAATACGCATGCTCCTGCTACCTCGTCCCTGCGATATGACGTTCAAATGAGGAGCTCTGCTCCTCCACCTTCTACATCGGTTTCGCCCTCTCGTCTTCCGCAGCTCAAAACGCGAGGGTTTCTTGGAGGGTTCGGCTTCAAAGCCAAAACCCCGCTAGCTGCTAGTAATGCTCCTACAATGCCTCAAACTATACATGCGGCCGAGTCCGGAGTCAAATCTTTCTTCGGAGGCAGATGGCAACAGTCTCAACATGACTCGTCTAAGCAATCATCAGTCTTTTCTCAAAGCCCCGGTCGGACTTCTGGGACGCGACACACGACTCAGCCGGGACATGCACTGGTGGTCATGCCTTCACCTCCGCGCACACTCACCACTGGAGAGCCTCGTAAGATGCCTCGGTTGCCTTCTGCGAGGAACTTGCTGAAGAAATTAAAGTAACGCTTTTCGCCCATTTGAAGATCTTGTAATCCACGGTGGTATTGAAGGTGCCTGTATTTTTTGTATACAATGTAGTGGATGTGTAAGAGGCCGAGAAACGAGGCGATGTATATCTGCAGCTTCTAAATTCGAGCCGTGAAGGGATGGTGTCACCGAATGCAAGTCTGCCAGCCGGTGAAGAGCCAAGAACACGGAACATACGGAACGAAAAAGAGAAATGGCATGCTGTACCTCCAGTCTGAAGTACCCATATATCTGATCGCCATCATTCTCTCATTCGCAATTTCCGGTACCCCGTGCTATTTCCTTTTCTTCCCCTTTTTCTTCTTGACGCCTGCTGCTGCTATACCTCCTGCCGCCGGGATTACACTTGATGATGGTACATCGGCACTAGCATCTTCTTGTTTGATTAGCGGCGCAGGCGATGCGGTTGTGATGCGTGGGACTGATGCGGGTACAGGGGGTGGTGGACGGATGTTCGACATCTTTTGCATCAGGGAGAGGTTGAGGGCCTCAAAGCGGCCGAGGAAGACAGATGAATGTGTTTTAAATTTGAGACACTAATCGAATGAAAGCATTCACAGAGATCGTTACACATTGAGCGGACCCATCCTCGGTCGTAGAAGGTAGGAGAATCACGCACTGTTTCGTCATCTGTGATCTTGAGGACCAACTTTCCCTCGGACGATTTCCATTTTACACAGTACCGGGCCTACGCGTCCTCAGCATTCACGATCTCCCGTACCATCGGTGGGTTTGAGGCTCACCTTCTTCGGCGACTTCGCATAGAGTGCCTCAGCAGCTTCTTGATACTTTTGCCAAGTCGAGATATACACCATGACAACACAAATAGCCTCCAACAGCAGGCATCGAGGTGGCTGCCAGGCGTTGAGGAGAGTAGTTCCTGGCGTCACAGGAGTGTCACGTCATGGTTAGGCTCCAACGGCTTGGCTCAATCCTCGTTTTTGCCCACGTCGGACTCGACATTCGGGATGCAATTTTATGGGATCCTTTCTGAGCAACGATCGTAACAAGTCTCCGCATGATCCCGTCTCTACTAGAATAATCGATCGTACAAAGCATTTTGCTTAATATGCCCCAAGCCGCTTTGTCCAAGCGGGCGCTGGCTGGTTGATCACCATTTCCATGCTGCTTTGAACCTTAGCAGTGAGCTGCAAAGCCAAAGAGCCTGGTTTCGCGCCGGCGGCATCGGCCGCCCAGAGGCTCACTGCGAGGGTGTTGTGTCCGTTGTAATTCAATATTCCTTGAGCTGAGAACGCGGATGGGTTTCAGTCCTCACTCTCAGCGAAGAGCATGTGTGGATGACTCACGGACGGGGAAGACTTTTTGTGGGCCAATGCTGTTCACTAGATGCGCACAAATACATCGGCAAAGTGGATAGGAGTATAACTCGATACAGGAGCGTACCGTATTTTCCGAATTGATACCCATTGACGTAGAACTGAGGGAAAGCCAGTTTAGAACAGACTTGTGCTATTAGAAAGGTTGACCTACCTGAGTGCGGAAGTGTGGATTCGTGGTCGTGTTCGAAATCACGAGGGCCATGGGATAGTCTACGCTAGAAGGAACGTGGAGGTCGAAAGATGTCCTGATCTCGAACTGTAAGTTGCTGAATCCAGGAAAGCATGTATACCTTGCAAACTTACCGGTAGAAGCCGACGCCTGCCTGTGAAATTCCATCTGTGGGGCGTCCTGTCTGCCACTTGCTATCATCGAAGCCAGGAAGATGCCAGCCTAGGCAACTTGATCAGAGTCAAAGAAGACTAGGCTGTGCGGTATGACATACCTTGCCTCTCGGCAAACAATCCTCCCTCATTCAAAGGTCCACGGGTTGTATCAACATACTGTACAACTGCTCAATTTTTGACGAAAATCCAGCATTAGGAGGCAAGACTTACGTCTTCCCCGCCGAGGTTACCAGTGACCTTCCAAACGCTGACATTGGTACTCGAGCTTCCTACAAACGAGTACGACCTGAGACCTCGTGGATTCTGGTATGCAATGAGATCAATACCTCGGAGGAGGCGGAGGGAGCCAGTCATACCTTGAAGTCATCTGTCGCAGCAGTCCAGTCCTCCTCGTAACCCATGTGGTCTTGCAAGATTGTGATCACATGTGGCGAGCCAGAGGTCAGAGCGGATGGGAAAGAGACGGTTTTGGTGTACGACCCGTGCGTCGCGTCTCCCTCCCAGGAGCCGAGGAAAGTCGAGTCCAGCCAGATAGAGAAGCCGAATGCAGCACCGCCCCAAACTTCTGCAACGAAGCCTGCAAGCCCTCGCATGTCAGAATACGATCTAACTCCCTCGATAAGTAGATATGGTACGTGCCGGTCTCAGAACCTGTGGAGTTGAAGTGTGCGCGCCAGAGGATATTGCCAGTGTGATAGCCATACTCGCCCGCGTAAAGAACGACAGGCGTCTTCGGTTGAGTGGGGTTCACGGTCGTCGTGTGATTAGCAACGGTCCACCTTGCATCTGAATAGCCGGCTTGGATTTCAGGAAGGCTATCCGACGTTTTCTGGGTCAAACATATCAATACTCTGGAGCGGACTGATAATCGAGGTAGGTTACCCAAGTGATACTTTCTAGATCCGGAAGCGTAATAGCAGGCAGCTGCACTGCTTGGGTAGCTGTGAGCGTTCCATACGAAGTCTTCTTCAACGCCAAGCCATGCCCGTTGAATGTGACCTGCTTCGAGGATGCGGCGGGGGCAATAATCTCGAAAGCAGCAGTCGAGTTCAAATCACCCTGAATCGAAAGTGTACCACCAGAAACAGAGACCGAGCGCAGGAAGTAGCCTCCTTTGACGATGATGGGGTTCTTAGTGTTAAAATTAGCAAATGCTCCTGTGCCGGGTGGGTTAAGAACCCAAAAATCGTACGCATTGTCGCGATCTGGAAAAGGCGTGATTCATCAATACACTGATACGATGACAGGGAGCCTAACATTGTCCTACCAAGGATGTAAAGCAAGATGCTAGTGCCCACTTCGACGACAGTCTGTCCCGTGGTAGTGTACTGCAATACAAGGCCTGCGGAAGAAGCCTGCTGCTTAACAGTGCCCGATCCCGAAACAACCTTGGCCGTAGGTGCAGTCCCATTGAAGTGGAGAGCAGTCTCGTGCAATTCGCCTTCGTTGCCATACAGCAGGATGACATCTTTTCCATTCACTGTAGCCCTGTCATACCAGATCTGTTGAGCTGGGGGAATTGTGTTTCGCGCAGACTTGAATCAACAAACCAGGTCAAGATTTCAGCCGAAGAATATAGAATGTTGGTCGATCCAGCCTCATAATCAACGACGTGAATTTTGGAGTCCTTTCCGGTCAGTGTCAGCGAACCACCTAATTGAGGGAAGGTGATAGTCCCGTTGGAAGTCGGAACAGTCAATGTGTACGTCTGGACATCGAAACTTGAAGAGTCCGTATGCCTGGATATCCCCTTGATCAGCCTCAAGGCATTCAATCATAGGAAGGAGCACTGCGAACCTGACGACGTAAAATCCAGTTTTGTTGCCGACGACATCCAAAGTCTGCGTGGTCTTCAATGCCTGGTTGCCCGTGAAAGCACCCTGCGTCTTGCCTGTGTTTTGAGGGCGGGTCGTCAGGAATGCAGGCGAAACCTTGAGGAAGTTCGCCTGTAGCTTTAACTCGTAATATTTTTCGCGCAACGTGCGATCTTCGGCGATAGCAGAGCCCTGCTCGCAGACTTCAGTCGCCTGAAGAATAATTATACAAGATACTTACGCACGTAATCGTAAGATGTGTAGACGCCAGGATGGGCTATGCCTCCCCAATTTGTGCCACCGTAAATCATGTAACTGCACGTAATCAGCATCGATATCCGGGACACAGTTCGGTTGGAAACGCACAGGCTCAGTAGAGTCGTTGACATAGCCAACTCGTTCTTGTAGAAAACTGACGAATATGAGCACCTCTTGAGAGTAGATATGATTTTAAGATATCGTTACCTCTTTCAAATTCCGGACCGAGGAGAACGGCACAAGTATCATATCCAGAGCCACCCCTTAGCGAAGATGAATAAGGCGTATGAAAGAGACAGATAAAATTCGCACCATCCATCGAAAGCGCCTCCTTGGAACTCGTAAACAGCGTTCAGATCTTGAGGGTTGTATCGTTCGTGAGTGGTCCAGAAGTTTCTGTTCTTTGGTGAGAACATGCAGGTCTAGATAGACAAAGAGGGAACTGACTCAGGGACGGCATTGGATTTCCAGGTAGTTGGATGCGAGCAGTCAAACCCATTTGGGTATGAGTCGTAGCCTGGATACATTGGCGAGAGCATTAGATGTATCGCACGCTAACAAGAAAAGAAGCAATCACCATAGATGTTCACGCTCAAGTAGTGCCCACTTGGGGACGCATCGTTGTGGGTGGTTGGCACGGTGATACCAGCGTCACGCTATAAGCAAGGGTTCGGATGCATGTCATCTGGATCATAACTGCTGTAAACGCACTAGAGTCTGAAGGAGCTCCTTTTCATACTCGAAGTCTTCCGAATACCCTTCATATGCCTTGCTCAGTTCCTGCATTAGTGAACGTCATGTATGTCTCGTACCTGTCGCGAATCCAGTATATTCATTTTCAGACTGTGCGCATATGATCATTAGCTGCAGCACAGTGTGACTTGGTCAACACAAGGTGCTGTACCTGAACGAGGATAATGGGGCCGCCCTTCGTGATCTCGTTGGCAGCGATGATCGAGCCTACAGCAGCCATGTATCCCTTGTATGCATCGACATAGGTAGTGTTCGAGGTTCTCCATACCCCTGGCGTGTAAGTACCCCATCCCGGGAAGCCTTCGGATCATCTATGAGAAACAGAATAATCAAACAGAAAAATCAACTGACCTCCAGCCGTTGTTTCAGCATTGATATAAGGGCCTGGAATTCAAGTGCCAGCTGGGTCAGTCTCTTGCGTCCTGTTATAAACGAACATACGAACCAGGACGAGCGATAAGGTATATGCCGGCCTTTAACGCTGCATCTATGAAAGGCTGCAAATCACGGAAACCTTCAAATGAGATTTCTCCGCGCTTCGGCTCGTGAAGACCCCAGAAAGAGTAGAAGGAGACTGCGTTGAATCCAAGGGATTTTATCTTCTGGAAAATGTCGAGGTGAAGACTCTGGACCGGCATTCTAGCAGCCGTGGATCAGATCACTGGAGCGTGTTATGACCATGCTTCAATGAACTCACCGGTATGGATGAACTTCACCACTAAAGATATAAAGCCGTTCACCATTAATCTTTAGACTGTACTCGTCCCACGTAACCTGAGCGATGAGAGACATTGCTCATAAGGACTAGCTGAACGGATCCGACGGCTCACTCACAATATCTTGCAACCCGTCGTTGTGGTCTGCTCGAGACATCCTCAGCTTCCTATTGCCCTTCCGAGGGCCAGCGAGCGCCCCTATAGTGCACGCAAGAACGATCAGCTTGTCGAGTAACATGAGAAGGTATGGGCACTGGTGCGCTCGGCGTAAATATGCGCCATATATCTTCTTTATATGTTGGCGCGCTCGTGGGCCGTCGAACCGTAAAGCAGAGCTAGCAGCGTCCCGGCCGCTTTGGCTACGGGATCAAATGACCGTGGATTCACCGCATCATGAGCCCCTTCATCGCGTGGTCAGCTTGAAAAGAAGTCACAAAGGCGGGGAGAAGAACAGCAGGTGCGAGGAACGAACACGGCCAGGCCGCCCAGATACATCCACGAGACCGTTCCCGTCCGCGTCCAAGACTCGAATGACTGTTTTCCTCAATATGACCGACGGTGCATTACATAGCTGGACATGGACAGTATACGAACATCAAGAATGCGACAGACGATCGTAAAGAAGGACGATCAGGTGATGATCTCACAAGAGATGAGCGCTGGAGCTCGGACCGTGAATCGCGAGATGACGCAACAACCAGAATCCATTCGTTTGGGTGGAGAATGTACGAGCATACAGCGGGATTGGAGATTAATCGGTTAATTCGGGTCGTGTTGACCACAGGAAGCTGCGTGAGACGAGCGGCACACTCGGACGATCGGGACGGATTGGAGGTGTCCGGGGAGGTCCGGGGTATTTTTGGTCTTGCGACATTCTGCGTCAATCGACCAGCATCGCTCAAGCGTTCAACTTGTTCCCCTCCTCTCACACTCTTTCTTTGCCGCATCCTTTTCTTTTCCTTTCACGCGATACCTACTTTGAAATCCAGCAAGAGGACTAGTCCGCATTAGCACGATGTCGCAAGGGAAGAAACGTGCGTGCTGGCTACGCGGGCCTTGCCAAGAGCGCGACCTCCACACCAAGGAACAAATACTGAAAATGTCACGGTCTTATCCCAGCGCTACCATTCGCTGTGACCTTCACCGCAGGAGCGATTGCCGGGATATCTGAAATTTTGACGTTCTATCCTCTCGGTCAGCAAGTATTCACTCCATATATGTTTGACGTGATGATTGACTGGTTTTGACTCGCATGTCGCCTTTTTCTTAGATGTTGTGAGTCTTGTTGGGATAGTGTGAAGTTGCCGTATCTCCCGCAGGCTGACAATTCAATGTACTGTGGATGAAAGGTCAAGACGCGCATGCAGCTAGAGACAGGAAAGTCCCAGCATGGGCTTGTGGGTTCATTCCGGAACATCATAAAGGAAGAAGGGTACGCATATATTCATATCAAATGGATATTGTGACTGACGAGATATTCTGCACAATCAGGTTTGGGCGGTTGTATAGAGGTACGCACAGCTCTCATTTTCGCACTTCGCTATGCTTTTCTAACAATCCAGAAAGGCCTTGTTCCCCCATTACTCCTTGAGGCGCCTAAGCGCGCTACCAAATTGTGTGATCCTCTCCAGCAAGCTCATGAGTTTGCCACTAATTTCTGACTCCTCTCAGTGCCGCAAATGACTTTTGGGGCAAGACCTTCAAAAATCTCTCTGGCCAGACACAGATGACCCAAAATCTCTCGATCATCACGGGCTGCACCGCTGGCGCAACGGAAAGTTTTGTTGTTGTGCCTTTCGAACTGGTCAAGATCAAGTGCGTGTATAGACTATTACTACTGGTGATACGAAGGCTCACATGATTTCCTACCGCAGGCTGCAGGATAAATCCAGTACGTTCGCGGGTCCGATTGAGGTTGTTAAGCAGATTGTCAGGAACGACGGAGTGCTCGGTCTGTATGCTGGTATGGAAGCTACGTTCTGGAGGTACACTTTCTTTTTAGCATTTCATATGGCCGCGGCGTTGAATACTTTTGAAAGGCATTTCTGGTGGAACGGAGGATACTTCGGTTCAATATTCCAAGTTAGGGCAATGATGCCGAAGGCAGAGGTATACCGTTCCTCTTGTATCATATACTTGATGCTGATCGTCGTGGGTGACTAGTCCCCTCAAGGAGAGCTGTTCAACAACTTCATATCCGGTTCCGTTGGTGGTTTCATTGGTACAGCTGTGAACACACCGTGAGCAGAACTCCCGCATCCATCTAACTTCTAAACACTGATGCATGCCCTCAGATTTGATGTATGCGTACTATACTCCTGGGATGTCATATGCTTATTGTATCCATATCCAGGTTGTGAAATCCCGTATACAAGGCACGGCTAAAGTTCCTGGCGTCGTTCCCAAGTATAACTGGACATACCCCGGGTACGCCGCTACCTTCCAATTTTCATCGTCACAAATAGCAACTAATCTAAATACGTCCTGTCTGTCCGCAGCATTGTGACTATATTCCGAGACGAGGGCGCCGCCGCGCTCTACAAAGGCTTCGTGCCCAAGGTCTTGCGACTCGCCCCGGGCGGTGGTGTGCTCTTGCTCGTGGTCGAGTTCACACTAGACGTTTTCAGGAAAGGTGCGTCGAATACGACAACTAGGCGTTACGCCAGGAAATGGTACGATCGCTGACGACACTTTATGTTTGCAGCTCTCGGTCCCCCTTATTTGTAACAGTAATTGCTCTTTGTTTGTGTGGTATAGGGTCGTTGTGATACATTGGGGTTGATCTGTCGTTACATGTGAGAGTATGCTTTGAGGACCCAACTCCATCGACGTGGCGCTTATAGGTCTAATGTACAACGTCTACTTCCGAACATCGTGCATAGTGTGAAATGGTTGACATGTGGAGTGTATGTTTCGGGTTTGCATGGACTTACCATGATGGTGTTTCAAGCTTCGAGTTCCAGGCCCTACAACGTCTCAAGATCTCAACAGCGACCTCTAGGGGTGTCATGTACCTTTCGAGGAAGCTGTACTTGCGATATGTCGACGATCGTCTCCTAAACTTTGACTATCTCTAATATTGACCTTTGCGTTTTTGGTCTCGGTCCTGGGAGCGCGATACATCTAGCATGTCACGCTCATCTACTCATCAATTGGGGATATGCACGGAGGCTAAGCGTGCAAGATCTTTGGTCAAAATTCTGAAGATGGAAGCGTATGACGACATGGAGCCTTTGTGTGTCATTCTTCCCACTGCCTTGTTCTCGTTTAGTTCAGTGGCTCATTCGCATCGTACCGTAAAATTCCGATCATTCTCATCTTGGCTCCTCTCTTTTTGCACTCTGATTTCTTGGCTACGCTGAGCTTTGATGGAATCAAAACTCTGAGGACTTAAAACCTCGTAAATCGCCACCCATCAGGCCGCAGAGGACGGGAGAGATCGAAATCGAGCATCTCGTGAAATCGACCCAGTGTTTAAGTCTTCCCTGGCGCCACTTTACACGCGCCTGTCAGTGGCAGCTGCCCTGCAATATCCGTGATCCTCAAGCGAACTCAGCCAAAGCGAGGCACCACCATCTGTCGAAGTGGAGGAGGGTTGGAATATAGTCGAGAGGCATATGGAGATAGCAGTCGGCCGAAACCCCCAGATGTGGTGCACAGCGACGGTGGCCGGCAGGACGTAGATGCGGGGCAGGAGGATGCGGAGTCGGAATAGGAAGTTCAAATTCATGGCCACAGTGTTCGGATAGCATCGCAGGGGCAAGAAATTGAGTCAACTGCAACGAGGTCATTTGCCACCTCGTCAGAATAGAGAGGATATAAGGGCCGTTCCGGTGCAGATTTCCATTCAATGGCTTTCTTTCCACAACACCATCCTCGTTCGCTTTCATACAGCAGTCAGCCATCGCATGTAGATTGGGGCGTGGTACTCGCCGAATTTGTCACTGCGCTAGGGGACGTATACGAGGGCTCGATCCCCTTGATATTGTCAGTGCCGGCCGCAGAGGACGTTGCGGAGCTACCTGAAGGCGCCGGTCGGCAAAGCGCCTGCGCTATTGTGGCATCTGGGAGATTTACCCGTAGCGAAGTCGAAAGGATGTTCGAAGAGATAGCACAGCTTCCGCACGAGAATCCAAAGAATCAATCATGGGCTCCGGACACGAGGTTGCCACGCAATCACAGAGCGAAAGCCCTGCTTCCCTTGAATGCTTCCCCCGCTTCATTCGTACATGGTCGAGGCTATCCGCCTCAAACGTTTGTATTGCAGAAAGATGGAATTGAAGACGCACCAAGGGCAACTAGGACGGTGGGGCAAACCGAGCATCCCATGGCCCAGCAAGAATTCCGTTGTGCAGATCTGGCTGTGGATAGTTGCCTTGAAATGCCACAGGGAGGCTGCGACCTCGCCTTGGAAGACGAGAAGCGATCTAGTGATCCACGCGATCAAGGCGTGGCAATGACATCAGAAGTTGAAGTGCTTCATTCGGTTCCAGACACGATGTCAAGTCCAAGAGAGCGATTTCCTTTGGGCTGTCCAATTTCTAATTGCAAGCAGGTTTTCAAAAACAAGCACGACCAGAGCCGGCATGTCCTCACTACCCAGGTCCACCAGGAATTCAGAGACCACGACCCACAGTGGCCGACAATGAGGGACGAACTAGACATGAATTTGGCGAAGCATCCGTTGTTTTACTGCTGTGTCTGTGATCCAGACGCGTTGAATAAGAGGCGCTTCGACTTGATGAAGAAACATGCGAACAGGCAGAAACATACCCGTCTCGTCGCAGATGCAGACGATGGATCGCAGGAGGAAGGCTGGTGGTGTGTGGTAGTCAACTAAAGGAGATGGTCAAGGGCAGAAGTGCTTCGAGGTATAGCATTGATGGTTGACCTCTCGATGCTCATGTATTTTGATATGTTTCAGTATGATAATGTACGGAATAAGAATGATCATTCACTTGTCTTTGTATATTCACACACCTAAAAGTGCTCTCACGGGAATAGTGTTGTCGTACAACCCTATACAGTATTGACTAAGTCGATAAAGACATGCCGCTCTGAAAATCATGCATCAGCGAACCCGTAACCAGTCCCAGCCAGTCCCAGAGCCCCAGATGCTCCCAGATACCTAGGTCATCTGGGGATATCTGGCTAGATGTCTGTGTATGCCCAGATCTGGACGGATAAGGTGCTCTATCAAGAAGCTGACTAGGAGGACATTTTTGGAAGGCTGTGTATGTAATGCTAGTGCTGCTTGAGAGTTTTTCGATACAGCCTTAGACAAGAGTTGAGAAGAAAATCCCCTAGTAATGTATCAGACTGTCATTGGTGCTATCTATTAGATATCAGCTTGTTAGTGGTATTGAGATACTTCCCTACATCATAGCTTTCAAATGATGTATTATATGCCATAATTCTTTCATGAATGGGTGCTAAAAATGTGAAAATAGAGGATACTTCGCTAAGTTTAGACATTCCAAAATTATTTCTAAGTCTCAAGAAGCTCAATATATACTAATTGTTGATATAGAACATCATAGCCATATAGTGGAATAAATAATTCAGATCTTAACATTGCTTTGAGCTAGTGGATAATTCAAGAGGTTCTGGGTTTAATTCCTATTTGGTGTAGATTGATTTTTGCAGTTGTCCTATTGATGACAATTATCTAAGTATTTCTGTATATGGTGCATCTGGACATATATTATGGACAAAGTTCCATGGGATCAGTAATCCCAAAATAATTTGTAGAAATATGGGCTAGAAGATAATATCTTAGTATCTATTAGAATACTATGAAAAGCTATACAACATTTACCTAGAAGGTAATATTTATTCCAAAGTATTATAAGTGTCAATTTAAGAGATGTAATAGAAGTGGGCTTACCTCAATGTCTATTAGAATACTGAGGGAAGCCTAAGCTAGCCATACTCCTACTATGAGCATAGTAATGAAAAGTTATATAGTACTTTGGTAATATCCAAGCCAATGAGAAGTGAGTTAAGTAATATAGAAGAAATAGGTGATTTGCCTTAATTCAATACACCCCCTCAAATCTCCTAAAGTCCAATTAGCTCTGCTATTTTCTCAACCTTCTGATGAGCTAAGGGTTTGGTAAACCCATCAGCTACTATTTCCCCTATAGAGCAATATTGCAGCTTAATTAGGTTCTTCTCAATAATATTGTAGATAAAATATTATTAGATGTTGATGTGTTTTGTAGGAGTAAAAAGCATTGTTCTTAGTAAGAGAGATTGTTATGAACTGCCTACTGTATCTTTCTTGCCTTTCCCATGATCTATATAAGGACACATAGGACCTTTCTCCCAACTATACCTTGCATTCCTGATCTACTGCTAGTTGGTCCATGCTCTTGCTTGTACATATTTATAGCAGCTGCAGTGCAGTAGGGAAGCCTTAGGCTATCCACTTCTGTTCAATCTAGGAACTGCTGTTCATCAGTCTTCCCTAATTCTCAAGCATTGGTCTGATCAGCTTCACTTCTTCACATCCATCAACCTCACCATCATCCTCTTTGTGTCTGTACTGATTTGTGGGCTAGGAATCCCTCGTCCTGAACAGCCGTTCATGACAGAGATAGTAGATAGATCATTGCCAAATAGAATGGTTGGCACAGTCAAGGGAGAGAGTAGATTACTTAGAAGCATGTGAATCCATAGTGCTTTTTTATTATATGAGCAAGTACAGCATACTTGGCTTTAGTGCTTAACTGAGTAACAATAGTCTGTTTCTTAGAAGACCAAGAAATGGCACCGCCATCAAACAGAAAAATATATCTCAAGATCAAGAGTTAGTGTTCCTAACCTCTATGATTTGTATTCAAGAATCCTTCAATACCTTGCAATTCCCTTCCAAATGTCAACTATAGCTTCTGTGTTTCCTTCAAATACCTCAACAGTTACTTTGTGGCTTCCTAATGAGCATGCCCTGCTAGGATGTGCATGTCTAGTTTATGACTATGACTGTGTAATCTTGTAGACACCGGAGACCTTAAAGGAAAAATATATAGTAAGTTTTGCATATACCCAAAGTACACCAGGGTATAGAGACCAACAGACCAACTAGTATACACTCTGTGACTCAGCAGTGTTAGAGTTAATGCCATTACTGGAGCTATTAGCACTATATAGAGATACATAGGAACCTTAAAGCAACTCTATGGCCATGGCCATAATGGACCAATAGTGTTTTTATATTGTGAATACAAAATAACTTATCTATGGATTTCTGATGCTTATTGTTGACATATTGAGACAGCAGCATGTAAGTGGGTTTTATAGGTTTAATTTTGATTCTATGTAGCTCTGATGACCATACCTACTATTTTGAACCAATAGACCACCTATCATGAATGGCTGTGAGTGACAAAAAAACCCAGGCCACAATCAACAAAGAGAAATAGGGGTGTATGATGATGAAGAGGTTGTGATGGGTTAATTAGACCAATGAATCAAACTAAACAAGACTCCCCACCAAAGCATCAAATTTGGATGCAGACTAATGCAACATCATCATGATCATTTACCCACTTCTGGACTCAACCTGTCATCCACACACACCACATATCCAATAATGCTGGAATGGTTCTCACTGTTGCACATACCTACGCACCGCGCAAGATGACATGCTGCCAATTGTGCTTGCGCAGTGCAGATAAAGACATCATTCCAAGAGCAGCCGCACCCGCGTAGCCATATGCAGGGCAGTTTGGGGAGCTTTGCCAGCCTGAGTGCTGGTGCAGTTGGGGTGTTGATGAGTGCCCCGATGCATGGTGGGCATGCACAGAACAAGGCGTGTGGGGGTAGTTGCGGCGACATTTGTTTAAGAGATGGTGTTCCTATTGTTCAAGCAATGGGACGGCTGGAGGCCCATGAAATTCACGAGGCACATACAGATTTTTGAACGTTTCGTCAACGCTGTGTCTCAGATCTACTCTGTTAACTACGTTTGCCTTGTATCTGCGATGAAAGTGGATAGCTTGCATTCCTTATGTATCAATGCCTCAACACACTCGTGTAATGCTGGGTTCTGAAGGAAGCAAACATATATGCTTCACCACTTATACTAACAAACGATATACCTACAACAGGGGCAAAGCAGGGGGAAAAATACATTGTATCAGTCAAGCAAGTCCAAGTCCAGATTGTGTGGCACACTGCCGAAATCCACGCCTAACGTCTGCATGAAAGTCCTGTAGGTCATACGTCCTCCCAGTGTTTCAGTGTCGCTCGCCACGCCTGTCCTAGAATCGATTATAGCATCAATTCTCGCATACGAGATCATCTTGGCAAGTGGTTGTATCCAATGGTCCCATAGCGGCTTGAACGGGCTCGTTATGGCCTGTTTCAAAGAATCGAGAGCTAAACTGTCAGGGTTAAAAAGATCGTTCTTGTCCTTCCGGATTCTATCCCATGTCTCCACCGTCCATTCCTCCATGACCTTCCGCTCTCGTACTTCTTCCCCATGCAGCAAAAACCCACACGCGCACCAAATTAGCAGGTAGAAGAACGACTCCAGGTCATGGCGGTAGAAGTGAGGAGAGCCTTTCATAGTCTGCAGAAGTTCAATAGCCATGAAGGGCCCTGTCCCTGTACGATGTGACGGAGACGCAGCATGCCCAACACCAGCTTTTGCTTCGACATCGATCGCAAGGTCCCAGTCGATAAGCACACCGTATGGCTTGCCCTCCGGAGTCAGGCCAAACATGACGTTATTGATGCTCAAGTCTCGGTGAATGACATGGGCCCTCCTGAAGACCAGGCGATGCGCTGTTGATAGAGATATGAGCAAGAGTAATAAAGGTAGGAACATAGAGAAAGACGGTACCTCGAACGAGGTCGAGGAAAACTGATTGGAAATCTGGGAGGGTCTCCAGATCCTTCAGAGGTCTGAGACGGTCGCATACGATTACGCGGAGCACCCGCTCTTCGACACTTCCTGACAGTTTCCGCAGTGAATCCGCCATCCGTGGCAAGCCCAGACTCGCGCCCTCTAACATCGTCGACAGTCGCATCGGTGTGATGTGTTGTGCCTCTTTCACTCCAATACGCTTGCTGATCCGCCGCACAAGACTGTCCTCGGAATCCACACGCGAGGCCGCCGGCCAGCTGAACTTCACCACCAGCTTCTTCCCTGCTTCCAGCCCTGCAAATTCGTGCCCAGGAATGACGGTCACAGGTATGACGGAAGTCCCGCGGCCCACAATCCCAGGCTGCACGTAGAGTGGATCTCCCGTAATCTTCATCTTCACAACGCCGGGAACCAGAATATTGTCTGCGTCGACGCCTTGGTCGATCTGAATCTCCCATTCATCCAGATGCATCGGCGGTCCAACTGTGGGAGACACCAATGTCGGCGGTGGGCGGATCATCGGCTCGTACCCGAACCGCTCCATGTTGCACTCCGTGACCGCCGCCAGAGCAAGGAAGAACAGTCTCGGATTTTCGATCAAGTTGAACTCCTGCGATCTGACCACGCCCATCCGGTCGTAGTACCAGAGTGACATTATCAGATCCCGGATAAAGAACCCTGTTGTATACCGGCGTCGGCCATCCGCCAGACATTCTGACGCATAGCTTGCAGCCTGTAGCTCGTCTGAGGTCAGCACCAGTGGTTTGCGCTTCTTGGTCTTGGTCAAATTACCACCATCCTTCCTAGCGTCTGCAAGGAGCTTCCTACTGGCAATGACGCGAGAAGCGCCCACCTCGGTCGTCTCGACTGCTCGTAGGGTCAGTATCTCATCGGCGAACGTGCCTGCTGACGGCGAGGCAGCTGACTCTTCGACTGCCTCTCCTTCCTCCTCGACTTCTGCTTCTATATCAGATTTCACAGCCACAGCAGCGGCCCTGCTGTGCCTACGATACGCGGCAAGAGAAGTCGACGTTGATGTCGTGCGCTCGGTGCCTGGAGACCCTAACTGATCCACGGAGCTGGACGAACCTGTCCCGGTGCTGGTGCTGTCCGTGGCATCGAGGGCCCTCCGCTTTGCACTTGGCGGAGTCTCTTGCGAATGTGCCTTACGCTTCAGTCCCGCATGTGTCCCCGCCAATGCCTTCTGCTGCTCAGAGACCATCTTCGGTGAAGGTTCGATAGTTACTGATTTCTTCCTCGAGATTGGCTTGAGCTCCATGAACACGACCACCATCGAGAACTTCAATGGCATCTTCTCCCTCTCTGGATCGTTCGCCTGCGACTCTTGCCAGGCGTCTGCAATCAGGGGAGGCATGCCGATCACATCGGGCTTGCGCTCGTTCCTCTCGCTCTTGATTTTCCTGTCTCCGAGGGGCTCGAACACCAAGGGACAAGGCGGCTTTAGGCCCAGCGTGTCTATGAGCTTGCGCACCGCGTCGTCGACCATCATGACAAAAGGGGGATACCGTTCCGGCTCGAAGTGTCCCATGGTAGCTTGGAATGCGGCCGCAATTATGGGGTTCAGCTGTAGATCTCGTTCATTTCTCTCCCATTCGAGGCGATCTGGTTCGAACTGCCAGATGTCGCGGACAAAGTCCTCGACAGAGAGGCCGTCTTGTACGCATCCCATCAGGTCGCGCTTGAGCAAAGGTTTCACAAGAAGCTTAGTATGATGTTTGGCGACGAACCCGCCAACACGCTCCTGGAGGGGCGTTGTCGGTCGCGGCGGCGGTTCCCCCGCGCTAATACCTAGTAAAGCCATCGTGAGCAAACTGAATGAAACACATTTCACACTCGACACCAGTATTTATAAGGACATCGACGCCCCGCATTGAACGTCTTGATGTTGCACTGACCTTGGAAACAAGACAAGGATCGAGCACACACGCTTTTGTTCAACCGCGACTGGATCAACACGCGTCGGCGCTTCCGCACGCGTCCCCATTCGTGTTTTGAACTCCGCATAGTCTGCCCTGACCCTCGTATCTGCCCTCGTGGCTACTTCACTCCGCGACCTTGAGAGATCTTGCGATCTGGTCAATGCAGCAGAGACCATCTTGTCTCCGAGAAAACGCAGAACAAGGCAGTATAATAGAAAACAATACACAGCACGCTAGATATTCTCCACGCGCTCCATGAATAGCACACCCGGTCGCACAGGCAGAACATGATAACGATGATCGTCCACCGACCAATCCTCAGTTCACTGGCTTCCCCCCCTGACCCATCAAAGAAACGACACCGCGTTATTGCCCGCTCTCTAGACTTCTCCTGAAACCACACCCGTTCTCGTGACGAGTTTGCTGAGCGATCTGGCTTGCTCCAACAATTGCGCCCATGTTGGTTGCATATCAAATATGTGCAGTTTGTAGGTGCCTGGTCGGAAACTAAAGAAGGCAAGTCGAAGATGGAAAGACGAGGGGTCAAGACGAAAACACAACTGGTCAAGTTCAAAAGACGATTAGTCGAGGTAAAAAGACAATTGGTCGAATAACTAATACGTCTACCAATGAGCCCCGTTGACGCCACCACCGAATTCAGGGTGTAACGGTCATGCAGACTCCATTGAGCGATGTGCCGATGATTTGACGAAGTGAAGAAACATTCTTGTACGTTGCGACAAGAATGGGGTCGCGTCTGTGATAGAACGAGATGAAATTCAAGACGATTGCACAAGAAAGAGACGTTGCATGGTGGTGGGATGACGATGGCCACGAGCCGACGCTGTGACATTATCCAAGCCAAGACGACCGACGACCAACAGCCATTCGAAAGCGACCAGGCTGGCATAAGCAAGTCGAAATCGATATACAGACCTATAGCCCTGCCCTCGTCCGCTCTCTCTCGACAAGTGATCCCTCCTCTCGACCACTTCCATCCCTTGACTTTCTACCCACTTTGATATCAATACGTCCTATAACCTTCTTCACATACCCACATACCTTTCTACTATCTTCTCTTATCATCGTCTTCCATCATCCTCGATTATCTCTCCCGCCACTCCGCACTTCACCTCCCACTACTATCCATCATCATGACCTCCCCAACCAGACGCTCTGCATTCAGGTCTGCCGTGGCTGGCCCCACGTCAGGCAACAATTCCAAGGTGAACAACGAGAACGACGAACCCAATTTCAAGGACACCGACAAGGGCACCACCAGACCTCCGCCCCACGTCGATGTCCCAATCCGTCAGTCTCTCATCCGTCTAGCTCCCTTCCATCCTCACACTCACACCTCCCCGCAGTATTGAAGCTCGAAGCTCGCAGCTCCATCTCCCCCTCCCATCCCAACCTCGAGCAAAGCATGCTCGCCATCGAGCTTCAAAACCAGTTCGCCCCCGACACCAAGCTGCGCAAGAAGTCCGTCCGCTTTGCGCCCGACAACTCGCGCCTGCCGCCTCCGCGCACTCCCAAAGTCCGCAGCAAGAAGCACTTAATCCGCTTCGAGGACCACCCCGGGCTGTCCCAGCTCGAGATCGGCGCACTCAGGGCCGCACGCATCATGTCCATGCCAAGCCCTCCCAAGTTCGGCGCCCCCGACTACGACTCTGACTCGTCCGACGAGGAGGACACCATCAACTTCATGTCCCGGCGTCCCACCAGAATCAAGCCGGCCCGGGTCTCGGCCCCGCCTCCGCCTGCAGCACGCTCGAGCGGCAACGTCTTCGCAAGGAACGGTAATATCTTCACACCCATCCAGGCCTCTTCTCAAGTTCAGGCATGGCCGGTTGGTTCATACAAGGCCGCAATGGCCGCCGACAGAGCGAAGAAGGCTGAAGAGAAGGCTCGCAGAGAGGAGAATGCCAGGAAAGAGGCGGAGCAAAAAGCCCATGACGAGAACGCCAAGATCGACGTCGAGGAGGAAGCAGCCGTGATAGAGATGCTCGAATCCTCGCCCATGCAGCTACCTGAGGAACTTCCCGAGACACACACCAACGCGCCTAAAGATGCCTTTGACGAGACACCTACCGAAGCACCGAAGCAGTGCTCTAACGAGCAATCTGACGACGTACCGGAACCGGTGTCAGCGGTGCCTCCCTCCTTGTCCTCCTCGCCGCCGCCCCCTCCCCCTCCCGGCTCTCACCACCCCATCAGCGCAGCCCCTGAGACTCAGCTCTTCTCCGCCCGCAAATCCGAGCAGGCACTCGCAGACGTCGCGGAGGAGAGCACCACAAAGCAAGCCGTGGAAGACACCAAAGATACCAAAGACACCAAAGATACCAAAGTCAACGAAGACACCGAAGACGAAGGCGAATGGGTCCTCGTCGACGCATCCGCAGACCAGCATTCGTCTACCGAGTCCTCAAACCAGCCACGCAGATCGCCGACGATCCCACAGGTCATCCAGAGGGTCACGCGGTCGATGTCCAAGGGAATCCAGGCAAAATTACGCGTCGTCTCTGGCGGATCCAAGACCAAGCCGATCCCACGCGCATCCAATGCAAGCAGAGCCTCAAGGGGAGCAGGAAAGGCGAGACAGTTGTTGACTAAGAAGAAATCCGAGACGGAGATGACCAGAACCAAAACCAGGACGATCTCTGCTGCCGAGTCGAGGGCGCAGACCATGCCCGCGATCCACCAGGTACGCACAGCTGCCATCGGTGACGCCGAGCTTGTGTTGACAATCCCAAAGTCTACATCTGTCCCAGAGCTTCCGCCGACTGCCTCGAGCTCGAAGCCCAACCAACTCAAGAGGCGTTGGGTGGCCGACGACGTCCAGGTATCCTCGTCCAAGAAGCGCAAGTTCTCGGGACAAGAGCCGCCAGCGAAGAAAGCCAAGCTCTCAGCGACCACCGAAGTGTCTGTTGTCGTTCCACAAGGTCCTGCAGCACCCACGTCTCAGCAAGTCGTCTCAAGCACTCGTGTTTCTGGGAAGAGGCGTAGGGATGCTGATGAGGAAGAGCCGTCGTCCATTGGAACTCGTCTGGTGAAGAGACTCAGGAAGTTGTGAGCGGCGCGTCGGAGGGAGGCGGTGGTCGAGACGGGGAGGTGTTGTGGAGGGAGGATGGCGGGGGTTAACTCTTGTTTTTTTCACAGATCTAGTGTCGGTTTGGTATCAAGGCGAAGCCAAGTCTCTTCAAAATCACGTCTTTTGGTGGCAGTACCTTCGGCCGAGAGGGACCTGTTGTTGGGAGATGGGGTAGCGGGAGACACGGCTTCGGCGTGTCTCGGTGAGTGTTCCTCGTTATACCTCATTTTGCCTTTCTATGTCAGTATCTCGACGACGACGAACGGACGGGCCTCTCCGACTCAAGGAGCGACGTGCTGTGTCTGGACCGCACCGCATGTCGTTTCTTGCACCGGACGAAGCCTGGACGGACGCAAAGAAAGCTAAGTGAAACCAACCCCTATTTGCGCGGTCATTGCGTTCACGTATGTCATGCGAGCTTCCTTCTCCCAGCTTCCGGTTTCGGTTTCTATTCTGCAGCGGACGTGGGCGGCGGTCGGAGGGTATTTGCGCTGGTCGCAGATGACTTGGGGGAGCGTCGAGGGAGACATAGTCGGGAGTCGGGGCGGGTGGTCGGCGGTATCATGAGGGATGGGCGTGGGCAGGTGGTCGCGCGAGGGCAGGTGATGCGAAGGCATAGAGTAGGCGCTGCGTTGGGTTCTGCATGGTAGGAGGGGAGGGCCGGGCTTGGTGATTCGCGACCACCAAGTTTGCGTTGTCTCTTTCGAACATGTCGGGGCTCGACATCGTGTCGGGAACGAGGGGGCGATGGGCGCCTCGTTGTGGTCTGCATGGTAGGAGGAGAGGGCCGGGCTTGGTGCTTCGCGACCATCGAGTCTGCGTTCTTTCTTTCGAACGTGTCGGGGCTCGACGGAGTGTCGGGAACGGGGAGACGATGGACGCCACGTTAGGTTCTGCATGGTAGGAGGGGAGGGCCGGGCTTGGTGATTCGCGACCACTAAGTCTGCGTTCTGTCTTCCAAACATGCCAGGGCTGGACATCGTGTCGGGGACGAGGGGACGATGGGCGCTGGAGATAGGCCCGGAAGTGGATATCGGACGACGGCACTCGAACAAGAGGCCTGCGGACAGACTCGGATTTGAACAGGGTTCGGATATGGATAGACATCAGATGCGGACAGACATTTCGGACACGCACAGACTCTTGGATGTGGACAGACATTTCGTATACGTATCTCGACTCTTGGATGTGGACAGACATTCGCACTTCTCTTTTCTTCTTTTCTTTTTCATTTTCTCTCTCGTTTGTGACATGATTCTGCATTTGTACACCTGAGAAAAATCATTTTGATTCGAAATGGCAGACGGTCTGCACTATCGATAACCAAGCACGACAGACCTAGACAGAATGGAAAGACACGCACCGAGCATACACACCGTTCGCAGCTGTCTCGGTTAGTGAATGGTCGTGACGGGAGCGACCAGATGATGTCGACGTCTGCGGTGAGGAACCGCGAGGACCCATGCAGAGTCGGGTCAGACGCCCACACGCATGGGAGGGAGCAGTGTACACAGCCTGCGCCTGAGAACGGACCCACTGACCATCATATATAGCACACCAGTCCATGCACACTACCCACCCACAACCCTCACACTCTGTGCTCCCCATCCATTGCTTCCCGGAACTCCCCACCATCAACATCCCAGCGTCTTCCAACAGAACAACACCTAGACAGCTTTCTCATCCCCGTCGACCCCGATTTCGCCATATCGCTCACTCGTGAGTGCCTATCTGGTCGTGCGCGATTGAGCTGCGCAGTCCTGCCCGTCCTATCCACCTATTTATACTGTCCACTGTGCCATCTCCCTTCCATATCCAGCGCAGGACTGCGCATCGTCCCGTCCTCCTGACCTGACCTGACCTCACCCACCCACGTTCTATAAAGCCCCGCGTCTCTCCCGCCATCATGGTCATCGTCAACGAGAAATCAATGCTGCCCCCTCCCCCTCCCTACCTCTCCCGCTCGCTCGACATGCACCCCCCGCCCTTCCCCGGATCCTCTACCCGCCCAAAACCTTCCTTCTCCACGCTCCCCCCGCACATCCTCCTCGTCATCCTCTACCACACCTTCCCGCAGACGTCCTTCCTCGACGAGGGCCGCGTCGAGCGCCAGAGACGCACGCTGTACTGGATGAGCATATCGCTCAGGCTGGTCAGTCGGTCGGTCTACATCGGTGAGTTGTCGAGTCGCTACGACGCGATCTGACATGACCGATCTACATCACTGTCAGCATGTATGCACATCCTCCGCTCGACCTACCTCCCCGCATACACATCCCTCCTGCGCGCTCCTTACACCTCCGACCCCTTTCCACTATCCTCTCCCCCACCCACCACCACCACCACCACCACCACCACCACCACCACGCCTCCGACCTCAACCATTACCTCGACACCAACCCCCGACCTCCCGCTCCTCCCGTCCCCACACCGCGAAACAGCGATCCTGGACGCTTTCATTGCGCTCAAGGTCCGCGAAGACGTGTGGGCCGACGCGTCCGAGCTCCACCTTGAGCGCGAGGAGACGTTCCGCGATGTATTCGAGCGCGTGCAGCCCCGCGCGCGCTGCGAGGACCTCGTGCGGCACTACGGCGAGCGCGCGGGCGTCGTTGTGCTCGATGCGCCTGGCGCCGCGGATCCTTCTGCGAGCGGTGGGGGCGGGAGCAGAACGAGCCGGACGCGTGCGATCCCGTTCAGTGCGCTGAGCGTGGCTTTCGAGCCGCGCCGCGTCGCGCTCGTGCTTCAGCCGCCAGCGGGCGAGCGGCGGCGCACGATCGCGGAGGTGCCGCGGGCCGCGCGCGACGAGCGGCTCGAGGTCGCGGCGAAGCGGCTCGTGCGGGAGCTGCAAGCGTGGATAGCGGAGGGCGGCCAGCTGTGAGCCCTCGTATGGACGCACGGACACACGGACGCTGTGTGCGCGGGCAAGCATATATGTATTGTACGGATCTGTAGGTGTTTCGATGTTGTATTTTCACCGACCATGTATCCTACTCGGATTAGGTTTATGTACGCACATATGTCTGATATAATATCGACGGCACTCCCTTTTGCGGTGTCTCTAGCAGCGCCGATGAAAGTCGCGACCCCCGCACTGACCACACGCGCCTACTGCGGCTCCCCTGCCTCCCTCTTCCACCCAAACCCGACCTCGTCCACCTCCGGCTCCGGCTCGCGCACACGCCCGGGCCGCCCGTCCCACCCACGCCGCGACCTGTCCCGCTCGTCGTCCGCCCTGTCCGTCGCACGCAGCCCGAACGCACGCGGCATCGCTCCCTCCATCTCCCGCCGCCGCTCGCGCCGCCGTTCCTCCTGTCGCCGCTCGGCGTGCCGCGCCGCCGCCTCGTCGTATGCCTCGGCGTCTGCCTCCCATGGTGTCGCCGACGTCGCCGGCGGCGGGTCGCGCGTGAACACGCCCCTGCCGCGTCCGCCCTGAGCGCGCTCTGCATCACCCGCATCCGAGTCTGCGCGTTCGTGCCCATCGTCCTCGTCCTCGTCCTCGTCCTCCCCATCTCGCAGCCCCCCGCTGTCCTGCCTCTCTGTCTTCAGCCCCCACCCCACCTCATCGACCCCCCATAGCCGCCCCTGCACCCCGCCGCCACCGCCGCCACCCTGCCCCGTGCGCATAGCGCCCCCCGCAGCGACGATCGTGGCCCCCGTCGCACGCCGCGCAATCGCCTCCTCCAGCTCCTTCTGCTCCTCCTCCTCGTCCGGGACGATCCGCAGCCGCGTCGCCCGGCTCCACGGGTCCACATAAGTCTCCGCCTCCGCCGCCCGACCTCCCTTGCCCGCATTCTTACCACCGCCCTGCCCCGTCCTGCGTTCCCCGCCGTCTTCCTCCGCAACCTCGGCCCGCGGCCCCAGCCGGAACGCGTCCGTGTCCTCCACCACGAACCCCGCCGTGGCCAGCATCGTCGGCCGGCGCGTCACCTCCAGCTCCAGCGCCGCCGCACCCGTGCCCGCCCGCGTCTCCTTCCGCGCGTACGCGATCGCGCGCTCCGCGGTGTACACGTCCACGAACTGCACGAAGGCCGCGCGCCACGGCTTGCCGCGAATCGGGGGCTCTGTCGCCCGCCCGCGATCGACGAGACGAGTGGACGGCAAGGATGCGACGGGACAGGATGGGAGAGGAACGATGATGATGTCAGTCATAAACAGTGTATGATACATATTTGTGCAAAGGAAATCAAACGCAGCAAGACACGCACCGACGAATACCCCTGCGAACCCTCGATAATTGCGGAACCGGTCCCGCAGCGCTGCCTCCGTCCCCTTCCACTGATGCACATACACCGTCTTCGACCGAACCGCCATCCGCGGCAACCGCTCCGCGGACCCGTCGTATACGATGCCCCTGCCGCCCCCGCTGCCCGCTCCGTGGTGCCGCGCCCGTGCGCTCTGGCCGAACCCGACCCGCAGCGCGCGGTCGCCGTAGAAGAACCCGCGCCGGGCCCCGACGATGAGTGCGGCGAGTGCATCTTCCACCGACGCGAACTCGACGTGGGCGTAGCCCGCGCAGTTCCCATGCGCGTCGTACGCTGCATGCCGATGGCAGACAGATGCGAGGACGCGAGACGGCGTGAGGATTAACAAAAGCCAGGGGAGAGGAAAGACTGCGCGACGCACCTACGCGCACGTCGATGATGGTGCCGTACCGGTTAAAAAATTGGCGCACGAGTGGCTTGTTGACAGAGAAAGGCAGGTTGCCGAGGAAGAGGTCGGGTGACGGCGGGTGGTCGTCGATGAACCGCGGGATGACCACCGTCGGGATCTGATCCGGCGAGTGGTCGTCGGTGTCCTCTGCAGGACTGACATCTTCGACTACGTGTAGGGTGGTGAGCAAGAGCGAGCGGAGTAGCCCATGGCGCACACCCACCCAAGTCCTTTTTACCAGTTCCCGCCGCTTCCCTATTCTCCCCCTCGCCCATGCTCTCCCCGTCGTCCAGCGCGCGGTACACGATCACCTCCCTGCCGGCGACCCAGATGCTGCCCTCAGCGTAACGGATCAGGGCGCGCTTGACGGCGCCCGCGTCCTCGTAGCGCACGTACGCGGTGCCGTTCTGCGCATTGTAGACGTACTCGATCTTGCCGAACGGCTGGAACGCGCCGAGGAGCTCGAAGCGCGAGACGTGTGGGGGGAGGTTCTTGACATAGAGCGCGCCCGGGGGTGCGGGCGACGGGGTCGGGGGCAGGGGGAACGAGAGCGGGTCGGTGGATGCGGATGCGGATGCGGATGCGGATGCGGAGGACGAGGATGTAGAGGGCGCGTCGGAAGGGGCGAGTGGGGAGAGGGAGGAAGTGGAGCCGAGGAAGGTGGAGGTGAAGTTGGGGGCGAAGAGCAGCGGGCGGAGCGGGCGCGGGTGCGAGGAGGTGGGGAACTTGGGCGCGTGGGGTACGGGCGTAGGCGGGCTTTGGGATGGCGCGGGCGACGTCGACGGTTCGGCGCGCGCGTCCTCGCGCTCATCTTCGTCTTCGTCGCCGCGCCTGCCTCTGCCCTTGCGGGCCGTCGACAGTCGCACGCCAAGCCTGTCAGAGAGGCGGTAGGACCGCGTGTGCAACAGAGACGGAGAGGCCGCGGCAGAGAGGGAGGAAGCGTGTGCACGTCGGTGGCGGCGGTGGCGATGGGAGACGTGCCAGTCGAGGACGAAGATGGAGAGCTCTGCGGTGGAGCGTTGCTGCGCGAGTGCACAGAGCGAGGCGCGGTGGGTCGCGGTGGTCAGCATCGATGCGGTCTCGCAAGCGTTGTCCTCAGAGGCCACCAGCGCCGTCGCTGCAAAACCGTGCGACTCGCCCCGGCAGTCCCCGACGCGACATGGCCTCTTCGACGTTCATCGAGGACAATCACAGTTGCAGGGACGACGACGACGGATCGTGCAGTGCACTGTCCCGCAAATCTTCAAGCGATCCCTGACGGGCCTCTGGCTGTTCCATCTATCAAACAATTGGATCTTCTCGCCAGTAATTCCCGCCTACAATATCCCAATCGCACCTTCTTCCACGCATATATGCTGCGTATCCCGCTGGAGAAGCGCTCTGCGCTGCCCTGCGTATTTTCGTTGCTTCACGAGATCGTCTAAGTGCTGCTCACGAGGAATTATACGCGACTGGTGAAAGCCGAAGAGCTGAAGCGGCACCATGATAGGATCTCATCGCTGCTCGTAGACGTTTGTATGTTTCGATCCATTTTTTTCCAACTCGACTCATCGTTTCTTATCGTTGTGTTTAGGATCGCTGTGCTTGCTGATCAATAGTTCACTCCGCCCAACATCCCGAGTCAAATGGTTTTTTCAGGTTTACAAATGGAGAATCATCATACAAACGCAGAGAGAAAATGAAGGAGAGAAGGAAAGAGAAGTACGAATGTCTAGGTACGTATACGAAATGTCTGTCCACATCCAATAGTCTGTGCGTATCCGAAATGTCTGTCCGCATCTGATGTCTATCCATATCCGAACCCTGTTCAAATCCGAGTCTGTCCGCAGGCCTCTTGTTCGACTGCCGTCGTCCGATATCCATTCCCGGGCCTGTTACCAGCGCCCATCGTCCCCTCGCCCCCACACGACATCAAGCCCCGACATGTTCAGAAGAAAGAACGCAGACTCAGTGGTCGCGAATCACCAAGCCCGGCCCTCCCCTCCTGGCATGCAGAACCTAACGTGGCGTCCATCGTCTCCCCGTTCCCGACACTCCGTCGAGCCCCGACACGTTCGAAAGAAAGAACGCAGACTCGATGGTCGCGAAGCACCAAGCCCGGCCCTTCCCTCCTACCATGCAGACCACAACGAGGCGCCCATCGTCCCCTCGTCTCCGACACGATGTCGAGCCCCGACATGTTCGAAAGAGACAACGCAAGCTTGGTGGTCGCGAATCACCAAGCCCGGCCCTCCCCTCCTAGCATACAGAACCCAACGCAGCGCCTACTCTATGCCTGCGCATCACCTGCCCTCGCGCGACCACCTGCCCACGCCCATCCCCCATGATACTGCCGACCACCCGCCCCGACTCCCGACTATGTCTCCCTCGACGCTCCCCCAAGTCATCTGCGACCAGCGCAAATACCCTCCGACCGCCGCCCACGCCCGCTGCAGAATAGAAACCGAACCAAAAAGCTAAAAGAAGGAAGCTCGCATGACATACGTGAACGCATTGACCGCGCAAATAGGAGTTGGTTTCACTTAGCTTTCTTTGGGTCCGTCCAGGCTTCGTCCGGTGCAAGAAACGACATGCGGTGCGGTCCAGACACAGCACGTCGCTCCTTGAGCCGGAGAGGCCCGTCCGTTCGTCGTCGTCGAGATACTGACATAGAAAGGCAAAATGAGATATAGGGAGGAACACTCACCGAGACACGCCGAAGCCGTGTCTCCCGCTACCCCATCTCCCAACAACAGGTCCCTCCCGGCCGAAGGTACTGCCACCAAAAGACGTGATTTTGAAGAGACTTGGCTTCGCCTTGATACCAAACCGACGCTAGATCTGTGAAAAAAACAAGAGTTACCCCCGCCATCCTCCCTCCACAACACCTCCCCGTCTCGACCACCGCCTCCCTCCGACGCACCGCTCACAACTTCCTGAGCCTCTTCACCAGACGAGTTCCAATGGACGACGGCTCTTCCTCCTCGGCATCCCTGCGCCTCTTTCCAGAAACACGAGTGCTTGAGACGACTTGCTGAGACGTGGGTGCTGCAGGACCTTGTGGAACGACACCAGACACTTCGGTCGATGATGAGAGCTTGGCTTTCTTCGCTGGCGGCTCTTGTCCTGAGAACTTGCGCTTCTTGGACGAGGATTCCTGGACGTCGTCGGCCGCCCAACGCCTCTTGAGTTGGTTGGGCTTCGAGCTCGAGGCAGTCGGCGGAAGCTCTGGGACAGATGTAGACTTTGGGATTGTCAACACAAGCTCGGTGTCACCGATGGCAGTTGTGCGTACCTGGTGGATCGCGGGCATGGTCTGCGCCCTCGACTCGGCAGCGGAGATCGTCCTGGTTTTGGTTCTGATCATCTCCGCCTCCGATTTCTTCTTATTCAACAACTGTCTCGCTTTTTCTGCTCCCCTCGAGGCTCTGCTTGCATTGGATGCGCGTGGGATCGGCTTGGTCTTGGATCCACCAGAGACGACGCGTAATTTTGCCTGGATTCCCTTGGACATCGACCGCGTGACCCTCTGGATGACCTGTGGGATCGTCGGCGATCTGCGTGGCTGGTTTGAGGACCCGGTAGACGAATGCTGGTCTGCGGGTGTGTCGACGAGGATCCATTCGCCTTCGTCTTCGGTGTCTTCGTTGACTTTGGTATCTTTGGTGTCTTTGGTGTCTTTGGTATCTTTGGTGTCTTCCACGGCTTGCTTTGTGGTACTCTCCTCCGCGACGTCTGCGAGTGCCTGCTCGGATTTGCGGGCGGAGAAGAGCTGAGTCTCAGGGGCTGCGCTGATGGGCTGGTGAGAGCCGGGAGGGGGAGGGGGCGGCGGCGAGGAGGACAAGGAGGGAGGCACCGCTGTCACCGGTTCCGGTACGTCGTCAGATTGCTCGCTAGAGCACTGCTTCGGTGCTTCGGTAGGTGTCTCGTCAAAGGCATGTTTAGGCGCGTTGGTGGGTGTCTCGGGAAGTTCCTCAGGTAGCGGCATGGGTGAGGATTCGAGCATCTCTATCACGACTGCTTCCTCCTCGACGTCGATCTTGGCGTTCTCGTCATGGGCTTTTTGCTCCGCCTCTTTCCTGGCATTCTCCTCTCTGCGAGCCTTCTCTTCAGCCTTCTTCGCTCTGTCGGCGGCCATTGCGGCCTTGTATGAACCAACCGGCCATGCCTGAACTTGAGAAGAGGCCTGGATGGGTGTGAAGATATTACCGTTCCTTGCGAAGACGTTGCCGCTCGAGCGTGCTGCAGGCGGAGGCGGGGCCGAGACCCGGGCCGGCTTGATTCTGGTGGGACGCCGGGACATGAAGTTGATGGTGTCCTCCTCGTCGGACGAGTCAGAGTCGTAGTCTGGGGCGCCGAACTTGGGAGGGCTTGGCATGGACATGATGCGTGCGGCCCTGAGTGCGCCGATCTCGAGCTGGGACAGCCCGGGGTGGTCCTCGAAGCGGATCAAGCGCTTCTTGCTGCGGACTTTGGGAGTGCGCAGAGGCGGCATGCGCGAGTTGTCGGGCGCAAAGCGGACGGACTTCTTGCGCAGCTTGGTGTCGGGGGCGAACTGGTTTTGAAGGTCGATGGCGAGCATGCTTTGCTCGAGGTTGGGATGGGAAGGGGAGATCGAGCTGCGAGCTTCGAGCTTCAATACTGCGGGGAGGTGTGAGTGTGAGGATGGAAGGGAGCTAGACGGATGAGAGACTGACGGATTGGGACATCGACGTGGGGCGGAGGTCTGGTGGAGCCCTTGTCGGTGTCCTTGAAATTGGGCTCGTCGTTCTCTTTGTTCACCTTGGAATTGTTGCCTGACGTGGGGCCAGCCACGGCAGACCTGAATGCAGAGCGTCTGGTTGGGGAGGTCATGATGATGGATAGTAGTGGGAGGTGAAGTGCGGAGTGGTGGGAGAGATAATCGAGGGTGATGGAAGACGATGATAAGAGAAGATAGTAGAAAGGTATGTGGGTATGTGAAGAAGGTTATGTGACGTATTGATATCAAAGTGGGTAGAAATTCAAGGGATGGAAGTGGTCGAGAGGAGGGATCACTTGTCGAGAGAGAGCGGACGAGGGCAGGGCTATAGGTCTGTATATCGATTTCGACTTGCTTATGCCAGCCTGGTCGCTTTCGAATGGCTGATGGTCGTCGGTCGTCTCGGCTTGGACAGTGTCTCACCGCTCAGCGTCGGCTCGTGCCATTGTCCTTCCGACAACATGTAACATTTCTTTGTGAGAGTGCCAGAGAACGGATTGAGGAGTCTAGATGTAATATACACCGAAAGCCACTTGTTAAAAATACATGGATTGCGGATCCGGTTCAGCTGCGTATCGGTACAAGGTCAAGAAAAGTACATGACCACAGTCAAGAATTGTTGATGATGCACCAGAATTGTGGCAGCATCCAGTTGCGTCATCCACATCGGCGCTCTCCATATCCTATTCCATCGTAATGGTGTCTCAAGTGTTGAACATCGGCTTCACCGTTCTCTCGTAACATGCGGACCTGAGTTCTTTGTATATCTTTTCGAATGCAGTTTGATTGAGAGTGCAGAGAGGATGGCGGTCCATATCCTTCACAGATGATGTCCGCGGATGCTGCAGGGACCGGTATAGTTCAGGATCTGTAGGCCAGCCTGCGATGACACGCAAAACAGGGTAGTTTGCATCACTGCTTAGAGCAGGTTGCGGGATGGTGGTCAAAAGATGGTCAGTCTCTATATCAAAACCCGCGCAGCCCTGCTGAAGCCCTGGGAGGGCATCTTGCAGCCGCTGAAAATAATGATATCAGATGGGTGACTCTCGCACTGTCGAAAATGGCTGACAATCCTGTACCTCCAAAAATGGCTGGGTGTTACAGTCTGAATGGCCATCATGAGGTTTGGTCTAGAAACTCTGGCCTGCAGATATTTTGCTTGTAGAGAAACGAGCACTATAGTCTTGTTTTCTAGTTGTAAAAAGAAGAGAATGTCGGGGCCCATTTCCCGAGGGGGAAAACAAAACGGCACATGCTGCTTATTTGTACGCAACCATTCGAGTACATCGTTTTTTTCTTCGCAAGTGATGGCCAATACCTCCGAAGGTCCACCCTTGGGCAAGACTGCATCGATTTGGGTAACGGATGATGAGGACCGAGAGAGCACAACAAGCTGAGCACGCTCTGAAAGCCAATCAGGACCATCCCCGCCCGAACGATCTGTGAGAATGTCGCATAGCTTGTAGTTCCCGTTGAAAACATGCCGCAGATGGTGAGCCAGGTAGGTCTCGAACCCGTTATCTTCGGAAGAGTGGTACCCAACGTGGCCGTCAAGATACGCAAGCTCTGCGAGTGCTGGAAATTTCTCGAAATGCTGGATGACTGCAAGAATTGGAATCGGTTCATCAAAAAGGATTTTTAAGGCTGATCGTGTATGAGGAAAAGGATTGGTTGTTGAATGTGAATATCGAGCGAACCCATATTGGATAGCGTGTGCTGTCTTGGAATCACTGGCATCATCCGCCAAAATCCCTACTCCACGCCAAACATATGAAAAAACAGCCCTACTGAGCAGGACAGATAATCCAGGTGCTAGCGTGGATGGAATTAAACTTATTGTAACGAAGCAAGGACTTGATACGCACTAGAATCCAGCTCTGAGATTTTGAACATTTCTTGCTTCGATATTGCGTCTACAGAGGGGGCTTCTTCGTGAACTGTGAAAAGGGACGCCTCTGTTGCATGATAGCCAGTCCACTCCATTATAGTCAGATTAATGACTGAGTGAGGCGATCGCAGGCCGTTTTGTAAGATGTTTGACAGCAGAGATGCCGTGAAGCGATGTCTGATCAAGCTTGTCAGCATAAGAGCGAAGATCAAAAGGTTTACCGAGTCACCTTCCACGAAACCAAGCCCAAACTCGCCCAAGAAAAATCTTCCATGCTTCGTGTTCGAATAAATGAGGGGGAATATATTGTCGAACATACTCCTCTTGACTACTCCGCGTGAACGCCCCCACATCATGACGGATTTGAAACATTGCTGTCTTGCCCACACCGGAAATGGTTTGCGCAACATCATCAACCGAGAGACCAGTCCCCGATACGATAATTTTCAGATTACGACGGGTGATCATGAACTTGGCCCAACAGGTTATCATTCCCCGAAGGACTGAACGTTTTCTGCCTGGTTCAGCACTTGGGACGAAGTCATCGTTGTACATTTTGGCAGCAGCTTGGGCTTCGTCAAGGATCCAGAACAGAGGTGACGTGTAGTTTAAATCTGTCATGATTTGTTGGTGAACGTCGTACAAAATATTGTCGGCATCAAAATATGAGAGACCCCTGAGCGATAAGGCAAGGGCGGTGAAGATGTCGTGGCCTGATCGGAAAGCTAGTGGTGGTTTTACTTGTAGAAGCACCCAAAGACGCCGTTGTTTGGTCACGGAAAAGGCATGATCGTGAGACAGTTTGATGAACTGAGCAAAGATCAAGAAGCGAGAGACCATGATGTTGGCAAAGCATCTGTTTGTGATCTGTATGATATGGTCTAATGCAGCCTTGCGATCGGGAGAATTGACAGACCCAGACTGGAGCACGCCGTGCGCCTTGTGATAATCGGTTGCTTGCTCTAGCGATGAAGAGAGAGCACATTGAATGTCCATAGAGCCAATGTCATCATGGCCAACAGCTGATGTGAGATAAAAGCCCCATCTGTCACCGCAGAGGCCCTCCAATAGTAGACGAGTTTTTCCTGAACCTTCCGTGTTAACGAGCAACCTGGTCATATTTAATAACCAATGGCTACATAGAAGAGAATAAGTTGACTCACGTATGACCACCAGCATTGAAAACACCCTTGATCCAACTTTTCAACTGTTCGCTTTGATTGATGCCTAGGTCATGAAGGAGAAGATCAGGATCCTTCTCGCCAGATAATGGTATCTTGAGCGCTTTGAGCCAGTGTTTGTCATCAGCAGCCATATTGAAAGGAGGTTCCCATAAAGGCAACACGTCTGGCCGGTTGATAAATTCTGCAATTACGTGGTTATTCTCCGATTGGAAGCGTGATATGATCAACTCTATCTCTTCTTTAGGTTTCGGAGATGTTTCCTGAAGTTTCGGCCTAATCTCGGATGGCGTCCCTCTGGGCGGTGTCTTTGCGATGTAATCTAAAAGGAATGAAGTACATGCTTGGGAATTGGACAATGATGAAGACTGACCTTTGACTGTGCGTTGCTTCGCATTATTGATGTGTTCATCATGAGTACCCGGCCGCTGGACAATGATGTGGAGGCCCTCATCAGGTTGTTGTGGAAAAACTCTCGATAGCCGCATCTCCCGACGAGACAGCCGAGTAGCCCTCTCCGATAGTTGATCAATCACTAGAGTGGAGAGTGGTTCGAGGGTATTCAGCTCAAAGAATAAGGTCAGCTGTAAGGCGAATGACTTGGAAGAATAACTTTGACCCTACCCTCCACAGTACCAAGTCCTTCGCATCTACTGTACGTAAAAACCCGTGCTGATTGCAAGATTGGATGATCTTCTGAAGCTTGTCAAGATTCGCATCTGGGGATATCATGACAGAGAAAAACCCGGCAGGGTCATCCTGTATGAGGCAGTAAAGCTCCAGATCAGAAGGTGGGTTCGCGGTCATTGGCAGCAGTAGTGAAATGCCCCTTTCTGGGGAGGGGTTTACTGAAGAGCAGTGAATTCATCGGCTCGGACGCAGCCGGTCTTGCATTGCTCCACAGAGCCGTCCCTCCTCATCGTCCTCAACTGACCCTTTCTTGGCTTCTAATGAACTATCGACATGGCCGGCGCCAACGTGCACATGCTCTGTCCTTCTCTGCGGCTGCGTCCTCATCGTCGCTGGACACACGGCCCTATTGGTTTTCCGACTCTCTGATGAGCCAGTCACGCGGTCCTTGGTAGTCTCCATGGCTGATCTTACACAGAAGATAGTCGTTCTGTGTATAAGGATCCTTGGCGGCTCCCAAAGGCAGATGCAGGCGCGGCGACGAAGACAAGGACGAAGGCGAGGGCAAGGAAGGTGAAGGATCGACATCGGTCGCACCATCCCAAAGCCCGCCTACGCCCGTACCCCCACGCGCCCAAGTTCCCCACCCCCTCGCACCCTCGCCCGCTGCTCTTCGCCCCCAACTTCACCTCCACCTTCTTCGGCTCCACTTCCTCCCTCTCCCCACTCGTCCCTTCCGACGCGCCCTCTACATCCTCGTCCTCCTCCGCATCCGCATCCACTGACCCGCTCTCGTTCCCCCTGCCCCCGACCCCGTCGCTCGCGCCTCCGGGCGCGCTCTATGTCAAGAACCTCCCCCCGCACGTCTCGCGCTTCGAGCTCCTCGGCGCGTTCCAGCCGTTCGGCAAGATCGAGTACGTCTACAATGCGCAGAACGGCACCGCGTACGTGCGCTACGAGGATGCGGGCGCCGTCAAGCGCGCCCTGATCCGCTACGCTGAGGGCAGCATCTGGGTCGCCGGCAGGGAGGTGATCGTGTACCGCGCGCTGGACGACGGGGAGAGCATGGGCGAGGGGGAGAATAGGGAAGCGGCGGGGACTGGTAAAAAGGACTTGGGTGGGTGTGCGCCATGGGCTGCTCCACTCGCTCTTGCTCACCACCCTACACGTAGTCGGAGATGTCAGTCCTGCAGAGGACACCGGCGACCACCCGCCAGACCAGATCCCGACGGTGGTCATCCCGCGGTTCATCGACGACCACCCGCCGTCACCCGACCTCTTCCTCGGCAATCTGCCTTTCTCCGTCAACAAGCCGCTCGTGCGCCAATTTTTTAACCGGTACGGCACCATCATCGATGTGCGCGTAGGTGAGTCGCGCAGTCTTTCTTCTCCCCTGGCTTTTGTGAATCCTCACGCGGTCTCGCGTCCTCGCATCTGTCTGCCATCGGCGTGCAGCATACGACGCGCATGGGAACTGCGCGGGCTACGCCCACGTCGAGTTCGCGTCGGTGGAAGATGCACTGGCCGCACTCATCGTCGGGGCCCGGCGCGGGTTCTTCTACGGCGACCGCGCGCTGCGGGTCGGGTTCGGCCAGAGCGCACGGGCGCAGCACCACGGAGCGGGCAGCGGGGGCGGTAGGGGCATCGTATATGACGGGTCCGCGGAGCGGTTGCCGCGGATGGCGGTTCGGTCGAAGACGGTGTATGTGCATCAGTGGAAGGGGACGGAGGCAGCGCTGCGGGACCGATTCCGCAATTATCGAGGGTTCGCGGGGGTATTCGTCGGTGCGTGTCTTGCTGCGCTTGATTTCCTTTGCACAAATATGTATCATACACTGTTTATGACTGACATCATCATCGTTCCTCTCCCATCCCGTCCCATCGCATGCTTGCCGTCCACTCGTCTCGTCGATCGCGGGCGGGCGACAGAGCCCCCGATTCGCGGCAAGCCGTGGCGCGCGGCCTTCGTGCAGTTCGTGGACGTGTACACCGCGGAGCGCGCGATCGCGTACGCGCGGAGGGAGACGCGGGCGGGCACGGGCGCGGCGGCGCTGGAGTTGGAGGTGACGCGCCGGCCGACGATGCTGGCCACGGCGGGGTTCGTGGTCGAGGACACGGACGCGTTCCGGCTGGGGCCGCGTGCCGAGGTTGCGGAGGAAGACGGCGGGGAACGCAGGAGGGGGCAGGCGGTGGTAAGAATGCTGGCAAGGGCGAGGAGGGAGGGCGGGGTGGTAGTGGCGGTGGCGGTGGCGGGGTGCAGGGGCGGCTGTGGGGGGTCGATGAGGTGGGGTGGGGGCTGAAGACAGAGAGGCAGGACAGCGGCGGGCTGCGAGATGGGGAGGACCAGGACCAGGACCAGGACCAGGACCAGGATGATGGGCACGGACGCGCAGACTCGGATGCGGGCGATGCAGAGCGCGCTCAGGGCGGACGCGGCAGGGGCGTGTTCACGCGCGACCCGCCGCCGGCGACGTCGGCGACACCATGGGAGGCAGACGCCGAGGCATACGACGAGGCGGCGGCGCGGCACGCCGAGCGGCGACAGGAGGAACGGCGGCGCGAGCGGCGGCGGGAGATGGAGGGAGCGATGCCGCGTGCGTTCGGGCTGCGTGCGACGGACAGGGCGGACGACGAGCGGGACAGGTCGCGGCGCGGGTGGGACGGGCGGCCCGGGCGTGTGCGCGAGCCGGAGCCGGAGGTGGACGAGGTCGGGTTTGGGTGGAAGGGGGAGGCGGGGGAGCTGCAGTAGGCGCGTGTGGTCAGTGCGGGGGTCGCGATTTTCATCGGCGCTGCTAGAGACACCGCAAAAGGGAGTACCGTCGATATTATATCAGACATATGTGCGTACATAAACCTAATCTGAGTAGGATACATGGTTGGTGAAAATACAACATCGAAACACCTACAGACCCGTACGATACATATATGCTTGCCCGCGCACAGAGCGTCTGTGTGTCCGTGCGTCCATACGAGGGCTCACAGCTGGCCGCCCTCCGCTATCCACGCTTGCAGCTCCCGCACGAGCCGCTTCGCCGCGACCTCGAGCCGCTCGTCGCGCGCGGCCCGCGGCACCTCCGCGATCGTGCGCCGCCGCTCGCCCGCTGGCGGCTGAAGCACGAGCGCGACGCGGCGCGGCTCGAAAGCCACGCTCAGCGCACTGAACGGGATCGCTCGCGTCCGGCTCGTTCTGCTCCCGCCCCCACCGTTCGCAGAAGGATCCGCGACGCCGGGCGCGTCGAGCACAACGACGCCCGCACGCTCGCCGTAGTGCCGCACGAGGTCCTCGCAGCGCGCGCGCGGCTGCACGCGCTCGAATACATCGCGGAATGTCTCCTCGCGCTCCAGATGGAGCTCGGACGCGTCGGCCCACACGTCTTCGCGGACCTTGAGCGCAATGAACGCGTCCAGGATCGCTGTTTCGCGGTGTGGGGACGGGAGGAGCGGGAGGTCGGGGGTTGGTGTTGAAGTAATGGTCGAGGTCGGAGGCGTGGTGGTGGTGGTGGTGGTGGTGGTGGATGGGGGAGAGGATAGTGGGAAGGGGTCGGAGGTGTAAGGAGCGCGCAGGAGGGATGTGTATGCGGGGAGGTAGGTCGAGCGGAGGATGTGCATACATGCTGACAGTGATGTAGATCGGTCATGTCAGATCGCGTCGTAGCGACTCGACAACTCACCGATGTAGACCGACCGACTGACCAGCCTGAGCGATATGCTCATCCAGTACAGCGTGCGTCTCTGGCGCTCGACACGGCCCTCGTCGAGGAAGGACGTCTGCGGGAAGGCGTGGTAGAGGATGACGAGGAGGATGTGCGGGGGGAGCGTGGAGAAGGAAGGTTTTGGGCGGGTAGAGGATCCGGGGAAGGGCGGGGGGTGCGCGTCGAGCGAGCGGGAGAGGTAGGGAGGGGGAGGGGGCAGCATTGATTTCTCGTTGACGATGACCATGATGGCGGGAGAGACGCGGGGCTTTATAGAGCGTGGGTGGGTGAGGTCAGGTCAGGTGAGGAGGACGGGACGATGCGCAGTCCTGCGCTGGATATGGAAGGGAGATGGCACAGTGGACAGCATAAATAGGTGGATAGGACGGGCAGGACTGCGCAGTTCAATCGCGCACGACCAGATAGGCACTCACGAGTGAGCGATATGGCGAAATCGGGGTTGACGTGGATGAGAAAGCTGTCAAGGTGTTGTTCTGTTGGAAGAAGCTGGGATGTTGATGGTGGGGAGTTCCGGGAAGCGATGGATGGGGAGCACAGAGTGTGAGGGTTGTGTGTGGGCGGTGTGCATGGACTGGTGTGCTATATATGACGGTCGGTGGGTCCGTTCTCAGGCGCAGGCTGTGTGCACTGCTCCCTCCCGTGCGTGTGGGCGTCTGACCCGACTCTGTGTGGGTCCTCACGGTTCCTCACCGCAGACGTCGACATCATCGCTCAGGGTCGTCCCGTTATTACTCCATGATAACTAGGCTCGGACACAGCCGGTCTTTCAAATTCCGCTGCTCCGCTATGCTCCGTCAAGGGCTGGGCTCACTGATCGCGGTTTTGGCGGGGCGCGCCAAATGTGAGCTCGACTTAGCCGAATTTCGTGCAATCTTCAGCCACCACTACTATACCTTGCCTTTCTCCTTCCTCTCTCCCTCTTCTATCAAAACTAACTGTGTAATATTTCATTTGTATGTCTCAACTCCTGCTTGGATTGAATGACTAGCACTTTGGAGATACAGGTCCTGCCTCGAAACTGCCACTGCCTGCCTTGCCCCTGGTCAATAATGGTGACCAGTTCCAGGTGGCACCATCACCAACTGATATGATATTGTTATCAAAGTGCCCACAAACCATAACTAGCCCCATGTTGCTTGGTGACATAACAAGCAAAATAATAGTTTCACCCTAGGGCACCTTGATATTAAGCTGTGAGGCTTATCATGTGTGCTTGATGCACTAAGAGGGGTTCCCTAGGCTAACATCTGGAAAAACATCCCCTTGTATTAGCTCCGGAATATATCTAATAGTGTCTAAATGTATCTAAAAGTGTTAATAGTATCTAAAAGTGTTTAATTTCCTAATTGGGAGCAACATATTGTGAGCATTGGATTGGTTTCTAATTTCATAATATTAGCATTAATTCTATACTGAGGAGTCTTTAATTAGTAGTAGGAAATAGTAAATACTACTGCTCTATCAGTGAGAAGGTAAAGATGTGGCACATTCTATACTATTTCAGCATATTACTCTCCTTCATATATGCCTATACCATTATCTTGTAGCTCTTTTGCTGACTTTCCAGCTGCTTTTATAAGGGATATAGAAAGAGAGAAATGTGCATTGATGCCCCCAGCCACTTTGTTGGCAGCTTGGCAGCTGCCACAAGAGGCTATAAAGACCTAGGTACCTTGTTCTTGCACATAAGATCATTAAAGTTGTCATTGTTAGCCAATGCCTGCTACTGGTCATTATAGGACACAACATGCAGGTTGGACTTAGGGATATGCTATATCCAGCCTTATAGACCTTGTCTATTAGTATAGTGGCTAATACTGTCTTGTGCAGCACACAATCATCATCACTATTGATATTACAATTTTTAGCACTATTTATATTGTTTATTGCCTTGTTATACAGAAGATGCTCAAACTTGGTGTTTTCCTCTAGCTATTAGGCTGTGGAAAAGACAGTCATATATGTGGTGCCAGAATGATATATTTGCCTGCTATATAGGAAATATATGCATTAAGCATATTAAGATCACCTCCAACAATCTTGTGCTTATTTATATATAGGCATGCCATACATATACTCTTGTACTTTTGTCCCCACCCTCTACCTCACTAGTGGCTATTTGGAAAACCCCTCTCTTTTATTAGATCTTAATTATTCAAAATTATGTTTTTGATCAACTTTGCAAATTAAGGTAGCATTATCTATACTAGTAGAGTTCCGTTGAATATTACACTCAATCATAGTTTTACACATTCTCAGTCCAAATTGTATAAGTGCCATAATATATTTTTTTCCTATATAAAGTGTATCATAGATTTTCCATTGGTTTATTATCTTCTTAGCTGGTGTTCAAACTAAATCCTGAAAGACCTGACTTTTTAGGTATTTATTGACCTATTTATTTATAAGATAGAGGAAAGATAAGTGTTAAATAAAATCAGAGATGTTGAGGTTGCCTATATTATGTCTACTTATTTAGATTACCAAGTTCATATCTTAGACCTTGTGGCTTAGTGGCTTAGAGCATCTGTCCTGGGTGCTTGCATACATGAGGTTGTTGGTTCAACTTTGGCAGAAGGCAAGTCTGTTATAAGATATATTCTGTGTTTAGGTATTGAACTAGTGCTCTAATAGACATGACTCTATAGGAAGGCTATGAGAACTGTGATGCTTGATTCATTATGATTTTTCCGAAATTTCAAGTTATAATCAATCCTAATAATTCCTAATTTAGGAAAATTATGTCTAATTAGAACAGGTTTAGAAGGGGGTAAGATAAAAATGTCTAATCCTAATTGTTCTCAATTATGCATAAATAGAACTAATTAGAGCTTAATACAAACAGGTGGTTTTCCAGATGCTATTAATAGCATTAGGCCTCCCAAAGTCTCTATGGAGCATGGCCATGTTATATGCTATCTAGCTCTAGAAATGGACTGGGCTAAGGAGCTTGGCAGGTACAACACTATATAAGAATGTCTAAGGCATAATGCTAGATCTGAGCAATCTCTATAAGTGAGGATGCTAGGTATGGGTAAAAATCGAGGGATGGAGCAAGCTTGATGTATAAGCTGACAAAGGATGCTTCATTAGCCATAGTGCTAAAAGCAAGGGCATCTTGGTGTATTAGCCAATAAAATAGAGGATTAGCATCAAGTGAAACATTCACTAGAATGACTCACCTTTACTAGAAGTCATTATCAATGAGATTGACAACCCAAACACAAACATACAAGCACTAGAAAAGCCTGTACAGGGTGTAGGCCATGCAAGCATACCTGATACTCTAAGTGCATTGTCACCAAGCACTGCCAATGCATTACAGCTCAAAAATGAGCAGAAAAGACACAAAAACCCCTTAGACAGTCAGTATAATGACGTAGCTCAAGCACAGCTACATTTAGAAAAACCTCCACTTTTAATAAAATCTAATTATCCAAAATACTAATCTGAGCTAATCAGAATATATTATCCATAATCAACTTTATCATCAAATCTACAAATAAAGGTGATATTGTCTATACTACTATAGTCCCATTAGAATTTACAATCCAATTACAATTTTACACATTTCAAATCCAAATTTTATAAGTGCTATAATCTTATTTTTGCTTTTTTTTTTAACAGTTTACTATATCATTGTCTAGTGCCCAAATTCAAATATCAGCCCTGATTTTTAGGGCATTTATTGACCTTTTTATATATAGAATAGATAAAAGATAAATATGTAAGAAAATCAGAAATATTGAGATTGCCTTATTTATATCAACATATTTAGGTTGCTAGGTAAATAATTGTGGCTTAGTAGTTTAGAGTACTAGTCTAGAGTGTTATGATCACGTTCTGTCGGGCCTTAACGGCGGTCTATACCGACACAATCATCACAAATATCAAGCGGCCTCACAAGATGAGGCATACAAACAAGGTACAGATAATAACCTTGGTCATCCACTCCCAACAGATCACCTTATCGTTGGTCGAGTATCACAAGCCATATTGCGACGGGCATAGAATGCCGCCTTACAAACTACTCACACACCGGGCATTGAGCTCCTAGTCTTTCCTGGCCGGAAGGAGACTAACAGAGAAGCACAAGAGTAGTCGTTATTGAGAGAGACAACTTAGAGAATACCTACGGATACATATACGGTATTCTCACGCCCTATTTCCTAAAGTAGTATAAAAGGCCCATAGAGTAGGCTGAGGTTCTTCAGTCTATTCTCTTCATTCATTGTGGTCTTCCTACCACAGCACCTTCGTTCTCTGTAGTCTTCATACTACAGCCTTCATTGCTACACCGCAATATACTTCTGGCTCCTGTGCTACACGTACAGTTGAGACCATCGTTCCACACATCCTGTTACGACTGCTCGTCGGTAACCCCAAGAGTAGGAGGTTCTTCCCTAGGTCACTCGTGGAGGATGTGTGGAACGGTGGTCTCGACTGTACGTGTAGCACAGGAGCCAGAAGTGTATTGCGATATAGCAATGAAGACTGCAGTAGGAAGACTGCAGTAGACGAAGCACTGTGGTAGGGAGACCACAGTGAACGAAGGAGTACTGTAGGAAGACAGTACTGAACGAAGAGAATAGACTGAAGATCCTCAGCCTATTCTATGGGCCTTTTATACTACTTTAGGAAGTAGGGCGTGAGAATACCGAATATGTATCTGTAGGTATTCTCTGAGTCGTCTCTCTCAATCACGACTACTCTTGTGCTTCTCCATTCGTCTCCTTCCGGCCAGGAAAGACTAGGAGGTTCATGCCCTGTGTGTGAGTAATTTATAAGGCGGCGTTCCATGCCCGCTAATACAATAGGCCCGTGATACTCGACCAACGATAAGGTGATCCGTTGGGAGTGGATGACCAAGGTTATTATCTGTACCTTGTTGTACGCCTCTCCTTGTGAGGCCGCTTGATATTTGTGATGATCGTGTCGGTATAGACCGCCGTTAAGGCCCGACAGAACGTGATCATAACAATACCCCCTTTCTACGTCCTATTCGCCTGGTAGGACAGCGCTGTGCGCTTCATCTCCACTCCATATACGATTTGCTTTCTTGATCCAATGATGGTCTCCGGATGCGACTTCCGGGACATGACTTCGTTTTCTGGGAGGAAGACCGACTTACGTCGTTTGATCCTCTAGGAGTTTTCCATCTCCGTTGAGCTGTTTGTTTGTCGAGTCGCGAGGTTACCCAGGCCTCCGCTCTCTAGGATGTTCTTCCTTCACCCGTGGGATTGATTCTGCCGCGGGTAAACCTCATCGCGGTCTTACTTCCAGCCCGCTTCTGGAATGGTATCAAGAAAGGCGTATGAATGCGAGTGGTGTGTGGATGAATAGAAACTCTAGCGTGTGGGTTCCGATTCGTGTCATCAGGTTCTTCTTCTTCCTTCTCCGAGGGCCAAACCTCAGTGTTTCCAGGATAGTCGTCTATCCTCATGATTTGTTGTTCCTCTTGACGACAGTGGATGGCGCCCATGGACAAGTAGGTTGATCGCTTTATGAAGGCTTAGGCCTACTTCTCCAGGCTACCAGTCATGACGCCCCAAGCAGTATCGCTCCCATACGGTGAGCTCATCTCCGGTGAGGTTGCAGCCAAATCCCAAGCAGTATTGTCCCCATACGGTGGACTCATCTCCGGTGAGGCAGTTTACGGCGTCCAGAGTTTGTTTTTCACAAATGTGGGCCTATGGTGGGGAATACCACGTGTAGTGTTGGGTTCGAGGCAAGGATGTGAAGAGAATTAGACTTGAAGGGTGCAGCGAGGAACAAGGAGGAGTCTGACTCCTTTTCCAAGTCTGCCCGTTCGCTCGCACGAATGGGTCATCAAGACCACAGCTGATATATTTGTCGGGTTGCGAGATATATCCACGACTGGCAGTTTAAACGTCATGCGGGACGGTCCGTAGTTTATCGTCGTTTCGGACGATCCGTAGTTTAACGTCTTTGCGGACGTGCTTCATCATCAACATGGAATATCTGTGGGGAAAGATGTTTCTGCACGCCGGAATTTCCATCGGTGATGTGCATAGGGCCATAGACCAGACTTTACCCGCTCCAGATTCCACTGAGGCATGATGGACGGTTTATACTATATCAAACCGGATAACTTGTACGTCTCAATATTAGGAGACCGCTCAGTTTAATGCCGTGAGGTAGGCATCCTCGCAGTTTAATGCCGTGCGATAGGCACCCTCGCAGTTTAACGCCGTGCGATAGGCGGGCTACCGTATGACTATGTCCCTCGAGTCACGATAGACTTTTCCTCCGAGGATGAGGGTAGTTTAATGTCATCTCGGACGTTATCAGCGTCGTTCTCGTCAAGGACGACGTTGATGATGATCCCTATACTAAAAGGGACAAGTAGTTTAACGTCGTTGCAGACGATTGGTGACCACGGTCTTGGTCAACAATCACAACTCCTATCCGGTAAGGAGCACGTAGTTTAATGTCATTGCGGACCGATTGACACCATGGCGGTCAATCCACAACTCCTATTCGGTAAGGAGCAATAGTTTTGTGTCATTGCGGACGATTCAGCACCAGAGTGATGAATCACAACTCCCATGCGATCGGGAGCAAGTAGTTTAACGTCATTGCGGACGCATTGGCGGCCAGGGGATTGGACGTCAATGACAACCCCTAGGTTCAGGGGCACCTAGTTTAACGTCGTCGCGGACGCGCGGTATCCTGTCAAGATCGCCACGCACGATCCCTAGAACGAAGGGACAGTAGTTTTACATCATTCCGGATGCCCGTAGTTTACCGTCGTTGCGGACGTCGACGTCATTTTCATTGCAAAAATGGCCTCGAACAATCCCTATGTGGAAAGGGACAATAGTTTAGCGTCATCGCGGACGTCGTTTCGCCACAAATATTGTGGAAAAACGATGCTTAGTTTAACGTCATCCCGGACGCTTCGTAGTTTATCGTCATTGCGGACGAGACCTAGTTTTACGTCGTTGCGGACGCTTCGTAGTTTATCGTCATTGCGGACGAGACCTAGTTTTACGTCGTTGCGGACGCTTGGTGGCGGAATAGACTTTGGATGAGTGGCCCGCTCTTTGTTGTTCTTCCGCTATGTGGGCCAGACGAGAGTCGCGTGATCTAGTCCCTTCCTACTAGATCCTTGACTCGAGGCACGTGTCCTAGTTGCCTCCTGACTAGGTCTTGGAGCGGAATTTCTTGTACTTCGACTCCAAGACTAGACTGAGCGCTCCATGAAGAGATGCTTGCTCTTCCATGTCCTCAGACCCCTCGCTTGGATTTGAACCAAGACGACCCGATATTCTTTTACCGAAGAGCGAGTGAATATCGGAAGCGCTTCGACCTTTTATAGGCAGGGTTCTGTGACGCGAGTCCTTCCGCGCTTCGCCAGAATGCAACCACGCTCCTTTGGTCAATGGTAGTTTAACGTCATCTCGGACGAGGGTAGTTTTCCGTCGTTTCGGACGAGGACTAGTTTAACGTCATTGCGGACCCTAGTAGTTTATAGTCATTGCGGACCAAGCCTTTGGTAGTTTTACATCGTTCCGGATGTAATTTGTGGCCTCGCATCATTAGGAAGACTTGTGAGGTAGAGGCGGCCCGCTCTCTACATCATCTCATGCGCCAGCTGTAGGATCCCCTAATGCGGAAACGATCCTGTAAAACGGGAGATCCAAAGTGGGACGTCCCAAAACACCAGTCAGACCTTGACTGTGAGGGTTCACGATACGAGTTATGCATCATAATTTCTTGACTTGGACTTGCAACCGGTTATGTATGGGCACTTCGCTGTACCAAGGCGAAGGGCCTGCTTGTCGACACCTACGAGTAGAGTATATGTCATGTAGAGGGTTCCCTAATGCGGAAAAAACCCTGTAAAACTGAGGATCCAAATGGGACACTCGATGCATCTGTCAGATTACTCCTTGACAGCGAGGATGTGAAAGGTTCCGCCGTAGGTCGTACGTGGAATTATGCCCGCTGTTGTCCTTGATTCGTACCATCCTTTGAACCTAGGACTAATGGTCAGGTACTTCCCCTGCCTTCTTATCTTTTCACAGTTTTTTAAGACATGCAGGTCCGATAGTTTAGACGTCATTCCGGACGTCGGTAGTTTAACGTCTGTTTCGGACGAGGTCGTACAGTTTAACGTCTTGAGGGACGATCCTAGTTTTACGTCGTTGCGGACGATGGATAGTTTTACATCGTTTCGGATGTAAGTACTGTGTCAGGGGAAGGAGTTCCTCAACTTCCTTACCCCCTTTCTTCTCCTTGTGCCCTATTATTAGTCCGTTTAGTAATCGAAAGGCCCTTGATAATCCCCGCCCCCTTCGTCAGGTCGATAGTAGGGGTCCGCTTCGTCGTAATTTCCCGGATCGTCTAGGGCATCCCATGCGTCGAGCTCGGATCTAGTCCACGAGCTATTTCTTCGAGCCTCCGAATCAGTGCGGCGAGTTCTGCGGCTGCTTCGGTTATCCTCTCTTTCGTTCGTACGAAATCGAGCACTAGGAGGAGGCGATCTAGGCCGGTGTCGAATACTCCGGCCAGCAGTTGTTCCGCGTCCGAGGGTTGCCTGGTTTCCCCGACTCCGTCTTCCCTCATTTCTTCGATAGACGGGCGGTTCCTCCTCGTCGGTATTTCCTTGGGATAGGGGAAGACCTCGTATCCGGTGAGAGGGGGGAGTCGCGGTATGGCTATGCGCTGTAGGAACCTCTCGTTGTCTCGGTGGAGGGTGCTCCACGACCGTACGCGGAAACCTCCTTGGATTTGGCACAGGCGTGGGATGTTCTCCGGGACGTGGTATGTTCCAAGTGACAACTCGGAAAGGGTCGGTTCTGCTTGGCTGGACGTTTCCCAATTCTCCTCCGAAGAGGAGAGCTGGAAGGAGCTCTCGGTTGACATATTGGGAGAACTCGTCAGGGTGGATGAGGAGGGCTCGGGGTCGTCCATCATTGTGGGCGTACCAAGAGGCTGTGTCCGGGTCGGTTTGGAGGGCGAGCGTCCTGATCTGGAGACTGGCACTAGCCAGTCGTCGAGGTACGTCGCTATGTTCATTCCCGGGTTGTCCTGCCGAGAAGTTAGCGAGTCTTTGGAGGGCCATGGCTGTGGCCATTTGTATTACCGCGGAGATGGTGTTCCGCTGGAGGAGCGCGTCCGCGTGTCGCTCCAGTTCTCCGGCGTGAGGATCTGTACGAGGGGTAGGTCCTCCCATGGAGCTGGGAATCGGTCCACTAGTTGGTACTGGCGGAGGTGCAGTTTCTGATAGAACTGGTATTGGTTCAGCTTCTCCATGGCTTGGGAGTTGAGCTGCCGTTCTTGCTCGAAATCCCGAGGGACCTGCAACTCCACTATCTGGCGTGCCTTCACTAGGAGGTGGAACTCCCACTGGTAATTGGCCAAGGCTCGACTGGTTTCGGTCATCAGAACCTTCATGCCGTGGTGCATCTCGTGAGGCCCTCTCCGGTGAGGGTCTTCGGGTTCTTTCCCTTTCCTTGAACTTGGCATAGTCTTCGGCGTCGTCGTCGGAGAAGTTGTTGATATGAGGGGTGAGGAGGACCCCGGTAGATCCTGGTTGTTGAGGACTTGTTCCTCTATCAATTCGTCCAGCATCTGGTCGGTGAGGACTTGTTCCTCTTTCCACTCGTTCGACATCTGGATTGGCAACCATAAGGACGACATCGGGGGAGGAGTTTCTGGATGGAGACGAAGCATCGTGGTCATCGTGGAGGAGCATTCGAATGGGGAAAGTGTTTGAGAGGGAAAGAAGGTGAGAAGATGTTTTGTTGGAGTCCTCTTGTCGCTCCTTTTATAATCTTTGTTTCTCCTCTCAGGCTGTTCCCGGACGGGGTTTGTCGGGATATTGGTCATGGAAATCTTTCATGGCTTCTTCCGCCGTTCCTTTTAGGAGAGCGTAGGGCTCCCAGGTGTTGTCTGCTTCGGGATATCCCATCCATTTTACCAAGTATTTGGTTCCCCGTCCTTGCCGTTTTGAGTCCACGATCATTTCTACTTCGTAGTGTTCTTCATCGTTCAATACTTCCGGTATTGGTCGCGCGAAGTTTTCTCCGTGGGCTTCGGTTTCTCTATATTTAGTGAGCACTGCGGCGTGGAATACCGGGTGGATCTTCCACTGCGGAGGAATTTGGAGTTTGTACGCCAGGGTTCCCACTTTTCCCAGTATCTTGAAAGGGCCATATCGCCTAGGGGCGAGTTTGAACTTAGGATGGGTTGTCCGGATATGGGTTCCTTCTAGCCATACTTGGTCTCCTTCTTCCCATTGGGGAAGTTTCCTGTGAAGATCCCGGTCTCTGGCGTAGTTGCTGGCTATTTGTAGGCTAGCAGCGGCTTCTTCCTGAACTTCTATGATCGTCTTAATACGTTCAGCTACCGCAGGTACCTTTGTCTCCAGTGCCGTGTCAGCTGAATAGGGAGGGTTGAAGCCGTATAGCACTTCGAAAGGGGATTTTCCGGTGGCCGAATGCTTCCGTGTGTTATGTGAGAATTCGGCGAACGGCAGAAGGTCTACCCAATTGTCTTGATGGTAGTTGCAGAACGTTCTCAGGAACTGTTCGATTTCCTGGTTTACCCGTTCCGTTTCTCCATCTGTTTGGGGATGATAAGCCGTGCTGAGAGCGGCGGTGATTCCTAGCCGTGTCCAGAGTTCTCGGGTAAACTTGGCCGCAAATTGAGGGCCCCGATCGGATACTATTTTGGTCGGCAGTCCATGTCGATTGAAAACGTTATTTTGGAAAAGCGCGGTTGTTTCTTCTGCCGTGATCGTTTTCTTGCATGGGGTGATGACTATGCCTTTTGACAGACCTTGATCCACTACCACGTTAATTGAGTCGAAACCTTTGCTCTCGGGTAGGTCCGTGACGAAATCCGTTGAGATGAATCGCCAAGGAATGTTGGTGGTTTCCAGAGGGTGGATAGGTGGGTGTGTCTTGTGTGTCAAATTCTTCGTAGATTGGCATATGGCGCATCCATCCATGTATTCGTGGACGAATTTAGTCATGTTTTGCCACCAGTAGTGTCGTTGCACCATTTCCACTGTTTTTGCTCTACCCGGGTGTCCTACCGCGGGTGCATCATGATGTGTTTTGACGATGAGTCTTCGGATGTCGTCGTCTTTGGGGACGCATATGTGGCCGTTGCGTCTGGTGATTCCCTCTTCATGTGTCCAATGTCCCAATAATCCTCTCATCCCTTGTGGTCCTACTCGTAAGAGCTTTGCGAGGGCTATGCTCGTTAAGGCATCATGTTCCGATTTCGAGTGTCGGATGAGGGAAATGAGGTTTGAGGAGGCGATTTCCGTGGACTTTATATGCCGTGTCGGGGATGGTTCTACCAATGTTTCGTCGGATTTGTTGAAAAGCTTGGCCGGGAGTAAAATTTGAGATTTGTTGTCAGATTCTACCCCCTCACTTAGATCTGGACGCCTGGACAGAGCATCGGAGTGATTTGTTGATCCTGCTTTATAACTGAGTGTAAAGTCGAATCTGCTCAAATAAAGGCTCCAACGGGCGTGTCGTCGTGATAGGTCTCGCGCCGTTTGGAAATGTTCCAGATTTTTATGATCCGTCCAGATCTCGAAGGGGTGTCGTGCGCCTTCGAGGTAGTGATTCCAGTGTTCCAATGCTTTTATTATAGCCAAGAGTTCCCGGTCGTGAACATCGTAATTCCGCTCTGCTGGTGAAAACGATCCAGAGAGGAAAGCGACTGGGTGCCAGTCGCCATCTTTTCCTTCTTGTAGGAGGGTAGCTCCATAGGCGATTAGTGATGCGTCCGTTACTAATCGATATGGGTGCATGGGATCTGGATAGTTCAAGACGGGTTTACTGATAAAGGCTTTCTTTAACCGTTCGAAAGCTTCTTGGCATTTTGCAGTCCAGTTCCATTTCTCGTCCTTTTTGGTAAGGTCATGTAGGGGGCGCGCGATGAGTGAGAACTTGTCAATAAAGCGCCTGTAAAAATTCCCTAGGCCCAGGAAGGAGCGAATGTCGCGGACTGTGTGTGGGATTGGCCAATCTTTTATTGCGTCCACCTTTGAGTCCTCCATGGCGACATGGTCTTTTGAAATTGTATATCCCAGATATTGGAGTTTTTCCTTGTAAAACTCACATTTTTCGGGTTTCAAATATAGATCGTTGTCGCGTAGGATTTGGAAAACCTGGTTTAGGATTTTGACATGTTCCGCCATGGTTTTGGAGAAGACGAGGATGTCGTCCATATATACGGTTATCTTCCGGGCTGTGATGAGTTCCCTGAAGATCATGTTCATCATAGCTTGGAAGGTGGCTGGTGAGTTGGTTAGGCCGAAAAACATCACCGTAGGTTCGTAAGAACCTAACGGAGTGATGAAGCTCGCCTTCCACTCATCTCCTTCTTTGATGCGTATATTGTTGTATCCCCATCGCACATCCAATTTGCTAAAAATGATGGCCCCTTTTATCACGTCCAGTAGTTCTTGGATTAGTGGAAGGGGGCACACATTCGGGATGGTGTGCGAATTTAAGTGGCGATAGTCCTGTACCAGGCGTAGTTTTCCATCTTTTTTTCCTATAAAGAAAAATGGGGCTGCTGTTTGCGAGGTGGATCGGCGGATAGTTCCTCTCTCCAGATGTTCTTTGATGAATTTTCCTAATTCGTCGTGTTTTTCTGGGCTCAGGGCGTAGATTTTGGGCACTTGGGGTTTGAAGGTTGGTTTCAAGTCAATGGCATGATCCCAGTAAGTGTGTTCTGGGAGTCATTGTGACTTTCGTTCGCTAAAGATGTCCAAAAATTCGTGATGCGCCTTGGGAACTCTTTCCTTTAGATTGGTGACGATGATTTCGTCTTCCAGGTCTTGGTCGAAGCTGGCAAATCCTGACGGTTCGGGGGCCAGTTTCCGAATAACTGGGTCCCGGGTGGCCTGTTTTCCTGAGGGTTTGTCTGGGAGATCAGGTTCTCCCTCGTTTGGTGAAAGAGATGGCTTGTTTTGAGCCTTTCGTTTCTCTTCTGCGTATTTCCTTATGTCCTTTAGGAGCCATTTCCTTTTGAGGTATGCTCGTAGTCGGACACCAAACGTTCCGCTGTGATCGCGGAGTCCTACATCCTCCGATAACCTTCGGAGGTGTTCTAGGCGCTGTTTTTCGCGCTCGTTAATGCGTGGTTTGTGCCGTGGTTCCACGTCTGATAACCGCCTGCTATATGGCGGTTCTTCCCTTGCCCTAGTGAACCC